TCCAGAACGCAGCTAGAGAAGCACAGAAACTACGACGGAAAGCCGATATAGCGATAGCTCACGTCGATATTATTAAGGATGAATTCTGGGATCAGCGCCCATGGTTATTCTCAAATATACCCCAAAGAGTTAAATGAATATTTGGGAAACCCCTCCCCCCAACTCTGGCCTGAAAACATGGCTGCTTTATCAAAATGCAGCTCTAAATCAGCTGAATGCCTTAGATTTCATGAGAATGCAGAGGCTGCGGGCCCTGGCTAGGTAGTTGGCTGCCTAACTGAAGACGGCAGGACTATCCAATAAAAACTATTGTTTAATAACTAACTAGATATGACAAATAGTCTACAGTAGTTCCTCGTTTCTTCTTCTCTATGTTAATACAACACTCTTACCCAATGATGAAAGAAAGCGAAAGCTCAGCGGGGTGTTTTATATGCATATATCCGGTCTCTTCCAGATCAAGATATATCTTGTTTGCTTGTTGATATCCAGCAGGCAATTCGGCCACTTCTCCGTGCAAACTTCGGCGCAAGCTGCATAAGTAGAATCCTAGTCAGACTGTTTTGGTAGGTATCAAACATTAGGTTTAAGCCCTCTAAACAAATATCTAAAGAAACCCCCTATTTTGACTGATTTTTCAAGGAAACATCTCTTCCTTCCATCCTAATTTCGGTAACTTGGGCTCAAGGGCAACAAGCATTGTCTGGAATTCCTCCTTCTCCAGCCCCGCGAGGATATCAAATCCACTCCCTGGTTGTGCTTGGGCCTGGAAATCCCTAGGTTCTTTACCAAGCCACCATATAACACATCCTTGCATCGAGTTATCGACAAAGGCACCGCCGTAGGCCTCCTGGCGGTCAGACATATCGCACTCTTCAATTATAATCCTAAAGGCGCCGGCACAGTAATCATGCAGCGGCACATCTCCTTTTGGCGAACAGCCTGCTTGATCTTTCGCCCAGGTAACAGAGGCCAAGAGACCCCCACTACTCCGAATGGCATGTCCAAAAGTATTTGAGGGTGGAAGTGACTCAGCGATACCGCAAAGCGTGTCAAGCACATCAGTGGCTTCTGCTTCGGCGAAGGCAGACCATCGGCTATTCTGGTTGTGTTCACGGAAGCAATAAGGGGTGAGATCTGGTGGATTTGTAGGCAGTGGAAGGTCAGTCTTCTTTGATGTCTTTGGGGGGATTGGTTCATCCTTTGTGCTAGGAGTGGTTTTTGTGGAAGAGGAGGTAGTGGAAGTTGGCCGGGGAATAGTAATGGTGGGACCGCTGCTGGGGTTAAGTATCAGGGTGCCCAGGATGCCACCAGCTCCTAGACGAGGCGGTGGACCGTTAGGGTTGTCAGGTACCCAAGCATTGGTGTTTTTTGGCAGCGGTGGACAGGTAAAAGTTTCAGTTGTGGCCGTAGATTTGTCAGTGGGAACGGTACAGGCCTTGACGTCTAGATCAAGTCCTTCCATTTAGCTATACTGCGTCTGAAGGGCACTTAGGGGGGGAGAAATGAAACATACCACTACATTTAGATGTGCATGAGCTTGTTGTTGATGAATATGTGCAATGAGTGTTGCAGGCACTGAAAGTATAGGTCGTGCAGCCATCCGGCTCTTCAGGATCGGGGCGAGGCTATATAAAAGTATAGACTGGTTAGTACCTAGGTAGTTATATTTAATATCACGGTAATGGAGACATTGCCTACTTACAGCACCAGGACCACCACCAGGCATACCACCAGCGGGATGACAACCTGGCCCAATGCACCTGCCATTAAAACAGTTGACACCTGTGCATGTTACTATGGTGCACTTGGGGCCAAAACAAATTCCATTTCCGCCGCAATCCGGCCCAATACAGTCGATCCCAATGCATCTCCTACCGGTGCAATGCTGGTGGTCGCGTTCGTCACAATCAGGGCCAATGCATCCCTTATTAATGCAGTTTAAGTCTATACAGACTCCATTCCGACAGCCAGGTCCGATGCAACCTTGTGGAATACATCGCCGGCCAGTACAGCGGCCACGGACACAGTCAGCACCCGAGCATCCCACGCTGGCACAGATAATATCTTTAGACATTGGGTTAGCAACAGCTTTAAAAGAATATTGCATATTCGTCATGGCCGCTTACCCTCGCATTGGCCGTTCTTGCAATCCAGGCCGGTGCAATGTCCATCCACGACGATGGGAACATTTGTATTCGTCGGTAAGCCGCCTCCAGGAAGTGTCTTTGTAGGAGTTGGTGAGCCCGATGGAACAGAAACGCCTCCACCGGCTGGACACCACGGCTCCTTCGCAGGACATTTGGGCCCCATTCCTTCACCAGGTGCAATTGTTGCTGATGGAGCAACCTTCTCAGGACCTACCTCAGATTCATCGTTACCATTGAAAGCTGAAAGGGCAAAGGCATAGTTCCAGACGCCGGGGAACAGGAAATATTCCTCATTACAAGTACTCTCTGTCACGTTGGCAATGATCTTGAGCTTGTCTTTTCCGTGGATATTGCGACTCCAAACGTGATAGCCTCCAGCGGAGTCAGAGGGGCTCCAGGTAAGGCTGCATCAATAACCAGGGGGTTAGCAAGCAATTCAGAAGAAATGGAATAGTGTTGTAACTAGGTGCAGCGCTCACCGGACGGAAGTTTGGTCTTGGGATTCAATTAGTAAACCATTGGGAATACCTGGGCTTTTGGCACCAGGAACTGCATTTTGACCAATTAAAGGTAAGCCCTGGCCATTCCTGTTCCAAGTTACAATAGCAATAAGGTAGTTGACCCCTGGGTTTAAACCGGCGATTGTTGCGGGAGAGTTCTTGAATGCAGCACCGTTAATGAATTGGCAATGGTCAGCCTTCCAATCCCAATAGATCACGTTATACTCTACAATAGAGTCTGTGTAAGGCCCACTTGGCGGATCCCATGTCACCGTGAAGCCACTGCCTGTAGGCTTGACCAAAATGTTGTTCGGTGCTGGAGCAAGCTGCGGCCTTGCTACAGCGGTCTTAGTTTCAGTGTACGAGCCCTTGATTGTGTCACCAGCACTTGCACGCACTGAAACAGCATAGCTCCAGCCATCAATTGACCACTGTGAATCCCAGCGGTTGGACTGGGATGTTGTTGCCGAGAAAGTATTAGGTCCACCATTTATAGTGACCATGATATCATACGTATGGGCACCATATACTGATTTGGTTAGCTATGAAGGATCACAAATCATCTCAAGGAATGATAGGGGGAAGTTTACCAGGGTCCCAAGTGGCAGTCACACCCTGCGGTGAAGAAAAGACCTGAAAGTTCGAGGGCGTCGGGAGATCTCTCAAGAGGCTAGGATTATCGGGAGAAGGCACAGCAAGTGGCTTTGACCCGAGCTTAAGGTCATTGACCAGAGTCGTAGAAAACGCACTTGCGATCTGATACTCTCCCCAAGCATTCGGGTGAAGGCCATCGTAACCAGCAGAGCAACCTCCAGGACGGCAGTCATAGTTATTGGCAAGATCCACTAGATATACTGGAGACTGGGGTGTAGTCCATTGGGTGATATACTGGGGTAAGAGGTTGTTATAGATATTCGTGTTCTCAATCAAGTCATCTCGTCCACCAATATAACTTCGGTGAGGTACAGTTGCAATAGCGAATTTCATGCTTGGATTCACCGATCTAGCATTACTAACCAACGTACCTATGCTATCGATAGTTCCGAAGGCATCACTATAGAACCAACCCATATCATTAAACCCCAACATGATCAGCATTAGATCAGCTGGATTGCGCTCTAAGGCCTCTTTAACAAGACCTTTGCTAACAGCAGCAGCTCGTCCCCAGATAGCAAAGTGATTGCAGTTAGATAAAAATGCTGAGTCCACTCCTTTAGCATAACCACCAGAGTCACCATAAGGCACAGGCGCTGGCGTGGTGCCATATAAATATGGTGGTTGAGGCTGGCTGGGTTTTTGAGGCGGTACTGTGCCTGTGTGAGGACCGACAAACTGGGCGCTAATTCTATTTTCCTTGAACCACTGCCACATTCGATACCGCCAGGTCCAGTCTCCTTCAATTCCCTGGGTCATGGAGTCACCAGCAATCATGACTTTTAAGCCACTTTGACTACGCCCTAAGAGCGAGTTTGCTCCAATCTTGGATGTGTCATTATTGATTGATGAAAGATACTGGGCCAGCATCTCTTGAGCTTCCGGCAAATTGATACCCGCCTGAATTGGAGGCATAGCAGGGGCTAAACGGCTAATAATTTCATATTCAGGGATGTTGCTGATGTCTTCAGGAATTGGGATTGCTGGAATGTTGGCGAGCTGTTTAAGCTGTGCGGCGATGGATGCTTCAACTTGCAGAGCGGAAGCAAAGTCTATAGATTTGGTCGGTTTGATAGGAAAGGGATATGTACTCCTGGTGCCTGCAGAGGTTGTAATGTCTTCTGAGCGAACCCTCTGGCCGAACAAGATGAGCACCATGCAAACGCATAGTGTCTGGAGAAACAAAAACGACATAACTGTCAGAAACTTGATAGATAGAGTAGGAGTTATGATGGAACAAAATAAGAACCATAGCTGCCTTCTCAGGCTAGAGATATATCAAACGTGCATTGCAATACGGCTCATGCAACTGCCATTTAATACAACTTGTACCATACCTCCGCGAGTAACAAGTCATACCCTAGTCCAATATTAAATTGACGTAAAACTCCGGATAAATATCGCGGCGTCAGGGTATGATAGGGGCAAGGCGGGATACGGGAAGAGGTTGGATATAAGGAGTTGGAATCCTTCGCGCGATAAGCACGCGAATATCCATTTGGATTTAACCCATTGGGCACGTTCACCGGTGGCCTTGCCCCTATTTCATGAGATTATTACTTGAACTAGGGATGCTATTTGTAAATGTTGCAAAGTTGATGTTGTGTTGTTGGTAGGCCAGTGACATCGGATGTTGGTTCCTGATATGGTCTTGCCCGGAAGTACTTATACTCATTAGTTATGTAATTGATAAAGGGCAGGGGTGTCAGATAGAGAGTTTATACCCTGCTTGAATGTTGGTTCGCCTGTTTTGAAGCCCTGTCGACATGGTACCATGTCGAGGCACCGCGGTGTTAGTATTTTGTTATTGTTAGTTGGCCATGGATGACACATATTTTAACCATTGCGCAGATGGGTATCTCGTGCTTTCAGCATAGTATATTTCATTCTCGAGAGGAATCCGGATATAATATATCCGGAGTACTGTCGTACTCAAGCATGGTAATCGGCATTTCTTTGACAATCACTGCTTTATCCCTTCTCCAAAATAGGACAAGATGCTGACCTCCAAAGTAAACATCTATATTGCCATCTGTTGTGCACTGCTGTTGGTTCTCTGTGAAGCGCGGTATTCGGAGCATCTATCTTCTCGATTTTCGCCTAGGTAGGTTTCACTAGAATCGAGGGGTATATACTTGATTAACAGGAATGGCAGGCAAAACAGTTTTGGCCTTGGGAAAAGAGACGGCCTGCCAGAGTCATGTCTCCCTCTTTGTAGCTCGGGTCGCTGCAACTCGCCGGGGTGTGGTATATTAAAGCGCAGCTCTCCCGATGCTGTTGAATTTGCCAGCAACACGACAGACGGCAACTTCACGCAGAAGCGGCATCTAGGGAAACGTCTTCTTTTTGGTACCGGACAAGCAGATATATCGACTTATATCCGAATGAAAAGCAGGTCACCTTCGATTGATTCAGTATGCCCGGACATAGCCGGGGGGGTTGATGGCCCCAGCTACTGCATACAACAGTCCTTTGCCTCCGCGCCGCTCACTAACAATCAGTACTGGGCTGGCACGGGTGAAACCACGTTAAAAGGCTGCACAGTCCTGGTGGTAGCTTCGAGTCGTGGTGTATATATGGTGAGAAAATATCGATCCCTTAAGACAATAGATAACTAGCGGCTGCTGATCCTGTCCTGTTCTCAGTGCCACTTTTGGGAGGATCTTCATTATCCCGGCTACTGGGACACTCGGCAGACTTACTATACCTTTGATCCGGTTCTTAACATGATCAGAGGCGAGGGCGACACCACATATGCCGTCGGTCCGAGGCTTGAAAAGTCCCTGTTCGAACAAAAGCATCCTTTCGATCGTACCGTCGCGTTCATCATGGCACCGCGCGATAAGATGACACCCTTCGACGCGAGATCGTTCGAATACCCGTTTGAGCACGCTCAATTGTAGGTGTTTGTTTCCTCGTGCCCCTGCCTCTTCGTTGTCAATGATTCCCATAGCTAAGGACACGGGTTGTTTATTTACTTGTCTGGAAAACAGAAAAGAACTGCTGATGGAGCTGATCCCCCACGTCCACTTCGTCGAATATAATTACTTCCCACTCCGCCCCTATAGTGTGGAAGAAGAAAATAACCTACCTTACTATCAGGGGAGAGCGCTGTTCGAGTACGACACCAACGCAGACGGTGATAATCACCGGGACTGGCGACTTTGGATGGAGCAAGCGGCTATCAAGGCTAGCGAGCTGGGTATAGCAATCGACGTCGAATCTAACTGAGTGATGGGAGATATGGTATAGATTGCGTTCCTGTCTCAAATCGGCGGTTGGGTTATCATAACATATCCAAATAGAAACACTACTGGCCATGGCATGCATAGTTATAGTAAAGATGGTGCACTGACTATATGTCTTTCCCAATTCGAAATGTGGCTCGAGTCGAGGGAGATACTGTATAGTTATGCGCTTAGCCTGGCGCTTGACCGGTCCTTGTCCATGGACGATCCTGATGGCCGTAAGTGGGCGCTCGTCATGACACTGCTTCCCGTCCTCGATGCAGTACATATTGTAGTTATAATTATTGTAGGATATCTTGTTGTTGGCTTAACTCGCGCTTTCTGGCTGTCATGCCATTAACTAGAAAGGGGGATAGTGAAGTTCCGTGATCAACTTGGTTCCGGTGGCATGAGAGACTAATAATTAGGGTAGCATGTCACATTGCGGCGTTGCGTTGTTCGAGAGCGACCATGATACAAACGGCCTCTTCCATAGCGATTGGCGAAGATGGATGGAGCAGACATACTGTAAGGCAAGGTACTTCAATACCGCGTCGCCTAAGCCACCTAGATGAAATTTATCTTCATTTAGATGTGGATATTGTCCTATTTGATGTAACAATGGAGACCGAAGAGTTGATAGCTAGATAGATCTCCGTCAAGTAGCCGAGTATCTAAATATCTACCAAGCTCCATACTCCGTATCTGTCCAGAAACTACGCGCCGCATTCACTGGAGTGCCAATTTCAATCGGACCGTCCACTAGGAACAGGATTGGTTTTTTGATATCGTCTCCACTCTGTTCCCAGTTCTCAGCTTTAGGCAATTGCCAGGTCCTATCACAAACTATTGTTCTCGCTTTCTCATGCCGAGGGAAAAGTACCATTCCAATGGTCTGAGGGTCCTCTAGCTCATATAAAGTGTCAAGATACAACCTAGTAAGATGTGACTGGTCACTGGTGCAGTACTCGATGATTGAAGAAAATCCACCCTTTAATAGCTTGATAAACTCTAGAGATAGCTCGCTAGGATCGGTCCGCCTGATGAACTGAAGTAAATCTGCCTCCCTGGTACCTATACCACGGAGCCTGACCCGTTTCAATCTTGGTAGATTTTCTATCTCGACAATGTGTTGCAAAATCCTCTCTAGTTGAAAGTCGCGGCGTCTGTTCAAGGGTTCCAAGGATAAATGGAAGAAGTGCAAGTTCAATTCCTCCAGCCGGTTACATAAACCGATAAGTTTCGCAACGCCAATAAAATTGACCTCATCGGTGGCTTCCGCTTGGTAATCCCTTTGTATTCCTTCTTGCCATGCATTGGCGCAAAGATAGCTCTCGCCGGGTTCGGCCATGTCTTGGTAGATATTGAAAACCCTTGTGCACAAACTTAAAGACAGCGACTTGAGCATTGAGAATGACTCTGCCACCCTAGAATCCTGTAACTCAACAGAATAGAGCCTGTCACAGGGTAAACTGCACAGTTTCATCGACTCATCGTTAAAAAGGTTCAACTTTTGGATGCGCAGCCGACTCACGGCTAGGGCTTGTAGCACGACCTGCCACATATACACTGCGCAGAACCATACACGACATGGCATCAGCACAGCTTTAGTTTCAGACGGCAGATGGCGCGAACCATCTTGGTAAACATTAGTTACTCGAAGAGTAAGTGCCTCAAGGCAGCCATCATCGTTATATTTTGCGATCTCATTGAATAGGTCTGCGAGATAGTCAGCGAGGCATTCCTGTCTTTTGCCTGCTGCTTTTGCATCACCATGTAGATTCGGTTTGCGCGACAGTCCGACGAGACACAGATGCTTGAGTTGATGGCTTCTGGATGCTATAGACTTGGTAAATGCCTGCAGAAACTCGGCTGTCAAATCGAGCTGTTTCATGCGACAGAGACCTCGAAAGCGGCCTTGCGAGAATTTGATGGTCACAGCCTTGGCCGTCAGTCGTAGGTTCCGTATATCTTCCAGGTCTAGGTACGCTATTATTCGTTCGGCGATGTCTAGCGGACAGGACTGGAGGGTCAAGTTCATGGTGCTGGGGTAGCTTTATGTCCCTGGTCCAGCTTTCAGGACTCGAAGGAACGAATATGAGCCCTCCTTGTGCAGTAACTGTTATTTTGGCAATAAGAAATCCAGCTTGAACGCGGCAGGGCTCGGCGACATGATGTTGGAGTTATATATGGATAAACGCCAGGATTGGGAGTTGTTGGGTTGGCAAGGCCTTTGCCCTGTTGACAGGGATGACATAGTATACACAGGGCTTCCCGCTTTCCATCAACTCGTATCGATGGACAAGAGGGCGTCGCCTCATGCCAGACAGAACCGCAAAGAAAGCATGGGCTGGTTAACTAGCTGCATGTGCGAGCCGTAGTAATGGAACAACCGGACATGACCCAACAAATTATCCACAACTGCACCACAGTAAGTGGTAGGCTTCTTCGCAGTTAGGCATATCGCACGTATCAACTATGATCACGAAGGCACCGGGATAGCAGTTGTGCAGCTGCAAGTCTGCTATGACGAACGATACTCCGTATATGTCATGTCATGGCTATCAAAAGTTCATTTCATCTCGAAGGTCCAACATTTCAAATGACAGATTACGTAACTAACTCATATACTAAGCAAAAATAGTTTCATTTTAACTCCGTCATCTATGCTCAAATACGCGATGGCATGAAACCTGAAAAATTGAATGCAAGCGGGTATCTATCTCATCAAAACCGACTATTTACAAATATGCGAAAGCCTAGCGCTCTATATCTCTAATCAATGTAAAATGAGCTACTGGTTAGTTATATATCAAGAGTAACATGGCCTATTCGTGTATGCAACCCGGTCTCGAATTCACCATTGAGTCGTAGCAGTCGCGCCTCTTAAGGGTCCGTAGACTCTTATTCGTCTTTACTGGCCTTCTTCGCCTTCCTTTCTTCCTTTCTCTCCCTTTTCTCCCTTTTCTCCTTTTTCTCGTTTTTCTCCCTTTTGCCTTTCCTCCCTGGTTTCTCTTCCAGTCTTGCTTTCTTAGAAGCTCCTTTTCTTTCCCGTTCTTTTTTCTGAGAACTCTCATCCGAGGATTGATCAGATGTTCTTAATTTTGCGTAGATTTCAGAAGCTAAGGCTTCAGCTTGCAGTCTCTTCTTCTCTCTCTTCTCTTCCTTTTTCCTTTTCTTTTTCTTTGAGATATCTTCTTTCACGGGTTCCACAGTTTCGATGCAATGGGTTCGTTCCTCATGGCTCTCTTCTTCCGGTGGGGTAGCAATACCGCAGGCGACCTGGGATTCAAAAGCACTTGATCTTTTCTTATCTTTCTTCTTATTCTTCTTTTCTTTCCCTCCCTGAGATGAATCAGCAGTAGGTGATGTTTCTCTATCTTCCCGTTTTCTCTTCAGTTTTCGGTTTGATGTACTGGTATCGACAGGGCCGGGAGGGGAATCACCATCTGGTCTTGATTGTATAGATTGGTTATATTCATATGGTTTGATAGTGCCCGCAAGTCCCGGTCCTCGTACGAAGAATTTATAAAGCTCACTCTTTGGTGTTTCTGGTGTGGACTCTTCGCTAACTGGTGTCACGTTGCCGTCTGTTCCAATACCGCGCAACGCTGCTTCGAATCCGCGTAGCCACCATTGATTTGTGTGGTCGTGTGTTGTCTTCTTTCCAACACCATGTGTATTTTTCTTCCGTGCAACGAGAATCGGTTTTGTTAAACCAAGCCCACCGTGTGCGCCCGGTCGTCTAGAAGGATTTAGAGGGTTTCCTGGGCCTGACCACCCTTGATTCATTAGGTAGGCTTGTGGATCCATTGAAATATATGGCGTAAAGGAATGCTGGCAATAGGAAGGACGAGTTTTATATTTCTAGCTGCATTCTTGTATAATCTGAGCAAAAAAGGAGTGTGCTGAATCGGTATGTGTAGGGAAACACGTAGTGAACCTGGTCGCTCAAATATTTTATAAAATTTAGAACCAACATTTGGATAAAAATATCTGTCACGTGATAGGCTTTGAGTGGAGCTGGGTGCGGCTTTGTAGTTAAGAGACTTCAATGTTTACTACAAGATGGAATAATATTGCCTCGGGAAGGAACATGAGTATCAAGCGTAATTTTTATTGAATTTTTAAAATGCTAATGTAGAAACTTTGTCTGGATACATCAAGCACAAAGCGCGGGAAACCAAATAAGCCACGAGCAAAGCAACACCAACGCCATGCTATATTATGAGGGTGCCCAATAACAATCTAAGATCCTCAAGTCTTTTCTTCTCCTTTTTTATTCTTTTCTTTCAGGGGGAGGCCTGTTCGGCATTCTGAGAAGGAGGCAAAACAATGGGATCCTCTGATGATAAAAAATAACTGTCCAGAAAGACGGAAGAATTAAAGGGGGAAAGGACATACAATTTCAAAAATAACAAGCAATTAAAAGTGAAATTTTTGGGGTCATTCTGACAAGGGAATTTGAAAGGAGACGAAAATGTTTGGTACAAGGCGCCAGATCCGATAAAGAGAGAAAGTAGATTAACCAACTGTATGTTGGAAGAGGCAGCGTAAGTGTTTTCTCGGAAGGTTGGGTGAATCGAAGTGAAAAATGAAGTATTAGTACACTGGTGAAGTTGTATGAAACAAGAACTAAAAGTCTAACCCGTAAAGCTCGCTTTACTGGCGTGGTGACCTGCAAGATGGTAAGTATCATGACTATGTTAAACACAATGTAAGAGTGAACTTACGTTGGGTTAAAGGTAGGAGACGTTGGGCTATAACCCGGAGACGTCGGTCCACCTGGAGAAGTCGGCGAGCCAGAGAAGTTTGGAGATGTTGGAGAGTATGCTTCCGGGCTGGTGGGTGACCATCCGGGCGAAGTTGGGGTATATTTGGGCGAAGTAGGAGAGGTTGGTGAAAGATGTCTGCCGGTACCTCCCAACGCTGGACTGGTTGGGCTGTAACTTGGCGATGTAGGGCTAAAAACGGGCGAAGCCGGACTGAAGCTCGGCGACGTGGGGCTGTAGCTGGGTGACGTTGGAGAGAAACCTGGTGAAGTAGGCGAATAGGAGGGTGAGGTGGGCGACTGAGCTTGCCCATATCCAGGAGAAGTCGGCGAGTAAGCAGGAGAAGTTGGAGCAAAAGATGGGCTGGCCGGAGAGAAGGCTGGAGATGAAATGAACCGCGGACTTGTGATGCTCATGCCAGGAGAAGTGGGAGAGTAACCCGATGATGGAGAATATGCCGGGGAAGTTGGACTAGTGTTGAAAGGACTGCTGGGAGAGTAGCCTCCTCCAGGGCTCCTCGGTTCGTGAGGGCTGAATCCACCATAGCTTGGTGGCTGGTAATCAGCAAATCCAACAGCATTTTCTGACCCAGCTTGCCTGACGGGTGAGAACTGGGAATCAGGATCAGGAGAACTGATATACATATTCTCTTGCATTGGCGAGCCACTGTCATACTGTGTAGCGGCACCATCAGAAAGCATTCCTTTGGGTTCCTCGCCCATTGCACCTAAGCCTGCATTGCTGGAAACGACGCCCATAAGCATTGACTGATCAAGATAAACATCAAATTCTCCCGTTCCTGCGGGCGCCATTTGACCAAGGATCAGATTCTCAGACACGCCTCGACAGTCGTCCAGCTCAGCAAAAGCAGCAGCATCGAGAAGAATTTCAACAGTCTCCTCGAACGAACATCTCATCAAAGCACCTGTATCCGCACGATTGATACCGTGTCGGGTTACAGCCATAAGGAAGCCTCGCGAGGTCATAACATCCACGAGAAGGGCCAAGTGTCGATGGTTGACATACGAACCATCGAAAGCAAGCACCTGTGTCAATTCTCTGAGAAGGGCGGTTCGAGTGGCTTCGATACCAAACACTTCAAGAATCTCAACAAATTGATTGGAGTATGTGCGGCTAGCATCAATGCCAGGGATTGCCAACACATCTGCAAGGGCGGAACCACTAGTTTCAAGTACCCATTCCTTACACTCAGGGTCACTTGCACTTTGGTGGAGTGAGCCATCCTCGAGAACTCTGGTCCGGGATTTTTCGTTAATGAACGCACGATCAATTCCGGGAACACCACGTAGAGTCAGAGTGTCAAGCAAGTGACTCTCCAGCTTCTTGAGAGTGACGTCATACTCAGTGTCATCATCATCTTCATCCTGTTTTGGATCTTGAATTTGACGGATACGGACGACTTGTTCATCGGCGTTGTTGTCACTGAAGATAACAGCAATGTCCTGAGGATAAGCTTCTTTAATCTTGGTGGCAACGTCTTGGACCGTAAGACCCTTGTCGAGAAGCTTCGGTCGACTAAGAATAATACGAAGCAACCATTTGGATTGTCGTGATGAGTCGTCCGCAACATCCTCTGGAATGATGAAGTATGATTCCACCATATCGATATCGTTTTCAATAACCGTCGACTGGATATTGGGATCATAGTATATCTCGGTTGACTCTGTTACCGATCGCAAACTAGTATGCTCAACAATGCTTCGCAATTGTTTCGCAGACTCCTTGTTCATACGACGTTCCGGAGCTTGGTAAACAGTCATAGATGGTGTCTTGATGTTTGTTGCCACATTTAGAATTTCCTTAAGGCGAGGAACACCCAGCGTAACGTTCTTTGAGGACACACCAGCGAAATGGAAAGTGTTGAGTGTCATCTGCGTAGCTGGCTCACCAATTGATTGGGCAGCCAAAACACCGACCATCTCACCAGGATTTGCCGCCGCTTTTCCGAATCGACTCTCAATAGCACCGAGAACATGCTGGAAAGCAAGTTTGTTCAAGGAGTACTCTACAACCAAGCGTCTGAACGCAAGACGTGAACGTAGCTGTGCCTTGAACAGAAGAGTTGCGCTCTCCTGAGCCTCACGAGAGAGCGGGTCATCTCCACGGACGACAAGCAAGCGATCCAATAGTTGCCTGACTTGTGGAACAACCTCCGCAGGGTGAAGGTCACTAATCGTGCCATCACGAATTCTAAAAGTAGTTTTGGCCGACTCCAAAATTCGCTGGATGTTGATGGGTAATTGCATCATCTCATCATCTTCCTTAACAACAGTTCGCAAAAAGGCACGGTCCTTCAACAACTGTTCCCATTCTTCATCAAGATGCTTCTGCACCGCAATGTCGCCAGCAATCTCCGTTGCCTGCTCAAGGATATCAGGCGAAAGCAAACGCTCTGGGTCCATGAGGTCAACACGGAACCGGTTCCTGAACTGTTCATCCGAGCATTTGATAATATCAACACGTTGATTTTCAATGCACTGGCCGTCAAGACCATCTTCGCCGTAAAGAAATTGAACGATATCTCCCAAGGAGTTACGAACAGTTCCATCGTATTTGACCATGACTTCTTCCAGTGCCTTGACAAGCTTTCGCTGGATATAACCAGTTTCTGCTGTTTTGACAGCAGTATCAATCAAACCTTCACGACCGGCCATAGCGTGGAAGAAAAATTCAGTAGGCGTCAGTCCACGGAGATACGAGTTCTCGACGAATCCGCGGGATTCTGGAGAATAGTCATCCTTTGTGAAATGAGGCAATGTTCGATATTTAAATCCGAACGGAATACGCTTTCCTTCAACTGACTGTTGGCCGACTACAGCTGTCATCTGAGAGATGTTGATGGTAGAACCTTTAGAACCAGATCGAGCCATTTGAACTGCGTTGTTCGAGTCCTTCAAACTCTTTTCTGTTGCAGTACCAGCTTCATCACGAGCATTATTCAGAGCACGGGACACCTTGCTCTCGAAGGTTTCTCGGACATTCATACCAGGGAGTGCCTCCAGAGTGTTCTCCGTGGCACTTGCAGTGATGGAGTCGACCTCTTCCTTTCTGACACGAACTGCATTTTCAATCTTTTGGATAGTTGCCAGGTCAGGAATTGTATCACCAATTCCGATACTGAAACCATTATGAAGGAGCCAGTAGTTTACAACCCTCTGAGCTCCATTGAAAAAGCTCATAGCGGTATCAGGCCCATATTCATTGAAGATAGTATGGACAACACCACCACCAGTAGCACCAACAGTCTTCTTCGAGAACATTCCGTACATCAGTTCTCCGCCGTGGACCAAGACACCTCCATCCGCGAGTGGAGAAAACTTTTCCGAAATAGGAGACTTGTCCTTATCGATTCGAAGCAAATTTAGACCAGATGGGAGAACCATGCTAATCATCTGTTTTCCACTCCATCTCGGACGAGGCTTAAGAATTGCAGGCTGTGGGAGAACCCCATCCCAGTCCGGAACCCATAAGAGAAGATTCATGACCTGTTCTTTGGTTAAGAATACGTCTCGTCGACAGATCTTGTAAATTCCACAAAGAGTATCCTGCACTATACCCATGAGTGGACCGTTTCTCTGCGGGGATACGATATTCAAAGGAACCAAACATAATTGATTAAGCTCGGCTCGAGCCTCCTCACTTTGAGGGACATGCAAGTTCATTTCGTCACCATCGAAATCGGCGTTATATGGGGTCGTGACGGACAAATTCAGTCGGAAAGTAGAATATGGCATAACACGGACACGATGGCTCATCATAGATTCTTTATGAAGGGATGGCTGACGGTTGAAAAGGATAAAGTCACCATCCATGAGGTGACGCTCAACCTTCCAGCCCCATTGCAGAAAGTTTCGGCCACCGCCACCTTTATGGTGTCGAAGATCAATACGCTCGCCAGAGCTACGAATAACATAGCGCGCGCCCGGATGAACATCTGGACCATTATCGACAAGTTGACCCAGTCGATGGATGTTGTAAGGTGTGACCACTTCAGGGTATGTCAATGTTTGCGCAATGCTGATAGGAACTCCAACCTCATCAAGGGAGAGATTCGGGTCACCAGTAATGACAGTACGAGCTGAGAAATCCACACGCTTTCCCATCAGATTTTGTCGGAGGCGGCCTTCTTTACCTTTTAGCCTTCCACGGATGGCCTTAACAGGACGGTTGGATTTCTGCATTGCTTGGGGAATTCCAGCTATATCGTTATCCATGTAAGTTGCGACATGATACTGCAACAGAGACTCGAATTCGCGGACCACATGCTCCGGAGAGCCTTCCTGTTCACATCTAGTAACGTTTTGATTGGCGCGGATAATCTCCGCAAGCTTGTATGTCAGATCATCCTCTCCACGTTGACCGGTACCACTGCCTCCGACCAAAACACTAGGTCGAACGGGCGGAGGTGGAACAGGCAATACAGTAATGACCATCCACTCGGGCCTGGCGTAGTCGTTACTCAGTCCCATGAGGCGAACATCTTCCTCCGAAATGTTCCTAAAAATTGTCAGAGCCATTTGAGGAGTAATCTGTTTCTTCTCGGGTTGTTGAATTTCGTTATCATCCATCATGTCGCGCATTTTGCTCGGTTTCCATGTGCCCATTAGCGTAATTCCTTCCTTTCGGACCTGAGGTTGAACGTTGCCGCAGCCCCCATGGCCTTGGACGGGCTTTGAACTCTCCTTGGCAAAAGGGTCATCGTCTTCCGGCGGGTCAGCTTCACAAACAAGGATATCCTTCGATAATCGCCAAATAGCATCGAACCGTTTCTTCGGGTCGCGGAAACGAAGGGCGTCCAAATATTTTTGATCAGACTGAATATATTCAAAAAATGTCAGCATACTGGCCATATTCATGATTTGCCATCCCACAAGGGATGACTAACCGCATTGGCTTTTATCTTTCCACAATTGTGGCAGACAGTTTCCAACAGCTTTTTAATTTTAGTCAAAAAACCTATATCAAAACGTTAGTTTGAAAGACTTTGAAAAAATTTCGTGGACAAAAATAATTACCAATGTGGAACACCGGAGTAGATAGTTCTATATGGCCGAAGTGGCCAGGGCAATCATTGATGCCTTCTTCGCAAGTAGCACATCGCCAGTTGCGATCAATAGTACCTAGACGGGGGTCGTTAAGTCCCTTTTCGCGTGGTCGTTGTCGTTGGTCGTCCTAGAATAGGAAATAAAGACATTAGCATGGAAAAGAGAAGTATATTATACTTCTATAAACTAACCATAGTCTCAGGATACTCGACATGGCACACGCTCATCCGCTTTATCTCCTCGGGTGAGAGGAGACCAAACTGGATCTCTTTAATCGTGCGCAACTGCGCCTTCGAATACGGAAATCTGACGGACGACATAGCTGTGGTCTCGCAAACGGGTAACGTGAGCGTAAAAAGGTGTTGGTGAAAAGATTAGGTAGCGAGTGTGAAGATTATGACAATCCTGCTCCGGGGTCAACAACGCGCAAAGGGATCCGTATCACGTCGAATATTGAGCGGCGGCACTATATTGAGGCTGAAAGGACAGCGTATTTGATGAAGCTGATGACCGTGGATGGCCTTTAACCGGCCACTGGCAGACCCTGCCCGAGGGCGCCTTTGGACCTTTTTCCTGAGCTGCGAGAACGTAGTTTCTGAGCGCGCAAAAGCGAAGCAACAGGGAGGACGGAGAACTATAGGGCCAAAAGAGATACCGCGATGCAGAAACGCGATATTCTAGATGCTTGCGAGCGTTGCAGACGTTCAGCGCTGGTGGTTGAAGGACGTTGTTCTGAGTCTCGCCTCAGTTGCGCTTGTTGATGAAGTTCGCTCGAAGTTTTTCGCCTCAGGCGGTTCCTAATCTGGTATAGTCGCTGACTAAGCAGTGTCCTACTCTATAATTGGCCAGTCAGGCGCAAGCCAAATCGGGAAGTTTTTGACCTCATTTTCATTCACAAACGACAAAGGCGCAGAAACAACAACGAAGAGGAAGAACAGGAACACAGTCCTGCAGCGCAGATAAGGTAGCCAGTAGCCTGAAAAAGGTAGCTGAAGGTGTCGAGAGGAAAAAGAGGATGGTGGTCCAGGGCCGAGGATGACTGATTGCGCGTGCTGCTTACTCCGGGATTCACTGCTTCCCACACCATGAATTTGGCCCTCATTGATCCGTTTGCATTGGCGCAGGACTACCCGGATATATTGACGGGGACTCTTAGTAAGATAATATAAGCTCACTGCATTTTTACGGACCGGTCAGATTCTTGATCTAACCAGAGTTTTTGCAGGAAGCGGTCATGCGGCGTGCCTACGTTTCAATCGTAAAGGGGATTTTCTAGCTTCTGGAAGGGTATGTACAATAACTCTGTCATGGCCGTTTGGCAAAAGAATATGGACTAAAAGGTACCCCAGGTTGATGGTACGATAGTTATATTCGATGTCGAAACAAACGGTGTGGCGCGCAAGTTGCGTGGGCACAGCAAGCAGATCCAGTCGCTAAGGTTGATACTCTTACCACGCAGAATTCAACGTGTGAACTACAAGTATAAGTGCTAAGTGATTTTTACTAGTTGGTCGCGAGATGGACGATATCTCTTAAGCTCCTCCCAAGATTGGAAATGCGTTTTGTGGGACTTGAAAGACGGCTCACGGATACGAACGGTTCGATTCGAAGCTCCCGTATACATTGCAGAATTGCATCCATTTAACCAGTACGTCTACGCATCACGTATTTGTCTCTCCAAGGCGATACATTGCGGGATAGATACTAGACACTAAACGAGACTCCATCTTAGTTGGCTCTTTGTGGCTTCGTTGTTTGAAGACCAACCAGTCCTCGTTGACGTTTCCTCCCCTCGGCCAATCAAGCGTGTCCTACCCTCAGCACCTCTTCGACCACAGCCGGAAAATGGAGAAGAAGTTGACCCTGCAGTAGCTGCTAAGCAAGCCGCTCAGGACGCAAAACATTCAACTTGCGTCACTATCTTCACCGCACTGGGCAATCATATCCTAGCTGGCACATCTAAAGGTTGGATCAACATTATCGAAACTCAGACCTGCAAAACAATCCATTCCACTCGTCTATGCAACGGTGTCATAATACTTCTACGCCTTGCAAACAATGGACGTGATTTACTTGCGAATAGCTCCGACCGAGTGATACGTACCATCCTAATGCCAGACCTTTCACAACTTGGCGTTAACCTTGAACCAGCTAATATCAAGCTCGATATAGAACACAAATTCCAGGATGTTGTGAACAGGTTAAGCTGGAACCATGTTGCATTCTCTGCAACTGGTGAATTCGTAACTGCCTCCACCTTTATGAACCATGACATTTACGTCTGGGAACGCAGCCATGGCTCACTTGTCAAGATTCTTGAGGGGCCGAAAGAAGAGTTGGGTGTCGTCGAATGGCATTCAAACAAGCCAATGGTGGTAGCTTGTGGGCTGGAGTCGGGCGGCATATATGTGTGGTCTATTGTCACGCCGCAGAAATGGTCTGCGTTAGCACCCGATTTCCAGGAAGTCGAGGAGAACGTCGAATACGTCGAGCGAGAAGACGAATACGATATCCATCCTGCCGAACAGGTTCATCAGCGCAGGCTTGACCTTGAAGATGAGACTCCCGATGTTCTTACCGTTGAGCCCGTCAAGGGGGAAACGGGTGATGACGGGCACGAGACATTCCGCATGCCTGTCCTCCTAGATATATCAGACAGCGAGAGCGAAGAGGACATTATTGCAGTGGGACCCGGAACGATGAGAAGACGCAGCCCTGGGTCCGGACGTGAGTGGATGAACAATGCAGCAGCTTCTTCTACCGCTGGTGGCGACGTTTACGATTCTGACGGTCGTAAGCAGACAACGTCGAATGGCGTTGGCAAAGCGCAGAATAAAGGACGCCGGAGATAACCTAAACCGAACCTCTAAAAAAAAATAAGAATAAAATTTCAAAATTCAAATAGTTATAAAGGAATAGATCAGATAAATAACTCACTACTCGATCGTCACATCTTTAAACAACTTTATCCGCCATGCTTGTAATTAATAATTGATCAACGACGCCCGCTGTGACCCATTTTTATTTCTCTCCGGGCTGGTAACGACGTCATATCAGCCATGCGCCTTACGATAGGGAGACATCAGACAAGTTATGACGAAAGGCCTCCTCTGGCTTCGCTACTTTTTCCCTTCTGTGGGATCATTCTCCTGACTAGGCTGAAAGGTAACGCCCCGTAGGTATCTCCAACACAGCCAATCGTGCATACTTACAGAGTACGTCCAGGCATGCCTGTCTGCACGAGTACGGAGTACCAGAGTGGCACCAGTTTATCCATAACTGCCCAACAGCTTGCGCCCCCTCTCCCGGGTGTCAATAATGGATATCAGGGTTGACTCCATGCAAATATTCGATATATTCCGGGTATGATGCAAGCAAGCATCTGATGTAAGACAAGAAGGCAGGAATCCCCCTGTGACCCACGAATCACTGTTGCCTTCGAGGTGAGATTTTGTCTCATTTCGCACCGTGTTCTCCTTTCTTCAGAGCATACGAGATCAAGGGGCATGGGGCGTGAACATGACTTTTCCCTGTCGACAAATGAACGTGGAGGCAGCATCATGCATGCATATAGACTTCATGCACCTGCTTTAGTCACCGTAAGGCCCTTGCCTCCAACCCCAATGGCTTGTTGCAAGGGACTCTGCAGGTATTCATAATCATTACAAACATGAAGCTAACCGACCCCCTTTTCCTTCATACTGGTCGTACTCCGTTCTAAGGAACGGGGCCCATCATTGCTCCTAGAAATTGCTTTTACATACGCGCTCAGGGGGAGGCAAAGACGATGAATTCCGTCCATGCTACTCCGTACCTGCCCCTAGATTCTAGATTTCTTGGTGTAATGGTAGTAAGATGAGATAGGGGAAGTAATCTCGGTGGCTCTGGCCGTATCCTCTATGTCTGGTGTAATGCTTAGCTAGCCTGCGCTGGCCAGATATGGATTGGACGCACAAGAGAATGTTAGCAGTCCAATAGACATTTTATATTGGCACAAGAGGCTACTCCAACTTCAACAGAGATCCAGCCGCCGACTGGCTAGCTGAAACAAGTCGAAGATCCCGGTATCTCCAGCAGAAGCCGCCATCTTTAATACGGAGATACCTCCGTCCAAATTTATGGGGAAAAGCAGAGAGGAATTTTGGCCTCCTTTTCGATAGCCAATCCTCGGACGTAATAGAATCCAACACCCCTGCTTGGGCTACGGAAGTCAAAGGGGCGCACACACTCCTTCATGTAACTATGTGATACCTTGTACGTACCTTTATAGAGTTGTACGAGGTATTACAGCGTTACAGCCTTTCATGACAGGTACCTCGGTCGTATTATGAAGAAATAAATGCAAGGCTTAGTTTAGGCATGCGATTCTGTTTCGTATTTAACATGCAATTGAGGCTCACCCGAAGTCAAACTATATCTTCATTAACTAGTTATCCAGGGAAAATTGGTTCTATTAAGTACTCGAGCATCAGGCTAATTAGCTATAATAAGCACGCTTGGGCATACCCATGTTGTGGTTGTGCTAAGAAAACGAAGACGGGCTTAGCCAGCGCCTGTTAAGTGTGCTATAGCCAGTTGCAAACGCCTTGTCCTTAATAACTGCTATGCCAGAAAATGTAACTACGGAGTATATACGTATGACCTGCCGCCAATACTCCGTGCTCTCCGTATGCTTAGAAGCTAGTTACATGGAAATCAAAACCAAACTAAAACGCCAGAAGCGACCAAAGGAAAAATCTATGACCCTATCGAACGAAATAGCAAGCCTATGATGACATGAAACGGCATTGGTAGTCGTAAGAGAATAGAGACAACGAAGGGCAGTAGACGGGGGTATGCTAAGGAAAACGTAAGAGGGCCTCTATATAAAACAGGATAAAAGGCACAAGATAACTAGTTAGTTATCAATATAAAGGAAAAAAGAGGCGATCAGCAAAAGAAACAAGGAGACGAAACCAGCCATTATCGTAACAATAGATCATCACCACGAATATGAACCATCATCATGGGGAATGAGCACGAACCGGAGCATATGCATACCCCTCCCTATATATAGCCAACTCCAGCATGCTCTGCCAGACGGAAGAAAAGGACAAAGAAATGATACCGAGTAAGACGTCCGCATAAACTTTTCCCAGCCATTCGTCGTTCCGTCTCCCCTTTACCACTCCGCCGGGACAGGACAACACTTGATAAGAAATTAGAAACAAGCCAACAGACATGCAAGCAAGGGTTGAAGCGAGGACAAGAGTACATGAAAAGCCCAAGAAAAAGAAAAGGCCCTTTTTCCCAACCGTCCAATTATAAAAAAACATAACAATATCAGGCACATAAAAGTTGGGAGGCAAGTTGGAAGACCCGAGGGAAAGGAAGCAAATGGAAATCCTGACAGAGATGAACAGGTGGAGAGAAGCTGCAGCATTTAAACTGGAAAATATGTAGCATCCCCCCGGATGCATCCCTCTTTCTCTTTCTGCTTCCTCGCATATGTCAACCCTGTGGAAAATTCCTGAGAAGAGGAATGAGCGGCCAAGATGCGACGTGGTCGTGCATATATATAAATGGGTATATCTACCCTTGTCCCGACAGCTGGTGACCAAATCATCGGAATACATTTGAGCGAAGCGGTTCCCCCGGCAGCTGTTCTCCTTCTGAACCGCTTTCCCTCCTTTCTTTCCTTTTTTCATTCAGCTGAATCTGCCAGATATAAAATTTTTCACCCATCTGTCCCCGAGGCTATCCCCCCCTCCAGACCAAACCAAAATCTTGGGATTCCTATCATTTACATTCCATCTTTTCCGGTAATCTCCCAAGCAAGTCCATGGAACCGTACTGCTTTCCTTTTCCTCCAAATAGTAGCCGTTTAATTCCTCGACAATCGTCTGTGAACGACAGGAAATGTGCTGAAGATGTTGTAATTTTCAACACTTTGAGGTACGTAAGTCTGCTATATGGTAGATACAAAGGGTGGTCACGGTGTCCCTCTGTGTCGGCTCTCGATTCGGCATTTCGACGAACCTAACGGTTTCATTTGGAATGTCAATTTTCTCTCCCTCTGTGAGACAACATTTGCTGATACTTGGCTTAATCCTTAGTGAAGCATCGTTGATACACGGAAAAAGGTAGGAGGCAGGGACAACTGGGCGATATAAACTCAGCACGTTCACGATTCTCGTTTAAGGGATGTCACGGCAATCAACTCAAAGCTGGTTTGTTCGTCTGGTTCCTTCCGCCATCCGCCTTTTTCGCATCCCATGTTTCCGTTCCCCGCTTTCACCTCCTTTTCCTTCATTCGTTCTTTCTTCGGATTTGCGCATCCTTCAAAATCATATTATGACGTCCTATATTGTTTGTCCTTGCAGGCAGTAATTGCCGACAACCAAAGGTCCATATGCCCACCCGTTTATAAGCGCGGAACGGCGTTTGCTAACCGGATAGCAATGAAGAATAGCCCGGAAAGGCTACGGGCCAGTTACGCTCGAGGGACGAGAGAAAATGGAGGGGTAGCTCAGATTCTAGCGGACACTGGGCGCATCCGACAAAGAAACCCAATTTTTGAGCTGTCTCACCTTGGTTTCCGCGCTGTGTAAACCTGGAGATGATTCCACGCCTGAACATTTTTGTCATAGGCTTGAGTTATTGCTTGATCAGCCAAGTCCTGGATACGATCAAGAGGCATTCCACTTATTCGAGTAAGCGGTCCTTGCAAGAGAGTCAGTGCACTCTCTGAGAATGCGAGATTGTACCACTTCCCCACTAATTTGTCAGACTGGTCTTCTGGCCACTCGTTGAGTGGCAATCCTTCGACGTGTTGCCTGACATCGACAAATCCAGCCTCCTTCAAAGTGTGTTTCATGCTGCGGTTGAAAGCAATTGGTCTCATAGCCTTGTCCGTGGCAGCCTTGAGTTGCCGATACCACTCTGAGAGATGTTCGTTTGGCATGCCATTGACGGTGAACGGCTCAAAGTCAATTTCAACTTGCTCAAAGTAGCCGGTTCCGGGTTTTAAGTGTGCAAAGACCTTGCTGTATAAATTGGGCCAGTTCGAGACACTACCGCAACCCATTTGAAGATGGATAAAATCCCAGGAATTCTCGCCTAGCAGCCAGGGACTCTCGAAATCTCGTGGAGATTGAAATTCACAATTGGGAGGTCGATTGGCAGGTTGCATCGGGGCCAGGTCGATTCCAAGCACATATGCGTGAGGATATTTCTTTGCTATATCGATTGCCCAGATACCTATCATATTTTCCAAGCGAAGCACAGAACATAGGTCAGACTAGAATACGACCTCAAGAAAATGGCAACGGAGTTTGTGTAATAAGAGACGGATATAGAAGAAAGCGAAAGAGATCGGTCTCAAAAATGGTGCATTGGCCGGGCGCATTCCGGATCTCGAAATGTCTGAGAAAATAAGAAAAGAAAAGGGAAAAAAAGGAAAATGGAGAAAGGACGAAAGTGGAAGAAAGAAATTTCAGTACCTGTTCCGCAACCTAGATCGAGTATCCGGGGTCCCTGATCATGGACTGAAGTTGGATTGCGCATTATGCTTGGGGGGATTTTGACGTTAGGGCTGTGCAGTATCTCCTTACGGGCCACGCATAACACCCGGTGGAAGAGGTCTAACCGATCCTGCTCATTCTCGTCGCAAGGATACATGTACATTCCTCTTCGAAAGCCATGGTATAGCCTACCGTTCTCTTCGTAGCTCGGGTATGTGTCGACCTGGCTGCGTCTAGGTCAGCAACAGGCCCAGGACAAAAAGGGGGAGGTGTGGAAGCTGATGGTAATTGGTTCAGGGCACAGGCCCTCCGGCCTCGAAATTGAACAGCACAGCTCACGACAGCAGACAGCATTACACGAATTTAGAGGCCATGGAAAGAAGATGCCACGATCTCTACCTGATACCAAGAAGAGAAGAAAACCGCCGCAGCAGCAGAAGAGAAGCCAGGCTTGATACTCACACGTGATTGCCTAGTGCCCCGCTGTCCATATCAACATCTTCATCCTGATGCTGCTGTCTCCCTTGACCGGGCGACCTGGGAGACCTGCCAGTCACAACGGAAATATCCATTTATACGGGCTGGTGGTGAACGAGGTTGTTTGCGCGCGCGGACGAGCTATCTTGCTGGGTGGGGTCGGTCGTTGAAGAACCGACCCTCGATCCAGAGGCCACCAGGGGAGAAACCGTACAATCCACGATGGAGGCCGGTTGCACAGAAGTCTGGGAGGAGGAAAGGAGGAAGAAGAACAACAACGACGCCGTAAGGTCTGCTTTGGACGCGGGCTCGTGAGAGAAACGAACTCGCTATGGGGAAGGCCGTGGATTGGGCGGGAGTCGCGGTTTTTTTCACTGTTTGACCGGAGTTGGAGATTTGAAGAATTCCTGAAGAACCAACAAGGGAAAGAAAAAGGAACAAACAGGTAAGCCCAAAGAAGAAGAAGAAGAAGAAGAAGAAAAGATTTAAAAATAAAATAAAAAAAGGTAAGAAAATAAAGGAGATAAAAAGCCCACAATACAAGTCAGCTGACGATTAATACAGCTCTGCGATGATAAACTCCAGCTCGTTCTGGGGTGGGAACAGACGAGAGCCAGATGGAAGCAGAGAGAGGCCTTTTTCCTCTGTGGTCTCGTTTCTTTTTGTCTGCTGGGCGGCCGGGATGACGAGGGAGGAAGCTGGCGTGGAGGCTGAAGACGAGACAGGCGGATGCCAGACGGGGATTTGAGGATTTTGATCTGATTGAAAGATTCCCGACTCTTCTAGTCTCTGCTGGTGGCTGCGAGTCCCTCTGGTCCTTCTGGTTCTCCTGGATTCTGTGATGAGAAGGTGGACAGGCGATATCGAAAAGGATCGGAAGTATATACATACGTATATATGTATATATATATATATACAGACACACATATATATAAATATACTATGTAGATGCTGAGGACATATATATATATAGAGTTGTATATCAGGGCAGCGAGCAATTGATTGGGCAGCCGGGGTGAAAAAGCGGGAGCTTTTTGTTATTATTTTTTGCACTTTTCTGGCTCCCTGCTGGGGTTGAAGGGATGAAGTATTTTTTTCCCTCTCTTCTCGTTCGTTTGAAAAATTATGTCGATTAGTTTTTTTTTCCTTTTACCCTTTTGTATTTTTGTTTTTCCGTTTCTTGTTTGGCCTTTAAAGAGGGCTAAGGTTGACGGACAGCAGCAATGGACACAGCTAACATGCAGAAACCGAAACCTTCGATCCGAAAAGTGGGTGTGAAAATGACACTACTAGCTGTGGAGGTCGGAAAAAGGAAAAAAGGAGAAACCGGGAAACGCAGGACGTAAGTAATACTGAAGAATTGTGAGAGTGGGAAGAGGAGCAAGAGGCGGCAAGGGGTGTTGGGGAGCAGGATTGCGGTCGACTCAGTGGAAGATGTGGAAAAGGGGGAAGGTTTTTCGGGACTCCTGGATGCAGAGAAGTGCAAGTTGGGCCTAGAGGAGGAGAAAGAGGAGGATATATAAGTATCAGCATGGCTTGAAACCGCTTTGGATGGGAGATGTTTAAAAAAGAACCGAAAGAGCGAAAAGAAAAGAAGACGAAGAGGCAGAAAAAGAAAAGAAAGAGAAGCTGCTTACACTTTTTGATACCGGGTATGGTAAGGCCATCAACGGGGGACCTGGTAAAAAGGTAACGTCAACAGAGTTAGTTAAGCTGGGAAAAAGTAGTGTGAGAGAGGCAGAAGACGTAAGGAAAAGAAAAGAAAAGAAGACCATCCAGTCCCAACCTTATCAAGGCAAGGAATTAGCCTCAGACATTTTGGACAAGTTTGGGCCAAAAAAGGGTGAAGCGGAGGAGAGGGCAGAAAGGGTTGGATGAGAAGGGGCTGGGGAAAAAAAGGGGGGCCATCATCTCGATGAGATTCATGCTGGCTGCTGCTTCTGCTTCCCTCTTACGTTTTTTTTTATTTTTAACAAGAACTAAATCTTATTGATGTTTGGCAGGCAGGGATGCCTTAGGGACGCACAGATTGATCTTCGCCTGGCAGTTGATGATATTCACTTTCGTTTTTCTCTTCAATTTTATTTTGCAACTCCGTCCTGTGCGGCTTTTCCTCTCGTGCATGGTCGGTTGACAAAGTAGTGTAGCTCAATATTCACTATTGCGGCGCATCCTGAGGAAGCTATACTCTTCAAGAACACGGGCATGGGTGATAGAGCCTGAGTATCGATATGCATACATTTATCCCTTCGAGCACGGCGTACGGCGTAGCAGGGTCTCCACCACATGGTTCAACGCCTGATGGCCAATCGATCAATGTAGCGGGCACACAGCAGTGATCGGTCCTACTCTCACACAGACACAGGCATAGATATATCGTCAGAAATAATATATCTGTATCGTGATGTTATTATACCGACTTTCAGAGCGGGTCTTTTCTTTTCTTCTTCTCCGAGCGCCTCAAAGTATGTGCATCTTCATCTGTGCTCCCGTTTAGTTAAATTGTACTAAGATGGACTATCCCTTCATCCTTTTTCCCAGTCCCGTGGGACGAGGCACAAGCCTCGGAACGACGTGGCGAGGGAGCTGAGCAACATGGTGGACTCTGCTCTGAGACTCTTAAGCGGAAAAGACCCGTCTGACGTGTTACCCCGTCTGGGAGCCCCAACAGGAGATTGACTGGGGTCACAGGAGATATATTAGAAGATCGTGGCAGAGATAACGCCGTTCAGACCTCCACAGCCATTATTGTTGATCGTGGATGTGACCGTCAAGGGGGACGGGGACCTTGCATAAAAATGCTTGCCAGGCTCAGCAACCGGAAGTCTGATTCTGCTTTTGTGCCTGACAGATGGGTTAGTTAAATATGTTGGTTGGTTTATCCCCCCCTAGGATCCGGGATGATAAAAAATAAATAGAATAAAAGCCCTCAAGCGCCATGAGGTCAAAGAAAATTGCAAAAAAAAAAAAAAAAAAAAAAAAAAAAGGCAGAAAAATAAAGGAAAAGAAGTAGCACCGGGACATTCTAGCCTTTCACATGCCGAGATTTCTCGCGGGGCTTGCAAGAAAAGGAAGCGTTGTTAACGATCCCAGAGGAGTGGTTGTTGGCGGGAGAGCCATATATTGGGCGGAGTCGCATGCTGTGCCAGGACTTACCAAATAATTAATTCTTTCCCCTTCCCCAAGCCAACAAAAAAGTAAAAGAATTTCGGCTAGGCCGCTGAGGGAAGAAACTGCCTATCTACTCCGTAATGCTAATCAGGAATGACGCCAACAAGTTAGCTGGTTTTCGCTGTATATGTAATACGGGAGGAGTGCAGGGGTACGATATTACCGCTGGAGCCTTCAATACGGGTGATTACCTGCAGAAATATAGGAGGCGATCAGAGTTTCATACGTTTGGATGTTGATGCCGAGCGAAGAAGAAAAATTGACACGGCAAGTCTCGCGGTCTCACGACAGGAAACACGCAGGATATAGGGCTGCTGATAACTGGCTGCGCTCTAGGCGCTTTGTATGCACGCATGTCTGTCCTCTGTCCAGAGTGGAAGAAAGAATTATGTACTCCGTATGCAAGGTCGACAGGCGCTTACCCAGAAAGGGAGCCAGCGATATGGGGCCGATCGAAGACCTTGGAAAGAGGTGCATAATAACAAGAGAACGGACGAGAACAATAAAATAAAACCAATCGCGCGGTTGTTATGTGCGCTGCGCCGCTTTCTATTCACATGGGATAACGGCCAGCCGCCGAGAATGAAATATTATCTGGTTGTTATCTGGCTTTGTTTTTTCGGGGGTTTTCCTCCCCACGCTGGCAGGGGGTGGAAGGATGATTGTGTGCCCGAGTCACTTTGTTTTGCGTCTTTAGTCTTCTTTTTTTTTCCCAATCCTTGGTATCGTTCTTGTTAAGTCTCCTTTAAGATACCACCTTCATACATCATCGTCTTGTGTGGATCCATCGGGGTGTGGTGTATAACATGGATCAGGGTTGCAGCCAAACGATTTGCTGGGAGCAGCCGCTTGCCCGTCGCACTAGCCTCCGGTTTAGATGCAATCGGCGGTGAGGATAGTGAGAAATGTCCTCTAGTTGGAACATGGCAAGGCATGATGATATTTTGCGTTGGTCTGGCTCTGCTTATCCCGAGTCATACATCATCCCATTCCTTGGGACATCCTAGAGCGCGAAGATACGATGCCTGACAAAAGAGGACAGAAATAAACCGAGGGTGAAAGTAGAGCACTGGCACCCCCTTTCCTGTTTCCTGTTGTGTATGTTCCTTCTCGGCTGAGGCCGACTGCCTAGCCAAACCAGATGGTCACCAGCTGGGCCCGTGGTAAGGTTCGGTTTGGCGGAATCATACCATGGTTCATCACAAGCCGCCCAGTGGAGCCTTGCCGGAAGTCTAATACGAAGGAATAAGTGACAATTAGCTGTCTCTAAATCCGGTTAATTAGCCAAGTTAGCCATAAGTATGTAGATGAAGGGGGGAAAGACTGGATCTGTTGTTTTCCCCTGCGCATAGATATATTTGGCGAGATCAGGAGACAGAGAAATGGCGAAAAAGAAATAAAACCCTCCTCATAAAAAAGAAAAGAAAAGATCTCCTCTTCTCCACCTGCATGCGAGCGTATACTTGGCGCAGCGTCAACTGGGGATGGAAAGGGAGGGGGGGATTTGATATTAAGATGTCATTGTGTTGACGCTGGGGGCCCTGCAGAACGTGCATCCAGAGAGAACCAACCACCCTGGCCTTACAGCTTGGACCTGCACACTTTGCTGGTTAATGAGTATGCACATATATCACGGTTCCATGCGGGTAGGGAGGTGGAGTCTGGCTGCATTGATGAGTTGTAGCTTGTTAGCCCTTCAAGGCAAGTCGAAAGGCAAAATAAGGAAAGGAAAAAAGGCGGGAGACGACTGGGTGATTATTTTTGGCTCTGGTTTTGTATGGAGTTCTCCCTGGAGAATGGCATTAAAATATTCAAAACTAACATTTTAGCACGTCGAAGGGAGCCACCCGGTTGGCAGAAGAGTTGACTGGCACCTAGACTTTTCGAAGAGCAATTGTGGAATGTTCCGTAACAAGCGTCTGAGTCCTTCTCCTCAATCTTTTTGTCAGACACGCATAAAAGATTGGCTGCTCGGGGATGTACGGGGTGTTCCATACTGCTTTGCCTGAATCGCCGATACGAATGAGAAATATCTATAGTTGACTCGACATAACTATTTGAATACTCCGCCTGAAAGAGACCGGCAAGGATACTCGCCCATGTCTAGCAAGCCCAATATTAGTGTCTCGTACAAAGTAATAGCAAAAGACTACAAACCTACTCCGTACAACGTCGTAAATTCCCAACTCCTTGCCAGAGCAAGCTGAGAAGATGCGGTTAACGGGAATTATCAGCGGTCCACCTCTCCGAGTGACCTCATAGTTACGAATCTTCCTTTCTGGCCATGATGTCGTTGCCGTTTTTCCTAGTCTCTCCTGTCGCCCTGCCCCATACAATGCGCATTAGCCCATGCATGCGGGTAAATGCATGGTGCGAGATCAGGTCGCATCAAGAAAATGCTCTCAACTGAGCTTTTCATCAAATCAACTTGCTCTGACTGCAAATGCACCTAGAAAATCCTCCTTTAACGGGGATTAATCGCCACGTAGGGCGAGCGATAGATCAGCCCGTAAATAAATTCAGGCACCGGTTTAATTTGCAGTTGTATTTCTATTTTCAGATTTCATCCTCCCTCCTTTATTTTCACTGTGTCAATTAGTGAAATTAGTTATTTGTTTTTCACATTTTGACCAAGCCTTAACCGCTTTGATAGCCTGCGGCGCAGCAACGGTGGGCAAGAGGCGAGGCAAAAAAATGTGCGGTTCAAGGCGTCGTCAGACTGGTTGACAACGGAGGAGGGGATGTTACTTTTGCTTCTGCTACTAGTCCTTTTCTGTTTTTCTTGGAAGTGTCGCATTGAATAGTTGCTGGTGGGACAAGAGCCAGCTTCAGTAGTGGTGAGCTAAGTCTTATTAATGCGATCTATCAGAACAATTGTAGCCAAGTAGCCAATGGAATCCGTTCAGGTTTAGCCAGACAGGACGAGGATGAGATATTCCCCGAACATACAAGGTTACAAGGTCCAGAAGAGGGTCCGTACCGTGGGGGGATCCCCAGGAAGCTGCAGTCGTTCGTTCGTTCAATCCTTAGTTCGTTCGCTTTAGCAGCCGAGCTCCAGGTAGAACCGATAACTTCTTGTTTGGCCTTGTCGGCCAAATGGAATCCTATGTGTTACCAGTGCGCTCAGTGCGTTTTATCTGTAGGTCAACCAGCTTCTCCATCTCGCTTAGCCATTTCTGCTCAAATTGCTCCCCAGAAAATCGTTGTGCAGACTTCCTCGCTCTTAGTCTCATAGCAAGTTTCTCTGCTTCCGGCAGGGCCAATGCAGCCTCAAACGCAGCTGCGAACTCAACTTCAGTCGTAGCATGAAAGCCAGTGGCCCCTTCGTCATCCAAGTCTACAACAATATCTCGCTTTGGCCCTCCGGAGTCATGCACAACGCTGATTAGGCCAGCAGCCTGGTACTCTACCACCCCAATACCAAAGTGCTCGTTCCACATAGCATTGACGCCAATGGATGCCTTTCTAAGGTTTTCTATGACAGTCGGCCAATTGGCGTCACAGAGGAAAGTAGTGTTGTCACGGATTCGTAATTCGTGAGCTAAGAGGCGTAGATTGTATATATGGGTTTCATCCGATGTCTGGTGGCGGACTGAGCCGATAAGGATGAGCTGAGGCGATTCGGAGGGACCGTCACCGTCACAGCTAGCTTTGGGGTCCTTGGCCCTTCTTCTCTGAGCTGTTGCATTGTATTCCTTTAAGAACCGCGCAAACGCATGTAGGATGAGAGAATGATTCTTCTCAGGGCGAAACTGAGCTATGTAAAGAATGATAGGCTGTCTGACTTCTCGCTCGCTTCTGAGGTCAATTTTTATTGACTCTAGTTCGGATACTGCAACAGGAGGAAAAACTACGCTGGCAGGTTGGTATTGATTTCCACGTTTTTGCCTTGACGGTAGCCAAAGTTGTTGGATGTGTTCAGATGTCCAGGTTGAATTGCACATAACAACGTCAATTGTCGATCCTACCCAACCGTATAGTCGCGCAAACGCGTGCCAGTACCGTTTTTTGAGAATTCCTTTCCACCCTTTCCCCGTGCCTGAATTCAGACCTTTGGAGCCTGATGCGTCATCTAGGGATTCTAACATGTCAGTTGATATAGTAGGGTAATGCACGTACGACCCTGTGGGAACTTTGGGGAAAAGATAATGACATAGCGCCGAGGCAAAAGCATAGCCCATTGTATCAATGAATATATCGGGAACGATAAGAGTAAACGCATCGTGTGCGAGGATCAGCGAGCCTATCGATTGTCCAAGGAGGGTGAAATGAGGCCATGTGCTACTTAAAACGTATCTTCGCATAGATAGGTATAGGAACACGACCGTAGGTGGATGTAGCTGAATATTGAACCGTCTCTATTTACTAGTAAGCTGATTGACCAGATGTCTTCGTGAGATTTTGGTGCCCTACCTCTATGTTTCTCAACATTGTAGCTTTATCCACGTCGTGATCGCCTGTGTATACAACACAAATTGCCTTCGGCCATCTTTTTTGAACAGCATCTACAGCTGCCCAAAGTACTCTTTCACCACCTCCTCCAGCGTTGCTGCATGATATGTGTCAGCTATTTATCATATTACTCCGCAGATGCGGGGGAGATGTGCGTATCTCACCAGAACGGGTGAAAGAACCCCACTATACCGGCCCAGTCACTGCAATTTCTTCCATTACCACTGGACACTGGTGAGCTCCCTCCGCCATCTCCTCCATCTTTGTCAACCGTCTCCCAATCTTCCTCTTCTACCTTCTGGCCAGCTGTTGGTCTGGCCTTCCGCGATCTGTAATCTTCCTCCTCGACACGCACACGAGCTCGTATCAGCGCCCTTCTAGCTTCTGACTTTTTCTGGTTGAGGTATCCTAGCCCCTGAAGGACTGCTCGCACGGCATAGCCGGGTAAGGAAGGCGTGAAAATGACGAAGGAGACCAATACCACCACGGCTGCAACTACTGCTGACGCGGGGGAAAGCATTGTAACGCAAAAAGTGCGAACTCAGCTGGATGCTAGGAATAATAACCGACTTTGGCTATCAATCCATATCCAAATATTGAAATATTAAAATGATGAGCGAGCTGCCTCTATCAAGATAGCTTTTCTATAAAGATTTAACTTGACCTTCTATCAAAGGCGAGGTTACTTGTTCTAGTTGCTTTATCAGACTTGGATGACTCAGCAAGTTGTGCCTGTCGGATAAATGAAATCTCCGGATAGCTCAGCGACCTTATGTTTGCACTATTTGTCTTGAAGAGCTTCTCGATCCAAAAGGAAACGCGAGAGACGTTTAAGGCACAGCTTTTTGACTCTTCACACTGGATGTACATACTCCTTGCTGGCTTCTAGAGGGGTCAATTGCGGACTCCCGCTCATTCATCTTTGATTGTCATTACCTAGCCCTACAAGATGTCACTCAGGCGGCCTCATCTTGGGTCTCTAACGCTACGTCCATTAGGATACAATCGAGCTTCAATCGTGGCACCCTCCAAACGAAAGTTTCACGCGTCGAATCCAAACCGAATGATAGATACCTCTGTCCTTGTTGCGCATGATGTTATACAGGGATTCCATTCTATTACTGGCCTGCCTTGGGTGCTATCAATTCCGCTTACTGCCATTACAGTGCGGTGCTGCGTTGCTTTGCCGCTTCAAGTCTGGTCACTTTTAAAAGCTCGGCAATTGCAGAATTTGAACCCGCTTCTCATTACTTGGAGCAGGATATGTCAGAAAAAAGCCATGGACAAAGCCGTCATAGAGGGTCGACACGTCTTTCCAAAGGCAGTAGAGCTTTCCTGGCAACAGGACTTCAAGCTGAAGAGGAAGGAGCTTTATAAGAGGTGGAAGATTCGTCCTTGGGCAAGCTATGCGAGCTTTCTGCAACTTCCCATATGGCTTGCTATGATGGAAAGCTTGAGAAGGATGGTTGGAATGTCAGGAGGTCTTTTATCTATCATTCAATCGTGGATCGAATCAAAAGCAGATGCACAACCAGTTATACAGGTCGAACCGTCCATGGCAGCTGAAGGCGCCCTTTGGTTCCCGGACCTCCTCATGGCTGATCCTACACATGCGCTTCCTATCATACTTGCGGCCACAATGTTCACCAATGTCACTTGGGGCTGGAAAGTTAAATCTGCGGCTGAAATCTCCAAGATGCGGCGAAGTGAAGCAATTCGAGAAAGGGCATTCAAAATCCTAAAGAGGATCTTGCAAGGACTATCTATATGGCTGGCACCAGTTATGATCTATTCTGGTGCCCCGGCCGGCCTGTTGATATACTGGATTTCAAGTTCTACCTTTGCAACTGCACAGACCCAAATAGTGCGCAGGGTTATACGAACGAAGGCGCCGCCCGCACCTTGCCGTGAAAGGAGTGTAGGGAGCATCCATGATAAGTCTTCTACAGCATTCAAATGAAACAAGACAAGTCAATAATGCCCTACTATTATACCCGAAAGTTAGCTTCCTGGTTTGTGGCTACGCCAGCCCTCGAAGTTCTCCAAGAAGTACCCTTTCGTGGTCTGATTTTCATTCTAAGAGAGCAATAGAGACGAAAAGATTACGACTGAGCACCAGTGATTGCCTGTGGGTGATAGTAGTATTGAAGTATCCAGCATTCTGAAGACAGAGGGTTCATCTACCAAATGCATCGCAAAACTCTTCTTCTTAATGCCTGCTTTTTGTCTGAGCTTTGATGAAAAGTGCACGTATGACCTGTTGTCCTCGAAGGAAGCAGGGGATACTGGGGAGAGAGCTTTCGATCCATATAAATACTAGCACTGAAAGTCATGCTTAGAACATGGCGTTGGTAACTGATGCCTTTTCATCCAGTAATTTGTCCTACATGGCTATCATCAACCACCTTCAAGTTGGGTGTCAAAATCTATGGAACTGAACTGCAGCAAAACCGACATCCAAAAGTGCTGAGCGAAAAACAACAATGGGGGATTGATAGGTGGTATTTCATTCAAGGAACATGAGAAGTTCAATTATGAAAACGGGATTTGGAATTTGCGACGGCTCTGACAACAAACATACACCTGTACAACATAGCAGAAATGCAAGCCTAGAGAGGCAAATGAAATTTATAGAACATTATAACTTAGGGGGTATCTTGTGTACTGAAGCACTGGCATCCTGGTTCACGCTGACCGAACCATTGTTTTCACCTTCACCGAAGAAGATGACTTCAACGGTTAGGTCATCACTAAAAATAACGTGTTAGAATTTACTAGTCAAATAAGTAGTGATTTAAACATACCGATATCTTCTGGCGTAGGGGCTAGGAAGGGTAAGAAGAGCGCAAACTAGTTCCCTGTTCTTGCCTCCCAGAGCATTTCGAATCAGATGAGTAGCCGCATTCTTGTCCTCTACCACGAAACGGCTAGTATCCTGGGGAATCTCGTATTGAACTTGGCGGATGGGCAACCTCTGGCCGGATTGTTTTTCCTTCGACTCCATCTCGACAGGCAAAGATCCGTTGCTGCTGAACCAGCTCTTCATCCAGTTTCCCATTCCATTCTGTCCACCGGATTTTTGATGTTCAATCCACTGTCCGACTAAACCAACAGCCTCTTCATTACTTAGCATTTCCCATAAGCCGTCTGTGGCCAGTACCAAAAAGTCGCCTTTAGAGGGGTCAACTTTGGTGGTTGTGATAACTGGTTCTGCAGTAACATATGGGGGTGACTTTAAGAGCTGGTTGGGGGTCCGCCCAAAGAAGTGCCGTTTGATTTTCTCTTGTGTCTTTCGCTGCCACTTATATGCGGCATCGCCAAAGGCGCGACTGGGTTCGAGACCACCAAGGATTCTTCCATTGCGGACGACGTTGTCTTCCCCAGGGTGTTCAGCACGCAGCCGTTTAGCTTCGGATTCTGTTCCTCCGGTTTGGTCCTCAGATAGTGGTATTGCTGACCATTTACCGCTTGGCGATCGGCGCCCCAGAACAGCCCGAGAGTCACCAGTGCAGGCAACACGTACCAACTTTGACCTGCTGTCATAGAATGCAAGAAGGGCACATGACCCAGAAAGAGCCGGGGCAAGAAGTTCAGCCGCAACGGTTTTGGAATTAGCCTTGACAACTTTTTCCACGCTTTCTATCACAATTTCATGATCGAGTCGCAGAAATCCTGTCTTTATAGCCGCATCAATCGCTTCTGGACTGGGGAAGGGAAAAGCTGGGTTAGTAGCCGCCGACTTGTACGTGGCATTAAGTTCGCGAGCAACATAAGAAATCAGGGTTTGTCTGAGTTTCGCAGAAGTGGTCCATCCACTGTACAACAGTCAGTCATATTTTCGCCCACGGAAAAAATGGGGAAGAGAGAGCCTCACGCATGACCATCAAAGACACCCCAGAAGTTCCAGTCGCTTGTGGGAGCCCCATTCTCCGTTGCTGCAACAGAACTCGGTACTTCTACCACCTTTTCGGCATGGTCGTCTTCAATAGGATCGTTGCTAGGAAGCTGAACTACATCGTAACGAACAACACCAGATCCACGTCCAATAAAATATGATTCCTCGTTTCGTCGAAGTCGTTCTGTGGCTTGCTCGGGCGTAAGCATCCCTACGACTCTTTCTCCAGAATTATCTGTTCGTTTCGAGACTGGTTGATCAACACTGGTAGTTGTATAGAAATTATCATTTTCCACCTGGACCCCCGAGGTTGATGTTGAGGTTAATGCTGCATTTGACACAGTATGAAGAGAACTGGATATCGTCGTGCTGGTTCCAGAGACAGCGCTGGATTCAGATCCTCCGGTATAGGCATACCACGCTCCCGTGGCTACGAGACTCGAAGCAAAAGCCAAAGACAGGTTTCTAAAGATCATGGAGGACTGGAGAATGACGGTATGGCGCGGCACAGTGGTTCTCGACGTTGCAAGCCCTCGTAGGCCTAAATCATGATATCGGGGCTGGTGGAGTGCGTTGACTGGTCTAAAGCATGGCCTTCGCAGTGGGTACCGGCGCGCGGTTCGGAAAGCGTGGGCAACTACTCGACGCATCTGAGCATGAGATATTGTTCTGTAGGGTGAAGATAGCAACTGCGGTGGTTGCTTGACGTTTTATTTCTCTCGCTCCCTTCTCTGCTTCTCTTCTCTTGTTTCACTGATGATAAGTTGTTTATGATATGTTCAAGGATGTTTAAAGTTACCGGTCCCGTGATGGTGATGAAATAATCAAGATGACTAACCGGATTTGTGTTCCGCCAAAAGCGCCCTTGGCCTTACTTATTGTAAAGCAAAAGAACATTCGTATCCATCCAAGCCAGTCTTTTTTTCATATAATTCTGTACGGGCTAGAGAGATAACGAAAATAGTTGTGGGAGAACGAAAAGAAAAATTAATATCAAGTGATAATGTCGTCTAGGGCGCTACGAAAATTACAAAAACAAAAAGAAGCCCAGAAAGTTTCAGAGGTTCAAAATGACTCGGAGGACAGCGAACCAGATATCCCAGTTTCGCGGCCAAAGATCAATGCTTTTGATCTACTAGGTGACCAAGATGAGGACGATGATAATCATGATAATGCGCATGAGTCTGAGACGGAAAAGCCCGTTACTGAAGAGGACCATAAGCCTGTCTCGCCGTTGGAGGCCCCAAAGTCTACCAGCGGCAACAAGAAAAAGAAAAAGAAGAGTAAAAAGCAACAGGCAAAGAAAACTACAGAGCCAGCAGAAGCAAATACCCCAGGCTCCAAATCCCCGGAGGTTGATGAAATAGACCTGGCTCTCGAAGCTCTAGCTCTTAAGCACCCTCCGTCATCAGAGGACCAAAATGCCAAACCCGAAGGGGATCTTCATGACTCTTATGAACAGAGTTTATGCGCTCTCTTAGAAATAGACGCCAAAAAGCTCGTTGCGATGAATGAAATGAAAAGACTCTTTGGAAATGCTGCTGTGGAAAACCGGACCTCTGAAAGCCCGTCCGGAAATAGGAGACGGGAGCGAAACAGACGTGCCCTGGATTTAGGGGCCGCGTTGACAGGAAGATATAGCCCTGCGAGCAGAGGCCAGGACCTCTCGGGGGTAGCACTGCGTAAGAATGTGCTTATGCAGGGCAAGGCTGAGTGGCCAAAGGCGACGAGTGGTGGGTTGGCGATGGAAATTGTCCAGAAATCCCCTATGGGAGCTGTTGAATACGAGATAGTTCATAATACCGCTTATAAGGATGTCCAGCGTCAGTTTGAGATGTGCGTGGAATCCATGCAACCAGAAAGAATGATCGAGTTGCTTCAATATAATCGTGAGTGTTTTTAATTTCCTTTTTTTATTGTCTTGCTGCAAGTGCTTACATGTTCTAAGCGTATCATATATCAACACTGCTACAGGTTTCTGAAATTGCAAAGCATCAAGGAGATCATGCTGTATCAGCCGATCTCTTAGAACGAGCATTATTTAATATTGGACGTTCGGCCCAGTCTTCTTTCGGCAACTCTCTAAAAGAGGGAAAAGCTAGGCTTGATTTCACGATAAAGGAGAATCGTGAGGTATGGCTTGCGGGCTGGAGGTATATTATTAATTTGGGAATGAAGGGTACCTGGAAAACAGCGTATGAGTGGACGAAGTTCCTCCTAAGCCTCGACCCAGATGACCCGTACTGCTTATGCCTGATTATTGACCATATTGCTATACGAGCAAGGGAACTAGAGCATTTTGTTGACTTGTGCCTACACCCTAGCTTCAAGAAGCGGTGGCATTCGTTCCCTAATATCCAGTGTTCCCTCAGCCTAGCATACATGTATTTGAAGAAACCAAAGGAGTGCAGAGAGATCCTGCATTCAGCTATGGCCCAATACCCCTGGATCTTCTGCCGTCTCACGCAGGAATTAAACGTATCTCCCGTGCCAACGGCGATCTGGGGCGCACAAGCACCTGACGCGGCCCATGAACTGCTCTGTGAACTCTACATAGCTAGAGCCAAGGATATATGGAACACACCCGAGGCCACTTCCCTTTTGGTAGAAATTGCTGATTCTATCGCGGCACCTGAACAAGCTCCCAAAGCACCAGAGATATCACAGAATGTGGCACGGCATGTGATACTATCAGACATATCAGCTGTGACGACGCACCTCCCACGCCACTTCACCGTCCGACAAATATCAGCTTCGGACCCCTTACCACCAAATGAAGTTGGATTGTCTAACGTTCACGCAGCATCCATGCTGGACGAAGTGCTTCAACTGTTCGGCGCAAATGAGCCGGCCCACGCTCAGACTGGGCGCCATAGCCATAGACATGTGGATGACGACGAAGACACTGACTCAGCGGAAGAATTGGACATGGCTGGTGTGTATCTTCCTCCATCCCAGGCCCCGGAGTGGCTTTTAGCCGAAGGCGCAGACGAGCTCGCGGAATTCTTTCTTGTCAACGGTGTGGATCCGGGAAATTGGGAGGAGGGAGTTGACATGCTGCCTGTCCAGCGATGGGTGAGGAATCTCCAGCATCTAGACAGGCAGGAATGGCACCGAATCATCTCCACTGTCGCCGCAGGGTTGGGCTCCTCAGCAGAGATGATTGAGATGGTACTGCGTGAGGAACTAGAACGGCAGATCAGCGCCAGCTAATGGTATGTACTGCCGGCTGTACCGATAATTCCCATGTGGAGGTACTCTGTTTGATAGCGCACCGTGTCATGTCTAAGACAAGCTGAATAAAATAACACTAAAACAGCGAAGCATCGCCAAGCTGGCGCCATTTTGATGACGCATCAAGACAGAAACTTATTTTCCCTTTCTTTTCTTTTTCGCATTCGCTCATTAATTAGGTAGCTATCCAAGCCCTTATCGGCCAGTAGTGGCGCTATAGCCGATGGGAGAAGACCCATTAGTGAATCATTTTCATGCTCGCTACTTTTGGTTTATTTCTCACGGGAATGCCAGGGGTGCTCAGGATTCATATAGACTGCGTCCTCGAAAGTGTAGCAAGCGGTAACTAACTAGTTGGGCAGCTAGCTTGCTTCCAAGGTTGTTTGCCTACTTGCAGCGTCGACAGAACAGAGGAAAGGGAAAAATGAGCGTCCTCCTAACGTATCGAGAGGCAGCTTCGGGGATCGTGGGCTCGATATCTCTTGCTTGCTGGATATTTCTCCTGGTATTTCACCCTCTCAGTTTATTTATTTATTCCCCACGGTATGCCCAAGCTAACATGTGAAGGTCCCCCAATTGATCGAGAACTACAAGAATGGCAATGCCAGAGCTATATCCTTCGCCTTTATCCTCGTCTGGTTTATAGGAGACATTGCAAACCTGATTGGAGCTTTATGGGCCAAGTTGGTCCCCGTGGCGGTTGCCATAGCCGTATACTTTTGCATTGCGGACGGAGTCTTAATATGCCAGTGCATATACTACAACGAGAAAGCCTCACGGCAGCTGAAGAGACCGGTTTCGAGTCATGCAGAGCATAATGAGGAAGGTGATGATAGAGCCCACGTTCCTCAGCCAACGACGCCGCTGTTAAGCCGACGGATGAGCGAGAATCTAGGGCAGAGCGGCCGGAGAGGGCCCGATGGCAACTTGTCCAACCACGACCCGTTGGCGAAGATGCTGGAAGAGGATGAGCCAGAGAGCACCTGGGCTAAGAATATACTGAGTTTATTGGGTATTTGCACTGCCGGTGCTGCTGGCTGGGTGATCGCCTGGAAGACGGGGGCATGGCAACCGACCCCTACCCAGCCGATCAAAGGTCCAGGTGAGATGGCTGTGGGAGCCCAGATCTTTGGGTATCTCAGCGCATTGTGCTATCTAGGGTAAGATTGCCGCCTCTATGCCAATGCTATATTGGTGTTAACCTTTGAATAGCGCTCGGATTCCACAGATTGTCAAGAATCACAGAGAACGGTCATGCAAAGGTAAACATCTATCCATATCGAACATTAACGTGAAAGAGGTTGATTTGAACTGACCGTCAGAGCAGGGCTCTCCCTTTTATTCTTCGTTTTTTCTTTACTTGGCAACGCTACGTATGGAGCAGGGGTAAGTCGCTCTCCATGCTTCTATTTAGCCAAACTATGCTTGATATTGACTGCCAAACTAGATTTTATTTCACTCTACGGAACGAGCGTACATTTTGACAAACCTACCGTGGCTCCTAGGGTCGCTGGGCACAATTATTGAAGATATTGTCATCTTCATCCAGTTCCGAATATACGCAACTCGGGAAGCGCCGTCTTTGGCAGCAGCCTAGCTTGCAGTACAAAATATTGTTATTATCCCTTCCTCTTCCTGCTGCTCTTGCATTATTCCCCGAGATCGAGAGACAGTGCGTGAAACAAAACGAAGTAAAGTCATCCAAGGCGATGGCGCACAATTCACATTTCTTTTTTAGATTAATCTGGCAGCTGGGAAATGTTTTTTTTCATCACGACATGACATGGTAAAAAAAAGGATGAAAGGGTAATGTCTCTCATTCAGAAGGTATTTGCGCCACCCAGTGACTGGTTTCTATTAAAAGATTCCGACCCGGCAGTAGGTAGCACGACCGTTTCCGCAAGCGCCTCGTGTTGTGCATCCATCTTTTATGAATATGGGTACAAGAGAAAAAAAGATTCGTAAGAAGGCGTTTAATCGAAAAGACCGAAACCCATGTCCTCGTCGGACTCTTCGGCCTCTGTAAGTCGCAGTAAAAGTACTCATTAGTCACAAGTTGCTTATAAAAATGTTGCATCGACCCCCTTTTAAACCAAAAGAGAGATATTGGAATTTCACGTACCCTCGGCCTTCTCTTCCTCAGCTGGAGCAGCCTCAGCGGCGGCAGCACCGCCGGCAGCAGGAGCACCGCCAGCAGCTGGGGCACCACCACCAGAGCCAACGTTGACTAGGAGGTCCTTCAAGTTCTTGCCATCGAGAGCCTTAATTCAACGGAGAAAACGTTCCAATTAGCACAAATTGACCCAAGCAGGCTCCTGCGTAAGCCCTGATATCTGTATCAAATAGAATATACCTTGGCGAAGAGGGAGGTCCAGATGGGCTCAACATCGGTCACACCAGCGGCCTTGATGAGGGTTTGGAGCTTGTCGGACTATAGAGAAGATACGCCGTCAGCTCTGATTCTGATTTATTTCCCCCCGGTATTATCAATTTGACCTGCGGACGCGCGCATAATCAAGCATTGACGAGCAAAAGTTGGAATGGCAGAGATCCAGGGATTGCGCTCACAGTGATCTCGATGTCCTCATCGGCGAGGATGAGGGCGGCGTAGGAAACGGCGAGCTCGGCGGAAGACATTGTGCAGAGGCGTATGCAAATCTTCTCTGAGGTGTGAGATGAGAGAGGGACGGACGTTGCAAGTTGAGAGTCGTTCGGTGCGAGCGAGAACTTGAACTTCGTCTTTCGATCATTAAACACTTTTTTTGTGTGCAAAAAGTTAGCTCGCTTACCAAGTCACGGGACCTGACCTTGATACTTGGTTCGTGCGTCAAAGCAAAGTCACGTGTTAAACCCCGCGAGGATCGGATGCAAACAGGGCAAACACACCAAACACAACGTCAAGGTTGCAAACATGCCCATCGCGGCCCCGCCAGGAAAGAAGAAAAGAAAAGGCGACACTACAGCCATTTGCTGCTATGCATACAAGTTCTATATGACACCGATACATGCCACGGAAGATCAGGCATAAAGCAGCCATCAGAGGAGCTAGAGGACCATCTAGTGTAGCCGAAAGACAGCCCCGGGTACTGAGAAACGCGGCAAGCAGCAGAACATGGCAGATTCCCCCGCCGTCTTTGCCCCGGTTGAGCCGGCAGAGCGGCCTATACTCGAGCGCCTCGTAGCCATACGGGACGGCCTGGTGCTTATCAAACAGGACAAATCTACCTATGTCAAGTCTCATGATGTTATTCCTTTCTACGATCAGGCGATCGAGCAGGTACAAATACTGAACCAGCATCGAGCAGGCCGGAAGGTGGCTCAAAACAGAGGTAGGCAACTGGCCTATGCGTTTTGGCAGGTTCTACTTTATATCACCATTTAGTGAAAACTTTTTGTTCAAGAAGGTTGCTAATGTGTCTATAGTTGACAATGTTTTGGATGATTGCTTCCAATTAATTTCTTTATTGTTTCTTACTGTTGGGAAGAACAACGAGGCACCGGCTGTGTACGTATATCCCCCCAAGCTCACTTCCAATCAGTTTAGTTTACTAAAGATTTACCCTATTTTCTAGATATTCCATGGTCTCTACTGTCAAGGTAATACTCTGAGAAATGCTCTCTGTTAATCTATCTTGCTAACTATTTACCCAGCGGTTACTGGACCACCTCAAAGAGGCCGCATTCTTCAGCCAGAAAGACCTTGATTCGATAAGTGGAACTCTCGATGGCGTGGAAAGCAACATACGCCGTGGCAAGGATACATACTCACCTCACCTGCTCACGCTTCTCGAAACCAGACTGGAGACCTGCCGCTCTCAATTGGCAGAATTACAACACGACCTCTCCTTGCTTTCCTCTGAGCTCGCTCCAACCCACGAAATCCTAGTGTCTATATTAAGATCTACGTCTGCAGCAAACACAAGGTCAAAAGTAGGCAGCTGTACCTTACCCCACCGAATCGCGGATGGTTTTGTGGTTGAATGCATGCTGACGTCATGACCTAGTTTTCTGCCTCTGAAGTGCTCGGTTTTAAAGACCAGCTGAATGCAATCAAATCTAGGATGGTGGATGGCAACTTTGTTGCTGCTGATGGATCGATTCCTGCTGGCCAAAAGATAGTGAAGGACTTGCTAGAAAAGTGTTTCAGATGGTCCGATATCGTTCTTGAGCGGTAAGAATCCCCGCACCTCTCCCCCCTATCATCAGGTATTTTATTAGCTAATGCCATGAACAGACAAGGACAAGTCAACGAAGCCTTCCTAGATTACTATAACCAACTCATTGATATCAGAAACCAGCTTGACCGGCTGTCCATGACCCACGCGTGGTCGCTACGTGAATCAGACCTCTACATGTACCAGAGGAAACTCAACAAGATTGATGAATGCCGAGTGGATGGTAACTTTTTGGATGCATCTGGGAAGCCAGCCGATTTGCATGCACAAAGAGTAAGCACCTTACTTTACACCATGGTTATTTTGATAGATGTTTCAAACTAATAAGGTTATTCAGACTCTTCTTTATCTAATACGACGGAGCTACGCGTTAATATATGGCCTTCTAGTTTCTTCTGAGCCAGTATCAGAAGCGTTGCTACCAATATATAATCAACTACAAACACTGAGAAAGTGTTTAATAGAAGTTAAGGAATCAGGAGGTGTATCGAGTGCCAGAGAGCTTTACCCATACAGTATGAAGGTGAGCCAGGCTCTGAGGGCTTATCATCTTTACACTGCAATAGGAACACACGCTAATTTGTCATAGCTTAATTCAATCGATAATATGCGAGTTGACGGGAAGTTTTATATTGGTTCGGATCTTCCTGAGGGCCAAGGGGGCGTTAATGAGCTACTTGCAGAATGTTATGACCTTTGTTATGACCTACGCGCGGATGCCGAAGACTTAGCTTCGCCCCAGCCATGATTGAACATACTCTTGCCTCCACAGCAACACTATCAGCTACAGTTCCAGCAGGATAACATTTGCTATTCCTTACTAGGCGTTTGGCTACGAGTTTATATGAACTTTTCCATGTCTCATTCCCTGCCTTGTACGATGACCATTTTTTCTCACTCGCGTTTTAATATTGAAGAGCGCTTGGAACGTGTTTTGCAGAGTTTCCCAGGTCGCCCCGGGAGTCAGCCGCACCCGGATGTCCCCAACCTATGCACACCCTTTGTCATCCTCATAGACATACAAAGGGTGTTTTGGTCACCTTGCTTGTTGGAACGATCGACACATAAATTAATCCAAAAAGTTTTTGAAAGCTCATGAAAAAAAGGCCGATGTCGGGATTAGACTTTTAGCCACCTCGAGCCAATGACGTGCGAGATAAAAAAGAAAACCCCGAGGTCATATAAGTTGGAGGTTTTTTTTACTCATCGACGAGAAGAACATTTTAACCGTTTGGTAAACATAGGAGGCCATTATGGCGATGCAGATTCTTCGCCGGCGTTTTACCGCTGGGTCAACGGTAAGTTTGTCGTTGAACTGCTTTCTCTCCTGTTGAAAGAAGCTATCTTCTAACCCTGCAAGCATTACTAGCTCACACGATCGCCTTTCAGGCGCGCTGCGCAGTTTCGTGGCCTGGCAACAGTGACATCCTCATCCGCACCTCTATCTCGTTCTCCTCCGTATCCTAAGATCCTTAGCAAGCTAAACGAAGTTAGAAGGATACTAGGCGCATCAAGGCCGTTGACCCTCGCTGAAAAGAATCTATATTCCCACCTTGACAATGTCGAAGAGTCATTACTCACGGATACGCAGAATGGCACGCAGATTCGAGGGCGAGCCAACTTGAAGCTTAAGCCCGACAGGGTTGCAATGCAGGATGCATCGGCCCAGATGGCTCTTCTGCAGTTTATGTCCTGTGGCCTTCCATCCACAGCTGTCCCAGCTAGCATCCATTGCGACCACATGATTGTTGGAGAGAAAGGAGCCGATGTCGACCTTCCAGCATCCGTCAAGGGGAATAAAGAGGTTTTTGACTTTCTTGAGTCTGCTGCGAAGAAGTATGGAATTGAGTTCTGGCCTCCAGGCGCTGGAATCATCCATCAGACTGTCCTGGAAAATTACGCCGCGCCAGGGTTGTTGATGCTTGGTACTGACAGCCACACTCCTAACGGTGGTGGTTTGGGTGCCATTGCCATCGGCGTAGGTGGCGCAGATGCTGTTGATGCCCTCGTGGATGCCCCCTGGGAGCTTAAGGCCCCCAAGATTCTGGGTGTCCGCCTCGAAGGTGCACTCAATGGCTGGGCATCTCCAAAGGACATTATTCTCCATTTGGCTGGTAAGCTTACTGTACGTGGTGGAACTGGGTTCATCATCGAATATCATGGCCCGGGAGTTGAAACACTGAGCTGTACTGGCTTAGCTACCATTTGTAACATGGGTGCTGAAGTTGGTGCCACGACTTCACTGTTCCCATTCGCACCTAGCATGATACCATACCTGCAAGCTACTAATCGGTCAGAAATTGCCAAGTCTGCTTCAGAAATCGCATCTTCTGGACCGCAAAACTTGCTTCGAGCTGACCCGGATGCCGAGTACGATCAGCTCATTACAATTGATCTCTCTACTCTCGAACCACATATCAACGGCCCATTCACCCCAGACCTTTCCGTCCCTTTGTCAGCTTTTGCTGATACAGTTCGCGAAAAGAAATGGCCTGAGACATTTGGTGCCGGTTTGATTGGAAGCTGTACTAACAGCTCTTACCAAGATATGACTCGCTCTGAGGACCTCGTCAAGCAGGCTTCTGCAGCTGGCCTCCGACCAAAGGCTGATTTTTTTATCACCCCTGGAAGTGAGCAGATCCGAGCAACCTTGGAGCGTGACCAGACGCTGTCTACATTTTCATCCGCTGGAGGCACCGTCCTTGCAAATGCATGCGGACCGTGTATCGGGCAATGGAAGCGAACCGACGGGGTGAAGAAGGGCGAGTCGAATGCTATCCTCACCTCATATAACCGGAACTTTCGTGGCCGAAATGATGGTAACACCGCGACGATGAACTTCCTTGCCTCTCCTGAGATTGTCACAGCTATGTCATATGCTGGGTCAACCACCTTTAACCCAATGACCGACTCTCTTACAACCCCGAGCGGGGAATCGTTTAAGTTCACCGCTCCAGTTGGATCCGACCTTCCTTCCGCTGGGTTTGCAACTGGCAACCCAGACTTCCAACCTTCTGCTGGTGTCCCGGATCCATCTGCCGAGGTCGTAGTTTCGCCCACATCTGACCGTCTTGCTCTCCTTGAACCCTTTGAGCCCTTCCCTCCTCACGATCTTAGCTCTCTTCGTGTCCTTTATAAAGTTAAAGGACAGTGTACTACCGACACTATATCTGCTGCTGGGCCTTGGCTCAAATATAAAGGTCATCTCCCCAACATCTCTGCCAATACTCTGATTGGAGCTATCAACGCCGCTACAGGCGAAACTAATGTCGCCTACGACGTTGATGGCAACACCTACTCCATTCCCGAGCTAGCCGAGAAATGGAAGAATGAAGGCAGCCAGTGGCTCGTTGTTGCTGAAGAAAACTATGGTGAAGGAAGTGCTCGAGAGCACGCAGCTTTGCAACCTAGATATCTAGGTGGAAGAATAATTGTCGCAAAGTCGTTTGCTAGAATTCATGAAACTAATCTCAAGAAGCAAGGTGTTGTGCCACTTACGTTCAAGGACAAGGCTGATTACGACAAGATTGATGCCTGTGATGTGGTTGAGACTGTCGGCCTCTACGATCTATTGAATAATGACGGCCAGGGCGAAGTTACTTTGAAAGTCACCAAGAAGTCTAACGGAGAGACGATCAATATCCCCGTCAAGCACACCTTAAGCAAGGATCAGTGTGGCTTTATTCTTGCTGGCAGCGCATTGAATCTTCTTGCTGCCAAATCCCGATAAAGTGCTCATACTCCCCCCTTTCCCCTTCTGATATTATGTTTACTTTGTGCTTGATTATGTTGGTTTATCATTCGATAACCTCATGCAGCTTATACCAGTTGGGCACTTTTGGTGATATCCTATCAATAGAGTCACTTGGTACGTACAATAGTTATATGGATAGCAATATTCCGGTTCCTTCTTTGAATCCCACATTTTAATGTTCCTTTTACCGAATAAGTAGCTGGCCAACATGAACAGAGGTGCTGGCCCTGTGATAGCCGTCAAACCGTCAAGGAGCCTAAGGCTCATGTGATTTGGTAGCCAAATGCGAGGGTTTTCTGGGTGACGTCTCCGTATTAATCTCTTAGTCTCTTGTACGACTCTGCTCTCGTGCTTTGCTGTTGTAGTAGCTACATCAGCGGACCCCAATCAAATGATTTGATTTCTAACTATATTAATTGCTAGTTACTTAAAGCGAATGTTTACTTGATCCTATATTTTAACGCTAGGCTAGGAGTGGAAGATGCACGTCACTTCTTCGATTGATCAACAGGTTATACAATTGGTGTTTTGTAGGTAGTTGGCTGTCGTCTTCGTCTCCGCAGGCTTAGTTAGGGTTGGGTATTCGTGATATATGCTTTGATACACTCATTATCTCCTTGGCAGCTGGTCGACCTGCAAAACCACCAAAACATGTTAGTCTCTCCCGTCAAAATATACTTATGGGTAATACATCTACTAAGTATTAGATGATGGAAGTAGCTCAATCTGTTGAATGATAGGCTGGTTATTAAAACTTGAAATTCATGCATTGGTTTATAGCTCGCCATAGTAGAGTGATAATATTGAAACTAATCCTTATATCACCTAGTCAACGAGTTACCCAAAGAAACCACTATATACTAGATGAGCTTTAGACGCGAAGTAGGAACGCTATTGGAAGCGCTATATGGAGAGCCACAGTTATCGTGAATGGTGAATATTAATTCTAAAATTAGTCTTCAGCTTTCCCATAGTTCATTGAATGGGCAAATTCGGCACTATCAGCAGTTAAATGCGGCGGGATTCTAAGTGGATGGTGATTTGGAGGAGTAATGGCGTTTACCCAGTTCATTCATTGCATGTCTCTATTTCTCCATCAAGCGTGAAAGGTCATACGTATCCGTAGGAGCAGCAAAGAAACGGCCATATGATGCCATATTGATGAGGATAAAAGATTGAGGGTCGAGGGAAACGGTGACTAGTGGAGACATAAGGTAAAAAGGGACACTCTGCTTTCTATCTAAGATTATGAAACCGAGTGTACAATGACACGCATTTTAGAGGTTTTAAGATCGAGAATATTCAGGGTGACGGTGATAGGAGGGTAGGAAGGGGGATGACAGTGCAAAATGGGGAATAACATCATGGGTAGGTAGTTAATAACTGAAACATCAATAGCTGCCGGGTCTTCATTGGAAATGTCTGCGAACTGCCATTTGATTCTCAGGTCGAACGATATTGAGAATCTGGTCGGCATTTATACCTGTTGCAGCAACCAATTGCTTTGCTGCCTCGACGACCTTTGTGCATACGTTGCCCTGGAGGGTTTCAGCCTCGAGTGCTTGGACAATAGAGGTGAATACCTTCTCGGCTTTTGCAAGAACAGAAGGGTTTCGCCTGGAAATGACAAAGTCAGAATCGACTATTCATGCAGGTATAAAAGAAATATGTGAACATTACAGGGGTACTCACTGGTCAATAAGTTGTGCAAGGAAGGCGTATGCGTATGGAGCTGCTTCCTCGTCATTCTCGATTGGAAGTGTATCAATCCAACTGTCAACCACTTCTTGAGGGTTAGGAACTTTGCTGGAGTTGAAGTGCAAAATCTTAGCTATACTGGCGGAACCGTTTTCGGTAGCAAACACATGGTCTTCCGACCTAGCATCCGCGAAACGGGTTACAGCAAATAGCATGGGAATACTGCCAGCGGAAAACTCGCTCCAGGCTTCTCCGCCCTTTTGAGCGGCAACCCCGACACCATAAGCAGCAGCCTGGCGGTTGGATGGGTTCTCATCTTGCATGCCATCAATTAATGGTTTGAGAATATGGTCCTTGTAGTTCCAGGATTGATCGCCGCAGAATTCGAGGACATCATCCATGATACACAGAACCCACTGCCGCTGTGTAGGGTCATCGCTAGTTACGAAAGAGTTGTAAAATGGCAGCAACTGCTCCCATGCGGGGAGGAATGCTGGGCCGTGGTTCTTGAAGATAGTGTGGAAAGCTTTGTTCATATCACTGAGGAGGTTCTGGTCCTCTTCCATCTCATAGTCGAAAGAGAAAGCGTCATCTTCACCATCGTCAAGCTCTGCCTTATCTTCGAGGCGTTTCTGTACTCGCTTCTGGTAATCCTCAAGGGCACTCTTGGAAGATTCGATGAACGCTTGCATATGCTGTGGGGAAAGGCAGTTCTTCCCAGCAACCTCCACAGACTCGTAGAAACATTGGAACATTTCCGCGAGTGTATCGATGGAAGGCTCTGCAGTGAGGATTTCAATGATCTTTATCAGAGCAGAAGACCACATCTGCTGGAACTCTACCGACTGCTCATTGTGAGATTTCTTGTAGGCGTTCAACAGACGAGGGATAAGTTTGGCGGAAGAAACTCGGACAGGGTCATGGAAGAAGAAAGCTAGGCCAGGTATGGCAATTTCTTCCAATGTCTTGACGACATAGGGCTCAAAGGCGGCCTCGAGGACTTGTGCGTAGATTGTGATCAACTCGATGGCTGTATTCTTGTCCTCAAGAGTGCTGGTTCGAATACCGATAATCTTATCCTTGAATGGGAGCAGTTCCCAGTTGTGATCTTGTTCAACATCTCGTAGAGATTCGTCATTCTCCAAAATCTGGACATCGGCACTGGAGGCAGCAACTTGAAGCAAAGGCGGCATAACTGCAGGGAGATATGGAACAAACTCGGACCCCAATACACGACACATGCGGCCCCAGCAGTGAAGAAGGTAAGATGACTGAGGGTCATCGGGCTCGGTGATATTTTCTAGATATATACAATTAGAAGATAGGTATCTAACACTCTGTCTGGGTAGGTACTTACGCTGTATGTGGCCAAGCAGTTGAACCAGGTTAATGGCATCTGCGCCCATCTTCTCTTTACCAACAGCCAAAGCTATACTATGTTAATCTAAAAAAATCCGAGAAACATCCCAAAGGGTACTGTGATACTTACCAATAAGCGTTGCACACTCCATAGCCTTGGCGCGAACAACGAGGTATTCCTTTGACTGTTCTTCCTTAAGTACATTGAACAAAAGAGGCATTAGAGTATCATAAAACTGGCCGAAGGCAGCTTCGGCGGAGTCTGCAATGGTGGCAATGGTGGAGAGAGCTTGCTCTTGAACGTATCGCTTGGGGTTGCGGAGAAGCTGTAGGAGATTCTGGAGAAGGTCTGGCAGATATGGCTCAAGGGTAGCGCGCTCAGCCTCTTCGCAGAAGTTAACCAGGGCAGCGGCGGCATGTGCCTGAACACGGGGGTGTTCGGAGGTAAGAACTGGAATAATGTTCCCTAGAACAATGGCGTGGTACTTTTCTTGCATGGTGCCAGCAAAATCGGTGCTCATCTGACCCAAGGCGTTGCATCCTGCAAAACGCACTCTAGGGTGAGGATCTCGGAGGGCAGGTATGACCAGGGCGAGAACTTGATTGAGTTCACCAATCATCAGGTCACGGCACCCTTCTGAGATGGCGGAAATAGCCATAAGAGCAGCGTGCCTATCGCGCCATGATGCCGAATTCATCATTTTTGGGACCCAGTTGAAGGTAGTAGGAAGGATGATCTGCCCTCCCAGCTTGTTGGCAAGGCGATCCATGCATTGTTCACCAGCGACATGGTTCTTGTCACTCTCCTCCAAATCAAGCTATCATTTGATCGTTAGGATGGCACAGTTCGAGATAAAACTGGATAATCAATACTTACATCTTCCGATGCACTCCATTCAGCAGCATCATCGTCATCCTGGCCAACATCGGTCATTAGGCTAAGGCACTGAGTGACCATTTCCTGAGCATATGTAGGGTCCTTCTTGCACATGGTTGGCGCATAGTCGGCAAATGTGGCCATGAGTTCGAGAGCATTCTGCCTCAATTGTTCAGAAAGTTCCGCATCCCCAATAACAGTGACACTGAACTTCACAAGTTTGTTGAAAAGGCTCTTGAACATTTTAGGGTTGACTTCTGCAAGCTCCATCAAAGCAACGAAGGCCTTGGACAATTCCTCGCCCTGATCACCCTCCTTCAATGGCGGAAGAATATTGAGTAATTCCGGAACAACACCGAAGAACTTGGACTGGGTCTTTTTGCTAATAGAGCGGAAGAATGCAGCAAATGCCTCCATTGCGGAAATGCGGACCTATAGCATGTTAGACAGGTGGTATCACTGCACATGGCACTGTTTTACTAACAGAGACGTGGTCATCCTGGAAGCCCTTCAAAAATACTCCCTGTACCATATCCTCATGTTGTTTTTCTATAATCGTGGGAGTTGCGGCGAATATACGGAATGCGGCTTCGCGGAGGCCACTGACAGGAGATTGGCTGGCCTGGAACAGTACTGATAGGAGCTCTGGCCATGGTTCCTCTATGACAAAATTAGAATTGAATATCGAATATATGTTTCCGTAGGAAGGCACAACAGCGAGCATACCTTGATCCGAGTATTGAGATGCGATTTCTGCGACTGCATCTCCAATCTTGTTTCGAACAGGAGCAAACGTCTCATTGCTTAGAGCCTCAAGTAGCTTTTGTCGAATAGCTACTCTTTGGTCTGGGAGTAAAGTGAAAAATAGTTCTCTAGGGTCGCCGGTCGAAGGATTCTTTATCGACTTCGCCGCCATACGTCGGAAAATTACAGCAGCAAACGAGCGTGCCTGCATATCAGAAACAATCAGCACGTCATTTCTTGTAATTGCAGCCTCATCTAGACCAGTGAGAGGAACAAGAAGCCGCTTCTGTCTCTGGTTGCTCGTGTGCGTAGACTCACATTTGTGTTCTCGGAGCCCTGTATCTGCTCTGCAAGGCCCATCAACAGAACATCCGGACGATTCTGCACCCAGTCATTATTCAACTGCGATTCGGCCTGGCATCGAACACCGTTATCGGCAGATGAAAGGCCAAGTAACAGCTGTGACAGAGCTGTGTGGACCTCCTGAGGTAAAACCGACATTTTGTTGCTCTCTTATCACCACTGCCGGGTAAGTATCTGGGACAACGAGCGGTCTCTCGCACCAGTCGCCAGGCAACCAGTTCGCTTCCTCGTTCCCTTAACTAGTTCCAGCAGCGAACAGGCGATGCGTGTGCTGACGGAGACGGGTGGTAGTTCTGGCTATTTGCTTGGAGAAGAGCTCCCTGTGGTGTGTCGCGGTTTTTGGTGGTAGTGGGCGTCTAAAAAGTAGGAGGGGTGGTTTGTTCCTTTGTTTTTCCTCTTCCCTGGCGTTAAACAAAGTAACTAAAGCCACGCTGACCAAAGCCCTGGATCACAAACGGCAGCCAGCGGCAGTTCAGCAGCACCAGCCAAATGCAGCGCGTATTTTCCTCGAACCGAGAGAAGCGAGCCTGTGAAATGTCGAAGATGTGAGGTAAAAGGTGGGATGCTTGAAATTGGTGGGAGTTGCTTTTTTTTTTTTTTTGGTTGTTATTTCGAGCTAGTCCTAAATCGTCGATTTGCGCCGTTTTGGTTTGCTGGTAGACAAACCGATACTTTTATATTTGGCGGAAGGAGAGATAGAAGACGGCAATGATAGGTTAGAGGCCGCTGGTGGTGATGAAGTAAGAAGGAGAATCTATTTTCATCTAGCTAAGGGTTCGTGGAATTACAAGGAAGGATATCTCAAGTATTGTGCGTGCTAAAAAAAAAGACGAGGGAAACCAGGGCTATAATAAAGACAAGAGAAGAGTCAGGGAAACAACAGAGGAGAGCAGGACGACTGATATACTGAGTGAGTATCCAATGGTTCGAACGGGTTGGTTAAAGAGAATGCGATTGTAGCAAGGCAAAGGGGGGGAAGGATGGAAATATATTGTATGGAGCATGGAGTAGGGCTCTATCGTCTACCGCCTCGGCTTAGCACGAAGACACCGACGATAACAGCAGCCAGAGTGACGATAGCACCGGGCAGGATAAGCTCGTTGGGGATACCGTTGATGAGCTGCTGGTCGGTTGGAGGTTGGACAAGTGACTGGGCTACAGACTTGGGGCTGCTGACAGTCTCCTCTCTACGAGTGTTTTCTTCCTCAGCAGCAACAGTAACGGATTCGGCAGGAGAGGCGACCTTGGCCGCAGCGACTGGCTCGGGTTCCTTCGCAACGACTGGAGTAGAATCCGGGCTGTGGACGAAGAGGTCAACCTTGTCGCTTTTGGCCTTCCGGGCAATGGAGATGGCGTCAACAAGGTCCTGGTCAGCAGTGATGGAGACGGTGTCGCCTTCACTGTCCAAGTAGCTCATGGCAAATCCATTGTTGCTAAGTTTCCCATCCTCAACAACAGCTAAGCCACCGATAGTGTCGACCTCGGCTCCAAGTTTTGCAGACACATTCTGGACGAGTTCTGCAATACCAGCGGATGGATCAACGTGTAGACGGTGAACACGACCACTGGGGGCCTTGAACTTGAAAGGGAATGAAGGGTCAACCTTCTCTTCTACCAATGGGCGTTCGTGGAGCTCTGATACTGGGCCATCTTCGCCTCCGTGGTGAGAGGCAGAGTCGTTGGGTAGAACGCTATCGCCTGCGTGGCCTCGATGGTCCGGGCTGAGCAAAGATCGATGATGGGGTTGGCTGCCAGACACCATCGAGTCGGACTCGTTGTCCATGGACAGCCAAAACTTGTTCCACGCTGGGCCTTCACTTTCGTTGGTTTGGATCGTGTTGATCTAGCAGTAGTGTTAATTCTGAGTATTGAAAGCATGGCAAAAGGGTAACTAACCTGTTCTAGTGTAGCATAGGTCAGTTTGAGAACGTCAACCATTCCCACGATTTCGCCAGATTCGTTCATGACAGGAAGGTTAAGGTAGTGGCCGTCTATATCAAACCGTTAGTACCCTTATCTGCGAGCTGACAGGGAAAATGTGTAACTAACCATGCATCTTTCGGAGAGCAGCTTGGATGCTCATGTCGGTAGGAGCAAAATCTGGATGGGGGGTCATGACTCGGACAACACTGCAGGTGGATGGGTCGAGGCCAGGAGCAATAACTCGCAGGACAACGTCTTTGCTAGTGAAGATACCGGTGATGGATCCTTGGTCCTGGACTAAGAGAGCGGTTGTATGGTTCTCCTTCATCAGTGCCGCAGCCTCCTTGACGGATGTGCGCACGGACACAGTAGTTGGGGGTAGGCCGTTAAGCACGGACTCCAGCGTAGGTCCAGACATTTTCGATCTCAAAGCCTCCACGTACTGGATGATTTGCTGAGGTTGGGAAGATCCTAGTTCGGACTGTACACCTTCAAGAGCATCGTAGAGCTTACGGGAGGAGCTATATGCGCGTTCGAGCTTCTCCATTGCATCGTAGAAACACTTGGTGATATCTAAAATTCCAGAGATGTCCTGATTCTCGTCCATGACGGGAAGATGTCTAAATCCCTTGCGGACCATGAGATCAAGAGCATCAGTAGCACTGGTATCAGTACGTGCACATAGCGGGTTCTTTGTCATAATTTCGGCAATTGTCACATCCCTGGCGCGGATACCGGCACCAACAACTCTGTAGGCCAAATCTTTTGCGGTGAAAATACCGGCAATACGGTCGTCATCATCTGTCACAAGAACGCAATCTTCCCTCTTTGCGGCCATCAATTGAGCAGCCTCAGAAACAGTGGTATTTGGCTTGATCTGTAGAGCCTGACTGGGTTTCAGGGCAAGGACCGTGCCGGGCGGGGCCTTTCGAGTGTGCCGGGCCTTGGAAGGGTTGAACTTCTTCTTGCTGAGGTCCGCCTCCATCTTCCTCCTAATGGCCTGGAGATATTCCGTTTAGCAATTGTCCATTTAACCGCATTGTTGACATATCACTGCCCTCCGCCCTTTGCTCCACCAAAGACAAAAAAAGGAGACGGGAGACGAATGTAGTATACCTCATCTCGTTTAGATTGCTTCTGCCTGCTCGTGCTTAACGTAGAGGCCCCTGCAGCATCAGACGTCACGCTTGGAGGAATTGAAGGGTCGACCTTTCGAGGGATGGCGGATGCGGCGTTGGTGTCAAAGGGGAGCTGGCCCCGACCCATGGTCCGGCTACGGATGGTACCGCCAGCCGCCGACATCTTGTTACAAAAGTAAAATAAAACAGGAGAAAACAAACTCGGGAAAGAGAAGAAAGGGAGGGGCTGGATGGACAATCGGCTTCGACCTGGTCCCTCGCTACAACGACACCGAAGCTGTTTATCTCTTCGTCTTCGACTTCGGCTTCCGCTTAAATGAACAGAGAAGAAAAAGGACAAAAGATCAGGCGGTTTTTTTTTTCCTCTTTTCTCTTTGGCTTCTCAAAGGGGAAGAAAGCACGGGGTGTCACCTGATGACCACGTGAATGTCTTACTCATGTATTAGTCATAGTTTAACATTAAGTAATCGCCGTATCATGTGACTCGCTTAGCCCTCAACCCACAAGAAGGAAAAACGTCGAAAGTTTAGCGCGCGAAAGTCGATGTAGGAAGTCGAAGACAGCGAGATCTTTTTCCAGTCGACAACGACCGCAACAACCAGCAACCCCAGCCTCGATCGCCCTCTCGCTCCGGTTTAACTGTCTGTTCACCTGGCTTGCGCAGTCGCGGAAGCCACCTACACCGTCATTCAAAATGGTTAAGAAGCGGGCGTCCAAGTGCGTTGAGAACTACCCTTCCCCGGCAATATCCAATGTCCAGCCAGATAGCCGTCCTGGATAGCAGGGCTCCGGCTCCAGCTTGGAACCAAGCCGTGTGAATTGCGCCAGCAAGAGACTGACGTTTTCTTTTTCCTCTATAGCGGACGTAACAAGAAGGGCCGTGGCCACGTTAAGCCAATCCGTTGCTCCAACTGCTCCAGATGTACCCCCAAGGACAAGGCCATCAAGAGATTCACCATCCGCAACATGGTTGAGTCTGCCGCCGTCAGTACGTTTACGCCCTGCAATAATTCCTGGGACCTTCCACAATACTATTAAAAGGAGTCAAGTCGAGTGCTGGTGGATACTCCGTGCAATTGAGAATGCTAATGTGCTGCACTGAATTATTTAGGTGATATCTCTGACGCTTCCGTTTTCACCAAATATGCCGTCCCAAAGATGTACCTGAAGCTCCAGTACTGCGTTTCTTGCGCTATCCACGGAAAGATCGTTCGGTATGCCTTATCTCTACCAGTCAATGCAAATCACACCGCTTGCCTGCAATTTACTAGCAGTCGGAGGAGCCCAATAGAAGGAGAATGAAACAACTGACGAACCATTTGTTTTAATAATCAGTGTCCGATCCCGAGAGGGCCGCCGTAACCGTGCCCCACCACCAAGACTCAGATTCAACAAGGACGTTAAGAAGTTGAACCCCCAGCAGGCTGCTGCTACCGCCAAGTCCGCCCAAGCTGCTGCCGCTAAGGCATAGAGTAAGGATATCACATCCTTTTCTTCTTAATACCTTTTTCGACGTCGGAGGAGTTCTAAAAGCGGGAAATTGGGAGGGAGGACTTTTTATCAGCAGCGGTCCTGCCATCCTCTTTTCATCTTACAAACACATTCAGCATGTTCATGGCGGCGGGAATTCCCCCAAAAAAGAAAATAAACGCTTTTTTAACGATGAGCTGCGAATATGTGAAATATCCTGGCATGAAATGATCTTTGTTTTAATTATATCTACTCTTTTAAACAATTTGCCGGATGATGTTTGTTTGTACCCGACGCAGAAACTCCCCACCGATGTTGATAAGATATTAAATATTGGCCAATTGCAGATGAAACTGTTCTTGTCCAAACATCTGACAACTCATTTATTCAAAGCAAAGCAATGCTAAGCTTGGCTCGACTCAGCTCAGCTAAGTTTAAAGGCGGTTCCTCTGGATCCTTACTTCTCCCTTCCAATGACCATTAGCAGGCGATACCCCTGTGCCACTGGTGCCTTGTACTCTTTTACTATATGCATCTCGTTTCTCTCGTCGGAACGCAGCTAATTCAGCAACCACGTCAACCATTCGTGCTGGAGGCAAAGCTACCTCTGGGTTCGGAGTTGAACGTGTTTCTTCATCTTCATCAAAGAAACTAAAGTCATTCGACGCGGCTGCCCATAGATTTTCCGAGTCTAGATCTCCAGTGCTTGATTTGAAAGTATTAGGCTGGTAGTAACCTGTAGGAACCCAAGCGGATGAACATTCCGGCTTTTTAAACTTATTGCCCGGTGATATCTCCAGGACGATGATAGCAAGCGCAAAGAGTTCCTTTGCATGCTGCTGTATAGCTTTGGCACGGTACTGGCCAGGGGGAAGAGAGTAACTGGACTCGGCTTGCAGCGAGGCGAGGAGAGCCTCATCTGCACAGGCAGAGATGAATCGAGTGATGGAGGAAATAGTTGGTGAAGATGAGGTAACAAATGCTGGGATATCTGTTAGAACTAGCGTTCGGAGATGGGCGACGTTAGATGGATGAAGATATAGGGGTTCATCCATGTTGGTCTTGTAGAAGGCTGGTCTCTTTCCTAGAAGCATTTGAATCATTGATGTTGAGTTCTTTCCACCCGCAAGTAGATCCTGAGGTGACATATTCCTGGTAGTATCCCGTCCCCTGAGGATAGAATGGTGTGCTCTAAGATAAGTGAGGCTCTGAGCGATTGGGCTCTTGAGTACTGGTATGAGCTTCTCCATTCCAGTTTTGACAGCTCCAGCGTCCAGTACATTCAACCTCTTCGTATGCAGCAAGTCTATCAGACCAGTCGCAGAGATGTTATTGCCAGCAATATATAGATGGGTAAGGCCAACATGAGGCAGTTCTTCCAGCGCAGAAAGACCACTTAGTCTTCTTGTAAAGAGACGCAGTAGATGATCGCCCAGGTGTTCACTCCGGATGGAATCAGCAAGTAACGCTCCTGTTAGTGGGCCAAAATGCGCATTTCCACGAATACTGCTTGCATCACTGTCGTTAAGTAAGAAACAGCAGTTGGTCAAAAAGCTCAGTCCTCTATCTGTAAGGCGGTTGTCTCCGATATCGAGCAGTCTAACACGAGTCTGGATCACTTTTGCTAGAACTTCCACATCATCATCCTGCAAGCCTATACCGCGCAGTTTCAGGGCCTGTAAACCTCGCAGCTGGCGTAAGGTGAGGATAACCCGCGAGTCTCTTGCGGCGGTGGTATACGATAGATCAAGATATACTAGACGCAGACAGCGGTTCAATAATGCCACCAGCCCGGCTGGCGTCGCATTCATCTCACGCTCAGCAAGAAATAGACGAGCATTGTACCCTTCTCCCTTGCCTAGCGCAACAAGGGACCTGTGGTCAAAGAAAGGAAGCCTGGAAAGGAGTAGAGACTGCAGATTTGGGAGATATTCCATGAACTCATGCAACCATCTCGACGGCGGTTCACCATATATCTCTGCCAACGCAGGCGGGAGATGTAAGGTATGCGTGAGCTGCCGTACACAGAGTCGGGATATATTCAGAACTCTCCTAAATCGTGTCAAGGCGACTTTTCATGCATTCATACCCGGTGAATGTCAACAGTCAGTCTAGCGGAAGAAGGCTTGTGGTATGGGTAGTTATGCGCACCGTAGACAGCGTCGTCTCTGGCCCCAAAGTGCGATGCGGGAGCACCCCATAACACGGGGGCGAAGACGCCATGCCATGCTCGAGAGACGAGACAGGCAGAGCATAGCTCTGCTGCAGATAGGACGAAAGGCGCAATTATCGGCCATACATCTCGCGTTGTGGCGGATTCGTATGACGGCGGGAAGACGTCTGCCATGATAGATCTTGTGAGAGGCAGAGTTTCAGCTGTGGCATCTCAGCTTGTAGTTTCTAGTGAGGACACATATGTGTTACAGCTAGACTTTAAGCTATTATATTGATTACTGGCTTCAAGTTCGACGGTAGGTCAAGGCTGATGTTGTTGGTGTTGGTGTCATGCGACAAGACTTTGGTTGCTTCGTATTTTGATCCTCCGCATCAAGACCAAGCCCCATTTTACGTAGTTACCAACTTGTGCTGACAGAACCAATTGGTACTTAACTACCAATGTGGATGGAGAAGCAAATGCCTTGATATTCGTGAGTGCTTCAATAGTGATGACTTTGAACTACCATTTTACTGACTACGATAAGACAGTGGACTGCAGGTTGTACAAGCCGCTGTCATCAGCCCCGAGTGCATGTAATTGATCATCCAATGCATGCATGTACAGCGGAGGAGACGCCCTCTACCAGGGGGCACGGGTATAAGGACAGATATACGGCTATTGTAACTAGTTACACGAGGAAATACCCGAGCAGTCTTCACTTCCACCATACGCTACTTATCAACATAGGAGAACATAGCAGGTATCACCATGCAGTCCAACGGCACAGCAGAAAACAAACAAACGAACTCAAACGGCCAGAGTAATGGCCAGAGTGAACGCTCTAAGTGCCGGGATATATTCCTCTTCAGCGTCTCAAGGACTCTGTCAAACGTCTTTTGTCGTTTGCTCTCGGCTCAGCCGGGATGGGTTCAGTCAGACTACCATTTCCAAGAAGGCTTCTTCCACGCACGAGAGCAATTCCAATGGGCCCCTTTGGCAGAGATAAGCGATGAAATGCGCCTGGAATACATCGATCAAGCTCATAAGGGGGTGGAGGCACTTCAGAAGGCGAGAGAAGACGCTATTAGACAGGTATGTACAGCTATCTATCCTTACAAAACTTGACAGACGGAGCCATGATATTGACGATAAGACACAGGATAAACATATCTTTGTGAAGAATCATTCGTTCTTCGCGGTTGAACCGTCTGCTTTGTTGGATAAAGTAAAGGGAGGCAAGGAACTGCCCTCTCTAACGATTGTTCCCAGGCCGTTGGCATCCGAACAGGAAGGCGACGTATCAACTACGCCTACAAGACCAAAAACGAACCCAACTTTCTTACCCGACGAGTACCTTGCGTTATGGCAGCCGGTGTTTATAATTCGCCATCCAGCTCTTGTCGTTGAATCATGGTACAGGGCCGAAACAAGGGTCAGTCCCGTTAACGTTAGGGATAGGGTGTGGTCGTATCTGTCATTCCGGTACTCTCGCAGCCTCTACGACTGGTACGCATCTAATGCCACTGCATCCAACGGTACCGAGACAGCAGTAGACGGTAAAGGAGCCTCCTTCCTCAGGCCTATTGTTGTGGAAGCGGATGATATTCTTAGCGGAGAATGTCTGACCAAGTTTTGTGATGCTTGCGGTATGAGCGCAGAACATATCAAGTATGAATGGGAGCAAATACCGCCTGAAGGACAGGACGTTTCGGTGAGACACCTGAGTTATCTGGGTGGCTTGTGGCAGTCGACGGGTCTTGACCAGTCCAAGTCTTCAAAGGGGTTAGATATGGATGTTCGATATGGCAAGTGGAAGGAGGAGTTTGGGGATAGTGTTGCAGAAGGGTTGTATGAGCCGTGTTCGGGGCTGATGCTGATTATGAGTATTGAAGAGCAGACGATATAGGTTAGAAAGTAGAGATATTTCATATAGATGAGGAAGATGAGTAGCCGTCATGTCGTGAATGGTATCCCCAGTTAACCTATGAAGTATTTTAGATACCAATGCCCAAGTAGCCCAGTGAGATGAATAGCCCGCAAGAAAACAAGATTGATAAAAAGCAAATTGATAACGGCAAAGGGGGTAGAAGGAAGAGAAATAGAAAGAAAAGAAAAATGCAAAAAGACCCAGATTTCGTACCCCCCACATGTTAATTGACCCATAATTCCAAGCATGAGAAAGAAAAAAGAAGAGAAAAAGAAGAAGCAAGGCGAATAACAGCCGTAAAGTGAACCTATAACGCTGAGCTACCCATGCTAACGGAGAAGGCGGAAACGGAACGGACGGGGTATTCATTCAAAGGATTAATTGGAGTAGGTATGTCCAACGCGGTTATCGGGGCTCCTGATGTTTTAATATATTTTCATGTTGTCGGAATAGTCATGGCAAACGTGTTTTCACGGTTTGAGAATAGGTGGTGGTGGGCGTCTTACATGACATACAGAAGATTGGTATCTAGGGGAACCAGCCAGTGTTAGGTCAAGGGAGGGTTAAAAGAAACCAAAGGAACCAATAACCAAGCAGGAAGAAAGGGGAGAAGAAGATGATGATGATGAAAGGGGCGGAAAAAAGGTCGAAGAACGGGTGAGTCTACTGACCAAGAGGGTGACTGCAGCTCAACTGCGGTTTCTGCGAGTACTTGGAAGCCAGCTCATCGCGGATGCTGTTGAGCAGCTGGACGTAGCTCTGCTGGGGGTTCTTTTTGAGGGCGGTGATAAAGGCCCAGGACATGGCGCCTGTGGCCTGGCCGCCGATGGTAGCGTCTGCGCTGGTCTGCACGTCCTTGCTGCCTGACCACATGACGACGTCTGCGGGACTGGTACGGGTCTGGCGGGCCTTCTTGAAGCTTTCGTCGCCGCGGGTGGCTTTCTTGAAGAGGTCGACGGCGCCGCTCATCATGCTGCCCATATCGCCGCGTGCATAAGCAGATACGACGCCCAGCAGGCCCTGGCCGGCTTCTTTGGCGAGATTGGGTTCCTTGAGCACGCCCTGCGTGGAGTAGATGAAGGGGAGGTCGAGGGCGGAACCGGAGTGGCAGGAGTCGAAGATGGCGGTCAAACGGACACCCGGAACGAGAGGCTGGACCATGATGCGGTGCATCTCGTCATCAACGATATGACCGGCCGATCTGAAGTCTACAGGGTAGATGACCTCGTCGTTGCCGTCTTCTTCATCTCCGTCCACATCTGCCGTCTGACCACCGTGGCCTGCATATACACATGTCAGTAACCAAATAAATAGATAAAGAAACAAATAAAAAGCGTATAGAGTAATCTAGCTGCTGTTATGGATAGGCGTACCTGAGTAGTGGAAGAAGAGGGAGTCATTGGCTCTGGCATCCTTGACGAGCCAATGCATGGCACGCAAGATGTTTGCCTTTGTAGGCTGGCTCATGGGGTTCTGCTGGTCGTCTGTGAGGATGACCATGTCCTGCCTGGCGTACCCGTAGCTCTGGTTGAGGTAGTTGGACATGTTCTTGACGTCGTTGATGCATCCCCGCAGCTGTCCGCGCTGGTTGAAGTAGTTGATTCCGATCAGCAGAGCCTTGCGCTTGCCCGTGCAGTTGGAGTACTGGAAGTTGTATCCCTGAGGGGCTCCATGGCCGAAGGAGACAGGGTTGTTGGGCGGCGGAGGGGGACCGCCGTGGCCCTGGTTATACGCATTCTGGTAGTCTTATCATCGTTAGCTCGACTGCACGCCGTACAACTAAACCATTGAGAAGCCTTACTGGGACGTCCGTTCTGCATCTGGCCGCTGTTTGGGGGCGGTCCGTGGCCGTAGCCGTGCTGTTGCTGCTGCTGCTGCTGCTGCCCGTGGTCCTGCAGAGAATCCAACCGTCAGCGAAACCACCTCCTTCACCCGTTTATTCCCTTGATCCCGGTGACCCTTTGAATCCTCCGTTCCTCACGCTGTAGCACCGTGCGAGACCTACTTGGTACCTGTACTGCGGCTGGGGAGATGGTGGCCCCTGGCCGTAGCCGCTAGGCGGGGGAGCGTGAAGCTGCGGCTGCGGCGAGTGCGAGGGCTGCCCGTACGGCGCCTGCTGGTAAGGCTGCTGTCCGTAGCCATGTTGCCTGTCTCGTCAGCATCTCTACTCGTCCACTGTCTGGTCTGTCTGTCTCATGGCATGCTCACTGGTACTGCTGTGGTGGTGGTGCTCCGTATCCGCCCTGGTCGTAGCCGTGCTGCTGCGGCGATGGCTGGCCGTAGCCGTGCTGTGGAGGGCCGCCCGGGTATCCTCCTGGATAGTACGACATGCTCGGCGATGAAGACGACGCTGGAGCTGTTGAAGATGAGGACGAAGAAGACGAAGCTGGGGATGGCAGAGCAGGAAGGCGAAGGTCGAGGACGTTGCTGAGGGCTGGAGGAAGGGAAAAGTGCGAGATGGCCGGTGGAGGGGCGCGGCAAGGGTTAATAAACTACTTTGGCTACTAGGCGGAGGACTAAGCACGCCGTAGGGCTAGCCCGGCGGACGTCACTCTCCTTTTGGTAGAGACGGACGCAGGGAAGGACTTTGGCAGCAGGCAGAAGACGCAGGAGACGGCGACAGCGATATACATAGATGGACAGCAGGACGAAAAAAAGGAAGAAGACGATGATGATGGAAAATATTGAAGAAGAAAAAGCAAAGACGACGAAAATTTCTCCTGCGCATCGGATTTTACGAGGACCAAAAGCTACGAGATTCTACATGGACAGGAGGACAGGACGAGCGGACGGAGGCAGGCAGTGAACAAGGGCAAAAGTCTTCTGCTTCTGCTTCTGGTTCCTCGTCTGCTTCGTCTTCGTCTGCGTCTCCTTCTGCTTCTCTTCAGCTTCACGGCAACGATTACTTATCATCGCATGGGTGGCCCCTTGTCTTCCGCTGCATCTCCAGGGCGCGTATGTACATCAGCCACAGCCGGCGTCCGTGCCGGTCGAGGACGGGCTGATGAGATGCATGGGAAGACGCTGTCTTGTCCTGTCCATAATATTAAGTTGATGCAGAGTAACTCGGGCTGTGTCACGGAGAGTTGTGTGTTGACTTTTGATAGATATTAAAATCCTATGCTTTGTCTTCTATTATTTGGTAGCAAGAAGGTCCAGGCTCTTTTTTTTACTTCGGCTTCTTTTCTTCTTTCTCCTTTTTGCCCGTGTGCATGCAGCTTGTCTTCTTCTTCTCCTGCTGCTTCTTCATCGACGAGGCATTCCGCGGCCGCGGCCTCCTCGAAGGACTCGTTGGGCGGCACCTTGCGGTAGGGCCTGTGGAGGTCCCTGTGGCTGAGCTGACTCTTCGTTTTCTATAAGATGTTAGTAAAAAGTAGACAGACGAAACGGTAGCAGTAGCAATGGTAGATGTATATAAGAATAAAGGAACGTACTGATGGTCTCGTCAACAGAGAGAATGAGACAGGCGGCCTCGACAGCGGACTGGATGGCGTTGACCTTGACCAAGCTCGGCTCCCATACAAAGGCCTTCATGTTGTCTCGCACGCCCTCGCAGTCAAAGTCGACGCCAGCCCAGATGTTGCCCTTCTTGTGCTCGACTCGTAGCTGGTTGAGAATGTCTGTGGCGTCGAAGCCTGCGTTGTCGCACAGCTGGCGGGGGATCACCTCCAGGGCCTTTGCAAACGCCTTGACGACTGCCTGCTGCTTGTGTGGGACATTCACGTCGGCGTACCGATGGATGTAGCCGGATAGGTCCATTTCCGTGGCACCGCCGCCGGCCACGACGTTGGTGTTCCGTAGCGCTCGTTTGACGATCATAATGGCGTCGTGTAGACTGCGCTCTGCTTCAGCAATGAACTGCTCGGCTCCACCGCGCAGGATCAGAGTGCAGGTTTTGGCTCCAGGGCACTCGGAGAAGATGTTGAAGCGCTCGCCGCCGATCTGGCGCTCCTCGAAGCTGCCGCACTCGCCCAGGTGGTGCTCCTGGATGTCGCTGCAGGTAGACTGTGTCGAGGCGCCGGTTGCCTTGTTCACTCGCTCCATGTCGTCGGACGAGACTCGCCCGGCACAGAATATGTCTCGGTCCGCAAAGTACCTGTCCTTCGTTAGCACCGACCTTTCATCACCAGAGCAGAAGAGAAAAGGACATACTGTGTGGCAAGGTCACCGATGGGGAGCTTGCTGAGGACGACCTTGGCTCCGGTCTTGTAGAGTGCCTCAAGCTTGTTGAAGATGATCTGCCATTCAGCGTCGACGATGGCCTGGTACTCCGATACCTGCTCGACTCTGACCTCCGCATTGTCCTTCTCGCTCTTCAGCTCCAGCTCAACGTTCAGGCAGACTATCTTCGGGTTCTTGAACGACTTGGGCTGCTGCTCAAATCCGGCATAAGAGAACGTCTTCTTGAACGCAACGCCATTGATGAACTGCGAGTCCTGCAGCGCTCCTCCGGTAATCTTCTTGATTCCAATCAACTTCTCGTTCAGGTCGTCCTGGTCCAGCGACAGGACGGCATCAACAACCACTACAATCAGTTAGCCTTAGTCACTACTGCCGCTCTTCTTCCCCCAGATCACACCCAAGGAAAAGGATAACGCACTTTTTGTGAAGAAGTCTGAATTCCGTTTAATCAGCTTGCTGTTCATGGCCGTGCCCGCCAGCCGTCGCAGCGTCTCGATCTTCTTCGCCTCTCCGCCAGCAGTATCCTTCATATCAATCGCAATCTCCTTGATCCGGTTGATGCACATGGCACTCGCCTTTCTCAAACCCTTTATAATCGTCTGAGCACTCACGTCCTGCTCCACTAGATCGCGCACTTCTCGTAAGATCTCGCCTGCCAGCACAACCACGGAGGTCGTTCCATCGCCTACTTCTGCGTCCTGGGAGCGTGCAATGTCGGTCAGGATGCGGGCTGCGGGGTGGACGATATCAAGTAGCTATATGTATCCGCAGTTAGCACGGAGAATTTGTAGACATGGCACACGTAGAAGACTACAGCTCTCCTTACCTTCATTACCGTCGCTCCATCGTTTGTGATTGTCTGCTTGCCGTTGGTGTCTACCAGTAATAGGTCCCCGCCATAGGGGCCTAGAGTGCTTTTGATAGTGTTCTGTACCGCAACACAGGCGTTGATATTCGATAGAATCTGTCCCTTGCCCTGCGAGGCATCCGTGCCTGTATATCAAACATCCATCGTAAGCTTGGAACAGTTCCATTCCCGCCGGAACAAACATGTCGCAGTAGCGGGGGAAGAGGCATAGAAAACTGACCCTCCTTCAACACGATGATTGTGGGTGTTTGGCCCGCGAACGCCATTGTGGAGGTTCGAATTCAGCACAAATAAAATAAATAAGGTGTCTTCCTCGAGGTAGACAGCTTAGAGAGAAAAAAGGGGCTTCTCTTCTTTCTCCGTCTAATTGCAGAAGATGTTTGTGATGTTCAGCGGTTTAGGATTTTGGTAGCTTTTTGTTCTCTTCTTTGCTGTCTCTTTTTTTTTCTTTTTTTTCCCTTTTTGGTGTGTCAGCAACTTCAGCCGCCAGAAATCTATCAACTTCGGTTCTCTTTTTTACATACAGCGAACAACCTAGACAGAGATAGAGGAAGGCGAACTGTGGAAAATTCATAAGAAAAGAAACGTTAAGCTAGTTGTTTTCGAACAGTTGGTAATAGTCTATCTGTCTAAAGTACTCGTAATCTCATCATTCATCCAAAACCAGTTGGTATAAACGCATGTATATATTCCGTTAGTGACAGACAGATTATGGTCAGCTGTCAAAGTGATTCTGTTCATCTCTTCCGCCAAAGGCAACGGTAAGTAGGTCTGCCTGGAACTGCGCATCGTTCTGTAGCCGCGTTGCCTCTGCAAGTCTCATGGACTGGTCTCGCATGCCCACACCAACACCGACGTCAACGTCAACGTCGACACCTACTCCCGCACCGACGTCTACACCGACGCCTACACCAGCATGCGAGGCCATGAGATCCTCGTCTTCAACTACCTGATAGCTGCCTGTATGGTCGTGATGGTGGTGTTCGTGGTGGTGGTCATGGTCATGGTGCTGCATAGGGGTATGGTCGAAGCCATGAGTCAAGCCGTGAGGGTCCTGTGTGCCGTCGGTTTCATACGGGCTCACTCCCACGCCAACGTTGACGCCATTATGGTGCTGAAAGGGAGGTAGATGGTGGTGTATGTCATCCATTATTTGAGGATCGAGCGGTATATCGGCGTAGTCCGCCATTTGCTCGGAGTGTATGAGAGGGTTCGTGTGGGAATGTGTGTGGTGCGAATGGGGGTGGGGAGTAGGACTAAAGGTTCCCTCCTTGGAGTACTGGTGGACTGCTGCGGATACGCTGGGAAGTTGTTGGTCAGGCTGAGACGGGCTAAAGGCATTAGGTGCGGGTATATCAAAGGTGTTAGCTCGAGGTGTAGCCGATGGCTTCTCTCGTTTGAATGGCAAGTTATTGGTCTCTGAATTGCTGTTGGTCGGAGCGCCGGAATGGATGCCGTTGGCACCGTTTATCGGCGCTTTGGGGCTTTCCTTGCATTGTGGGCAGTTCTTGATGGCCATGCTGACCGTCTCCTTGATCCGAACCCAGTGATATTTTAGGGCAATGGTGGCCGTTGTCTTGTTGATACCACCGTGCTGCTGTTGGTGTATCTTGCGAGCTATTTCATACTGCTGCTGGGGATCAGAGACAACCTCCTTATCCTTCAGCATCAGCTTCTCTGGCTCGCCCTTCTCGCCACCTACGAGCTTGTAGTGGGTAGCTGCGCTGCGCAGGCGGCTCTTCTCAGCCCTATCTGCACCACTCGGGTACTTGGAGTGTTTCAGGTAATACCTGATCTTGTCAAACCTTTCTTCAGAAACAAAGTCTTCTCCTTCTGGACCGAGATCTCGACCGTATATGATTGCATCAATAAGCTGGCCTGGGTATGAGCGTAGATTGCCACAGCCTGGTATTCTGCCAACTCGTTTGAATCCTAACGCATCCCATATTCGACAGGATGCTACATTGGTTTCGTAGACCAGGTTAAACACGGCATATGTATATCCCTAAGTAAACGAACAAAGTAACGTGGAACAAAGCAAAGGGTTAGCAACCTTATACCACTGTCAAAGTTTAAAACATATATTTCTTCAAACATTTTCGAGCTCGTTGCTCACCATCTGTGGAGCCCATTCCAGGTAACATTCTCCCATCAGCCGGCCTACACCGCGGTTTCTCGAGGCATCCGTCACCAGGAAGGCACCATTACATATATGACTACTTCTCCCAGGATAATTGGGCTTGATATTGAAGCTGCCCAGACATATTTTGCCCCAGTCGGCGCCAATGGCTTCTAAAGACCGCACATGGCCAACGGTAGGTACATCTCCGAGCAGCATGACAGCGGTGAAGTGCGAGAACCAGTCTGTGCCGAACTCCTCTAGGCTTAGTGGATTCAAGAAGGGGTATGTATCACCCTTCTCGATCTCCTTGTTCAGCTGGTCGCACAGGTACGCAAGCAGCGAACGGGGAACCTCCTGTGCCGACGAGAAGGGGATTAGCGTCGCGGCTGTCACTCGGTCTCGCAGAGTAACCTGTCTCGGTAAGATGGCGGGAGGCAGCTGGGGGCTGCCGTTGCTGCCGGTACCCGCACCACTGGTGACTGTTACCGAAGTTGCTACAGGGTCGTGAAACGCTCCTGCAGGAGCTCCGGGTGAAGCACGGTACATCGGACTCCCTACGGGATCGTCACTGGCGGGCCCAACATTGATAGCAGGCATGTTCAAGCTCTCACGCTATCTTTCCCCTTTACTGGGCCGGATATATAGATCCTTGTCCAGCTCTTCTTCGCCCCTGGCCCGAACAACTCCTGTACCTGTCACGAGACCATCAGCCTTAATCAGCCCCAACCGGCTCAGCCTTTTTATATTCCAAAACAAAAAAATATTTAACCGGAAAGGAGAAAAGTACCAAACAGAAAATCTCTCCAGCCGACAAGCAGCATATCTCGGTGACAAACTCGCAGGCTTCGTCTGTCACCCACCCGAGGGCTCACCCGCTAGACTGAACAAGCAGCCCTTAACTGTGGAACTGGTGGTGCAAGGGGTCCTTTACCTAGGGCTGGGCTGGGGGGTACGCACTCTCAAGAACGGCTTCGTACTTTGCAGAACGCGGGGAGTTTTTTCCTTCACTGCAAGAAAAGAAAAAGGCGGAAAAAATGAGAGGGAGGACGAATTTCTTGGCGAGAAGGCGGATTATAGTAGGACCGGATGGTCCGACTGATGAGTAAACGCTGACTCATGCCCTTGCTTGTCGCTGTTTCTCGCGCTGGATGGCTTTGATGCCGGTGCGGTCGGTCGAGGTGGTTGCGTTGATGATGCGGTCGAAGGCAGCATCGCTCTCGTTGCCGTCGTCGCTGTCATTCTCATTGTAGGTGTCTTTGGCGGGCGTTGGGTTCGCCGGCGACGGTAGTACCGCGGGTCTTGTTGTTGCTTCAGGCTCCTGGTCAGCCGAAGCAGCACCAGCAAATGGTTTGGACATAAGTATCTTTCGCCGGATCTCTGCCATCTCTTCCTCGTCATCGTCTTCCTCTTCAGACTCTGGGAATGGGTTGTCTCTCTGTAGAGCATTCCGCGGTATCCCATCCTCGTCCTCCTCACCTTCACCGTCGCCGTCTTCGTCCTCCCGTTCTTCTTCACCGTCCTCAGAATCCGACAGGAAGGCGTGTCTGTTTGTATTACCCGTAGTCCACATATCGTCTGCCCCCTTCTCTTCTCGGCTCTCCGCATACTCCTTCTCAATCTTCGCCAGCCACTTCTCCTCAGCAACCTTGATATCTGCCTCCGTTTCGCATGCCGCGTACCGCTTAAACAGCTGTGAATTGATCTCCAGAAACGGCTTGCCGTACCGGAAGTGCTGTAGCACCTCTTCAGCCCAATCTTCGTGTCCGCATATCATAAACGTCGCAGCCAATGCTTCAACGCAGTTCAATCGCCATGGCTTGCCGTAATTCACCGTGTTTGCAGCCACAAGGTAAGGCACTATATATCGTTACTATTAGCACTCAACCAGGCAAGGATCACGCAGGATATCGCATACGCAGTCTTTCTGTCTTCCCGCCGATTTTTGACCAAGGCACTTCACTCACTCGCACCCACGAACACTCTACCACGGCAGCACCGTACTGCTCAAGCAGCGGCTTGTCAGCTGGGGAAAGTGTCTGCTTCGCATTCGGCCTATTTCATCCCCTTTTTATCAGCCGTGTTGCTTCAAGCAGTACAGTCTTGGGTAGTTTACATACGATATCACGACGCCCGGAAACTTGTGCCCTATACCCAGGTCTCGCATATATCCAAGCTGCATCAGCCGTTTGCCTGAACATTTTTTCGGGTCACAGTGTCCCAGATCCCAGCAGGCAGCTTGGAAAGGCGCGCGCGGTCGTTTTCCGTGCTCGTCTACTCCGTCTTTGATTACTGGCCGTCGATACTCACCCCGCTTGCTCTTGCGGGCCATCGTGTCTTTCTTGTGTCGAACCATCTTGAAGTAACGCGGTGGTCTATCGGTAGGGAGTGCTTCCTTCCGCCTTCAGGGAGACCTTGTACCTCAGAGCAAGTTCTCTCGGCGGTATCAGCCTGTCATAATTCATCTGGTTCATCAACTTTTTACATCAATCCTGATGAACTTTGAGCCCCAATTAAGTAACTATCACGTGAACCGTCGCTGATTACGGGACCATCAGGCAAGGGCAAAGGCTAACCAAACATACTCCAGCAAAGCAAGACAAGACGAGTTAGTACTCGATTCTACGGAGTACTACTCCTTGATCTACTTGTTTTGTATATTCACTACACCAAAACTGCGAAAAACAGATCACGTAGGTCTCAGCCAACCAGTTACCGGAATTAACTAGGGCTTAGGGCTCAGGGTTCAGGGCTTGGGCTTTGAGACTAACAACTCATAACTTCATGTCTGCTGGTTGACCTTTCATTGTATGGAAATGCTGTCTTCAACCTTCTCAGATTCTAACCAGGTTTCTCCACTCTGGGCTGCTTAGAGTCCTTAATATCCACTTAATATGCCAGTGTCTTAGTTGTCAACCTAAAAGACGCTCGCTCTATATGCAGCAAATTATACCCCTGGTCCCAACGGGATCTACACGATTCCTCTTCTACGCAACTGCTTGCGAGAAGCCACACCCTGAGGCGTGTTATCACAGGCTAAATACTTCTTTACTGGTCATTTCCTGGTCGACTGAGCCTATATAATAAGCCAATCCCGGTAGGAATCTTATAAGATCGTCTACGACTTTGGGCGCTCTATGCAAATGAATGAAAGGCCAATGCCGTCTACTTTTGCCGAAGGCCTTGCATCGATAAGGAAGGTAGTAAGAGTACCAGGAAACTGGTTTAAGCACTATGCTAGCACTTGTGTACTTCCTGTACCACTAACTATTAACAAGTATATGTCCGAATTGTCACCAGTACGATCTTCAATTCCCCGCAGCAAGTAACAGTAGACTAGGACAAGTTTTTATTTTAGGTAGCAAGCAGCATAATTGTTAATACAACACCAAATTTTAACCTACAGACCTCTAAATGAGATAAAGAACTTCATCTGATTAAATAGGTGAAATACAATAGCCGGAGAGGATTGATCACTAAAGGTAGATAATTATTATGGACAACATCAGTGCATGGAAATCAATGAATTTGTAGCTAGATACGAGTATCAGGGGCCAGATTTTCATAGGCATGAAAGAGTGATCATGCTACAATTTCTAGCAGGCGTTTGACATCACTTTTGAGGCTATCGTCGCGAACCCGATGCATTCAAAATATCAATGAGACAAAGAACGCTATTAAGAGTAAACTGGAACGTTGGCTCAAGAGCACATGCCTCTGGCCCTCTCAGGTGTCGAGATGAAAAGTTTGTGAGGTTTAATAGAGTTGTGGAGGATATAATATTTTTAGGATCTAGGATAACCCGTGAATACTCTCTTTCTGGTGGTTAGAAGGTCTAAAAAGCTATTAAAAAAACTGCGTAAGAGAGAAAATAGGTGACGGTTTAGAATATGTTTTAGGCTTCCAATATTTCCATCCAAAAACCGGTGGCTATTAATATTCCGGCGGGTTTGTCAGAAAGGAATTATTATGTTAACTACTGCGAGATGGCAGCCGGTTTGTCTGAGCTAGGGGAAAGAATAACCAAGAGATCCAATCTAGGCAAATATTGTTATAATATCGCTCAGTTAAGCCAAGTGGAAGCTTTTTCGAGACCTAGGTAGAGGGTATAACACGGCGGCAGAGAAGCGCGCGTCAGCGAAGTCGCGTTAACGTGTTATAACTTGGTTGAAGCCATCCAATCAGCAGCAAAGAAAACTCGCCACGAAAAATCTTGGTATTGTTGTTTTTTCCGTCCACTTGACAATCGTGCAAGTTTGCGGGAGTAAAAACAACCAAGAACAAGCCTTAGCCCGGCGCAGTGAGTACCGAGTACTCCGTGTTGTAGCTACTCTTGGACCTTCGGGTTTTGTTAGCATTCCATTTGCATATCTCCCATAGTTTCCAGCCACGTAATGCACATCGGCTGGTGATCGGTCTGTGCAAGATGGCCTATTTCAGGGAAGAGATATGGACGATGAGCTTCCCTTGAGAGCATGTTTATTCTCAGCACGGTGTCGCACTGGTGACGCTATATGGAGCTTGTTCTCCCGTGCGAGAATTCTGATCTACAGGGCATACGTAAAGCCTGTGGAATATCATAATATATGCCTTTTATACCGTCGATCATGCGCGATGCCCAATATTGATATACAGGGCACAGAACTGATCGCCGCGTGAAATGGGAAGGTTAGCCTGCAGTAGGTGACGGGAAGAAGGGAAGGGTGGGAAGAGGTTGTCGTCCAGTTTTATTTTCTTCTTCTTTTCTTTCTCTCGTTCCTTTTCTTCTGCGGTAACTAACGAGCTGTGCCTCTGCGGGTATCCCATCGTGTAACAGAGCCGCGCGACTCGGTGGAGTGGCGGAGGACAGACAGGTAGCCTGGTTGGTTCAATTTCTCTGCAGAGTTGGAGAGTTGCTAAATAGCGGGTAGTATGTAGTTCAGGTACGAAGCTCACATACTAAAGGGGGCTCACGTTCAACACGTCGTCATGGTCGCACGATGGATATCCTAGGGATTGACATCCAGAGCGGATCATAAGGCGACCCCCCCCCCCCCCCCCCCCATTTCCCTGCTGGGTGACTGTATATATAAATCGGTGGCAGCTCCCGCCGGTCTGCTGGAAAGTATTTCGTCGTTAATCAGTGGACAGCAGCGACAATAAGCCAATTATCACGCATCATGACATCCATCATCAAAACCCTTTTGCTTGTCATAGCCCTTGCCGCACTTGTGTCATCATCTCTTCTTAGCCACCCAGATTCCCTAAGAAATGCGCAGTTGAAGCTCCCACGGAACCCCCTGGAGTTAGATTTATCCCTTACCGAAGAAATCCCCATGGGTCCTATCCGCTATGTTCAGTGCTTTGCTGTCGGCAGTTCTTGCAGGTTCGACACCGACTGCCCTCGGCCATCTGAGGACCACTGCACCGCTCTTGCAAAGACCGAAAGGCGTGTTATTCCTGCCTCATCGATATGCATAAGTGGTTTCTGCCGTGTGAAAGATGCCCTGTGGAATGACTCCTGCGATTGCCACATGGGATGTAGCAAGCGCCACGACTTAGCCTGTGTTGAGGGCAAGTGTACCCCCAGCAAATGTACTCCCTGTGGGGAGACGCCGAAATTAATTAAATGCTGCCCCCCCGGAGTGATGGGCCACGACGGAACATGTGTTTGCAAGGTTTCAATGACCTATACTTGACGTTTCCCATGGGGGCCTTCCACGGTCCGGCAAAGTAGTATCTAACCCCGTTTCGACTGCTCCTGATGAGTGGCGGTCAGATATGAGGATTTTGGCGGAGCTTGGAGTATAGGAGAGGTACGAAAAGTCGCCTCCCAGCAATCAATCCAGTAAATGGATATCTAACTGCCGCCAGGGACAGGGTTCATGTGCATGGAGTCATGGCGTTTATTTTTGTGGGCGTATTTTCTTCCTGTTGAGCATCCTGGAGATGCATCGGGTTGGAGAAAAGGCACTAGGGCTGGTATTGGGAAGTCTTTGGACAATGAATATATTTTTAACATGAGTGCCGCATCAGATTGATGGATCAGCTATGCGACCGGATATCGAGTTATTCTCTTTAAGCATGTCGAGGGCATTGCTCTCTTAGCCTCACCAACTTGATATCACCGGGAATCATCAAACCATCAAATGCTACCAACACTTCAGATGTAATATTCAAGTCCATGGATACCATGGATGTTTTGAGTAGTTAGCGTTGGCAGTGAATCATCTCTCTCGATGGAGGGAGGTTATGACGCACAGCTACATATCTGACTTTTGGTTGAGGAGCTTGCTTACTAATGCTAGTCGCGTGGCTGTTGCCAAAACTTTCGGTCCAGCTGACCCTATTCTTTTCAGGATTTCATGGAAACAGCTAGCAGGCATTATGCGTAATGATGTGGTAATACTCTATTTATGAGTCACAGCTATATTACTAGTTGTAAATGGTTGGTATTCAATCTTAATTGACATTATGTAATTGCAGTAGCGGATTCTGGTGGCGACGTCCTCGCTTTCGGTCGAAGCAGTACACGCAACGGCTAACATCAGATGCAACTGCAGACACGCAGATTGGGACCACCGTATATGCCGTCTTAGTTATGCTCAGAGAAGCCTCGTTTACTATGGCAAGCCGTGGTACTTGGCCATGTTGTAGTTGAACCGCACTCGAACAGGGCCAGACTCGAGGATACATCTATCAGCGACCTGAATTGAGGCCTACTGGACCATCCACATCGGTTATTCTTTGAGAGTTACTTGGGGTTTAATAGGAAGCAGGTTCATCCAGCCAGGACAGGCACCGCGCCAGTCTCGACGACCAGCGCGGGTACCCTCAGACTAGATGCAATCAGAACACTGACTTGACTGACAGGCAGTATAATCATCTTGGAGAAGAGGTAGTTAGAGTAGGGAACCAATAGTTAGCATTGATGGATGAAGTCGATGATTGAATTTGCGGCTGTTATTCTTCTGCCTGCGCCTTTGACGCTCACTTCGATAGGATGACTAAGCAACACCATCCACACTGAAAAGTTGATGACGAGGATAAGTACGAAGAAGATAATGAAGATGGGTGTGAAGCTCGATGGTAAGCGGAATTGGTAGAAGAGATAATAGAATATATAAACGTAGGCTGCGGACCCTCATATCCACATCTACACCGTGTCGTCCTAGCACCCTGTCGTTGCTGCTTGCTTGCCCGCAGGTGTGGCCAAGCCTGCTAACTGCTAGTTAACAGGTAACTAACTACCTGTTAGTTAGCTAGTAAGTTAGGTCGGCCAGCTAAAGTGTCGACATTGTGATAGCTTCACCGAGATAATCCGTAAGATAAACGGCTCCTGGCCTCAACGCTAATGTCATTCCCGCCCTCCCATACTTGATCTTCTATATCTTACTATTTAATACACCCGACAACCTGGAGGCAACATCAGCTCGGATGGCGGCTAGGGACCGCTTCAGCGCCTACCTGGAGCCACCCGCACAGTCGACGCTACAGCGATATATCCGTATGTCCCTCCCTCCCGCCCTTGTCTACGGATGATGTGCTGCTATCTACCTAAGTGTGAAGACGACCGCTGACCGAGTGCCTTTAACCAGATAATGCGTGCGACCCCCAGAACTACGAACCGAACCTCGCCCTAAACCTAGAGGTGGTGGATTTGATCAATACAAAGAGGGGAAATGCGTGAGTGCGGCAGCCCAGCGGTTTGCGCTGGAGATACTATTTACTATTTCATTGGAATGGAATCCTAATTAGATGCCGGTGGTAAAGGCCTCGTGAAGCAGCAATGACCATTGTCCAGTTGATAAACTCTCGGAATGCGAATGTTGCGATGTTAGCCCTCGCTGTACGCTCTTACCGCTCCCGCCCCTCCCCCCCTTTCTACCAATATCCTAGGATTCGTACAAGGCTGACTGCTTGGTCACTCTGCTATACCTTATACCACTCAGTTGCTCGACATATGCGTGAAAAATTGTGGATATCCCTTTCACCTTCAGATCAGTACAAAGGAGTTCTTGAACGAATTAGTTCGTCGATTCCCTGAACGGCCGCCTATTCGGCCGTCGAGAGCGCAGCAGAGGATTCTCGAGTCTATTGAAGAATGGAGACAGACGATATGCCAGACCTCAAGGTACAAGGATGACCTGGGATTCATCCGTGACATGCACCGCCTCCTCCTCTACAAGGGCTACATGTTTCCAGAGATCCGACGTGAAGATGCTGCCGTTCTGAACCCAAGCGATGTATGTGGACCAGCTCTTAGTACTACATACGTTAGGCTCAAGGCCGATGCAGACACTAATGATCCACGCGATATAGAACCTCCAATCTGCAGAGGAGATGGAAGAGGAAGAGAAGATCGCTCAGTCAGCAAAGCTCCAAGAGCTAATACGCAGAGGGAACCCGGATGACCTTCGAGAAGCCAACAGACTAATGAAAATAATGGCAGGATATGATACACGACATCGGACAGACTATCGAGCAAAGGCGGCAGAGGAGGTTTCGAGGGTTCAGGAGAAGGCCAAGCTTCTTGAAGAGATGCTAGAGAATTTCAAGCCTGGCGACAAGTTAGCGGAGGGTGACGTCTATGAGGTGTGTGCTGGTTGCCCTCGCAAAACGGAATACAACAAATACTTACCTGACTTAACATAGGAACTAGCCAGTGCTCTTCAAAACGCACATCCAAAGATACAAAAGATGTGTGAGGATGAGTCGGACGACAACGAGGCTGTATCAAAACTACTGGAGATCAATGATAGTATACACCGAACGGTGCAAAGGTATAAGTTGATCAAGGCCGGAGATGTAGCTGGAGCATCCAATATACCTAAAGGTACTCTAGGGACGAGCACGGGTGTGAAAAAGAATGCTGCCAACGAGCTATCTTTGATCGATTTTGGAGGCGAGGAAGAGCAACTGTCTGCGCCTTCTAACGGCAATACAGCTGCTAAAGCACCTGCTGCTTCTACACTTGAGGGTGACTTACTAGGTCTCTCCTTCCAAGACGAACCTCAGGGAAGTGTTGCGCTTCCTCTGGGTCCATCTGATGGTGAGTGATAGCTGCCATATTTTTATCCACCGCATCAGTGCCGCTACTTACCACTGCAGAAGGCCCTGGCTCAGCCTCAATTCCAAAGCCGTCACCAGCACCTTCCACCTCAACACCTACGCCTCTACCAGCTGACCCGTTTGCCGCCATCACCTCTGGCGGATCACGGACATCTTCACCGTTCAACAAACTACAAAGTTCAGCTTCTTCAAACGCTGCATCTTCTTCACTATTAGACCTAAGCCAGCTAACGTCGGGGGCTTCAGCTTCAAACCTTCGTGGCTCATATTCGCCTCAACAACCCACCCAAGGGAAACAAATGACGCCAGCCCAGGCAGCTGAACCAGACGACGAATGGACCTTTTCATCTGCTCTTCCAGAGGAAACTTTACCCTCACAGAATACCATAGAAGTTCTCAATACCGCCATAGGCATAAAAATGCAGGTGAAACGTTTTCCCGGAGAGAATAAAATACATGGTCTTGTATCATTCTCCAACAATACACCGCACGCTATTTCAGAATTACACTTCCAGATAGCCATAGAGAAGGTACCAGACACCATTTACCTTTTTCGTTTCGCCCATTTGCTCGCATTTTATTATGGCTTTTCCTTACTAGTCATGGTCACACTTGTATCTGGACGAATATTAGCTAACGTCATGTTTCCGGTCTTTTCTACTCCTGCAGGCTTATTCCTTACAGCTCCGGCCTCAATCTGGCAGAGATATTGCGCCGTATCAGAAGATTGGGGTTCAGCAGCAGCTCCAGATGGACGGGGTTCAGCCAGGCAAGGGGAACTCGGTCAGGCTTCGGTATAAGGTATCCTTCAAGGTTGGACAAGAACTAAATGAGAGTGATGGATTGGTGCCATCATTAGGCATTTCGTAAAATAGCCGGGCTAACGAGGTGGGCTAAGCTGTAGCAGAATATATAGCACCCTTTATTTATTTATTTTTCACTCAACTCCATTCACGGCTATTATTTTCACCATCTGTATATATCGGGTACATGGAAGAACGCTGACTTTTCCCTTTTCCCAGGGCTAAATAGTTGCATAGCTACTGCTTAACACGTGTTCCGTCCTCCCTCGACGGTGCACTTCGATGCAGAGCTATTGTGAATAATTATGACGTCCTGTTATGACTCCACGATTGTTTACATACAACAAATGACTTCAACTCTGGATAGTGGTTGACTAGTGCCAGACACCGGTAGCAATTGGGGTAACGGCCTTCTCCGCGTCGCCCCGGGCCGAGAACTGATGCCCCTAGAATATCATCTATCGAACAAGTCTGGCGGTGGTATCTACTCTGAAACTGCCAGAAGAAAGAACTGCTCCGTACCTAGTCGCGATGATCTACATTACATGTAGCGTGTAACACATTGCACCGTTTCAAGAAGCGCGGATAATCTCCACTTAGTGGATTATGTAATCATACGCGCCTGTTAGCGTTTCAACCGTCCGCTAGCGCGGTGGAGCTGAGTTAGATACAACGTCACGGATCATGCTGGCAGAAAAACAACAGCATCTATGATGCGCATAAGGCCGGTTGTAAATATACCAACACTGTACCATGGATCAAAGGCTTGGATACCTTAGCTAATACCCCCCCTACGGACTCAATACACCGTCTGCAGTCTCATGACGTCTGAAATCTGGTACTCTTTACTGGACGGGGACACTGGATACCCTGGGCATCACCATGCCTAAACGGCCCGAAGACAAGCTTACACTACGTCAGGAGTCATGTCCTGCCATCTAGCTATGACGGTACTAGGGTCGTTTCGGTGGGAGGATGGTGGTGCTTCTATTATTGCGTCAGGCTACATAATCGGAGCCAAGAGCATCGTCATATGTTCCCCCTATGACCATGGGCTCACGGCGGCGGATTTGTAAGAATCCAGTCAATTTAGCCCCCTAGAAGCAATGCCATAGGGCAAAGAATGGTTGAGCATGTTGCTTTAGGCTACTATGACTTACAATTTGGCTCTCTCTGGCTAGTGATTCCACCGTGATGAACATGGCGGACAGGCATCTTTTTAAGGGATGCTCTGCTGTGATGGGTAGGCTATCATAGGAGACAAAGCAACTGAATCTCCTTATGGTAGCGCATTTCTACCATGTTCATCTATGTCCTCACTTAGGAAACTCGTACAAGAAGATTGCCTTCTCTACAGCGCTTAGTGACTCCATTTTTCACGCCTGTCGAGCATGTATGCTGGAACATTACTTCCTTGTACTGTTCAAAAACACTGGCACGCATTCTTCGAAGGCGATATGAAGAGAGAGTTCTTTGAGATTCACGGTTAGTGGTAGCTCCATACATACCACTCTTCATAAGGGTCAGGTGTGTATGTAGCGCCTCTGCAAGATCATGAGCAGCAGCTGTGACGTTTTTATATTACGCATACGTATAATATCGTCAAGAGTGGTTAGCCTATGTCATAATTCGTGCTGTGATGTCACCGCAGTTATACCAGTATAAAACAAGGGGCAAATTTCCCAAATCTCCCAAATTTCCCCCTCCCTCTTTCTCTCCTCTACCCTACCCTATCCGCTTACATTTCCCCCGAAGTTCGATAATATCAACAGTGTGTATTGTCACAGACTGCTATCTGAATATACGCCGTTATACTCTGTATCAACGACCTTCGCTATCTCAGCGACCCCAATCTCGTCAAGCGTAACTTGGGGCTGCCCCCTTTTATCTACTTTTCGACATCGGTACATCAGACGTGAGTAACAACACTGCTGGAAACGCATCAAAACTCGTTGTCATTAGATATTAACTTATCTACAGCGCAAACATGAATCAGAACTACGCCGGCTACAACGCTCAGGGTGTGGTTTCTCAGCCACAGGCCGCTATCCCACAGAGTCAACAGGCGGCCCAGGACCACGCACAGGCACAAGATACGGCGGCTAATGCTGCCATCGAGGCGGTCAGAAGCCAGTTTATAAAGGCAGTTAAGGACAAAGAAAGGTGAGCCCCTATGCACCTCTCCCCTATTCTTTAGTTATCTGTCAGCTCCCAGACAATTAAATTAACATTACTCCTCTGCAGAGCCTTCCTTAGTGCTTCACGCAGGAGGGATAGGAGCCTTGATATGCGGATGGAGTCAGCTAAGAATGCCTCGAAATGCCACTACATTGTGAATCGTTTCTGGCTTGAGGTCGACAGGCAAACTGTCGAAAATTGCGGGGACTTCAAAGTAACTTCGGTTTGCCCTAACTACTGGAACGAAAAAATCCCAGCTTCCAACAGCTGGAGGGGCCCTTTTCCAGCACCCTTGTACGCCACTAGTTGGACTGATTGCCCTAGGCGTTCTCCGCCCATTCCGACTCAGTCAGTACAGCTTGCTGCCTCCTGTAACAACATTGTGGCCGAGAACCGCTCCGGGGATTCTCTTCCCCATCTACCCCCCGGCTACCAGCCGCCTCAGCCGGCGGTAGTACCCCAAACCGCCCAACCTGCAGCGCAGCCTCAGCAGCAGGCGGCCTTTCAGTTGACACAGCATTCTAACTACCAACAAACTTCTATGTTACCTCAGCCGCCCCAGCCGGCGGTAGTACCCCAAACCGCTCAACCTGCAGCGCAGCCTCAGCAGCAGGCGGCATTTCAGTTGACACAGCACTCTAACTACCAACAAACTTCTATGTTACCTCAGCCGCCCCAGCCGGCGGTAGTACCCCAAACCGCCCAACCTGCAGCGCAGCCTCAGCAGCAGGCGGCCTTTCAGTTGGCACAGACCAACTACCAACAAACTTCTATGTTACCTCAGCCGCCCCAGCCGGCGATAGTACCCCAAACCACTCAACCTGCAGCGCAGCCTCAGCAGCAGACCTCCAACCACCAACAAACAATCGAACCACAGTCTTCAATGGATTTTCAACTTCCGGTAGAGCCCCAACAGGAACAAGGGGTCGCCGGACCGTCTCAGATTAGGAATACAACTGTCCCCGACGTCTTCGACCTATTCGTCAACTTTGGAAATGGCGATAAAGAGCCTCCGACGATTGATCCTCGCCAGCTTAACCGAGAATGATGGATTTTTCATTTCAATTTACTATACTGTAACTCATTCTTCACTTTGGATTCTATTCTCATTTATTCTTTACTTTGGATTTCTTTTCTTTCTTTTATTTTCTTCTTGACTTTCTTTCTTTCTCCTTTCTATCTTCTTTCTATCTTCTTTTCATTTTATTTTATTTTCTTTCTTTTCTTTCTTTTCGATTTTCTTTTGATTTCCCTTTTACCTTCCTTACTTCTATTTCATTTTATTTTATTGCGAATTCTGAAGATTTTTGTAGCTATTTTAGGAATGTAATGCTGTTTCTGTTTCGTACAACCAACCTCTCACTCATACTTGAACGTAGGATGTAAATGCGTAACTAAGCAGTGTAGTCACTCTTTAACTGGTAGACGGCAACTATGGTAGACACGATGGGAGTTTAGTATTATTCGGCGCATGCATATCAATGGGCAAACTGGGAACTCCGTAAGTGGTTTGTAAAAGAGAAAGGATATGACACCTGGTAAAGCGCTGTTCATTAGGTACCCTATTGATTTTCATGGTTTCAGGTTCTAATCGCTAGAAGCGACCATCATTACGCCTGAATAATTCGTATACTATACAAGGTCCAAGCAATCTTAAGTCTCATGACACTTGTAAACTCATTCATTTTTTAGTTACGGTTGGATGAAGAGGTATGGACTGGGCCTCTGTCCCGCTTTACTCGGGGTTTGTTAAGGGTATACCTATTAGATCAAATTAGACGCTGGTACAAGCAAAACAAGAGCAGAAAATTCAGCAAAACGTACTTGGCAAATGCCCTTGAAAGGGCCTTTTTGCAACTTATTTTTTGGCTACCGATAAAGGAGTCGACGGTTACGGCAATCGCACGGTCAATGTCGCGAGACGAGCAATATTCGGACAGACGCATTTTGCAGAATGCTTCCGCGATTCTCATGATTGATTCAAGATGCCGCACCTATTAATGGTAAGTCGGAGCCATATAGAACTGGAGGGAAGAACTGATGTCGGGGCGACTAGCACCGCACCGTATGGATAAGAGGTACGTACCGTTATAGGGTATGCGCCAGTTGCCAGGCTCTCACGTCTCAAATCAGCAAAGACCTCAGCGACCTTACCTTCATCTATTTGATATAACTTTGGATGGCATTTTTCTCGCGCATAGACGATGTATTTGCGCAATAGCTCCTGCGGAATAGCATCTGCCCTCTGTGCCTTAAACCTGGATTCAGGGGAGTTCTCGGAGACATCTTCTTCCGGGTTTCCTTGTGCGTCCTTAATCGGGTTCGATCGGTAATGCGAATTCATCACAAATGAAGCCAATCCTTCGTCTACATCTGGATTCACCATGTCTCTGACAACGCAGAGAATATCAAAACGAGAAAGGATGGGTTCAGTGAGTTCAACATTTTGAGAAAAAGGAAGTGTTCCCCTGTAGCGGCCCCCAATAGGGTTTGCCGCTGCAACAATAGAGCACCGCGCCTGGAGTGTGGTAACAATACCACCTTTCGATATGGATATTGTCTGTTGTTCCATCGCTTCGTGAATCGATGTGCGATCTTGATCATTCATCTTGTCAAATTCGTCAATTAAGCAGGTACCTCGATCGGCCAATACCAGCGCACCGCCTTCAAGAGTCCATTCACTGGTCATTGGATCACGACGAACATTTGCAGTTAAGCCGACAGCACTAGCTCCCTGTCCGGTAGCAAAGACGGCACGATGGGCGGTTTTCTCTATGTACTTTAGAGCTTGTGATTTGGCAGTACCTGGGTCACCAAGCAGTAGTACGTTGATATCTCCACGGATGTTCATTTTTCCCTGAGCTACCTTGCTAACGCCGCCAAACAGAGAGAGAGCGACCGCGGTCTTAACATCTTCATGCCCATAGATACTTGGGCAGATTGAAGCTATGATCTTCTCGACAATACCAGGATCCTTAGACAAAGCTTGGATTTGATGTTCATCCTCCTCAGTCAATTGGAATCCAGCGAGCTGATCATGAGATTTCACAATGTGGTTAGCCTCGATAATTGTACTGAAGACTGGTAACCCACTCCTTTGACTCATTGGAAGATCATATTGATTGCGGTAAATACCAGTGATTTCGACTTCGTCACCAGGTTTGGCAGAATCAATCAAATCCGCCAAAAGAATAACATCTCGATGGCGCGGGAGTCGGCCAGCAGGTACGGTGCCCGGAGATTCTTGAAGAGTTAGTTTCTGGAAGTTGCGATATTCCGTTCTCTCGGAGTTTAATGTAAAAGGTCCACGGCTTTGACAGTTTTGACAAAACGAGATTTTTAGTTCGCTACTCGAGTCTTGTTCAAATGGCCCAAGGGTGACACCACATTTGTTGCAATTGAACATAATGTATTTCAATTGTGGGAAAACACCTGTTCGCCTTGTAACCACACCGCTCACACAGACAAGGCAGTTGAGATGGCTTTGGCGAAGCTGGCGGAGGGTATATTTCACGGGTAGATTAGTAATTCGTACGTGAATTTCGCTATGAATACGGTGGTAGTCTCTGTAGTGCAACAATGTAGCTTCCATAGCTACCTGGTCAAATATTTTGAGGACTTCAGCTGGGGCGTTTGCAAGGAAGTATGCAATTATCGATTTTGACTCGCTAAGATGAGGGTATGCGACTTCAAGCGACTCCGAATTCTCTTCTCCGAGATTCTTCACAAGGGTGCCATAGACTGAAATGCCGTCCTTGTCCGTGAATTCGGTTATGAAGGATTTGAACTCTCGGTAGATTGCCCTATGAATAGCTGGGGTTGCTACCCATTCTGTAAGATTATCGGCCTTGATATCGGCCATATCTTCTAAAGTTAGGTCGGCTTCTGGATCATCCATATCTGCGTCCTGGCTCTCTTCGTCATAGTTGCGTCGGTGCCTGCGCGTCTGCAGGGAAAGGTCGGGAACACCATCAAAGTCATCCTCCTGCAGGAAAGCAGCGGGCATTTTTCGTCTTCGAGCGATTTCACGGTCTCGTTTGTTGAGTCGTGCTTCAAGTTGTCGTCGCGCTGCGGGGTCTAATTCCTCTTGATCTGCATCATCGATATCAACTCCACCATACCCATCGTCGGCACGACTCGCATAATCTCTTTCGAAATTGTCTGCAAAGAGGTCAATGCCATCGTCATCCTCTGCCATCTCCTCTAAATCGTCTATATCGGGGATAAACCCTTCCTCTGCAGCTATGTCATCTTCGTTGTCAGCCTCATCAAGAGGCAGCATTGGCGGAGAGGAAGGAGGCGCTGCTCTATGGTTAGCAACCGTCTTAAGTTATATTTTATCCTATAGCATGTTTGCTTACGGCTCGAAGGAGGTGGGGCTGAGGAGTTATCGTCAAGGCCATCATGCCCACGCTTTCTACTGGTGAGGTTTGTTCGCCCTCGGTTACCAGCAGAGTTACTTGGGCGTAAAGGAGAACTGAATTAAATCGAAATCGTCAGAATTTCCGTCGGATCTTAGGTGAACTTAGCAGGCTTGGGTGGAATGCAGCCATACCTCATTGTGAATTGCTCGCCTACTGGCTGCCGTAGTTAGAGATGCGCAGGTGTAAAAAGAACAGCAACGCAACACACTCTCGAACTTAGTTATCGAGCGAATTAAGTATGCCTGTCGGGTCCTTCGGTAGCTTGCTGGCGCTTTCGACGCTGTTTGTTTGATGCTGCATGTAGAATGTAGAGAGAGAAGAAAAGCTCGTCAATTTGATAGTAATCGAATCGAACAAATCGAAGCGCGCGAACACGTCGCGTCGCGCCAAAAATAACCGCGTTATCCAATTTAACCTAAATGGGGAAGAAGAGTGCAAACTAGACAAACAGCGACCTCCTCGGCTCAATCCGCGACGAAGCTGCGCAAGGAAGCATGAGAGAGTTGGAGCAGAAGGAGAAGGAGAGGAACAACCGCTGCAATTGATTGCCAGCTCAATTTCCGATATTATACTGTTTATTATTGCCTAGTAGTCGGGATATGGATCCAAGTCAGACTTCCAACTCGGCGGGTGGGAAGGTGGACGGCGTTGAGGTTCCTCTAAAGCGACGCGAGAGCTTCGCCTCTCAGAACTCGCAGACAGCCTCTGAGTAAGTGAAGCGCTGTTACTTCTGAGAAAATGCCCAGCTAGACGAGAGCGAGGTTCTAACAGCTACCTACTAGTTTCATCAACGAACAATTGAGGCTGGAGGCAGATGCACGCGAAGCCTTACCCTATGTATGTCTCTTGCACATCAGTTACTCGTCCTCATGCAAAGGCTAATACAGCTACATTCAGTCATTTGATAATTGCACACGACCACTTGGGGCCCTGCGACAGAGCCTTTTTTCCTGCCTTACTTGCAACCCTCCTCCCGAAAACACGAATTCCCCTTATAACCCCGCTGGTGTCTGCTACTCCTGTTCGATTTCGTGTCATGGTGAGCACGAATTGGTAGAACTCTTTACAAAACGCGATTTTACTTGCGACTGTGGCACCAAACGGTTACCCTCGACATCCCCCTGCACCTTGAGGGCAGACCCTGCTACTGGCGAGAAGGGCGTCCACTCGGAGGATCCCACTACAGGTAATAAGTACAATCAGAACTTTAGAAACAGGTTCTGTGGCTGCGGCGACACATATGATCCTGCTAAAGAGAAGGGGACCATGTTTCAATGTCTTGGTATTGGCACAGTCGAAAATGGTGGTTGTGGAGAAGACTGGTGGCATCCTGAGTGCTTGCGAGGTCTGCCCCGTGTTGCAAGCACTGATAAAGAAGAAGACGAGGACCCGCCTTTACCACCCGGATTTCCAGATGAAGATGACTTTGAAACCTTTATATGTTATAAATGCCTGGATTCCAATCCGTGGATAAAGCGGTATGCAGGGACCCCAGGATTCCTGCCTCCAGTGTACCTCGACGAGAAAAGGCCGAGTGGTTCACCGAAGGTGGTAGAAGATACAGGAGTTAATGCAACTGAGTCAGTGGCAACCCCGTGCAAAAAGCGAACATTTGAAGATGAAGATACCGTGTTACCGGACTTGAAACGGGCAAAGCAGGAATCCCCAACGCATTTGGGCGAACCAAACGCTCAGATCGCGAAGACCAAGGAAAAACACGATTTACTCCCGTTGGATACCCCTAAAGGCCAGTTTTCGCTGTTTGTCAAAGAAGACTTCCGCGATCATCTGTGTAAATGTGTGGAATGTTTTCCTTATCTTAAAGTAAATCCTCAGCTCCGTGAGGAAGAAGATGTCTATGAACCTCCGCTATCTGAAGATGGTGACGGTCAGAATGCTAACACTAGTGCCGGCAGCATTCACACAGGAAGTCTCCTGGACAGAGGTGAAGCTGCGCTCAGCAACTTGGACCGAGTAAAGGCAATCGAAGGTGTTATGGTTTACAATCATCTCCGTGACAAAGTGAAGGAATTCTTAAAACCATTCGCAGAGAGCGGTCAAGCAGTCGGAGCAGAAGATATCAAATCCTATTTTGAAAAACTGAGAGGTGATGATCGGGCAATACATGAGGCTGGTGGGAAACCCTCTACTTCACATGGTGAAGATGATCCGGAGGATGATGAAAAAGGGGATAATCGAAGAGAACAAAATGGTGAGTAGTGAAGCTTTACCAAGCCCATGTTGAGATCATTTTCTGAGCAATTAGTTTCTAACGCTCGTTTATAGGATATTGAGTCTGTTGGTTGGACGTCTCAAGGAGTAGACCGCCAGTCGAGCTCGACACTTTATTTTCTTGACTTCTGACTCATGTATTCGTATTTCCCTTTTCCTGAAAACTGGATCTTATTGTAATCACAAGATAATGGATTATTAGATACCCCAATGTCCTAAAGGGTCTATTCCTCCCGGATTTCCCTCTCTTCTGCCCTGCAACTTCCTAACTCTTCTCGTCAACATCCCCACACTCAATGGCCCAATGATGGTACATAACACGTTGGCCCAAGTAACAATTAGGTATAGCTTCGAACTCCCAGCATGTTCTTCGCCTTGGGATCGGAGAAGACCACTTGTTTCGGCTAGAGAAGCTATCAAAAACCCTATCTCACCACGAGAAACCATGGCGGTGCCCAGCATGGCAGCTGGGTAGAGAGATAATGGGTTGCTTATTTGCGAGGATGGAGATGAACGGGAATTCTGGTTAGGGACTTGGTGTACGGAGCGGCGATCCTGCACTGCTATATCATCTGCTGCACCGCTGCGCAGTTGCGTGGTTCTTTTGCAGTTGCCCACGGCAGCCTGTTTTTTATGGCTATGTCCTCTCGAAGCCCGCCTGAAGCAAGATGCCGAAGTCATGATTATCGAGCGTACGCCCTTTGGCATCCGAAACCCGGGCCAGATATTACACCGTATAAGCCATACACCAGTGATCAACTTAGCAAAGAACATTAAAACCGAGAAGACAACACCTTTCCACAAAACCTCACCATGGAACATGTCAGCAATTGGAATTGCAAAGCCAATCGACGCCTTCATTTTATTAGCAACTCTTGAATCTGAGGGTAGAGGTGGGCTGTGACGTACGAAAAAGAATGGTTTCAGGATGTAGGCTGTAACCGGAGCATAGTATTGATGATATGTATCCAAGCCACGGTTGTCCAAAGGCACATGGGGGCTGCTTATCATACTAGATGCTTGGGATGCTGTTGGAGTAGATGTGATCTCCGGATGAGGAAGTTCACTATCCCACCAACTTATTGCAGCTCCGGCCAAGTACGCTGCAAAGAGGTTAGATGTGCCAGCAAAGGTAGCCCCGGTAACGAGCCCAAAAAGTATAAGCGTGTGTATGATGGGTGCAGTGTGAGCCATAGTACAAAATTTGTTCGTGTAGCCGGATGGAGCTTTGTGTCTTGTTTGGTTAAGTTGTAGGGTGATCGGCTTCACAATAAGCCGGCACACTACTGGAACTGTGATGGCTAGACCAAATGACACAGCAAGCGGCCGGATAACAGTAACAGGATTTAGTGATGTCTTTTCCTGTCCAAGGTTAGACACAACCTGTATCATAACAAGCCCAATAACGTCATCTATCATGGCAGCACTACTCAAGACAGTTCCAAGACGAGTAGACAATAGCCCGCTGGAATTTAGAACGGTAAATGTGGTCCCTAAACTGGTGGAACAGAGTGCTGCACCCGCGGCAAATGATTGTAGAGGAACCGCTTCTGCTAGAGGCTGGAGGACAAACGCAAGGCCCATAGGGCAGCATATTCCCGTTACCGCCACGGTCATAGATAAAGAGATATTAGCTTTTAAAGACTGAAATTTTGTACCCAATCCTCCTTTATAATTGTCAGTTGAAAGGGCTATTAGGGCTAGTTTGTAGGACAACGATTTTACCTTCAAAGACAAGCAGGAGGAGGCCTAAGTATCCGAGTTGAACCATAACCTTTTGCGAGCTTGTGTCCAGCCAATTGGCTCCCGGGGTACCCCAGGCAATACCAATAAACACTTGCCCAAGTAAGCCGCAGAATATCACATTATCTAGGACAGTACTAATGAAGTTGAGACAGAGAATGAATGAAGATTGGATGAGAATTGTCCTAAGGCTTGGTTCATGGTAAGGGAGGAAATGTTCGGTTCCATCAATCATCATGCCAAATAACAGCGTGTACAGAGCAAAGCTCGTTATTTCAGGGAGAAGTTCTGCCTCCTCCTGTCAAACAATCACACTGAATATCAATGACAGCAGCAGTGTCAAGAAATAAAAGTTGGATGTCGAAGCAAAAAGATTAATGGACCAGGGGGTCGATATGCTCACGTGACCCATCTTGGCCAGGTCGGGCTAGTTAGTTACGAGACGACATAAAACATCTGCAGGTGTTTTGGGAAGCTGAGAAGAGCAACCACCAGCATGGATCAATAGAATATGGTGGCTTTCATTTTACTTCTTGACTTTTAGACTGTATTATTTTCTCTGATGATCCACTTGGCATTTTCATTTATCTCTTTCTTTTTTTACGTTCTATTTTTTATTTAATTTGCACCTTGTTCAAATGGCTTCTCGATCAACAGCCAAAGGCATACACCGGACTGTACAAGTGGCTTTTGATGGTAAGGCAGATTTATCCTTTTAAGACTTCGTGGAATGCTTTTGTCCGGTTGAAATTTCGACGTATTTTATCCACCAATTCATTCTGCCTTCGGACAGCATGTACTTTTGATATCCAACCATACTATGAGGTTATGCTGCATCATTCTCCTTTATACCCATTTTCATTCAAACATTCAGAGCACTAGAATGATGGCACTGTGGTGCTCCCACACTTCTCTGTCTTGGGCATCGAAAATAAAACGATGTGGCTGATTCCGGAGTCATTTCCGGTATTACCGGCTATCGCATCCCGAATTGTTAGACGCAGTTTGGACCTGTTACAAGAGGAATATATCACTGATTGCCTATTTATCTGCTAATATTTGGCGATTCTATACCCATGCTGCTTGTTTCTCTACTTTACAAAACCTTGGCTCAGGTTACCCCTGGATTTTTTGCTAACACGGCAACATTTAGATTCTGCCAATCAAATCAAGTCTCCGGGCTTCGGTTATACCAGCAAAGTTCGCATAAGAGAAAAATACCATATCGTTGGTTTTATTAGTAGCGGTACCTATGGGCGAGTTTATAAGGCAGTGGGGAAAAATGGGCAAAAAGGTGAATTTGCTATCAAAAAGTAAGGGAAATCTTCGACAACTTCTATCAATATTAAAATAAATTCTAACAAGAAGATAATGCTAGGTTCAAACCTGATAAGGAAGGAGAAACGATTCAGTACACGGGACTTTCACAGTCTGCAGTTCGAGAAATCGCTCTGTGCACTGAGCTAAACCACCCTAATGTCGTGAGACTTGTCGAGATTATCCTTGAGGACCGGTGCATTTTCATGGTATTTGAGTATACCGAGCATGATCTACTGCAAATAATACACCACCATACACAACCCCAGCGGCATGCCATTCCCGCGCCGATGGTGAAGTCTATCCTTTTCCAATTGCTCAATGGACTTCTTTATCTTCATTCAAACTGGGTTCTTCATCGTGATCTCAAACCAGCTAACATACTGGTTACATCTGGTGGTGCAGTAAGGATCGGTGATCTTGGACTTGCCCGGTTATTCTATAAACCGCTTAACTCACTATTTTCCGGTGATAAGGTTGTAGTGACGATATGGTATCGCGCACCTGAATTACTACTCGGCAGCCGTCACTACACCCCGGCTGTTGACCTCTGGGCAGTGGGGTGCATATTCGCCGAGTTACTCTCTCTTCGCCCAATATTTAAGGGAGAAGAGGCAAAGATGGATAGCAAAAAAAACGTTCCTTTCCAACGAAACCAAATGCTCAAAATAATGGAAATTCTTGGAATGCCTCTGAAGCAAAATTGGCCTGGTTTAACTGCGATGCCCGAATACGGCCAGCTTCAAGCATTTGCATTAGGCCCGGGAACAAGCCATATACACAAGCCATCAAGCCTAGAACCGTGGTATAATGCCTGTCTGAAGAATGGTTCATATTCCGCTTCATCAGTTGCAGGGACCCCCGGGAAAGAAGGTTTTGATCTTCTCTCCCGACTTTTAGAGTATAACCCAATGAAAAGGATTACCGCAAAGGAGGCTTTAGAGCACCCATACTTTTCAACAGGCAGCCCAATCACATCAAATTGTTTTGAAGGATTCGAAGGAAAATACCCGAATCGAAGGGTCAGTCAGGATGACAACGATATCCGCACCAGTAGCTTGCCTGGCACAAAGCGGAGTGGCTTACCAGACGATTCCCTAACATCTAGGGCAGCAAAGCGTGTACGAGAAATGTGAATCGAAGCCTTCATTTTTACGGTGGTTTTTCCACCGAGGATAGACACTGGATTCATCACCTTGCGATCAAACTACCTTATTCGCACGAGGCCGATGTTCCTCCAATGATCGATCGAGAAATGCAGCTCTACCTAGAGTCTAGAAATGTTGAATGCATAAGATCTATGTCTTAAGACATTTAGGATCTAGGGGAGAATGTTCTAAATCGCTTCCATCTCTCCATCTAAACCAAATATTTAATTATTCGAGACCTGGACATGGTATACACGAACAGCGATGTGGCGTTACAATTCAAACCCCCTGGGAACCTTTTGTGATAGTGTGAACGCACCCTGTGGCAGTATTGCCTGTTTATCGGATATTCCCTAGCAGCTCTCAAACGATCTGATCTTGGTGGAAGATTAAATTGACCATTAATTCTAAAACCTCATACTGCGGATCGCGCATGCAGATACCATGGAATCTCCTCGATTAACCACATACCAATCGCTCCTTCATCCATGTATCTACCCCAATCCACGGGTCATACATGGCCTCCTTTTGATAAAGAGCATATGCCTAACTGGTATCATTCTATATTGGTATTGATAAGTATCTGGAATAACAGGATAGGCACCCGTGGAAATATGTAACTATATCAGGGTCCTTTCTACCTAAAGAAAAACATCATTCTAGTACGGATTGTCTGAAACATTTCCGTCATCATTGTTAATTCTTGTAACACCTTCCAATCAGACCTTCTATGTAATGAAGCTGTAAGTTAACTAAGCTATAAGCTACTAGGCATAAGAACATTAAGAGACGAGCCCATGGGCTGCTTTGTCTGTATCTCCAAATCAGCCACCAGGCTCCAGTTTCTCCAGCAGATGGCAGCTCACACTGTAGATCCATGAGCTTTCTTATTCTCCAGGTCCCTGCAGCTCCACCCGTTTCTCGTATACCATAACGCCCCCAAGCATGGTCCTCGAGTTAGTTGCATGAGTACTCCGTACCACATCAAGAGATTCAGCGAAGCGTTTTAAGTGACGCTTTATTCTCTTTTCTCGCATTAGTTATATACCTAGGTAGTTAATGAGCTTGAGCTTGATCGACGATAATGAATCTTCCTCAGGTTGGTGCATCGTCTTCAGAGGGAGTTAGTTACGTATCTCCCACGGTTGATGAATGGAGGAACGAAACTGAAGATATCCCTTTCTAACGAGCCACAAACAGAGGCAATATCACTCCGTCACCAGCCGAACCTTTGTTCGTGATCTTGGCCAAATCTTAGTTATAGTAGTTACGTAGAACAGGCCATGGATACTGTAGCCTTCGGCAAGGGGTACAGACCTCCATCCGCAAGATCTATTTGGGGCTCAATCCCGAGGGAAGACGACCAATTGGTCACTGAACCGCATGTAAAGATGATCCAGGTTCGGTGCTTTTCATGCATGTAGGTAGTGCTTTATGTACTCAAAAAGGAACGCGATTAACTTGCCGGATGCCTTGTGGGTTTTCCGGACAACACCGCGCTGCGTGGGTTCTTCGTCAGTAAGCCAGTAAACAATGTTGGTCACCCTGTGCCCAGGATGCGCCCAGACAGTCCCCGTAAGTTTCCGTTACCTAACTGCCATTTATTTAGTTAATCAATGAATAACTATTGAACACGGCCAGGATCCCCGGCTCAGAGTGGGCCGCGGAGATCTTTAGAAAATGGGTCTCAGCCAAAGAGTGGCCTCAGATGCTTGTTTTTCTTGGTAGGCCTTATCTTACGCCATGAATGCTTGATGTCAACTTGAGTAACTCGTGCATAAGGGAAAACGGGTAGTATAGACTTAGGTTGTATTCTGCAAAGTGCTGTAACTACGTGATGGGCTGGGACGCCAGAGGACGGTATCTCGATAAGCGTACGGAATAGTAGTTGCTGCTAATTGTATCAGTTTGCGTGCAGTAGTACACTTACGACACGACAGGTTTTCAACAAGACGCTGACAAGGAAGCTACATATGGAGTTCAAAAGAAGGGGGAAACCGTATACTTCTTTGCCGGCCTTCCGATATAATCTAACTTGAATATAATTGAGGATTTATGCATTGCACTATTTACAGATTCGGATTTTACGGCTTCCGCATGCCATAACCTTCCAACACATATATCAAGCATGAAATCGTAGAAAGTAAAATAAAAGAGCATCAGTTTGGAAGCTTCACAATAGTGGCTGTGTTTTAATTAGCCCTTTAACATTCTCCATTATCAATAATAACCTTGTGAATGTATCTCCCCTCTCATCCTGCGCATCTATTCTTTCCTGAGCCTGGATGGCTTTCATCATAACCGGAGTGATTGTGTCTGCGTTGCTCCATGCACCTGTTGGCAGGTGAGCGTTGAAAAGGCCCTCTGAACCGCACTGGTTCCAGGATAGGCCAAGAGAGTCGTGCAGACGATGTAACATGCGCTCGCTGACTTGAACAACGATGGATATCTCTAGTCCTACTCCCACATATGATTGAAATGAGCCTAGCTTTAGGCCTGGAAATATCCGGCGCTCTTCTGAGGGTATGAGTTCGACGACACTGGGGAAAAGGAGAAGGGTATGAAGGTCCGTAAAGAACCAGGCAAAAGCTCGTGCAAGGCGGAGGTAGCAGGCAACAAATAGAAGAATCGTGGAGGTGTCGATTGGGGTTGGCTTGCTTGGTATGGACAGGGACAGCCGGCTGCTGTTATCGCTGGAGCTAAGATAGGATATGCCCGAAAATTGGGGTGTTAGCATGTTAGAAAGATCGTTGGTTATGGATTCCTCATTCAACAGACAAGAAGAGTCGACGTCCGGAATAGATTCGCCTCCTGGACCATCTTTATACTCTGGCACAGACATCAGCTGTGTTATGAGCTCGGTGAGCCTTCGAACCTGCTCCAGCATATCGTGTATAGGATAGTTGTGCAGTCGCGCGAATACCCCCCGTTTATCATTTCCAGTGCAGTTCCTCATTCTCTCTAGGCGGCGAAGTTGGTCATATTGTGCTAGCCCAAATGCTGTAAGTTCCCGCACATGGTTATCGGGAGCTATCTCAGTGGTCGAGAATCGATCTCCAGATGATACGTCGCTAGTTCCATTGGTACATGACGAGATCGTTATGTTTTGAGATATCTCCCCTTGCATAGATATATTCTCCGCTAGTAGAGCTGCGGGGCCCTCTAAAAATGGCGTATTATCATGATAAAATGATAGCATATCAACTTTAACATTGGATTCATCCATGTGAAAATCAAACATCCCGGAATCATCGGCCAGCGAGTCAACAGCAGTTCCCTGATGAGAAATGAAGAGTGGTTGAGGGCTCGGGGGTAGTGGGGAATTGGACGATGACCGCCGAGGAGCATTTCGTGGGCTACCTGGGCCGTCCGGCTTTGAAGAACCGGCAGATGAAGTCGTGGATGATAATCCCGATCTTGCAGGTCGCCCTATACGATTCGGAGGGCTGTAAACGCAGGGAACGGATGCGCGTCGACAACGTTCACATTTACTCCCGGGCTCTGCGCCTTCAGAGCGTAGACATCTTAGTTTTTGGGCGTGACATCGATTGCAAGCCAGGCGTAACCGTGCTTCAGATGAACATGACTGTGTTGTCTTTCTCTTTTGACCTTGTAGCCTATCATTGATAGATTTGGCAGCGGAGTTTGGGTCTCTTAGCATTGTTCTGAGGGTTGGTAGATGTACTGATGGGAAGAAACCGAAAGTTCCTGGACCGAGAAGAGGTGACAAGTATATCAAGGGTAATTATAATGGTGACAGTGGCTTTTCATGCGGCGCAATAGAGCTATACAGCTGGTTCAAAGATTTGTGCTTCAAAGGGTATCCTGACAATTGGAGGGAGGGTGCGAGCTAAATGCTCCGAGGTAAAAGAGCCAAGTTAGTCGCTTGGTGGTCGAAGGTGGCAGTATGATTCTATTCCAAGGCAGATCTGCATTTACTCAAGCATGGTCTTTCTCGTATTGGATGCATAGGGTATTGCAACAGCGTCAGGTTGCTTGTAAGGAATGATGTTCCCGCAATCATTGAGCTGTGGATATCAGAGTTAACCACACCCAAGGAGTCTTGGAGGAGAGCTTGTTTTACTTCACGAAAACTAGCACTAACAACCATCATTAAGTTTCTGAAGATCCAGGGTCAAGAAGACCTAGCCTACCTACTTTACCGACAGGCTAATGGATGATAGGTTTGATTGGCTAAGTACACCTAGGAAAGGCTGTCAGAAACGTGTAATTCTCAGTTCGGTTTCTAGCCCTCCGTATAGACCGTGAGCACGAGAAAACTGTTGACGACCTCGAGGTAACAAAACTGAATCCTGGGTCCTAGAAGAGAAGAAACCCTGTTCATCCAGGTTAACAACAACCTTGTCAGTGCGTAATGAGGTATATTTATGCGTTGCTCATTATTGTTATTCTCGATGACAATGTGAACCCTGCTCATCTGGTTTAATAGAGGCTGTAACCTCAAGTGCCATATTCTTCGACAGTGTCCGTATGATAACCCACAATACGAACATATATTAGTTAACTGTCTGGCCGGGACCAGCAATCGTGGTTATCAATGTTAGCCACCAGACGCCCCTTTGGCCACAGGAGTGGGGAGATGTCATGCCACGAGTGATATCCTCCAAGGCATCTCCACGTGTACAAAAGAACCTGTATTACTTATGCCGTTATATACTCCGTATATTGACTCCGTATGATCATGGTAAAATCGTCTGCATATTAACCATGGGGTAATTCTAGGAAAGCTTAAGCACGCTCTACCCAAAGAGCCAAAGGCTAGAGGCCCGATGTTGCAAATGTATGTAAGACTTGGCAATCAGCTCATTATTACTTCCTCCGTACATATGCTGGAGTTATAGTAAGCACTTACCTGGTTATATAACCAACTACGGAGTACGGAGTAGTGATTATTTAATCCAGCTTGAGAATTCGCGACTCGTATGCTGTTAAGGACGGAAGGCTGTGGATGAATCGTGCTGTTAGCCCATTCTGTTTACTCCTTAGTTGGTTAACAGCCTTAGGAGAAGATACGTTGTATGCAGCTACTCCGTTCAAGGCAATGCAATCATGATCTTACTGACCAATCTGCTGGAGTCGTTATGTTGAGAAAATTAACGGAGTCGCTGTCAGCTGTGCAAGGAGGGCGAAAACACGAGGCTGTGGATCTTCGCCGACTAATTAGGAATGGTCGGCTCTCTGGGTTGCAAATAATAAGCTTAACTAAAAATATCAAGAGCTTAAAACCTTGGCGCGACGGCAAGCCAACAAGGGAGTTTTAGGGGAGGACATATGTCGTGAACTACACTTTGGGGTGAAAGGGTAAAGGGTGTATGTATCTCCCTGGAATTCTCCGTCAGGCCAGTTGCTAATCAGGTTACAGCAGCTCACCCGCGCAAATGACTTCCAATTTCCATAATGAGACATGACCAACATGCTGTCCCTAGACAGTCACAGCCACCAAGCCAGGATATCCCTGTGGCTAGCAAGACGGGGAGCCATCGATATACAGTGCATGAGTACGATACAGTCTAAGATTGGCTATCTCGAGAAAGCACACAGGTTTCTTGGGAGCTGCGCCCAGATTTGGATTGCAAAGTTATACTACATCACGAAGTAACGGTTTAGAAAACAAACACAAGCTTCTCCCCTGACACTTTTCCTGATTTCACCTCGTCCAGCCCTACAAGGACATCATCCCATGTTGCTCTGTCCTTGACCCTAAGCGGATGTGGCTTCATTTTCTTCTCGTTGAGTATTTTCTGGAGGATCTGAGCCAGCTTCCCACCAAATGCCCTTGTTTCCTCACTTCCTGGCCTCTCATAGGGCGGTGGCCAGGCAATGTCTTTGCCCAACATGGATATACCCACAATCCAAGTAGCCTTGATCGCCTTTCTAGTATTTGCTGTCGACTCCCAGAATGGGTCAAGGGAGGTATAATGGCCGCCAGCACGACCAATGGCACCATAGCAGATATCAATTGAACCCTTTGTCGAGATGCAGTCAAGTGCATATTTTAGGTTGTTCCTGGTTGCTTTTTTAATATCCTCCGCACAGGTTGGAGAGCGGTAATCAAAGACTTCATCCGCTCCATAGCTCTTGACAAGCTCATAATTCTTAGGGGAGCATGTTGCAATAGGGCGGAGACCGGCAAGTTTGAGAAGCTGAATAGCAGTTGTACCTACGGAGGTACTTCCACCGTAAACAAGGACAGTTTTCGGCTCTTTTGCGGGGCGGAGTATAGGCCAGACATCAAGCTCTGACAAGAGATTTTGGAACAAAGCTTGGCCGGCAGTGAACCAGATAGTGGACATAGCTCCACCGACAGACCATGGAACACTTTCGGGAAGGGTCAGAGTGATATCGGCCGGGGCGCTGACATATGTTGCAAAGGCTCCAGATGAGGGGTCCAGTGGGTCGGACCCCATCACTGCTCCGCTAACCCGGTCTCCAACTTTGACATCTCGTTTAACCCCTGACCCAACCGCCACAACAACACCCGCAAAGTCACATCCTCCGATCAGGCCAGGTTTTGAGAAACCGGCTTCCATCTTAGTGTCGACAGGATTTACCGATACCACTGCTGTCTTAACGATAATCATGTCCGGCTTGAGTGTGGCCACCTGGGCTTCGTGAGAGACGTGCAAGTTTCCATCTTCCCCAAAGGTGAGAGCCGTTTGTCTGTCCGGTAGTTGTGTCATTTTTGCGCTCAAATTTTGTTTCGTAACCTGGTTTGTGCCGTGTGATTGGGAAGAGTACGCTGTATGGGGTGTCTCCTGCTTTTTTTTTATGGCAACAGCAGCTAGGACAAAGCATTATATTCTACTCTCGTTGCGCTGTGGAATCGTCTGAACGATGGTTATCGAAACATCGTCGCAATCCAAAAGCCGAAAATCTCCGAATCGGCGTCATCAGTGATGGGCGCCAGGGGTACAAGGCTCTAAGGTTATTGTCGCCGAAAACTGAAGTGAAAGACCATGGCCATTCGAAAGACGGGTGGAGAACTCTCCTCTTCATATCTCAACGCACTGAGGCGTAGTTTCGATCTAATGTTGTTTTCCGTTGAGCGGTAACTATTATTTTGTTGACTACGGAAGTTGTACTCTCTCTCTCTCTCTCTTTTATTTTTATTTTATTTTATTTTATTTTATTTTATTTTATTTCATTTTTATTTTTCTGAGAACAAAACCCATCCTCGCAGCTGCGATAGAAGGGGTTACATACAATAATCCAGAGGAAGTACGGTAAAAATATAAAGTCCGAAATTTCCTCAGTTCATCAAAATAGCACCTCTGTCGCAAATGGGGTCTACAGCTGGCGGTTACTGATCCCCTTATAATCGGATTTCAGTGCAGTCATCTGAATATGTACAATAGTAGCCATCCCTTGCTGGACAGACTCACACATTTCACCTCCGGTTACCGATGACATGAAGCCATTATTCCCTGTTTTTGCTGGAGGCGCCTCCGTAGGCATGCTCCACCACAGAGTCTCATGGTTGAGTTCAAATGACCAGTGCTTGCTTCGACTGGGAGATACAAAATCAATTCTGTAGCCAGTCGTATGGTCCGAATAGTTTCCTCTGAGTTTTCCGCTATAGGTAGAACGGAATGATAAGTAGTCCTCACTCAAGGAGACGTGGTCGTCCGAGACCATTTCGAAAAGTATTTCATCCTCTTTCACCAAGGTAGCCCTAGTGTACGTTTTGCCAGGATGCAGACGACTGAAAAGACGGAATAGCGCAAATGTGTAGGGGCCTGCGTGGCCTCGGACATAAGTAGTGCCTTCCATCATATCTTGCATAGGTTCGGTAGAACGACAATAATCTGTGCCGCCATATCCTTCGAATTGCAGTTGTTTGGATTCTCCATCCTGAGTAAAAGTGAAGTCCGCAATTGCTTTTGCACGAGGAATTGAATGAACCCAAGATAGGCCGGGCCCCATCAACTGACGTTCTGCGGAATTTTCAAGGTTTCTCCCACCACGTTGTTGAAGAATAAGGGTCCCTCTCACGGTAGGCAGATTGATTGTAACAGTCGCCTCAGACATATCAAACGGCACTTCATACTGTGCCCATGGTATATCGCCGTGCCCGCCCTCTTTGTTCTCTCCTACCCATTTCCCTATGATCTTTCCTGTCTCTTGATTGGCTTCGACAGTGCTTTCTTTAGCAAAAAGTTCACCCGCTATCTTAGTTCCATCCGGCAAGCTGGCTCGAAATGTAGTACGAATTGGGCATTTCCCTAAAGCTGCTTGCGTTCCGTCCCGGAAAAACGTCATCGTAACAGCAACGTTATTTGTTGTCAGATCGACAGCATCGAAAATCCATGCCTCCAAATGAGTCTTGCTCATACAGGCAAGGCGGGGGAAGAAAATATGCTCGAACTCCGTAAGGTGAGGAGCAGGTCCGTCTATCACAGCATCCTGGTTTTGGAGACAAGAGATGGCAGATTGTGCGTATCGCATTTTAACGTCGTTAGAAATCCGCGCCTATTTGGTAAAGTATGCCTTGAGAAGGGTGAAAGAGCAAGGAGCAGCTGGATATGGCAACAAGTTTGAAATAACAATTATATAACAGTTTGAAGCCTATTCATATATTGCTGATATTTGAGCAATGAAAACACCGGGGGAAATGTAGTAGTAAAAAGGCAAATTATCTCGCAGGGTATCTACTTCAAGTTTCAGTGGTGAGCAGCAAGCATACTTGCTATTCAACACATCTTGAGTACTTCGCCAGTCACGGTGACACTCATTCCTCTCGCCGGCGACATAAATATGACACCAAAGTCGCCGAACGAGCTGAAGGTCTGAGTACATAGTTGGCAATCTGCTCCTTGCATCATTGTATTCGCAATATGACCATGTACGGAGTACTGCAAGGGTTATCAAGATCCCGGAAATTGTCGGATACTAATGAAGGATGAGCGGCTAAACCATTTTGGGGTTGGACGAACTGTTGAACGGGATGGATTGAATTGCCCTAGCATCATTGCATTGAAAGGAACCTTTTCATAGGATGGGGCCAAAACAGTGTACCTGCCGAAAAGCGGGGACGACAACTGCGCCCGCAAGGACTATAGAATCTGATATCTTACCTATATTCCGTAACAGGCACCTCTTTTTGCAATCAAGAGCAGAGCATGCGATGTCGTCCGAAAAAGCCTCCTGACCAATCAGAGATTTGATTAGAGAGTTTAAGGATTATATATAATCCATAGCCGAGTCTCCTGGCTCGGGTCGCCATTAATCCGTATTAGAGTTCTAGTTATCCTCCTGGGAAGATGAGGCTCCTTCCGGCAAGCTTGATTGGCCTTTATATAGGGTAAGTTTCCACGGGTGATGGTTTAATTGCAACTCTCGCGTTCAATAGTAGATACGTCTTCTTACTTTTTGGACTACTAGAAGGCCTCCACTTCATGTCTACTCTTCCAATCAATAGAACTCGCCAGCCAAATATCGTCCGAAAGGATCCAAGTAACTAAAGCTGTCATATTGGAACACTTAATTGGTTAGGGCCTTGCACTTTTCCTTGCACTCCTTCTTCTTCCATGAACCCTTTCGGCGCTCTGAGCATCTTGAACTTTATTTTTGGCTGTGAACTTTTGTCGTTTCGCGGATTGTTCTCTGCCAGATGATGTATCCAGCGCTAAATCGTCTTCGCTCTCTTCTTCGGGGGATGGCTCTCTTTGTTTCTTCTTGGCCTCACGAAGTTGGGGTTTGGCTGTTTTACCAGCAACTTTTGGTATTAACCTACGCTTCTGAGGGCGGAGCCATTCTTCCATTCCTGGGGGCCAGTAAACCCGGCCGTATGGACCCCCCATGTTCATTTCTTCCGGATCTAACCATGACGTATCACTAGTATCAGTGAGTACCTGGGTTTTCTTAGAAACTTTCCTCTCATCCTCTCTGTGATGCGGGATGATGGAGTTGATTTTATCAAATCCTGGAAGCTTATATATCTTCATAAGCTCAAAAACAGCCTGTTCTTTATCTTTGGCTTCGATCATGAGATCCATAGTTAGATCACACGGCGGCAGTGTGGACACCCTCGGGCTATGCTTCCGCCGTTGCACTTTAGTTATCGCTTCCGGGACAGGTTCGGAATAATGCATCTTTTGCGTTTTCCCTTTTCTTACCCAGGTTGATCTTATCCGATCATAGAGGGACATTATATCAAGTGTGCCTTCCCGAATTCGATCTGGATCAAAGTGGATATTATGGTGGTGGTAGTCTAGGACGAAAGGTATGTTTAATTCTTCGCATACGGGCAGAAGATCGTGGACAGTCCAGCTCATATCATCATTTTCCAACACGAGCCTGTCTCTGATATCTTGTGGCAAGTCCGCGTAGGCCTCTCTGAACCGGCCCAGGGTGCTCTCTTTATCTCCAAAGGTGCCACCCATGTGGAGGATAATAACTGCATCGCGATCCATCTGAGGTGGTAATTTCAAGAGGTTTAACATCTCTGCATGATATGCTAGATCTCTGATGGAGTTACTGATAACTTCTTTTCGTGGAGAGCCGAGTTGAGTAAACTAACACTGGTTAATGTCTAATGATTGGAAAAGCCCTACAATTCAGGTGCACACATACCTGGCCAGGGTGAACAGTGAGACGATGATTGAGTTCAGCAGCAACCTTTCCTACCTCAGCCAGCGCCTCGGAAGCAAACGGGGCTAGTTTATATCCATATTCAGCATGACTAGCAAACGGGAACATCTCACTGCTGATTCTCATGAAGCGAATTCCAAACCGTGCATTCCAGCGGATCAGTGTCACCAAGTCCCGAGTATTCGCCAAGCCCAGCTCCTGCACGAATTCCTGCCCCCTGGCGATATCCGGAGGTTTGGTACGGTCTGGGCGGTTTTTGGTAGGATGGCGTGCCTGAGAGGTGTCTCGAAGAGGATGTCGATTTTCAAGTATGGAAGCAATGCGGCATGTCCGGGAGCAAAAAACTGGAGGATTTGCATTGCGTAGATATGTATTAAGACATGCCTAAAAAGGTCAGAAATGGCGTTATAACTAGTTATTGGATTGGGTGCTTGCGGACATATCCTAACCGACCCTTCCACGGCAGCGGAAGATAGTTGCTGTTAACAGGAGGAGGTTGTGAGGCTGCTTGCTCTATTTGATTTTCATCTACTGCGAATTCACCATCCTGTTCGAGGCGTTCGGTTAGGTCGTGGCTGGCGCTCATGTTGCGGAGGTGTAGTTGTGCCCTGCCTTGACCAAGGAGATGCAACCCGATGGCCTGTGACCGCTTACAGCAAAATCCAGAAGAACGTAAATATGAATGTACGTACATGTAACTTTATGAAACGGGATCTATTCAGTGAGTGTACACCTTGATGATGTACAGATTGCGATGATGATATAGTGATATAGTTGGAAACAGTTTTCGCCACTGTTATGGCAGATCCTGGTTTGCTTCCCCAACTTTGAATGTACATGATTCCACCCAACGTACTCGTTCAATACTCACTCGTCGTACGGGTCTGTATAATATGTAAATCTAGTACTAACTAGATAGTCAGCTGGAGTTGCTGGCTGGTAGCATACACTCCTGTTTTCCTGTTTGTCAAGATTTTAGTAATGTGTGTGTTTGTTTGTTTATTTATACAACCTTCACATGGCCACCACTTTCATTTATGATCTCTGCAGGGGTAAATTGATCTTTTCCCCTCACAAAACTTTTATCCTAATATTCTCGGTTATATGAAAACGCTGTAAATATCCTCCTCCTGGGGAAGACATGCAAACTGGGCAAGAAACAAGTTTTCTCGACTTTTTCAGCAGCTGGACATGAGTGACGTTGTGCTTAGTAAGGTAAGAACTCCAATAGGCTAGAGTCCAAGCAACGAGTTAGCTTCGGGCTGAATATGCAGTAACCTAAATTATACAGACTGTTGATTGGTCCATAGTCTTCTAGAATAACGTGACCCTAAACAAACCTCGACACTAGCTAAGGTTTGATCTGACCATCACCACTTTCTCCATAACCACGCTCGTTGACAAACACCATTCCACTAGCAAGCATCGCTACCTACTCCGTACAAAACAACTGAAAAGTCATCAGTCATCGATGCAAGTGCTAAGTATTAGTACGAAATGCATAATTCAGCTCCAAAACTATCCATCCTTCAGAAATTAGTTATGCGATCCGTGGAAACGGCCAGATCTCGGTGAATATGTTTTGAAGACACTCTTGTTGCGCTGGAGTTTCTCGTATTTTGTCTGCTGCTTCGTGCCTTGCCAACTAACTGAAAATGGACAAGTGCTGAGACCCATGGATCTTGGGTATATCCCAGGCATAGTTAATTCTAATGAATTCGGCATGATTACTGTGGTGTTCTTGCAATGCCTCTCATCGCCGGAAAACTCCCCGAGAACGGTGACTTGAGTTCGCTGTCGATGAGGCTGACCAGGTACTCAGCTCAATCCTAAAGCTGGTCTGGACCATGCTGCCATTACATCTAACTCTGTGGCTATTAACTGAAACTAAGAGACGGCGGATGTAAAAGTGCGTCTAGGGCTTACTTCTCAAAATGGGAGCCGCCAGGAGTCGCCCCGTCAGCACAACTCCACGAGGAAATACGTCCACAGCAGAAAAGTATGATATGACATCTTTGAAAGCGTTATCACGCTCTTTTCTTTCGCGTTTGAGCGAAACTACGGAGAAAACGCTGCTTGAACACAATGTGGCTAGGGACATGGTGTCGACTAGGAATGATACTTTCTCCTTGCTTGGGGTATTATCCAAAATCCCCTGCACTCCGTCAAATAGTTAATAACTAAACTACAAATGTAAGCTAGCAATAGAGGTGGGTGGGTTTGGACCATGGTTAACATTGTTACAACGCTGCCACCCCAGGTCCATCTGCTGGGCTGTCGAGACACCGAATTAGGGCAGAGAATGAACCGATTCGGCTGCATTAACACACCGAAAACCCAGCAGTCGGCAAACTATGCAGCTTCCTCAAGACCATCAATGCAGATGGGGCGATGATACAAGAAGGATATCAGGCAGCGGTATCCCTCATCTACTCTTCACGGGAATACTTTCAGTCAACCACACTTCACTCTTTTGCTTCTAAGCCTCGATCAACTGCGTACTATACCACCATGCCTCAACGCAAGGAGCCAATCGCCATCATTGGCAGCGCCTGCAACTTCCCGGGCAATAGCACCACCCCGTCAAAACTATGGGAATTGCTAAAGGAGCCTCATGATCTCTCGAAACCTGTTCCAGAAAATCGCTTTAATGCTAATGTTTGGCACCACCAAGACAACGCCCATCATGGTACTAGCAATGTCACCAAATCCTATTTCCTCGAGGCAGACCCTGCTACCTTTGACGCAACTTTCTTTAACATTCCGCCAAATGAATGCGAGGCTATTGACCCACAGCAGCGTATGCTGCTTGAAACTGTCTACGAATCCTTGTGTGCCGCTGGCGTCACCATGGAGAGCCTCCGTGGGTCTTCTACTGCTTGCTATGTCGGGCTTATGTGTGATGACTGGGCTGGCATGCTTGCTAAGGACTGGGACTGTTTGCCGCAGTATGCTGCAACAGGCATATCTCGTGCCATTATGGCTAACCGTATCTCCTACTTCTTTGATTGGCATGGCCCGTCCATGACCATTGACACCGCCTGCTCGTCTTCATTGGTAGCTGTGCATGAAGCTGTTCAGGTCCTTAGAAGTGGTGACTGCAATGTGGCAGTTGCTTGTGGAGCTAATTTGATTCTTACACCTGGTATGTCCTCTATTATTTTCTGTTAACGAACGGCCTAAGTACTAATTCTTGGGGAATCAAGGCATGTATATTGCGGAAAGTAAGCTGAAAATGCTTTCTCCTGATGGAAAGTCACGAATGTGGGATCAAGGTGCCAATGGTTACGCGAGAGGTGAAGGTCTCGCAGCAGTGGTTCTGAAGACCTTGAGCCAGGCTATTAAAGATGGTGATCATATTGAGTGTGTGATCAGGGAGACTGCCTTCAACCAGGATGGCCGCACCACTGGTATAACTATGCCAAGCAACCTTGCTCAAACTGCCTTGATTAGAGAAACTTACAAAAAGGCTGGCCTTGACCCCTTGGACCCCAATGACCAGCCCCAGTTCTTCCATGCCCATGGGACTGGCACACCCGCCGGAGATCCACAAGAAGCTGAAGCAATTAGTCGAGCGTTTTTCAAAGATGGCCAAACTGCTGAAAAGAAACTCTGGGTTGGCTCAATCAAGACTATTATTGGCCACACTGAAGGTACTGCCGGCCTTGCCAGTCTTATTGGTACCTCCCTCGCCCTACAAAACAAGACAATCCCACCAAACTTGCATCTCAACCAAATTGCTGAGAAGGTCAAACCTTTCTACACCAACTTGCAAATCCCAACGACAAGTCACGCGTGGCCGTCTCCTCCGGCTGGCCAGCCAATGCGTGCCTCCGTGAACAGCTTTGGCTTTGGCGGTGCTAATGCCCACGCAATCCTCGAGAGCTATGAACCAACCGCGGTGCACAAAATTTGCGATAAAATGCCCCTATTCACCCCTCTCACTTTCTCGGCCCATTCAGAAAAGAGTCTCCGAGGAATGCTTGACACATTTTCTGAGTTCTTGAGTGCAGAAAATTCACCTGATGTTAGTGATGTTGCCTGGACTCTGCAGAACCGCCGCTCGGCTCTGGCCCACAAGGTCGCTATCTCTGGCCGAACGACAACCGACCTGGTTGCTGCCATCGATGCTGCTCGGAGTCAGAAGGATAGCCTTGGTGTTCGATCTTCAGGACCTGAGAAGTTGACAGTGCTTGGCGTCTTCACTGGTCAAGGTGCTCAGTGGCCGACTATGGGTAGCCAGCTGATCAAGGCCTCCGCTCATGTTCGAAATATCATCGCCAACCTCGACCGATCCCTCCAAGAGCTTCCAGAAGCTGACAGCCAAGCTGGCCTATTCGTGGAGAGCTTGAAGCCGATAAAAAGACTTCTCGTCTTGCCGAGGCTGCCCCTTTCTCAACCTCTCTGCACTGCTGTTCAAATTGTGCTGGGTAGACTTACTCAAGGCTGCTGGGTCCAACTTGGATTTCAAGGCGGTGATCGGACACTCTTCTGGTGAGATTGCTGCTGCCTACGCTTCTGGATTTATTTCCGCTAGAGACGCTATTCGCATTGCTTACTACCGCGGTCTCTACGCTAAGTTTGCTGGCTCTGCCTCTGGAAAGAAAGGAGCAATGATGGCAGTTGGCACAACCCTTGAGGATGCTGAAGAATTTTGCCAACTTGAGGAGTTTGACGGTCGTATTACTGTTGCCGCTAGTAATGCTGCCACTAGCGTCACTCTCTCGGGAGACGAGGATGCGATTGATGCTGCTCTAGTGGTGTTCAAAGATGAGTCGAAATTTGTCCGCAAGCTCAGAGTTGATACTGCTTACCACTCATTCCACATGAATGCATGCTCTGAGATGTATTTGAAGGCAATGGATGCTTGTGGTATTGAGTTCAAAGATGGACATTCGTCAGTCTCATGGTACTCTTCAGTCGTTTCTGGTACAAAGATGGCTAGTAACAATCTCAATGGTCAATATTGGGCCGACAACATGAACAATGCCGTTCTTTTTTCACAGGCGGGAATTACTGCCGTGAAAGAATCAGGTCCATTTGACTTGGTCATCGAAATCGGCCCCCATCCAGCTTTGAAGGGGCCGTGCCTGGAAAACTTGGAGCAAGCTACTGGTGTAGGTGGCACACCTTACACTGGCCTCTTATCTCGCGGTGTTGATGATGTCAAAGCATTTTCTGCTGCTCTCGGCTACGTCTGGGAGACCTTTGGCCCATCTGCAGTTGACTTTGAAGGGTATGATAAACTCATGTCTTCAGGTACCCAGCGTGACAATTTGTCTGGAGACCTTCCTGAATATTCGTGGGATCACTCAAGGAGCTATTGGCTTGACTCTCGGGTAGCTACATCTTACACTTCTCGCGAGGCTCCCCATCCGATGCTGGGTGTAAATGTTGTTGAAGGCACTACCGGAACGCAAATCCAGTGGAGGAATATTCTATTCCCCAAAGAACTTACCTGGATTCCTGGCCATCGATTACAGGGTCAGAATGTCTTCCCTGCGTCTGGATATGTGTGCATGGCTGTTGAGGCTATAATGACCCTTGCAAGCAACCGGGATGTGCAACTGATTGAACTTGAAGAGGTGGACATTGCTCGTGCTATTTCATTCCTTGATGATACTACTGGGATCGAAGTCATCTTTACCCTTAACGTCTTGTCATCTGAATCCGAATCTATCAGCGCTATCTTCCAGATATCATCGTGCCCCAAGGGTGATAATACGTTGACTTTGAATGGAAAGGGAAAGATATCGCTCCGTTTCGGTGAACCAACCGCCAATGCGCTTTCGGCTTCTCAGATTCCTCAATTCAACATGACAAGCGTTGATATTGATCGATTCTACAAGTATCTATCGGACATGGGCTACAACTACTCTCCACCATTCAAGGCGATCAGTTCCATCCTTCGTAGGAAGGATGCCGCAGTTGGAGAAATTACTGATGCACGCGGTGAAGCTTGGGAGGACAATTTCCTAATGCACCCCGGTTTTGTTGATACCAGTTTCCAAGCCGTCTTCGCTGCATTCAGCTCTCCGGGTGATGACCGGCTCTGGTCAATACATGTTCCTACTAAAATCAACCGGCTGTCAATTAATCCGTCACTAGCAGTGTTCCCACCAGGAGAAGAAATTGTTTGGCCCTGGCAAGCAGCTGTGACCAGCGGGACCCATGATACCCCCACCGCCGACATCGAGGTCTTTGCTCCCAATAAAAATGGGGTTCTTATGGAAATTGAAGGCATTGTTCTTGTTCCGTTAGCCAAGGCCTCAGAGGAGAACGATGTCAAGCTATTCTCTAACCTCATCTACGATCTAGCTCAGCCAGACGGCGCAGTTGCCTCTCCTCATCGTTTACCTGAGTCGGACGCTCATATCGCGAGAGTCTCAGAGCGATTCTCTTTCTACTGGATTAACAAACTCCTCAATACCATTACTGCCAAAGAGGAAGAAGAAACCCTTCCACATTTCAAGCATATGCTCAGATGGTGTAGGTTTGTGCACAAGCAGGTTATCGACGGGGAGCACCCCTTTGTTGGACCTGATGCTGTAAACGATACTTTGGAATACGTGGAATCTCTTGTTGCGGATGCAGGAGACCGTGCTGATATTGGTATTCTCCGAGCTGTTGGCCAAAATATTGCCCATGTTATTCGCACTCGTGGAAATATTCACGAGTACGCGTTGAAGGATAACATCCTGGATCGTTTCTACGAGGAGGCTATTGGCCTGGATATAACAAACCAGTGGGAAGCAAACCTGGCTGCCCAAGTTGCTTATCGATATCCGCGGATGAATATTATTGAAATTGGTGCTGGCACGGGTGGCTCAACTAGAATGATTCTCCCTACTCTGGGAAAAGCCTTTTCAACATATACATTCACGGATATCTCCTCTGGGTTTTTCGAAGCGGCGGAGAAGAGATTTAGCCAATATTCTGACCGCATGATCTTCAAAACCCTTGACATGGAAAAGGATCTCAGCGAACAAGGGTTTACTGAAGGCCATTACGATATGGTTCTTGCATCAAATGTTCTACATGTCGGCCCTGATATTGATTTGACTTTGTCAAATGTGCGCAAACTTGTAAAACCAGGCGGTTGGTTGATTAACATGGAGGTCGCTACATACTTCCCAAGTCTGCGCGAGGGTTTCTCGATGTCTGGCTTCCCAGGCTGGTGGTGCGGTGCCGAAACTGGTCGGCCATGGGGTCCAACCATAACCGTGGAGGAATGGGATAAAGTGTACAAACGAACTGGCTGGTCCGGTGTTGACACCTTCACTCCCAACATTGACTCTATAGACCACTTGGTTGTTATGGTAACCCAAGCCGTGGATTCTCAGATTTACACGCTCAGAGATCCCCTTTCGCCCGGACATGCCCATCCACAGCGTGAAAACCTCGTTATTATTGGAGGAAAAACTGATAAGATTGCCAATATCGTTACCGAATGTACTAATATCCTACGCCCGCATTTCAGGTCTATCTCAAACGTCACTTCAATCAACAATTTTATCAATAGTGACAGCGACGCAGTTGCTACAGTCCTAAATTTAGCCGAGCTAGATGCTCCAATCATGAAAGAGCTTATGGATAACCAGCCCCAAAAGCTCGAGGGTGTTAAAGAGGTGTTTTCAACCCCTAGGGAGATTCTTTGGGTAACGAAAGGCAATAGATCAGAGAGCCCATTCTCTCGTATGCTTGTTGGCATGGCACGCACACTTCGCAGAGAGTATTCTGGTATCAACTTCCAGGCACTTGATGTTGATATATTGGATTCAAATTCTGCTAAGCTCTTTGCAGAAACATTGCTCCGACACCTCAATCTCAACGAGGCAAACAGTCGTCTTGTCCCCGGCTCTATTCTATGGAGCGATGAATCAGAGTACCATTTGGAGAACAACAAAATTTATACTCCAAGGCTTATGTCTGCTGATAAGATGAATGATCGATACAATTCATACAAGCGGCATATCGCTCACAAAGTCTCCGCAAATGCCTCTAGCATTGAATTGACCACAAAGGATAGCTCCTATAATCTTTGCGAGCCATCCCCACTTAAACCTACCACAGGGTCCGATGGTGATACCGAAATTACTATTTTGAAGTCCCTACTTCAGTCTGTGGAAGTCCCTTTGGTGGGACACTTCTTTTTGTGCTATGGCACTAACGACTGTGGTGAAAGAGTCATCGCCCTCTCAGATCAGAGCAAGTCAGCTGTTCATGTTCCAAAGTCTTGGACGATACTTTACAACGGGGAGACCAATGCAACTCAAGTGCTTCTTTCAATTGCTGCCAATCTCGTCGCACATTCGATTATCATGGAAGCCTCAACAAGTAGCACTGTTTTAGTACATGACCCTGATCAGGTTGTTGCTGCAGCTATAAGGAAACAAGCAGCAGCGAAGAAAATTCGTGTTTTCTTCACTACCACTCAAACTTCAAAGAAGGGGCCCCAGTGGACATATATCCATCCCAGAACCCCCCGCCGTTTGTTGAGACGGCAACTACCAAAAGAAGTCTCACTTTTTATCAATTTCTCCAGTACCTCAGATGAGCAGATTATATCTAATCTCTTGGAGTGTCTGCCACTTTGCTGCAAAAAATCCAACCGATCTTCGTTTTTCGGAAATAGTGTTGCAAAACGCCCCGGCTCTGATGCTGAACTTGTCTCCAAGTATTTATCTACAGGCTTTGACATTGCTAAAACTGCTAACTTTACTGTGCCTGACGATAGGTCCACCCTGCCTTTGGATAAGGTTCCTGGGTATTTTGATGAAACTAAAGACCTAGTAGTAATCGACTGGGCGGTTGATACTCAAGTTTCGCTCACTGTTGAACCTATTGACCCTTATGCCAACCTATTTAGCGCAGAGAAAACATACCTTATGGTTGGTTTGTCTGGCGAAATGGGCCAGTCCCTCGCTGAATGGATGGTAAGCCGAGGGGCGAGACATGTCGTGCTTACTAGTAGAAGACCTAAGGTAAATGCTGAGTGGATTGAAAGCATGGAAGATGAATATGGGGCAACTATAAAGCCAATGCCGCTGTAAGTTTAGCCCTTCTTATGACTGTGAATGATTCTAATGAGACCTAGGGATATTACGGACGCCGATGCGCTCCAAGCCTGCTATAACAAAATATGTCGCACCATGCCTCCAATTGGCGGAGTTGCCCACGGAGCTATGGTTCTAGTGGACAGCCTTTTCCAGAAGATGAGTTATGATGACCTTATGGCAGCCCTTAGGCCAAAGGTCCTTGGAGCAATAAACCTGGACAACCTTTTCTCGGAGAACACCCTTGACTTTTTTATTCTGTTTTCTTCTATTACAGCCTTAATTGGAAATGCTGGCCAGAGTAACTATATTGGAGCCAACAGTTTTATGGAATCCCTAGGCTTGCAGCGCCGTCGAAAGGGCCTTGCCGCGTCCGTAATCGCCATTTCGTCCCTAATTGGGCTTGGTTACTTTGAACGTGCTGAGGATCTGGATATCGACCAATTTTCTCGATCTGGTTACAGAAATGTATCTGAGCAGGATATCCACACCTTGTTTGCGGAGGCGATTGTAAGAGGAAGGCCAGGGACAACAGAGAGTCATGAAGTTGTTTCAGGTGTTGTTCCTACATATGCAGATGGAGACATCAGGGCATCTTACTTGAAGGATACCAAGTTTTCCCACCTAATTCTAGAACGCACTTCGGCCAAGCAAGACGGCTCTTCATCCACTCAGATACCCGTCAGGATTCAGCTTCTCACGGCGACAACAGAGGAGGAAGTGTGCGATATCATGCAATGTAAGCCTTACAGTTCCACTTTATGAGGCAAAGAGTAGCTGACATTTCATTAGCTGGCTTTACACGAAGAATAAAGAAGATGTTGCGTATCCCAGAGGAGGATGACTTCAACGCAACAGCTTCTTTAGTAGAGCAGGGAGTTGACTCCTTGGTTGCAGTCGAGATTCGAACTTGGTTCATCAGAGAAGTTGATATCGACATGCCAGTTCTGAAAGTCCTGGGTGGCTCCTCTGTCTCTGATCTGATCAATGATGCTATGCAGCGGATATCTCCTGACCTTACCCCTAATCTTGGGTCCGAAGGGGCTAAACCTGAAGCCAATACTATATCCACAGCACCAAAAGTACCTTCCAATCCTTCTAAACCGGTGACTGTGCATGACTCTGCTCAGCCCACCCGAGAGGCCGAACCCCAGGTCGAAATTACAAAGGCAACACCAGCGGCAAGCTCTATTCCTACTATTGCGTCAACTACAGAGCCAGTTGTTAAGCCATCGACGGAAATCCACGAAAACAAGTCCGGCCAACACAGTTTCGACCGCTTAGCTAAATCAGAAGTCACTGAGAAGATGTCCTTTGGGCAATCACGCTTTTGGTTCCTTAACCAAGCTCTACAAGATAAAACAACGTTTAATATGGCAATTCTGGTCAGGCTTAGTGGTCGAATTCGTGTCAAAGACATGGAAAGAGCCTTGGAAGCCGTGGTCTTGAGGCATGATGCGCTGCGTACAAGATACTTTTCGACTGGTGAATACATGGAAAGCCCAATGCAGGGAATTATTCCAACATCCGCCGTCAAACTAGTTGTCAAGCACTGCAAAGATGAATCCGGTGCGTACAGGGAACTTGATGAAATCAGATCACATGTGTGGGACCTAAACAGCTGGGAAACGATGAAAGTGACCCTACTTTCTTCCTCTGAAACGATGCACTACCTTGTCATTGGATGTCACCACATCGGCATGGACGGATTCAGCTTCAATGTCTTCTACAGCGACTTAGAAAAGGCGTATGAGGGACAAAAGCTTCCTTCCATCCCAAAATCTGCGCAGTATGGGGCATTTGCACAAAAGCAACGCGAAGACTGGGATAATGGTAATATGAACGCAGATCTCGCATATTACCGTGAAACAATTCCTAGCAATCTTAACCCAATACCCCTATTCCCATTTGCAAAGATCAGCACACGATTACCGCTAGATACTTACGGTACCTACAGTGCCGACGTCCGCATTGAGCCAGCACTGACAAGAAGAATAAAAGCTGCCTCCAGATCCCTCGGCTCGACAACATTTCATTTCTATCTTGCGGCCCTCCAGGCTCTTGTCTTCCGTCAATTAGACGACTGTGATGAATTCTTTATCGGAGTTGCGGATGCAAATAGGACAGACGACAAATTTATTAACACACTTGGCTTCTTCCTGAACCTCCTCCCCGTCCGTTTCGAACGCTATGCTGCAAAGAAGTTTGGAGATGCTGTACAGCAAGTCCGCAACAAAGTCTACAAAGGACTGGCTCATTCCAAGTTGCCATTTGATGTACTCCTGGACGAGTTAAAGATCCCTCGTTCGGCCACTTCCACTCCCATCTTCCAAGTTTTCGTGGATTATAGACAAGGTGTCCAAGAGAGACAGAAGTACATGGGCCTTGATGCTGTCGGCGAAAAGTGGCACCTCGCACGGACCGGTTATGACATGACTCTCGATATTGTTGAAAATGCTGCTGGTGATACCCGTCTTGAGCTTCGCCTTCAGCAGCGTCTTTACACGGCAGAGCACACCAAACTTTTGTTGGAAGGCTATGTGAACCTTTTGACGGCTTTTGCCGATAATCCAGCCGTAGACTGGAGTGCACCAGCCGTTTGGGACAGGAAGACAATCAACGAAGCCATTGAAGTCGGCCGTGGTAAGTCCCCAGATCAAGATTTTTTGAATAAAAGATTAATTTGCTATAGGTCCTTTTTTGCAATACGAATGGGCCCCTACGGTGATGCACCATATTGATGACATTGTGTCTCAGCATGGCACCAATATCTGCCTCAAGGATGGAACCGGGAAGATCATGACTTACTCACAAATGGCACGCCGCGTTGACTGCATTTGCTCTGCCCTGGTTGCAGCTAATGTTATGGAGGGAGATACGGTGGCTGTTTTTCAACAGCCTACTGCAGACTGGGTGTGCTCACTGCTTGCCATATTCCGTGCTGGTGCAGTCTATGTTCCCCTCGATCTCCGTACCCCTTTTCCTCGTCTTGCTGCAATTGTCGATCAAGCCAGGCCTCGCGTGATCCTTGCTCATAGCCAAACGCTAGGAGATGTTGAACACCTTAACGCTCCAACGTCAGCAGTAGTGGATATAAACAACCTACCTGTTAACAGCCCAGAAATGCCTAATCTCGCCAAATCTGACACGCTCGCAGTTATCCTTTTCACCAGTGGTTCCACAGGGGTCCCCAAAGGCATCCATATCAACCACAGCAACATCGTGAAACAGTTGGAAGGCTGCTCCAAACAATTTGAATTCAAGGACTCCGCCTCCTATGTCCTTCACCAGACTGCATATTCCTTTGATAAATCCCTTGAGCAGATTTTCACCGCGCTGGTGCATGGTGGCGCCCTTTATGTTGTTCCTGCAGAGCAGCGTGGTGACCCAATTTCAATCACCAATATCATGGCCTCAGAAGGGATAACTCACACTGCTACTACCCCTTCCGAATACCTGATGTGGTTCCGTTATGCACGAGAAAACCTGCTGAAGTGCAAATCTTGGAAATGTGCCCTTCTTGGAGGCGAGGTTGCTTCAGATGCTGTGCTAGAAGAGTTCCGCAAGTTAGGAATGCCGATCAGGCTACTTGACAGCTATGGCCCTGCAGAAATCACAATGTCTTGCGCTAAAGTCGAGTTGCCATATCGCTCTATGGTAACTGGTCAGCAAGCACCAGTAGGTTTCATGCTGCCTAATTACTCTGTTGTTATCGTGGACCCTAAGATGAACCCACTGCCTCTCGGCTTTGCTGGTGAAATTGTTATTGGAGGTGTAGGCGTCGCCGAGGGATACTTGAGCAATGATGAACTCACCAGACGAAAATTCATCCCGAATAATTTTGGGGGGGAAGGAACGGTATACCGTACTGGAGATAAGGGCCGTCTCACGGAAGAAGGGGCCCTTTTCTTTGACGGCCGCATAGATGGCGATACCCAGATTAAGCTACGCGGCGTCCGTATCGAACTTGAAGACATTGAAAGCACCATACTTCAAGCATCGGCAGGAGCCCTTACTCATGCCGTGGTTACCATACGTGGAGAACAAGACTCTGCATTCTTGGTAGCACATGTCGTATTCTCCGCAGCATATACAGAATACCGTGATGAACTGCTCACCCGGCTCCCAATGCTTCTACCGCTGCCGCAGTATATGATACCTACTATCTTCGTTTCTCTAGACAACCTTCCATTCACCACTCATTTCAAGGTTGACCGGAAAGCAGTGCAGGCTCTCCCGATTCCCGAGGCAGAAAACAAGTCATCAGAGGATCTAACTGAACGGACGGAAACTGAATACCAAGTTGCAGGGCTTTGGAACCAGATAATCCCAGCAGCTCGTGCTTTAACACCCAGCGCCGACTTCTTCCATGCAGGAGGTAATTCTCTGATGCTTGTTAAATTACAGGCAATGATACGCCAAACCTTCGGTGTTAGCATTCAGCTGTTTGATATAATGAATGCTGGAACGCTTCGAAACATGGCGCGTTTGATTGATGATGCCCTTGGTGTCAAGGAGCTGGACTGGAATGCCGAAACTGATCTTCCAGCATTTCCCAAGCTGAACTCCGATCTCTCTTCTCCAAAGCAGAAAGACATGGTCGTTATGATGACTGGAGCTACTGGTGTTCTTGGTAGAAATATCCTTGCCCACCTGGTTTCGGAGGATCGCATCTCTAAAATATATACTTTGGCTGTGCGCCCGCAAAACGGCGTTTCCACCTTGACCCGCATTCCCGATCCCAAGGGAAAGATCATAATTAAACATGGTGACCTCGACAGAGCTCGTCTCGGTTTATCTGAAAAAGAGGCAACTCTTCTTTCAAGCGAAGTCGATGTAATCCTACACCTTGGTGCTAACCGTTCATTCTGGGATTCTTACTACCACCTCCGTGCTACAAATGTCTCCAGCGTCAAAGAAATTGTGAAGATTGCATACCCACGCAAGGTCCCTATTCACTTCGTTTCATCAGGCGGAGTTACTATGTACTCGGGCAGCTTCCCACCTACCAATGGGCACGACGGGTACGTTGCCTCCAAGTGGGCAGCAGAGAAAGTGCTTGCCAACGCAGCGAACGAGCTCGGCCTGAGAGCTGTCTTGCATCGCCCGACAAAAGCCCCTGGGGCCATAACCACTGCTCCAGACGAGATTTTGAACGAACTCCTTGCTCTTGTCAAACAAGCTCAAAGGAGACCGGATCTTGAGGGTCTATCTGGAAGTCTAGGCATAGTTCCTCTCGAACGCATCGCTGGGAAAATTGTGGGGTCTATATTCGACACAGAGTCTATAGAGTCAGGCCATCCAGAAGTCCTAGCACATTCTAGCGCCCTTAACGTTAGCATCAAGGACTTCGCAGACAAGATATTGCAAGACAAGTCTCTGTCTACTCTGGAAGGGATGCCAGCCTTGAAATGGATGGGAGTGGCTAAGAAGATGGGATGGAGCCAGTTCATGGTTGGCCACGAAATTTCCATGACGAACTCCAAGGATCAAATTGTGTCTACCCGATAGGCAAATGGAGGAACCGAGATTCCCCGTCTTGCAAACTATAAAGATGTTGGCTTTATCACGTTGTTCATTGTCTATGTTGATCGTTGATTAGTTAATTTTTCACTTTTAATTCGCCTTTCATGTATATAACTAGGTAGCTATTGGGCCCCCCCAAATAGACGTTATTTACCTCTCTCTTACCATTTGGCTAATTATCATTTGTCACAACTTCATATAACTACGAGTACAAGTCTCTCTCCTTCTCTCCGTTGCCCCTTTTTACTGTCTGTGGTACTGCTGACTAAGCATGGCTAACTACTGCAAGCGCTTCGGCTCTTTCCGACGTCACTTCATCAACATCACATCCTCTAACCTGCCAGCCTAGGCTGATAATGGACCTTATTCTCAATAAGTTAAACGTATACCAGCTAATTTGGTGTTAATGCTGTGAAGAGCTCCTCGTCCTCGTTTTAACCTGAAATACCATTTGCCAAAAGACCAGATGGCTTCAACATCGCCTTCAAGTGCGATATCTCCATACCTCATCTTTCTCATCAGTATTGTAACACTTGGTTCTCTTCAGTTTGGATATCATTTGGTAACTATATCCTTATCTCACTAATTCCTTTACACTTTTGTAAAGTTGAAATGCAGTTCATCGAGCCACTTTTTGGCAGGTCTAATGTATTGGCTTGGCTGACATGCATCTTTGTGCTCTCGTCTGGTATTAGGCTGAGCTCAATGCACCCAAGGCCGTCATAACGTGCGAGAAGGATCATATTTCATCATCAAAGCTACCCCAATGCATTCCTATGAGCCAGGGTGTGTTTGGTCTTGTGTCTTCAAGCTACACTCTGGGCGGACTTCTAGGGGCCCTCCTGGCTGGGCCTCTCTCTACTAAGTATGGTCGACTACTAGTTCTTCGGTCTACGACAATATTTTTCATCCTTGGCCCATTTGCCGAGACCATCGCTTTTCCCATCTCCTTGTTTGTGGCAGGGAGGTTTTTGTCTGGTATTGGGTCAGGTGCTGCCCTTGTGGTTGGACCGATCTACGTTTCTGAGGTCTCCCCTGCGAGCAGCAGGGGGCTGTTTGGAGCCGTTACGCAAGTTATGGCCAATATCGGTATCTTATTGACTCAGGGATTAGGTTATTTCCTCAGCAAAGGCAACACGTGGCGTATTATTCTCGCTGTGTCCGGGTTTATTGGCATAATTCAGCTCTTCGGGCTTGCATTCGTTGTTGAAAGCCCTGTTTGGCTCGCGGATAAACACAACATAGCCCAAGCAAAAAAGGTTCTACAGAGAATAAGAGGCCCTGCGGCAGATATTAGTGAAGAAATAAGGACTTGGGAGATATCCACTCCTTCCGACCCAAGAGGTTCCATGGCCGTGGAAACGGAGGAAGAAGAATCGCTTCTCGCAAACCCATTGTCAAGAACTGTTTCCCGTGTTAAAGAACCAGTGACCATGTTTGGAGCGCTTATGGATCCGGTCTATAGGCCAGCAATAATATCCGTTATTGCAATAATGCTGACACAACAATTCACCGGCATCAACAGCATAATCATGTACAGCGTCTCACTCCTATCCAATATCCTACCCACAACAGCAGCCCTCCTAACGGTCTTGGTATCCTGTCTAAACCTGATAATGACTGTTATCTGCGCACCTTTATCCGACAAACTCGGCCGGAAAATGTGTATTTTACTTAGCATAGCAGGCATGGGCAGCATGTCTATGCTCCTTGCTATAGGAATAGCATCTAGCCTCCAAATCCTCTCGGCTGTGGCGACGCTCTTGTTTGTAGCAAGTTTTGCAGTTGGCCTTGGCCCTGTTCCATTTATTCTGGCCTCAGAATTGGTAGGACCAGAGGCAGTCGGAGCGACGCAGAGTTGGGCGCTGGCATCAAGCTGGATAGCAACATTTATCGTTGCTCAGTTTTTCCCAGGCCTTAATGAGTATATGGGTGGCAAAGGACAGATTTACTGGCTTTTCACCGCCATGGCAGTCCTGCTTGGGTCTTTTATCTGGTGGTGGGTTCCTGAGACTAAAGGGAAGAGTGGTATGGATGAAGTCTGGGGGCGGGTTAGGAGAGCTAGCGACTAATTAACTACTGCGTCGAATCTTCCTCATTTCTTTTCATATGGCGTTTTCTAATGCGTTCCAACAGAAGCAAGCTTTTATTTTTGATATCTTCATTTATTTCAATTAGCAAAGGCAGTTGAATTTCAAGATATGGTGGTTCTTGTATAGGCTCATTCTTCAGGTCATGCTGGTATCATAATATATACAAACAAGCAGGAGCAGCAACGAAAGTCAAACAAAAGCAAAGTGGTATCTGACGCAAGTCAACGATAAATGTATCCGCTCCCATACCAAAAAAAGAAACCCCAGCGCTTAATCAAAAACGAACGAGCACAAAGATTGAGATGACAAGGACGGCTATAGTCATCTCCTCTCAAGCCTACTTAAAGCTCTTAGAATGTCACTTAAATCCTCTCTTTCGCTGGCTACCGTCTCCTGGATACTACTCTTGTCGTTTTCCTTCCCCCCAGACGACGACCCACTGGCATTTCTACCTTGCAGTGCATCTCGTTCCTCTAGTCTTTGAGCACATATTCGTAAAATGTGTCTGCTGAGGTTGTCTGCAGATTGCCGGAATATCTCAATATTATGGATACCAGCTGCGAAGGAATCAAGAGTTGGTGTTAGGGAAGTAGAGAGTCGTGTTAGGCGCTCTGATATTGATGCTATGGAAGTATCAATGTCAGGGCTTGGTTTGGTAGGTTTTGAGGATTCTTTAGGTGATGATTGTGAAGAACTAAGGATATTCAAAATTGACGCTTGTGATGGATCAAGGAGCGATTGGTTGATAGTTGACGGTTGATGAGGCAAAGCCGCAGGTCTATTGTGCGGTGTCAATGTAGATTGTTTGGGGGTATCTGGTTTAGTGCTGATTGTTGGTACCGATGGAGGTCGTAGAAGAGCGGCCAGAGACTGACGCTCTGCCTGAAGCCTACAATAGATATTAGCATCTAAAACAGATTTAGGACAATAAATTCAACATACCGCCGAATGTGTTCTTCTAGCTCTTTTATCTTTTCCGCGTTTTGTATATTTCTTGGGTTCGGTTTTTTTATAACAACCGCTGGAGTGGTTGTTTCTGGCCGGCTGAACCAATCGGACAAGTCTGACCTATCTCCGAAATCTTTGAGAAGCTCTTCTTGTATGACACGGGCTGATACAAGCAATATGATGTTAGTAAACCAAGCCTTTTCAGCATTTCAGAAGAGTATAACATACCAGCCAGTCTTGCACTTTCGTCTTCCGACCGTGATCCCGTCGGTTTCTCACCAAGAGCCCTGGTAGCACACCAAGTGAGCAACTGTCTCATTCGCCGCGGCTCAGGAAGACCCTCGCTAGCTATATGTTTATAGAAATGCGAAGTATCCACTTTATCATGTGGTAAAGCTATATATGTATCGTGTCAGCAGTATTCCATTACTCAACGAGCAGTGTAAGAAACGCACCATTTGATACTCCACTGTCTATCAAGGAGCTCGCTCTACGACCGCGGAGACTCAGGCTGCTTCGCCTTTGACCTTTGCGGCTTTTCTCTTTCCTCATATCCTTATTTCTCTGAATGACTGGCGTATCCGCAAATGGCAATGCAATTTTTGTACCGGCATTTTGTATATCTTCCGGCGTACTGTGGATCACCTCCTTGCTTTCTTTTTGCCGTGTTTTGAGTCCCGAATCTTTGGTATTTCCAGGTTTTCGTTTCTTAGCTACATGTATAGGTCCGGGATCTGGTGTCTGAATTTTCTTGAGAGACTTTGTTTGTTTCTGAGTCATTGGTTCAATGCTCTCTTGGACCGACCGTTTTGCTTTTGGTCTCGCAGATCTATTATCAAGGGACTCTGACGAGGGTTCAATAATATCGTTCGGTTTTCGCGACGTGACCAGCCTTTTCTTCTGTCGTATGGTGGAAGTGGCATTGCTCATTTCAGGTGTTGAACTACCTTCTGAAGCTCCATTTGACAGCGCTCCGTTGGTCTGTTTAGGTTTTTTTATATTGCCAGCACGAGTGAACTGGAAGCCCTCAACATCCTCATCGTAATCAACTGTTTAAGTGCCATAATTGTTAGTTGATGATCAATGGACTTAACGCAAAAACATCAATTAAGTACACGAATAGGGATAGTCTTACTCGCTTTCCTCTTGACTGTCGACCCATTTATTCCGTTCCTCCCCACCGCATTTTCTTTAACCGCCGAGGAGGGAAGTTTCGCGGTAACGGATGTCTTCCCTCTCCCGCGCGTCTGTGACATAGCCAACCCTGGCGATCCAGTCAATAAATCTCGATGAGCCTGCTCTGTGTCCGCACGTATCCTTAGCAACAGCTTTTCCTCGTCTCCGGTGGATCCTATATTACGGGTTGATGCGCCGCCGGGCCTGCAGCCAATATTCCCAAGATGATGCTTAAGTCCCGTAGTTGTAGTGCTTGGAGCCAGCAGGACGGCAGTCATGTCCAGAAGTTGTCAAAGCAATGAAGAAAATAGTGGCGCCGGGCGGCTAATTCAGCCGTATTGACCCAAACCCGTCTATTCCTCCTCGCAATGCTGTTTAGCTCGCCCAGCAATCGCTCGAAGCTTTCAACCTCGCGCGCGTCTGCCCACCGGTTCAAGCGCAAATTGAGTCGCCTTGATGATAACGATAAGTTCCAGCTCAGCTAGCGTCCTATCCCATTGCATCCCACGGCAGCTCCTTCAGTCGTTCAAACAGCCTCGTTGTGTTTCTTCAATATCAATCGGATGGGGGGGATGATCTCGGGGTTCCTGTTGCGCGTAGGTCCAAACTGTCTCCTATCTCACTCTCGCCGGGATATCTTCTCTGGTGTAAATGGCGCGGTATCCTAAACGCTTGCCGTCCGTATATTAACCGCGAGTATTCAAGGCGAGTCCTCCACTACCGTCGTCGTCGTCTGTTGTTTGACTCGATATCGCTGGCATTTCTTCGCCTGCTCATGAAATCGCGGGCAGAACAAGCACGGACGCTAGCCGCTTTGGGGAGGTTGTTTTGGTCTTGGCATAAGACATGTTTAGGCTAGCTTGTATTATGTAATTGATTATGAATAACATTTATTTCCTCCGCTTAGTCATTATTTCATTAATAAGCATACGCATCTCCCTTACCACTTGCTGCTGTCATTTGACAAGTCTTTTAGCACTCGAAAAAAAAAAATTATTGGCGGAAGACGGTGCGAGTTGGATCACTATAAGGAGAATCTTTAGGCTGTTGAAAGCTGATAAGACAAATAGAGTGTGGTCTGCACGGTACAGTGTACAGTGCGTTGTGTGGCTCCAATCACTATATCTTGCACCCAGGTATAACAATTCACTACTCTAGGCCTCATATAACGTTGTACATCCTTTAAATCTAGCCTACAGTCAATACCTTACGCTTTGTAACTGTCCCTCTCTATCTAGTCTTGTCTCGGTCGATCAATTGTAGCTTTGGTGTACCTACCACGTGACCTCAGTGAGCTCACGCCAAATCAAAGCTCAAGCTTCAACTCCAACATCAACGTCAACAATCAGCAGGCAGCAAGCAACCAAAGACGCTTTCACCGTTAGCCCATTTCGGATCCACGGTCGAGATATAAATATAACTAACGCAAATACACTCGCTACTTACTCTCCGTCGCCATGGGTTCCGACCCGCAGTTTGCCAAATACCCCGATCTCTCCCTCAGTCAAGACATCTTCAACCTCTCGAACCCAGCATGCCACTCTTCTCCACGCCAGAATTCGCTGAAGAAGCTCCAGGCCGCCATACAAGAGCACAGCATGGCGCCGCTGTACAGACACCTTGCCCATCCGGTAGAAGGTGTACTCAATAATGCTGGAGAGGGCACGTCACAATCCCCTGCAGCGGCCGGCTCAAGCCCAGGCAGCACCGGGGTAGTAGTGATGTCTGACATGTTAGCGCGGAGGCCATCGACCAGCAGATCTGAATTGGCATGGGATGAGAAGCTTTATGATCGTCTGGTGGCGGAGAATAAGCGGGAGCTAGATGAGTTGGCGAAGGAGGAAGAAGAGGCGGCTGAGGCGGCTGGCGAGACAGAAGTGCAGGCCGCAAGGGGGAAGAGAGCAGAACTCTGGGCCAGAGTAGGCGATAAGGTGTGTATCATACATATGTCCTTTTTTCTACTTTACCTTTACTTGATATCGATCTAACACGTTGATTTTATTCAGGATAAAGCCATCGCTGCTTACGAGGCCGTGTTTGAAAACACCGGTGTCTTAGGTACCAAGATAGATATCGTGCTCGCCATGGTTCGTATCGGTCTTTTCTTTGGTGACAAGGTATTTGTCAAGAAAATGGTCGACCGCGCAAACACGCTTGTTGAATCTGGAGGTGACTGGGACCGTCGAAATCGTCTAAAGGCCTACAAGGGTCTTCACTTGCTTACTATCCGCAACTACAACCTCGGCGCACCTCTACTTCTTGACAGTCTGTCGACATTCACCAGCTATGAGCTCTGCAGTTACTCCAACCTAGTCATCTATGCTGTCCTCGCCGGATCGCTGTCCCTACGACGTGTGGACTTCAAGGCCAAAGTAGTTGATGCACCTGAGATCAAGGCTCTGCTAGGTGAAGGCGAGGACAGACTATCAGCTCTGTCTGGGGCTCTCTCCTCAGGCCCTGGAGCCGGTGATGAAGAGATGACGGACGTGGAGACCAGCGCTACCCCCACCCCCGCCGCAACCTCCAAAGTAGTCAACCTTACCACCCTAGGTACCGAGACTGGTGTCCAATCCGAGACTGAAGCGCCTGTCGACTTTACCCCTTTGACCAATCTGGTTAGCAGCCTCTACATGGGCCAGTACCGTTCGTTCTTCTCCGCATTGGCCGCAGTGGAAGACAACTTCCTCAGCCAGGACAGGTACCTGGTCGAGCACCGTGCCTGGTTTGTGCGTGAGATGAGACTACGGGGCTATCAGCAGTTACTGCAGAGCTACCGTGTGGTTGGCTTGGCGAGCATGGCCGGTGATTTCGGTGTTACTGTCGATTTCCTTGACCGGTATAGTTATTCCCTTCCTTCTGGCTAATTGCCCCTTTAGTCACTCTATCCAGCCTCTCCTTCCCGCCATTGTACTAATTGATCATAGGGACCTTGCGAAGTTTATTGCTGGAGACCGGATATCATGCACGATTGACCGAGTCAACGGCATCATTGAGACTAACAGACCAGACGATAAGAATAAGCAGTACGCTGACGTAGTCAAGCAGGGAGATGCCCTGATCACTAAACTACAGAAGTACGGGCAGGCTGTGCGGTTGAGAGGAAGTGAGCGTGGCTAAACCTCCTGGCTCCTGCCAGCTATTCTGTTCACGTCCTTGCCCTAAAACAGCGTCGGCCTAGATAGAAATATACAGCCCTGATCTCTTGACTCCAGTCCACCTTTATCTACATACACGCATACTCCCTCTAGTCTCCATCGTATATCCATTCCTCCCTATGTCTCATCATCCCCGTCTCGATCTTCTCAAACTGCCAAGGCCACACACTATCAAACTCATCAAAAGCCGCTCAATCGAATTTGATACGAACAATCCTATGATCAGCAACAATCTGAAAATAAAACATGTCCTAGTCCATTTTCTTCCCTGCTTCTTTTATCTGCTGCCTCTCCCTCTATCAATCGTTGGCGCGGCATGGCTCCCCTTCGCTCTCTACCGAGAGTCACCACCGCATTGTCAACCACCTATGCTTGCTTTTTCCCTCGATGCCACGGGCGTCTTCATTGCTTCCCCGGTGCCAGTCTGGCTGCAAAGCCGGCATCGTTTCGGTCACAGTATGCCCGTAAGTCCAGTCGGCGTTGGCCAGCCATATTATGACAGCATCGACTGCTTCGTATCTCGTCCCCCACATGAAAAAGCAAAAGTCAACCAATCTGTCCGCATATAAAAAAAGGCGGGCGGTCCCTCTCTCGCATCTTCAGCCATCCTTACGCTGCTATCTTAGATCGCTATAATACATAGAGACAAGACTAGATTTTCTTTTATATAACTATACCATACGCTGGCCGTACTGACATACCTATCAAGCTACCGTCGTCCTTTATCGATACTCCTCCGCCATGGCGACTCCCCGCATGAATAGGAGCAATGTCAACCCAAACGTTATCAACGCCCAGTATGCCGTCCGAGGAGAGCTGGCAGTGAAGGCAGAAGAGTACCGCCTGGCCCTTGAAAGGGGTGAGAAGCTGCCCTTCGACAAAGTCATCTTCGCCAACATCGGGAACCCGCAGCAGCTCGAACAGAAACCCATCACTTTCTCCCGCCAGGTGCTGAGTCTACTGGAGTACCCTCCCCTCCTCGAGAACGAACAGGCCCTCAAGTCTTCCTTTGGATATAAGTCCGATGTTATTGCGCGGGCAAAGACGCTGCTGGCAGATGTCCAGAGTGTAGGCGCATACAGCCAGAGTCTAGGAGCCCCCGGTATCAGACAGAGTGTTGCCGACTTCATTGCCCGCCGAGATGGATTCCCCGCCAACCAGAAGGACGTCTACTTGACCGGCGGTGCTTCTGCAGGAGTTAACACTATCTTGAACGTCATCTGCGCAGGCAAGAAAACCGGAGTGCTCGTGCCTATCCCACAGTACCCTCTGTACACCGCAACCCTCTCCTTGCTCGATGCTACTTGCGTGCCATACTACCTGAATGAGTCTCAATCTTGGGCCACAGACGTCGAGGAAATCAAGACCTCACTTGCCAACGGCGAGAAGGCTGGAACAGACATTCGTTGCATCGTGATTATCAACCCTGGCAACCCGACCGGCGCCAGTCTTAACCCTGCTGCCATCAAGGATGTAATCGATATTGCTGCCGAAAAGAGACTAGTCATCATTGCCGATGAAGTATACCAAACCAACGTCTTCAAGGGCGAGTTCACATCTTTCAAGAAACGCCTACGTGAGCTCCAGGCTGAGTTCCCTGGTAAGTACGATGGTGTTGAGCTGGTTTCTCTGCACTCAGTCTCCAAGGGAATGGTGGGCGAATGTGGACATCGAGGAGGATACTTTGAACTTGTCGGTTTCAAGCCTGAAGTCGTCGAGCAGATCTACAAGTTCGTGAGCATCAATCTCTGCCCACCTGTGATCGGCCAGTGTTTGCTCGAGTGTATGGTTCACCCGCCAGTGAAAGGTGAGGAGAGCTACGAACTGTATCAGAAGGAGTACAACGGTATTGCCGAGGGACTCCGGCAGCGTGCATTTGCCTTGTATGAGGCCTTCAAGAAGATGGAAGGCGTCGAGTGCCAGGAGCCTCAGGTGTGTAGATCCGCATCCACCCTTTGCTGTATCAGCTTTCTGACGAGTCTTGATAGGGTGCTATGTATCTCTTCCCGACCATCCATCTGCCAGCCAAGGCCGTTGCTGCTGCCACCAAGGCTGGCCGTAAGGCAGACGAGTTCTACTGCCTCCGTCTCCTTGATGCTACCGGCGTTTGTGTCGTCCCTGGCTCGGGCTTTGGACAGAAAGAAGGCACTTTGCACTTCCGCACGACCTTCCTGGCGCCCGGAACCGAATGGGTAGACCGCATTGTCAAATTCCACAGTGAATTTATGAGCGAATTTAAAGATTAATACTGAGAGCGCCTGGATGAGATTTTTTTAAACAAAACTATAGTTTAGACGATATGAGATGTACATGCCGGCCAAACCCATCTTGTTTCTATCTAATTTGGCCCCTCTAAACCAGGACTTGGGTAACTTGGGCAATAGAAGAAATATTTGCAAAATACCGTCTGATCTAGATCCTTTCCATTTGACAAGCATCCCTGTTGTTGTTACCCTGCCAACCGTGGGCCATCACTGCTCCAAAGTCCTCATTTACCCACTATCTAGTCACCAACTGCTAACTACCAGCTCCGTACGCCTTCTTCTCCCAACCAGGTAGCCTTCCTCCCCGGGACAAACCGGCGACTGCCCCCGGAAACTCCAAGGTCCACAGTTACTCTGCTCGGGGAGGGCCGGGGAACCGGCGAGTACATAACCTTGGAGGCAACGAAAAACACCCGGAATTAGCCGTCGATCTCAATGTCAGCAGAAAGACCAAGATGATCAAAGCTGTTGGGAGCATAGTAGATAGCAACGAAAAAGACGGAGAAGGCGACCAGAAAATGACAAAGACGTTAGCAGAGGGAAGGGGCTGGTAAGCGCGTTACGCGAAAGGATGATCGTCAATCCTGTTTCTGCAGGGCAACAGGTGAAACGGCATGGAGGAAACAGTAGCTGAAAAGTTACGCAGAGGATCAATTCATTATAGGGAAGAGCAAGCTCAACTGGGGTGAGGCGTACAGAGCATGGCGTGTTCATACTTACGTATGCATGGTGATCAATGGTGTTAGAATCCAGGCTGAGCCCTGAATGAAAGCCAGGGCCGGGGTAACCGATTGGACACAGCTTCTATGTATAGGAAGGATACTTAGTTGAATCAAGTAGTTAAATTGAAGGATCATGGAGAGTGAAATATAACTATGCGTAGATACACAGGTAGATAGGTAGGTAGGTGAACAAGTAGATAGCTGAATGGCTTGATTAGCCCTAGCCGGCATCAAGAGATTACATATGAGCCATTAACCAGCTACTACTTGTTGAGCCTGTGTCATCGTCAAAAAGCAAGGCCCTGTCCTGAAGAAGATCAGCAGGCTGTGAAGATCCCCAGACGCTGCGATATCATGACTGCCTATTACAGGCATTGATAGACCAGACAAGCAAGTCGAAGCTCTTTTAAGCGTCTAGGCAATAGCTTGTTCCATCTCTCCTCGTTGTCCTGGTCGTCTCATCATCGATCTGTTATCTTTGACACCAGGGAGTTGAAGTATGTGATTGCAAGTCAACCTGCGTAGTCAGAAGCTTATGTCGATTAGGGTACTGATAGCTATCCGCTGCATCCAGCGGCAGGGCTAGGACTAGTAGGGTATGGCATTGATGAGGGGAACCCTTGTAAGGCTTTATCGTCCTTCGATAAGATAACCAGTTAGCCAACTAGAAGAAGATCATTAACTTAACTACAGAACTAGAGAGTAAATAACTAGGCAGAGATACTGTTCCCCTGGATCTGCTCTCTGCTCTGCGGACACCCATGATCGTTCCTTCAAGCATTGGTTATTTGCTTTAGCTTTTTCGGCATACATCATGTCGTACAGAGAAAGCAGCTGGAGGACGAAAGACGGCGCAGCTAGGTCGCCGATTTGTCTCACTAAATGATTCTTTTGGGGAATATGTCGCAAGCGCGTTTCCCGCATCGGGTCGACCTTCGAACTTCTATTGAACAATCTCCTGATCATCCTTTTTTGCTTCCAACGAACGTCACCTCGAACTAGAGCCGAACTAGCCGCAGCAAGTAGGAAAGACGGCCGGAAACCTAAGGTTCCTAAGTTCAGGGTACGACAATCCCATGGGTTAACAATCAGCTAGAAACAGCGAGGTTTCAAAGCATCGGAGGTGATGAGTTGTGTAATGTTCTTCTCCGAACTCCATACTCCGTACAGGTCAGATTCTAGGTGTGAGAAAGGGTCCTCCGTACGGAGTACGGAGTACAGCGACGACGCATGTATTTTCAGCATGGAATGGGATTTGCCCTCTCTTTCTCCTGAGCTTCGACAAGGAGATATTTTCGTATGCTCGTGCTCATGAATCAAAATCCCGTGAAGAAACTAGAAGATCCAACGAAAACCAAAGAAAAAGAAATAACGCGAAAGGAGGGTCGTCTCGACGGAGCATGAATGCCCGACACGACGGAGCTGTGGAGGAAGACGGGAAAGCGATGCAAGGGGTTTCATTTTTCGTTTCACAGCTGGCGCCCAATTGGACGAAAGACCTTCTACCAGTTTCCCGAGCCTACTTGATGCCGCCTGTTGGAAAGCCATGAGACGTCATTTGTTGCCCGAAAATGCTGAAGAGGGGAGAAAAGGATTTTTTTTTTTAAAAAAAATTCTATCCCTGTTCGTGCATGGGCTGGGTCTGGCGGGGGAAGTTGGCAGAGCCAACGATCCTTCGGACAGGTGCCGAACATGTCCTGAAAAAGCGTGGGTGCGATGGAGCTAGCGAAGCTGAGCGGGAGCTAGAAAACCTCAATCACCAACGTGACACGGAATATGAGAGACATTTTCGAGCATGAACTGCCCTGCCCCTTCTCTTCTCTTTTATTTTTTTTTGCAAAACGAACGAGGAAGAGGACTTTGTAAGAGGGCCTGGCCAGAAGGCGTTCCTGAGAAAATGAATCACGGGGGTGACTCTCCAAGCGGACGAGAGCCCACGAGAATCGCCACCATCAAACTGAAGCTCTGGCAGCCACCTTGTGGTGTACTTAGTCAGGTCCGTCTGGGCCCCTCAGTCGGGTACTCGATGTACATACGGAGTACGGAGTAAGCATTGTGGCGTAGCACCCATGGCTGTCACTGTGATGGGGAGCCCAACTCGATCCTTGCAAGATGGCCTTGTTTGTATTGTTGTTTGGTGTTTTGAGTACTCCGTGCCTGGCCCTGTATTTTTTATTTTATTTTTTTTTTGTAGATGGATGCTGGACTACATGACCTTCCACATCCAATATGGGCTGCAGAGAGATTTTCCTTGGTCGTTCAATTGAGGAAAGTTACAGGTTACCATTGAGTAAGTGAAACCGACGTTCCAAAGTGAAAATAAAAATAGCCCTGTGAGCTCGAAAACCCGATGCCTGTACCTCCGGCTATGGAGTCGTCTCTGTGGCTGCCTCTGCAGACGAGTGGCTGGCCAAGGCGACTAACAGAGCAATTGTCTGCAAAATTATCGTGAAAAACACCACAAGGTTGTGACTGTTCTCATTATCCGCACGGAGCAACCTTTCGTCACTTCTTGACTGCAGTGCGCGGTCTATCAAATGCGCGCAGTTCGCGGTTGCTGTCGTAGTCGTTGCTGTTGTCGTTGATGTCGATGTCGATGTCTTTTCCCCCTTTTCTTCCCCTTTTTGGCGAATCACGGGGATCGGAGGATGTCGGGGCAAGGCTTCACCCGCAGGCGCCACCGGGCCGGGAGAATCCGGGTGGCAGGTGGCCCAGGCCTTGCGAAAAAAAACCCCGTGCCCTGGCTGACTTCGCCTGCTTTTTTTGCAAAACTCCACCCAGCAACAACAAGCAGCGAACAGCAAACTACCGCTTTGCCGGAGCAACACCCACGATTTCAAACGATCCCTGACACGATATTACGCTTACGCTTCACGAAAACGAAAAATTAAACTGCTCCTGTACCGTTAGATATAATAAGCAACCATGCTGCCCACCTCCGCTGCCCTCTCTTCCGCTCGTCGTGATCAGATACATATACCCTCTCATTCCCGCCTCTCTAATCCCTCTTCTTCATCCATCACTTCTGCTTCTCAAGCACCGCAGTCAGACTTTCATAAGCAGCTTGCCTTAAAGCAGGACCACTCCAACTACCACTCTACATCTCTCAAAATGGTCATGCCGTCAGTTAACCGGACGAGCTTGCACCCAACCGGTGTCCAGTACGCTTCCCTGCCCTTTTCTCATAACTCCCCCTTATCCGCAATTGCCCTATGTCAAGCCCCTCCGGCATCTGCTAGGGACATCACTGACCGACCGCTTGCCAGGCCGTCTCATGCTCACACCGAGATCGAGGAGGAACTCCACGAGACCGCCCACATCGACTATGACAGAGTTGCTATCGTAAGTGTTTGACATGAAGGTCAGGCTTGTTACCCTCATATATACTAACAGAACATACAGATTGCCAACCCTTCCGTTGCCTCCCTTTACGAAGATGCCCTCGTTTACGAGACCGGAACCGCCATCACCTGCAGCGGTGCCCTTACTGCCTACTCTGGTGCCAAAACCGGTCGCTCTCCCCTAGATAAGCGTATCGTCAAGGAAGACAGCTCTTCTAAGGACGTCTGGTGGGGACCTGTTAACAAGGCCATGAGCCCTGAGGTTTGTCTTCCTCCATATTTCCCCTTGTCTTATCCTTCCGCCCGATGATATCATTCGCCCCGCATTTGTCGGATAACGTGACGCTTCAATCTTGGCAAACGAGGCTCTGGCGTATATCTTGGCGCTTAATTATATCTTGGCAATCATGAGTCTGACTTAAGCGCTTGGATGAATAGGTATGGAGAATTAACCGCGAGCGTGCTGTTGACTACCTCAACACCCGCAACCGCATCTATGTCGTCGACGGTTTCGCCGGCTGGGACCCACGATACCGCATCAACGTTCGTGTTGTCTGCGCCCGTGCCTACCATGCTCTTTTCATGCGTAACATGCTTATCCGACCATCTCGGGCCGAGCTCGAGCACTTCCACCCCGACTATGTTATCTACAACGCCGGTTCTTTCCCAGCCAACAGATGGACCGAGGGTATGACTAGTGCCACTTCCGTCGCCATCAACTTCGCTGAGAAGGAGATGGTCATCCTTGGAACTGAGTACGCTGGTGAGATGAAGAAGGGTGTCTTCACTGTCCTCTTCTACGAGATGCCGGTCAAGCACAACGTCCTCACCCTTCACTCCTCCGCTAACCAGGGCAAGGATGGTGATGTCACCGTCTTCTTCGGTCTTTCTGGCACTGGAAAGACCACTCTCTCCGCCGACCCTAAGCGTGCTCTCATCGGTGATGACGAGCACTGCTGGACCGACACTGGCGTCTTCAACATTGAGGGCGGCTGCTACGCCAAGTGCATTGGCCTCTCCGCCGAGAAGGAACCAGATATTTTCAACGCCATCCGCTTCGGCTCCGTCCTCGAGAACGTCGTTTTCAACCCAGAGACCCGTACCGTCGACTACGACGACGCCACACTGACTGAGAACACTCGTTGTGCTTACCCCATCGAGTACATCGAGAACGCCAAGATCCCATGTATCTCTGACGGCCACCCCAAGAACATCATTCTCCTCACCTGTGATGCCCGTGGTGTCCTCCCACCAATCTCCAAACTCACCCCTGAGCAGACTATGTTCCACTTCATCTCTGGTTACACCTCCAAGATGGCCGGTACCGAGGACGGTGTTACCGAGCCCCAGGCCACCTTCTCCTCCTGCTTCGCCCAGCCATTCCTTGCTCTCCACCCCATGCGCTACGCTCGCATGCTCGCTGACAAGATCCGCGAGCACTCTGCCAATGCCTGGCTCCTCAACACCGGTTGGGTTGGTGCCGGTGCCACCACCGGTGGCAAGCGCTGCCCCCTCAAGTATACCCGTGCCATCCTCGATGCCATCCACTCTGGTGAGCTTGCCAATTCCGAGTATGAAGTTTACGACACCTTCAACCTCCATATCCCAACCTCGTGCCCTGGCGTTCCTTCTGAGCTTCTTAACCCCAAGGCTTCTTGGACTGGTTCCGCCGACTTTAAGCAGGAGGTGACCAAGCTTGGTGTCCTCTTCAACGACAACTTCAAGAAGTACGCCGATGAGGCCACTCCCGAGGTCATCGCTGCTGGCCCAGCTGTTGCCGCCGCCAAGGTCGAAGAGGCCGTCAAGCCTGCTGCTGCCGCCGTTGGCAGCATCGTTGAGCAGGTCAAGGCTGCTGTTACTGAGCCAGAGAAGGTTCTCAACGGCGAAGCCCCTGCTAGCTAATTCATTTACCTCGTCATATCGTCATCCACCTAACGTTTCCACCGATACACGAAATGTACCATGACCCGCCCTGGTTAGAAAAGCGCCTCCAAGATTTTGGCCTACCTCTTCCTATTCTCAAGCTGCATATGATACTCAGCGTTTCTTTTTTCCTTTCCTTTACCGTCATTTTTTTCCTTTTGGCTAATCACAACGATTACGCTATCTCTCTTCGTTGAGAGACTGCCTCCATCCCTATAAATTGTGCCTGCCTCTTTACTTACTATGCTTGTCTTGTGTTACCTTTGATTTCTGCGGGTGAGTGATTTGAGTCAATGAGCGCAAGGAGATGGAAACAATTAATTAAACTATAGACTATACCCATTAGAAAAAAATAAATAAAAAATATCCAAAATTAACCAACTTCCACTACATTTCGGTATCTTGATTATGGCGATAGTAACTTTACGTATATATCGGTGCATCCAACAGTGACTTCTTTGTATCTGCTATACATCGAGCGCAATATGACATGTGCTGTGTTACCGCATACAGAAGGAGAGATGCTTGGCGCCGTGAGCTTGACGGTGATAAGCCTTGAGGCTCCTTGGCGGGCTCGCGTGGCCGAAGAGACATTTAAGTAACGACACACGACGTATTCACAGCCTGGCACCATCACCCGGCACCTGAGAATCGCAGCGTACAGTGCAATGTCTCAGACCGCCGAAAGTAGTGTTGCAGGTAAGCTTAGGCAGAGCAGTTGGTTAACTTTTTCCACTACTGTTCCATGCCACCGAAATGAAGCCAAGCCAGCTCCTTTTGCCTCTCAACATTCCGGGCATCTTCTTGCTGGTTCTCTTCGATGGCATCGTGATCCTCCAGAGACGTTTATGCATACACACGAGCCTTTGCCCTTCGAGTTTTCTGTGTGCGTACCGATGCACCAGTAACAAGAGCGAGTTCGATGCAGTCTGCAATTCCATTCCTTTCTGGGCCTGTCTCGTGGTGCTTTTAACTAGCCCTCGGACTGCCCCGACGATCCACTCACAGCGAGTTTAGACGACCAGGATTCGCTGTTCCGCTCTTTAAACTGGAGGGTTACACCTTGTTCCCTCCTTCCTCAGAGTCTGGTAGCGGGAGATGCACAGAGGCCTATTGCTGGCTTTGAAGACTGGAGGGCCAATGATAGCTTAGAAAGAGAGCTCATGCTGGTCGGGGTACATCATCCGTCATCGACGTTATTTCTTTACGGCTTTACCGAGAAAACGGAGTATATAACTAGGAGCTTCGTGGTCCAGTGGCCGTGTTTCCGTCTTGAATAGTTTTTTCCAGTCTTCTCTTCTGCGGATAGCGCTGAGTTTTCTTGTCTTCCAGGTATGTATATAAGGAGAGGCAAAGTCGCAACTCATCTTGTTAGTTATTAAATTAACCAACGTCTAGGTACCTTGTTGCACTCTACGCGAGAGGAAAATGGCGGACCCGGCGGTCACCTCAAAGAGTGACTCGTCTATCGAGGCAGGGTCCAACGCAGGGCAAGAGCAACCTCTAGAGAATCTAGAGAAGTCGAGATGGGAGCGTAGCTGGCCGACGATAGCTTGCGGCGCTGGCCTCTTCTCTGATGGGTATCTGAACAACGTAAGTAAACGGCATCCTTTTCAGCGTTGACATGATCACAACATTAACGTCGTCACAGGTTATTGGCTCCGTCAACACCATTCTCTCTACGATCTATCCAGATTCATACAACGAATCTTCCGCCGTTAAAAATGTTCCATCGATTGCTTTCGCTGGTACGGTTGTTGGCCAGCTCCTGTTCGGCTATATAAGCGACCACTATTCCCGCAAATGGTCGCTGATGGCCTCGACTATCATCCTGATCATTTTCGCCGCGTTATGCGCTGGTGCTTATGGTGCAGGAGGCAGCCAGACAGGCCTATTTGCAGCCCTGACAGCTTACCGTTTCTTTCTCGGGATCGGTATAGGCGGAGAATATCCTGCCGGCAGCGTCGCAGCTGCTGAAAGCACAGGAGGGCTGAAACATGGCCACCGCAACCGTTGGTTCATCATGTTTACGAATTTCCAGATTGACTTTGGATTTGTTGTTTCTGCTCTGGTGCCTATGATCTTGGTCTTGATCTTTACTGAGAATCATCTACGGGCTGCGTGGAGAGTGATGTTGGGCCTCGGAGTGATTCCCCCGTTAACTCTCCTTTGGCTACGGCTAAAGCTGAATGAGCCTGAAGAGTTCAACAGGGAACGTATGCATAAGTATCCCGTATGGCTTATTGTCAAGTATGTTTATCTCTTCATTCCTCACTCAATATATGCTAATCTATCATAGATTCTACTGGAAACGACTGGTAAGCGATTGTCGACACCATTCCAATATTACTCCCTACTTACTTGCATGTAGTCGATTGTCTCCCTCATCTGGTTTATTTATGACTTCTCTGCATACTCCTTCGGCATCTACTCGTCCGTCTGGCTGAAAATCGTCTTGGGCTCATCGGCTCCTCTATGGAAGACCTTTGGATGGAACACTGTTCTCAACCTCTTCTACATTCCTGGTTCATTTGCTGGTGCCTGGGTAAGTGATTGGATAGGACCAAGACACGCCCTCGCTCTAGGAGTCGGGCTTCAGGGTATCTTGGGCTTTATCATGGCTGGCTGTTATAAGTACCTCGCTACTCCGCAAAACGTTGCTGGCTTCGTGGTGGTATATGGGTAAGCAATAATAATGTCTATAACCGTTCGCCTCCACTAGGCTTTGGCTAAGCATCTGACTAGAATATTTTTGTCGTTGGGTGAGCTTGGGCCGGGAGACAACATTGGTCTGGTTGCATCTAAAACTAGCGCGACTGCTATCAGAGGGCAGTACTATGGTATTGCTGCAGCTATGGGCAAAATTGGAGCCTTCGTAGGAACATACGTCTTTCCCATCATCAAAGACAATGCACCAAATCCGATACGAGCTGGACAGGATCCATTTTTTGTGTCCAGTGCTCTATGCTTGTTCAGTGCAGCATTGGCCGTGTTTTTGTTGCCGCATATTGGACAGGTACGTCACCCTTGTCCTTCATGTATGTGACCCGAGGTATGCTAATATCAAGTATAGGATACGATCACCTATGAAGATATGCGGTTCAGACAGTATCTCCAAGAGAACGGGTATGACACCAGCACGATGGGAAATCAAGCGGCAGCCCCGGTGAGCCATAGTCAAGAGAAGAACTGACCCTAGCCGCTGTAACTATTGGTCGTTAAGTAGCACATAATAATAGTCCTCTGTACCAGCCTCATTCATTGGTACCTAATACACATCTGTAATTGTCGAAGTGCTGCATCCGCAGCGGTTTACTGATGCCGAGGTAAATATCACGTGCAGCTGAAGATGCAGCTGAAGGTGCAACTCCCTCGGCCTTTTCCGTTCGCGATGATGAATTTATCCTGATGAAACCACGGAGCAACAGAACTGATTTCAAAACAGACCAAAAGATCTCTTTCACAGCAAAACACCAGATTATACCGCGACAATCATTTTCCACCACATCACCAGTGTGCACAACTGAGTCAAGCTCGTTTTTAGACTCACGATCGAAGGAGAGAGAAACGCTCAAAAAGCCGTTAAGATGGTTGCAGACGCCCTTGCCTACCACCCCACAGTGGCTCATTACTCGAGATTTATTGCTACTACGGGTAGGTACATACATTTCTTGAGGCTACCATTGACCAGGTTCCTGAAGAATGTCACTGGCTAACTGGTTGCCATCTAGTTGGCCGCGATAAGGTCCTCCGAACGTTGCAATACTTTTCCCGCTTCCTCGCCTGGTATCTCCTCCGTACAAACCGAGCGCAGTCCACTATAAACCCGTTTGAGGCTATTAAAAAGCAGTTTGGCCTTACTCGAAAACTTCTCCGTGTTGGCAAGAACATCGAGCACTTCAAGGCTGCTGCGATTGCCCTCGACTCTAAGCCCGGCGTTGCCGGCGCGCCTGGATCAGACCCAGTGCTCAAATACCTGGCTGTAGGAAGACAGCTAGGATACGGAGTCTACCTCTCCTTTGATATGTTGACATATCTTGATGCAGCGGGTATTCGCAAGTTCGCTGCTGTTAAGAAACTGCAAGCTCATGCTCAGAAAGCATGGTTGACTGGACTCCTGTGCAGTGCCATTGCCGGTATCTATTCCATGTGGAGACTGCGCGAGATGGAGAAGAAGATAAACAAAAAGGATGGCGAAGGAGCCGTAGAAGGAAAGAAGATTCAAAGGTTTGTTTTGACTTTCTTCCCCAGATTCAACATACATAAGCGGCAGGTCACTGACAGCTATCTCAGGGAGCGTGCTACTGTCTCGACACAACTCATTTCCGATCTATGCGACCTTACCCTTCCACTGTCTAGCCTTGGATACGTCAACCTGGACGATGGCGTTCTTGGTATTGCTGGAACTGTCAGCAGTTTGATTGGACTCAACACGGCCTGGAAGAAGACCGCCTAGTTTGACTCAATCGCTCTCAGACCCTTGATTATGTATCCTTTTTCGAATAATACCCACAATTGTTCAAGGACGAATATCTAGACTCCATGTATCCTCCGAGCGATTTTCCATGCCAGTTTTGGCCAAGTAAACCCGGAGTCCGGAACGCACGCTACTCTCCTATCTTGCATACACGATTATCACTTGTTTCCTTTTTCGAGCCGATATGATTCTCTATTCCACCCCAACAACGCCACATCGATCTCCAGGCCATTGGCTTATAACGATGCTCACTACTCTTCCCCGTGTTTCCAGCACCCATGCATGAATGGATGTTTCCGTATGGGCCACGGGACAAGCCATCTAGAGTCTTCGGCAAGCTTGGCGACTGGGGATGATGATTTCGGCATCTCATCCACAGGCCTGGTTTCGTATGCGGTCCAGAGAAGAAGCAGTTGCGATTGAAACATATTTCCTGCACTATCATTTGATTAACATTTCCGCCCTGTATATATTTTGTGAATGCCCTATCGAGGTTTTCTTAAGTCTGTCCTATTTATCATTTCGACTTCAGTTAGCTTTGTTTTCTCTTGGAATTAATATGCATGGCAACCAATTCTTCCCCATTACTTCAACTATTCAAAGTCTAGAGTAGCTGAATTGTAAAAATAACCCCAACTCCAGCCAGCCAAGCCCAAACAGGGTAGTCAAGCCCTAATATGGTGATTTGTGGGCTGAAACCCGTATATACAAGCAAGCAGAAGTTTTCTGGCCCCTGAGATAATACTCCGTCCCGCTAGACAGGGGCCGACATTTAAGAAATGGGGGTATCCACGCCCATACGGAGATGATTCTGTTCTGTTCAATACTACCTCCCTAAAATGCATTAAACCTACTGCAGGCTGGCATGGACGGAGCTCTTTAGTACATATTCTATCACCGCCCCTGGCCTAACAAGCTGGCCATATTAAATGCTCAAACTCACTGTCAGCCAACTACGCAACCATGCTCTCGGCCTATTCACCCATCTCCTGCCGCGGATGGCTCGGGAGCGACTTTAGCCTGCCCCACAGCGCTTGGAGAATTATCGGGCATAACTTGAATAGGAAGCTAGATAAAGCGCTGCGCCCTTGATCCTCGCAGCAACAGCATGACGCTTGTGCGGGCGTACATATACTACTCAGTCTGCGAAAAGGGCCCAAGATTTAGATCCTGTCCTAAGCGGAGTCGTCGAGTTACACCCAGGCATCGTTATTCGTGCGGAAGATACTTACTTATATCGTATGCGGATATGTTGAGCCCATATAGACAGGGTCATCTGGAGGAGAGACATGGGAATGGCGGAGTGCCCAGGGAGAAGGCTCAGGTTCCTCTCTTCCCCCAATGGTTTAAATAGTTCCCCGTAGTCCCTTGATGTCCAATTGATCGAGATGTGGATTGTTGGTTCAGGTTGGCTGCAGAACTGTCAATCACCATGAAGAGCCCCATTACCGTTCTCCTGCAGCTTGGTGCTGTGTATACTTCAATTGCATCAGCCTGTAAGCTAAGTGACCTCCCCATATTCTCGAGCCATGGCAGAGATGGATTAAACCAGTGCGTTGAGTTCAGAGATGAACATATGCTTACTGACAGGTTGATAGATCCCCAAGCTTGCGATATCCCCCGGCTCATTGACGCCACTGCCGACCAACTTCAAGATGGATTGACTAAGGGGTGCTTCACCAGTGTTGACCTGGTTAATGTAGGTGTTTTTCTCCAAAATTCTTATCCAAGGACAATCCGTTGACAGTTGCTATTGTTCAGACTTATGTTGCTAGAATTGCGGAGGTCAACTCCACGGTTCGAGCGGTCACGGAGATCAATCCCGATGCCCTTACCATTGCAAGGCAGATGGATAGAGAGAGGAAGCAGGGCAAGCTTCGAGGGTGAGTCGAAATCATGCTAGTTGAGTGGTAGGCAGAGGAGCTAACCTTTACAGCCCTCTTCATGGCCTACCAATCGTGATCAAGAACAACATCTTCACAGATGACAAGATGAGCTCTACTGGTCAGTCGACCAATCCTTCCTCCCGGTCTTATCTCAAGCTAATAGTAAACAATTAGCTGGATCTTATGCCATATTCGGTGCCCGAACATCCGCTGATGCCACTGTGGCCGCAAAGCTGAGAGAGGCGGGCCTGGTCATCATGGGCAAAACCGGTGCTTCTCAATGGGCAAACTTCCGATCGATCAACTCCACTAATGGCTGGAGCGCATTCGGTGGCCAGGTAACGGCTGCGTATATTAAGAACCAAGATCCCAGCGGAAGCTCCAGCGGCAGTGGTGTTGCTTCTGATCTTGGATTGGCCTTTGCAACCTTGGGAACCGAGGTGAGTGATTGCATGCAGGGTAACACCAGCTTCAATATCCTTGCTGACCAGGTATAATGTATCTAGACAAGCGGCAGCATTGTTAGCCCCGCTGAAAAGAGCAACATCGTCGGTCTCAAGCCCACAGTCGGTCTGACTTCTCGCCGTTTCGTTGTCCCTGTCAGTGAGCGCCAGGACACCATTGGCCCCATGACCAGATCAGTCAAGGATGCAGCCTACCTGTTGCAAGTCATCGCGGGCAAGGACTCGAATGACAACTATACCTCCGCAATCCCCTTCGACACCATTCCTGACTACGTCAAGGCATGCGACATCAATGCCCTCAAGGGAAAGCGTATCGGCGTTCCTCGTAACGTTATCAAGATCTTCGGTTCACAGAAGACGGCGGTAGCACAATTCAACCAGGCACTGGCTGTTATGAAAAAGGCCGGTGCTATCATAGTTGAGAACACCGACTTCACTTCCTTTGCTGAATTCGCTCAGAGCCCTATCCCAGACGACATCCTGTATGCCGACAGTCTGACCAACCTGCCCGATTTCTTCAAGCACCTCAAGGTCAACCCTAACAACATCACTGACCTTCAGAGCCTTCGAAGATTTACTCAACATCACCGCCTGGAAGAGTATCCCAGCCGCGACACGGCCAGATGGGACATCGCCCTGCAAAAGGGGGTGAGAAACACTGACCCTGAGTTCTGGCCAATGTACCAGAAGAACTTGAAGTTTGGTAACGAGGGAGGCATTCTTGGTACCTTGAGGCGCCACAAGCTTGATGCTGCCGTCCTACCTACTGATCTAACGCCATATATCCCCGCACTTGTAGGGTCCCCCATCATCACCGTCCCGATGGGCGTGTATCCAAACGGGACAAAGGTGAACCATGACAGAGAGCTTGTCACCTCGGGTCCTGGAATTCCTATCGGCATCGGTTTCATGGGTGATCTCTGGAGTGAGGAGAAGCTGATTGGATTAGCATATGCCTTTGAACAAAAGACCCGTGCCAGGCCAAAGTTCAAGAGATTCATCGAGCCCAAGAAGGAAGTGAAGAATATCCTCTAGAGAAGAGATGCTGTGTTGAGTAACCAAGTAGATAACAGTGACGGTTCTTAGTTAATTCTACTATGATAGAATATGAAATATACATATGATCCAAAACCACTAGCATTAAACAGGTCAAAGAGATATCACTTTGTATCTTATTCAATAAATCTATTGAATAGCGATAATGAATGGGAGGCCTGTATCCATCAATAGAGATAGATCCGGCTCCAGATGGGCCATAGTGAAAGCTCTTCTAAAGTGACTGGGCTGGTATTAACTGTCACTTATCCCCCAAATGGACTATGAAAGAACTGGCCATAGTGACTCTTAGCGTTGAATCCGTCACTATAGTCCTTTGTCTCTAGTAGGTAGAATATGGTAGAACTAGCTCCATCTCAGGCTGAAACAAAGGGGGTATTCACGTTTATCAACAAAGGCCACGGGGCTGCTTGTGTCAGAACGTCACAATAGTATCATATATTAACGGCGGTATCTTCACTCTCACAGTCCCCACGGTCCTCTCTTTGGCAGGACACGGAGGAGGACAGGCCTCGCCTTCTTCGAGCTTCCCCATTGCGCGAGAAACGCCAGAAAGGGAAAGCAAGGAGAAGGAGGGTCACCTGACTTAATTTCGATTAGTCATTAGGGCTAGGGCTAGCTAGTCCTAAAAAGGTTAGCTTCATCGGCTACCACCCTTTGAGGCATTTGGAAAGGATATCTTGTCACGTGCACAAGCTTTGACCACTTTCTAATCTAACCATCTACCTTTTTCCTCTCTCAATCACGTGCACAACCACCAACCAAGCAAAGTTAGAGTCACGTGAAAGGGAGGATGCAGGGCCAGAAGAAGACAGCGATGGAGCTGGTCTGCGAGGACGAGGAGCGGTTCTGGACGTATCTGAGGCAGCTCTACGGCCAGGAAGGGTGAGTTTGCGCGGTTTCAAGCCTGGTTTTCTCTCTTTTTCGGTGGTTGGTATCGAGTGAGGTGCTGACTCCCAGGGCAGAGAGAGCGAGCCGTGGCCAGCTCGTCCAGGAACACGTTGGGCGGCCGGAAGCAAGAAGGTCAACGTCCACGCGCTGTTCGTAGAGATCATTGCAAGAGGAGGCTTTGACGAGGCGTCCAAGGACAAGAAGAACTGGTGGGAGGCTGCTGGGATTGCCGGTATAACTGGTGGCCTGATAGGAACCCTCTCGTACCAGGTCAAGCTGCTATACGCGGAGCGGCTGCTGTGAGTTTTCTCTGGACCAGCCAAAAAAAATCACCCCATATAAAAATAACGTCCTTAACCGTGCCTCTGTAGGAACTTCGAATACTTCTTGCTCCTGACCCCGGCGTGTGAGCTCCCCAGCGCGTCTCAGGCAAGAGCAGGTAAGTCATGTCCTGTTTCGTGCTTTGTCCGCAGCCGCGCTAATATGTAAGGTGTCCAGCAAACGCGGCGTTACCGAAGCCAAAGTCAAGGAAGCGCAAACGCGCCGGCTAGTTCGAGTCGCACTCCTAGTCTTACTCTTCTTCATCTTTCTGCCTTTTACTTCTTTCTTCTTCCCTGTCGACGACACATCTTCTCTCTCTTCTCCCTCTTTATCTCTTCAAGACATTTCTTCCCTGCTTTCTCTGTGTCTGTCTCTTGCTGTCAGCCATCAAAATGGACGTCATCGAACATGATACCCCGAGCAATCGGCGCGGTGTCTTTGCTGCTTCTGCTCAACGTGTACCTTTGCCCCCTGACATCGATCCTCTCATGACTCTCGCTCTACCAGATCAAGGTATGTAATACTGTGCAGATAGAGCCTCTCTTTTACTGGCCGAGCTTGATTCTAATGGCGGGTAGTTCCCAATATTTATCGTTTCTGCTGGATGGGCATCCGATCTGACATCGACAAGGAAGTCGATTTCGCTCTTCACCATCTTATTGTCATTTCTGATGAACGAGGAGACAAGCTCAAGTTCAGCGACTTTAACATGTTGGCTGAGTCTCTCGTCAAGCAAGTTTTAAAAGTTTCTCTTCTCGTCTACGGCCAGGAATGGGTCATCGAGCTTGATCACCCAAATGATACCCTCTCCCAAAATCTCAATGTCATCTTTGCCTTAACTGGCACTCCTGATCTTCTACATCGCATCCAAGCCAAGAAAATCTGTCTCGATGATACCAATCTCGAAGATGAATCGTTTCGCGTCAGGCTCCAGCGCGTCAACCAGGCTGCTCTCATCATTCGAAACATGTGCCTACTCGAGGAAAATGCCCGCTGGTTTGCCGAAGAACCACTGCTAAGGGACTGCGCAACCATCATCCTTAATCTCCCCTGCCAGGACAGATTCATAGAACTGAAGAACTACTTTTTGGAAATCGTCGAGCAAACCTGTCCCTTTTGGGACATCTGGGACCAAGACCCGCTTTATCAAACCTTCATTAAGCTGATAGGCAGTGAAGACCGCTTCCAACTGCTGACCTCGTTAAAATGCCTCTCTTTGTTTGCCATCGAGCGCATCGAATCCAAGATCATCGACAGGATCCCAAGCCAGATTATTGAACGGGTAATCCGCCTCACTCTTCTCAAACAAGACCCTGAGCTTCTTTCTGTTGCGCTTGATTTCCTCTACCAGTTCTCCCGTTACCAGCTCAATGTCCAGCAGCTCGTCACAGACTTTAATCTTCCCGTTGACCTCATACCGCACCTTGTTCACCTCTTAGACTACGGCAGTGTGGTCCGCAACAAGGAAATAATAGATCAAGTTGAACGCATAGCTCCGCCTCCCGACCAAATTCCAGTTCCACACCAAGATCTTTACCGTGATCTCATTAAACACAATGAGCCCGAACGGTGCAGCCTCTGGCTCAAATGCTGCTTCATCGAAGATCCAGAATGTGAAATTACCCAACTGGCAATCTGGCAGGCCTACCAAGCATGTTTCTCCCAAAACCGCATCCCGGGCATCCAATCAGCAGATACACTCCAAGCCACTGAGTTCATCAACACGGTTAGCAATACCTTCTCTTCTGCTCAGGCCAAAGTTGTTGAAGGCCCTTCTGCCCGGTTCATCATCCGTGGTATCCGCCCTCTTGAAACCACCTACAATCTTGATGGCTTCCCTAGCCTTCACTGCCTGTGGGGCAAACAAGGAGAAATCCGATGCGATCATGTATTCATTGACCCTGCCATTCTGCGCAACCATGTGTTCCAAGATCACCTTCAGTTCAATCCCTCAGGCTCTGGCGGATGGGATCTACAACCACAACCTTCCAACCCACGCGCATGCCACTGGGATTACTGCTCGGAACATTTAACTCCCACGCCGAACATTGCACAGATAGCTGGACATGTCTCCGCTCACCTTCCCCCGCTACGAGACATGAGCAAGCCACCACCTATCCCTCCCCGAGCCATCATCCAACCTAAGTGTGCCCGGCTCTTTAAACTCTATCCCACGCCTGTTGATGAGCACGGTGAGCCATACGGGATTGCATACAAGGCGCTACTTGTGATGAGATACATTCTTCTCGGGCTTCCATCTACACCATCCGGTAGTCAATACAACAACTTACCATGGCGAAAGGTGGTCTTTGGCTCACAACGCTCACACTTGATCGAAACTGCAACAGAGAATCCCAGCTTAACAAAGGAGATATTTGGATTCTTGAACGAGCTCGACTCCTCTTCTTAAAGTTCACGGCCCGCCCGAATCATCATCACGCTCAGATCTTTTTCCATAAATTTTTTTTCCCTTTTTCTTATGCAATAGACGGTTATGTTTTCCCTTTTTCTTTTTTGTTTCAGATACCCCTCAAAAGAGTAGCCATATTTTCCAATGTCAGGGCGAAGGGGCGAAAATACGGCTTTGATGGGAGGAGCTTGTTGCTCTCAAGTTAGCATGTCTTCATGGACCCAGTCATGTACTATTCAGTTTTAATAGCGTTCGAAGCTTGAATAAAGGAAATCTCTTTTCCCCAGCCCAATTGCTTTTTTCCACAGTGACTATGTCTTTCTCATGTCGGGGGGTATCCAGGAGACGGATAGACAGAGCTCTCGGCAACTGCCAAGTAGGTACCGACTCTCCGACCTGTAACACGCAAAAACGTACGATGACTAGTTTAACGGATAGACTATTGCGCCGGCGGAGGCACTGAATCCTACCACCAGCAGTGAGTCCCGCATAATGTTCTCAATTCCTTGACCTGAGAAGGTAATTGATCCTTGCTACTCGCCCCTGTGTCCAGCATGATGCTGTTTATCCATACATAAGATGACAAATATAAAATTCAGCTCAGGTAGCAACAGAAATAGTATATAAGCGTCCAACATCGGCTCTTGAAGATTGATCATTTCTCAATCCAATATCAAGGGCCAGCCAGCCGCATTCATTCTTTACTAGCTACATCATCCCATCATGGCCTCCAACGACTCAAAGCCACTCCGAATCGGAGTCCTTCTGACGTACTCAGTTCAGCTCCTCGACCTAGCAGCCGTTGACCTCTTCGGTATGATGTCAAAGGACTACATCACCGAAATCGACGTCCTTCCTCCAAACATTGCTAGCTTGGGACTACCAGTTGAGATCAATTACATCGGAATAAAGCAACTGCGCTGGCACGTTTATCCAGTGCACAGCAAACATCGGCATCAGGCTCACTGCCTCGATCCATGACGCCTCTGTTTCTGCGGATAACCTTGATATATTAGTGATACCAGGACCAGACCCGAAGTTTGTTCCGGACGAGTCTGTATGCGCCTTTGTCAAGGCACATCACGATGCTGGGAACGACATCTTAGCGATCTGCACTGGCAGCTATATTGCCGGATACGCCGGCATTCTGGATGGGAAAAGCGTTACTGGTCCGAGAGGGTTGATATCCGATTTGGAGGTGAAATTCCCCAAGGTGAAGAAGTGGGACAGCACACGAAGAGTATCGAAAGATGGAAATGTCTGGACGAGCGGTAGGTTTCTGTCAAAATAGCCCCCTTATTCATTAGTATACTGGTCCTGATGTGCTAATGCTTCCTGAAGGTGGAGTAACAAATGGCAACGATCTCGTATCCGCCTACCTTCGAGAGCACTATCCGCTGCCCTTGGTGAACGCCATCCTGTCTATAGCTGATGTGGGCGAACGGCAGATCGAGTACGAATCAAAGTGATAAACAAACCTGCCATTCTCAGATGCCATGGTTTGGGCCGGTGTATCTAGAATCCAATTAAAGTTAGGACAGCCATAGCAAAGGGCCAATTTGATTCATCTTCAATGTCAGAAGCGAGATAAGAGCTTGGTCCATTCACAGTATACACCTCAATGAGGAGATAATTCGTAGGCACCAAAATCACTTGGAAACAAGCAGAAAGCATAGACACCTTCTTGAGAAACATTAACAAAGCCCCCTATCAAAGATCTGCGCAAGTTGCCTGTAGCTTTCTTGAATTACATTTCACCTAACGCCAGCAAAAGTTAGCAGGATAAAAATAATTGATGTAAACCTTCTAAGAGATGCTGCTCCAGCGTTACGTGAAGAGATCATAAACCTATGGTATTAGCAGGGACCTTTGACCACTCTCCAGTCTTTCCAGTCCCTACTAGTTTTAGAGCACCTAATTGCTCAGATGCCTATGTCCCACACTCCCTAACCACATAAAGTAAAAGTGTCTGTTGTTGGGTGATATATTGTGTTTTCTATGTGTAGCCTATGTAGGGTTGGGAATCTGGTATCGACTGGAAGCCCATGATAGTCGGTTGATGATTTGGCATCGATATACAGGATCATAAATACGCCGTACAGATGTGGCAAACACGACGATAGCCGTGAACAGTTATATTGAATATGTCGAGATTATGATGATGGTAGAATCTGGGTATATCAAGTTGAAACTGGTCTGAGTGGGCGTGTTGTTGACTATAAAGACAATACCATTTGCTGATGCAATGCTCCTACTAAAGATCTTTGGAGGGCTTGGTGGAAGGAGTTAGCTGTCGACAGATCAGGCGCAAGGGACAAAGGGACAGGGATAGCCGAAGCCCAGATTAAAAGCTGTATTGTGTTATCCTTATGCCCTTAATTCATTTTATGCTATTAAAAAACAATAGAGAATAAAGGAAACAAGGAATAAAAATAAAAAGTATCTAAAGGGTTGCCATTATCATGCTAGATGGCGGGTTGAATGAATATAGACGCTTCTCTTGGATTTGACGGTATTCCAGCTCACATGAGGAAGTAAGAAGGCCGTAACCAATATATTTCCAGGCTACTTCACTCCCAAACATTTGCAAATAGGTCATCACCACCTCCAAAACCGCTAGATTTTCCCTTGCTAGAAGTGCTATTTCCATTCTTTACTGGGGCTGGGGTTGGGTCAGCCCATCCGCCAAAATCTTCATCAGCAGCAACTGCCGGAGCTGGCTTAGTGGTAGCGGGAGATGGCGCTCCCCAACCGCTACCTATGTCGTTCGCAGTTAGGGTATCTGGAACTTTCATGGCAGATGTAGCTTTTGAAGTAGCGGCTGCAGGGGGTGATGGTTCGGCCATGCTCCATGCGTTTCCGCCCCAGGGGTCCATTGTGCTGGCGGAAAATGCGTTTGATGGGCTAACGGTGCTTGCGGGAGGAGATTTTACGGTTGATTGCTGTGGTGGTGAAGAGAGATTAAAGACAGAAGTGTGGCTAGGGGAGGTCAGCGGGGGCGAAGTGGTAGTGGCTGTCGTTGTCGTAGCGGTGGTTGATTGTGGTACTGGAGAGGAGAAAAGGTCAAACATATCATTAGATGCGCTGGGTGGTGCTGCGGGCGCCTTTTTCGACGCTGTTGTTGACCCCATCAGATCAAAATTGGAAAGAGGGGGTGATGCGACCTGGCGTGGCTTTGGGTTTGGCTGAGCTGGAGCATCGTTAAAGAAGCCACCACCGCTCGACATCGACGGCGAGGTTACCTTTGGAGCTGCAGGGGAAGACTTGGAGCTGGTGAGGCTGTCAAATGCAGAAAAGGTGGACTGCTGTCTCGGTACAGGAGGGGAGGTGGTGGAAGGGAAACTAAGCCCACTGAAGGCATCACTAAGGCCACCAAAGGCGTCTGGTTTGGAGGCCTGCTGAGGCGGGGATGAAAACGAGCTGAATGACGAGTTTCGTTCATGTTGAGGCTGCTCTTGAGGTTTGGGAGGCGCAGAAGCATAAAGGGATAGAATCGACTGTTTGAGATCTGGTCTCGAGGGGCCTGAGGTAGGGGTATTTCCACTTGGAGTACTTGCGGGGCGGTTAGATCCCCCGCTTGGTTGACTGGGGCCGAAGAAATCTAATCCAAGCAACGAATCAGCCGGCTTAGTGGGTTTTGGAGCAGCAGCTTGAGCGGCTGGTCTGCTTCCTGGTATATCTGTGGTCCTCGGTCTCGGCGGTGGGTTTGCTGGCTCATCGTCGAAGAAATTCACGGCCGGCGGTCGCGCTTGTCCGGGTCGGGGTCGGTTAAAGCTTTGCTGTTGTTGGGAAGCAGAACGTTCCAACTTGGCCTTCTCTTGGATAACCGCTAAAGGCTGTAATTGAGTCAGTAAGTTGGATATTGTAAATGTTCTTTCCCGAGACACTTACCACGTCCTCATCACCTTCCACCTCAAGGGTAGAGGGATCGGGCATCGGACCATCCATCACCCATCGTCTCGACTCGTACTTCGTTCGGATGAAATTCTCAATTTTCCTATCCAATGAATTAGCATCCGGCCATTGTAGCACCTAATCGTGAATGTAGGCTGCACGTACGCTTCTGATGGTACGTGTCCAGGATTTAGCTTATCTTCCCAGTATCTGTGTCATAACAGTCAGTTCTGTCGAGAAAACCCGTTTCCATATTCCAGTCTGTATGGCATTCATGTTGAACGTACTTGTTTGCCCTTGCGTTTCCCCATTTCATAATGCTTTGTAACTGCTCGTCTGTCCAGGAATCGAGATCCACTGATTTCACGCGACTGATATGTGTTCCCATTCCTCGATGGATACCCGAGCATCGAATGCAAATAAATACGCCAATATTCCAGCTGGCCCATCTTGGATCTATTAGGAGGAGTAGTCAGTAATGTGAACAGAGTATTAGGATAGCATTCAGGGGGTTGCCCGCATCAAGGTGAATCCGAGCCATGAGAATCATAGACATTAGAGGCGGTGGACTCACGCTTATTCCGTTTACAATCGGCGCAGGTTTTATTGCAGGTCAGCTTCAGAAGATTCTTTATCATCTGCTGGTTCTGTGCTGCCCGATCGGCTGGTGGGCGGCGAGACATTGTCGAAGATAGCGGCAAAACAGGCGGTTGAGAAAAGAAGAATAGTTTGAAATAAAAGGACGAGTATTTCGCCACTCGTATATGTCAATTCAGACGGCTGTAGAGTATCCTTCACGTTCGCGAGGAGGTATATCAGAGATATCTTGCTGCCTCCAGCTCGTTCAAAAGGCAACGAAAGTCACTTTGTGTTCGACGTTTCGATCCCGCAATAACTAATCGGATTATATAATCATAGTATAAATCACGTGAATGTCCTTATCTCCGAAGGTGGGAAAAAGAGGAAGAAGCAGCATTAACTTTGCAATAATTAATTTACATACATAGTTACATGGCAGCAAGATGGATTATTGTCTTATATGTTCTCCTTAGGGGCTTTCGCGGCCTCTTCATCCTCGCTAAACTTCAGGCTAATACTGTTCACACAGTGTCTCTCGTCGGTTGGTGTATCAAACCCTTCACCCTTGAAAACATGACCCAGATGGCCTCCGCAATTCGAGCACACGATCTCCGTCCGGGTAATGCCAAAGGATCTGTCATCAAGACGTTTGACCGCACCAGGGATGCAGTCGAAGTATGCCGGCCATCCACATCCTGATTTGAATTTATGAGTGGCTTTGTATAGTGGTGCGGAACAACCGGCACATTCATAGACACCGGACTCGGGCATATGTTTGTCGTATTCTCCGGTGAAGGCGCGTTCGGTTCCTTTCTGGCGAAGAACGTGAAATTGCTCTATACAAGGTTAGCCTGGGCAGTCAATAGGGCCAGATCGTCAATGATGCCAGTGGAGTTTGGACGTACGTGGTGAGAGAACCGCTCGCCACTCGGCATCTGTCTTTTTGTCAGGGTAGCCTGCCATGTTCTCTGAATTTGCACTGGAACTAGAACTGCTGAAAAATGAGGACAGAAAGCCCATCATAGATGAAGTTCCTGGTAGAACTAGCCGGCTAGGTGGTGATCTCTTGGAGAAGCGAGGAATATGTGATGTGAATGTATAGCTGTTAGGCGCAAGCCTGGATGCAACTGATCTGTATATAATTCGTGAGAAAGACATGAAGAAAGAGTCACCAAATTTATAGAGATGCTGGAGATTTTTATAGTCTTCATACAAATCAGATTCCTAATAGCCAGAATCAAGGAATGACGTTTGACAACGGTTTAAGCTTAAATTAGTTGAACTTACGCCAAGCCCGGTGTGGAATCAGTAGGGCGAAGCATCTACTCCGTACAAGAGGTCCATTAGCGACGCCGTTTTCCAGCTATTTGAAATCATTATCTATTCATAGTATAGCCCATCTACTCTCTTTACTTTCTATTCAAACATTGACGTGATCATAAAACCAACGCTGACTAGACTGGGTATCAACCAAAGCTCCAAAAAGCAAGACGCTCACAAATAAAAGGAATGCACAGCCAAGGGAAATCTCTTGCATCTGTCAGAATGACAATGGATGGCTCCGTTAATAACCAGCCTGGCCAGTCACTACCAGCGCACCCCGCTCAACTTCAACTTTCCACCCTTCTCGCACCAGACAGCGCGCAACGGCAGGGCCTAACCTTGCAGTACCATTCTTACTATGCCGGCCAAGCCCAGTGACAACACGGTAGCTTCGCGCTCCATGCTTTGATCGCAAACGATTGGAGTACTTCTCATCGCCCAGGGATTCCCACCAGGATTCCACCCCCTCTTTCGCGATTCGCACTGCGTCCTGCACGCTTACCCCATGGAGGTCTAGAACATTGCTACTTGACTGGCTGTAGACAAGCGCATCAGCAGCAATGGCTGATTCTTTCTTGGCTTTCTCGAAATGCTCGCGCCCAACGGATGAGTAGTACCCTGCTGCGCCGCCCATAAGACGGTCCGACTTCCCACGGCGATAGGCAGAGTGTGCTTTTTCAAACGCCTGTTGGCTTGCAATGAGATGTCTGTCTGCAATAGCACGGCTGATGACGGGGTTGTAGTTTGGTCTAGCGCCCGTTGCTGCAGGGACAGATATAGCTCTGGTAGATGGACGGTTTGTACTTGAGTTAGTGGTAGCCTGGAGTGACCCAGATGGACCGGCTGGCCGGTATTCTGGCTGTATGAGGCTTGGTACGGGTTCGACTATCATCATTCTTGCCAGCTCGTTCGCAGCGGATATGCAATTCCTTGTCAGCTTTAGAAGACCAACGAGGTCATTGCGAGGGATGGCTGAAAATTCCTCTTGCAGTTCAGCAATTTGGGTATGAGTCACACTATCTTCTATGTCTTCCGCTGAATATTTCTTTGCTTCTTCCCTTGTAAGTGCACGGATAGTTGCAGGGAGTGATGCGCGATTTGAATGGTATGCTGAGCTGACAGCCGACATGGCCAAAGTTGTCCTCGAACAAATGAATTCCATATCTTTCTTTCCGTTATCCCATCTGTTCTCAGGCTTAACCCCACTACTATCGCTAAGGGATGTCTGCGAGAGGTCCGATTCAGACAAGTGTTGTAAATGCTGCTTGTTCTTATTCTTTTTGCTTTTCCTGCGAGACTTGCCATTATCGACGGGGCGCTCGAACCCCGCGATACCTTTAGGAACTGAAATCTGATCCTCGTCGGCGCCGGAATTCTGACTGTTCTCAAAAAATGACAAGTTTAAAAGCACGTCCATAGCCTTGTCAACGTTCCCACCATATTTATCAAGCGTGTGTAGAACGGTATACCGGTCGATTGAGGGAAACATCTCATGTAAATATTGCGCTTGGTCTTCCGAATTTGATCTATTCAAGCCCTTTATGGCAGTTGTAGGATCACCCGAGTGCTTTGAATCATTATTTATACTGCGAGCCCTCCGTCCAGAATCGTTGCTCGATTCTGCACCGAGTGAGGAGACATTTGATCCAAGACTTGTTGTGTTCGTTTCATGCGAACTTAAGGTCTGCGGTTCGCTTTGCGCGGATGCAATGCCGGATGCGTCCTCCGGGAAATCAAATCCACTGGTTCCTGACGGGTCAAAGAGGGCATCTTCTTGTTCATATGCAGATATCTTTAATGCGTCCAAGGTCTCTCGAAGCTGTTGGACAGCAGACTGGTCATCAAGGTCATAATCGCTGACAATCGCAACGAAAAGTGCGGGGTCCAGAGGGGGGCAGAACTCGTTCTCAAGTTCCTATTGACAATTATTAATCGACGGATAAGATAGATACACAGGAATAAGCGGTTATGCGACGTAGACTCATGGCCCGAGCAGGATTAAACGGGCTTTTAAGTACTTACATTCAAGAGGGAGGGCGCGTCATCCATGCTCGGCAGTAGTCACTTGGTTCAATCGGGTGCTGTGGCTGATGGATAGTTGCATCTCTTGTATCTGGATAAAAATAGAGGAAAGTAGTAAACCAAGACGGCATTTATAGTATGGCCTGGCAACACTGACCGCGAAGAGCTCGTGTTGTTTGCGACGGGTTGTTCCGTCTTCTTCTTCTCCCTCTGTGATCTTTGACGTCGTTTTGACTAATAATTGATATAGTCACCGAAAGTTAGGGTAGTTATGTCACGTGTAGTGCTTTTGGGATGAGCACCATGCAGAATAGTCGGCAAATGGCTAACTGTGGAAGAAGAAGCCTATCTATAAGTGGAAGCGCTGGCATCAATATCCTATGCAATGGAAATTGCTATGCCCTGCGTTTGTATCTTCACTCCAATTTCGGCTCGTCTTGCCTTTGTTCTGATAACTACGAGGACGCTGCGCAGGCTTGGCGAAGCTGATATCTCACAATTGACACATCAAATGACAAATGCAAGTAAATGTCAACACGGAAGGCAAATATGTTGAGATGAGATTCAGAGGTGTGGGAATCTCAGCTATAAGCAGCCTTCCCCGTGTGTCTAGCTGTTTGTAGATTAAAAATACTCACGTCTGCAAAGTACAAGCTCGATTGTTGATATTGAAGCCCGATATAACGTCCGCTAAGCCTATGCTTACTCAGTAGTTAATCCCCGCTATACGATTCTCAAGTTAGATCATCAAAATCAAATTCAAAAAGGCGATAAGCCGTTAGGCAAAAATATTAACCAGATGGGATAACTAGTTAAAGGAAGGAAAAAAAAGAAAAGAAAAAAACAAAAATGGACAATGTGATAATCGAAATCACGACCTTCCGTAGTTTATGACTTGCAAAACGGACGTTATACCACTAAACTAATTGCCCAATTGCAATACTTTCCCCTTCCAGCGGAACTATGTGCTAATTGCCCAGACATATTAGGATTTTGCACTTATTAAACTTTTATGGCTCCTTCTAGAGACAGGAAACCATGTGCATTATTGTATGGATGAATCTCCATTGCGAGAATGTTTGAATACAGTCGGGAGAACTATATAATCGACTATGCTAATTGCCCGAAATTCGTGTGGATCTACGAACTTTCTAACCCTCGTAGTACATCGTCTTCAGAAACATCGCCGGTCCAGCAGAATAAATACCACCTGGATAATGAATAATTTAGGCCACCCTGAAAATTTTCGCAGAATAACGAGCACAAAATGACTGACTGTTATAATTCAGTCGCCCAAGGCCTGTTAAATGGGTCATGTTGCCAATAGATTTGTTCGTGAATGATAGGTTGCCCGTGTAGCTTGCTCATAGTAGCGCGCCACCCGTAATCCTGGTATCATGGTGATATGCAACATATTGATAATTATCATTATTCTCATCATTACAGGTAGTAATGACTATATGCTGGTATAGGTATACTTGGTTACTGGAAAGGGATACCAAATAGAACAAGCCATAAATCCGTATTTCCTCCACATAAATAACTGTAACTCCGGCACCTGCACGGCTAAACAGAAAAGAAGTACCAAACGCCAAACATCATACACCCAGGGTGTTTATTCATATGTTTTCCCGTAGCTCAACGGCGAAGATTCCGGGCATTAACTTCCGATTCTACCGCCATCATAGTGCCCTTATAGTCACATAGACTGCAACCGTATATACACACAGGGAATGTAAGCACAGCGGCTCAGCGTCAGACGGATGGGATACTGTTCAACGACAGTATTATACGTGACTCTCTCGAAGGTTGAGGGAAGGTAGGCCATTTTGAACTCTCAAAATATCCAGCCTAGCACGACCCACAGCACAAGGCCAGATCCAACTACTATGGCCGCCAGCTTTAGGACAGCTATCTTGTCGCCCTGCCTGGCCATACGAGTCAACCGGCTTGCACTGCCCTTGATATTCGTTGATAGAGAGGAGAAGACATCGCTCTGTAGGCCCATCCCCAGGGCAGAGAATTAGTATGTTTTCGGACTTTTCAACAATTGGGCGCGGCACGGGGTATACGAACGGTATTATCGATCATATCCTGGTCTCGTGCATTATCGTATATGTTCACTGTGACTGATTTGAGGGCGCTTGTCTTCTGCGATAGGGACTCGAGGAGGGAGTTGTTTTGTCTGGGGCAGACGGGGTAGTAGTTAGCACCAGCTCATGGGGAAAGGGAATGAAACGCCGTTGAATCAGTAAAGCAGAAGGGTACCTTTCTCTTTCGTATGCGTCACTCATTTTGATCGATCGTTAGGTTGGTGAGGGAAACCGGCTGTCTTGTTGGTTGAGGAAGGGTGATGGGATGTGCTTTTGCCTCTTCGAGAAATGCGGACAAGCTCTGTTCTGGTAAGGTGAAAATTAGAGGTTTCAAGACACCTATCGACTAGTATTCAGCCTGTTAGAATATCAGAAGCTAGCTAAGTAAACGGTGGTTTGATAACTCGTTAATTAGTTGTTGATCGATGCGCAGGGTTGGGATTACTCGGAGATTATATCATGTGATTATCAAATTTCCAAAAGTCAACCCCCTGAAGAGAGACGGGCAGCAGCTATTTGCTATTGGTAGGATTGAGAAGCGAGAAAGGCATTTATTATGAGGTAAAGAATAGATTTCATCTATATAAATAACATGGGTATCTAAATGCGTCGCTCGCTCATCGTACAATAAGTGTGTTGACATTAAAAATGACGATTACTATGGATACTAGTATTTCCCTCCCCAACTGACCCGTCTCCATATCATAACAGCTGCTGCGCTGGCACAAACAACTGCACCGATTGCAATGCCCCATGCCATCCACTTGCCTTCCGCGTCTTCTTCGATGCGGGGAAAAGCAGTGCTAGGCTCCATGGCTGCCTCAGCGATATGCACGAACAACTCTTGTATTGAGCTCCATGTTACGCTGACGTGCAACGGTGGGCCAGACATGTTCAACTTGCTAGTGTATTCGTCTGGTTGTAGCTCGGCTCGTTGCGTGGTGCGATCCAAATCAGCTTTGAGGGCAATGAAGACACTGGGTAGCTCCTCTAGGTGTGGGTATTTAGCTCGTAGTTTAGGTATGTAGGCGAAGGAGTCCGGGTCGGATGAGTCGTACGTGTAGGCAATCACATCGCACTGGTCTAATAGCTTTGCCTGGTTATCGAGAATAGCGGGTTCCAGTTCGCCTAGTTCATCGAGGATCATGTAGCATTGTTTACCGCCTGGAAGCTCTACTGTGTTCACGGCAGTACGAGGCTGGATGGTTGGGCGGTAGGACGGGTAGAATCCCCTAGATAAGAAGGCGTCCAGAAGAGAGGATTTACCTGAGCCTGGAGCACCGACGACATGGCAGAGGACAACGTTCCGGCCCACGCGCCCTGGCCGTCTGCGGCGTTTCCGGGGTTTGGTGATCTGAAGGGCAGCGGTGGTAGTGGGGTTGTTACGATCAAAGGACTCAAAGCCTAGATATGCAAGGTATTCCAATGTCGTCTTGGGAGAGGTAAACGTGGTCATACTCCACTGCGCAAGCCAGCCCTGTAGGGTTACGTGGCCGGCCTCATTGCGAACTGTGGATGATGGGAATGAATCCTCCGTCCATGACGCAGGTAAGCCTGGTGTTGGGGCAAATATAGAGGCAAGTTCCTCCTCGTTCAAACCGCCATCGTTATCCTTATCGCAGAGCAAGAAGAGATCAACAAGAAAGCGGTAGCCGGCAGGGGAGAGCTCAGCGGAGGAGAAAGGGGGTACGTCGAACCGTGGATGTAAGAACTCCTCCTGAAGAGAGAGGTTGTCTGTGTACTGAAAGGCTCTAAGAATGATCCAGACGGTCTCATGCCGACCCTTTTCAACATATAACTTGTTCAAATGAAGAAATCCTTTGGCGTCTATACCAGACGGCGTGACAGAGTCAGGCAACACCCTCCGAATAGTATCTTTGATGTTGGCCAAGTCTTCCTCACTCAGATGCTTGCCAAAACACTTCTTTTGAAAGTTTTCAATTTCACAGTCGCTCAGGTACCCATCACGGTCCTTGTCGCATAGATAGAATATTCTATGAAGCACGTGTACCGCTGCTGGTTTGAGCACCGACTCCTTTGAATCGTACAAGGGGGATATTGGATATGTCACGGCCTTTTGGCAGAGGAAGAATGATTCGTTTACATTCCTGTGTGTTCTGGCGCTACTTCGAATGCAGGAGTCAATTTCCTTGAACTCCGTCATGATCGGAAGCATCTCCTCCTCTATTGGCTGTGACTCTCCATGTTCATGCAAGAGGTCTGACTTGTTGGCGCACAAGACCACGGGAACGTTGACACCCAGGGAACGGAAATACGGGAGCCAAAATAGGGCAACCCTCTCGTAGCTGTAATGGTCTGAGTAAACGAGAAGGATGACGTTGGACTTGCGAAGCTCCTTTGCAAGGTTATTTCGATCTTGCGGCAGGGCAGACGTGTCAACAATGGTCGTCGTGGTCACATTATCGGGCGTCCCAATGGTCGGCGGGATGGTCACTTGCGGCAGGACGGTCTGGATCTTGTTTGTCACGAAGACTCCCTTGACAAGCGACGTTATCAAGCTCGACTTGCCCGTCCCTTCATCGCCGCAGACGCAGATTCGCACTGTTCTAGATGTTAGAGACCATTGATAGCATCGATGCATCTGCCGGTAGCGAGCTTACCGGTTCCCATTTCGTGCGGGCTCCTTGTATGTCTCAGCGCAGCTTCATCATAAATAGTCCCTGTATAACCTGTCGTCCCTGGCGTCCTTTCTCTCTTCTCTTCTCCTTTGCTTCTCTTCGTCTTCTTCTTGTTGTCGTTATTTATGATTACATAAGTAATTACTGATTACCTAACTATGACATAATCATCTTAATCTCGCCCAAAAAGGAAAAAGAAACAAAACTTCTATCAACGTTTATTTCTTTCGTACAAAAACTTCATGAAAGCGCATAAAAAGAAGGGCGAATATGAAGATATATTGGGCCCCTTCGCAGCCTGCAGCGCGCTGGTGATCTGCCTGTGAAAGCTGGTGGACTTTGATCCCCTTGGTGAGAGCGCAGGAGAACATGTAACGGCGCGGAGGAACGTTTCACCCAGCCTCAATCGGCCGTCCGGGGGTGGAAGGTGAAGGACGAACTCGCAACGCCCAAGCCCGAGCAAAAAGCCATGGCTGGTATCTGGCTTGTTCCACAGATCAACCTCGTACTCCAGGGTTTTATTTTTGTCTATCTGACGCCCACGGACGAGCACGAGGAGTGACGACTTCACGCCACCAACCTGCGCCCTTTACCATCAATATCTAGATCGATAACTTACCGTCTACCGGAGGGACTTACGAGTCTTTGGGGGTTTGGTCAGCAGAGAGTGAGAGACATAACTACATATACTCTGTATAATCGCACCTCTACGGCACAGAGCAAGCGGAACATTGAAGGATAGGGGGCAAGCTGTGGTCCACAGTCTGGGAAGATGCCGTTGGGATTTAATAATCCGCTGCCTTCTTCGCTGGCGAGTAAGTTGGGAATCTACCATGTGCTCCAGCTAGTTATAACTATCCGTCTGCGGAGTGATTTAGTGCCACCACTTTTTGCTAACGTATGCATGTCAATCACAGGTGAATGTCGGAAAGCCAGCAAGATCCTGCTCTCGTTCATTGATCCGTCGGAGTCGTTTGGGCCTGAGAAGGTCATTCCACCAGAGATACTCGGCAACGCAAAGGTCGGTATTATACTTTCCCGATATTTTTTGTTTGGTTTCGTTTGCAAAGTCCGAAAAGGTGTTCTAACGTCTGCAGGGTCTGGCAATTCTCACAGTGGTAAAGGCCGGGTTCGTTGGCTCAGCTAGATTTGGATCCGGTGTCGTCGTTGCTCGGCTTGGAGACGGGTCGTGGTCCGCTCCCTCCGCCATCACCACCGCGGGAGCTGGCTTTGGCGGCCAGCTCGGCTTCGAGTTCACCGATTTTGTCTTTATACTCAACGATTCGGCGGCGGTCCGTACGTTCAGCCAGGCTGGCTCGATAACGCTGGGAGGAAATGTGTCTGTTGCGGCGGGACCCGTGGGCAGGAATGCCGAAGCTGCAGGTGCAGCCAGCTTAAAGGGAGTGGCGGGCGTATTCTCATATTCCAAGACCAAGGGACTGTTTGCCGGCGTGAGTCTGGAAGGAAGCGTGCTGATTGAGCGGAAGGACGCGAATGCGAGAATGTACAACTCCAACATATCAGCCAGCCAGCTGCTGAGTGGTGCCGTACCTCCGCCACCCGGTGCAGAGCCGTTGATGGCAGTACTCAGGTCGAGGGCGTTCTCGGGACGGTATGGTACCACCTACGCAGAGCGGATGTACAACGACGTCCCTGTGTATGATGACCGACATGTTCCCGACATGGGATATGGGGCCAGGAACAGGTCTTCTTCGACCAGTGACTACCAGTTTGGTGACCGGCCGCAGCGACAGAGTACGTGGCAGGACAACGTCCACGACCGGCAGTTCAGCGGTAGCGGACTGAATCGGTCGAACACTGTGGCCGGACGAGCCAACCCGAACGAGACGTTCGACAGCTTCGGCCACAGCCAGCGGGGAGTAGGAGGCGCCTTCGATGGCCGCCCCGCCCGTCCGACGGCTCCAAAACCTGTCTTTGGACAGAAGCCACAGTTGGGCAAGGATCAGGCATTAGCTCTGTTCACCTTCGACGCCGACCAGGAAGGCGATCTGGGGTTCAAGAAGGGAGAGATTATCACCATCGTGAAGCGGACGGAGAAGCAGGACGACTGGTGGACGGGCAAGATTGGAAGCCGAGTCGGTATTTTCCCAAGCAACTACGTTGAAGCCGGAAAGTAGCCATCCTCTTTCTCCATTTCTCTCTGTCTCTGTCTCCATCTTCACCTTCCATCCTCTGGTTCTTCACAGAAATAGACTTCGTCTCTCCCACGAGCTGCCTTCCATCTCTGCCGCGATGAATTTATGGCCCCCCGTTTCCCCTTTTTGCTTCTTCATTTCCTTTGCAGGCGTTTTCCTCTTTGTCTAGCCCTATGTATCTACCTGTCTACCACCTACCTACCGACCTATATATATATATAAACATCTATCTCCTGTCCCTTTGTCCCGGTAACTTGAAACGTCTGCCTACCTTAATTATACCGTCGAACCAGCCAGGCAAAATTTAAGGGGCTCGTCAGGCGGGAACGAGACCGGCCGGAATAAACACTTTTGGCCCCAGTCGATCCGCGTATCAGCCTTCGGTAGACCGTCTTCATCATCTTCACCGTCGTCTTGCATAGCTCAGGAGGTATCTATGTATGTATGTGTGTGTGTGTATTCGACTGATGGTGGCGCCCAATGACCGTCTCGCCTGCGCAGGGGATCACATCACGGTGAACCGCGAGTCACGCTGACAGCCAGTAGCTCGAGGAAGACAGCTAGATAGTGTGTGTGTGAGAGGGAGTGAAAGACAGTCGTAGACGCCTGCCGAACTGCTGGACCTGGAGACGACGCTGGCCAGAGTGGACTTTGCTATAAATAAAGCCGATATCAAACAACCCTGTGGCTGCATGGCTGGTCTCGTGTGTCCCTAACTAGTTACAAGTAAGAGTAAGTACAGGCAGTTAAAGAGTTGAGATCCTTCGCCGTTGAGCAGACAGTAGAGCGAACTCCCGTCTTTCACTGTATCCTCTTCTTCTCTCCTTCTCTGCCGTCTACTTCATCTGCTGCTTGCCGTGAATATTCTCCCTGACTCCTGGTCCTGGTCCTGGTCCTGGCTCTGTCTTCCTCCCCTGGGATCTTCCTTGTGCCCGAGAGCGTCTGCCTCAGCGCACAGTCGACGAGCTGCAGAAAATATTTACAACCAGGGCAGCAAAAGAAAAGAAGACACAGAAGACAGACAGACAGGCCGATAGACAGATAGACAGACAGGCAGACAGGCAGACTGATAGAAGATATACGAGCGAGACGCCACGGACAGCGCAGGGGTCGAGCTGTCCTCCGCCTCTGCCGCCGGCGCTGCTGCAAGCCTCAGATCGTCTCTTCCTCTCTCTTTCTATCGATCTTCTATCTCCCAAGGGCTTCCCTCGTCTTCCTCCTCCATACATCGTTCCTTTTTCCTTTGATAGATACGAACGGACGAACTACGCCCACGGCCAGAGAGACCAGAGAGACGAAAACGACCAACCCTCCCTCCCCCTGTCCCTCGCCGTTAACAGAGCTAGTTATAGCAGGGCATCTTAGTCGACTTGACTTAGGTATCTCTCTTCCTCTGCCTCGACCTTCTTTGCCCGTCTCCGGGTCCAAGTCAACTGCTGGGCAGACAGACAGGCAGATTCTTGCGCCGCCGCTGGTTGCTGTGCTCTCTCTCTGTGCTGCCCGCCTGCGCTCTCCGTGCTCGACATACATGCTTCGATGACACTGTGCAACAGCAGCTCAGTCCCCCGGCGGAATATCCCCCAGTCGGCCTCGCTCGCCCTGTCCCTTTTCTCTGCTGCTGCTGGTGTTGGTGCTGGAGTGCCGTGCTTCTTCCCCCGTTAGCATGCAGGTAAGGGTCGTCCCGCGCAATATCTGCCATACCCCCCCTTCTCTCTGCTGCTCCCGTTTCCCTCCCCTTATAGAGATGCTTTCTTTTTTTTTTTTTTTTACTCCGTGGATCTTTAATTCGTTATGGACGGCCTGGTCTCTACGTTCCAGCAGAGAGGAAGCTATTGCTGCTATTGTCCGTTTTCTTTGCGCTGGATGTGATGTGCTGACTCGCTTGCAGGCCTCTACAGACACTTACCGCCAGCCAGACAACCGAGGCGCTTCGTCCAGGCGACTGGCCCATCTCTCTATCAGCGACGACAACCGCCATGTCACGGAGGCTATTGGATACATGTACAATGATTCCTACGACGGCAGCTCGACCGGGAGTGGGAGTGGCAGCAGCCATGGAAACGGAAGCGCGAGCCCGCGAGACTCGAAGCGTCTGAGCTATCTATCACAGGAGGAAAACCTCTCGACAAACCCCATAAACCGAACCATGGGAGCGTCCTCGTCCGCGTCCTCGTCCGCAACACCCGGCTCAGCCTCGACTTCAGGGCCCGGCATGAGAAATAAAGATCGAGTGCCTATGCCCGCCCGAACCAGTTCGATGAACGGCGTCAACGGCCACGGGAGTCCGTCACGACATACGCTTTCACCCAACGATAGCCCCGGCCAACTCTCCCCCAGCCTGAGCCATGCTTCTTCAGAGGGGCCCGTTTCTTTCCCTCTGACGGATATAGACTGCCAGTCTGATCCTGCAACCGTCGCCCAGGAGCTCAGCAACCTCGCTGCCCTTCGTCGAATGTCTATGGACGTAGGCTCCATTGACCCGGATCTACCTTCGTTTGGCGGTCTCGTGTCCTCAATAGCCCCTTCTCCCTCCGCAGATGAGGACGACGCATCCCGTCTTTTCTGGGTTCCCGCACATCTTCACCCCGGTCTCGCTCCAAAGGAGTTCAAGTCCTTCCTAGACAGCAAGGCAGATCAGATAAAGGGCAGGTCCGGAGAACTCTCGCCCACAGAGGGAGCGGCACTGCTGCAACGCCAGGGTTCCGTAAGCAGCTTGATGCGCAAAAAGTCGCTGCTCTCGCGCCAGGTGGACAGCTCAAGCATTGGAAGGGAGGATTCTAGAGCGTCGAAAAAGCCGAATCTAGCAGCCCTGTCCGAGGAACCGCGAAACCAGTTTGGGAGCTTTGCTGACGAGGATGTGCCGATCCTTCCACCTGCGCCACCAGGTTCTAGTTTGCGCCGTTCCAGGAGGACAACCTACAGAAAGGGAAGCTTGAAGGCCGGCGAACGAGTACCTCATTCAAGGCGCGCTGCAAGACAGTCCGATATAAGCCAGTCGGAGGATACGGGTGATAATGCAAGCATCAAGCGATCGTCTACACCCACCAACGAGCCTCCTCCTGTACTAGGCCTAACCAGGGTATCCACAGATCCAACAGGATACGATAGTAATGCAACAAACTACTCAAGGCCTGCCCGGCCAAAACCAGTATCACTCACCCCTTCGACTTTTCCCCCTGCTACAGAGACTGAACCTGAGCTCAACCATACACCCGCCAGAGACAGTGCACCATCCCATACGCAGCAATGGGCACAACAACCCAGCGATAAACAGCCTCCTATCTCACAACACCATCACTCACTCTCACAGCCACAATTGCAAACACAACCCGTTGAACCACCCCGGACAGGCTCCTTACGCTCAACGAGCAATAACAATACCACCACCACACAGCCGCAGCAACAGCAACAACCGCAGCTATACATACCGGAGCGGAACTCATCACACCACCCACCACCCTCGCTGCCACCTCAAGCTCCACTTCCTCCAGAGCCTACGACAACACGGACGTCGAAGAGAGCAGGGCTTATTATACCAACAAAGGAAGCCCCTCCCATCAGCGAGCCGTTGCCCAAGATTGTTGCCCCAGCATCCTCCCATGTTCAGAGTGTTATCCAAGAACGTCGAAAATCCGACGAAAAAGAAAAGGATAAAAAGAGTAAGAGTAAGAAGGACTCAGAGGTGAAGAAGTCAGGTTGGCATTGGCGCCGAGGCCCGGCATCTGAGGAGAAAGAGAGAGAAAAGGAAAAGAAGAAGGAGGAGGAAGCAAGACGCAAGACCTCAAAATCATACAGCAAGTCGGATAAACCTCACGACAACGCCCGTCTTGACCTCCTTCAAACTTCCATCGACGGACAATCTCCCGCTAAATCTAAAGAGAGAGAAAGCCTCATCCTCGACCGCCCTGACATTGAAGAAGACCTTCGTCCGTCTCGCAAGGAACAACTTCGCAAATCCTCCTCTCCTCCTCCTAAAAAGGAGAAAGAACCGTCTCTATTCTCATCTATTTTCGGTGGCAGCAAGAAGAAATCTGGCTCCCATGATTCCCATTCCCGAAAACACTCCCGCTCACGCGTCCGATCGCCCTCACCAGACATCAAATATTATAACCTCAAGGCTGACGTTGACTATAACTGGACCCGCTTTTCAATCATGGAGGAACGTGCCATATATCGCATGGCACATCTCAAATTGGCCAATCCGCGGAGAGCTCTATATTCGCAGGTTCTCCTGAGCAACTTTATGTACTCATACCTCGCCAAGGTGCAGCAGATGCACCCTCACATGGCACTACCGACCTCGCCAGCCAAACACAAGACTAAGAAGAAAGATACGCAACAGAGTCAAAATCAAGGTCAACAAAAGATGGCAGACGATCATTCCCATTATCAAGATGTAAGCACCTCTGCTCCTTTTGGCCTAGACGCCGTCTCATCAACCCCTATCTAACGCTTTCTCTCTAGGGCCATGACCAAGACTCATATGCAGAAAATGGAGATTCGCAAATGTACGATTATGACCTGGACGACGGATATGAGCAGTCGCATCATTCTTCGAGCCAAGGATATGATTACTCAGATGGACGAGCTGAGGACCACGATGGTATGTGGTAGTCAGTAGCCCGGTATATATAAATAGCTTGGTTACAGACTTGATTTTCCCCCTCACCTTTCATCGTGTTCTAGACCTTCAATGCGGCCGCCTATACCCCCTCGTTCCTTACCTTACTTTTCTATACTTTTGCAGTCGCCCGCTCCTGGGCTCAGGGATGGGAATCTTCCCTACACATTAGATATTCTACCCATTTTCCCTTCCTTTATTCTGATTCTACTGGTGGCATAGCGGGACCGTCTTTCTTGCTTTTCATTTGGCTTCTTATCCATTTTCTGTGCTGCTCAAAGTTTTCTCGTCATAATCATATTAACGCATGCTTGATGGTTCTCCCATGTACACTGCTTCTCTCCTTATCAGAAACGGCCCTATGTTTTTTTTATAAAGAAGAAAATCACGGGTTATCTCATTCTCGACTCCTTGCCCATAGCCAGAGAGCCGATTTCTAACTTGGCCCGACGATATCCACCAGCTTGTGTTTATAAATATGAAGCCTTCCTCCCAGCTCAGTGTCGATTCATGTCAACACAAACACATCTTCTTAAATGGTATGTATGACTTGTAGAGTTAGTAATCACGCTTCCCTATTTTCCAGGCCTAATAATTGGAAACTTAACTTCCCTGATTTTCAAAAACCAAGCTTTTCTCTCCACGGCCAGCTCCAGGCCGCCGAAATAATACCTAGGTAATTATCTAATTACTATTAATACATTAGTTGGATATTTTTGTTTTAACACTCGTCACTACCCAGCTGCGATTTAGGTGCTATTCAATGGTCGCCGTCTGGGCCTTTGTTCAGTTGGCCGAATGACGTCATTTTCCCGTTAACTACCTAAAAATAAAGTTAACTACCCTTACCTTATCTCATCTTCATGCCCACTGCATATAGGGTATGGAGTAGTAGGTGCATTGAATATTCAGATATTTCAGACAGCTACACTCTGTAGCTCTGCATTATATGATTTGCAACTGAAGCCAGCTACAATCTCAAAGAGGAGAGTACCTTAAACCTTATTTTTAAGACTTGATAGCTTCTCACTCGATGGCGGATGAGCAACAACAGAGAGTATGAGAAGAATACAATGGAGTCACTGGACTCCAAAAACAATATGGAAAGCTCTGGGGATTGATAAACGGACCGTGCTTCAGATGTTGAAGGGCGGTTTACCCCCGACAATCGTTATAGCAATGTACGTTGATTGTATTTACCCCTCCACCCGAGAGGACCATAGGTTTAACAGTGAATGAATAGGTACCAGTCTAATGTAGTGACGGGGATCTCACAGAACTACGGTTTTTTGTCCGCAATTATTGCCGTGGTAGCTCAATGCCTTCTGCCTCGGGCAAGATTCACTAAAATCATGCTATTTTCCCTCAGTGCATTATGTGTTTCAGCCTCGATATGCTGTCTAGGAGTATATTGTGTAATCAAAGCAAGGGAACACACGACGGCCCCTGGGAAACGAGCAGGCGGATATAACGCCAGTGCCTGTGCGGTAGTGGCTATATGGTTCTTATTTGCAATATGGTAACGCAACATCTACTCTTGCCATTCTAATTGCGGGGCTAACTTTATCCTGACACCAGGCTGGTGAACTCCATCCGTGCATTCAGACCGATAGAGCTGCAAGCACCGGCTTCAACGTTTTCCATGTTTATTGCGATTACCATGACTAGGGCAGGGGTGGTAGTCTCGCTCTCGTCTGCTCTACAGGGAATCAAGAGCTTGCTTCTTGCATTTTTGATTGGCTTTGCCGTCTCAACAGGTGTTTCGCTATTCATCTTGCCCACCACAAGTCGGGGTACTTTATTCCATTCCATTAGAGGATATCCTGCGATAGTGAAAGAAATACTGGATAGCCAGATAGCATTCGTGAAATGCAGTGAAGAAGAGGGCCCATGGCAGCTCACGCGGCGAGCAACTATAGCTCGTCGAAGGACGAATACATTTCCCAAGCCACGCGGAGTGAAGAAGAAGAAGGCAAATAAAGAAAAAGAGCTTACAGAGAGCGAATCGAAAGCTGCTCAGTTAAAAAATGGAATCCGAGACCTCTCATCGATCCACTCTTCCGTCTATGCAGAATTATATTTTGCAAAGCAAGAGATTGCCTGGGGTAGACTCACCGCAGAAGATCTCGAGACTCTATTTTCTCTGTTGCGTTCGATCTTGCTTCCTCTTTCTGGAATTGCTATGCTTCCAGAGGTGTTTCGGAAGTTAACTAAAACCGTGGAGGCTGCGGATATAGCAGAGGTTCATGTCACTGATTATGGCTATAGGCCAGTGGTTGGGGGACGCCCGCCTCTAATGCCTAGTGAGTTGCAGTATGAAATACCTGAGATCACTGAGCACTTTGTGCAGCCGCTTTGTGACAGGCTGGAAACAACCTCTGGTCTTGTAGAAGCTGGGTTCCAACACGCTTTTATAACCTTACGGTTAACAAATCCGCCCAAAAAGCATGGAGCATCTTCTGGTACTCGCGATGAGGAAACGCCCGAAGAGAAATCTGTACCCGGGAACCCCCATTTTGTTGCTGGATTCGAACAGAGATTAAACGATTACTTTGCCCTGCGGAAGCGCCTACCGGAAAAGTGGGCAACGCTCACTGCCTTTGCCCCTTTTCATGAACGAGGTAGTATTGCGCAGGAACCACGTACTATTCAAAAGGAGTTCTTTGTTCTCCTATTCATTAGCCACCTGCAAGATATCCTGCTTCAAGCCGTACTAGATCTGGTTTACTTTGCAGAAAGCAAAGTTGCTGATGGGACAGTAAAATCAAAACGGCTTCAATTCCCAAAACGAGAATACGTAAAGCAATGGTTTTTTGCTAGTGACCCAGAAGAGAATGGCGATGATAAAAAAAGTAACGCACCAGAGAAAAAGAAACAAGAAACGGATAGCCATCGCCCAAAAGGACAAGATCCTTTGAAATCTCGGTACCCTGATCCAGAGCATATGCCTCCCACAAACATTTGGCAGAGAATTGGCCGTGGAATCCGAGCCATTTCCCACTTCCTTAGTTCCGAGCAAAGTTCGTTTGGTGTTCGAGTTGCAATCGCATCATTTTGTGCTGTTATACTTGCATACCTGCCACAAACTCAGGAATTCTTCTTTCGGATGCGAGCCATTTGGGTTGTCATTGTCATTCTCATTGCGATGAACCCTACTAGTGGGAATTCACTCTTTGGCTTGATGGGTCGATTTATAGCAACCATCTTAGCCACTATCCTCGCACTCGTTGTCTGGTATGTGGTTTATGGGAAAACAGCAGGCGTCATTGTGTTGACGTATGTGGCCAACTGTCTCCAGGTTGGCATCTTCCTCTCAACCCTTGAGAATTATGAGAACCTTTACTCACCAACCAAAGTATTATCCTTATATCAAAAACCCAAGATTTATCCCCCCTACTATTATCGGAGTAATTACTTTCAACCTCATAATAGCCTTTGAACTGCTGGTATGTTTCTACTGCCCTGTCCATGACGCAAGTATGCAAGACAACGTTTTATCTGACATGGTACAAAGTCTCGAAAACTCGGGATAGAAAAGGTAGAATCCTCTGGCCTACCATATTACCCAGTATATCTATTTGGGCCATACCGATGTATCGCTGTCATTGCAGCCTGTGCAATTTCTTACTTCTGGGTGGTGTTTCCAAGCCCAACCTCAGCTGGATCCCGAGTCAGGAAAACGCTAGGTAGAAGTCTCTTTGTCCTGGCAAACTTTTATAGTTGCATGCATACCTCAATAGAAGTATGGATAAACCAGGAGCAGGGGGATATAAATGACAGCCAGTCACCTGGCCAGCTCCTCGACCGCGCCAGGACTAAGTTGTTGGCAGAGGAAATGGCTCTATCAAAGAGCTTAAGGGTATTCAGCGATTTCACGCGGTATGAGCCTCCAATTGGGGGCCGTTTCCCGAAAGAAACTTATGACAATATTATTTCTGCCATTCAAACCATCCTTACCAGCATGGATTTGATGGCATTCGCAACTAGAAACCTTGAGCGTATGTCAGGGCACAGCTCGGCCACAGACGCGGCTGATAATTTGCCTAACACTAGAAGGAGGCCCAGCATGAGCACTACATCACGGCATCAAATCGTCGAAGGAGAAAGATGGATCCAGAATCTGGCTGAGGCAGCTAACTCGCCAGAATTTCGCTCGGGAGTTATCACCTCTGTGTTATACCATCTATCAGCTGCTGTTACAAACAGCCTCTGCCTACCACCATACCTAGCTCCTCCACACCCTTTCCCATTAGCACGGAGGCTGCGGTACATCAACGAAGATTTGTTGAGATTTAGGAATGTGGAGAATCCCTCATTCGCCGCTATAATTGCGATTGAGGTTTTGAGTTCCATGGTGAGCTCAAATTTAAAAACGTTGATGAGGTTCGCTCCCCCATTTTCCATTCGTTGTTTCATGCATCTTAGTTAACATGTTTACAATTAGCGATGTCAAGCGACTTGTGGGGGAGCTCAACTTTGACGTCTATGTTCGAGAACACCGGCGCCAGGTGCGAGAGGAGAGACAGCACTCGGGTGAGACAGACGAGAGTGCAGAGGGAGATTGAACTAAGCAGTTGCCGCGTTGAAGTACTTCCCTGCCCTCTTTGCATTTTATATCCGAAGAAGCAAAAAAAGAATATTACGTAACGGGTATACTGACTCAGCCGGACAATTAGCTTCACGTGACAGTCACGTGCCTGTCCTCCGCTTTTGACGTTCTTCCCGATCGGCATTTGAGACAAAAAAGAAACGACCGAGTTCAACGTGCGCATTCGCAGCTTTTTGGGTGTATATACATACATACATACATACACACACACACATATATATATATGCGAGACGACCAGCACCAGATCTGATATCTGCATGAACTATATAGATTACTCGATGGATTATAGGTAACGACATCTCCTCTCCACTACCTCATAGTTCCCCGGCCTGGAGCTCTTCCCCACCATTTCCCATACTCCGCATCCAACATCTTCGGGCTTGTTATCTACAGATACAAGTTGAAAAGCAAAGGATCCTACATCAGCTTTTAGAAGAATATATGCAGGAGTCTTTCGGGTGCCTTTAAAATATTATGTTGTAAGTGAAGCACCTATTCCATTCCTCCGCCGCTTCCGCTCTTCGCGGGTGTTTTTCTCATCTTTAGCTCAAGTATTTGTTGATATATTGCTAAACCAGGTCGCCTTGACTATAGCAACGCATTAGAGCCATTTAAATAGTTACCGAACAGTCGAGCTGACCGCCCATAGCTTCCTGCCGCCTCCGGCCCCTCGTTATGTAAATCCAGTCGCATACGCTGCCGGCACATCGAATGGTCTACCAGTCCCCATAACTGAAGTTATCAATGTTATAAAACATCCAGAAGGAGGTTGCCCTTTGCAGGTTGGTGAAGGTATGATATGAGACCTACTTCAATACTACCGGCATGCCAACCAGAATTTCTTTTAGGGACATATGAACTTAGGGAGGACGTTCATCTCGCTACGCCGCCGCCACACCCTTCCGAACCACCTTTGATAAATCCAAATCCTTTAGCCACCGGTCTTACTCCACCAACCGTTGGTGTGAAGCTCTCTCTTGCTTATATTAAACCATCTGGAAATGGAGCTCAGCTCTACAAGACCAACACACGAACAAGCATAGCATCGGACTTAAGAAGCGTCAATGAGAGCGATAGTGCTGGCCGCCCCTCTAGCGAACCCCATGTAAACACGTCTAATCAGGCTCCACCATTCGGTGAGGGCAGCCTTGCCCTTGCTAACAGTGGAGGAAAAGAAACAGCAGGGTCAAAGAGAAGGAAACCGAAGAACAGTATCCAGAAGAGTGGTTCCTCGTTCATTTCGCGGGTTATACTCCAAGATGCAATGCTAAAGAAGGTTGCTGAGCGAACTCATAAAAGTCCCTTTGTGTTCGCCAATCTCAACCGATCCTTTCAATGGCTGGACTATTCAGCTACCAACAAGCACGAATTTCTGACGAAGATCCTTTTCACAAGGGCACATATTCTTAGTCACGATGTGAATCAGATAACTAAAAGTATGAATCATCTGGATCTAGCCATGGGATCTTCGGCAGGTGATATTTTATGGTATGAACCCTTCTCGCAAAAGTACTCCCGGATCAACAAAAACGGTGCTATAAGAAATGCCCCAGTAAATCACATTAAATGGATTCCGGGGTCTGAGAATTGGTTCCTAGCTGCACACGCAGACGGATGCCTAGTGGTATATGATAAGGAGAAAGACGATTCACCATTCACCCCCGAAGAGTCAGACAATACTACCGTGTCTTCTAGCGATGGAAGCCAAAGTGATACCCATTCATCCTTGTTTAAAATTTTGAAATCAGTCAACTCCAAAAACCAGCGAACCAACCCGGTTGCTGTTTGGAAATTATCCAACCAAAAAATCAACAATTTTGCATTTTCTCCAGATCACCGACATTTGGCTGTGGTTTTAGAGGACGGAACGCTGAGAATAATTGACTATCTAAAGGAAAAGTACGCTTCCGCTATTACGACTCCCTACATGTACAAATGTTAACTGTTCTGTTCAGGTTACTTGACTTATATACAAGCTACTATGGAGGCTTAATCTGCGTGTGCTGGTCACCCGATGGAAAATATATACTGACGGGCGGTCAAGATGATCTGGTATCAATCTGGTCCTTCCCGGAGCGTAAAATCGTTGCTCGCTGTCAAGGACATAACTCTTGGGTGTCATGCGTTGAGTTTGACCCATGGCGATGTGATGACCGAACTTACAGATTTGGCAGTGTTGGCGATGATTGTCAGCTTCTTCTATGGGATTTCAGCGTAGCCATGCTACATCGTCCCAAGGCGGTGAGGATCCATCATCATGATTTCAACTTTACAAAATAAAGAAACAAAGCAACTGATGATAATACCACCAGGTTACTGCACGCCATAGAAGCAGCCCGCAGTCTCCTAGCAACCGGCCGCATGCAGACAGCCTTACTACACGAAACATGCGATCTGATTCTCTTCGACCTGGAGAGGGCGAGTTTGACCAGACAACTATAGTACACCCTGTCGAGCTGTGGTCAAGGACAGCACAACTTCCGCCAATCATGTCAAAAGCCATAGGGGAGGATCCGATAGCTTGGTTGGTATTTTTGCAAGATTCTATAATGACTTCCTCACTTGAAGGTATGTAAGAGATCATCCGTGTACAGCTAGACCTCTTTTCTTTTTCGTTTTGGCGTTCTTTGTATCACAACTTGGACCGTCATCCTGACATATCTGAAATTTAGGACATATTCGGACTTGGGATCGCCCAAGTGAAACTGCGGGTGAACCGAATGCTTCCGCAGCCGGTTCGTCCGTAGCCGTTGGGTCACTTCCCCGATCTATGGATGGGACACAGAACCCGTAGACACCGGCTTGTAGAGACATTGATTGGCGTTCGGAGTATATACCTGAAATTTTATCCCCCTACACACGCATATCCTCACCATCTATGATAGTTCGTTGGCCACCGGTTGTCAGTAGCTGCGTATGTACCATCTATATTTATTTTGATAGCAAACAGATGATTGCTTTGTCCGGGTTTCCCTTCCTACAATAAGTAGACCACAGTGATGCAAGTGAAAGGGAAAAGTAAGAAAAAAAAAAAGTGAGGACATATATTATTCCATTATTAGACTGTCAAAACAAAAAAAGGTATATTATTAAGTACTGTTGGTACAAGTACGAAGTACGTGTATGAAAAAAAATTGGTAGGGTAAAGTAGAATAAAAAACAGTTGAGAAGAGCGAAGGTGATTATGTGGTTAAACGTCGATCCTCTCCCTCCGGGGCATCATTAGGTCTCATTACTTATTTATTTAGTAGTTTTAGATGGTCCTATAGGGGGTTGAGTTATTAGTTTTCTCGCCTCTCATACGACGGTGAAGCGAAGGGAGAGAAATCTTACCAGTCCTTCGAATAAACCTTCTCCTGTGGTGGCACATGTCGGTACGACGTACCATATCCTGTCCTTGAGTTGAGAGAGTTGCAGTTTTTCAGTGACTTCTTGTGGGCTCATAGCTGTAATTGCAGGTATGACATTAGCTAGGTGTAGAGAGAAGAAAAACGCGGCGAGGGAAGAAGGGAAGGAGGAGAAGGAAGTAGAATAGAGCGTACCTCCGGGAATATCCTGTTTATTGGCAAAGACTAATAGGAGAGCTTCCTTCATTTCACGATCGAGAATGATTCTGTGTAGTTCCTGACGGGCTTCATCGATACGGGCACGGTCGTTCGAGTCGATAACAAAAATAAGTCCTTGTGTGCCTACACGAGCCTTTGTGTCAGTAGCCTATCTTATGGGCAAGTCCAACATAGGGACGCAGTCGTGTCGTACCTGAGAAATAATGTCTCCACAATGGCCTGATCTTGTCCTGACCACCGACATCCCATACGTTGAATTTGACGTTCTTGTATGTCACAGTCTCAACGTTGAAGCCGACGGTAGGAATGGTAGTGACGTCCTGGTTTAACTTGAGTTTATAGAGAATAGCTAGTGATAGACAGTATTGTCAGTAAACAATCAGAGAGAGAGAGAGAGAGCAGGCAGAAGCATGCGGGGGGGAGGGGGTGTTAAATCCGTACTTGTCTTTCCAGCAGCATCCAGCCCAAGCATGAGCAATCTCATCTCCTTAGATCCAAAGATCTTGCCCATGAGCTTTGAGACTTGGCCTCCCATGGTGAAATTGTGTTGAGTGTTCGTGTTATTCGTGCAAGTTGCAGGGACGTTTATCTGGCGGACACAGGTATGCAGGTTTCCGATAGAATGATATGTTGATCAACGGAGAGACGTTGACAGGCTCTTCTTATTGCTTTCTGGGCTGGGAGATCGTTCGTCACTTCGAGAGACAGCGAGGCAGAGCGAAGAGGAAAGAGGCGGACCTTGAGGAAACACTTTGAAACGGGGGGGTGGTTGGGCAAGGGGAGAATAAGGAGTCAATTGCCGCGCGCGCAGGGGGAGGGAGTCTCGCTGGAGGGCGAAGGGGGCGGAATCGGCAAGATAGGCGCGGACCACAGGCGCTGGGTCTGTCTGCTTTCGGAGCGCGGTAGAAGCTCGTCAGGCGACTTCTCGGTGCGGCTGGAGACGTTTTTCTTTTCTTTTGAGCTGCTGCTGCTTCCCCCGAGCCTTTCTGAAGGCCCTTTTCACCCCACAGGCAGCTTGTCGTGTCGAGGAACTATCTGACCTGTCACGGCGTCTGGTAGTTACAGAGGTCGACGTCGAGAAAAGCAAAAGAAAAAGAAATATCCGGTCAATTGGGCTGGCGTAAAGCTGGCGCTGCTGCTTCACATAATCCTCTCTCGATATTGGCTTCGGCGGGCCTGCTTTTTATGCTGCTTTCCTTCGGTCCTTGGTCGCTCCTCGTCGTCTCGTCTGCCTGCTTGTTCTCCTTTTTCCTTTTACCCCTGAAGTTGTTTTATGTCTTTTTTTTTTTTCTTTTTTTCTTTTTTCTTTCCTTTTTTCCTTTTTTTATTTTCTCATTTCGAGATTTTTAAGGTTTAGGGATGAGTCACGTGGTAAAGGCAGCTGACACGCTAGTCCCAAAGAAGGAGCTACCTCTGGATGACTAAATGATGACTAATATAAACAGTAGTAGAGAGAAAGAAGGAGACGACGACGACGTCGACGATAATAAATAATTAATAGAGAAGGAGAAAGAGAAGAAGGAGAGAGAAGAGACGATGGGAAGGGGAGTTGATCCTTGGTCAGGGACGCGAAAGGGAAGTGGGTGGGCCGGGATCTCCTTTTGCATGATCTGCCGGAGAGATCCTTGTTGGAGTTTCAGACGGGCGGCCAGCCGAGTCCCGGAGCTCAGGAGCGTTGTCGATGTATAGAATTATGGTTACAAGGATGGAGCTATGGTCTCGAGGCACGGACGATATAAAGTAGGATGGACACCGGCGAGTGAGTTACGGGGTACTTTGCTCAAACGGCATTAACTAGCTGATGTTGGTTATCTCCCTCGCCAGGCTGAAATGAATTGTTGTCGTTACGCACAACATGGTGATGTCCTCCGTACATGGGTAACTCGAATACTCGGCAGCATGTTTAGATGAAGGAGTGTGTATAGACAGGGGATGAGCCAACATTACATGGAAGCATCCAAGTTCCCCAACGTTCATGGATGCTGGAATCTCGTTGAAACACAACAATTCAGGGTCATGCTTCGTGTGTTAGGCTACGAAACGTTGGTGATGAGAGAGTTGGTAGGCGTGCAAGTAACGCTTGTCAAGCTTCGCCATTGGTCTCGAATACTTAATACGGGCCCTGAGGAAAGCTCGGGGGTTAGCCTTCATCAGCTTAGGACAATAGCTTAATAGCGGCCCTAACAGCTGTGGCGTGTTGAGCCGAGAGAGCCTTGCCATTGCATGCAGCTCTGGTAGTATGCCTCGAGACTCCTGAGATTTTCACTTCTGGCCAGTCCAGTTTTACATTCTTCCTTAGTGGTCTCACAATCGAGAGAACTCTGTCAGTACCGTTCATGGTGGCTATATTAACAACCGTGTTTGAAAGGCCAACTCATGACAGCCGTTGTAACCCCCGAGGGGTCACGTTTGAGGCATAGTGAGCCGCAAAATAATCTTATAAGCCTTCTCTTACGTTATGGATGTCTCAGGGGCCCTGTCCCTTTGGGATTTGCGTGCCTCTGCCGCTCTTTTTGCTTTTGTCGTTCCCAGCGAATTGGATCCCCGCAATGATAACAAAGAAGATTGTGCCGCATATTAGCACCGTTGATGAGGCTCGGGGTCGGTCTGCCTATCATTACATGCAGATGTCATCCTAGGAAGCTCTCCGTGTCCTGGGGAGTGCACGTCCCTAGGCAATATGGCAGCGTAATATGTGCATGCTTGGTCAATCTTCGCCCGACTCCACAATTTGACTGTACGCCATAAACAGTCAACAGTTCCGCATGCGTGTCTGGCCTTGGGCTACTTGGACACATGATCACGATATCTTCGTCTCAACAGGTGCCAACGATCACGGTGTTGTACGGAGTACGGAGTACTGGAGGTAAGGGTATTTATCCGGATGCGAAAAGAAGCACGACGAAGATCATCACGGCGTTAACACACATCATCTTTGGCTCTCGATCGACGCTTGGCACGTCTTCCAAATCTTTTTGATAAGATAAAAAAGTGTTTGTCACCTTCTCTCCGCCCGGCCAACACGCAGGCCCGAGATGTCGCTCCGCTCGTTGTCTTTTCTTGTCGATTTCAATCTCGTCCTCAAGCAGGATCGAGTCACGTGGCTGACCAACTTTCAAGGCTTCTCAGCCATTTCTTTCTTTCTTTTTTTCGGATGCAGCAAGATACAATAAAGCCTTCGATATTGAGATGTTGACCGGTTGTCATTGAAAGCGAGGACTAGTCGGGGCTTCAGTGAGCACTTCGCTCGGGGCCGTATTAATTGGTCCACTCGTTAGGCTAGAGACGCGGCCATGCCTAAACTGGTCCTACGTTAGGAGAAGATCATTATACCCCCGGCTGGCAAAGATAGAATAAGACGATACCCCATACAAAGCAAGCTGTGCCTGAAAATATCATAGCTGCAGCTCTTGTTGGCCTTTCCCGGGCTCTCACAGAACGGGCAGCACAGTACTCCTATGCGTCAATGGTCCCAATGCTGAGTTACCTCCTCATTAGAAGCCTATCACGTCTTCCCTTCTCGGGCGGATAAATGTTAGCTTGGCTAGGACACGCAGTGGAATACTACACAAGCCACTGTCCTTGAGGCCATCTATCTTGCCTTGCTGCACCGTTAATAATGGCTGTCAACTCTTTGGTATCTGGACATTGGAGAAAGACAGGTTTGTCCAGGGGAAGGCCCTGGCCTGCTTATCCCGTTCTAGCATACCGGTCATGCATTTTGATATCCGCTGCCCAAAATTGGGAATTGAGGTTGATCAACAAGCCGCTGGGATCCATCTCCCCGCAGCATCATTGTGCGGGTGACTAGGCAGTTCGACGGGGATTGCATTTTCGCGCAGGGGTCCGAAGTTCATGATGAACCGAGAAAGAGAGAAAAAAAAAAGAAATCACCCAAGCAAGTGTGGTAAAGGTTACATCAAAGAGATATTTTTAACATCCGGATGTAATATTAAAGCAGACTGACTGCTCCTTCCCATGCAAATTCTCGGGAGTGTGCAGAGAACAGTTTCTTCCTTGTACGTTTCCGTGACGAAAAAAACACATCAGTCGTGAACGTAGGCCGTCCGAGATCACCATAATGGAGGCAGTTGACCTGGTCATCGTCGGTGCAGGTAGGTCGGCTATCACCTCTCAACAATGCTGACCAGGTTGATTCAAACTGACCACTGAGGACTAGGACCATACGGTCTAAGTGCTGCAAAGACGTACCTGGAAGTCTACCCTTCCGCCAACGTTGTCGTTCTGGAGGCGGAATCGTCCATTGGAGGAGTCTGGGCAAAGCATCGCCTCTACAAGGACTTATGCACAAACAATGTCTTTGGCTCATATGAATTCCCAGACCTTGCCATGGATACGGAGACATTTGGTGCAGAAAAAGGGAAACCTATACCCGGACCGACCATGCATGCATATATGAACGCATATGCGAAGAAGTTCAGCCTAACAGAGAGGATACGTCTTCGAACGAGGCTCGTCTCTGCCGAGCATAGAGAAGATCCATCATCATGGCTACTCACTGTTGATGAGAACAGCGACGGAATGGAGGCTACAGTTGGAGGCACTTCAACCATCCTTACACGGAAACTGATAATGGCAACGGGAATGACATCACGGCCACATCTGCCCAAGTTCAAGGGCCAGGACACATTTGAGGCACCTATATTTCACTCTAAAAACATGCCAAAGTATGAAAGCGACCTGCTGCACCCGGACAAGACTGTGGTCGTATATGGCGGTGGCAAAACTGCCTGGGACATGGCCTACATCTGTGCCGCTGCTGGAGTGTCAGTCAACTTTGTCATCCGTGAAAATGGCCGTGGGCCTGCCTGGATGACCCGGGCCAGGATAACGCCGCTCAAGATATTGCTGGAATACCTGCTTCTGACCAGATGCACGACATGGATGTCTCCTTGTATCTGGGCGACAACAGGGCCGACAAAGTTCCTCCATGAGACCTGGCTGGGTAGAAAGGTTATCAATGGTTTCTGGGCCTTGGTGAAGAACGATGTGGTAACCGCTAATAAGTATAACAAACACCCAGAGGTCAAGAAACTGACGCCATGGCTTGATCCGTACTGGGTGGCCACATCTCTGAGCATCCTGAACTACCCAAGTGACTTCTTTGATTTTGTGAGGAGTGGCCAGATCAAGGTGCATATCGCGGACATCGATTCTCTCTCTAGCCGGACGGTTCACCTTTCCAACGGTACCTCTCTCGGGGCCGATGCTGTGATATGCGGAACCGGCTGGGAAGCTCGATCTCCCGTAACGTTTCTGCCTGACGGGATCGAAGAGCAGCTTGGGGTGCCCTGGGCCCCAGAGCCGCTGGACAAGTCACTCCTGGAGGCGGCAGATAAGCATATTCTGAGACAGTTCCCTCAACTCAAGACCTCTGCCAAAGTAAACGAGCGCTATAAGCATTACTCTGCAGACGCCGAGACACAGTCCTCTCATCCATATCGGCTGATCCGATTCATGGCACCTCCCAGGCTAAAAGACCGATCGATTGTTTTCCTTGGAACAGCTACCAACATAGACACGCCCATCACGGCTCAGGTACAGGCTCTCTGGGCCACGGCGTACCTCTCAGACCGGCTTGAAGTGCGTCCGCTGGTGGCCCGGCCAGCTGAGCCCAAGCCGACGGCAGAGGAAGACAAGACGGACTGGGAGGTAGCTCTCCACTCGCAGTTCAGCATCTGGCGGTATCGAGAGGGTATGCGCATGCGTAACCCAGACTTTGTCTTCGAGTCCATACCGTATATTGACTTGATGCTGCAAGATTTGGGCCTGCAACACCGCCGCAAAAAGGGGTTCTTCCGTGAGAATTTCACCGTGTATCGGCCGCGAGAATACCAGGGCATGATAGATGAATGGAAAGCAAAGAATATGACATCTTCCACCAGCACTGAATAAGGTGTACATGCTTTCTTTTTATTTTTTTCCTGTTCCTCTCTCTTCTGTTGCTATCTTTCACTTTGCTGGCCCCTGGGATCAGCGTAGCTTTGACATGAACTTCTCCACCACAGCCTCACGCCAGCCAAGGACGGGCTAACTAGCTGATAGTTTAGTTTTAAGCATACGATATGACGCTTTTCTAGAGACATCCTATTTTTGGCCTTGCCCTGCGTAACTAACTAGACGGACGGCGGGTGGATGGGCGCCTCAAGCTCGAAACCGTTCTGCCTGCTGCTGTCTCAGTTTCTGCGCATATGCAGACGACGGGATAGTAACCAGCTATCTCACTGGCCAGGACAGTAGCTAGCCATCAGGCATATAAAATAGAGCGAGCAGCCAGCCTAATCATCAGCTTCTACGTTAGCTGCGTCTTAACTGTTAGGTACATACCTCGCCATGGCAGACATCCACAGCCTCCCCGTCGAGATCCTGTATCTCATCCTCTCCTTCATCTGCACAAGTCCACCGCCGACCGCAGACGAGCGCGCACTGCGAGACCTCCCCAGCCACGCCGTAACGTCTTCCAAAACGACCGACCTCAAGAGCGTCTCGCGCGTGTGCCGCCAGTTTCGCGAGTTCGCCCGCGAGCACCTGTTCAGCTTCTGCCGCTACGAGCTGCGCGACCAGGACCGGTTCCTGGCCTTCATCAGCCGAAATGGCCTAGCAGAGCACGTCGAGAGCGTCACCGTCTCTGTACGCAGCATATTCCCCGGCAGCGAGAAGGAGTTATGGTGGAAGACGCTGTTCAAGGCCCTGGACCCGACAACCGTCACTGTCGTTGGGCCGCCGTTCATCATCGCAGACATGGCACAGTGCAACCTCCAGGGCGACAAGTGGGCATTTGACATGCCGCTGCAGACCATCCAGTTCCGTCAGCAGCGAGCTCAGCAGCCTGATACCCAGATGATACCAGTAGCAGCGCCAGCTGAGGGAGACAGTAGCAGCAGCGGCGGCGACGACGACGACGATAGCTTTCTCACCGCGAAGCCGTGGACACAGCTGCTGTTCAACGAGGGCTCGTCTCTGCAGGCGTACAGCGTAGAAGACTACTTCCGTCTGCGGCCTCCATCCATCATCAACCACTGGGGATCCGTCGACCCCTTACAGGCCGTCGACCTCCCGTACCCTGCCTCTGCCATCTCCCGATTGACCTCGTTCCGCTACATTGCCGTGTTCCCTTTCTACAGCCATACTAACCTCGTGCTTAAGCTGTTTCGCAGCATGACCAACCTGCGCTCTCTGGCTCTACAGCTCTCGCCGCCAGAGTGGAGCGATATCTTTGAAAGGGAGCAGAAGAGCTCGACTATGGATCCCGAGAATGCCTGGATGGAGCTGGAGACGGGGTACTCTCTTGTGCCTCATTCGGTGCGGTATCTGGGTGTCCATGGCCAGCTGGTCGAGTTCAGAGCCCTGGATTATAACTTGCCGCCGCAGAGGAGCTATGTGTTCAGAACCATGCATCATGTTCTCAGTCTCGCCTGGCAGCACGATGGCCACGGCCGATGGGTCAAGCGGCCGGTTGCTCCGGGCAGTTCAGAGTAACAGCCTAATAATTCATCTCATCCGTTTGGTTTACTCTGGGGGAGAGGCTTATGAACTGGTTTTTGATAGCATTAATGTTTGGCCTTTTTTTTTATATATATTGTAATGTCCAGTACTAATAATCTACATATTCCGACTTAATGAATGATTAATACAGGTAAATCAATGAACTAGCCTATAATTTACACACTGATACTAAGCAAGAGCATGAGAAGGGCTGAAGTGACAAAAAGCTATAGGTAAAGGTACAAAAGTCATAGAGAATCAAGGTATACCAAAAACCCTTTTTTACGCCTTAGTTGGAATGCTTCAATCCAACTTCACTTAGTCTGACTCCCATCCAGATAAGGCATTAACAGAGCAAAAAAAAAAAAAAGAGAGAACATGGAGATGTGGTGAGACAAACAGGCATACCGGAGTGGTGTTGTCCCTTTTATAACTTAGGGGGAGAGACTAAAGAATAGGTGTAGCCAGGCAGACAGTTAGGGTGATTAACTATAGCCCAGCAAAGACGTTGAGATATCCTCTCTTGGTCAGTTGTGTAAAGTCAACATAGACGCGTATATCTGCTCTATCCTTTTGGCCTGTAGCGTTGTCTGCATTAGCGTTCGCCTGGCTACCATTAGCAGCATCCTCAGTGCCTGCAGCTCCAGTACGGGCGGCCTGATTATCTGAATTTGTGCCAGCAGCAGTAGCGGCGGCGGCTGCTGCAGCTGCAGCTGCACCACCAGCTCCAACGGCCAAGTCTGCCAGATGTTCTAGGGAGCGCTGTTCATTAGATCCCACTGCACCAGAACCTTGCTGTGTGGACCGGAAAGCAGCAACCTTGACTTCAATCATTGCACGGAAACATTCTCCCCATGACCGGTTGGCAAATATGTTTCCAAACTCTTCGGCTGTCGAGGTATGCTTATCGCGCTGGCTGAGGATCTGGAGAGCTTTGTCTAGGGAGATCCACGCATCTGCTGCCAGCTCAGGGAGGTCAGTTGCCTCCAGCAGGGTCATGATAGCAAGGGCCAAAGCATGGTGGTGGAACGGCGATGCAATGAACTTAGCTGAGTCGGAGTGCTGCTGGAGAAGTTCGAGGATGACTTGGGCAGGATACATCACCTCAGCAGGGACGGATGTGTAGAGCTGTCTTTTCAAGAGGAGAGTGAGGGTCCAGAATAGTAGCGGGCAAACGGATTCGGTGTAGAGTGCGCTCATTTCATCATCGCCAGTAGATTCATGCCAGGACTCAAGGTCCTTGAGACGTTTAAGTTGGCCATAGTAGAGACGGCGGAGAGAGTGGCTGTTCATCCGCCCAAACGAAGGATGAACAGAGTTGTCGAAGAAGACCTCAATAATTTCGGAGACCGATGTCGAATAACCTATAAGGTGCCGTTAGTATGTATAGTTTTTTTTTTTTCACACAAAGATCGAGAGATAGTATGAGTACATACGGGCAAGCTGCAGAGAAGCGAAGCTGAGGATGCCGCGATCCTCGGGCATAGCAGCTTCGGAAACACCGAATACATCGCGACCAGCCACGCTTAGACTATGCCAGCGGGACAAAATCATGAGGACAGTCCAATTCTTTCTTGCAAGGTTGCCATCGGAATCGACATCCTTATCATTTATATTACAGCTGTCAAGCTGGTCATAAGACCGCGCGAGATGGTGTGCGACAGGGAACGCAGCATCAACGAGGACCGTCTTGCTAATCCCATTCTGGCCGTGGAGATTTTCCGGGCCCTTGGCATCGGCATCAATAATCAACAGGATAAAAGTAAAAAGGAGGACAAAATTGGTCGCTTGGGACCGAGAGCGAGGGTCCTCGCGCAGACTTTCTGTTAGATGATCCTGTGCTCGTTGGAACGTTGGGATTTCCTGCCATGTCTTTTCCGCTCTTGACAGGTTGGCACCTGTCACGGCGAATAACGAGTGCAAGAAAGTTTCTTGGATTTGGCGACTGGCTGATTTGAGATACTGGGAAAGAAGATCCCGAGAGTTCGGTAGAACTGGGAAAATAGGATGGATATGCTGGTAGTAACTAAAATCAGGGTGTGAGTGTTTTGTGCACAATTTAAAAGGGTGGTGAATTGAATGATGTATACATACGCATTAAGAACTTCCTCGTCAACTTCCACTGGTGCAGGAAGTGATTCCAGCTTTTCTAGGTCTATGGCGGGTTGTTGTGCGGACTCCGGCAGCTCTTGGGACCAGAATGGCTGCACTACCCTTGTACTTCCATTTTGTACAGTCCCGTATTCATCTAAAGCAGCCAGATCAGCTGCATGGGTGGCGTCCTTCGTTGGTCCTTGCACAGGCCATCCGCCTACTGATGTTGGACGAGCTCCTTGGATGAAAGGAGGCTGCATGAAGGCGTTGGGAAGACCCTCAGACATCGATAGGGTTCTCTTTCGGGTGAGTCCCTGGTTATCCATAGATGGAGAGAAATCCTGATAACCCCGTGCAGACGTGCCATCTTCGTTCATTTGCTGATAGTGCATATCCCCTGTCTGCATTGGCGGCTGCATTTGAGTCTCCAGACTGTTGATACGGTCTGCCAGCTCCTTGATATATCTTGAGGAGAGAAAAGAATCAGCCAACGAAAAAAAAAAGTCGTGAATAAAACATGGAGAAGCCCTACCCTTTGCTTGGACCTCGCTTCATTGGGACGCGGCTGAACTCGCAGGTTGCCCCTGTACGACGACAATTTGAACAAGTCTCGACACCAGCTTCAGAGGTGGCATCACATCGGACCTGAAAAGCACGAGTTAATAAGAGTAAAATATACATGTGAAGGTAAAAATCAATTCGCAAACGAACATACCTTCTTCCTACGACACTCATCACAGGCGCGAGAGACCTTTGAACGCTTCCGGCGCGCGCTCTGATCGCCATAGCTCAAGTCATGGTTTGGGTCGACACCAGACTGCTGCGTCGAGGAGAACTGAAGCATATGCTGCTGACCCTGAGAAGGCTGCTGTACCTGGTGATCCTGCTGCTGCTGTTGCTGTCGTTGCTGCTGCTGTCGAACCTGTTGCTGGTCGACGCCCACCGCTCCGTCAGCGTTGGGTCCAGATGAGCCTAGCACCATTCCCTGGCTATGGGGCAGTCCGTTAGCGGCAGCAGCGGCCGCAGTGGCAGCAGCAGCTACCGACGCAGCGTTGCCGCCATCGACACTCGCGCCGGCGACCTCGCGGGAGAGCTCTGCTGACAAATGAAGCTCATCAGCGGTCAGATGGCGCTGGTTGGCATAGTAAGACACGGTGCCCTGCGCTATCTGGGCAGCGTTGGGAGAAGGGTATGACGGAGCAGGCGGGATCTCTGAATGCTCTCGTGAGTTCATCGTGGGCCAGTCTGAAGGGGCTGTGCCGTGCTCTATCCAAGGCCGCAGCAGTCAGTCAGACTCGAGCTCTTTGTTTGTCTATTTGTGCGGCGCGCGCAGAAGAAAGCCGTACTCGAGACGTGGCGGATGATCGTTGTTATGGTTGTATCTTTTGCCTGTCAAACACGGTCAGCCCATCGCGCTCTGACTGCTCTCCCCCAAGGATGATAATGGTGGACGAAGGCAGCATCGTCGACGACGTCTTCCTGCAGCGACCTCCCCGGCGCGTCATCATCGCCCAGGACAAGCTCCAGAGGTCTCGTCTTGGGTGCAGGGCCAATTGCAACGGCAGCGAACGAGGTCTTCGCCCGACGCGGCCGCCCACAAAGCAGAGTCAACAAGGGGGGAAGCAAGTAACCAACTTTTGTCAACGGCGCCGAACGTGAGGACGCAGCCCGGCTTTTTCCTTCTTCCCTTGCCCGTCAGACGGAGCGCATTATCTAGATAGCTGTAGCTGTATTTTGCTTTCGACGCGGAGGACGGGTATTGTTTTATGCGAAGCGACTCAGCTTGGTTCGTTTTTGCTTATGCGAACGCGATAAAAGGAAAAAAATAAAGACGAAGCGGATTTTTTTTGGGCGGAAGAAAAACGGAGCGAGGGTTGCCTCTTTGGACGTCACATGATAAAGATTAATAAGAAGTGACTAAGACAAGAGAAAGATGAGTAAGAAATGACTAAGTAACATGACTAAGATGACCAGATGACTAAGAAAGTCGTATTTACGATTGCTCTAATAAGTAAGGTCTAAATACTCTACAACGCTCCAGAGCACCTCCCCCCGGGTCTATATATATAATAAAAAGGACTGTAAGGAAAAAAGGAAACAGTAAAAAGGGACATGTGCATCACTGGTGGGCGGAAGATGGCTAGGGGTCTTTTTTTAGGCACCAGATATATATATATATATATCGGGTTGCACAGATGTATATATGGTTGCAGATATAGGGTTGTTAAGGGCCAGCATGAAAACATCTATGTTCATTAAATATCGTTCTATTGCATCGGAAGTCATATCGGCGTTCATGTGTGTTTTAGCATGATGCGTCAGAGGAGGGGGTGGGGCCATATCACTGAGTCCACAGCTGAGCCTGTTGCTGTTGCTGATGATGATGTTGGTGGTGGTGGTGTTGGTCGGGGATGGAGACGGAGACGGGAGACATCATGGCAGGGTAGGCGGTCGAAACCCACAGCGGCTCGTTGGCCCCGGCAGACGTGTAGGCGGCAGGCGGGATGAGCATGGCAGCGTTGCTGGCGTCGACAAAGCTGTTCCCGCTGGCAGGATAAGTCTGGGCTGTCTGGGCCTGCGTCTGCGTCTGCGTCGACTGCTGGTGATGGTAGTGGTGACCAAGCTCGGCTGGAAGCGGGGCGGCCTCTGCAGAGACAGAGACAGACGCAGAGGCAGAAGTCTGATCGATGCTGTCGTTTGCTGCGTGGAGGACCGGTTCAATGGCAGCAGGCTCGTAGGTCTGAGACATGGCGAACTGGGTGGGCAGGTCGAGGTGGGAAGGCGGTGTGCTTCCCAGGTGGTACATGCCGGCCTCGGAGCCCGTGCCGACGATGGGCAGCAGGTCGTCGGCGTCAGAGGTGTCTCCGGACGAGGAGCGTGCGAGGCCGGGATGGCCAAAGGTGGTGGTAGCGGTGGAGGTGTTGTTGTTGTTGTTGTTGTTGTAGTCGTAGCTGGCATAGGAGGCTGGCTGGCTGTAGGTTGCAGTGTATGCGTCCGAACCGTACGGCAGGTCAAAGGTCGACCAGTCGATGGACGGCCCGTTGGAGATGGCCGCATCAAAGCCAAAGTCTATATCCGACGGGTAGTACAGGCCTGGAGACTGCTGTGGGTAGTCCACGATGGGCATTGACAGGCCCATCTGGTCGGGGAAGTGCTGGTAGGGGATGTCGAGGGAGAGCTGTGCCTTCATGTCCGACACCTCTGAGACCGGGGAGCCGTTCTCGGACTTGACTCTCCGTACCGGGCGAGGGGCACTGGTGACCAGATCGGGGTACGAGGAGACGTTCTGCGAGCTGTATCCGTCGTTCAGGTGGTCCATCGACAGGCGAGCCAGATCGGCGGTCCCATGGATGGTCCTGGAGCGAGGCAGCGGGTATGGGTGAGCCCGCTTGCTGGCCTCCTTCTGCTTCTTAGAAGTAGTGATATGCGGCCTCTTGACGCCGGAGACAGTCGACCGTCGTGCTGCAACGGGACCGGTCTCTGGCACGGTCTCGAGGTTCGAGTCTCGCTTGGATGCACAGGTACAGCGGCCGCCGTGTCCGCAGCAGCACAGCTTTCGGCCGCCTGCAGTTTCTAGCACAGAAGGGTGACATCAGCTCCGGGTACACTACATATAAGATATGCACACACCCGCACACTACTACAGCACGCAGTGTGGGAGTCCAGGGAGAGTAGGTATGCTCACTCTGGCCATCAGCAGCAGTTCCGTTCAGCGGACACTCCGCCTTGCTGTGTGGTTTCTCGCCGCACTCGCACTTTGCGTGGCTTGTCCGGGCCTTGCGTAGCCCACGACAGTGAGGACATTGCGACACCGGCCGGCCTTTCTTGTTGATATGGCTCAGGGGGCGATCTGCAGACGTAGACAGGTAGACAGTGTGTTAGAAGAAGACGGGTCTGCTGCTGTGTTTGTGTCTGTAGCAAGAGTGTCTCTGGGCTTACCCGAGTGGTTGCAGGTGCTAACGCGATGGCCCCGGATACAAGCATCGCACGCCCATTTCTCGCCGTCAATCAACATTGCGCCAAACTGATGAGAGAGTAATGGATGACAGCGGGTACGGAGCAGGAGGAGTGCAGTAAGAGGAAGAGTAAGCGTAAGAAGAGGAGGAAGAAGAAGAAGAGTAGTAAAGAGGCAGAGGCAGAGGCAGAGGGAGCTGGCGGGATGGCTGAGGATTCCCACTGACGGACGACGGGCGATGGACGACGGTGATCACGATATCCGGCAGTAGAGGCCCATAGTATCTCTTACACGGCAGGACAGGACGACGGCAGGATACTTAAGACACTCAAGAGAGACACTCGAGAGAGACAAGACGGCGAGGCAGAGGGAGACGGCTGGCTATAGAGGAGGCCGGGACTCTGACCGACGGTACAGAAGACAAGAGGCGGCCGGCGAGGTAGACAGACACATCGAACTCGACTGGGGGCAAAGCGGAGGAGAGGGAAGGGAGACAGGCGGGCTATATATCCTTGGGCAATGCTCTTTGTATCGCGAGGCCGGCGGGTGTATATGTAGTGGTAGACGTTAGCTTGCTCGCGCTGCTGTGCTTCTGCGGTGCTTTGGCTTGCTTGGTGCTGCTGCTGCTGCTGCTGCTGCTGCTTTCTTTGCTGTGCGTGGAGAGGTTGACCTTCAGGTTGACTCGGCGGCTGATGGGGAATTTTCTTCTCTTCTTTCTTTCTCTTTGGCTCCTGCGGAAAAAGCAACGAGAGCCAGCGACCTCGACAGCCGACGACCTCAGGGCACAGCAGAGACAGAAAGACAGAAAGACACAGAGAGACGGACAGAGAGAGACACGAAACAGCTTATCAGGGACGGGACTTGCTGCTCGGCCTTAGTTAGGGGGACAAAGAATCGAGCGTCGCTGCTAAGTTTTCCGCCTGTTCTACGTGCAGCAAGAGAATCAACCGCGATCCCTGGGACGCTATTAGGGTTTCGCTCCAGGGAGTTATGGGGCCTTCTTTTTTTCCAACGCGGAAGAAGAACCTAAGAGCATGTACGGAGGCAGAGGGAGGGAGGGAGTGCAGGTGGATGGGATGGGGATGGTACACAAGAGGCAGAGGGAGGCCCTTGATGCGGTCTGGATGCTACGGATGCTGCTGCTCGCCTGCTGCTTGCTACCCGTCTCGCCCAAATCAAAAGCCAGGCAGGATGGCGATGACGATGATGATGGTGGTGGTCGTCTGCTGCTGCTTCTTTTCTTCTTTTCTTCTTTCATGGATACGGGATATCAGTCTACGGAGTATGGAGTACTACTGCTGCTGGGACTCTGGCTCTGGCTCTGGCTATGTCTGTGTCTCTGCTCTCTGGCTGTTCTGTCTCACGGACCGAGCCTGGGTCATCCCGCAAGCATGGGACAGGGCGTTCTCACGCTCCCTGCCGCCCTTGCTGACGTCCATTACTTAGTTAACTATAACTGACTATCCCGTCCGCTTTACCAAGGACGGTATCAGCAAGAAAAATGGGCAAAAGAAGCAAAAACAGAGGGAGACGACGACGACGACGACGAAGACAGCAGCCAGCAGAAGCAGGAGAAGAACAGCAAGCAACCTCCACCTCAAGGCGAAATCAACAGCAAATCTGGATCTCTTGGCGATTCAGGGATGCATAACGCTGCTGATTGGATTCTTCCCCTCAAAAGGATATCTCGAAAGCAACAGCAGAAGACTCGGAAGAAGCAAGGAAAGCAGAGACAGAGAGACAGAGACGCCTGCTATGCCATGCCATGCCCTGTCCTGTCCTGCCCTCCCCCTGCTCGGCGTCCCATCCCTGTCCAGCGCTGTCCGGTCCTCATTGGACCGATGCATGGGCCTTTGTGCACTGTGGATTCCAGAAGGCTTCCATGGGATTTCCGCTTTTGGCCGTAGCTATACATCCAAGACGGACAGACAGACAAGAGACGGCCAGCTCAAAGCAAAAAAGCAAGCATGAAACTTATACATCATGGAGTTTGGAAGGTTATACTTCTACGTCAGAAGGGAGAGGGAGGAAAGTGAGAAAGTGAGATAGGGGAGATCTGAAAAAGAGGCTGCTTGGACGTCATCGGGGATTTTTTTTCCTTCCAAGCCACCCTATCCATGCAAGCAGAGATTGTATATGTGTACATCCCCCCTCCCGTCCACCGCTAATCACCCACCCCCCATCCCCTCCCCCCGCCTAGTTCCGATGATGGGATGGGGGATGCTAACATACATACGTACGATGGACATGCTAATATGCTGACTTTAGTTCTGGCTTGCTGGGCCCCCCTTTTCGAAGCAAAAAAGGTGGAGGCGTTTTGCGAACCTTCCTTGAGAACCTTGAGCTATTAAAAAAAGGTTGGAGGCTTTTGCATCGTCTGGCCGTGGGTCCTGGAGAAGAGGAGAAGGGGTGGACGAGGAGCAAGATCAGGAGGAGTAGATGCAAGTCGATAGCCGCTTTAGGAGACTTTGGTATCTGATCCATCGTCATCGAAGAGAAGGAGTCCCAATTCTTCGTCTACCTAAAGGTGCTAACTACTATACATAGTAACTATCTGGGAAACCAACACATGTCAACAAACCGCTTTGGCTGTTTTCACTACTTCCAGGCAAAAAGGCAGCTCAGCCTCAAGAACAGCGCTAAGGACCTAAAAGGTGGACGTTCTATTTACTTCCATACTCGTGATGGTAACTACGGCCTATACACAACAATAACCGACAGGCCATCGTCTTCCTGCAGTCATGGTTCGTTCCTGGGCGCCGTATAAAACGTGATGTGCGCTAGCATATAGTTGCATCTTTGAACCCATCAGCATGCATGCCTGTCTGCCTGTCTCCTTCTCGCACCGAGCCCTTCTCTCCAAGAGATCGAAGGCCCGGAAACAGGGCATGAAACTTTCATCCTGCCTGAGCCCCGTTTCCTCCGCTTCCTTTTCCCTGGCCCCCCTGTCCCCCTGGCCCCTTGCCAACTGCCAGGCGTCTTTCAATTCACGCCTGCAGTTCTTCTGCTGCGATTGCTCGTGACCGTCTGTTCCCTTTTGCCCAACTTACACGCCGGTCTCTTGTCTCTTTCTCTCTTTATCCAACCGTCTGGTTACCGGCATCTGCTAGGGGGAATTGCATCCATCTATCCGCTTTGAAGAAATTCTCCCCGGCTCGTATTTTCCTGATCGGCGTGTTCGTCTTTGGTCCTGATCCTTGCGCAGATTATCGCCAGGCCCTTCGGAATATGCTCCTTGGCATCATCTAGTCATCTAGAGGAAGACTTTGAACTTTGAATCCCTGCAGTCCTAAACTCCATACATACTTAACTCTCTGCCGACATCATTCAGTCTGACAAGTATATTTTCCTTTTCTTTTTTTTTCCTTTTTTTTTTTTCCTTTTTTTTTCAAAGACGTCGTCTGCTGCCGACTGAAGACAGGCTGGCCGTTTCCCTAAGCTTCCGAATGTTGCACACTGCATGCAAGCAATGGCCGGGATGACTAGAACTACCTAAACTGACTGGTCTACTGTCTGTATGATCCCCAGATTTCAAACTAACATCAACTCCGCGATCTACATACGCATCGTCTCTTTAAACACCTCAGCGCACCTCTCCTGCTGGCGCACGTCCTTTTTTTCATGCTGAAATTCGTTGTCCTGTACCTTCCACCACTGGGGAAGTACGGACACCAGAGCATAACACACAGTGGCGCCCCTGATGAATAGACACAAGACTTTTTTTCTTCCGTCGTCCCCCCTCCTTCCCCTCTTAAGATGATCAATCAAAGCAGCTGACGAGGCATGGGTGAGATGGATGGTTGCCTTTCACCTTAGCATCCGTTCTTGAAAGATATCAACACATCCTGTCAGATTTTGGACCAGATATTGCCCACTTCGGGCCCAAAGTTACATAACTTGTTCAACGTCGGGTCAGATAGTCACCTTGGCGTGGCCAAAGGAACAATCAACATATCCCGACTTCTTCATTTTGGCTAAAATAGTGTGCTTTGCTGATATCAGCCCGTCAATCTGTCTGTCTGTTTCAAACACCGACAAGAAAATGCTTGGTCCAGCCAAGCCGCCATCGAACATTCCATCGTCCTTCTAGCCTCATAACTGCTAAAAGCGGAACAAAGCCCATCCTACAACTGACGCTGACCGCAATAAGCGACCCAATCAGCAATTCCATGCGGCTACGGAATAGGAATGGTTCCTTCTCTCTCTCAAAAAGCTATTTTGCCATTCCCAGCCATTTGTCATTGTCATTTCCGTATGACTCGGCTGTGGAGCGCCGAGGATAGTATCCATACGGCAAAGTAGCTAGGTATGAAAGCATGCCGTATGCGTAACTAACCTATGCGCTCGCCTAAGCTGCACACCAACCGCGTTTCACCACATATGCAGATAATATTCTCCACGGGGCAGCCAACAGCCCCGTAGCACTGCAGCTTAGATGGATAGCAAACACCTAACTACATACCCATCTCCATACTGCCGGGTAACTAGCCTCACAACTAGTTATCAATCAAAGCCGGACTTGTTTTGTTGGTTACCCACACATCCTTCAGATACCTTCGGTTTATCAATTACATCATCATCTAATAGACACCGGTGCCGAATGTCTATCTATTTTTTATCTTTCTTTCTTTCTTTCCTCTTCTTGACTTTTAATCGGGTATCGTATTCGTGGGCCTCTCCTCCCATGACTACTCCAGGTAAGGCTGATCCAACCCCCCTAACCAGCTAGCTTCAACTGTCGCAGGATATGACACTCCACTACAATATGCCACACTTTGTTTAGAACAAGCCTTGCGGAGGCTCATCCTAATCCGGAAGAACTAGTCCTAAGCTATGGTCACCGCCATGCTGCCATCAATCCTGATATTGCTCTCTACAAGGAAACATAGCCTTGGCTAGATACCGGATATGATGTCCTTTTGCCCCGTCCCTTAGCACCTATCACGCAAGAGGCGTTAGACTTCTTGCTCTCTCTATTCGCCTGGCCCACTTAGAGCTATTCATAGAATTGTTTCTCTGGTGTGATTTATCTCTACAATTCTGGCCCCGCCTCCAATTGAGTATTCATTGCCGGAATATGGCTAGTCTGATAGACTACAATAATTTAGGGCCCACTTTAGATTCCCGCGTGCTGCTATTTTTTGTTTACATGGTGGATATTCCCTTGTTCTCCTCCCAGCCCCTCCAAGATCACTGATGGTTACGGGGAAGTTATGGGGCGGGAAATCACAAAATAATGTGACTTGTCTCGAAAGGGCATGCTCTCCCTGCCACGCTTTGCTCTCGCATTATTCTACGACGGAGAAATTCCCATGTGAATGCATAAGCAGTGCAATGCAAGAAGCCGCAGCAGGAGGATAAAGATTGCCTTGTATCATACTATGCACAACTGCAACGCCTATGCATTGGCCTATGAGGTGTTTTCTATTTGTCTCCCGCTCATAAATGTTAGCACCCAGAAATCCCTTTTTGCATGGAGATGCACTACTACTACGTGCCTGAATTCTGCCTTGCTTCAACATACCCAAGTGACGTACTCCATTACTTTAGATAGCTAACGCAGACTTTGCTATACCCACAGCTGCTGGTGGTACATGAACCGTGGCACAGCAAAGATGTTTCATGTTCCTGAGCCGGTATAAATTTTCATGAGTCGAAGATGAATCTTAAATGCCTCATATTTCATACCTATCGAAAAAAAATCTATCATAGAAGCGAACTTCTATCAAGTACCAGAAGTTTTACGACCAACCTACTCTCTCCATAGCAAGACAGAAGCATAGATAGAACAAGTTCAAACAACCAGAAATCTAGATACCCTAGCCTCGATCCAACTCCCAAGCATGCTTATCTCTATACCCCCCCTTGCTCTTCAAAGAAAATCAACCAGTATTTCGGTGTTCGCCGGCTGCCTTTCTCAGGTGATTTTCATGCATGATCAGACGATGCATAAGGATCTTGCCCCTGGAATGCATTATTCCTCATCCATGGCCTTGGAATACAGTCAGACATCCTTGCTTAGGGTTGTGAGCCCAATATCCAACCCGATCCCTGACTTAGGCTTCATTCAGTATTCCCGCATTTCTTGATGATGAAGTTCATCAAGAGTCAGTCACAAGAGATCTGCCTGCATTGGATAATTCGCTATCTGTCGTCATGACACATAGAAACCAACCAAGCTGCCCTTCGTCCTCGTGCTTGCGTTTGTTTCAGACAGCATGCTGCTGTATGTGTACGGTGGCGAGTAATGATGGTCAATGACCATTGATTTCCTCCTCTAGGTAACCCGTCTGTGGTTTAGCTTCGTAGCTATTTGAAATATGACTGAGTGGTTGAATTCCTGGTGTCAATTGGCCATGAAGCTGGATATGACTCGATACATCAGCGAAGAGGACTCCAAGATGATTCTTGGAGATAGAATGTACAGGTGGCATATTATTCCACTAGGTGAAATCATCCTGTCCGCTGTTTGATATTGTCACTACTATACTACTAGTAGTACCAAGCATAGACTCGGAGATCTCCATCTGAATATCAAATCTATATCCAGCTCTGTTGGAAATAGAATATATACGGCTCAAATGCAGAGTAACAAGGCATATCAGTTACTTGGGGACGCTTCATATCGTTCTGTGAAATCCGTGAGGTTGAAGTTGACGTTGACGCTTATTTTCCTCTTTGGGATATAAATCGCGGGGAGAAGAGAACTTCTCTGCAAAATGAAGCAGCAGCAACAACAACGACAACACCACAGGCGGATCTAATAACAGAAGATTTCCATGATATATCAGAAAAATACTACAGGAAAAGTAGAGATCATTGCTCATTTTCTATAGATATATTCTGCTTGCCACAGCCATAGAGTAGACAGCATGTCCTACACCAACGTTGCCTCCGCCGCACCGCATAACGGAACGCTAAGTTTACCAATCCTCAAGTTCTCGTATACAACAACTCCTACGGACCGCACTGCTCCGTTGGCATGGACACATCTATCTGGTGGCTCTGACCTGTTGGCTAGTTTCTCTTCCATACGTGTGAGAGACGAGTCCTCGAAGTGGACAAGGGAGAGCAAGCTGCTGAAAATCATGAAAGGGCGGGAAGTGCTGGTATGTCCGTCAGAAGCCTGTGGGTGTGGCCGGATAAATGGCTAATGGCTGGGTATGGCATGTGTGTAGGAAGAGCTTGACCTGGGTTTACTCGCACAGAGAGGAGCCTTGCCATCTGCGGGAGATGGTAAGGTGCCAGTGGCTATCATTGTGAAAGTCCCATGTCTAGCTATACGGTATCAATCCACTGCTAATCAGGTATTTACATGGACTATCTTCAATGCCAATTGACAGGGCTAACCGCGGTAGACACGTCGGTTCCAAGTGAAATTTGCTTCAGTAGCAGACTACAACCAAGCCGTAGCCGTACTGAAAGAAGCAAAATGTCCGGTTACCGAGCCACCGGCATCAATAATACAGTCTTCACCATTTACGACTCCAGCACTAGGGTCCGGGTATGCAGGGACGGCCCCTCGTAATGTCCCGCCAACCCCAGAATCGATAATAACACCCTCGTGTTATTATACGGATGGTTTGAGCACTCGACCGGCCTCATCAACATTTGTAGAAACACGGCCGTCATCTATGGTAAGTGCTGTCTATTCCCGACAAGTCCAATTAAGGGAGTAATAACCGTGTAAGGTAGGAATCGTCGATGACTCTTCCAAACTTGCCTATGGCTCGCCCAAGCTCGGGCATTGCACTGTCCCATTTCCCAAAGCAGCCACGGACGCCCGCACAAGCAGAAGCACAAGCACAAGCACAAGCACAAGCACAAGCACAAGTACAGGGACAGACCGAACCAACTCCTCGGCCATCAATAGCGCCGACATTTCTCACTTCAGAGTCCCTCAGCCAGCTTCTGCCGCCAAAGCGAGAACTGCCATTTGCAAAGGCAAAGAAGAGGCCTGCTCAAAGATCTCCATCAAGGGCACCTAACCCCAAGAAAACAGGCAAAGTTGGCCAGGGAAGGGATGGCCAGCATGATGCTTGCGCCGCAGCTGCAGAGAATATAGCCAGAACAGCGCATACATCAACGACGGGACCGAGCGTACAGGACGCCAGCCACACACCGGTGAGGGGCAAAGAAGGTGAGAAAGAAGGGGAACCAGACCGTGAGATTCCAAGGTCCCTCCTTCCATCTCCGAGCATTTCGCCGCAGAAGGGAGGGGCCGACGGAGGCGAAGACAGGGTGCAAAAAGACACGATCACCATCACGGATGGCGCAGCTGTGGGTGAGATGGGCATCGGCTGCTCCAGGAGCACGGACCTCCTGCCATTTATCCGTGAAGATCTGTCGAACTACGCTTCGCGCCCGACCACCGAACGATCCGATCTGATTGAGTCGTGGGTATGTCAGCAATTGCAAAACGACTCGTTCATCACGCTCTGCCAGGACATGGAGGGAGTCTGGAAGCGACTTGCATTTGGATTCTGATCCAAGCCGACTGTTGAGGGAGGAATAAACAAACTAACTAGTTATGTCAGCCACCGCAGGTAACCGACAACGAGCATGATGGCGGAAAATAAACCATCAGTCGGGGGTGAAGTGAAGAGGAGTTATGAAGGGAGAAACGCAGAGGGTAAACACAGCTTGAACATCCCGCTGACCCACTGTGCAAAGCAGCCAGCTGGCCAGTTAGCTATCTGGCCATTGATTCTGAGCAGCTTCTTCTCCATTTAATTAACTAGTTATAAATACCCATTCTCTATTGTTCTCCGTGTGCCAGTTTGTGGTCCAGTCCGCAACACAGAAAGTAGCACGTTAACTTCTGTCTAGTACTCCGTCCATGCAAAGCTAGGAGGACCATCACAGTTGGACACGGAAGCTTGCCGAGACTTTGACATGCACAGCGCACATACCTCTTACCAGGCCCTTGAATGGAAGAATATTAGGCTGCTGAGTGTTGATAACACTCCTGTAAGGTTGAGAGCCGGTACCCTCCTGGTCCCTGAAAAAGAACGGAAGGGATGACGGATTGAACCAGGGCTCAGCCAGGGGCTCTCCCAATCGCGATACGTCGGCCATTCCCATGCACCAGACGGGCACCGTTGGGCAGGCTGTGAAGAACGGAGATCCCTCTCCCGCTGTACATGCATATGTATACTAACAGGCAGGCGGGCAGGCAGCTCCCGTCGAGAAACAAGTACTCCGTCCGAGATAGCTCATTTAATGGGCCCGAACCATGCTTTGTTTTTTTACGTAACTTATCCCATCACCCGCCGCCCATCGCTTGCCTGGCTCGCTCGACATCCGCCAGCGATCCAGAATATGGCTTGAGATCCAGGGGTTTTCCGTGGCCGCGGGAAAGAAGGACAGAGGTACTCCGTATCGGGGACAGCTATGCTTCGGAATATCGGTGAGGGAGACACGGGCTCAGCTGTAGATGGAGCTGGCGTACTCCGTAGGATGATGACTGGCTTGTTGGACCAAGTTATCTGCCGTAGCACGTTGTGCCTCTGTGGCCGAATTATCCGAACTGGCGAGGAGCTATCTGCTAGCTCACCAACAACAGCTCGACTGTTGAGCAGCCTCGTCGGTTCAGTTGGCGTTGGCCAGCTCTATGGCAGAGAACTGTTGACTGCTGCTGGCTGCTGTTGATATCTTGTAGCCATGTTATGTTGATATCGATCGTCTGTTGTGTTGTTGGTTTAGTTAGACCAAGCTCCGGCTATGACGTGCCCCAAAGCGGAAGTACCAGGTACCCGGCGTTTATACGAAGCGCATGCTTAGTCAGAGGTACTAATTACTTAGAGCGGGGTTGACACGTGCCGTCATGTGACTTGTTTGCTCTCCTCCAAAAGCGGCCAAAGACCTCGCGGTTTGGCTGATTTTCGAGAGCTTCCAAGTCATCTTCAGCTTCATCTTTCGGCCAGCGAGTGACGGGAGATAGCAGTGTTTATTTGTGTCCGGCTGTTGTGCTGTTGTGCGGTGCTGCCAATGGGCAACTAACCAGAGCTGCAGTTGTTATCGGGATATCGCTTAGCTAGCTACCTTATCTATACATAGATACCTGCCCCAACGACACCGCTCTCCACTTCAGCCCGCTATATATACACCCGGGTGTATATATATTGAGATAAGAGACTTACATCACATCTTCCTCGTTTTTCTACAGAAGATTCGTCGCAGCTATAGCCATGGCCTCTCCTCTCAAAGGACCAGCAACCTCTGCAGCAGCCAAAGCAGCTACTGAGACGAAAGCAGCCATGTCCTCGCCCTCGTCTTCCTCCACATCCTCCATCCGCAACTCCCCCTTCGTCCGGGCTGCTCTCCCTTTCTTCAACGGCGGTGTAGCGGGGATGACGGCCACGGTCTGCATCCAGCCCATCGACATGATCAAGGTCCGTCTCCAACTCGCTGGAGAGGGAGTCAAGACCGGGCCCAAGCCCAGTGCCATAGGCGTTGCCCGCGAGATCATTGCCTCGGGCCGTGTGTTGGATCTATACACGGGTCTCTCAGCCGGCCTACTCCGCCAGGCTGTCTATACTACTGCTCGGCTGGGGTTCTTCGACACCTTCATGGGCATCCTGAACGGCCGGGCTGCCACTAAGGGAGAGAAGGTAACCTTCGTTCAGCGTGCTGCAGCAGGTCTCTCTGCAGGTGGTCTGGCTGCCATGATAGGCAACCCGGCCGACCTGGCCCTCATCCGTATGCAGTCAGATGGACTCAAACCAGCTGCTTCACGTGCAAACTACACCTCCGTCGTCGATGCATTGCTCCGTATCTCACGAAACGAAGGCATTTCAGCACTATGGGCAGGTGCCTTCCCAACAGTTGTTCGGGCCATGGCCCTCAACTTTGGCCAGCTCACCTTTTTTTCAGAGGCCAAGTCACAGCTGCAGACTCACACCGATCTCTCAGCGCAGAACAGGACCTTCGCGGCCTCTGCCATTGCCGGCTTCTTTGCCAGCTTCATGTCTCTTCCCTTTGACTTTGTCAAGACCAGGCTTCAAAAGCAGACCAAGGATCCAAAGACTGGTGTCCTGCCTTACAAGGGGGTATTCGATTGCGCTGCGAAGGTCGTTCGTGAAGAGGGCTGGTTGAGGTTCTACCGCGGCTTTGGAACATATTATGTTCGCATTGCTCCACATGCGTAAGTCTCTTCTCTTTCTTCTGACACTCAGGTAACACTTTTTACTGACATGGAATCAGCATGATAACGCTCATCGTCGTCGACTACCTCAACCTGATTACTTGAGGTTGTTCGTTGAAAGAATTTGAACCGCCCTTGAATGACAAGTATCCACTTCGGGCCTTATGTAAGATGAGGCTCTCCACCGGTTCATGCATGGAAGATCCAACACCAACAACAATTAGCGTTTATATACGGATTTCAACAACATTGCTATGAGGGATGAATTTGAGAGAAGCCCAGTTCCCCGGGAGAAGGAGAAGTAATGAAGAGCAGATAACCATTGAGGAAAAGGAAATATGCACACACATGCATTAGTCTGGCTTCGAGGACCAATTATATACTTACCTTTGACCACGAGGCTAGGAAGTGCTCTTGAGATGGATATTATCTAAGAGTTACCAAGGAGAAGGATTTCTGTTCCCCGTTGCTCTGAATCTCTTATTTGTACGGCGTGTCTGTGTTCGTTCTTCGTGGAATTTAGTACCCCGGATCCGGGTATATCATCACCTATCATCATAATTGTCGTTTCAACTATTAGCCAGTTTCGTTTTTATCTATGTATCCACCTAGTTAATACTCCGTACCACATGCCTAAATCCTTTCATCCATCCATTTGTGTATCAGGGATACGGGATGGTGACCTCGTCCGCTCGCTCTTTACTACAACTTGTCTTCCGCTGTTCGCTGCCCTGGTCCTCTTCACTAGAACGCTGTCATCATCCATATCAACATCCTCATCTTCATCACCTTCTTCTTCATCATTCTCTTCCGCCTCTCTTGCAGCCACGCGTGATGCTTTTTTCACCCGTCTTAGCAATACGGGGTCCCTCTTCAGATCCTGCATTGTTAACAGAATATTGCAGACCGGGCATTTGACGCATCGCATATTTCGCCCACGGGAACTGTCGTTGGGTAAGGGAACAAATGTGTTCTGACGGCTCCGACTGAACATGCTCTCGATAGCAGATTGTTCGAAACTGTGTGGACATTTGGTGCTACTGACCGGCTCCTTGAAAGGCTGTAGAGTCAACGGACAAGTTATGGAGAACTTCTCAGATTTGATCGCTACTTCATCATCTGAAGAAGCATCCTGCGTAGCCTCCTGGGTGGGTTCTTCGTCTTCTGACCCTTCTGCATCCTCACCCTCATCATCCTCGGCTTCTTCACTTTCGTTGTCTTCAGCGCCCGAAGATGAAGCCTGCCGGTCCTCGTCATCAACACCGCCTTCCTCCATAGTACCATCAGTGGTGTGAGCAAGCCGAGAACGCTTCTTTTTACGCTTTTTACTCTGGCTGCCGGATTCTCGTGAGGTCTCCGAAGACTGAAACCAGGTAGATGGGTGAGGCAACGGGGGAACCTCGATACCAGAATGCTTTGACTCGTGAAGAACACGATAGAATTGCTCGTAGCTTTTATTAGTCCCGTATCTGGAAGTATATTAACACGTATACAGGGCTTGTTTAAAAGGGTGGGGAGAGTCAATACCTCTGCGCAAGAGGGAGTGCCTCCCATTCTCTTTTCTTATCTGCTAGCCCATCCGCAATCGTGCGAGATGCTGATATTACCTCGACTTCGGCAGGCGGCTCTGTTTCGTCGTCCAGTTCATCGTCATCATTCGCATCGCTATCTTCATCTTCATCCCGGTTGCGCCTCGCCCGTCGTGCTCTAGGCTGAGGCTCTTTCGGTACTTCCGCAGAATCCTGTGTTATTTCCGATAAAAGATCCAGTATTTTGTCCGCCTGAACTTCCGAGTCAACGAGGCTCCGCATGCCTCCTTCCAGTCTCTTCGTGGTATTCTTAACTAGCCGCTCAAACTGCGCCAGTTTTTCCTCCCTCACTGCGAATTTTTCTGCTTCCCGCTCACGCTCAGCACTGCTGTCATTTCCATCGCCATCTTCTTTATCCTTTTCATCTCCCGCGTCTCTTTGTCGCCTTTCCTCTCTCTCTCGTCGGCGCCGCTTCACTTTCTCCAGGCGAGCCTTTGCCTCTGTGAGCCGGTCGTTAGTGTCCCCAACAGAGTCTGACAGCGCCCCTGCAGCATGAGCCAAGTGGATTTTTAAATGGCGCGTTTGAAAGGATTTAATCACAGTATCAACCTTGCGCTTTGCGTTGGCTGTGAGGGGCGCTATCTGGGGTTCGTAGGGAGGGAGCTCGAGCGGTGCGCCCATGACTTCCGTCGTGCTGGCTCGCTGGGTAGCACGAGGCATCGTTGTAGATTCGGAACTGACAGAATTGGAAAAGATGGCTTTCAATTTTAGTTGTTTGAAGAGATAAGAGAAAGCGCTGTTTGTGTTTGATGGTGGATGTAATAAGGATCTAAAATCCGATAACCAACGAAGAGCGCGACGCGAAGGCGCTAGTCCCAATATAGTATATTGCTTTCTATGCCATCCATCAGTACTAAAAATAAAATATCATTGTACAGAGCTGTAATATAAATTAACGAGATAATACTTTAAAAGAGAGTTTGAGATCAATGGAAGATAATATACATAATACTTTGTCTCCAGTGGTTACACCTTGTAGAAGCAAAACGCATGATATAGACCTGTTGTGGATGTTAGCAAATGGTCCAAGGCTAAATTGAATACGACAAAACATACTTGCTGCTTCTAATTCATCATCATTCACAAGCATGGAGCCATCGTTTCTAGATCGGACGCCCATACGTTCACTAAGTGGCCCTAGAATAGGATCATCCTTCTCCTCTTGCCATATATCCAAAAATGGTTTTCGATATTGAAGCTCCAAGTTGTAATCTTCAGTCAATCTATAATAGTGGATGAGCAAGGTTGAAATTCGAGGCAGAGATTGGTGAAGGAGAGCAAAGACTTACGCTCGGAATGCCTCCCATGGCACAACATATTCAGGGATCTCCTCGACTGCCTCCTCCATAAAGTAGAAATATTTCCAGCCAAATGCAGGACGGAATACTCCATCCTCTGGAGTCTTTCCTGGAAACTTCACACGGTATATGCTATTCCCCCATTCAACCACATCCGTATTATCCTCTACCTCACCATCTTCTGGCTCCTCAGCCGCTGTCTTCTTCGTGTCCTCTTCCTTTTGTTTGCGTTTTTTATGAGCTTCCGCAACTTTTGCGCTAATCACGTCAGAGTTAGGACCGACTCCAATGAATCGACCTCCCTTCTTGAGTAATCCAGCCACATTTTTCAGCATCTGCCTAGTCTTAGCCTCGTTTTCAAAAGCATAATGCATTGTGAACATCGATACTACAACATCGAACCCTCCTCCACCCCACCGGGAGCTCATCATTGAACCCCCTGGACCAACGGATTCATCTATTCCAACACGTTGGATTATAGGGACGTCCGCGAGTGACTCGCCGAAGCAATCTTTTGGGGTAAATTGAGCGTGAAATATGGGGTTTCCTCGACGTCCCCGACCTCGCTGGTTCTTCATTTGCATGTACCGTTCCCGGGCCTGATCAAGAGAGACGTCTGCCGGATCTAGTCCAACATAAAGCTCAACAGGCTGAGGGGCCTGTTGCCATTTACCAAGGTCACCACCCTTGCCACACCCAAGGTCAACAATCAAGAGCGGTTTCTCTTCGTCTGGGGCTACAGAAGCCGACCCAGCGAGGTCCCTATCATTATGCCTGGCTAAGAAATCCTCGCTTGGGGAGAATTTCTGAATAAGTGAACTTTTGATCCAGTTGTTGAAGCTGCGAAGACCTTTGATCTTGCTCTCTGTCTTTCGCCATTCCCGCCCACGTTCAGGGACAGCATTGTAATGTTGTCGTACCACATCATGAACTCCACGAGCATGTGCCGCTTGTTCCGCATCGGCTTGCTGCTGACGGTCCCTTTCCTCTTGCCTTCTCCTAAGAGCCTCCATATTAGCGGCGTTTATCCTTGCACCTCCACCGGGTCTTTTTCGCTGTCGAACCGGCGCATCGGGGGAAGGAGTGCGTCTAATTGGCGACGGAGATCGCCTGGTTTCAGATACGGGGGCATCACGGCGAGAGTAGGCAGATGGTGGTGTCTTTCCCCGTTTTCTATTCTTTTGTGACCGTTCCTCTTGTCTTCGTCGTTTTGAGCGTGGTTGAGGCTCCTGTTGTTTCGTCTTGTCCTGCTGCAGTTCACTCTCTGTGAGTTTCCTCTTTTTCTCATTTGGGCTTGGGATATTCCCGCTACCCTCTGCCATGCCTTCATGGGATTCGTTTGTCAAAGGGATCGATCTATCCTTTTCTTTAACTTGGGCCTGTGACTGCTCTAAGGTAACCGGAGGATAGGGCCTTCCATTAGCTTCCTCTGCTGAAGCTTGCATCTTGGTGTTGTTGGCCTGTAATGTGGTTGATTATGGCCCTATCCACAGACAAATTCTTCTCCTAATATGTCAATTCGAAACTAAATTCGGGTAAATTAATTGTAAATAGCTTGTAGTCTTATTTGAGAAGTACCAAAGTTGGATGGATGAAGTGAAGATAAATCACAAACTTGATCGCAAACTTGAAGTTTAAAATAACCGCGTTCAATATGCACTAGTGAGCTACTCACGCGTCTATCAGCGGCTAATACTTAGGAGTCAAATATCGAAATAAACCGGAAGCGGTTTACCTTAGCGTATAATTAATGTATATTGTAGTGAAAATTAACTAGCTCTGCTAGGGTATTATAATTTAATAATCAGGCTGATCTCATCTTTTGGTTCCCTTTGGTTGAAGAATCTGGCGGACGCGCCGAAGCTTCGCCCACCACTCCCTGTCTTTGGTCCTTCTGGTTTCCTCATCTACTTGCTCAGCGATATGTTCTGTTTGGCTTAAGGAAGCCTGTTCAGCTTGTAGCGGCTTATTTTTAGACCACGTATGCCGTCGATGTTCGCTTTCCACCACACGGCCAAGGGCTTCCCACCCGCATTGCCCTGACTTTTTACCGCTCTGGGATTCAGGGTTTACCCAAGGGCAATAGTCCAGATGTTCACCAACTATACTCAACTCAGAGTAGAGAGGAGGACTTCCGTCTTCCTTGGGTACATACATCCATAACCCTAGTCGCCGGAAACATGCCTTACAACCTGCCAGGCCAGCGCTTGCTTCACCAGAGATATCCCATCCAAAAAACGCAAGAGCAAAAGCCGTTTTATTAGCAGTCAGTAGCTCCTTTTCCGTGCCATCTGTTAATTCCCCGCTCGGCGCAGTATTTTCTGATTCATGTGTTTCTGCAGAGCTCTTATCAAGAATCCCGGGTGGCAAGGATGCCAGCATAGATTCTATATCAAATTTCTCAGGCAGAATAAGAGTATTCATCGGTGGAAATTTAATTCGGGCGGATAAGAGGTTTTCATATCGTGATTGGAGATTCTGCAATGCCGTCTCTGCGTTAGTTAATGGCAAACGCTGTATTGAATCTATAAACGCGTTAGTACGTTCTTAACAAAATGTATTCTCATGTCGCAGTATCATACCATCACAGGCAGATTTCCTCCAAGGGCATTTTTCCGCGTGCCCTTCGACAATTAAATTCTGATATTTAACGACCAATTGAGCTCCTATGTTGGTTCCCGTTAGTAAAATTGATGCCGAGTCCCTTCGACTGTATTGAGGAATACATACGGACGTCTCTCCGGTCTGCTACCTTTTCACTGTCGTATTCCTCCAGCTCATCTATATCATCGGGCAACTTAACAACAACTGACCGGCCACAACCGCCTATGCACTCGACTCGGTTCTTATCGGCGCACGACCATCCTCTTTTTGCCCATTGTACTTCGTTTATAGCGTCTGGCTGGGGTTTCCACCGCTCAACGTTGCGAAATGTTTCCAGCCGTTCCAAAAACCGTTCGCGGTCCCAAGGTACAAAGCTGGGCCGTAAGGATGTCGTTGAAGGGGTAGAGTGTCGGGAAATTGCCTTTCCTGAGGGAATAACGGGTGAGTCTTCAGAATCATTACCTCCTGACAAGCGAACCCGCTTTATAGAAGGGTTTATTTGCGTCGTTTCCCCCAACATTAGCTTATTGCCCGCTGGAGATGCTTGTGGTGAGGTTGATTTTTGGGAGGCTCCAAGGGAGATAGAGTCGAGAACACGGTGAAACTTTCGTTTCTTCGAAGTCACGGCATATGACATTTTCGTATTCGTTCTGTTTCCCTGATATCGAATGAGGTCTGCTCCGCGTGTTTCCTTCTGCTGTTCAACACAGCTATCACCGAAGCAACTCAGTATTATGTAATAAGGTTCAACCTTTATATGGTTATGTAATCAGTTTAATTGAACCTCAAACCTCGTTCTCTTTTCCCTCCACACCAAATTGTCCATCATTCATCTCCAAGCAATAGAAAGCAGCTTACAATAGCCATTGATATACCTTAATACGCTAGCAGCAGATTACATAACTTCATACCACTAATCTCTATGCTCTGAGAAGATCAGATATGGAGGACGAGCTTATTATCTATGAGGATTCCTCCGACCAATACCCAGATACCTATCCAACTAGAACTGCAGAGCATTGGAGTTCCGATAGGCTGACGTCTACCGAAAGTGTAGAGTCTCCATGTTCTAAAACGGATGATTTAATTAAGTATGATGCATCATGCGACTATTCCCTCCGTGAGGAAGCCGCCTGTGCCGCCTTGTCAAGCAATACAAATGTAGATTCCACCCCTACGGAGGCATATCTATCGCCTCAGAAACCTACATCATCCAAAACCCTTTTATCTTACCAATATTATGAAGAGACGAGCGGGTTTGAATCTTCAGATATTCATACAAAAGATGAATTTATTGTGAGACAACCATAATCTTCTTTTATATTTTCTTCTTTTGTTTGTTCTAGCTCTATTCGGATTTAAAATATCACTCCAGTTCTTCCCGTTCTTCTTTATATACCAATATAAAATGCCACCTCAGTTAACCCATAACTTTTAGAACCTTATGGATGATGATTATTACCCATCCCCAAGCCATCAAAGTTCAAAGCGCCCTAAATCCGTTGTAGTCGGAAATAATATGGTCGGAGAAGTAGAAATTATGCAAACGGCATTACCTGATAATCACCCAGTTTACATCGACAATGAACCGGGTTGTGATACTACTGACGGTACCACGGTCAACGGTTATGCCAGGGCTCCAGGTTTTAGTCCGCTCCATGGAAATAAAAGTTCTCATACACACGGTGTTTCCACAATGAACCTAACTTCTCAGAGTATCGAATACTCTTCGAGTGACAAAATGGGTAAGGTTAACACCTACAGTGGTTCTGACACAAATGAATATGAGTATCATTGCACTAATACACCATCGGTAAGTAAGAGCAGCATAATTTGACTTTATTGATGATCGAATCATCTTGATCCAGACCGTAGAAACATTTAGACTTTATTACTGATTATACATAGCTTACTTACCTGGATCCATTCGTTCGACACATGTTTCCGTCTCGTGCGGCAGATCCATCAGCAGTTCAAGGCTTGAGCTCAGACCAAATTCTCCTTCGGACGTGCTTCCGCATCGGCGAAGCGCTGACCTCTCATAATACCCTCACTGCCGGAAATGAAAAAAACCTGCCCGGAACTACCTTGGTAGAGCTCTATGCACTTGTGACTGAGTCTTACCGCAGTGGACCTCTCCAAGTTTTTATCTTCTCAGATATCTTTTTCCCCGCACATCCTCCATACCTAGTAGGAGAATGGTGTGGATGGCAACATAACAGCTACCTGAACCAAGTCGGCAGGTATTTTTTGAGTGGATACAGCACTAAACGTGTCCACTGCTATGGAACAAAGTTTAACACCCCACAATTCTCAGGCCACGGACCAGGTGGGTATCCCAAAATCTGTAGAGTTGTGGGCGTTCTCTCCCAGGGGGCCAATATAACGTCGGGAATCGAGACTACTTTACAACAACTTCCGAACCTCCGTCTGCTGGGAGAACAGAAGAGGCTCAGAATACTACGTATTCAGAAGGCTGACTGGTCGGATATCAAGCTGATGAAAGAAGCTCTAAACACCTAAAAAGCAATTTATTTAATACCAGAACCATATATTTTTAAGTTGCTTATGGTCCTTTAAGTATTATAGTAGAGTACCATTTACTCTATATTTGTTAAGCGTCAAATTGCTCCGGGGGTAGTCTGGTTATATTCATACATATGATAAATGGACGAGTCCACATATCAACTAAGTTGCTTCAAAGAGTTAATCAAATTCTTTTCAAATATTTCGTCTGTATAGCAGTTTTATTATATATCGAGTTCCAAATAATTCTGCAGAATAGTTGGATTAATGATTTAACCAGTTGATACTTGTAGCTAGATAGTATTACAAATACCCCAAACTGGCTTAGATAATATATGCGGAGAAAACCACAGAGCACAGTACTTCGTATAATAGGATATCCTATCTCCAACCAAAGCAGATGCTAGGATTACAAGAGACCAATATCCCATTTCAACAGCCGACCCGGACCGCTATTGACTTTGGTACCACACGTTGTGATTTAATATCGGGACAGGAATTATCTGGTACGTGATGGACCTGGTGCAGCAGATTCCGGTCGCTTGTATTTTCTTGGGTCTAAATATAATCACATATATGATTAGTGCTCTGTAGGATCATTCTTATCATAATAGATCGAGCTTCCTTTTATATAGCCGCATACCTTTCCTATTCATCAATTGCTTATTTCTAGTGCCTTTGCCTCCCTCCCAAAAGCCAGTGGAAGCTTTATCAACAAGTAAAGACCGACATAATCCACAATTTTCTGGTCGATACGTCTGTTCGCGGGAACAGAATCCACTATAATTATGAGCGCATGGATAGTTAGCGGAGATTCGTAGTAAGTATAGAGCCCTGATTTCACGACAATGCCATAAATAGAAATACATACCAGATCATTCGATTCGCATGCTCATTTGGATGGTCAGATGAAGCATCGTGGCATCTTAAAAGGAACCCGAAGAAGTTAATAGAGATAAGTGGAGATAAAAGCATAGCCCTTATAAAGGTGTAGAAGCCAATTACCTATCACACGGAAATACTCTCGAACAACAGCCGAACCTAGACCATAGTATCAGACACAATGCTACATCCAATACTGCGTAGAAATAAAAACTGAAAAGTATACCTCTTCGCCATAAGAGGAAATAGTCAGAAACTCACCTAAACCATCTATAACTCTTGCTGTAATGAGTACAGGCTCCTCGACGGGGTAGCTCATTTCCTGCACTAATCCCCAAAAGCTCATTCCGCTTAAGGAAACACAAAAGAACAATAGAAAGTCAGCATACATATGTCAGTAGTTCAGGGTGTTCATTTTTATCTTTTTCAGGTAAGATAAAAAGAAATAAAACAATAAAAGAGCCGACTCTCAAGCCGTGTATCCCGAAAGATAAGGATGAGATATGACTTGCCAGCCTGTCACGAACCTTTTTGTGCTGCCGGCCCGGGCGTAAAATATCTAGTGTTAATGGATGTTAGAATCCTGAGATTAACACTTGTGGTCAAAGGGAAGATTTCAAACAAAATAGCAAATCGTAACATTGAAGAAAATTCCATAGTAAACCAGGCAAATAAAAATGGAGAAATCCAAAAATGCAACCTTGGTGAGAGTAAATCTTTTCGGTCAGACCTTAATAGAAGATCCACAAAATGACATGCAGGTGGGGGTTATCCAGATCCTAGAAAATTGCCTCCCAGATACTTGGGATGATGGCGGCCGGAGCAGCCTATAATCATGAAATGAGGTACAATCAGGGGCTAAAATCAAGACAGACAATAGGGTATGCATCGTTGTAGACAGGAAATAGAGATCATAGCCAACACCATCTGACTTACCTTGGACGTCACCGACGAGTAAAAATTTAATATCAGGAAGTTTAAAGCCTATCATTCAAGACCCCAATTCGTAAGTTGTCAACAGACCAATATTTCTGATCAATAGGAAATCCCGCCCAAGGCGGGCAGGGACTAGATTGGACACTAAGTGCATTCCATCGTAAGACAGCACATACTCATCTTCTGGTGACAGACGCGGCAAAACGTCAGGGAGGCATCTCCTTGGAAGGCTGTGACGCCTGGTGCTGGATATGTGGTGGAACATTTCGAACATGTCGGGGTGAAGTTGCTAAACGTATGAATTAACCAAGGCTCCATCCAAGTCCCACAAACCTATGATGGTTTGTATGACGGCATGAGGGAGGGAGTTAATCGGGCCGTAGCCTTCACCTCTTTCCTACTTTTCTTAAGGGAGGATATTGCTTTTCTTACCTTGGAAGTAGGTCTGCGGGAGTGCATCCTTCAAGGGTTAAAGTGCCTGCCCGGTTAGATCCATTGTGCATGAGTTCACGGAAGAAGCCTAGAAAATATGGGTAGCATTGTGGTTAGTAAGAGAGAAATATGGAGGAAAAAATTAAGACTGATAGAGCAGTGCTGAACTATACGCCACTTCTAGTCCCCAAATCACAGCTCATTTTGCTTTGCTTACCTGCACTGAGTCGATTTGAACATTTCTGACAACTTTCGACCCTGTTATGAGGGTTACTGTAGCCATCCTCCCCGATTTTTATATTTTTCATGTCTTGTAACTGTTTGCATCGGGCACATCGAAGAGTCAAGGATAAATTCTTCAACTCAAGCAACTCAACACCTTGAAGTTCAAGTGCCGGGCATGATATTAAGACCTTACGGCCACCCCCACCATGTATAGGATGTTCCGCGGCTGGCTCATCATCAGCTTCCTCACCATCATTTTCATCGGGGACATCCCACTCAGGGGGCCTAGGGATAACATGAATATGTGATCTGTCTTCCAGGCTGTGGGCCTCCGCGTTAACGTCAGTTAATCGGGATGCTTCTACAGGCGGTGATGGTGGCGAATACTTGTCATGAGGTTTTCCTTCCAGGGATATTGCACTTAAGTCGATATGAAGATCTATCTCTGCCTTAATGGGTTTTTGATATGCCATTTTGTGCATCGTTGCCGCGAGATAGTTGATATGAGCAGTTAAACTGATCCCAGGGTTATCCAAGGAATGCTGATAAAATGCTTGTTCCGTCAGTCGGGCAGAAAGGTCAGTGATTTCAGGGATCCTGATTCGGCATGGTTCTCCGGGATAATTAAACGGCACGGTCAGGGTTATGCTTTGTACATTGCGGAGGGCATTTGGTAGCTGCGTCGGTTGAAACGGTTTGATGGCAATCGTAAAACTGACCCCGTCTGAGTGCTCTCGGAACAAAGGGTGCTTACCCAGACGGGATTTTAACTGTCCAACTTCTTTCAGCCTTCTTTGTGGATCTCCTATTTCTAATACTCTAGTCGCCATCTTTCCTTTCTTGCTACTCTTGCCCGTCCAGTAGTCGGAACTCACAGTAGAGGGCGGCAATCTTTCCCTTTCCCAAGTTAAGGGATCATATGTCTCTAGAGAGGGAGCAGCAGAAAGAAGATTTGCAAGATGCCTGTCAAGGATATTCATGCAAGACAATAGGCTACCAGACTTGACGTCTTTCCACACTTGCCTAAACTTTCGTTCCACAAGCTTTCTCTTACTCGCGTCTAGATCTCCGCTTCTTACTTCAAGAGAAGGCTCACCATAGGCTGGATAGGTAGTAGGAACGCTTAAAATGAAGTCTAGGCCGGTAAGATCGTGAGAAAAGCCCGGGTCCGATGGTTTCATATTGAACGTCAGATGAGTGCCATGGGCGTCATGGCGCTCTTCCGGGTTGAACCTACGGCGGATTTGATTAATTTGAAACTCCCTCGGGTTCTCTTTTTCCGCACATGATACAGGTTTCTGAACGAAATGAGAGCTTTCAAGAGTGGCTGTTGGTCGTTCGTTGTTTAGAGGTAGTCCAAATAACTGCCTTGTGAACCTCGTTTCTTCTTCGGCTGTTGGCGGACTGCTCTCACTTGGGATAAAACCCGTTTCACAGGGGCCATTTTTCCGCTGATCGGGTATTTCCGATTGCTGCTGAAAAGTTCCGGGCCGCAGATTAAAGCTGACGGCGCCATGAGTTTCGTCAGAGGGAGCTTGGATGATAGTCAGTTACTTAAAGGTAATTAGTAGCAGGTATAGCAAGAAGCTGGTTGAGAAATTGCAAGAGTGGGAAAGTAGCCCAAATCAGGCTAGAAGCAGGCAACTGATTATACAAATAAACATGTTTCTGGTAAAAATTTTATCTCGGGTATAAAAGCCCCACAAATGCGCAACAAAATGTTGTGATACAGCTGTCCTGTGGCACATGTCCGGGGAGCATATTAAAAATAATCAAACGGTAAAGCTTCAATGATCAAAGGGGGGAATGTAATTGCAAAACCATGTCAAGGAAATACCAAATACCGAACAGTTTAAAAACTAATTCAGCTGGCATATTTTCATTGAACGTTGAATTTTAAACAGAATACGGACGGGGTGGAAGGCGATTAGGTAGCCTACCTTCAAACCGACGGGGAATAGCAGTTATGTTTCCGTAAATATGCCTTGGTGGTGCTCGAAGAGGTACTGGTGAATCTTCACCTAAAGAATAAGGCCTTATAAGCAGGTCTTCCTTAGAGGGAACACTGAGGCTATACTGGTTTGACGCTCACTAGTATGCACATAAGCGCTCAACCAGGTTTTCGGGCTCAGGAGTAGTAATGCATATTTCTCCCACGTTGGGTTCAAATGCGAGATGCATGCGAGGTGGATTGATAAAGCGGCCAACACGTCAGGGCAAGTAATTCGGGATGCACATCAGAGCCATATAACCGTACGCAAAAAGGTTATATAGCTCAGGTATAGGCCCGGAGACAGGGGATGACGATGCAGCATGTTTACACAACATCGTTGCTCTTGTACTCGACGAGTGGGTGCTTCGGCGTGTGGACGTAAGGCTCAAAGGGGTATATAGATGTCAACTGACTGGCTGGCTTACCGTGTATGTCTGCCATTGCAGCACGCTGAACAATAACCCAAGCCTCCGGAAATGGAGTTGTAGAGAAATTGATAAACGAGATGTACTTGTTACTTTGCGCGGTTCCCGTGTTCCCGAGTCGCAAGGCTTGAAGTCAAGCGGACTTCGTCACTTCAACACGAGAACGGAAAGCCAACTATTGTCACAGTACAGATGTTCTTCGAGCTTCAACCATAAGAGAAGAAAACATACAACAACTCCTGCGGCCCAGCACACAGCTAGTTACAAAGTCCGTGACCTGCATCAAGTATCGAATATCAGCCCAACGAACACGGTTGAGACGAGGCTTCGTGGACATCAAAATATGTGGAACTTAACTACTTTCGCTAAAGGAAAGCATACAATTCACATACTTTCAGTGTAACTTTGTACCAGTACTCGGTACAAGTATTGACGTTAGCCCCAGACAGCATGCGTTGTCCTCGCCATGCAGGTCATCCGGTGACCTTGAGAAACGGGCGAACGGAGAACGACAGCTCAGAAGGGCAGCGGAGAAGCAAGAGAACAGTGTCAACAGAACAGACAGCTAGATGACGGGCCCCGAGGCAGCTTGTGATGTGCTCTTTTGATTTTGATGCTCCAGCTGCTGGCGGAGTGCAAATAAAGGAGATGATGATAAGATGAGGTCCACTTGCTATGAGTCAAAGTCGGCGCGTGCACGTGAGCAGGCTAACTAGAACGTTAAATAGTTAACCTCTGGTCAGTTTTAAGAGGAACTACCTAGGGTGGCCATAAGAGCTATCAAAGCTAACAGAGCGAAGAGCAACAGTCATTCGTTAGGGAGTACTTGGATACAACTGGCGAAAAGGGGGTGGGTTCTTTTAATCCCGTCAGTTGATGGCGAGGCAGGCCCTTACACAATTTGACAGGTCTGATCAAGTCAGCTCTCTAACGAGCCAACTAGCTAACTCATCCACAAGGGCTTGTGTTGCAAGGCCTTGACTTGGCCCTGGTATTGTTATGTCTTAGCTCATCTATCTCCAGGGGTATCTCGGGTACAGAAATGTATCATATATATATCCCATGGGGCTGTTCCTCGGATCCATCACAAGGCTACTCAATAAAGTGCTTCCGACAGTAGGGTAGGGCTTGGCACTATAGACATCACTGTATCAGCCAATACTGGGAGGACATCAGCAAAATCAGTGCCAGAAACTCGGTTATTGAGAGTATAAGCCGTACATGCCGATGATTTATCATATATCCTGCGCCTTAACTACATTCATCAGAGATTTGTCGGCTATTCTCAAATGCCTGCAAGATGAAGCCGTAAAGAAAAAACCTCATGGATCACTTTTGCCAAAAGTTTCAAAGAATAGACCAGAGATAGTTCGTCCAGTAACTACTTGAGTTCTTTACAGCGTCAGAAATTGTCCCCAGTTTACCTCCTAGCTAGATAGTTAAGGGGTTTTACCTGTGTAAGCAGCAGTACCTGCCGCGAAAATGCTCGAATCTGGCTAAAGTAGAATATTTAAAGTTGTAAATTCCGGAATTAACATATTCAACTCCATTTGTATATGCGGACGATCTGTCCATAATAGACGCATATTGTCTCGTCCGCAGCACAATTAGATAGAACATCCTGATTTAACAAATTGATTGCATTCCCCTTCTTTCAATAGTTCAGTTAAAGTAACTACCCGGTATCCTCGACGTTTCAATTCAGGTAATAAATTCCGTAGCATTGGGGGTGTCCAGGATCGTCCGTCGTGGCAGATAATTATCCCACCAGGGTGTGCTGAGCTCAAGATATGCCAATTGTTGATTTTCCAAAACGGCACAAATGGATCATGCGGATAGATATCACCGAGGATGAGATAATATCCCATTTTTGAAAGAATTTTCCGCATTTTTGTGGAAAAAAACCCACCGCCTGGACGAAAATATAAGGGTCTCTGGGTTATTTCGACGTCTTGGTCCTTATGGTCTGCTTCTCCTGGACGAGCAGTGGCCTCAATATCAGATATTATCTCCTGAACGCAATTGATATTATCGACAAGTTCCGCTTCGCTTAACAAACATGAAGGCTCATCACGCATGGCATGATTCGCCAGTTCATTTCCATGGCGGATGAGGTCGCGCAGAACCTCTTCACGGTCAGGGGTAGCGTGAGATCCGATGACAAAGAATGTTGCAGTGGCGTCGTTAGATCTAAGAATATCTAGTATCTCTTGCGTATACTCTGACGGGCCGTCATCAATTGTGAGCGCAACTATCCGTTTAGAAGTCGGAACATTCCACCAGACATCCTCCCATTGACGCTGGGCAAAACGGATAACAATTCTGGGAGGCTTGTATACAATATAGAGAGGTGTTATTAAAGCGATAGCGGCAACAATACCGCTAACTAGTGACAACATCGGGAGGTATCAGGGCAGGATTTCTGTGTATCGAGAAAGTTGTTATGGTTATTGGTATCGTCTAGCAGAGGAGATGTCGTTTTATTTAACTAGTCAACTAGTGTCTTGCTAAGTCCAAATCGGGAAAAGAGGCTCAAGAGCTTTATGTTGACTAGCAAGACTTTAAAAGAACTTCATCATGAAACATCCATGGGCTGGCAAGTCAACGTCTACTCTACCGCCGGCCTTCGAACCCATTTAGAAATGATTTCATCCGAGCTAATTACTAGTTACACTCTTCCATCGTTGGAAATAACTCAGCCGTTGCAGGTTGTCCAGAGAGCCAATCGTCTCCAACTTTGTACCACCCCAACCACCACAATACTCCGGGAGTTTATTAGCGATCTCAGATGGATATTCAGCGTTCAAATGACGTGAGGTGTCTAAGGGAAATGCAGGCTAAACCTCTTCGATCAGGGAATGTGCTCAATGCCATACTCGGGAGTTGAGACTGGCAGACTACACTAGAAACTGGACGATGTTTAAGTTCCTGATGTCGGTAATTGAGCATACCTTTTGCTCACTGCTTTGAACATCTGGAGTTGTTAATCACTTCTTTTGCTCTTTAGGGATATCGATGCGAGATGGGGGGTCTCGTCCCAAGAAAAACCTTGCTTATGCCCTTGATAGGCAATTCGATCCAGCACGGGGGGACAGACTAAAGTCCTCCCCAATTGTCTAATCCCATAAATTCAACGTTTGGGGGGAGAAGCGATTTGTACAATGCTGCTACCTTCTCGTATCGCATTGATCAGCTGCTTCAAAGTGATACATAATCCTTCGCACTTGAAAATAAGGGTCCGATTTTCTACCATTTCCGTTGTTCTCATGCACGGCGGAGGACTCCGAGGTTAAGAAAATTTAACCCAAGGCTGATACACAGGAGCTTTTGCATATGACTCTCCACAGATACACTTACTTGCATGATGGCTCGATGAATTCAAACCCTCGCCCCTGCAGTAAAGCCTCAGCCTTAGCTGATGATATCAGAATATTGAGCTGGAAATCAGAGACTTCAATCAAAGCGGATGCTATGCTTTCTTCCCTGCATCTACCAAAATACCTTCTTAGCATTAACAAGCTACTTCTTTGATATGGAAGAAAGCGTCTTAACTTGTATGACATGCAACATCTCATCTCATTAGTATTTTGCATATAGAATTACTTACTTGAGAAACTAGGTAATGTGTAATTCGTCCACATACCTGAGTCCCCTCATGTGCCCCCTGGGGCTTCTCAGGAATGTCTACGCGAATGGCGGGGCTGCTGCTAAAACCCCATTAATTGATGTATACCGATGCAGAATTGTGTACGCTCCTCCCATAGAAACATTTTGCAGATTTGAAGGAGGGGTACGCCCTGTGATGGTGTGGTAGGATTACTTATCGATGCACCAGCGGAGGATTTTCCCACTTACTCTCTAACCTTATGTTTTCGCCACATAGCAGTACCATCACAGACATGCAACTGATAGACAATGCTAAGATCGCCTATCATACTACCTACATGCCCCATTAAGAATGATCCGTTCACTCAAGCCATTCAATTCAACTTTCTCTCCCGTGAATGGCCACTTGGTTGCGACCCAGATGTCCGCCTATCAGGGGAGATACCGCCTTAAAAAGTCATACACCGGATATCAGGAGTAGAACGGAATATCTTTGGTGGTGTACGGAGTAGAAGTGACGGAAAAGCCGGCCATAGCGATACTCTACGCTTCGGCTTGTCAAATGGACGTTGCCTTCACAACGAAGGCTCGCGCGCGCTTCTGTTTGGGCCACCCCTGAAAATTATCATGCATTACCCGAGCTTCGAGGGCTGAAAACAAAGGTAACGTTCTGTACGGAGACGTTCCAAAACGCAAGCCAAAATGTTTTATACCAGATATGATTTTAACCTGGCTCACCCGCATGCATAATCTGGCCCCGTGTTTGAAAAATACATAAAGAAAAAGATGGAAAAAACAGGAATAGTAATAAGCGAGAGATATCCAGAAATAAAGGTTTCCCCATCATAACTTTTATCCCGAATCACAAACTACGAAGCTCGATGGAGGAAAGAGAGAGGAGGGCAAAAATCGACCAGGGAGATGGCCATGGTGCTTGTATCCCCTACACTAGAAGAGGACCTTCGTATCCGTCATGATATGTTGGATGAGTTTTTGGAATACAGACCAGCTACCATCTGTCTGTATATTCCATGTATACAGGGGTTCAGCTATGACATATGCCGATAACAAACCACCATAAGGTTCTGCCCATTTGCCGACTCCTTGTTCGGTTCTTCTTGCCCTCCAGCATGGGTGCAATTGATTCCCTGAGCTACAGCCAGAAGATTGGGTGTACTCCACGTGGACAGAATGCTGTGCCGAGCATTCTAACTTGAGATATATATATATATATATGTATACCAAGGAGGTGCAGACTCAACCAAGCTAGCACAGTCGATATTCAAATAATTACGCCATATATTGATATCGCTTATTACCCTGCGCTGACTGGTGAGGATATTTGTGACTGATATAAGCATACATTGACAGATGACTTGAAAATGAGCCTCTTGAGCTGCACTTAACTGGCTACACGCACAGCGCTAGAAGCAGATCCTTCCACGGAATGAGAAGGTAAATGCAGCGATATCACGACATGACAAGGGCAGATTACCAATAAGAGTTCCTCAACTTGGCTGAGGGCGGCTGGTTTCTTACGGGCCAATAAAATATCGAGTGATATATATTATCTCAGGAGGAGTGAACGACACCACCGCTTTGCACGGATAGCTCTGGAAAGCGGTGCGATTATTACTTACGGAGTACGGAGTATACTTGCCCTCACAAGGCGGGGATGCATGAGGTATCTGACTATCACCATGCACTCTAAGAGACCTGAACCATTAATGAGCCAGTTCGATACGCAGACCCATGTCGCCCACCGCACGTCCCCCACCAGGTATGTAATAGCGCGAGGATTCAAGCAAAAAGCGCGGAGGAGGCAAGAGACTCCGATGCATTGTTGATACCAGGCTGGTAGAACAGCCTCCACACAGACTTCCATGTCGCCTCGATGCTATATCATGGAACAACATACCAGAAACGGACATATGAACATGGAAACGGCAGCTAACCCTTCCCACCACCGTATAGCTGATCCAGAGTCACGATAACGTTTGGGACCAAGAATCTAGAGCCATCGACGCCATAATCGTATGTTGGCATTATTGAGGAGAGCTTGAAGTTAATCACAGGCCGATTCATGTTTCGTGCCGTTAGCTAGTTGCTCGCAGGGGAGAAAGTGAGGCCACCTCCTTCAATAATCGACATGACAAGTGTGTTTTCCAGCTTCGTTGGGCAGATGACCAGTGTGATGAAACGAAAGAAGCAAAGAAATCTAACTACGTTTAACTTCGATTACAGGCTTCTAGAACAAAAAGAAAGCAAACCCCGTGATCTATCCCAGTATCCGAACGGAATTAGGGGGAAGGCTGTACCGTCACGGTCAGCGTATCACTGGTACAAGTGCAAATTTTAAGGGCTATTTGCTCGAGATATTGACAGGGGCATGAACGACTAACCAGCCCTAATTACGCAGGATTGACATTAACGGCGTTCAGCGCCAACGAATCACCCAAGCGGCAAGAGAAGACCTTCCTTATCTGGCGCTGTGGCTGGCAGCTAACCATGGCTGTCCTAGCAGTGTGACAAGGGGGGTAGGGGACAGCCGCAACTTCTGCCCACCACATGGCCACCAGCACCCAAATCTGTCGGGTTCGGATGGATGGATAAATCGAGATAAAGCTCCGCCATCCATCCGAGGGATACGTATAAATACTTTACATACCACTTCCCTGACCAATATAACCCCAAACGGCATAGGATATATGATACAGCCCTGTCAAGCACCATCCAACCCCAGCGCATCAAAAGCTCTTTCAACTGGTCGAAAATAAACGGATCAGGGAGGATTCTCTCGTGCTAGATCCTCCTCCTGCACATCCCGTTTAACTAAGCATGGGACTCATCAAGGTCCAGAAAATGGATAGCCGTGTTAGCTCATCGTTCATCAGAACTTGAACATGATACTATTCTCGACATGGAGGACCCGTTTCGTATTTGCAAGAGATTTTGGTAGCGTGGGGTACCTGGCAACGAAATTAACTGAGAGGATAGCGTACATTACCACAGTACCACGGACGGCTGGAACCCGTTGAAAACCCACCGTTCTTATGGAGTAAGTATACAGAGTACTTACTCCATACCTTTATCCTCATGCTTGCCACGAGGACGTTAAAACTCCAAACAGGCAGTCTATGGAAAAGCGATGATTAAAAACCTACCTTGAAACCTACCCCTTTGGACGTGCATTTCAAGAGTATCGGTTTATAGGATGGTTCAAAAAGGGGAAAGGTATGGTGTCAAATGAGGAGGTAGAGAGTTAACAATCCTTCTTCACCGACAAGCCAGTAGATGAATCGTAGGTGAAAGAAAAAGAAACCAACACGGTTTCTAAATGACAACCGTTGATCTAGGCCTGAGATCACTCATACTTCTTCCTGGCCTTCGGCGTCCTCGAGTTTTTAATACTGGTTAGTTGACCACGATGGCAAAGTCATACGAACAAGCCACATCGCACCCCTTTGTTTTTCAGGTCCTGGAACGCACCAGTGGAGTTTACTGGAGATCTTGTTCACAACGTCTTTAAGCCGATCCACTGCCCGGCTCGACTTAGCCCGCACCAAAATACGAACCTAGCCCAGAGTTACCCTCGTTGTCTTGATACTCCAGTCGCAACGTCTTCCTCTCCTCTGATCCCCATGTCCTGGCCAATATGGGCAACACATTGCTGTATCGGGCTAAAGCGAAAGCGAGAACGAAAGGCCTTCACTGCCAGAACAACAAGCTAGTATTCGTACTTATGCACCCTGCCCACGCTAAACGCCTTTTCCTGGACATTGGCGTGGGGGCAAATAACATTGCAAAATCCATGTATCCCTTGGGCCTTATTTGTGCTGTTATGAAACCGCTTTAAGCCAACTGCTTTTTTTGTTTTCCAAATCATATTGTTTGGCGACAGAATTTTACATCGAAAGTTGTCGGACTATTAACTTATAAGGGGAGATGATTGGGTTAGGAAGCGGTGGCAGTGCGTTTGGACCGCACAGGATTAACACGACGATTATTATCTTTTTTTGACAGGAGAAAGGGTTGGAAATCAGCAAGGGGAAAGTAAGTATTTTATTTTTCGACCCCAGACGCGGATCGGATGAAGGCCTACCATCCAGCGCTTTTCCACCAATAATATCGATGTTCGGACATGACATATCAGCCCTCTCCTATTGACCAGTGAAACGAAGACTACGGCGGAGAAATCAGGTCGTTGCCCTTTCTAGTTCAAGTGAGTACGGAGTATCTCGCGCGCTTTTCAGTGCGTGTAGCGTGAGGACATATGTACTCCGTAGAGGCAAGCATTTCCAGGCGCTCCACCTAGACTACCGGCAACCCAAGTCGTCCATATTATTCGATCGCTTTCAAGCCGTCGAGTGGAGACGCAGCCGTGATCAGTCACTTCCTCTCGCTAATTCCACAACACCTTGTCGTTCTCATGCACGCCATTCTCCCTTGAATCAATTGAGCAAAACATGTCATGCGAGTAAAACTTTGCCCACCTCTCAACGATATCCATCAGCTGAGGAACGTTGGCGTTTAAAAAACGGCGTTGGTTTAAGGATAGTCCCGTCCCTCAACCAAGTCAAGAAAAAACCTTAACTTGCCACTATCGATGAGCATCTCGGTACAGCCCGTTAACCGCTTTAGAGAAATGATACCTGCCTGGGTTGGGCGTATATTCCAACTAGTTGTTGGGGCTGGCGTACACTTGCCTCCAGCCAACTCTGTGGCGGGGAAGGGAGATTGGAGGTATCAAGATACGACGCTGGCACCTTTCGACTGACACTGTGTGTTTCTGTGGTTGCTTTGAAAATGGGGTTCCTTGAGCGGAGACCTGAGAATTTGAGAGTTCGATAAGTACTTTGCATGCATGAAGCTGATAATACACGTAAGAGGGGCAAGGAGCCACATCAAGGCGACCAAACCTGTAAGGCACGCCAGCCATGACGCAGAGTGTTGCCGTATAGAGCCTTTCATGCATAGAGCAGCTAGGCTTAGCGTCTCCAATCAGTATATACAAGAAGCTGTATACCAACAGCGTCGCAAAAGTCGATGTGATAGAGTGTACGGAGTAGACAAAGACAAAAAGAGAAAATAGAGGACATCAAGCCCATTAACACTGGGCAGTTATCTTATCAGATCATCTTATCAGATACCAGCAACACAAGTCTTGGCGAGGAAATTCCTCTCGTTTCTTTCTCATTAAGTCGTTTAATAGTATGATAATGACGAATAAAACCAACAAAAGATTCAACTGCCAGTACAGAGTAGCCTCTCATACCCAGAGTATACATACACTTGACCGTTGGTATTGAGGCTGTTGGCAGAGACGCTCCCTTTCGCTCTCCTCCAGCCGTGCGCCCCACGACTAACAGCAGCAACCGATTTCATGAGCCCAGCCACCCTCACCGCCGTTTGTCTCACCTCGTCATCGGCATCGCTTCGTCGCCTTCGTTGAGTGTATCGCCGGCTACCTTTTAGCAGCTGAGGAGTTGCATGTGCTGTCGCTAACGGCCCGAGGAGACAGGCATATCCCAGCTATCTAGTACCCAGCGGCGTCGCTTCGAGGGTGAAAATAGTACTAGTTGGGGGCAATTTAAGTTACCCATAAGCCCGGGTGGTCTAGTTGGTATGATTCTCGCTTCGGGTCAACCCTTAGCCCGAGCTTCCTCAAAGGAGCTCACGTCTGCGAGAGGCCCCGCGTTCGAATCGCGGCTCGGGCCAGTTTTTTTTCTTTCTCTCTTTTTTTTTTTTTTTCTCAGAGACGTCCTTGTTGGTAGGTATTATTTTACTTGAACATGGACTGGGTTGGTTGGTTGCTTGCTTGATTGTTGCAGGTTTTCGTCTCGTATTGCCGTGGTGCTGCCACTAGCTGTGTTCACGGAAAGACGCAATATAACTTAGTACCAGCTAGTTAACCGATGGGCCGATGAACTGATAATTAAAAAAAAAACACACAAGGGCTGCCGAGAAGCTTCGATATCCTTAAATCTTTTCTTGGACGCCGTTATGGATATTCTTAGCTTCCTGTTCAGACGGGGACAGGCATGCTGCACATGATTATTTGTGTAAGTTCGTGGCCAGAGGAGATACATACATAATAACCAAATCGCTAAGGATAAGACAATCCATCGTTCGTCCGTGCTTAGCCGTTGAACCTGTCCATAGTCTTGCCTCATTATTACGAAAGAAAAGAGGGCTGGTCCTTGCAAGTTCGGTTGTTCAATGGGTTCTGCGGCCTTTTGAGGTTCGAGACAGAAAAGGTTGAAGCCATCGGTTACTTATTCTGAGTTGGTTCTTTCGTCCGTCTCATGTTTGCCCGCACCATCACACAGGCAGGGCAAATGGAAGGGAGGAGCAAGCAAACTATACATCGGCCAGACCGAGAGAGGCATCACTGCATGTTACCGTGTGGTACACGACCTGGCCTCGAAACCTAGTGTCTGATCGCATGAAACGAACACCAGACACGCGGTCGTCGCATTCTCCGGACAGGGTCCATGTATCTACGTACAAGAGATCGCACAGGCAATATTGGACGAACTCTGCGTTAATTCATCCTGTCCTGCCTTATCGGATACAGGGCAGCCAAAGGAATACGAATAATGTATGTGAACCTGGTGTCGATGAAACGCGTCTCTCATCGTCCGCTTACTGCCGAACAATTTGAGACCTTGTGTGATCTCCATAATTACCCGAGCCCACGCCCAGGAGACGAAGGGAGGCGAAAGAACAGAAGAAGAAGTCTGCGCATGTACGGGAGAAGGCTAACGGGCCGTAGCGGGCGGCTGCATGAGGAAGAAGAACGGGTGGTATGAGAGACGAGCAGACTTGAGTAGCCGACGCCATATTGCAGACGGATACTCTTCGTACCGAGGCAGCTGATGGTTTAACTTGCTAGCTGGTTAATTCGACAGCCTCCGAGGTTTTTCAAGGAGCGCAAGGCACATTCCATCCATCTGTTGTTCTCCAGCGCATGATTATTGATGTTGCAGTGAGATCGGACGGTAGAGGCGAGATGGGGACCACAATGGGGCTGCGATGTACCTTAGCACCGGATTTGTATAGAGAAGGTACACGGTTAATCGATGGCTTCCCCAGACAGCCTGCGAAGCCGGTTCTAGCACGTGGAGCAGACGCAGAAGGGAAGAGGCCAGTCATAGCAATAAAAAAAAGAAGACTCCGCATCTGCGCTGTGTTTGCGTTTCATCCGGCTGTTGGAGCAACGACGAGGCGTTCATCGCCCTGCGGAAGATGCTGTTGGGCTCCCTTAGGCCCTCGTACTCTCGGTACGAAGTACTCGTACACAGCGAGCGTTTGTCATCTTCGTTCTCTCAGTTCATGACGACATGTTAGTTATCTGATCGGATGTTCGCTGGTTGCTGCCGCGGTTCAGGATTCACTCACTTGGCCGTATAATTGGCACGGAGTATACCGGAGTCACCCCCAAGCTAAACTAGCCAAGTAGCTGGCTATATGAACGTGTATTATGGCCATCCCTTGTCAGCGTCTCGTCTGACCCATGCAATCCTAATCTAAACTGCCTAACGAGTAAGGCAGACCTCAATCCCTCGAGTGTCAATCTGAATTCCCCGCCGGATATGATCGATGCGATATGCCCCGGAGCTTCGAATCAGTACCCTTCTCCAGCACTCGTGCAGCTAGCCAGCCAGCGCCCCCATATATACTTATATCTATGCCAACAGGCAGACTTGCGCATGGCTTGTTGCTGAGACATGGACCAGACCTCGTGGTGTCTCACGTCACTCTGCACTGTGCCTCGTGGTGATCCATATGCCATCTGCCCCCGGAATCCCGCCAGTCCGGTCGGGGGGGAGAAGGGTTGGCGAAATATCTGGTCGTGGTCTGACTTGACCCCCTTATCTACCTCCCCCTAAAGGATAGAGGAAGCGTGAGACCGACCTCTGTACGGAGCACACAACACCATCAACTCTATCCAACGAGATTATCGGAGAATTTACTCGCTTTTTCCCGCTCTCTCTCCCTTTTTTTTCAGGTCAGATGGGCACGAAGACGACAAGGAAAAAGGAACGAAAGGGAGTTACCTTGCAACGTCTTCCCCCCTGGCCCGGCTCTCCACAGCGTATAGCTGTATGATGCCCTGGAGTGCACACCATCAGAATATCACCATGGCCAACGCATCAACAGCATCAGGCATGAATGATTATTCTTTCCCCATCCAGTGAGTGTTGCTGTTGATGATACAACTACCTAGTCAGTTATTAATTAACGAGATCTGGGGGGTGGGAAACGAACCGAGTCGGTCGTCAACTTACCTGAATATGCATAAATAAACTACCTAGCATCCATCCGATCCCGTATTACTTACTATTTTTTTATCGATGAATAGTATAATTTCAGCGTATTTCTTTTTCTTTTTATTTTTTTGCGCTTTCTTCGTTTTTTTCCCTTTTTCTGATTGAATGAATAATAATTCCTTTTATCAAGGGGAATCATCTTTCCCCTTCCCCATACGAGAAATGCTTAGTGCTGAATATGCTTATACTTCGTACGTAATAGGCAGCCTCAGCATGCCCTCTTCCGCGGTACTCATGATGTTTCCTTCTCGTCTATATATGGCACAAAGTCAGCGAAGTCACTAACTTACTACCTGGCCTTGCGAAATTAAACACGCGACAGGGAGGACAGGGAGCTGAACCGGCAATTGGGACACGGAGATGGAGACGGAACCCTCGGACATTAACTCATGTTTGTATCGTCCACACCATCAAGTAGGGATGCATTCCTGGCCAGGGAGATGAAAGATCCATGCATGTAGTTACAAGTCAGTGTACGGAGTGTATATACAGACATACCTACACTCTCTCTATCCGGTAGGTAACATTGCATCGTATCATGTTCACGATCATGTTCTATTTTGATCTCCCACGTTATGAAGGTGTAGCCTTGCTGGCTTGACTGCCCCCAAAGACGTAATATTCGACAGGGAAGATGGATTGAGATGGATACACCGCCGTCGATGTTCAGCTTCTCCGCCTTTGCTAGGCTAAGCTCGATCAAGGCATTGCGAGGCGTGTTGTATGCATATATGTGGGTGTATACATAGAGTGATCGGCTAAGGCGTGTACATCGGGAGAATAGGGGGGAGGCGGGAGAGTGCTATGTTTAGATCTGATATAAGACTTGAGTTAGCCGACGTTGAGCCGTTGGAGCTGGGCTGGTGATCTCTCTGCCGTGTCTGTCGGCCAGTCTCATCTCCCTCTTTTTCTCCAGCTGGTGCTCTGCAGCTGATGTCACGGTCGAAGCACTCCGTACTGGCACTATCGCTCCTTGACGGTTTACTAGTGAAGGTTACAGGTAGTTGGTATAGACAAAGAATAACCGCTGCTGCTACTGTTTTCTCGAGGCCCTAAGGAGGTGGTATTATTTATGTCATCTTTTATTTATTCTTTTTTTGCTCGGTTCATATAGACCAAGTAACTAGAACTAGACTAAGTAACTAAGTAACTACTACACACGCTCACCCAGGTAAGTTGGAGGACGCAGAAGCACAAAGCCGCCCTCCCTGGTTTATCCAGACCCATCCAGACCCGATAAATGAAGTAGAAAAAAGCAGGCAAGGATCACAACAAGATGCAGAACGCATGAGAAAGAAAAGCAAGAAATACATGACGTGGTGGGTATCTGGAACACGGTAATAACATCAACAGTAAAGCGGACAGAGGTAGAGGTAGAGAGGTAAAGATAGGAGGTAGTAGAGGTAGGAGTAGGAGTAGGAGTAGGAGGCAGAGAGGTATAGAGGTAGAAGTAAAGGTATTATGTAGAGTGAGAAGGGTAAAAGGTGGTAAAGGGTAAACAAAGGAACATCGTCATCGTCGTCGAAGATAATATTATACATAGAATCAATCAAACGTATTAAGAGGGAGGTGGTAAGTCGGTATGGAGGAGCATAGGAGGTAAGGGTTGGCGGTGGGAGACGGTATGAAAACTACCACCCCTTAACGTGGTACTCCCACGGACCGTCGTAGTCAAAGTAGTGATTCCACGAGCTGTTCTTTGACTCCTTGTCGTCTTTGCCTTGGCCCTTGGAGTCGTTGGCGCCAGGATACTCCTGAAGTCCCGCGACATCACATGCCGTATGCCGACGCTTGAATGCCGCGGTAGCACTCGCGGCAGTGGTCTTCTGCTGACGCTCCCAGAGGAGATGGCGGCGGAGAGACTCGGTCAGTTCCGTCGCAAGCATATTTCGGCGCGTGGTTCGTGGAGAGTGAGCACGAGCTACGACACCGCCCGGGGGAATGGAGGTCATCACGATCGGCCGGGAGTGAGGTACTTCCGAGCGCTTCATCTCCAGGCCAGGTGAGCCGACGGAGCCAGAGTCGGAGCCGCTGTGGTCTTCCTCATCTTCCTCGCCGTCTGCTGGAGGGGCAAGGCCTCGGCCTCGCTGCTGCTGCTGCATTGCTGGGGTAGAGCGGGAGTTGGGGCCGGGGCCGCCGCGGAAGGTTGGAGCAAAGTTCTGCTGGGGCTGGTGCATCATCATGGTCAACAGCGAACGGCGCGAAACGAGATTTGGTCGCGAGTCGACACGCTGAAACAGCTGTTTGTCGTCAACGCTAGATCGGCCGGATTCGGTAACGGAGTCTTCCCACTCGCCGTCGGATGAGTCTCCTTCGTCTTCGTCTTCGATGGCGCTTTCGGAGATCTCAGACTCGTCGTCCTCGTCGCTGGAGGCAATTGCATCTTCGTCTGATGCACTGGTCTCGCGAATTGGTCGAATGGGGTGGCTGGTAACTGCCGCGTCTCTGATAAAGGAAGTTCTGCTCCTGCTTTGTTGGGCCGATGCCAGGTGGTTGAGGCCATCGCTGAGGGAGCTTCGGTGAGTCTTGATGGCCATTCTGTCCTCAAAGGAAGACTCCTCGTCGCCCGAAGAGCATCCGAGAGTGAAGACGCTGGGTTTTTGTTGTTTGAGGGGGGATTGTTTGGGTAACGAGTTCTTGCTCGTGCTTGCTGCGGGCGAGAGCTGGCTGTGGGAGCGGAATGAGGAAGAGATCTTGGAAGGCGAGAAGCCACGTACGACGGAGGATGCTGGTCGAGGAAGCTCAGTAGATGAGACACTGGTATCTGAAGACGGGGTACGAGCGTCACTGTCTCGGACCTGCTCCAGTGCAGTAGAGCACGAGTCGAGAGATCGGTTCTTTGCTGGAGTAGGATGCTGCTGTAGATGTGTCTGCTCCTGTGGCTGCTGTTGCTGTGGTTGCTGCTCCTGCTGCTGTGTCGATGCTGAGGTAGGAGAAGATGCCCGGGGAGTGGCGTCTAGTTCACGGTTCTCAATCTGTAGCTGTGACTTGCTCTTTGGTACACATATGGGCTCCAGTTGCTTCTTCTCTTTTATGCTGTAGACCATCTTCTCTAGTCCCAGAGAAGTGATGTGCCTCTCTCTTCCTCGTGATATGCTGAGGACAGAATCCTCGCCGACAATGGTTGGTTTTGGGTCGAGTTCTATGGTCCGGGGTGTGCAGGGACACTGGGGACTCGAGCCAGAGCTTGTCTGTGCTGTAGATCGTGACCGTTCTAGTCCTTCGTCCGAGAGGGCCGACTCCACGCTGCTGGACAGGTCGGGAATGGACTTGGACTCTCGCCTTAGCCGCTCAAGGCGAGATCCAGAGTGTGTTCTCTTCTGCTGCTGCTGGTCTTGGTTCGGCTCGAGAGAGTCCTTGTTGTCTGAGTTGGTGCGTAGCTTAGCCTGAGGAGCAACGCAGAAGGTCTCGCGGTTCCAGAGCCGCCAGCTCAGGTTCTCAAGCCGTCTGCCCTCTTCCATGAAGTCTGCACACCGTGAAAATACTATCACAACCCATTAGATTGGTTTTCCCATATCATCACCAGAGGGGGGAGGGGTCAAACACTCACCCAACCACATTCCATGGAGAGACTCTGCATTGCGAGTGTCGACCTGGTGAATCTTTGCTGGGTCGACAGTCAAGACCGGCGTACTGAGCCTTGACGGCATGATTCCTCTTCCTGTTTCTGTCGTTGTTCAATTCCCAATGTCCGTCTCTTGATGTCCTGTCTCTCTCTGTCTTTCGCTTTCTCTTCCAGACAACTTTTTCAATCCGGGGTCCGGGGTAGAATATGTGCAGTGTCCTTTTGCTCGTCCGTCTCTTTGTCTGTTTCCCTTTCTCTTCCTTCCGTTTTGCTGTTTTCCCTTGGTCCTGTGTCCTGCCCTTTGGTGTGGTGTCTCTCCTTGCGGGTGCGTATCTAGTAGCAATGCGACAACAAACGGTATGTAGCGTAGATCCCGGCCAGTTCCCTCTCCTTACCGTGACAAAGAGAAGAAGAACAGGCTATTAGTACAAGTGCTTGTCGATGTTATTAGGGGAGTGAAGGGAGAGAGGAGGGAGGCTGTCTGCCAGGTGCGAGTGCTCAGTGTGAAGAAGCGGACGTTGAAGGGGGAGAGCGAGAGAAGCGAAAAGGGACGGGGACGTTCCACTTAAAGAAGTTGATGAAAAAAGCCCAGGGCGGACCCCCGAGGGGAGACATCACACATCTCTCTTTCTTCTGGCCCTTGGGTCGGTGGAATGCGAGTCGAGGTACCTTTGCACCGGAATTTCGCTGCAAAGATACTTCTTGCTGCATCTTTTCCTCCTCTCTCTCGTTCTATTTTTCAAAGGGCGTTATTTTTAACCTTTTTCTTCCTTTTTCTCTGTGTGTTTTCTTTTTTGCGTCTTTTTGCAAACACAAACTGAAAAAATAAAGATAAAAAAGAAACCCTGCAAAAAAAAGGAAAGAAGTGGGTCATCGCCCTTTGCAAAAAAGGAAAACGAGGTACCGTGACCTGGTATTTTACTGCTGGCTGCTGACTAAGTCGCGCTTTTGCCGGCGACTTTCCGCCTGCTGTAATTTTCACGTTCTGTCTGTACGCGTATCAGTTTTAAGTGACAGTACACGATCGCCTTAGCTAAGCATCCTTATTATGTAAGAGTAACACTTCAACCTTCACCTCCTTCGTCGCTGCTCAGTCAAGTCAGTTAACTAACGAGAACGACTTGCCTCAGTCCCAAGTGTTTGCCATCGTATCCGGTGTGGAGAGTAGGCTGGCAGGTCGATGTCGAGGACGGGGATGGACGGGGACAAGGCGAGCAGCAGGGGGAAAGGAGAGGAGGGAGTGTCTCTAGCCGCGAGGGATGTGCAAAAGTCGCCTCTTCGATGCCCCCCAGGGCCAGCTACTCATGGACTAGTAGGTGACCTGCTCCCTCCCTCTCCTCCTCGCCGCGTTTCACCTTGCAGTCTTGGACCAACTAACGAACTAGTTCCTCGACGCTCTCGCTCTCCGTACGGAGTATATACCTATCCGTACATACAGCCAGCGTGTGGCGCGCGAGGGCGGCTGGGGGAGATGCTGGGGAGGAACAACCTCGAACCAAGGTCACTTGACTCTCCCATTTTCCCTCCCAAGGTCGTGTACCTGCCCGCTTTGTTGGTGACAGCTCAGCAGTCACATCGCCTTTTCTTCCTCCCCGTCTTCCCGTCAAGTGAATCAGTGCCCATGCCATGCCATACATCACGTCCGGACGGTACACGCATAGCTTTTTCTTTTGCACTCCTCCGTCTGCCTTGTCTTGAAGGAAGCACTTCCATTGGCATCTAGTGTTTGCGTCCAGTTCCCTCTCTCCCCGGTGGTTGACTTGTTTAGTTTTCTATCTCTCGCCTGACTTGCGTCGGGGCCGGGGGCCATGTAGTTAGGAAGGGGAAAGCAGGCATGTCCATCATGTACGTCCAGCTCCATGCCCCAGCCCTATCAGACAGCCAGCCTCGTTTCTCGTCCCCTCTGCAGACCGACAGAAAAGACGCCGTCTCGAAAGACGAAACTCACCGGCTGTTGGGAGGGTCCTGGTAGTTTACACCGTACATTCATTACATGCGTCTACGCCCGTACGAGCCGGCTGTCAACAAGGTAGGTAAAAGATATAACAAAAAAAATTGAGAGAAATAGAAAAAGAGCACTAGTCACGATATCGACATGATTCAAGTCACGTCCCTTAGCTTAGTGCTCAGCAATAGTCTCTTGGATATCACATTTCCTTGATTCCTTTCTCGCCCTCCTGGTTCCCCCCCTTTTTTTTGCTACTACCTCTTACTATTACGCAACTCCCAACATCAACCGAGCACTGGGTAAGCGCATCTGTTGGCTCGATGAAGGAAATGAGTGTTTTACCCATTGCCGAAGTCACCCTCTCTTAGCGCAACGGCTTGGCATACAACGGCTATCCTACCTTTGTTTGTTTGTTCGTGTGAGCGGTCCAGGTTGTTCTTGTTTGTGGGGAAGCGAAGGGGTGCAAGCGGATAGTCATCCAAGTGGCGCGGTTGGCTTTAGCCAGGCCGCTTCCCAAGACTTAGGGCGAAAGCGAGGAAGACGAGAACGAAAGAGAGGGCAGAAGGAAGACCCTAGTGTCGGGGGGAACAAGCGTCCGAAAAAGGGAGGACGAACGAACGAGCAAAAGAAGAGGGTGAGTGAGAGTGAAAGACCCAGGAGAGAAGAAAATAGAACTCGTCGTTTGTTGGTTTGGTTCGGCCGTGGTCATGTGCGGGAAGTGCGCTTTGTTTTATGAGCTTTTTCTTTTGCGCCGTCCGATCTCTCGTCTTTAGAGGCTACCGTTGATCGATGCTGATCCATAGGGCAGAAGCTCCCCGAAGGGGCCTAAGTCAGTGTCAGGTCAAGGGTCATGTCAGTCAGTCAGTCAGTCAAGTTCCCTCAACGCAGGGCCATCCTGTTTAGCTAACTAGCTGATACGGGGGGGGTGGAGGAGCTCTGGTTGACGTGTTCCAATTGCTTTGCTTTCAGTTCAGCCGCCCTTCCCTGATCGTGGAACATTACCCCGTACATTAACACAGTCCACTTCCGGTGCGATCCCTGATGTCTCTGAATCATTTATCTTATTCCGTTAGTTATGGGATGGCAAACTAGTTTATCCAACTGATCCTCGAGAGTCAAGAGGAGCCCTTCTATTGAAGTGTGATGGTGGTGATGTGACTGCTGTGATATCGACCCTTTTGAGCCGTCGCCCCGGAATAAGGAAGAAAGGGACAGCGCATTGGCTCTCGAAAGGAAACAGTACTCCGTATGCAAAAAGAGGGAAAAGAACAGCCGTCATGTAAGGAAATATGGATGGTGTATACACTGTATGAAGTATGTACGGAGTATATCCTCGTCTTCCCCTAGAGCATGGCATGGCATGACATGACATGACCACCAGGACATAAATATAGCAAAAGCTGCCCAAAGCAGAGCGGCGGCTGCTTCACCCAAGGTGGCTACTTGTATAAGCCTCATTTCTCACCGCCAGATGCAAGCTCGTCTGCTTCTTCCATGCGATCTGATCTTCACCTGCTGGCCACTGGAGCATACCCGTGCGAGGTCCTTTTGTTTTTTATTTATATCTTAAAAATAAATAAAATAAAAAAATAAAAACCCCAGCCAGTCTGTTCCATGCTGCTCCCATCAAATCCACGTCTTTGTCCTTGTGACTCTGCACGTCTAACAGTTTCGCCCGGAGATGTCTGTAACTGGCTGACGAGGGGTACATTTTCCCTGACGTCTGCCTCTTTTCCTCTCTTCACCGAACGGCGTCGTTTGTCAGGCTGCCTGTCTCTTATTTTTTTTTTTACCTCTCATTTATTTATTTGCACTCTTCATCCCCCGGTTTCTGCTGACCTCTGCGCTGGCGACTCTGTAATCCTATCGCCCTCCCCCTTCACCTTCAGTCACCCAGCACGAGCTCCTACTTAGGCGCCGGGGTGGCTGGACATTTTTTTAAGGCTTGTAAGGCGGTCCGTACCTACATCGTTCACCCGTCAGGTTTTCCATACTTTCGTCCCCGTCTCATGGCTTGTTCCCAGATACCTCACCATGGCAGAGAGAACGCTGATGGGATGGTGTGCGTGGTGGGGGAGGGCATCCTTTCATTCGGTTCTTGGGACGATCTGACAGCGCAGCAGCACACGCACTGCGCAAGGCCCTGCGCGAATAGCCACCAGGCTATGATGCTGTGTTTTGCTGTGCTCCAATATAATATATCACCGTTATGCATATGTAGACCGTCAGGTGAGGTGAAGATGTTGGGGCTGGCTGGTGGTGACAAGCTTATGTAAGGTGATCCCTTATGTAAGGGCGTTAAGCAATTGATGACTAATGTTATGTGACGTTATTCATTACATCGATACAGACATGAATACAGCCGAGGTATCTATCGTTAGCGCTTGTCTCTGTACTCGTTACGTACGCGGCGTAGCTTCTGTGCGGCTTCTGGAAGGCCGGGAAGAGTAGGAAGAGATAACACACAAAAGATGGAGACGACAAGGGAGATGGAGACGACGACGGGGGTCGAGACAAGGCCAGCTTGCCATCACCGTCGCATTCCTCACACTGCCAACTGCAACTCCATTCGGAGATTGTCGAATAGTAAGTTATACTTGGAACTGCCTAATAGCTATTGTTTGATTATGAAATGAGGCATATTCTAGTAAGACGGCTACGGAGTACTGGAGATAATAATGACAGGGAGGTGTCCACCCCCCAGGCCAAGGCATCGGGCAGACGACCCAGCTTGAGAAGGAGGGAGAGGAAGAGACACGGCCCAGGATTTGCTGCCATGTGGAGGAGGTAGAGTGTAAAAAAAGTCAATGGTTGGCTCGCTCCAAATATCGAACACGGCGGCCATCACACCCTCACGGGATCGGTCGACCTCCAGGCGGTCAGTTAGTTATCGTGGTAGCCCGAGGCTGGATGTGAAAATGGGCTGGCTCGACACCTGTTAGCCATCGTCATCATTTGTCGTCTATGTCCGCATGCAGTTTAGATAAAATTGCATGGGCGGTAGGTAGGATGGATGGGTGCGAAAAACAAGCCCAAGCAAGTATGCAAGAATGGAGTGACGAAACGACTGATTAATCAGGGACAAGATGCTCATGTGCCCGCTCATTCACCCTTCGCCCCCTGTGTAACTTGTCTGTCTGAGGTTGACCCAAGAAATGACATCCTTCGCCTGCCTTACGCCAGAGCTAGTGCTGGCTAGGGCTTGCTCAAGCAGTGTTTGTTTATAGATGCGGAGGGAAGCGAAAGAGAGTAGGCGCAAGGGAAGCTGAGCTGTGGATGTAGCATCGCCTCCCATCACCCTCACTCTGAACCTACTCGAGCCCTGTCATACCCAGGACGAGCTGTGGATTCGAGCGTTAAAACAATAACCTTGAGACTTATTTTCAGAGAGATTGTCGTCGAGTAAGTAGATCAGCCTCTTGGTATTGGGCCAAATTTCTTGAATTCTCTTCCCTCTCTTGGTTATCGCGTCGCTGCCCTTGCTCGAAGAACGTAATATAGATGTCATAATATATCCATACTGGTTTGTCCCGTCCGTATAGCTAATCCAGTCAGCGATCAAGGAATACCAAGCTTGTCGATATATTAGTTAGATATCCACGTGAGGAGTTGAGATTTCCATCTCGTCCTCCTGTTCCGCGCCCTTACATGGCAGGTATCCGTCTTCAGCCTTCATGTCAGCCACCCCAGTTGAACTAAAACAACCAACCAGCGGCCCAACCAGTTAAGTAAGTAAGTTATGCTTAGCTATGGCGGGGCTGGCTTAATGTAAGTCTTCATGCAAAGAAGCAACAAGGGTTGTGTTTATCTTTTTTCCCTTGCCCCTCGATCGGAACCATTCTCCTTCACATCCTCAACAACCAAGGTAACGAAAAAGGAGGCAGCCAGGAGACGGTCACGAGTCGTAGAAGGGTGAACGAATGTCCGGTACATGGGCATCCTCCTCCTTCGCCTCAGGTAGCCACCTCGGCGTTACCGGCAAGTAGTTAGCTGTCAATTTTAAAAGAGCCGGGGAAGGTGAGCTTGCTTGTGCCTTGATGACGATAGTTTATCCTGTGACTCGCAGGTTTGTTATGCTGCCGGCTGCCGGGTTATGGTTAGTTGGATGCCTGCGTCTCTTCTGCACGGAGTATATCCATCTTCCCGAGACGAACTTCGGCAGCCTCCGAACCGAGACAAAAAGAGCCCCGAGTAAAAATGTATGTGCAGAGTCAAGGGGCAGCATCACGCTCGCAGTCGCAGATACGGAGGGAGGTTTTCGCCCTCGCCGGTCTCTCTGGTTCTCCTCCGCTTGCACCGCGACCTTCTCTTCCATCTTTCGGTTCCGGGCATCGGGATGTTAGTCTGGAGTTATCGCGGACACGTGATAGTTAGTTACCGAGTTACCCGTCCTTCCCTAAGAAACTTCTACTTCCCCATATTCTTCTTGTTTCTCCTTTTCTTAATTCGTGCACAGAGTAATTCTTCCTAGTTAGTTTTTGCCTTCTTAAGCGCTCATATGTTTGAGGCGAAATTCTCGCCGAGGTTGCTCAGCGTCCTTTCATCAACTCCGCGCTTTTCATGCAACTCTGTTACTTTGGCGTCTCCGTGGTGTGTCTAGACACGAGTAGGATAGTACACTGCCTTTACATCTGGCATCGGGTGTGTTAGGGAAACGATATCGGGAGAGGGCCCAGGAATTTGCAATTGAGAGCAAGTTCTAGTTAACTCTTGTCTAGCTCAACTCACTAACTGCTCCGTAATCTGGTTGACTAGCTGGTTAGTTGGGTAACGTTTGAAAGGTATCAAGTTGTATGCTGAAATCGCAATACAAGAACCCCAAGATACATACGATTCTCTTACCAGATCAGACTAGTCGAACTGGCAGTTGGATTAAGGTCAAGTCGTGTGCTCTATCCAAGGAACACCCGTCGCTGGTTGCTATGCTGCTTGCTTGACCCTGCGCCAACCGCGCGACAATATGATATGTTCTGTTACGGCTTTCTCCTCTTCCCCCCAATCGAATCCTAAGTCATGATGCCCAAGCCCAAGCCATTGGATCAACGGTTCACTCTCACGTGTATGCTGGGGGTGTGAGTTCATGTTTGTTTGGCTTACTTCGCATGATGCGTGTGTATCATTTGTTGGCTCTCTTTTCAGCATACCTAGAGGAGTGATGGATGTTTGTTTATCTCTCGTTTAGTTTCATCAGCTCTGGCTCTCTTTGCTTTTCATCCATCACATTCATGGTCCTGACGGGTGTTCTGTGAGCCCTGTTCGCCTTGGATCAGGGCTAACTGGGCGAATTGCAAGTCGAGGATCGTGAGGATGGCCACTCCAGCGCGGTTAGTTGGCTTTTGTTTTCTTTTTAAGCTATTTCCGTGCATCTGGGCTTTAATCTTATTCGGATCTGAGGATAATGTGACCCGCGCCAGAGGGCTGGGTGCTGGGATATCTATACCTTGTCAGTCTCACGCCGGAAAGAGAAGAACAGGAGGCAAGAAGAAGAAATCATACTTGCACACTGCGCAGTCTCCGGCTTGCGATTTGTCCGGGATTCGTTGCTTCAATCAGACGAAAAAGAAAGAGGGACAGGGTAAGAATAAGGAAAGAGGAAGCACCCCCAAGGCATAGAAGGAAAAAAGGAATGGTGGATAACGTTTATTCACGATGATGCCCTTCCTTTTTTCCTTTATGATAGGTGTGTAGTTGTCGATGTAAAAAGGATACTCCGTACTATACAGACACATTCTATTCTCGGTGTACCAATGGTGTTGCTATGCAAAGCCCTGGTTTCATTTTGTTTTGTTCTTTGGCTGACGTCTCGTCGGCCGGGACCAGAGCTCGGTTGGCTTTGAGAGTCGGCCTTGGGGAATCGTAACTAACTGGCCTCCCGCATCCGGTCCCACAGAGATGGGCCAACGGTCCTCGCTCAGCGCGCTTGAGCCATGAAGATAAGCTCCTCCTGGCTATGGAGAGTAAAAGAGAGGTGGACGGTGTGACGAAGTTCCAATATCTGGCTCTCATACGCCGTACTCCGTACCTCCTGTTCCATCGATAAGAGCTGCGATTGCTTTGACTGTTGTTATTTTACACTCCTGCGAAGAGAACATCGAGGCACGATCTAGTAGCCTGAACCAAGTTTGCCACGTTACACCAGAGGGCTGAACATCGCGGTTTGGTTTCAAGGCACCGAACCCGCATCATTGATTTTCCTCCTCTAGATCTCCGAATTGGGGGTTAGCTTTTTCCAGGCCACCTGCTCACGCTTGGTACCTTGTTCCTCGCCTGTACCTTGCCTTCCTGACTACACACATGATACACCACACGTTGCATACAGTCAGCTGTTCTCCCTGGTACCTGGAACTTGACAGATACTTGTTTCTGCTCCCTTTCAGGGCCAGAGCAAGCCTGGGCTGGGGTAGAACCAGGATGGAAACTCTCCAAATAAAGAGAGAGATTGATTCGCATCAAAGACGCTACATAACCCAATTGTTATTTCAAAGGGTGATCTCTTATGCTTGTTTCACCAGACGATGGTGTCCAAATGATCTACTCCGCATCCCGATCTGACCTGGGACAGCTCGATTTTTCCCCATCTTCCCCAGCTCGCTCTACTAATACTCCATAGCGCAAGCATGTAAGGGGCCGCTGTGCCAGCGTTGTCTGTATTGTCTGTCTTGTGCTCCCCGGCGGAGTAATAATAATTTCACTTCTTGTGAAATAACAAAAGAAAAGAAAAAGTAAGAAAAACCAATAGCCAGGTGGATGGGATGCAGCTATTCTCGGTAGAGCTGAGGGTTTCAAGGCATTGATTCATATAATAGCTTGCTTCCCATCATGTGGCCGCTTTATTGTCATCTTCTCTTTTTTCCATCTTCTCTCTTCTTCATTCTTTGCCTGCGTACGGAGTACTTTCATATTCGTCGTCCTCGTCTTCTCTTTTTCAAGCCTGAAAGAGAGACCATTTCACAAATAATCGATGCGAAAACAAGGATCATGACTCTAGGGAAAGCCAATCTAGACTCCAAAGGGGTCAGTGCATAGACATCTTCAGCCCGCTCTCTTGTGTTTGTGCTGGGGTGCTGTTGGCTTGCTTTGTGTGTATTATGTCGTGTCGGTGGTCATTGTCTGGCCATATTCCTGTGTTATGTGTTCTGTGGATGTTGGCTAGCTGGTAAAGGCGATGTATCTCATCCCAATCCCAGCGTACGCATACTGGGCTGCTATTTGACTAGCTGCTTCGATGAACTGGTTGCGATCGCGACTGCGGCTCCCAGGTCATTGTTCGACTTACTAGAAGCGGATAGTCGACTAGGACTCACTGTCTTAATCCAGTATTTCGTATTGTTCGCTGTTAGCATTGTCTACAACAAATTGATGCACTCACCCTCCCTTCTCACGTTCCTCATGATGCTCTAGCAAGCTACGGGACGTGTTCGTCTTCGCTGGTTCTTCCGTGAACGTTCTTTTCCTCTTCGAAGTTGTTTCGCGCTAAAAAGGAGATCGGCAAAGCATTCATCACGTGATTAGCTTGTCATTATAATTTCTTGGCAAATGGTTACGTCAGCAGTACGAAACGACACCAACCTCAGGGATCTTCGGTATACGAAGAGGTCAACTTTGCAGATGGCTGTACATCAGTTTACTCCCGATACTGACTGCTGTGGTAAATGTACCGAATCTTTGTACGTTGCTGTGTATCCCCAAGCAAGAATGATACCACACAAGTACTCCATTTTCCGTCCTGGATCACACACTTTCTTGATCAAAAATGGTTCCTTTTCTCTTGACCAACGATATCCAGGATATATCAACTGATTCACGTCTTGTTGGCAGTTGATCTTTTAATAGAGGTCCAGAACCTCATGGAGGGCACATCAAGGCATATTTCACGTCACAAGTCTGTGTGCAAGTAAAGAATTAGAGCTAGACCAAAGCCCATATGCTTGCTCCTCTTTCTCTGCGCTGCTGTCCCTCCCAACTCGCTTGAGCCTGCTCGCACACTAAGCGCGGTGACCGGATAAGGAGAGATGTCATCATGTTTAATTTACTTGCTTCTGTGGCGGAGGCAGATGACATGCTTCAGCCTCGAACGGTGTCCGCAGAATGCCAGACCGCTCAGCTTCCTCCCATGAATCGATAAACCTTCGGGTTCGGCCTCATGAGCCAGCCACGAACTCCAAATTGCTTCCCGTAACAGATAAATTGAGGAATTTCTGTGCCACAGATCTTTAATTCCATGAACAACTGACTAGAGACCGGATGGGAAAGGAAAAAGAAAGGGATTCTCTTTTCAAACCGTTTTGCTCCCAAATCTAAAACAGATCATTGAAGCTTATAGTATCTTGCGTTTTCTCCTGTCACCTTCACTGACGGGTGACCCTTAGTGCCGGTATACATTCGCCGTGGGGAGACAGACGAAAATGCTTGCAATATCTTAGATGCCTCTCCCCGTCTTCCTGAGGAGAAATGTGCTCATGTGCATACCCAACCTCTCTCGTGCGACCCAAGCAAGAATGAAGGAGATGTCAAAGGGCTAGGCAAAAGCTCATATTTGCTGCACAGAGGCACGGTCAAGCATGGAGAGGGTGTTGATGTTCTTGATATCCATCTCTCCGTATCCGCTTTGACGAATGTGCTGACCACCCTCCATTATCTATATAGCCCTTGATTCGTGCCATGTTTGGGATTTTGGCTCTCAGATGGCCTTGTCCTTCACCTGTTTGGCTGATTTTTTACGTTTCTCCCACTCAGGCTGTGCTATGTTCGTATATATTGTACAACAATATATACTCCTTTCCCAAATCTTTCTCCTATTCCCGCCAATAGTAAATAGTTTTTAGAATAATAGTTTTTGGTGTGGTGCTTGTGCCTCTGCAGATTCGTCGATCGATTTCCCTTTCTCAGCCGTTTTTGTTTTTGTTGATTTTGTTTTGTTTTTATGACTTGCAGGTTTATGCAGGGTTTCCTTATTTTAATATGTCTTTCTACTCCTCCTCTTCCTAGAGGGGTGTCCTTAATTTTTCTCACAGAGGCCATCTTGTCCAAGGAATTATGCAGTGGCGCGATGGACTATGGATCCATTAACCTATTTGATCATTCGATTGCTTAAAATGGCTATATCTGCCTATATTATAGATGTTCTCAAAGCTGGCCGTCTCTCTGGTCAATTTCTCAAGACATGACACCTGTCCCAAGATCAAACCTTTTGCTGCGCTGCAGGAATATTCACTCGCCACTCCCACTCCTGCACCTCCCAATCCCCCACAGGCGCTTGGATCTAGACCAGCCAGCCAGAATGCCATGGAGAATTAGAAATCTTTTGCTTCTCCCCCTCTTCATGCTCCTGTCACACGCCATCATGGTAGCTATCACCAATAACCAGTACCGAAGGACTGGACGATGCATGCCTTTCTTCTCGTTCTTCGGCTCCATAATCAGGGCTACATGGCGTGCATGAGCGATACCAGTTCATGGAATTCATATGTGCAGTTCTCCCTGATGTCTCTCTGAGCCCCTGATGTATAAGTTTCCGTGCATTTCGACCAGCCATGGAAGTACTTAGTTCTTACACAAGATATATCCCTCGAGCTGCTCACGGTATATCCCGGTGCAACTTCTCTCAATAATCCGGCTAAGTACCTGCTAGCGGGCACTTGAGAATTCTGGGCTTTTGCCCTGGTTGTGTTGCATAATACTGTATGAACACAACGTATGCACGCAACCGGCATGCTATATCCATTGTGAATGTGTATGGAAGATTCCTGTACAAAATCATTTCATTTTAATCATCTCTAGATAGGTATTGCCCTAAGTACTCCGCAATTCCGGAATGCGGGAAGCCCTGCGCCTCCTAGAGCTTTTCAAAACAGATATCATTGCTCCATCCGGATCGCAAACGCCACATCAATGGCTGCAAGTCAAGGCCCAAAATCCTGAAACCCATACAGAAGTAGAAATAAGCAACGATGGATGACCTCGGTTTCGACAAGAGGTCACCTGTACGGCCGATTTTTTGGCTGTTGAGTTTTATATTATTGATAAAAAAAAACACCCCAAGTTACCCTGTCCGCTTCCTACGAAGCAGGGTAGCTACTTGGGTACGCTTCTGGGGGTATGATATTTTTCCCAGCCCGTTTTGAAATATGTTTTACAGCATATGATAACAATTACCCTCTTTGAAAATAAAAAAATGCATGCTACATTAATGTAGGATGCTGGTTGAAGAGCTTTACCTTGTTCCCATATTTCGACACCAGAGACAACCACTGGAACTGCACGCAAGGAGTACGAAGGAGGAGGTGAATAATTGCATTGCAGTGCTCAGGTGATTCAGATATGGCAGATATCGTTTGTTCGTTGGGTCGTTTTATGTCGGTGGCGCCGCTCATTTCACACTTTTCTTCTGCATCTTACTGGCTGCAAGGAGAAGTAGCTGGTCCCCCGTTAAATATGGCCCTAATCGTCTGTTCCACGTGATGGAGTCGAGCGAGGAATTTTCGCGCATGCTGCGTTATGTGTTGACAGAGTACATGCAGCGAAAGAGCAAAAAGTAATAAGGGGTGACTGATATTTCATTGTGGAGGCTGGCGGAGCTTTGAGGGCACCACGAGATGTGGTTTTCCTTCAAGGGAGTATGCTTTTAGTAATCGCCTTGTATCGACGGACCGGATACACGACCCTGTTTCTTTTTTATTTTGTGTCAATTGCTTTTTTTTTTCTTGTCTTCTTCATTTTGGTCAATTCGCAATGGGGCAACTGGTGCTCGCATTTGCATAGTGTGATGCACTATGGGGATGGGATATATCTGCAGGCTGGCAAAACCACGAAAATCCACGACTCCTCGACTTTTCCAAGGTCCATAGCGTTAACCTTATGGTTATCACAGCTTCTCGACGTTCATTCCTTGCTGCTAGGACTTGTCGAATGAGGTGGTGGATTATGATATGTCAGTTCCGGGGAAGCTGGCATACGTACCCGCCCTTCGTCTTCAAGGGGGACGACTATGGCCATTTTTGAGCCTCTCGTATTCTTCCCATCTCATTGTGTCATGTGTGCGAGTGCCCGTGGAAGAAGAGTCTTGCAGGGCGATAAATCGGCAGCGGGCTGGCTTAGGGGGAGGCCTATCATCTAAGGATAACAATTGTGGTATTTCGCCAACGGCGTGCACACAGGCCCGATGCCCCTGACGCTTGATGTCCAATCGTTTGGTGGTAATCAATACAGTCTTGCGCCCATTGTTTCGCACCGGGATTTGACAGATAGCCCTCTGCGTCATTCTCCCAGGCTGACTGGCTCGTTTCCGTTCTTCTCGGTGTGGATATTTTGGCGGTGGAAGCGCCATCGTACGCGGCCCGCCCCTAGGCTACACACTCTGGTGGGTTTGGCTCTGTAATAACAACTAACTGGTTAAGAAAACATCATAACGAGAGGAAGCAGAAAAGCCATCATCGGCCAAAAAACGAGCCTTTTGAAAATGAAGTCCTACCCGGCCATCATCACCGCCGGCACTCATCCCCAACCGTGACCACGAAAGACGGGATGGGCTCAGGGGAGGAGCTTGTGTTATAGTTTCCTAGTGCGCGCCCAAGCGCCGGGACGCTGGCTCTTCCCCGGCAATTTATATAGTTATTTCTTACACGGGTCAGCCAGAGGCCCGTCATCATGTCGATGTACAGAGTAACTACAGCGGATGGAGAGTAAATGACCTTCAGTTTGTCTACTATGACTTGTTTGGCTGGCTACCTGTGGCTCATGGATAACGAACCGTGGTTAACGAGTTAACTACCTAGTTGGATGACATCATAACTACCTAGTTAAGGCAACGACACCGATATAAAAAGGACGTTTCCACACAAAAAAGAGCGATAAAAAAGCAGATTAGCAGCCACAGTTACGGCGGGACATATTGGCGGGATATATCTCGTTTCTTCTCTGCTTGCTGGTCTGAAGTGAGGTGGCAGAGAGCGAGACCTTTAGCCAGGTGAGAGGGTCCTGAGACACGCTGCTGGCGATTCTTCGCTGTTGACACTGATGCTGTCAACTATTAGATGCAAGATTCAGAGATAGCCGTAACAAAGTGGTTTCGACCTAACAGTCTCTGAATCTCTCGTCAAAGTTACCTATTGATTGACCCAGGAGGCCTCCCATATGGTAAGCCGTGACCGATTTCAAGAGGATGAAGCTATCTTACTGAGACCTTTTGTGATAGGTTCAAATATAGGAGATGATGAGAGAATCAAGCACTGGCGGAGGTGGCAAGGGGCCAAGGATGATGAGGTCTGGAACCTACTTCAGTAGCCGAGCACCATCTCCCTCGACTTGGGGGGCGTGGATATGCGAAAGCTGCAAGAGGCCAGCTGCTGAGGTCTTCAACTCACCACCTCCTCGATACCAACCGGCGGTGGGATCACAATGAGAACAGTGGAGAGATGGCGAACCTGCTGAATAGAAGGATGGCAGGTGAGCATGCTGTCGATGGCAGGCTGAAGGTAAGTGCTTCCGCCTGAAAACTAAAGTACTGACTCCGCTTCGGCTATCAAATCATAGTTTACGGCTGCATGTTGGACTTTTAAAAACAGTGGGTATGCATATGGTTTTTTCCCTACCGTGAAAGAGGTATCGCTACCATAGGCTACTCTTATTGCACCATTCTCGCCTTCACTCTTCAATCTAACTTACACTGACAGAGGTAGGTGACGGGCAGCCACTCGCAAGCTGAGGGGCTCCTTCAGACAAAGCCGCTGTTAATTCTCCGAATCTAAACATGGCCCAATCAATGAATGATGGGGTTCGGAGCATATATATTTATATACATATCTATGTATGGGCTGGGTTCCCGATACCGTTTGCCCCGTACCCCATTCCCGACGGAGGCTTCTTTTACACTTGGGCCATCAACCATCCTTTAATACAGAAAGGCAAAAACAATAGACACAAGACTATGCATCCAGCTCGCATATACGATAGCCAGATCAGAAAAATATCCAGAATATAAAGTTGTTCATTTTTGCACTTGTTTTTTGCCTTGTGTTTTGAAATCAAACACAGTAGTTACGGAGTATTGGGTTACTTCACCATCCCATGTACTATGTATATGCACTAACTACGGTGGACTGCACTATTCTAGCACTATTGATTTCTGCCCGTCCAGCACATGTTTTCGCGCGTGGGCGACTGTAAAGGGCGTTTTGGCTTCGGGTTGATCGACACCTCGCCCTGACTCTCGGGGTTCAGATCGAGATAGACGGATCTCTGACGGTGATCCCCAAGAAACCCGAGCCTCTCTAGCGCTGTGGGTGAGCCACACAGAGAGGACGATGGACGCCTTCGACCTTTCCGAGGGCCCTTTGCCTTGGTAACTCCTGGTGTAAATCGAAGCTGAAGGTTGAAGACTTCCGTTTCTTTTTGCTTCGATATCGAGTCTAGATGAGACGGGACACGCTGCTCTCTTTGAAGGAGGACTTCTCCATTCGCTGTCCACTTGACCATTCGCACCATGGCCCTTCACCTCCGATCAGTCGGTGAGTATATTGACGGTGCATTGGTTGACGGGTTAGCTGGTTACAGAGAGTTGGCTGGAAGACGGGTGTCTTCGTCGTTTTCTGTCTCTGTGTCTGTGGTCAGGGGCATGCATAACTACCTATTAACTACCTAGCAGCTAAAACCAGGTCCAACAACCCCCTAACTATCATGTCACTTTTCGTTGTTCTGCCGGACCTGTCGCCCAACGCAAAGCGTTTTGTAACAATCCCACGGCTCGTCAGCGTCAGACCTTAGCCTGGCATGTGAGGTCAAGCCGTAGCCACTATGGAGCATAAACATGGCACTAATCCTTTTGGTGGTGGCGGACAGTTCCTTGTCTCCCGTCTCGTCCTGCCCTCTAGCTATCTCAGCCGTAGACCTTGTAGGCTCTACCTGCAAGACGGGTAACTATCCCGTTCCCCAGATCCCTCTGCCTCTATAGCCTGCCCCATTTGCTCCATCTGCCCCATAGTTGAGTGCAGTTTCTGCCTCGATACCCAGATCGTTGCAGAAATACCTTTTCCTCCTCTTGTCTCGTCAAATCGATGGCTGCAAGAGAGGCTCCGGGGTCAATGCGTAAGTAGATATATGACTTGTCTTGCATCATCAAGCTGGGATTGCAAAAGAGACAACCTTTCTTTTTTCCCTGTTTCTCAGCATCTGCCAGCATGAAGGGTGTCAGTAGTCTGGTTGGCATGATGTTCCCTCCCTCGGAGTTGTGTGGTGTTGTTACAGGGGGATGTGAATGTATATCGTCCACACATCATAGCTGGAAGAGATACAACATATTACCAATTTTCACCTTTTTTTTTAAAAAAAAACTTGCATGCATGGGTGTTCTGCAGGGCATATCTGAATAATAGCTCTCATAGCCATGTATATGCAGTCGTCTATCTTGATAGTCTGGCGGTCAGCTTATTTGCAAGCTGGATCCTGGCTTCAAAACGCACACTGAAATGCCATTTGATGCCTTATCCGTGCACATACGTTTTATTTTTTCTTCATACTCCGTACTTCTGTAGATTTCATACTATAATAGAACCATGAAATGACTATCCTATCGCCAACATTAAGCGATGTAATTCTGATATGTTTCGAAAGAACCCCTGGGCATTTTCACCCTATTGCGGTCTCGAGAGCTTCATGACTGTCCACCCAACGATAAATGTATAATCGCTGCATAATATCGCTGGTGGCTGCCCCCACATGAAAATTACCTATCCCTAGGATGGTTATCGCCATCAGAGGCCTTAGATATATGTTATGTTAGCTAAAATGGAGTACAGGCATCTGGGGATGGCCAGCAGTAACACTCGAGACCTAAGGTTATTCAAAGGATCTAAGAACCATGAATGACTAACCTCGAAGGCACGGGTGTAGAGATTGGCAAGTTGGCTTCATTTCGGTTTGGGTATATCTGGCACTGGAATGTCCGTCCTTCCCCTGGAAATAAACAGAGTAGCGAGACGAGCGTAATTCACTCCTGGCGGCCCTTCATCTTCGTACAGGTATGATAGTTTATTTGCATGGTAGTTGCAGCCTGGACATTACCCAAGGAGTTAGTCCAGGGAGTCTGTCATGGCCGTAGATGGTTTGTGGTAGGAGAGGCGAGTTCATTGGGTTCAGTTGCAGGAGCTCCGAGTATTGGTAGGACTTCTCGATATGTTGAAAGTTAGACCTGTTGATAACATGCCGAGCTGCTTATTTCTCGTAAAGGAGTGCTTGTAAAAAGGTATCATGCCTCGTAGTGGTAAAAAAAGCATCACTGCTAGACACCAGACCAAGACGAAGTCTAGTTCAACTTCTGAACCCGGTGCGATGGTAGAAGTCAGCTTAGCCACCTTGGATATATACGAGTCAGGCTACATTCTCGGGGTGTACGGAGTATGTACTCGTTGCGATGGCGGGCGCTTCCTGGGGCGAGAACAGCTACATAAAGTGAAAGCAGGAGAAAGCGAGTGTAAATAAGCCAGACACTTGAAACACGGAGTTTGTTAATTTTTAATTTTCGTATCGGGATTATTTAGCGGTCAAGGGTCCTCCTTGCCTGGGCCGACCACAGAAAGTGTGAGACGGCATCAGCTGGTATGAACGATTTTGACTCTCATATAGAAAATATGTGTTCCGGTCTGCCTTGCATAAACCTCGACGAGAGTGTGGGGGAGAAATATGATCAAGTTTGCTTCATTTCACTTTTGTCTATTCACTCATAGATTTATTATGGTATCACATACTGGAATCCTGCAGGGTGCAGATGAGCCGATATGTGAATATCACTCTCTATCAAGAAAGCTCCAATCAAAGGCAGAGGGAAAACCCAGCTTGCCAACCCATCTAAGTACCCTGCCACCCCCGACAAATCTTGTTGAGTTGAGAAAGCGTAGGACACGATTTAGAACTCATCGTTGTCTTCACCAGCAATAATGACATTATTCACCTATGAGACCGAGTTAGCTCCGAACAAGACATTTGGCTGTCAGGACAGGAAAGGGAGAAAGCTCTTGAAAATGGATGGCGGGTACCTTAAGAACCAGGCGACAGAGTTGAGTAGCAAGGAGTAGCTGTTCACGTTTTCCGATTAAAGGGTCAATGACAAAATGGTCTCTCATGTCTAAGATATAAAAGTATTAGCGAAAGTTGCCCTTATTAGATATGTATACTCATTATAAAACGTACCGTTGCTTCCAGTCTGCATGCAATCCACGCCCAGTCTACTGTTCTTCTCTTTAACCTGTTTCGATTTGATAGACGCGAGAGTTTCAATGGGACTCCATCCAGAGTTTTCGGCCAATGCCAGCGGAATGGCATCTAAGGCGTCTGCAAATGCTCGCATAGCGTATTGCTCAAGACCAGGTGTCTTTAGATATACGTTAGATGAGGATGGCCGACATATCATATATAATAATGGGGTAAACAAACCTTTGAGGCAGCCTCCTCTACAGCAAGAGAGCAAGCAATTTCCGCAGCACCTCCTCCATAGACAATACGGTTATCCCGAACCAAGTTCCGCACTACGCAAAGTGCATCGTGTAGTGATCGCTTGGCTTCGTCAATTATCTAAATTCACTCTTTGTTAGAAAAATGGGCGGTGCAGCGTGGGTTTGCAAATAAATGTGGGCATACCATTTTGTTGCTACCTCGGACGAACACAGTGACGGCCCTGGTGTTTGCACAATCCTCAATTACTAGCATCTTTTCTCTTGTGGTTCCAAATGTCATCTCTCTCACAACACCAGCGGTTCCGAGTTTCTCAGCACTAAGGTCTTCAAATCGAGGAACAATCCGGCCATTAGTGGCAATGGCGATGAGTTCAATCTCCGGGCCGCCAACCCATCGGACTGCAGGTAGATCGTTCTGCAAGAGAAGATGGTTGGCCTCGTCGTCAAAGCCCCATTGGCAGATGACGAGGTTAGCACCGGTATCCTTGAGCTGTTTTATCATCTCTGTGAATTTATCTTTCTCATAGGCTTGGAGCTTCTTGAACTCCTCCACGCTGGTGATATCGAGCTTGTGCTTGGTCTTTGGCTTTGGTGGTTCAAACGCGCACGTTAAGATGGCAATTTTTGCGTCATTAACTTCATCAGGCATCTGAGGATGAGAGAAGTCCTTGTCCACAATGACACCCTTGACTAGGAGAGAGTCTTCGAGGGAGCCACCGACTTTTCCATCAACTTTAATTAATTCAAAGTCAACATCCTTTCTTTCTAAATCCGCGACAGAGAGAACAGCATCGACAGCTATCTTTGCAAATTGGTCATGTGCTTTTGATACACTATTAAAATCATTTTGTTGGTTATCCGAGGTATCGATTTAATCTGCCAATCAGTAGAGAACTTACATCTTGCTGCCCAAGGAAGTCTTTGCTACCTTGAACAGGTTTTCTTGCTCATTCCGTGAGAATTCGACCTTGTCACTGATACTATCGAGATGTGCTACTGCAATGTCGCAGGCCTGGTCATAACCGTCCGCAATTCTGATCGGGTGAATCCCTTTATCAATCAAATCTGCGGCCTGCTCGAGGAGCGCTCCAGCTAATACAACAACGCCAGTTGTACCATCGCCTATTTCTTCATCTTGTGATTTTGAAAGCTCAACTAAAAGTTTAGCAACATGGTTCGATATTTCCATCTAACGTCGAATTTTTGTTAGAAAGCTACCAGTAAATCGGCGTAGGAGACAGTTACAGACCTGTGAAAGGATCGTGGCGCCATCGTTTGTGATAGTAATGTCTCCATCTGGAGAAATTAGAATCTTGTCTAACCCCCGAGGGCCCTATAAGATAAAATCAAAATATATCAGCATTGTAATGCGTCCATCGTAAAGAGTGGTGGAGGCCTGCTTACCAGGGATGTTTTCACAATATTGGCCACTGTCTTTGCCGCCACAATATGAGATTTAACCGCATCAGTACCGTGTTGTCTTTTCTTCTTTCCCTGGCTATAAAACAAATTTCAAGTTAGACCTGAACTTGTAACTGTTTGGGAGGGGTGGCCTACTCCCGGACAACAATGAATGGACGCCCCTGTTCATCCTTCACCACGGAGGCTTTAGGTATTTAGGTTAGAGGTATAATTGATGATACTACGATCGGAAAATGTCGTAAATACCTTGGGACATATCAAGTTCTATTAAATCAACGTATTAGTGAGTTGCTCATGCGTAATGATGGAGGGGGGGGTTGTGAATATGTCAATGACATACGCATAGCCATCTTGAAGCTGCGCCTGTAACAATTTCTATAAACGATGGAGTTCCTTTTGAGTAACGGTTCCCGAATGACAGAACAAGGCAACGCCCTTCGACGGACTGTGATAATATGCTGCTGTCTTAACCACCAGCTTGAAGTCCTTCAACTTTGAAAATAATTAAATTCAATAGACGCTGTGAAGGCTTAGTCATCCAAGTGGGAGGTGATTTCCCAAGGCGGACTAGCGTATTTTTATTCTTAAACAAACGCGATTTCGCGACTACATCTGGATGAGAGTTGCGGTTTTCAATCATTGAATACCAGCGCAAACTTGATATTTGATATTCTCCAAATCCAGTTGTTTCCATTAGCTGAAGCTGCGCCTGCCATTCATCTTCTTCTCGGTAGTTTTGCCATTATCACATAGAATTCGTCGGAATGCCTCGTGAGTACTGCTTGCATGTGTATCAATGTCTAGTTACTGACAGTTTTGAAGCACATATTGAATCTAGTGACGAGGAGTCAGTTGGAGAAGCTATCCCTTTTCACAGCAAGGAGGACGAGGAAGCAAAACCCAGCAAGGATGATGAGAAAAATAATGAAGACGATGAAAGCGACGAGGACGAAGAGGGTGATGAGGACGTGTAAGCAACGCAATCGCTGGCTATCTTTCTTGATGCGCAGCAACAGCTAATGGGTGGATAGATACGTCGTAGAGCGAGTTGTAGGGCATAGCTTTGACAAAAAGGTCCCGCAATTACCCCTCTTTACCGCTGTTCGGTCATCGCCTAACATTGCGACTTGAACAGGGAAAGCTTCAATTTGAAGTAAAATGGAAAGGATATGATGACCCTGCTGATATGACTGTAGAGCCGGAGGAGAACTTACTGTATTGCCTATCCTTCCCTTGGAGAGTTTGGTCAATTGCTAAACCGAGCTCATAGTGACGGAGCGCAAGAGGTCCTTGAAGAATACTTCAAGAAGATTGGTGGACGGCCTGAGAAACCTACAAAGAAACGGAAATCGCTAGCAGATAAAGCATCGTCTACACCAGACAAACCAACAAAGAAAGGCAGGAAGCCTAATTCTGCCAAGGTCGAAACACCGGACCAGGAGGCATCACCTGAAGATGCGGACTGGACACCTCCTACAGGCGATTGGGATAATGAACTGAGCTATGTCAGCACAATCTTACGCGACCCCGATGGTGATGGGCTTGTTGTCTATTTAGAATGGAAGAACGGGAGGAAATCGAGGGCTTCATTGAAAACTTGCTACGAACGCTGTCCCCAGAAGGTATGCTGTCCAAATTTCTGAACTGATAGATTATAATTCTGACCTTTTTCGAATAGATGCTTCAATTCTATGAACAACACTTGTATGTCCTTTACCTAATACGTAGTTTGCAAAATTTGACAGCTAACTGTTCTATATAGGGTTTTTAAAGAGGTATGAACAGAATAGCTATTTGAGACGCCGGTTATGACGGTCCTGAAGGTCCAATTTAACAATTAGTAGGCATTGTCACCTTGACCTGCACCATACGACATTCTAATTATAGGACCTTATTTGTGAACTACAGGTGGTATCTAGGCTGTTCCAAGTCTGATCTAATTGTCATGGTCCTCACCCCCTCCGGTAGCCCGTGATACACTCTCCGACTCTAGTTGACTGAAATCATACGTCTCCACCACTAGCTGGCTGAGTGTCTGGCTATCCATGTTCACAATCTTGTAATATCCCTTTTCCCTTTTTAACAATAACATCAGCTTATCCGGCTGGGTAGGCAGGGACCGGCAGGTAGCTGCATTGTTTTCTTTGCACTTTAACTAGGCGTTTCTCTTACACTTCGTCCCTCCTTCCCTTTCCCTTCAGCCTGTACATTTGGAGTATTACGGTGCGTTAACCTAGCTTCCATGCTTATTCAATAAATTGCATGCTTTCTGCAACTCGTAGGAGAAATATATATTTGACGACAATGGGGCACTGAGGTTCCGCCAAGATTATCAACTGTCTAGTGGAGTTGTGTATGCTTTATTTGTTGAATATAATGCTCCGTAAAGCTCGTCACATAACTCCATTAGGTATTCGAATCGAGCATCAAATTCTTCTCTGCCATGCTTTTGTTCAACGCGGTCAATGGCGCGCGGATCCACCCCTTGAAGGGCAGCATCATCATCTTCACTCCATACCCCTTTCATGTTCAGCGGGATACCCTGCCCAGCTTGGAAATACTCAAGCACCTTATCAGCGAGTAAATCGTCCATCGTTGTACAGCGGAGAGCCATCCGAACTTGCTCCTCGGATATTGCTCCTTGGCCACGCCGTACTCGAGATCTAATCCATTCGTCTACCTCTTCGGCCCCATCCTCGGCGTCATATTTTTCGGCAGTAACACTCTGCGCACTATGTACTCCTGATTGCGGACCTTGTATTGGTTTTTGAAGGATGACTTGCGGGGGGATTTCCTGTTGCTCAGAACTCATGTGCTGTCCATGCAACCCTTCTCTGGAAGTAGATGGCGGTTTCAGTGGCCCCGTTGAAAAGCTGCGAGATACACAGGACTCCAATGCTTGGCTCCCGCTTTGATGTTTCCTATCTACACCCCTAGAAACAGCATCACTGGGGACGAAGGAGTCGGGGAGGGTGCGCCTCCTTTTTGTTTTAGAACTTTCTACCTCACTGGCCGTCCCACCTTTTTGCTCATAATGTGTTATGTTGGTATTTCCCCGTGGCCTTTCCGTGGTGTCAGATATACTGCTGTACCTTGGCATGGCTTGTCGCTTTTTCTTCAATGTAGACTCATATATTGGGCGAATAAATGTATGGAAGTAGTTCTTCCATTCCATTGCTGAATGTTTACCCTGAAGCACGGCTATGTTAGGCAACCAATGCGCCATGACATGGTAATCGAAACATACCTCGTTTTCAGCAAACTCACGCCACATCTCATCTTCTGCATTTGGTGAAACATCTAAGATATGTTTCGCGTTTTGAAGAAGGATATCCCTGTCTTTTTCTGTAAAACCGTTAAATTGTATTTGGCTTGTTGGTATAGGTGTGCTAGAGATCTTATGTTGTGGCCTTGGTTGTATAGAGCTGTTAGATGCCGTACAATCTGTTCGCGGTCGTGGAAGCTCCCGGACTCTTTTTAAATATCGTTCTCGCCATGATTGCCATGTATGATTCGGATGCTATATAGAAAGCTTAGAAATGGCATCTACCCCTGAATGCTTGGATATGGTTTTGGGTACCTGAGCTGCTAACTGCTGGTATATCTTATTCCCGGATACTGCCCCACCAGCCTGCTCAAAAGGTTTCATCCAATCGTAGAGAATTTGATCATCTTTTGCCGTGAACGGTTCTCTATACCGTCTTGCCGGACCCATGGGGGGTTGCCGGACACTGGCACGGGGAACTCCAGCCATAAATTTGTCCAGCTCCTGGAGTACCCCTTGACGGATTGAACGCTCCACAAACTGGTAGGAGTAACTATTAGGTATAAATTAACAGTACTGAAGAAGGAATGAGGTATCTGAGGCAGCTCACTGACGTGCCGGGCGGGTTATCCTTTCTTAGATGGTCAACGAGGAGGAAATCAGCATCTTTTTCTAGAATCACTACTCTCCCACCGTGTTCCTATGCAAAATTAAGACGAATAAACCGTCATATTAGAGCCCGAGCACATCAAAAGCTATATTTTACAACTCACTTCAATTTGGTGTTTCATATGAGTCCGCTGAGGGACAGTTTTAGATAGCCAAAAATTCATATTTTTGAACAATAATGAGGCTGAGCCAGATTGAAAATCGTCAGCCCCATTACTGGGAAGTCGATTGCTTGATCCTTCCATTTGAACTTTCAATGCAATGATTACCACAGAGGTCCGCTGACATTGAAGTGATAATGACGAGTGACAAACGCTCTTCGCGGTCGTCAAGAACAGGCGCGACCCGCGGGCGCCACGTGATCACGTGAAGATAAGCGCTGTTCACGAATAGTAAATAAAAGTTTAATTTTAACGAGGCAGAAGCATATGCCAACAACTTCTTCTAGGGATCAAGCAAGGGGGTCTGTAAGGAACTGGGATTGGTGTTGATCGCCTCTCTGTGGGTATTTGGCATTTAAGGACGTGCTGGGTGGAAATGGGGGTTTTCAAAGAAATTGCCGGAGCTATTTTAGCTCTCTCGCTGCTCGTCTTTATCACACTTTTTGGCCGAATACCAGCCCTTAGGTAAAACCGCACCACCTTTGCTATCCGGCATTATATTCTCGGTATGATGGGTGCTAAACTATAGCAGGAAGACCCCAGTTGGCTACATATATCGTTTTGTCTGGATATACTTTCCGAGATACTTCCGAAACGCAGATGGATATCTCTTTGGTGGACGGTTGCTCAGTTGCTGTGGAAGGACGGGCAATTATCTTATGAACGAAAACCATCCATTGGTTTTGGTACGTGCTACTTATTTTAACGGGCTGCGAATGTATAAATATTGACGACTAACGGAAAAAAGATCTTCTTTGTTGGATTACTCCTTATCTCTGAGGCTATATTCATACCTGTAGCCTGGTCAAGGCTGAATACCATTCACAAACTTATGGTCCCTCTTGTCGCCCTTTTACCTTACGCATTCCTATATTTCAGCGTCAACTCAAAATCCGCCATTACCCCTGAGAATCACTCAAAATATCTACACGAATACCCTTATGATAATATGATATTTCATCCAAATATGACATGTAGGACATGTCACCGTTTAAAACCTGCTCGCAGCAAGCATTGCAGCCTCTGCAAAGCTTGTGTTGCACGGCATGATCATCATTGCGTATGGTTGCGCACCTGTGTGGGCCGGAATAATTACCACTACTTCCTGGGGCTACTCTTATTCACATCAGTGCTCCTTTTCTATGGTTCATTCCTTGGTTATTCTATCATGGATGAAGCGTTACAGCGGGCTATTAGCCCTACGACTACTCACCATTGGAGCACAGGCATGCCGATAATGGTGTTTTTGGATCTTTGGCTTTTGGCTCTCACGGATGATATTCAAATTGGCGCCATTACTTTACTCTCGTTACTATGCGCTCCTTTATCTTCCGCAATGCTTCTCTACCATATTTATCTTATATGGTCTGGGATGACAACGAATGAAAGTAGTAAATGGGGAGAATGGCGCGACGATATTACAGATGGCTTTGCATACAAAGCAAAAGCCAAGGAAGTCCGTCCACAACACGACTTCGGTCCGAGAGATGAAGGTATCTCCTGGCCTAAACGAAGTGAACAAACTCTTGTCTACACCAACGGCCAACCGCCTAGGGTGGGTTATACATTCACTGATGAACGAAATTCAATCAAACAGCCTGACCGAACTGATGCCCCAATTGACACAAGATGGACGCAGGTACAAAGTCTCAAGGAAATCATTAACATATACGATTTGGGCTTCTTGGGGAACCTTCGGGATTCTATTTCAAGACGGAATTAGAAAGGCGTATTGGAATAAATTAGGTATCGCCTTTAAACCATTTATCTCTTTCAATATAAACATCTATATATATCAACCGTTACATAGCTCCCTATTGATCCATCCATTAATCCCAAGGTCGACTTCAAAAAAGAAGAAAAAAAAATATAAAAGCGGAGTCGGCAAAACTGAAATGCCGAAAGCTCTTATCGCAAAATCAACGACTCCATTTCATTTTCTCACTTGAACATTCAACACAGAGTTCTGTGGCTGCAGCTTTGAGAGATGGCTTCGTCCGCGGTACAAGAGTCTGTAGAGGATGGAAACTCGCAGAGTACCCCAAAATGCACGGCTCCAGAGCTTCTGTTGAAAGTGGTATTGATTGGGACTTTGAGCCATTATGAGACTCGCGGGATGATCGATGATAAGAGACTGGAACATATGCTACTTGCAGGCAAGCAGATATTATACAAGAGCCACCAGGAAAGCGACGTAAGGTAGGGTATCTTTTCATTTTTGTTCCCAGTCAGCCTGGTTTGATCAGACTTTTTCTTTTGCAGAAGAGGAACAAAAATTACCCCTCGAGTATCGCAACTTCCGAGCTAATTCCTACCTACTTTCTATAGACAAAATCTAGGATTCTCACCTGCAATATGGCAGGGGCTTACTGATGTGCTCACTAAAGCTATCCCAGTACTGGAATCGCAATCCTTTGCTTGGAAGAACCCAACTTCTGCGAACTATGATGGCTCTTCATCCAACCTGATTGCATATAATTACTTCCCACTGGTTAAAGACATTGAACGATTGAATGATCTTTGTACGATTGCTCGGAACCTGCTCGCAACAACCAAAAAGGCACAAAATCTAGCTGCCGAAAAAGGATTTGACCAGAGAATTTTGATGCTGATCGACACTTGTGTCAGAGTGACCGCCAGGGGATATGATGGAGAAAGCAACGCGAGGAATGAAGAGAGATGGCAAAAAGTTGTCAGCCTCTATAAACGGCTATTGATTACGTGCCTTCAATTCCTCCATAATTTTATTATGCACAATGAACACCGGAAGCTCGTTCTCTGGTTGGATCTGTTTGGCTATCACCAAAATGGTGAATCTAGCATTATTACCCACATGGAACCTCTGGATCAATCAAACAACGCTGCCCAGGGACTTGCGCCGATTGTTAGAGCTGGAGAACGACTTGTCAATCCGCCACTTAGGACACTTTATGACCAAACTGCCGAGGATCTATTATTGGAAACCATCTCATCTTTCCCAAGGGAACCTGCTACCATAAAAGAAGAGGCTGCTATGCTATTGTTGGCTAATATCAAGGACCATATGGAGAAACTCCTTGGTCGAAACTTGAAGGAGATCCAGCAGATGGGCAAAGACCCCGAACGTGTCAAGGAAATTCGAGCCGCCCTTACTGCCATCCTAGGCGCAAAAGTGGATGGTTGGGCGGACTTGAATGACCGTCAAGCAGGTCCATCTCGGATTGAGGAAGAGCCTACGCGCAAGAAACCTATTTTAAGCATAGACAGGAGCGCTACGGCGGGCTTTCCGCGCACCTGCTGGACAGATTTTCCTAACCTTGATGAATATGGCGTTATATCTGCGGTTGATGCTCCTGTAACTCCCGAAGATCGAATTATGACGCGCTCAGCTCAGTCTGCAGCAGAAACCCTTCAAGAAGCTAAAGATGAACTAATGACACGCTTACAAGAGACCTCCCCCGTCCTTACAGAGGGTGAGCATCACTACGATGGTATGGAACGTAGTGGTGTTGCTGATGATGATTCACGAAGCTTGGAAGCAGTAGCGGATGGGAGTGTTGAGGAAGAAGAGGACGAGGAAGACGATGATGACGATTACAGGGGCCGCCCAGGAGACCAGCAACGAGGTCTGTTGACTGATATTCCGTTGGTGTTAGGGCCTGCTGAAATTGAAGCTTTGCCAATGTTAATTCAAGCTGGAATTGTGGACAGCTTTGGACCAAAGGGTGGCCCTAAAACAGGATCTAAAAACATGCAGGCTGTTCGTTGCCATATTTTGCTTGCCCAAGAAACCGGGCGGAATCTGCTCAGAGAGCTCCTAATATTTATTGCTGCATGGGATCTCCCTGACGATGAGCTTTACTTCAAAATGATGGTTCAAATTATGGAAGCTGTGCTGAACAACGGCCTAATGTCACACGCCTACTCTGACTTTGGACAGGCCAAGGATATTATATCCCCAGCGCAAGCTGTGGTGATCAAAATTCTTACCCACATTTTCCGGTCAAAGTACTCGCCACCAAACATAACATCTACGACGGAAACCCCAACCGGGAGAAGCTCGGTTACCGTCACCAAAGTGGATGTTCTGACGGTGCGTTATATTTTTACTATCTTCCGCGGAAACATCATTCCCGAAACGTGCGCTTTGATCTATCTTCAAGGTCAGATTAGAGCTGGACACGCCCTTCCCGAAGATTTCCCACTAAACTTGTGGGACATGGAACGAGTTTATGAAGGAGTATATCAATTCCTTGAATTCTTCGCAGTTCTGACGGAAAATACCGAATGGAAGAATCTCCTTGTCCAGTGGGAGATTGTATACGACTTGGTGACGTTGATCAAAGAGCTAGAAGCTAGCATTCCTAAGGGGTCCCTCAGTTCACTGACCCAGGCAGCCGCGGCAGCAGCTCCAAGAACACCTCAGCAAACGCCATCTAACGAGCCTCCTGCCTCCGAAAGTGGCAGTGCCGCCGTTGCTCCAGTGGCTGTTGAACGGCCATATGATCCTAATGACTCTGAACCGATCGATAATGCCACAGTTGGGCCGGAATCTAGGGTGCCTTCGCCACCAATTGGCAATGAGGATCCAGCCGAATTTGAATGGCGTAACCTCAAGAAGCTGGTTATATTGGTGCTCTCTTCTCTTGTTTGGAAATGTCCTCAGGTCCAAAATCAAATTCGAAAGTATGGTGGGATTGAGACTATTTTATCTTGTACTGCTTTTGATGCCCATAACCCATACATCAAAGAACATGCCGTCATGTGTTTGAAATTCCTACTTGAAGGGAACCGGGAGAACCAAAAGTTAGTGGAACAACTAGAAGCCCGAGAGGTGGTTCAGGATGATTCTAGGATACTGGAGAAAAGCGGATATGAAGCAGTTTTGGGCCAGACAGGCAAGCTTTCGCTTCGTACAAAAGAGATCAATGGCCCCCCACCACCACAGGGTAGCTAAAGTTGGATGATTTGAGTGGCTGTCCCGTTAGATATAACTCTTGAGACAAACCTGGCTTTAGGCCTCTGCATTCTAATGATCAATATTTCAACTAAATCGAACCCTCTACCGATTATTTATGTGAAAATACTGTGCGCGACAACACCTAGAATTTCAAGCGTCATCTCTAAGCAAGGCTAAATACAAAAAAGGCACGGGTGTAGGTCATTCATGTCACATAGGGGGCATAAGCTCTTTTCTAAAATCAGACATGGTAATATCTCTGGGTTCCTTGCCACAGTGTACGCTCTATAATATCTCGATTAGGGCCCATACAATAGATTCATTTTGCTCCTGCCACTTCTCTTATTTTGGTTGACGACTTACCCAATTCGCCTTTCCCATAATCTGGTTTTCGTTTCGATATTCGAAAGGATCTTTATCTATTGCAGCTGACATTGGAAAACTTGCGGATCTAGGGGGTACAGGGACATCTGAGGGCGATAAAAAGTGTTTTATTAGTATAGAGGCAACGGAATAGGGGAATATATATTCTCACGTTTTATGATCCCGCCCAGGAGCCAACTCAACAAAATTGCTACAGAGGTAGCATCGTAGCCGTTTACTCCTCGTACCCGGGCTGACGGCCGTGGGGAGTGTGGCATTGTCGGGACAATCCCCCTCATGAGATTCAGATTTGCAAACTGCGCAGGTAACTGTATTGCAGTATGGACATGTAGCACGTCTGCCTTCAATGTTTTTGGAAGGTATGGCTCTGGAACAATAAGGCGTAGAGCAGCACGTCCTATCATCAGCGTCGAATTGGGCCTTTTGCTTTAGGAAAGATGTAGCAAGGTTTGGAGTTAGGAATCTTGCAATCTGCTCGAATATGATGTGTTGGGCGCAACATTGGGGTGGGAATTGTGCATCACCAAATAAGAATTCCCGGAACAGCTTTTGAAGACATTCGGAGCACGCTAAATGGCTGCATGAAAGACGCGTAAATTCAAAAGCCCGGACTTGTTTAAAGCATATTCCGCATGCCAATGCTTCAGAGGGAGGATATTTTTGGGATCTAATAGACGACAAAGGCAGCGATTTACATGTCACACTATGACGGACTTTGAAAGACAGCTCTTTGGAGTAGAAATTCGTTTCCCCTCGATGGCGCGCTAGCTGGCGGTCCTGGTATGATTGGTGCTCGACTTTGAGGAAATCTCGTAAGGTATCTTGATCACTGTGGATTGCAGTTGCGATGCTCCTTGTTAACAATGTATCTCTGAGTAGATTGGCTGACTTAGAGAGCTCATCGCTATAAAGCTCCAGTGATAAATCGGGATCAGCTAATTCTCCGTCATGAGTTTCGCCTTTAGACTGCACTTTGATTTCTTGCAAGTCGTCAAGTTGAAGCTGAATTATCAGCCTAGCAATCGCTGGATCGAGGCCTTCAAGATTGCTGTAGGACATCTTGCTGGGCGGCCGGTATAGCCATATCAAAGTTCCCTGTCTGTTTTTTTCTTCAAAGGGCTACTAGGCAGAGTCGGATTGCGCAGAAATGTTTATTCCAGTGAGAAAAGATTTCTTTTATGTGGGCAGGTAGGAGAATTCCGTCAATCAAAACGGGGATATCAATTGAAATGGGTATGAAAACAAAGCTCTGAGGCTCTGGTTTATGGCTTTCAAGGATATTGACCTAAACAGCAGGTAACTAACTCACTTGTCGATCCGCCTGTTCTCAATTTCTTCCAAAAACATAGCAGCCAGAAGATTAGAATCAAGTTAAAACGAGCATAGAAATATCCGCATGCGCCATTGATGGCGTAGGAAGGTAGCTAGGGGAGACCATATTCTTGAATATAGGGTATGCATGGGCTATTTGGTTGGAAAGAAATGCAACTGGGGTGTAAATAAATGTGTTTCCAGGGAAAAAGGGACCTCAGTTGTAGCATATCTGACGGATATTGAGAGGGATCTCCCCTTTTGCCTGGTGAATCCAAGTCCTTACGCATACATGCCATCCCACTCCTCCTCCTCCTCCTCATCATCATTAAGCCCGCTAGACTTCTTCATAAGTCTTTCTATCCTCTCGTTTTCTTTCTGGCGTTCCTTTTTTCCGAAATCTGTTCTGTCAAGGGGGCATGTCCCTCTCAGTCGTAGCCATGGGCGTACGCACTCTAAATCGAATATATGCGATGTATGGCAGGGTAATCTCACAACGAGAGGATGTGAATCTTCTAGGAACGGGTTATTGCATATTGGGCATGTTTGGGATTCTTTCAGTTTCAACTTGGGAACGCGGTCAAGCACTATACAAGGCATATGGTAAGTAGTTATTTGCAGTCCGGCAGAAGTACCACACATACTATCGCAGAACTCATCCGATACTCCTTCGACCTCTCGTGGAGGGGCCTCTGCATCTTGTAATAGGGCCCGAATCATCTCTTCTATCAATTGTCCTTGTCCGGCGTCCGGCATTTCGGGGTCTCGTCCGTCGTAGACTGGTAGCGGCGCATTATCCCCGCTGCGCCTCATCACGTCAAATGCCTCAGCAAGGGATCTGAAAGCAGCGCTTACATCTCCTGGTACTGGAACTGCGTAGGGCCGTGTCCTTTCGTCGCCTTGGTTGGGACTGATTTCATTGAGCGTGGCGAAGAATGTAGAGAGGTCAGGACGAGCTGAGCGACGAGAGCCTGATTGTCTAGAATTATTTGTAGAGGAACTATTATCACCCGTTGTGGGATGCTCGACTGTGATGGTTATTAGCTTCTGATGGATGTACATTGGCATATTCTAAGCTCCTAGAGAGAGCCAGATTGGGGTAGGGGAAGGCAAGCATCAGCCCCGCGAGGGCTGGGTAGAGAACAGACCTTCATAAGAAGCCATTGTGGATATCTAGCATACACAAGACGTATATATAGCAAAGGAAGTGGCTGATATTTTTCCTGACTCTTAGTTGAGTTTTGTGTGTAAGATGTCAGTTGCTATGTTGCTGGTTGCTTGCGGGATCTGGCGATGTTTTATCTATTTTAGTTATCGACGTTCCGCTAGGCAGCGCCTTTGGCGTCATGGAGCGGCGCTAAGGTTAACGGGGCCTAACTAAGACCCTGCCTGCGCTGGGTTCCGCAAGCTCAACCAACATTACATGCTCGGAACAGGCATTTCCCGCTAACGTATTCATATTTTAATAGAGTAGCCTTGGAGCTAAGTAATGGCTGCCAGGCTAGAACTACCTTCTATAATATTAGTAGAAAGGGAAAACTGGCCTATAATGCGTCTGAATGGAGGGGTGATTGGCAAATAGAATTGGATAACTAGTTAACTATAGAAAGAATTGAATTGTAGGTTGATGATAAAGATAAAGATAAGAATGAAGATGAGGATATAGATTAGCATTAGTATACTTTACCTGCATTTTATATGGTGAGTAGTATTACTAGCTAGATTTATCTCTATTAGTGTTTAGAATAGCTACCTAATATTTAGTTGATGTTGTGTTAGCGTACAAGCTGGGCTCTAGCAATCAATAGATCGAACCTCATGCAACATCCAGTATTTTGCGATGATTATTGTGGTTTCGGCCCTTACAACAACGAACAAGAATTTAACAAGGGACTTATTAGGGCGATGAAGCTTGCGCAGGATAACACTTGGTCAGAACGTGTCGCAAGATTCGTGAATGTGCTACCCGCACATGAAATCTTTCTTACTCATTCCGATTTGGCCCCCCGAAACATACTTGTTCAGGGAGATAAGGTTGTTGGTATCGTAGACTGGGAGATGGCCGGATTTTATCCAGCATACTGGGAATATATAAAGGCTATGTATCATCCTGATTGGCAAAGTGGGTGAATTGCAGACAGTGTCATTGAAAAGGTCTTGACACCTTATCACCTTGAACATGCGATTCTCTTACATATTCAATCGGTTTGTTTTTAAACTTGTCAATTTCTGGCAAGGGACAGATATATGCTGAAGGAGCACAGCAGAAGCAATGCTTTTCGTCAGGGACCAGCTGACAGGAATAAATATTGTTGTATAACTATGGAATCCAAATTTAATAGTTGAAATCTTCATAGAAAAGCTTTTTCCCTGTCAGCCAATTGGTAGCGGCCGTCTTTAACCCGGTTCCCGCACAAAGGTACCAGACACTAGCATCAGGTACAGCAGACAGGTCTTCTTGTATCAATCGACGGCGCTCTATTTTCGCCCCTGAAGAAATTACCGAGTCAAGTGCCTTCTTATCATTTTCATCCATGTCACTTTCTGGGGTTGGAGAGCCGGATGTGAGGAATAAGGTCGTGCTATTTGGTAGAGTAGGGAATTGTTCAAAAACGTCATACACAAGCCCGATATCTTTGAGTGACACAGACCATAAAAGCTTTAGCCGGGACGTGTCAATATCGGGGAGTTGCGCAAGGACAGGAGTAATTCCTATACCGCCGGCAATGAAGGGAAGAATGGAATTATCATGGCCAACGTTTTGGTTCGATTCGGGACTCTCAAATCGAAAGCTCCCATCAAACCCACGAAGCGATAGTTCCAACCCACTTCTTTCGCTGGCTCTAAATAGATGGCTGGTAGCATTTCCTTTTTTTCTGACCGTGATTTCGAATTCATTTTTGGCAAGGTTGCGTCCAGGGTATGATGACACTGTGAACGTGCGAATATAGTCATCATTGATACTTGTTGGGTCATCATCTCTCATATGGCTATATCCCATGTCAAGCTCATCTCTGAATGAGACAGTGGCATACTGGCCAGGAATCCATCTGAGAACCATTGACGGATCAGACGCCTTGAATCGAAATCGACTAATAGTAGGCGTTATCACGTCTTTTTTTACCAAAGTGACGCGTGTGTCTGCATCATCTGGGAGTTGGCTACCAGGGGCTGGCTTCTCAGAGGTCAGATACCGTACCTCCGGATTGTAAGGGGACCGCTGCATTGCCTCCCCGCGAAATGAAATGCCATTTTCCACATATCTAGCGGCAGTGATGCTGACTTTGACAGCAAGATTTGATCTGGGAAGCATCTTTGCTGCCTCGTTTCCTACCAGAACCTCGGTCTTCCCTGTAATGTATAAAATGTGCCCTAGTTCAAAATCAGGAAACGCATAACCAGCAAGTGGAGTGGTTTGGAGGTTGCCAAGGGTCTGGTATAAACGGTTCCCTGAGTACTCTGGATATACTATGACAGCACCCGTATTATCATTGGAGAGAACCCGAACAAAGCCTGGTGGGCCACCACGGATATTAGAGTCCATAGAATCATTTGCATGGGAGCTGGCCACGAAGAGGGTATCTATTCGGTTAAGTAGGTCAAGTGCCCCCTGAGGAAGCTGGGGTGAATCAGATATGAGTTTCGGGCAAGGTTTTGCTGGTGTGATGCGTTTCTTATTGATGTATTTGGGACAATTGCCTTCAGACAAGTCAGTAAGTTGTTATAAGAACGTAAATGGAGTTGACTATTATCTCACCTAAGCTTCCTTCAACTTTCATGACTAGCTGTACTTGAGCAGCCTTTCCCATGTTGCTGTCATTTATGTTTCTGTCCTCAGGGACCTCTGGAAAATCCTCTTCCATGGAGCCTGCCACCATCCGCCCCATTAACTTGACACGCCTTCTATTCTCCATGTCAATGGGCAGTGCAGACATCAGTCTTCCCGGCAAGGGCTCTTTGACAATGGTGCCCGCCAACTCACCGCCGAGTAATGTTTCTGCAACGGGATCATGAGTTCCATCAATAACATTCCTTATTCCGATGATGGATTGAGCAACTGGGCCAACGAATCCAGCCTGTCCACCCCATATTGTACTCCATGGGCGGCCTTGTTTATCCAACGTCCCTAATGCAAGTAGAGGGCATCTTTGGGCCAGTGCAGCTGCGCCTGGGCTCAAGAAAGCTGCCGTAGGGTTCTCCTCATAGGGGACATGCATAAGTTGATGCATTTTCTTCTCTCCCTCATGCCACTGCACCTCTCCAGCTAGTACAAAGGCCATAATATAAATATTATGTATCAACTTATATGTTAAAAAAGTGCGTGATTTGTATGGTATAGTGATTGTTAGATTAATTTCATGACAAGCTACTCATCGGGGTATCTAAACGCAGAGGTAAAAGTAAGGATACTTGAACGCGCTGATTTCATCACTCAACATCACTAGGCTAACTATGCCTACTGAAAGAATTTCCCATATTATAAATCAGGTTAGATATCTTCGAGTTGAATGAGAATTTGATGATTCCAAATATCATCGCTGTCCGTTAAGAGCGACGCTGTAGGTTGATTTATAATCACGATGGTTTGCCACAGAATAACTTCCCCTGCTGTTCGACCATTGATTATGCAATACCTAGGTACCTAGTTAGTTAGTTAGAGTTAGTTAACTAGGAAACAAACCTCGGTTATCATTGGGCCCTTCCTGATCGAACCTAATCTCAGTCGATTTAGTGAATCGATGTATTCTTTAGATCAACAGCCTCAAATTACTTACCTTTGCTCGCGACCAAACGACGGCCTTCTCACGATACTTAACTAAGCCTAATACTAGAGATGACAACGCTTGATTATTAAAGGGCATGTCCTCTCCGTTGAGGAGGAGTCTATGGATGGGATCTTCCACTTAGCAGTATTGTCACTAAGTAAGTAGTTATATGATATGGACCGACTCAAAAAGATCAGGCACATCGGAATAATTATGCAATATGTACATATACCAAAGCTTTCCACTTGGAGGTTTCAAAAAATGCAGGAAGGAAGGATGCATGGGTATCTAACAAAGTGGAAGCAGTCAACCACATCTGAATGTACACACCTGTATGTAAGGATTTACACGAGGTCATCGGGACAGTAGCCGGATGTCACCTATCATATTGCAACTCCAGCAAACCCAAAGGCGGTCGGCCGACCTCCGCCAGTTAAAGTCTGTTTCCTCTTCGCAGCAGTGACTCGGGCTTGTTCTTTGACTATTATATAAAGGTCAGAAAAACAAGGACTCATAACACTGATGGTAATGAAATATGATAGCACAACTCACACTCATCCCACGTTATGGGCTCCTTGGTGATGTCTTTCGCCTCTCTCCAGTTGTGCATGCACCATGCCGCAACCATGAAGTCCAAATACTCCCTATCGAAAGCATCCCAGCTCTTCATCAAATCTAGCCGGGGTGAGGATGCCTCGACTTTGTTCTTCATATCCCAGCGCCTCCGTGTCTCCATGGCTATCAACGGACCGTTCTCCTTTTCACGCCATTCATAGAAGGACGAGTCGGTTGTCTCACCGACTTTGGCAGCATTGCCGCTCTCTGATCGCTGGAGGTAGAAGGATGGTAATCCTTTACCCCAGGCAGTCCACCCGGATCCAACACCATAGGAAGACCTGCTCATCTTGCCTCTCTTGTCTGATAAGTATCGTCGACCATCTATCTCGTAGCGAGCATGTCCAATGTGAAGAACTGGTGCATCACGAAGAGCAAAGACATCGCGCCTAGCAATCTTGGTGGTCGGCACACCCAGGGAAGATGAAGAGACCGTCCGTTGTTCAATACGTGTTAACAAAACACCATACTGGTTCAACTCGTGGCCATCCAGAGCATGAGTTAAGCTGTAGACTGGCTGACCGTCGGGGCTGGCAGAAGAGTATATTTCCTTGCCATGTATAGTCAGTGTCACTGCACCGCTGGATCTCTGCTGGGGTCTTGGGGCTGAAGCCTGAGTACCTCCACCTGCTACATCCTCGTAGGCAGGTGGCGAGGACGAAGGCATCTCAGACTTCGGGGGGTATGGCTGGCCAGTACTCATCATTTGCATGTATCCGACTGCAGGCCTTTCATCGAATGCTGCACTCCATCTGACAACTTCTCAAGCTCTTCTACGGAGCACTTTGGTCAGAACAGAAACCGAGAGAGAAGACGAGGCTGAGCCTCATAACCACCGCACTCTGACGTCATCCCCGCAAACACGAAGTGACAAGAGGCTAATACACCGAAAACGAAGTCCGCGACCCATCAACCAGCATCCCTACTTGTCGCATGGCGGAAAGACGGATGGACGGAGCAGAGAGGACGAGAAGAAGAGAGAAGAGGGACATCATCCTGGTAAGAAGCAATTTAGACGATGCTGCACCGGGTATAGGACTCCGCTGGTTTGATTCCCAACTGGCAAGGCACCATGGCCCTGGCCATCCGACCGCCTGAGATACGGAGCACCTAGGTACCTATACTACCTCTGCCGCTTTCCCTCTACCGGTTAGATTCCAATTAACTAGTTAAAGAGACAAGGCTTCCTCATATCACCATCCGCGCCTGGGTAGCTCCCTAAAAGACGGACCGAAAAACTTCAGATGGATCGCCAGGACAGCTAACTAATAATAGAAACACGATCGAGCTCTATCTCCGGGGTCTGGCAGAGTCCCATGGTTCCTCCCTGGTGGTGGCCGGCGAAACGCCTAAGTTTTAACTAGCAATGCAGGAATGCTACGATAGCTGTGCCCATTGTTCAAGGGTTTCGTATTTTAAGACATTTTCCTGTCCTTAATTGCAAGTTGCTGACTTGTCTGCTCGCTAGTTTGCTTTATGGTGACTGGCTTTGTGATCGACATCCTAGCAAAAGCCAACACCAGCTTTCCACCCGACTTTGCCGCAGGTGAAGTCCAGACACAGAACTCTCTCTCTCGTCCATGATAATCCTTCTATCCTTTGGTGTCTTACAACGGGCTCCACCGGCTTGATAGCGGATGTTGGATGGGTTTGCTGCAACTCTGGCCTGACCTACTTTCAACATGTTTACCTCGCGGGTTCTGTTGGTTGCATTTGGTTGATAGACCTCAGAGACGCAGCTGCTCTGAGCTGTGAACAGCTATGTATTTCCGAAGTGGAGTCTTGCGTACGGAGTACTTCTTTGCAAAACAAATATCTCTGTTGACGGCAAGGCGAGACGAGACATACTACTTGAGCAGCAAGGAATTATGCACGCTGCAAAGAACAAGGTAGCATTCAATGAATGTCACCTCAGTTGTCTGCTCATCTTGCAGGGCACTAAACGTGGTTACTTTTGATCTGAAACCTCTCCAACGGCCGGCTTTAACCCCAATCCTATTTCCGGACACTTGCGGAATGCGGAGTGCGGAGTGAATAGGTCTACCGGAAGATGGTTAATCGTCCATATTACTTAATGTTAAAGTAATATGTGCGTTTGTTGCTGCTAGGAGAACATATTATCCGAAGAAATTATGACATGATCCACGTCTTTTCGCCCATCAGCCAGGGCAGGGACTGGCCTGTCAATCTACCATGCAGATAATGTGTATAGTTACATTCCTCTTTCATACCTTGGGAAACAGAAAGACTCCTCCGGGACTAGAACAAAGGTTAACCTAGATATTGGGTATACCCTGACTCAGATATGAGCTGCTTTAAACCAATGGTACTGGTGGATCAGTGGCAGTGCGATCCTTTCGTCTTGCCATTCGACTTCGTATAGCTCACGAATTATTGAGAAGCCAGGAAGCAATCTAAGACATCAATTGCCAGATGCCCTTCCCATGGAGTTCCTCACCAAAGGTATAAATATACTGTTCAACTCCCTTTGATCTATCCATTTAATTTTACCATCAACTTCCACTTCTCAAATTCAAGCAACAACAGTATCTTTCCCCAACCACTTGACCAAACACAATCCATCAATATGCAGTTCAAAGCTATTGCCCTCACTGCCATTGCGGCCATTACCCCATTCACTGCTGCCGTTGGCCACGCCATTGTTGAAAACCACTGTGACAACAATGCCTATCTCTGGTCCGTCGGTAGCTCTGTTGGCCCCCAGCAGACCATCACCCCTGGACACACATACTCTGAACAATTCAGATACGACCCAGTCAGCGGAGGCATTGCCCTAAAGATTACTCGCGCCAAGGATGGTATCTACAACGGCTCTCCCCAGACCATCTTCGCCTACACCTTGACCAACACCAACACTTTTTACGATCTCTCTGATGTCTTCGGTGATGCCTTTGCCGGAACCAGCGGCCTTCTCGTCTCTACGTCTAACCCCAACTGCCCTGATATCTGGTGGCCAAACGGTGTCCCACCAGCCGGCCAGAAGTTCACTTCTGCCTGCCAGAGAGACGCCGATATCACCCTTACTCTCTGCGCCCAGCCCACCAAAATAAGTTACTGGATCAGTATGTATTGATCATAATTCTCCCACCACGTTCAGACACTGTCTATGAATGAAGACTAACTTTTACCAAGCATCACTATAATGACTGGATTTGGAAATTGATGAAGGCGCTGTCAATCGCCTGATCTATTGAATGATGATTCTACATGACCATTTATGTTACGTACATACCTGAGGTTCCAGGCACCATGTCTTTGCATTGTTACAGTATATAATCATAAACTGAGAATAATAACTTACTACTTTCACGAATATTTTACAACTCTAAACATGTCCTATTTATAGTTTTAGTGCATCCTCTAGTTGAAGCCTGTCATACCTGATTCATCTCAAACCAACCATACATGCTGGTTCAGGCGCTCATCTTGCTATTCCATGCTAGATTGAAAATATATAAGTATTGCAAGAGAGACGGGGAAACACATTCTGTGGAATTACGGTGATAATGTGCGAGAATGACTGGGTCATGAAGTTCAATGGTTTCAGAGAATATCCAATGACAAGTAGAGTTTCAGGTGGCGTGTGTTACGGCCAGCAACACTCCAATGCTATGCAAAGCTATATGAAATCACGGATAATATTTCGGTTGCATGGTATATCATTTAATTCGGTATCGCATCATAGACATAAGACAGATTAAGCGAGTAATTCAAAACCGAGGTAGTGAAGTCACACATTAGACATTCATTTTTTTGACCATTATTTTAAGAAGATTTTCCACAGAAGATAAGACGCATAAGCTAATGATGTACTCATGAGAAGCCTACATGATGACTTCATTTGCAACATCCTATAGAGAAAGTTAGACTAAGCAATGCAACTAAGTGAAGAGGTAAACATACCCGCTTAAGCTCTTTGAAGGGTAGGCAAACGCAGTTCTGGACATGAACTTCATCGCCAACACCACACTCCTTGCCCAAGATGGTGATGCTTTGGACCTTGACGCCGTTCTTAATGATGGTAGTGGAATGGCTACCAGCTGGGGTGGGGGTGCCTTCGACACGAGCCCAGGCACCTACGCGGCTGCTCCATCCAATGATGGAGTACAAAATGCACGCATCGTGCTTGATCTCAACATCTTCAAGGACGATGGACTCCTTGATGCGAACGCCCGGGCCAACAACAGCTCGTGCGCCAACGGAGACATTTGGTCCAAGCTTGGCGGTGGGATCGACAGTGGCGGATGGGTGAATGTAAACTGGTGGAACAATCGAAGCGGAGGGGGGAGCGAGCTCTTCAGAGCCGGACTGGAAGGCCTTTTGGAGGTAAAGAGCATTGGCTGGGACAGCGGAGCCTGCAGTCTTGATTTGGCGCCAAAAGTCCTTGGTTTCATGGACGAAGAAGCGGTTGCTGTCTGCGAGGTCAGGAAGAATATCCTGCTCGAGACGTAAAACCTCCGGCGTTTCGGTAGAATCATCTTGGGCTATGTAAGAGGATTCAAGGTTTTCGGATGATGGGTAGGAAAGTAGACGAGGGCGGGCGGTGCGGCGTTTGATAGCACTGCGGATGGAAGGGAAGATGCACTCAGTAGCAAAAAGGTAGACACCACAGTTTATTAGGTTCGAGATGTGTGACTCTGGCTTCTCAACGTAGTGAAGGACTCTCTTCGTGTGTGTGTCGGAGACAATGCAGCCAAAGTTGGTGGCAGCATCGTCACTGAGACGGGTACCGAGTATGACCGCCTCTGCATCCTTCTCCTCGAAGAGCTTGAGCATCTCACCCAGTGGGAACGAGCAGCAGACATCTGCATTGAGGACAAAGAAACGCTCTGGGCGACCCTTGAGAATGGCATCTCGGAAGTGGTAGAGGCCTCCAGCAGTGCCGAGAGCCTGGTATTCGCGGAGGTATTGGATGCGGAACTGAGGAAACTCAGTACTGGCCGACTTGATGAAATCTCGGAACACGGTCTCGTCATAGTATCCAACGAGAATAACCTCGCGGATACCAGGAACTTTAGCAACAGCCTTCAGGCAGTGCAGTATGATAGGATGACCAGCAACTTCAAAAAGGGGCTACACAGTTATTAGCGTCTCAACAGCTGCTGGGACAAACTAAGCATGGCGGGCAGCTGAGAGAACGCACTTTTGGCATATCCAGTGAAAGAGGTCTGAATCTGGTTCCTCTAGATGGTCCACCGACCTATAGCAAACATTAAAAAAGAATCATTAGCTATGATCTATATGGGTAAACAAAAAGAGAGGGGTTGGTTGCTATAGTAAGGATGGGGCATTTAGTTACCAAGATAACGGCCTTTGTAGACGCCATGTTTGAAGATGTAGTGGGCACAGCTAGCATTCCTCAAGAAACAGACTAAGAGATCTCTCTCTCGCTGTGTATATGTGTGTGGCAGCGAAATCAAGCAAATAGATAGTCAGCTTTGGAGTCTTAATCTATCATCAACAGACAAAAACATGTAGAAAGAGGTCGAAGCGCCAGCCCCCGAAGGGAGCTATCCCCCTTTCGGCTTTCTGCCCTTGGCGGTGAACCACGGGCTCCCGTGACACCACGTGGTCTTTTATCTTTGAGGTCGTTTTAAGGTTGAGTGGGAAAAAAGGAGATAAGATGAAGATAAGATGGAAATAACCTGGAGGCTGAAGACAACATCCATGACATTGAATGTTAAATCTCATAACTAGCAATGGCACCTCCTCTGTGGTCAATTACTCTCCCTAACCCCTTAATTAGTAGTCTTTATTATTGGGAAAGGGGCAACCTACTGATGGTTAACGGCATACCAAGTCAGGCTCTTTTAACTACCTACCGGGGTACCTACCTAGGTAGGTAGTTAATTACCGCCAGCATCCTATCTATACCATAGAGCATTCATAAATTTTGACATAATGGGACTTCCTTCTCGTTCTTTAATGCATAATGGATAGGGATAGGTACATATTCCAACTACATTTGGACTATTTGGTCTATGGCAGAAGGCCAGCTGCAGGGCGGAGTTTTCTGCTTTTCCAAAATTTTCCTTGTGTGTTGTTTGTCCTGTTGATTGAAGTTGAATGATGCTTACATTTTACTTCTTTGTAAAGATAATTTGTTTTCTAGGAGCAATATACCAATTTCTGTCTTACATGATTTCGACCTCCTACCATTCTGTTTTGCTATTAAAATAGCGCCCTTTCTGCTACTTTTACAACTGGACTTCCTTCTCATTTCTCTTCTTCCACACATACACACTTGGATTTGGCTTCTCGCTGCTGTGCTTTGCAACATTTGGGTTGCCATAGCAATCAAGTTCTGTTTTTTCTGTCTTGAACCGCGAACACTACGCGTTCATCTTTTGCTGCAATTCGATACAAGCAACCCAATAGTGCCTTGAAAATGGCTCCTGAACCACACTCGTCTCCCAGTAAGGCTCCTTCCCTATTGCTGCTATCAATATGTTAGACTAATGATTATCGTTGCTATTCCAGGCACTGTGGGAACGGAGGAGAAAAATGATTCAATTGGCTTTATCTCTCAGAATATGAGAGAAATGGTAAAGAAGATCCAGGATCTTCGGCATCTGGGGATCGAAAATCATGGCCTTCCGCTACCGAAGATTGTGGTCGTTGGCGACCAGAGCGTTGGGAAAAGTTCACTCATTGAGGGCATGAGCGAGATCAAAGTCCCAAGAAGTGCGGGATGCTGCACACGATGCCCTCTTGAGATAAACTTGTCTGAGAGTGACGACCCTTGGACGTGTCGACTCATTTTGACGAAGAAGTACATGTTTGATGCAACAGGCCGCAGTCAGAGAGCCACGAATGCCCGACCATTGGGTCCTTGGATTGAACAAGATCCCGAAGAGCTTCATTTTGCGACCCTGACAGACAAGAATTTGCTCCAGGAGCACCTCAAGTGGGCTCAGCTGGCTATACTTAACCCAGGGCGCAGCCACACTGACTTTATTCCTGGGGAAGACCAGGAGATCGACGGCACTTATAGCCAAGTCAAATTCTCTCCAAATGTTGTCCGACTAGACATCTCTGCGCCAGGGTTTCCAAACCTTTCTTTCTACGACTTACCCGGTGTTATCAATGTTGCCGAACTCGATGAGGAGCGCTACCTTGTTGGCTTGGTAGAGAACCTTGTGAAAGAATACATCAAAGCACAGAATTGCATTATTCTCCTCGCCCTACCCATGACCGACGATGCAACCAATTCCAGCGCTGCACGTATCATCCGCGATATTCCAGGGGCAAGAGATCGTACTGTTGGAGTTCTCACCAAGCCTGATCGTGTTGAGCTCAAGAATGGGAATGAGTATGATCAGTGGCGCGAGATACTTCGCGGCGAAAAATTTGCAACCGGCCATGGCTATTTCGTGGTACAAAATAATCCTGATCCGAGGATTGATCATGCCACAGCTCGTATAGACGAAGGCTGCTTCTTTTCTAATCCGCCATGGACTACAGAGCTAGCTGAGTACAGTGACAGATTTGGTACTCGCCGTCTCCAGACGGCTTTGTCAAAGCTACTGTTGAGGCTGATTCAAGATTCCCTACCAAAAATAATCGAACAGATTAATACTCAAGCGGAGTTTGTTGACCAGGAGCTGGCTAAGCTACCCAACCCTCCATCGGCAAATGTGTCTTATATATTGTGCCAGAAGCTTAATGCTTTCGTAAACAATGTTCAAATGCATGTTGATGGAGGTTCCGCCAAATACCCCTTTCTGAAACAATGGGGTATCCTTGCTTCTGAATTCCAACAGTACCTCAGTGCCTCCAGACCTGGGCTGTCTATCTCGTGTGCATCTGAATCAGCCAACCCAGAGAGTAAGGGAGACGACTCTACTTCAAGCTCAAAGGCTCATAAGCGGAAAAACCCGCCACAAACAAACGGAACAAGCGACCTCAAGAAGAAGAAAGTTGGAGACATTGCTAATGGCTCCACACCTAATGTGTCGGCATTCAATGTCCATGGCCATTTCGACAATTTCCACAGTAAGTCGATGAACAATCCAATCCAAATATTTACAGCTACTAACTCACAGTATCAAAAGAACCAAGGACTTTTACACTCAGCGAGATCCGTGATATCAACGCTGATACTTATGCATCTGGTGTCCCTGGCCTAGGGAATCCCCATGCTGTCGAAGCACTTAACCGAATCAGTGTTTCTCACTGGGAGGAACCGATGGAAAAGTTCCTGCTAGTTACCTACGCCTTGATGAAAGAGGTGCTCCTAGATGAGATGCGTTCTGTTTTTGGTCAATATGAGCAAACAGCTCTCTTTGACGAGTTGAAGGTCATTATCGTGGACTTCCTCGAATCCATTCGCATCGAACACTTCAACCAAGCTGAATCAGTGTTCAACATTGAATGCTTGAAACCCTTTACAATGGCAAATGCATTATTCCAGCGTGGCCAAGCCGAGGCCCATGAATACTTTTTCATTAGGCGATATGAAGCCAGGGCTCGTCAATATATAAAATTGATTAACGCACAGCAGGAGGCTTCGGGTAATAAGCCCTCTAAAATGGATCCGAACAAGGTGTCAGAAAAAGATCTAGGTCCAGACGAATTCGCCAAGGAGCTGGACATAATGAGTGTAAGGGCATTAGCTTATCCTCCCCTCTTCTCAGTGCCGGGGTTCATCCACTAACTTTCCTCGATATCACAGGCGTCTCGCGCTTATTACAATATTGCTTCGTCTCGCTTTGTGGACACTACGTGTCAGGGTATCCATATCAAGCTCTTCATGCGCTGCCGAGATGAGCTGAGAGGAGAGATTGAGCAGAAGCTCGGTATCTTGGATGAGAATGGTATGAACACCTCTACCAAATACGATATTCCCTCGCTAATCAACGCACATCTAGCTTCCGAGCGCTGCATAGAGCTGATGGCTGAGGATCGAGAGAGACAGGTGCGAAGAATGCACCTTCAAAAGGAAAAGGACAAGCTCGACAAAGCTCAAGGATGGTTAAAGGTCGCGGAAAAGTCCCCAGAGCCCCTTTTCTGCGACGCCAACTCCGTCTTGCCCTGACTGGCATAGCAATCTCATCCAGGAGCCTTTTGAGATCGATTTCCCTTCAGGAACAGGGCATCCATGGCCTCTGTCTTCCCGATTGACTGTCTAATGTGTTTGAAAAGAGATATGGCTGTGTTTTTGATAGGGAACGTTCCTTGCATGACCAAATTGACCCTCAGGATGGAAGGAGTACACAGAAGTAGATGTAGTTACCTAGCACTCTCATCAAAATACAGCTATTCTCCTTATTAACCAGCCTTGCCCTCCTGTACAATATCCACAGCCTACCGAATCGTGTAGATATCCCATTGAAATAAAGCAGTGCGGTTAATAAGGTGGGACATGAAACTTTTTGTGTGCAAAAAATCGGAAAAAAGAAAAAATAAAGGCAAGGCCACTTTTGAACTCCTCCAACTCCCCGCCATTTGCGCATCTTTGACTCATTCATTTTCTACACAATAAATAGAAACACCAGGGCTGTCTCCTAGAGTCGCTAGTTCATGCTCGAGAGACCCTGATAGACCTAAGAAACCAAAGAAAAAAATAAAGCAGGTCGAATAACTAGAGAACCATGGCCGACCAAGCTGCCGTTGACCAGGCGGTGGCTTCTGTCGCAAACCTTCAACTCGACGAAGTCACCGGCGAGAAAGTGTCCAAGTCGGAATTGAAGAGAAGGCAGAAGCAGCGTGCTCTGGAAGAGAAGAAGGCTGAAAAGGCTGCTGCCGCCGCTGCTGCGGCGCCTGCAGAGGGCAAGAAGAAGAACAAGGAGGAAGATGAATCCCAACTCACGCCCAACGTAAGTGGTTTCTATCCTATTGTGCGTCACAGTATGTTGCACAGAGCAAGTAATGCTAATCGTGCCTGTGAGTAGCAATATTTCGAGATCCGAAGTGCCAAAGTCAACCAGCTTCGACAGACCAAGGAGCCTAACCCATACCCCCACAAGTTCCATGTCACGGATGACCTGCGCGAGTTCCTCAAGGAGTTTGACTCGCTGAAGAAGGGAGAGCAGAAGCCCGAGAAGGAAGTGCGCATTGCCGGAAGAATATATACCAAGCGTTCTTCTGGAGCCAAGCTTATCTTCTACGACCTCCGTGCAGAAGGCGTGAAGGTGCAGGTTGCCTGTCAAGCCCAGGAGGCCACAGGTGATGTGCCATTCGAAGCCCAGCATGAACAGCTACGGAGAGGAGATATTGTCGGTATTGTTGGATTCCCTGGCCGCACCAACCCGAAGAACCGTGACGATGGGGAGCTCTCGATCTTTGCCCGTCAAGTCGTCCTTCTCTCGCCCTGTCTTCACCAGATCCCTTCAGAGCATTACGGTCTGAAGGACCAGGAGCAGCGATTTAGACAGAGATATCTAGACTTGATCATGAATGACTCTTCCAGAAATGTCTTTGTTACTCGCTCCAAGATCGTCAGCTATATCAGAAGATACTTTGATGAGCGTGACTTCGTTGAGGTTGAGACTCCAATGATGAACGCTATTGCTGGCGGTGCTACCGCTAAGCCTTTCATTACCCACCACAATGAGCTCAACATGAACTTATTCATGCGAATTGCCCCCGAGTTGTACCTCAAGATGTTGATTGTCGGAGGCCTCGAGCGTGTCTATGAGATGGGCCGTCAGTTCAGAAACGAGGGTATCGACCTTACCCACAACCCAGAGTTTACCACTTGTGAATTCTATTGGGCATATGCCGATGTGTACGATCTTATGAATGTCACTGAGGATCTCGTCTCTGGCCTTGTCAAGCACGTTACTGGTGGCTACGAGACTGTATTCCACACCCAGAGCGGCGAGACGTACAATGTCAACTGGAAAGCTCCATGGAAGAAGATTGAAATGATCCCAGCTCTTGAAGAGGCCACTGGCGAGAAATTCCCTCCAGGTGAACAACTTCACACCGAGGAGACCAATGAGTTCCTGAAGAGGGTGCTGAAGAAGGTCAACGTTGAGTGTACCCCGCCTCTCACCAATGCCCGAATGCTCGATAAACTGGTTGGTGAATTTATTGAGGAGAAGTGCATCAACCCGTCGTTCATTATCGGGCACCCGCAGATGATGTCTCCATTGGCCAAGTATCACCGTGACCACCCCGGCCTGTGCGAGAGATTCGAGGCCTTTGTTTGCAAGAAGGAAATTGTCAACGCCTACACTGAGTTGAACGATCCTTTTGACCAGAGACTACGCTTCGAGGAACAAGCTAGACAGAAGGAACAAGGTGATGACGAAGCACAGATGATCGATGAAAATTTCTGTACCAGTTTGGAATATGGTCTCCCACCCACTGGCGGATGGGGTATGGGCATCGACAGACTGGTAATGTTCTTGACCGACAACTACAGTATCAAGGAGGTTCTAGCTTTCCCATTCATGAAGGAGGACAAGACTGCTGGAAAGGATAAGGAGCACCTCGCTGCAGAGGTCGTTGGTATTGAGCCTCTCCCTGTTGAAGGCATTCGTAAGTGGCTTGACTATTCCCATCCCCCCTTCTTTTCTAACTGATAAACCACAACTCTTGATCGTGTCCAATGTCTAACTTCTACACTTTTTAGCCCATAAATAAATCAACTCATCTTTGCTCTTGGGTTAGAGAACTTGAATGTTTCCATGGGTTCATAAACAATTAACAAGTTAGGATTAGGAACATCTCACCCGTGAATCGTATGAAATAAAAAAAGCATTATTCTTCCAACCTGGAGTTTTTGAGTATTCACCCTTCTTGCCACCATTTCTATGCCTGCAACCAATCTTCTATTACGAGTGCTTGGGCCCCTTCTCGATGCCGCTATGGTGTAGGAGTTCTCTTATAAGCTCCTATAGGGCTGGTTACCTTAGCTGCTAGGGAACTTTGCCTACCAAGCTGTGCTGTGATACCATAAGGAGCTTTTTATAAGTAAAAAAAAATCAGGGAAATCAGTTCTTAAAGCTTATATTAACGCTATATGAAGATTCAATCACATATAGCACTAGTATGAGGCTCCATACCAGCTAAGTGACTGCAGAGACACCACTGCGGAAGTGTCCGCTGGTGTGTTCTTCTTCCTTTGAACTTGACTCACTCTGGCAGTGAATGTCCTATTCAATATCAAAGTTAATGGAAGATGCCGTAGTGAGAGCTGTGGATGTCTTTTTCTTTCTCTACAGAGCCTTCAAGTTCTTCCTCGCTTAACCACCAAATTCTCCACTAGTCGATGCAAAGAGGGTCCTCCTGGTATAACAAGCCATCTTTTTTCTCCAAAGAACCTATATTTGTTTCGCTGGATATTGAACTGTTACGTATTGGATGAAGCTCCTGGTACATCATCTACTGAATACTTTCTACTCCTTCTGCTTTGGCTCAGATATCACAATATCAAACCAGCTTGAACATCTTCTATATCACAGATTCAACCAATATCATGTTTCCAACCAGAGGGCAGGGCCTCGCGACTCCTGAGAGAACCTCCAGCTCCAGTACCAGTCCATTCCGGCCGCAGCCTCCCAGGATAGACACCAACGTCCCTCATATTACCGTCAACGGCAAGGAGGTCGAGGTGATCGAGATATCATCAGGCCCTTCTCCTCAGGATACTAATCCTGAATCCACACAGATTACTCCAGCACTAGGAATAGCGCAGAGACAGCTAGTTCAACAGCCCCTACGCACGCAGTCTGGTAGCCCTTCTCCTTTCGCTGCCACACCAGCTGGGAACCCACAGGGGCCTCATACCATTTTCAAACCTATCAAAATCCATACCGCGAAGTGTGATGTCTGCAATAAACATAACAAAGCCACTTTACAACGGTGTATTGACTGTGGGTGGCAAATATGCACCCCCTGTTGGAATGCCAGGGGTGGAAACGGTGCTCATGGCAGCGTTAGGAAATTCACAGGTGCAATTTATCGCAGCTCAGAGGATGAGCTGCCACTAAAAAAGCCTCGCAAGAAAGGGAAAAATGTCAACAATGAAGCAAAGGATACTCTCGCTGGAAAAGAGAAACCTTCTGCAAAGGATATTGGTTCTACTTCCACACGTTCTGGTCCAGAGGTTGGAAAAGGGAGGAGTCCCCTAGTCGTCCTGAGACATTCAACAGTGAGTGCGGATAGTTCTCCCGGCCAAGTCCCAAAGGCTGCAAAGACCTCTAGAGTGGTCCTTCAGAAGGCCCAGGGGAATTTCAAAATCCGGGCTTCTAGTGGCCAGGCCAGCGTTAGGCCAGCCAGTTCCCGCAGCGATGTTCCAAGACGAGCCTCAGTTGGCAGTAGTCAAACACCCCGAACGACCAACAATGCTCAGCAAGCAATAGTTGATGATCTATCGAGCTCATCTTTCTTGACTTCACTTAGTGCACTTGAAGAGGACTGTGGGTATCGAGGCGATGAAGATAACGAAGACGAGGATGACGAGGATGACGACGCGACCGAAATAGATCCAGAGAATGAGGACGTTCTTGTTGCTGATGGCAAGGCGTACCAGAAAAGAATATTCAGAGACCTTAACCCCGAAGTTGAGACCCGAATGAACTGGCTTCTCATCGCTGCAGAGCAAGCCCTCAAAGTACGGGAACGAGAACAAGACCAGGAACGATCCAACGGGGGTTCCAAGGGAGGATCCAAGGGCAGAAACGCTGTCCCAAAAACCCCTGAGCCGCCTACTCGGCCATCTGAGCCGCCAGCTCGTAGCTGGGTATTAACTCCATCCCAACATTCGTCTCCAGCTCCTGCTGCTGCCCCCAGGACTGTTTCTGCGCCTGTTTCTGTACCTGTTTCTGCACCACCTGTTTCTGCTCCGACCCAAGCTCTGGCTTCAGCTCCATATATAGCCCCCGTTCCCGTCTCGTTCTATTTCCAGTCTGACCCGCCAGCTCCGCCCGAGATGCTGGAAGCTCCAAAACGTCCAGTGTTCGCTCGGCCCTTGGGCAGGGTTCGATCCCTTGCAGCTCCCGCTGTGCCGGTTTCTGAGCTGATACCTAGACCAGACCCCATGGATATTGACCAGCCCAGATCTGTGAGCAATCCTCCAGTAACCAGTCGTCCGCCTCGAAAGCCTCTTCACCAGCCCGATGTTCCGCGAGGCCTGAGAGGGATCCTTCCTGGGACTCATACGTTCAGAAATTCGGCGGCCGGGGCATCTCACCAGCGCCAGATGCGACTATTCGAAGCGCTGAGAGAAAAGAGATTAAAGGAAGAGCAAGAGCGGAAGCAGCGTGAACAGCATGAGGCTGCGGAAAGAGCTGCAAAGCCTCATGCCAGGGCGTGGGAGCTGTGAGAAAAAAAACCATAACAGAGACCGACCAAGAAGGGTCACGGATCATGATATTATTTAGCTGCGGCCCATTTTATCTCCGTTTGGTTGCTTTCAATGGCGTAGTTAATTACTTTGGCTAGGGGTTCACAGCCTGGACAACCTGCGCCTGCGCCTACGCTTGGGCTTTGTGAACTTTGGTGACACCCGCGTTTGCTACCATCATAACTGCCATAATAGCATACAAGCTAAGTAGTCTGGAGATGCCCTTTTTCTTTCTTTCTTTTTTACCTTGGGATTCCTTGCCTTGTTTCCTTCTTTTACTCCCTCTTTACTACTTTGCATTGGCGTTTATGCTATCCTGCTCAAATTCGTACCATCAACCAGGATCTACACTTAGCCACGGCTCAAGGCGATTTGGACAACTACGCTACGACTGTTACCTAGAGAAAGCATTAAGATGATACTAAAAAATACAACTGGGATTTCACTTTCTGCAAAATTGCTTGCTTAGCGGAGATAGAGTACGTTGTATTATATGGGTACTTGATGTTAACACAGAGAGGAGAAGAAGTATAATCTACAGGTCTTGCTGTTCCTAAAGCTTCCGTGAAAGAGGAGAGGTAGCATGCGAAGCCGAAGATAGCGGTTTTGCCTTGGCAGCCTGCTGTAGGAGCCTTGCGGTGCGAGAAGGATGCCATATCCTGCTGCCCAAAACCATAACCCAGGTGAGGAGGAACAGGCTGCCTGCCTGGTGGGCGGATGCTAAGTGGATTGGGACAAGGTAGAGGAGTGTGCTGATTCCTAGTGTCAGTTGAAGTGCGGTGAATCCTACAACTCCGTGGATACCTTTCTTTGCGGCGCGAGGGAGAAGCTTTTTCATGGCGGGCATGCGACTGTATGCCCACAGCGACATGACGGAGGTGAACGTAGTCATGGCTAGAATTCGATGGTCAAGCTGTACAAAGGATGGGTTCTCGAGCATATTTCTCCACCACAGGTCGGATCGATCTTCCTTTCGGGAGTAGAACTCATCGAATAGCTCTTCTTTGGGAGGAGCGAGACCGTCACCCATCCAAGGGACTTCGTTATAGATCAAACCAGCATCAAGACCTGCGACGAGTCCGCCTGACATCGCGGTGACGAAAACAAGCAGTGCAAGACCAGCCACAGAGCGGCGGAAGACGGCTAGTTTAGGATTTTTCAGCGACTGGAGGACTTCTAGTCCTTTGATGGGATCTGCAAGAAGACGATGGGAGCGTAGAATAGCCAGCCCGTTCCACAACATGGCAACATAGCAGACAAATGCAGCTCCAAGATGCGCAGTAAGCCGGTACTGACTAACGCGAGGATGGCTACCCGGCGCAAACAAGTCATCTTTCAATCCAGATTTAACCATCCACCAGCCCAAAAAGCCCTGGAAACCAATGAGACCAGCAATGCCAGCGAGACGGAGGCTCATGGGCTTTGACACCCGTTTTGTTGCAACGAAATAAGCAGCGGGGATAACGAAAGAAAGACCGACAAAGCGACCCCATATACGGTGAATCCATTCCATGTAGTATATCGACTTGAACTCCTCGAGGGTCATGTTGGGGTTAAGCATCTTGAACTCCGGCGATGCTCTGTATTTGGCAAATTCCGATTCCCAGTCGTCTGCGTTCAGTGGAGGTATAGAGCCAGTCACAGGTCTCCATTCTGTTATACTAAGTCTATACAGCTGTCAACGATTGAACATAACATTAGGGGTAGGAGGATAGGGATAAGCATACCCAGACTCCGTGAGACGAGTTAGGCCGCCAAACACAACAATGCCAAAGACACTTGCCGCACTCGCCAGCAGCCAGTACGCAACACCCTTGGAGCTAACATCGGGAAACTTAGACTTGGAGACAGTCTCTCCCGCTGCCGTCGTCGCAGCGGTTGTGAAAAACGACCGTGGAATTACTGGTTTGGAAGGCTTTGTTCGAAACGCAGCTAGCAAACCAGAGGAATACTCCGAAGTGCCTCTAAACTGACTCGTCCCTATCCATTGACGCGCTGTTCTCGCTGGCTGGGGCCGTTGTAGGCATTGACGACAAGTGAAGAATTCTCGTGGGAGTCGTGATAGTGACAGCGATTGTCTAAACATTGACGGCCCGAGAGTAGCGGGCGGCATTGTTTCTGCGCAGGCTACCAGCTGGACACACAGGCACCGTACTGTCCACCGTGTGCTCGAGGGCTGCGAAGCTCACACAACCGTCGTCTCTTCGACCTCTTCAACTTCTTTTAACGTCTTCAACTTCACGTCTTCAAGCTAGAAATGAAGCTCTTCTGATTGGACTCTTCGACGACAAACCTTGGAAGATTAGATAATCACGGAATAACGGAGTTTAGTTATTCCTCTTAGTAATCAAATCTTCCGGGTTCCGAGGTCGGAGCGAGTCTTTGGGCACAAGAAGGGGAAAGGAGACGTCAAAGAAAAACAACGTCGACCGCTTGATCAACCAAATACTTGCACAGCTTCATATTGGAGTGCAGTTGCTGCTGAGAACAGTATTTACTGTTATTCTACATGGAATGCGCGATTGGGGCGTTAGTACGATGGTGAATTGACCTCCAAGTTGACACTTATACGTTGAGGGCGATCTGGAGGAACGGGGGAGCTTCCGTTGTTCATATACCCCGTACATTCCTGGAGCTACAATGGGAATATAGGCATATTGTCTTGATGAATGGTAAAGCGCCTTCTGCTCTATTAGCTGCTAATGCATTCTGAACAGAAGATATATATAACTGGAATTATACATGACATGGCATCTGGGCATCAGGGTCATTATTGAAACAAGGGAGACAGAAGAAAAGAAAAATAGAAGACTCGTGACAGGGGCTTTCGCTTTTTTTGGTGTTGCAACATTTATATCAGGTTTCCTCGGAGAGCCTGCTCACGTTCTATGGCCTCGAAGAGAGCACGGAAGTTGCCAGCACCGAATCCGGAGAAGTTGCGTCGCTGGATGATTTCGATGAAGACGGTAGGGCGGTCCATGAGATGCTGACAGACAGTTAGCAATGTGTGCATACACATAAAGAGGGAGATTATCACCGGAAAAAAACATACCTTGGTGAAGAGCTGGAGGAGGTAGCCACCCTCGTCGAAGTCAATGAGAATATCGAGCTTCTTGAGAGCCTCAAAGTCTTCCTGAAGCACCATACCCTGCTTCTTCAAACGCATGCGCATGTCATCATAGTAGGTCTCGGGGACCTTGATGAACTCAAGACCGCGAGCCTTGAGCTGTGTGATGGTCTCGATGATGTTTTCAGTTCGGAGAGCGATGTGCTGGACACCGGCACCGCTGTAGAAGTCGACGTACTCCTCGATCTGGGACTGCTTCTTACCCTTGGCGGGCTCGTTGATGGGCATCTTGACGATGTCGTTGGGGGACGACATGACGATACTCTTGAGGGCGGAGAATTCACTTTTCACGTGTCAGACGTTGCCTGAATAAAGTTACAGGGTAGTCAGTCTAATACATACGTGCAGATATCCTTGTCATCGACAGACCAGAAACGGTGGAATCCGAGAACCTTCTCATAGCTATGATGGTGTTAGTTTACGTCTGACCAATCTCAACAACACCAACAAAGGAAGAAGATAGACTTACTAGTCGCAGACCTTCTCCATCTCATTCCAGTCCTGGTTTCCGACACAGTGGTCTATCCGCTCGAGCTTGACTTCTGGGAGGAACTGGGCGATTGGGTCGGTGTTGGCGGTCTCATCACGGTATCCGGGCAGGAACAGTCCCTTGTATGCCTTTCGCTCGATGAGAGTGTGTGTGGTCTCGCCGTAGGTCTGGATGGTGGCATACTTGATCTGGCCGTTCTCGTCCTCGGAAGTCTTGACCTCAGAGACAACCTTGGCACCGTTCTTCACGGCAGCATCGAAGACGGCCTCAACGGAGTCGACTTCGAAAGCAACATCCTTGACACCATCGCCATGCTTCTCAAGATGGGCATGGATCTCCTCGAGATAGGCCTTCTCCTCGGCAGGGTAGCGAGCAGCCTGCTCGAGCGATCGAAGAGGAGAGGTGAGGACGAATGTGACGGCACCGTTAGACACAACGTGAGAAGCGATGGTCTTGAGGCCGGTTTCCAGGCCACGGTAGGCGAGCTTCTTGAAGCCGAGACGGGTGACATAGTAGGTGGCGGCCTGCTTTGCGTTTCCAACGTACCAGTGGACGTGGTCATAGCCCTTGTACTGGGAGAGGTCTGCCGGAGCGGCAGCAGCAGCCTGGGGGACGTCGGCAGCGGGAGCCATATTGCTAGCTGTTTACTGTTTGGTGATGAGAGTGCTGGTGTATCGTGATGGCTGGTTCCTTAACGCTTGGACCGGAGATTACGCTGGAATGAAGGGGAAAAGAAAAGGGCCAGCGTCGAGCTTCTCTGTGCGAACGAGCAGTCTTTTGTACGGTTCTCTGGCCGCAAGTCAACAACCGACTCATATGCGCCACAATGGTCAGCAGCGATCCTTGCTGAACAGCTTCTCCCCGGGGATCCGGCTTCCTTGCACCAGGCAATTTTATCCTCCTTCTGCGTTCCAATGAAACAGCGGGCAAAACGTCTAAATCTTCGTGTGGTCCATCCGCCGCGCTTTGCTTTTTTCTCCTGCTGCATTGTTGCTGCGCTTTCTTGGGCCAGGCTATTTCCGGCCGCCCGGCTGTTTACGGGTATTTTCAACCTCAGCTACTCTAGCCCAATAACATTCCTTGCCGCGCCGGCTATTTCAACAATTTCAAGTTTTACGTCATCGAATAGCCTCGGCTTGGCGTCTTGGTCACGCTTCGGGTCTTTTTTCGACCCCAGCAACAGAAACATCCTGGCCAACGCCAGAGAGAGAGATATCAGATATCAGATATCAGATATCAGGCCTGTGGTCGCTGGAGTCGCTGGCCAACTTGACACACACACAGGCTCTCTCCTTCGTCCCCGTGAACTCACAACAGAGCAACTGAGCCCTCTCGCTACCATGGCTCCAACTCCAGAATCGATAGCGGCAGCAAAGCCATCGCTGACATCAAACGACTCCGCCGTTCTTCAGGCTTTGTTCGACGCTGAATCGTCTCCCTCCAACAGCATCAAAACAGACTCGACCCTCCCTCAGCTCCCCAATATCGCAGATGCCGACCTCCAGCCGCTGAAAAAACGGGAGTTGGATGCCCTCCGACCCCTGCAGACCACTAACGAGAACCTGACGCCGGAGATAATCCAAACGGCCATAGCTCAGCTTTCGGGGATTATCGAAGAACACCCTAACTATGCGCCGGCTTACCTAAATCTGGCACAGGCTATACGCCTGTCGATCGACACTGACTCGCAGACCCAGCCGGACGGGCCTCAAACCACACTGCCACGCTCGAACCAGCTGTTTGACAATTTGGCCAAAACAATCGCTCTTCTGACCCCTTCATCGTCTTCGGATGCCATCTCTCCATTCCACTCTCGCATCCTGGCCAACGCTCACACTCACCGTGCATACATACTCTACAAGGCGGCTCGGTCGAAGGATGAGAAGGAGAAGGAACACCATCGACGAAACCTACTGCCACCGCAGCTCCAGGATGTCCCGGATGATCGCCTGGAGGAGCTTGCGAGCTATGACTTCCAGATCGGTGGCCGGTGTGGGAATGAGGCAGCCAAACAGATGGCTGTCGGCACCAATCCATACGCGAAGATGTGCGGTGCCATCGTGAAAGATGCCATTCAAGCTGAGATTGCGAAGTGGAATGAAAGCCAGACGTGAAGTTGTCAGTTAGAGCCTAACTGCACTCCGCATGAACCCCAGCCAGGCTGGACCAGTTGTAAATATTTTGATTATTTTTATCACTTTAGATGTAAAAAAAAAATGTTAATGAAGTTATGAGATTATTTTTTTCTATAAAGCCGCTATATCCCATGGCTCCACTAAAAAGTTGGCTGTATCAATCAACGGATAATATATAAAATGAGTATCGGTCATTATAATATGTGCTAGCTAGGGTCATTCAAACAAATCATACAGAAAAATCGGCCAGGGGTGACTGGAACAGCCGTGAGATACCGCTTGAGCCAGGTTGCTTTTTAGCTCACTTCTTGTTTGGGTTCTTGAAGTACCTCTTCAATGGCGTCCAGCTCTCCTCGTTGTAGTCATCCTGCACCTTCTGGCAGGTCTTCAGACCCCACTCAGAAACACCGACCATCAAGCAACTAGTCGAGTGTTAGCAGTCGGAACGGGAAGAAAGAAAAAAAAAATTAGATGGAGTAGTTGGGCTCACCTTTCGAACATGAAGGCCATGCTGCCCTCGCCAACCTTCTTCGGCGCGAGCTCGGCGTTGGAAGCGCCTTCGTGGCTGGCTGCGTCTGGGCCATGCGCACTCATGACGTTATGTAAGCTTGCCCCGGCCGGCTTGAAACCGCCTGCCGTTTTGGCGTCGTAGTCTCCACTGATCAAGCCCATGAATTCGGACATGGTGTTGCGGTGGTACCACGGGGGCCGGAAAGTGTCTTCCTGCACAAGCCAGCGCGGGGGGAAGATGACAAAGTCGGCGATGGCCGTGCCGGGGTGGTCGGACTGGCCGGTGAGCACGGTGAAGATGGATGGGTCGGGGTGGTCGTAGGAGATGGATCCAATTGTGTTGAACCGGCCTAGATCGTACTTGAAAGGATAGTAGTTGCCATGCCAGGCGACGATATCGAAGGGAGTATGAGGCTGAGTGGCGCGGAAGAGGGTGTTGTTGAATTTGCTGAGAATGGTGTATTCGGACGGCTCCTCCTCGTCGTCGAAGGAAGCGATGGGAGCCTGGAAGTCGCGGGCGTTGGCCAAGCAGTTGGATCCAATGGGGCCAAGCTCTGGAAGTTGATAGTGGCCCTGATACAGCTCACAGATGTATCCTCGGACAGGGCCCTCCGGAAGAGTAACCCGGTAGCTATAATGCGGTTGTAAGTGTCAGCCCATGTTCAAGTATATTCGCCGGTGGGGAGGAAGAATCAGTGCCACCTACCGGACGCCTCGGGGAATAACACAGATCTCGTTAGGACGGACAAGGATTCTGCCCAGCTCGGTCTGGATGTCCAAAACTCCATGCTGAGGAACGATCAAAAAGTCACCGTCTGCAGAGTAGAAGGCCTCTTTGCCCATATCTTTGCCAGCGGCGAAGAGCAGAATGCCCAGTCCATGCTTGGTGGCAGGATCACCGGCACCAGCAACCAGGTGCAGGCCGCGAACCCAGTCAACCTTCTCGTCGAGATCAAAGGGGTTCCATCGGAGCTGGTTGGGGATCTGGCGGAGCGAAGTAGCATCCTTGCTCAGGCTGGTATGATAGGTCGAGGCGTCAACCTCCTCAAACGGACGGTGAGACGCTGCGGGGATTATCCTGTACAGCCATGTCCGCAGGTTCTCATGTCGAGGAGCCGTGAAGGCCGTCCCGGATAGTTGCTCAGCGTACAGTCCAAATGGAGGCTTCTGAGGAGAATTCTGGCCAACTGGCAGGGCTCCCTTAACGGCCTCGGTCCTAGTTCGCAAGTCAGAAAGCGGTTCATTTCATTCCATATCTATCGTTCCAATTGAAAAGCAGTGCAGTGCAGAGTCACTCACTCGTGGTAGGAGCCGAAGCCGTTCTGGTAGGTATACTTCTCCGGCGTGGAAAAGGCTGTGACAGGCATTGTAGCGTTTGTTTACTCTGTTGACAATGAGAGAGTAACAAAAAGTAGGCGTCTGCTGGGGTTTTTAAGATCCCAAACTGCTGGCTTGAGGAGACGAGACGACGACGCCCTTCAAGATGTTTTATATGCGCCTTGTCGGAGGCCTCAAAAGACGAGAGAGAGAAAGTTGGTCCCTCTCGTGGTGTTACTCGCTCGTCATCTTATCTCATCCAGTGCTCCGAGCTCAGCGGAAACCTAGAATTAGCCGGCGCGGGACCTTTCCGCAGTCTTGGTACACCCCGCCGGCAAAAAAAAGAGAGAGAGACGATGACTAAGCTGAATAACACTGCCCCTCTCCCGAAAGAAGAAAGAGCTAGGATAAGGAAGGCGCCTTCTTCTTCTTCTTCTTACTTCCTGTTCGTTCCTTCCTTCTTTGTGGTATGAAAGTGTTATTGCTGCTCCTTCTCTGCCCACTTCGATCATCGAGAACTTCATCGTCCAGCGTCAACCGTCAATTGCGCAGCTTCTCGTCGTCATTCATACCACAATCTAGAAAGATGTCGAACGCTTCCTGGCTCCAGATCCCTCGGGATTCCCCATTCTCCCTGGCCAACATTCCCTTTGGCATCATTTCAACAGAAGCACTGGCTGATCCCCGGCCAGCTGTTGCCATTGGAGACCATGCACTGGACCTCTTCGCCTTCTCGTCTGCCGGCGGCTTCTCTAAGCTCTCGTCTTTCTCCTCGCACATCGACGTCTTCACCAAGCCCACCCTAAATGACTTTGCTGCTCTGGGAAGACCAGTTCACCGTGAGGTCAGAGGCTACCTACAGGACGTCTTCCGTGACTCTACCCCCTATCCTGAGGTCCTCAAGACCAACGAGGAGCTCAAGCAGAAGGCCCTCATCCCCCTCAAGGATGTTACCAACCATCTGCCCATGAGAATTGGTGATTACACTGATTTCTACGCTGGCTTGAACCATGCCTTCAACGTTGGAGTTCTCTTCCGTGGACCTGACAACGCCCTGCAGCCAAACTACAAGCATCTTCCCGTTGGATACCACGGACGTGCTTCTTCCGTGATTGTCTCTGGCCAGCCTATCCGCAGACCAAACGGTCAGATTCTGGCTAACCCAGCTGCCACCCCCAAGGTCCCAATCTTCTCTCCTTGCAAGAAACTCGACATTGAGCTTGAATTGGCTGTTTTCGTCGGCAAGGGCAACAAGATGGGAGAGCCCATCCCCATTGAGCAGGCTGAGGACCACCTGTTCGGTGTCGTCTTGATGAACGACTGGTCTGCCCGTGACATCCAGGCATGGGAGTACGTTCCTCTCGGCCCATTCAACGCAAAGAACTTTGCTACCTCCATCACCCCCTGGGTCGTCCTCATGGATGCCCTTGAGCCTTTCCGATCCACCGGCCTCGCCGCTGAGGAAGGTCTGGACAACCTGTTGCCTTACCTCCGTGAGAAGAGACCCGAAAACGTGTACGACATGCAGCTCCAGTTCGACCTCAAGCCAGCAAACAGCAGCGGCGCCTCGACCGTGGCCAAGACCAACGCAAAGAATTTGCTCTACTCCTTTGCCCAGATGCTTACCCACCACTCCGTCACCGGGTGCAACATGAACACTGGTGATTTGCTTGGTAGTGGAACCATCTCCGGTAAGGAGACTGGAACTCTTGGAAGTTTGCTCGAAAACACCCAGGGTGGTAAGCAGCCCATGAAGCTGGCCGACGGTACCGAGCGTGTCTTCCTCGAAGATGGTGACGAAGTTACTCTCAGGGGAATGTGTGGTGAGGAAGGTAGCTATGTCGGTTTTGGAGACTGTACTGCTACCATTCTCCCTGCCCACGCTATCAACTAAGGTGTCTACCTGCTGTGTTTATTTTATATAGCGAACCGTCACTGCAATTTTTGTGAAGTATAGATATTAAGTTGATATGAAAATGAAATCACGCCATGTTCAATAGTCTTTTTCTTACTTCATCCTCAATTCCTCTGGTGTATCAGGCTGATTCTGCCAGAATGCCTCCTTGACAGCTGCCTCCTCCAGCATCAAGTCATAGATCCTCTTGGTAGTCGGATAATCGGCAAGCTTCAAGCCTACTCTTTCCGCAGACCACACGGCAGGCACCAGACACACATCCGCTAGCGTAATCTCGTCTCCCACACAGAACTTCCCTGCAGAATGAACAATTGTCTTCTCAAAGGCTGTGAATCCAGCAACGGAAAGCTCCAATGCCCACTTGGTCGCATCTGCATCTAGTTGCTTCACCTTCTTCTGAACACGCAAATTGGTCACTGGCTGGATGTCTGTTGCAATCAACAGCGCCAATTCACGTGCCTGGGCCCGAGCCATTGGGTTAGATACCGGTGGAAGAAGGGCGCGAGTGTTGGGTAGCGACTCTTCCAGGTATTCTAATGCCGCGAGAGACTGGGTGACCTTGAATTTTGTGCTCTTGCCATTTTCCTGGTAAGTGGACAGAAGGACCGGCACGGTAGCATTGGGATTGATCTCTCTGTGCTCATCAGAGAGCTGTTCTCCTTTCAGCAGGTTAACGAAGACCGGTTCATAGGGCGTCGACTTCAGGTTCAGGGCGATCCGTAAGCGGCCGGCGCATGAGGACCGGAAGTATGTGTAAAGCTGGAACTTGGCGTTGGAAGATGACATTGTCCGCTGTTTGTCTATTCGCTTTCGTTGGTATCTTCTTTTCCTTTTTCTCCTTCTTAATTGATACAGTAAACATAAACACCCAGCGACCTTGAAGTCGTCACTTTCATACAAATAAACACCAAGCGGCGGGAAAGAGCCGAGAAACCACCCGTGAGAAGCCGAGAATTGCCGATTGACCCCTCTATTACTCATCAACAGAGTCACGTGATGAGTGCCCCTCCATCGAGCAAAAAGAAACAAAATACGGAGTGTCAATGTGCAAATAGAGAAAACAAATAAAATAATAAAAAAAAATAACAAATTAAAAAAAAAAGAAACGGAAATTCTCTGAAGATGAACCCGGTGCGAATTGAACGCACAACCTTCAGATCTGGAATCTGCTGCGCTACCATTGCGCCACGGGTCCTTCAGTGGGTCTATTTTGTCCTAGAGAATGTCATGGATCTTGCTGGCTTACCGGGCCTTGAAACTCTAGTTGACAGTTCTCTCTCACGTGTCTAGTTCAATGCAGTCGAATTAAGGTATCCGCACTTTAATCTAGGTTTCGCACTGTTGCCGCGTGCCGCGCTTCTTTAGGGAATTTATAAACGAGTTAAATGTTGGAAGGGATATAAAAGGTTGCAGAACCAGGCACCCAGAACCCGATTTTACCAAAAACATGACCCTAATCGCCCAGTCTCCAGACCCTATCCGACTACCTCCTTCCGAACATAATAAAGAAACGACCAAATATCAAACACTGTGTAGGGAACATCAAAGGAATGGTAAGAGCACTGTGCAACCGCATCGAACTATCTGCTCTTAAGTTCTTCGAGTCTCTTTACCGTTGGTTCCGGTGTTGGCTTTGGGCTCTTTTTCTTATTTTTCCGCTTGCCATCTTCTAAAGCTATGAATTTCTCAAAACCATCGGGCATTTTCTGTAAATTTGGATACGCAGTTGTTTCACCAATAGGTTGGCACACCGACCAGCGGACTATTAGTTCGTATTTATATTTGTCGAACGTTTCCAAGTTGATGAAAGGGGTGCAATTGAAGTGCAGCGTCCCGTTTTCAAGGTATACCTCATTTATACGGACCTGGCGGTTGAAACAGGAAATCATAAGCACCTAGATTCTGGTTAGAGGAGACCACCTGAAATGAACAAGATTTATAACTTACGGAAAAATATGATTGGTGATATGTGGGAGCCATAGCATCCGTTCCATCATTATATCAAGGCCCACCAATATCTCGCTGCGAGCAAGCTTTGATTCCGTATCTTTATTAGGACGAAGGCCACGTGTGGAAAATGAGATGACATGACTAGCCGTAGGGCGACTTTCATAAAGATCAAGTTCTGATTGGGCTATCCAGTCCGTGAGTTCGTCAGGGAAATAGTTGGAAAAGTTACCTCCCATATGCGTATGAGGAACTCTATTCATATGAGCTATTAGAGCAGAAAATTGCAACAGTGATAGTGTGAAATGAAAACGTACATAACCTTACGCCACGGCGTGTAATCCAAAAACAGGCCCTGTTCCTCGGTTTGAGCATGTTCTGGTATCTCAGAATGAATTAGGCCCCGAAACATATGGTAAATGGCTTCGGCATCTCGCATCCGCCAATTTTCACAATCCCATTCAATCTCCTTTACACGCCTCTTCTCATCGTAGACCCAGGATTTGGATTCGGATAACGGGACAGGTTTAAAGAAACGGCCACCATGCTCTAGATCCATGTTCGACAGGCGTATGTTGAATTGCTGCATTTTTTCTTGCGAAATATAAATACTCTCTTTATCATGAGCCCCTCGTAAGTACTTGAAAAGAGGTTTGAGCCTTTTATGGTCATCAACTTTGCGTCTAACAATGGCACGCAGCGTGGCAAAGTCAGGCTCAGTTACATCAGCCATGGAGGGCAATAGGGATTTCACAAGTTCCAGCAGGAGGAAAAATTCAAAGAGTTGACAGATGGTTAATAGGGTTATGAAGGGTGAGTGAAACGATGCCTGGAGAAATCAAATAACTTGGGACGCGTTTGAATAACTGTAGACAACATGTGCAGATCTCAATGTCAGATAAATATAACTAGTTATAGTTATATTAGTCAGCCTCGCTACGCGTACATTTGGTCGCGCACAGATATCTCAATCAAATCATCGATCTCCGTTTGACGCTCAATCAACGATCCGGGTCTCCCGGAGTCCGGGATAGTCGATAGCCGCCGGTTCAGCCGAAACGAACGCTTAATGGTTCGGGTGGCGGCAACTTGTCAACCCTGCGTTTATGTCAAATTCATCATTAGTTATTAGTAATCTGCGTTGATTTCAAAGCAAGCAGATCACATCATTTTTTGTTGCTCAGAATTAGTCTTCTTCTCCTTTCCATGTTCAAAGTCCCAAGCCTATCTTTTCTCATATATTTATATAAAGCCAGTCGCATATCCAAACATAAGACGTTCTCTTTATCCTATTTTTCAGTACCCGGTTATCTACTTACTAGTGTATCAATTTATCCTTTCCCTAAGTGATCGTTGCATCGGATATTCGTGTTTCCAACGACCGAGCATACCAAGAAGACCCCAACATATTTTTATATATCAACGAAGAGAAGGCAACTATGGGTGATTTTGATATCGATATCAAAAAAATTGCAAACTCGCCGGCTCCCGGCATCAGCTACTTTACACCACATCAGAATCCTCCAGCAGGCCAGGCGGCAAATCCTCAGAGCAATGGCTCTGCCCCGCCAAAACTCTTCCAGCCGCTAAAGATAAGAGGGCTGACTCTCCATAACCGCGTCGGGGTAAGTACAGCTACCTTACATATACCAAAGAACGGGGAGATACCCCGTATAGAGTAGTTGAAATGCTAATATGTGGCACAGCTTGCACCTCTCTGCCAGTATTCATCGCGGGATGGCCATCTTACTGACTGGCACGTGGCTCACCTTGGCAGCATTGCAATCCATGGAGCTGGATTTGTGATGGTAGAGGCTACGTCTGTCCTCCCAGAAGGACGGATCACCCCTGAAGACTCAGGACTTTGGAAGGATTCTCAGATCGAGCCTCTAAGGCGGGTCGTCGAGTTTGTTCATAGCCAGAGCCAGGTTATCGGCATCCAACTGGGCCATGCCGGTCGCAAAGCCAGCTCGTTTGCTCCCTGGCTGACGTCCGGTGACCTTGCCGATGAGAGCGCGGGTGGCTGGCCGGATAATATCAAGGGGCCAAGTGATATCCCGTGGGGCCCGCGACTGGGCAATCCGAAAGCCATGACGAAGGCGGATATTGAAGAATTCAAGGAGGCCTTTGGTGCATCAGTGCGCCGTGCAGTTACTGCGGGTGTCGACTTTATTGAAATACATAATGCCCATGGATACCTTCTGTCGTCGTTTTTGTCTCCAACCTCGAACAATCGAACTGACGAGTACGGCGGTTCGTTCGAGAACCGAATGCGCCTCACCAGCGAAATCGTCGACATTTCTCGCAAGAACATGCCCGAAGACATGCCTTTATTCCTTCGTGTTTCATCTACTGAATGGCTGGAAGAGTCCCGTCCTGACCTAGCTAGCTGGACGGTAGAGGACACAGTTCGCTTTGCCGAGGTACTGGCTGAAGGCGGCAAGGTTGACTTCATCGACATCAGCTCGGGAGGTAACCACCCAGACCAAAAAGTGAGAGGCGCGCTACCTGGCGTACCTTACCACGCTCCCATGGCAAAGGCCGTCAAAATGGCCGTCGGCGATCGTATGCTTGTTGGTGTTGTCGGAAACATCACCACTGGGACAACTGCCAACCGGCTGTTAGAGGAGGATGGTCTGGATTACGCTCTGGTTGGCCGCTGGTTCCAAAGGCATCCTTCACTTGTTTGGTCTTTTGCCGACGAGCTGGGGGTTGACCATAAAGTTGCCAACCAAATGTCATGGCCCTTTGGAGGAAGGGGCTCTACCACTTATTTGAAGGCCGCACAAAAGAACTAGCTGGGTTCTATTTATTATTTTGGAAAAGGAGGCTGGCTGTGTTGGATGAGTATATAGATTTGGCTAGATTTGAGTATTGACTGAACGATAGAACAATGTTAGTGAATTTTTATATATAAAGCGTTGGCTTGGCTCCCATCCAATCGATAATATTACTCGCTGCCTTCCATAAAATAAATCTCCGTCTTTACAGCTTGCAATAACGAAAAGCAACAGCTTTCTCATGGAAACTAAGCTTTCGGGGAAGGAACCCGACTGTATTGTAACCCGAAAACACCGGTAATATTTCTTTTTCTTTAAAAAGCTAAAATAATGGACCGTAATTTACACTATCAATACACAAGATGACATGCACGTGATTACTCTTCTCCCAGCCGGTAAACAAAAAGCAACATTCAAATTGATATCGTGTCCAAAGCAATATTCACTATCTGTATCACGGGGAATGGATGATAGACTTACATATGTGTGGTTCCGGTACTCCGTATTTATTCGGGTCAGCCTGGATCGGATATATTACGCACATAACCAGTTCGAAGGCGCCCCAAGGCCACCATGCAAACGTCCCAAGCCCAAGGAATCAGATGGAAGGCCCCCTGAGAACTGGAGATTCGTTTCTCTGCGATCACGGATAGCCGGCAGGAATCTCTGACGGTGCTGATTCCTTCACGGAGCCTGTCCGACAGGGCTAACATAAAACAAAGTGTCTCTTTGTAAATCACGCAAAGAAAAAAGCAATGTGTATTCTGAAATGTCCCAGCTAGGGCCTTGCCTGGACTTTGCCATGACCATGACCCGCCGTGGGGTAGTCAAGGGAATAAACTGGAGCGCGAACGAGCCCATGCTTTGTCGATATCCTGCCATCATTTAACGGGGTGTCGACTTGTCTGCGAGTACTCCGTATCCCGCCATAATTCGTTTTATGTACTCCTTACAGAATGGTCAGCTTCGAGCTGGGGCTGCGGGCATCACTCGTATACGTTTATCTCCAGGCCAGCCTTTGTAACTAGGGTTAACTGACTGGCTGACGAATAATGAATCCCTGGGACTCACAGGCGAGGGAGCCAGGCCAGGGATCGATGCCCCTCCATGAAAGAGCACAAAACTGTTGGGCCATAGTTAAATGGTCGACTCCTCTCGCCCTGTCTATATCTTTGTCTCTGTTTCTCTCCACTCAACTAGTGGGCGCTTTATCTGCCGGGGGCTACTGGGATCTCGCACGCTGCACCCTCGACTCGCTGCTTATCTCGTTGACTTGTAAGAAGAAGCAAGCAGGAGAAGAAAAGAAAGGCGACGTCGAAAAAGACTCGGCTCACGTGGTCTGCTTACCTTTGCTTTTGGCCTGATTTGCTTTCCCGCCGACTTTCGACCATCTCTAACTCCAGCGAGCGAACGGCGAGCATCACCGGCGCATCTGCATCGACAACCATCTTTCTCTCCTTTCGACGCCAGCAGGCAACGAGGAGGACAGACACATAGCGTCGCGATGGCTGCTCGATCTCTCCCCAGAAGCCTCTCGAGGCAGCTGGCCTTTATCCGACCCTATGGAACGGTGCAGAACAGCGTCCCCAAGCCGACGGCTACCACAGTGGCGCCATCTCCTACGAGCTCGCTGCCGGTAGCGCTGCAAGATGCAATCGCGGCCAGCGCGCCTCGTACATCCTGGACTCGCGAGGAGATCACTCAGATATACCGGACTCCGCTAAACCAGCTCACATTTGCTGCCGTACGTCATCCACTCTAGTAAAGAGAGAAAGCTGAGACGGCGCGCAGGTTATGTGGCCAGACGTATTAATCTTCCCTCTTGTGATTTGATATAGGCTGCTGTCCACCGTAACTTCCATGATCCCGCTGCCATTCAGATGTGCACGCTGATGAACATCAAGACCGGCGGATGTAGTGAAGACTGCTCATACTGCTCGCAATCGTCAAGATACAACACCGGTCTCAAGGCAACAAAACTGAGCACTGTTGATTCTGTTTTGGAGGCTGCTCGCATCGCCAAGGAGAACGGGAGCACCAGGTTCTGTATGGGTGCTGCATGGCGTGACATGCGTGGCCGCAAGTCCAACCTGAAGAACATCAAGGCGATGGTTAGTGGTGTGCGCGAGATGGGCATGGAAGTGTGTGTCACGCTCGGCATGATCGATGGTGAACAGGCAAAAGAGCTGAAGGAAGCCGGCTTGACTGCTTACAACCATAACGTCGACACATCTAGAGAATTCTACCCCTCCATCATCACTACGCGGTCTTACGATGAGCGTATCCAGACTCTCAGCCACGTCCGTGATGCTGGCATCAATGTCTGCTCTGGTGGTATCCTTGGTCTCGGCGAGGAAGACTCTGACCGCGTGGGATTGATCCATACAGTTGCAACACTGCCTGCTCACCCAGAATCTTTCCCCGTTAATGCCTTAGTGCCTATCAAAGGTACTCCCCTGGGCAACAGGAAGATGATCGAGTTTGACAAGTTGCTGCGAACAGTTGCTACGGCTAGAATTGTTCTCCCCGCCACCATTGTTCGTCTGGCAGCCGGCCGTATCTCCTTGACGGAGGAGCAGCAGGTTACTTGCTTCATGTCTGGCGCAAATGCCATCTTCACCGGTGAGCGAATGCTTACCACTGACTGCACCGGCTGGGATGAGGATAAGAAGATGTTCGATAAATGGGGATATTATCCCATGAAGAGCTTTGAGCGTGGAGAATATAAGGGAATTGCGGAAAAGCAGCCTTCTCCAGTGAGTGACGTTGTTGAGCCGGCCCAGCCTGCCGCTGCACCAGTTGCATAGACTTCCTGTCTCCTTGTCCACTTGGGCTGTTGCTCTTACATTTCACCTGTTTCCAGCCTTTGATTTGTATATTCACGACCAAAATATATCGTCATTTCGTGCCTGTAGGCTATATCTATACATTCATAGAAACCTCCTTTTTTATACCATCCAGGGAAAAGCTATGTACTTTTATCCTATTCACCCTTTTTTTATCTTTTAACACCTGAGGGTTGCATATCGAACTGCAACCTCCTCCTGAATACCACATTCTCTGTTCTCTTCGACCAGCGATTTTCGTAACAATGTCTCTACCTTGTACAGTACTTCTTGCGTCGAGGTAACACTAGCCATAAGGTAAAGCACATTTCCCAGAACCCGGGAATGGATGTTAAATGGCCCTTCACCGGCCGTCAGTTTCTTTTGCAGCCCACTTGCTGCATTGGATGTGTATCCTGGTCAAAATGTTAGCTAATCTTCTTGCTAATATCACAATGAGATATTGGAGTAATATGGAGTCGTTGGAATTACCTCCACCATTTTGGTCTCGCAGCGTAATACTCAAGACTGATCCAATTGCAAACACGCTCTCAACGTCTTCCGCATAAGATAAATCCGAGACAAGGGCCTGCGGCCAACAGCTCCATATCTCGGGCCCAGAAAGGCTCCTCGTATTATTTCCAATTGGTGATGTGCTAGCCCGTTTCCAATCTTGCACATATTCGTTCCAGTACCCAGTATGCTCCATGCTCTCCATTTTCTGGAGAGATGCCACTGCAACCGAGCACCCGACGGGGTTAGCCGTGTAACTGTGGCCGTGTAGCAATGCATCGGACTTGTGTGGGCTATCGAATGTCTCAAATATTTCATTGCTGGCCAGAGTTGTGCAGAGAGGCATCAGGCCGCCAGTCAGTAGCTTTGCATGCACGGAAACGTCCGGGTCAACATTTAGCAACGATGCAGCGGTGCGACGACCGAGCCGATACATGCCCGTGAACACTTCATCAAAGATAACAGGCAGACCGGACCACGAATCCGCAGAGGCAGGAGGCCGCGAATGAGACTGGCTGAATATTTGAGGATTTTCTCGTACTACCTGAACGAGTGATTGCTGGAATAAGGGGTCACTGTGTTATGTTGTTAGATCATGCAGAGAAAGAGGGAGCTGGGGAAAGTATTGAAAAAGTAAAAAAGCCATACCAGAACAACATCCCTCCAGCCCCAAGAAGGATGGGTTCGATGATGAGAGCACCGAGTTTCTGGCCACTTTGAACAACGTTCTCTAGTGTCTTCTTGATATAATTTCTATATCGCAAGGCAATGCTCGACCCCTTGCGAGCATTCAAATCAAATACAGAAGAGATGCTTGAAAATGATACATCCTCTCCAAGCTCTGTCTTTAGCCCCTGAGGAACAGAAACTTTCCAAACACCATCAGTCATCTGAACCATCGGGAAATCAAACCAATAGCCACGGCCTCTATACCATTCTACCTTTTTATTATACGTCGAAGGCTCTGAGCAGTCCATCACTCCAATGGTATCTCCGTGATAGCTGCCCTTGAGTCCAACGATGCCAATATTTTCCTTGCTTGAGTCCCACCCATATCTGGTGCAGGATACTCGCAGACCCATTTTAAGAGCAACCTCCATTCCCGTGCTACCATTGTCCGTAAAGAAGACCTTCTGGAGACGAGGATTACCGGAAGTTTTTAGCAATTGCTCTGACAAGGCGAGAGCTGGTTCGTGGATAGTTCCTGCAAACATAACGTGCCCATACCTACCAGCCGCATAGGCCGAAGTAAGAGCCAGTTCTGGGTTGCCATGCCCTAGGCCCTGAGTCCACCAAGACGCGGATCCGTCAAACGTTGGGCGCAGTACATGTTCGGAAGAGCTGCTCTCAGGGCGAGCCAGGGTCTGGAAGCAATCACCATATGCGGAGTCAATGACACTAATATCCTTTGGTGTCATTCCGTTGTGTTGGGTGAATGGATACCATATGACTTCTTTGGCCTTTACAGGCATGGAATCAAGTCGATTTAAACGTTCGGTATGCTTGCTAGAGAGCTCGTCCATCAGGCCAAACACCTCATCGTGTCTAGCTGTTTTCTCGTAGAACGAAGCCATGACTTCCTCGTCTCTCAGCCGAGCCGTCTCACTATCTACTTTCCCCTGTCGGGGAGGTGGAGGAGGCAAAGAAAAGACCTTGATGTTCCTCTGTTGGAAGAAATCCTTCAGATATTCGTGGTTTTGGTAGTACTGGTCCTGGAAGAGGACGATGCCCTCGACATCGTACCCTCGGATACACAGCGACTCGTAGGCTGATATGGATGCAGAAATGCCTCCTAGCCTGTGGTCCGCAATGAGAATGACCGGCAGCCGTAAGGGACGGTACAGGTCTGCCTGCACCAGGCCACTTGGTCCAGGGCTCAAGACGCCGCCAGCCGACTCTACCAGCGCAAAACTCGGTGCATCCTGGTCCCAGTAGTTAAGAGTAGACTTGATGCTCTCCAGAAGCTCATCATTGTGTGGTATCTACAGCCATGGTCAGCCAGCATTCCTATACATCTGCATACTCTCCCCCTCTCTTTCTTTCTTACCTTCAGATCTCTGGCAGCGAGATGCGGGCTCACCGGACGGTCGTACCCGTACAGACACGCCGTCGTGACCCCCTTGGTGAATCGAGATATGTGTCTGTTCCACAGTCAGCAGCCGCATTGCATAGCAAAGTAGTACATCTTTCCGGCGAGCGTTACTCCGTACCTGTCATCCGCCTCAGCGGCCGGCCCAGCGCTGACGGGCTTCAGGAACCGAAGCTTACTGCTCGCCCACGGCCGGTACGCAGGAATCGCATTGAAGAGCACTGCCGACACCACGGTCTTCCCGATGTCAGTGTTTGCGGCGTACACTTGGTATGCGCGGGACGACCGCCAGAGCCCTGCGGCCACCGTCGAGGACGACAGCATCGTGGCTGGTCAACTATCGCGTTCGTTATCGCGGCAGCGGACAACGACAACGACAACGACAACGACAGCCAGACAGCGGCATCCAACGCAGCGAGAGGGAGAAGAAGACGAAGACGGCGGCAGACGATGCGGAAGAAGAGCTAGCTACTATGTACTTAGGCCTGTGACTCGGTCAATTGGGCCTTGACATCCATCATCTGGCTTGCTTGGACAGGTCCCCTCCCACAATGCAGGTATCACGCTCCCTGTATCTGTTTTAAGTCCTCCTCCAGCGGGATCCCTGAGACACCAGAAAGTCCCACTAACCAGTCAAGCTAGCAGGAATGGAAAAAACGAATCTCCAGAGATCTCAAGAGCCCTCCGTCCATCCTCCTGACAGCTTTCTCTTTCTTTCCCTCCACCCAGTGGGACCCTTTTCCCGGCGCCGAACACTCATCCTCGGCTCCAGTAATGTAACCAACGGGACTACGACTACCCCCCCGGGGGCGGGCTTCCTCTCTACGGCCCAACAGATTTGAGTTACAGTGCGGCCCTGGACAGCCGATATTTACGCAAGTGTTTTTTCGTTTGTTTTTCACCAAGCTGCCTGGTACAGGGAATACATAGAGAGCCTTGCCCTCGCTGGCTGGCATCGTGATCGTTGCGGAGATGCTGTCCCTCCCCCGGGCGGAAGAGAAACCAGGGAAAAAAGCAAGGAAAATGCACAACAGAAAGCGCCTTAGGACAAACGGGAGCCGGCATGGAAAATACAGCACCGATGCATATATTAGGTAGAACGGAAAAGAAAAGAAAAAGAGGGACGGGCAGCAGCAAAAGAAAAAGGAAAGGAAAAAGCAAAGACGAACGTTGGTGAAGGTGCCGGTTTCCCTCGAAGGTTTTCTCATCTTGGTTTCGAGACGTAATTTTTTTTATATCTCACTGAGGGTCGCACAGCCAAGTCAAAGGGACGAGAAAAAGAAACGGGAGCAGCCAAAATAACATAAAACATATACGGAGTACTGGCAGGGTTGTTTTGCGTGGATTTGATATATTTAATGAAGCCCGTTGCTGGCATCGTGGACCGGTCTCGTCATTGTGGAAGAGAGAGGCCGATGTGAAGAAAAAGAGAGAGCGCAAGACGATGCTAAGCCCGCCAGGAAGCAACTTGCAGCGATCGCTGAGGGAAGCTCTCGAGAAACGAGAATCAAAGGGAACCCTTCGTGCGCTCAAGGTTGTACCAACCGGCGCCGTTGACTTTTCATCCAACGACTTTCTTTCTCTCTCGACCAACCCGACCTTTCGAAGCCGGTTCCTAAGCAACCTCGCCCAAGCTTCGAGCTCGCTTCCTCTGGCGAGTACCGGTTCACGGCTGCTGGACGGCAATTCCCTTTACGCGGAGCAGCTCGAGCAGCAGATTGCCAGCTTCCACAATGCGCCCTGCGGTCTGATTTTCAACTCAGGCTTCGATGCCAATTCAGGAGTGTTTACATGTATCCCCCAGCCAGGCGATGTGGTCATCTACGACGAATTGATTCATGCTAGCGTGCATGATGGCATGCGACTGTCTCGTGCCAGGAAACTAGTGGCGTTCATACACAACTCGGTCGAGGATTTTGAACGGGTTCTCGAAGCTCTCCTCATCGATGACCCTCTGCTGCTGGCTGGCCGGCGGAATGTGTTTGTCGCTCTGGAGTCGATATATAGTATGGATGGAGACTTTGCGCCTATACGAGAGATTCTGGACATGCTAGAGAAGAAACTCCCGCATGGGAACGGACACGTTATAGTGGACGAAGCTCATGCGACCGGAGTATTTGGTACGCATGGAGCCGGTGTCGTGCAGCAGCTCGGTGTGGAAGATCGTGTCCTTATCAGGCTGCATACTTTCGGCAAGGCGCTCGCTAGCAATGGAGGTACTCTCTCATACCTTAAATCTCAGGCTTGCAAATAACATGTTCGGCGCGCGGACAAAACTGACAATTGAATTATCACAGCCATCATCCTTTGCTCTCCGCTTGTTAGAGAATATTTAATAAACTATGCCAGGCCTCTCATCTTTACCAGCGCCTTGGGAATGCCCTCCCTTGCCGCAGTCCGCACAGCATATGAATTGATGGAAGAGGGGAAGACACGGCAGGTATATTTACTTCGCACATCTTGATACTTCTCAACTCAATTGGCTTTCGTTCCTGACTCTTGACTCCTTACCCCTTACTTTTAGCTGCAACTCCATCTTCAGGACCTCATCCAATTCTTCCATGAAAAGCTCATGCAGCTTTCTCCATCAGATACCTCCCTACTCGAGGCAAAGCACTCACCTACATCGCCCATCTTCTCGCTCCAAACTAAATATCCCCGCGAACTATCCAAGGCGTGCCAGGATGCAGGTCTGATGGTTCGAGCAATAATGCCGCCCACTGTCCAAGTGGGGACTGAGCGAGTACGGGTCTGTTTACATTCTGGGAATAACATGGGACAGGTACTATTGCTTTCTGGGGTGATTGAAAAATGGGTAAAGGAGAAATCCCACCAAGTTACCGAAAATAGGCTTGAGGCCGCCAAACTATAGTAAAGGCTGGGGCGGAATGGAATGGAATAAAGTATCTCTGGCAATATAAGTATATAGGTAATAAAAATATAGACTTAGCGTAGCCCATCCAAGCTTCTGCTCTACTCAATAATGATTTGGTACAGCTGTTTCACGACGTATTATCAAATATGACGATTCCTCTCCAGAAGCTTGCTTCATTTGACATGAAGCTAATGCAGCCTGGGCGCGGACATATGCATGTTATACGAAGAAGCCCACTTCTCTTGTATAATCCTGGTAAGACAGATAAATATATACGACATGAAGGACACGCAGAGCTCCTCCATACGTACAGTTTGGTGGGCACTAACTGTCCTCTAATCTCATTTTCTGTGTATTTCGCAAGAATTGAGAAGTGACAAGGTTGAGTACAAAACAGCAATTGATTAACCCTTCCCATCATTTTTAATGCCCCGGTTTCCTAAATAGAAAAATTCTTAAAAACATATGCGAAGAATAAATCGTAGGCTCCATCGGTTGACTTATTTAGCCACACGGAGTCCTTCCTTTTTTGAGGTTTATTGATTTATTTAAGCAGCGGCAGGGGTGGGATCGGTGATCAACTTGGTAATCATTCCAATGGCAATGGTTTGACCCTACTCTAATGTTAGCTGTACTGTGCCATTTAGAACTGTATTGGGAGGCTTTAGGAGAACAAACCTGATCACGTAGGGTAAAGCGTCCAAGCTGATTATAGTCTTCAAACTTCTCCACACAAACGGCACTCCCACCGCTGGCGATCTCCAGCCGAGCAATGATGGTTTGGCCCTTGCTAGCAAACGCTGGTGGTTTCTTGCTCTTCCGTCCAGTCTCCTTTTGGACTTTATGTAGAAGTTCGGCAAAAGTCACTTCTTCAATGGCGGAATGTACATGCATCACACAGTTGAATCCAGCTGTGAGAATGCTCTTCAAGTCGAGGATACGGATCTTAGCCTCAAAGGCCGTTACACAATGTACGGGTCGTTTGGGGGAGCACATGACAAAACCTGGGAGAATATCTTCTTCTTCAACGCCTCGAAGACGAGCTCGAACCTGGTCGCCGCATGTAGCTGTTTGAATTTCATCTTCAGTTTCGCCGTAAAGGGCGGTGACGGTAATTTCGGTTCTGTTGGGCATGAGAATGCAGGTAGATCCTTTTTTAAGGACACCGGATTCAATTCTGCCTTCAATAACGGTTCCCATGTCCTTATACTTGGCGCTAATCGGCATCATGAAAGGCGCGTTGATCTTTCGTTCCGGCATCTTCATGTTGTGAAGGTATGGAAGTAGTCCGGGACCGTCATACCATGGAGCAATATCCTTAGGAACAGCTTTATCGATACCAATGGTCCTCTGTGCAGAGATGGGCATAAAGTGGAGGTCTGATTTTTTGTAACCCAAAGCTTCAACATACTTTCCAATCTTCGTCGTACATTCATCATACCGTGCTTTGCTCCATTCAACAGTTGGGTCGTCCATCTTGTTAACCGCGATGATCAGTTTCTTGACGCCAGAGTTTCTAGCCAACAATGCGTGTTCTCTAGTTTGGCCGCCTCTCTCGAAACCAGTTTCATATTCACCCTTTCGAGCAGAAATAACCAAAACTCCAACATCAGCCTGGGAGGCACCTCCAATCATGTTGGGAACAAATGACTTGTGGCCGGGGGCATCTAAGATGGTGTAGTGTCGTGTCATGGGTCCATCAGGGGTATCTCCGCTCGTCTTGAAGAAGGCTCGACCTACTTCCACAGTCTTACCCTTTGATCGTTCCTCGTTGGTTAAATCAAGGGCCCACGAAAGATACCAGGTCTCACGTCCAGCGTCCTTGGCTTCTTTCTTGTATTTTTCCATCGTTCGTTCGTCTACCATTCCTGTGCAGTATAGGATGCTTCCACCCAATGTTGACTTTCCAGCATCAACATGGCCAATGAACACAAGGTTGACATGCTCTCGCTTTTCTCCGTAAATTTCCTTTAGAGTAGCTTCATCAACATCCGCTGCTTGTTCCTTTGCAACAATATCGGCAGCACGGCTTGCGGGTTTGTTATCGGCACGTCCGGGAGACGACCGTCCCGATGATGGAGTTGGTGAAGAAGTGCCTTTCTTCTCTGTCTTTTCGATGGCTTTTGTGGCTGTAACCTTAGCTCCTGCAGCCGCAGCCGCAGGACCCGTGGATTTCTGAGTCTCCGTGGCAGAAGTAGCGCTGGCTGCAGGTGCCTTGGACTTAGGAATATCCCCGCCGATCGTTAATACTTTAGCTTTGGGTGGCTGGGATGCTGATGATGGTTTCGAGGGCTCCGGAGGGGCTGGCTTAGGGGTAGTGGCGGCCGCGGTGGTATCGGCAGCAGCAGTTTTTGGTTGTTCGGCAGCTGGCTGCGCCTGTGCCTGCCACTGTCCCTGCTGCTGTGGGGGAGGGGCTTGCTGCTGATACTGGTTAAAGCCCTGGTTGTAGCCGGCATGCTGCCCACCCTGGTATCCTCCCTGGTAGCCCCCTGGCTGCTGCATGTATTGCTGGTTGTATTGGGGATACTGTTGTTGAGGATAACCTCCATATCCGCCAGCATGCGGGTAGAATTGCGATTGTTGCTGGTAACCACCGTACTGTTGGAACTGCTGCCCGGGGACGAATGAAGCAGCGCCAGGCTGGAATGTAGGAGCGCCGGGTTGGAATGAGGCTACCTGTGGGCGGAAACTCTGCTGTTGCTGTGCATGTGGTGCCTGGTTGAGGTTCAGGCTCTTCTCTGCTTCCTTGGACAAATTCTCATCCTGGGCGGCGGGGTCATCCTCCCACGAATCGAGGGCGGACATGTTGATGACCGGAGGAGTTGTTGGGGCCGTGGATATGGAGTTCGGGAAGGATGAATCCAGCTATCCGATGGTCTGTTGGCGTGGAGACGCTGCTCGTGTGTTTGATGGTGATGGTCGTAAGTGGGATGTCGACGAAGCAAAAGATCTTTTGATAGACGATGGTGGTCCCGTGACCTCCCTAGGCCTAAACCCTCGGTGTTACTAAGAGGTGGACAGAGTCGGTTATCGGGCATCAATTTATATATAGCCAGGAGAGGAAAGATATGCAAGGGCATAGTGAAGTTGAAGCAAAGTCTATTAACTACTAAAACACGGAGTTGAAGTACAGTGGTTGCCTGGTATACAATGTGGGTGGGCAGAAACGATAGACCAGGATGACCATGCAACGGCATAGATCGCAAAGCAACCAGCCACCAGAGACCAGTATACAGTCAAAAGCATCAGGCGGAGAGATGACTTGCCGACTCCTTGGAGACGAAGGAGGTCGCCCATTACTGCTCATCTCTCTCGTCATGCGCATCAGGAGGGGCGGATGCAATAGCAGCAGCCATGTCGCCAACCAACAAATCAAGCAAAGGGCGCTGTATGTCAAAAGAACCTCCATCCCAACAGTCGCTTTCTCGCTCTCTCCCCACGTTGCCCGTAGACTGGTTTAGAGCAGCGGCCTAGATATATATCAACCGACAGGTGCCGCGAGTCTTGTCGAGCAAACTGATTTTAGATGCAAAGAAACGAAGCCGAAGAGTATAAAAAGGATGGTGGCAACCCAAACTACCATATAGGGTATCATATCAGTTCTAAAGTAGAAAGGAAGCCTTTACCCAATGATTCCAGATGCCTCCTGGCAGATATTCCCAAACTGATACAGCAGTCTAATTGATAAATGGTCAAGGCATGAAACTCAGGAAAGTTCTTAATCCGAGCTTGCATTATAAAGGAAAGGAAAGCCAAGAAAACAGCTCTAGCTTGCCGAGGTACTTTTCCCTTTCCCTTTCTCCTGGAGATTCGAGGTTGACGTGCTGTTACCGTCATCCTCATAGAGGTGATGATCTTCGATATAGTCGATCACAGGACGCGGGATTAGGTAGCGAACACTCATCTCTCGTCTGAGGAATAATCTGATCTTAGTGCTGCTGACGTCATTTTGGATGAGTTGTTGAATGACATATATGTTTTCTTTCCATGGCTGCAGGCCGGCAATGGCTTCATCGATATCAGTGCCGCTGCGTTCGACAATAAATGTCTATATCAGAGCAACCGTGTTAGCCGCATAGATTAAACGAAATACAGAAAGGAGGATAATAGAGCCATACCCCGTATTTCCCAAGGATGTGATCCAAATCTTGTTCGCTCCAAACTCCTGGTGTCGACATGGTATGGATCAGGTCAGCTCCGGCAAGTAGAGCTATCCGCACCGGCCTCTTTGTGCCATCTCCAATATCTATACCGCCGTAGTCATGGTTGATGATCTTATCGACATGGTCCAAAACCTTTGCAGTTGGGGTGTATTCCTTCTGTATAGCCTCCCAAGGGTCGACCATCAACCACTCTGATGTTTTGTCCACAGCCAATCGACACATGTTTATCCTATATGCATGGAAAACAAATTCACATGTTAATTACTGAAACTCGGAGGTAGATCATCTCTATGGCTGCCGGGGAGGGTGAGCAGTAAACCAACCTGTGTGATGCAGAAGCAAGACCGGCCTTTCTGTATGCGTCTGACACGGGAGACAGATAGCCTCCGATAAGCTCGAACTTGGTGCTGAACTTGACAAAGTCTGCCGCCATCTCGAACATGCGTAGATGTAAATAGGTAATGGGTGAAAACGAGCCACAGGCAACGAGTAGCAAGGGGGTCTTTGACGGGTCGTCCATGACCTTCTTCAGTCTGTCGTTAGGAAACGAGTAGGACTCCTGCGCCGAACCCGCCATAGCACCGTCTATGCCGTTAATGGCCTGCAGTGACTCCCCGCTGTTGCCGGCCATTGTAAAGACAAGCACCAAGCTCTTCCGGCCAACGGATCAGCCGGAGTGATAAACCAAGAGAAAGCACCGCCGGATAGCGTGTATGCTTGAGCTGGTTGCGGCGCCCTAATAATATGGCTGCGAGGCAGACGGTGTCGATGTTTAGGCGACGATGAGTTTGGTTGCCTGCCTGGTGGGAAAAAAGCGGGGAGTTGCTCCAGGCCTGTGACGAGTTAGTTAGATACCTTGTTAACTAAGCTCCCGGAAGCGTCAACTAACGAATTTGAGAGCAATGCGCAGCCCGTTCACAGCTTTGTGCGTGTGTAAATCTCGAGAAGGGTCTGCTTTCCCAGTCGACGATGCATGTCACAGGCTGAAGTTGCGGACGTTTCAGCAAGAAGAGAGAAGAAGAAGGAGAAGGAGAAAAACTCTTGGTCTTCCTTGTTGTTCGTTCTGGCTTTCCGGTTAAAGCGCCGGCAAGAAATATCGCGAGCCTTTTTTGCCGCCGAGGCCGGAGGGAGGTCTGGAATTGCCTGTCTTGGGTTAGTCCCAGTGCTTGCCTATCAGCTGAGTCAGCATGTTGCTCTTTTCTTTTTCTCCTGTCATTTTATATATAAAAAAGAGACGATGAAGACGAAATAGAAAGAAGAGAAGGCCAGCCGAGAGGGATGTTTGAAAGCTGCCAGAAGTGACTTGACAGGCCGAGAAGAAGAAGAAGAAGAAGCTCAAAGGCAGCTTTTGGCCACTCGCTTTCATCAACTTTGACTAACTGGTTAGTTAACCACAGCTAGCTGACCCCTCAAGGAAAGGGGATAGGCTTGACCAGGACGGCACACCCCAGATACACATGCACGAGAACAAGTCCTAATAGGCTAGGATTCACTATAAGTGCATATAGTGTCTGCTTTACCCGGCTGTGAACTTTGATGCGGTCGTGGAGGAGCCATCTTGCGGCCACCTAGGGATATACCTCACTGGATACCCGTTATCCCATGATATAAATGCTAGATCTTGGACCTTTCAGCCATGGATCTACTTCTTTCGAAAGTAGGTTGTTTTAGCTAAGCTGGAATATATGATTATCCCACTCAGTGGGAGTTGACCCTTGCAACTGACCGTTTCGCCCACAGATCACCCAGCAGGCTATGAACTATGCCATCCGGTATGATTCTAGATAATTCATATACAAAAGTAAAACAAAGGAAAGACGTGAAAAATACTGACTTATGGCAGGTCTGGTATAGCCATAACGGCTACATACGCATTACGCCAGTCTTCAAAGTTGCTCAAGGTGAGCTAGCTGTTTACTCCAGCATACATGTAATCTCAGGGGAGTCTGCTAACACCCAAAATAGAAAGTCGATGGAGCCGAGCGAGAGGAGCTAAGGACTCTCCAAAATCGCCTTCAAAGCAAAATACAAGTAGGTACACTAGTTCCACCTCTTCTTCATGAGAACACGGTTCGGTTGACTTTACTAGATTATATCTCCCGCTATTGATATGATTGAGCTCATGTAGGGTTGACCATCCCACCTTATACATTTATCTGTTATGATTGTCCAATCCTAATCTGAGCGTCACTATAGTGCAGCAAGAGGCAACACTTCTCTTGAATCTGCTGTCAATCTTACAAAGGCACTAAGATTAGATATTCAGAATCTAGGCCAACGATTAGCCCACGTCGTTGGTAATGAAGAGGCTCATGGGAAAAGAGCGTCGGCCAAGCGTCGAGTGCAACTTGACGCTGAGATAAATGCTGTCATGATGGAGATAAGAACTCTTCTGGATCGCATCGAGGACGCAGTACCGCTCATAAATTTAGCGATCACTACTTCAGGGGCAAGATTGTCGACTACATTACCTTCTACTGTCTCACCGTCTCGGCTACTGCAGGCTAGCACATTTCTAACAGCTGGTGACACTCAATACTCTTTAACACCAACCCGCTCAGTGCAGGTTGGCCCCACCTTCACACTGTCTGTATATCTACTGTTTGCAAGTCATGTTCGGCCGACAGACGAAGAGGGCATCCGGGAGACTACGTGGAAAGAAGCCATACACAAGGCGAGAGTGAAAATATGTCGCGTACCTATGGATGTGGTTCTCGCTGATCAATACGGAGAACAACGCAACATTCGGGGCGAGGCTAGAGCGGACGAATTTGCTTACCAGATACTTATTACTGAAGATCTTGATGATGGAAGAGTTCATGCGTTTGAGGATGACGAACCCAAGCCGGGACCTTTTGAAGGTGTAGCCCAGGCTGGCATTAGGGATGTTATACCCATACACCAGATATCCAAGATTTTTTACGCAGACACAGGAAAGATTCTAAACATTGGTACAGAAGGTGAAGCCAATAATCCCGTGCTTCTTCTCAAGCGAGATATAAATGCGGTTCCACCACGAGGAATGGTTGAACGAGAAGAACTTACTGGATACTTTAATCCCGAGGATAGTGACGAGCCTGAAACATCTGAGCCATATGACGATGAACAAGCACAGATCGATGCTCAACTGATGGGATCCCAAGGTATACATAAACCGCTTGATCCGGTACAATACAAAAACGATATCCCTGAACATTGGCGGTTCCCCCCTGGGCTCGACCTAGAATGGATAGCTCTTGAGGTCCACCAGGAAGAGGTCGAATCTGACGATGATGACAATGATGAAGTTGAAACAGAGACGGCTCCTGCTACAGCCACAAAAGAAGATGTGCTTGCTGACAATTTAGCGAAGCTGAGTATACCCAATAAGCATGAGTCAACCTCAAGCCAGATTGCTATTCCCCCTTCTTCAGTCCAACCAACATCGTCATTGACGGTGTCTAACCCTCTATTCAATAACATCCGAACCTCGCTATCACTGCTGGAAACATTATTGCGGCTTACCTCCCTTCAACAGTTTCAGCAACAATCCCATCTCTCCATCACAGATGAACTTCTCACATTCTTCCTCGAAGAGTCGTCTGCCACAGGAGCAGGTGGAGATGAACACCATAGACAGCGAGTCCGATCCGAAGCGAGAAGAAAGGTCGGATGGGATCCATACGATGAAAGCCCTCTAAAGCCGCGTGGGGAAGACTATCAGTACCAGAATGAACATGGATCTGTCGCAAGCACTCCATTGAGGCCCCGGATGCAGTCTATAGACCCAGACGAAGGTTTTGATGAAGTAACTACTCAAATGAGGAGCAAACATGTCGGTAGATATCACGAATCACCACGGAGTAGGCGACGGAGAGAATCATCACATCCATTATCGCCTTCTATTCCGCATCCCTCGACTCCTGCATCGCCGTCTCCTAAGGAGAACGACACTGATGACAATGATAGAAAATTGTCAGCTCTCGGACGACAGGCTCCCTCGAACAAGCCTCACAGGGCAAACGACTCATTTCTAAGAACCCAATCAGCAACAAGACATAACTAAACAACATTTGAATATAATATAGTTTTTAGATAGCGTTTTTCTCAGAAGGATAGAGGATAATAGCTTGTTTCTTTTGTATTATGTAGCAATCTACCCACTCCAAAGACAATGCTAAATATAGCAAGGCTCAGGAATAATAGCGCTATTTACATATAAGCGCAGTCAAATTCAATACTTATTCGGCTAAGTATAGTGCGTACTGGTCCTGACATTAGTCACACAACGCGGTGGTTGGCTTGTTGTTCCCTTCATGATTCTCGAGTCACCCACCATTAAAAATGAGGCTCAACAATGAGCCAATGAGAATCTTTAACAAGTTACACCAGATCCACTTCCCGCAACCTTAAATTTACTCCCAGAGTAAGGGTGAAGGAAAGGGGACACGAAATATTTATATCCCTTTTAAATCCTTATTTTAAGTTTAAGCATTAATTCAATTTTCAATGTTAACTTCCGTTATACACACCGCTCCAACAGCTAACTAGTGTAAGATAGCGACCCGCATACCCAGTACGGCCAAACATACAATGTATCCTTGCTATCTTAAGATGCTCAATCATAGCTCAAGATACTGCCCTGACGGACATAAAGGTCCAAGGTAGCCTTCTTATTTGACTAGTCTAGAGGCATAAAAGTCACGGGCATTGTCACATGTTATACCCTTGGGCAGCCTATGAATGGAGAATGTGAGTATAGCTCGATAATAAAACAGGGTAGCCGTGGCAAGACGTACTTAGCAGGAGCCAGAAAGCGCTGGAAACAAATAATGTCTCCATTACCAATTTCCAATTGCTTCATGGTTTTCTTCTCGTCCATTTTATCTATCAAGGTTGGTTTAATTTCCTATCACATTGCTCAGTTAGCCTATAGGGTGCATTAAACGTTCAATGTCTACGACCATACGTACCTCATAATAAGAGATAGGAGTGCTAGGCTCCCATTCCATTGCTTTGCAGATTGCGGGGGACAGGTCATCAGGTTTGTCATCCGGCTTGATATAGATGGAAGAAAGCCCGGTAATTGTCTGTTTTATTACGTCAAAGTACTTTAGAAACACCAGAGACGAATTGGGGCTATTTCTGTCTCCATAAAGACAGTCGTAACTTTCAACCCAGAGCTGGAATTCCTGTGGAAGTCTAGGATAATGCATCTTCCTTACATCTCCCATCGTCATCCGGGGTTCTAGGGGTGTGCCAGTTGGCCGAATGGTACCATTTTGTCGAGTTACCATCGGCCAAATTCTAATGTCTCTTCCAGGTATATTCAGGGCATTTGTTACCGTAGTAGCAAGTTCCTGTACCTGCATGTTTTCTGGAAGATTATGGTACAGCAGAGAACTCGCTGACTTACCGTCGGTTGCAGTTTTGGGGGCTAAGTCGAGCCCATGGTGGTTCTGGAAGTCATTGATAGAGAAGAGCTTAATGTTGATTCCACTATCTGTAGAAGAATTGGCCTTGATTTCCTTGCTCTGTGCGTTAATTGCCGCTGCTTCCTCCTTGGCAAGACCAGAATCATAGAAACCTCTCAAATGAGCTTGCTCTCCATAGGCAGCAGGCGAAGGATAAATCCTTGGGGGGATTTGGTCTTGTAGTACGTCCGCTAAAACGCGGTTGGCTTCGGATTTCCGTATATAGATCAACATGGTGGCCGTTTTCTCTTGATATTTGTTTGAATTATAATAAGGCTCCAAGGCCTTGTGAGGTAATTGTACTTGATTGGCCTTTAAGACTCCGAAATTGTCATCCATAGCTTCCCTCATTGTAGCCAATGTAACTCTGTCATCATCAAACTTATAGAAGTGTCCATCTGGCTTCGGCCTGATGAAGGTATAATAGTGGGCATTAGATGGGCTACTTGCATGTACCACAACACCAAAGAGAATATAGTTCCATGGCTGGGATTTATCAGCTTCGTTGGAGAGAAATGGTGACATGTCAATTTCTTCTGGAAATTCGTGATAGTCCGTAAGCTTTGTCATTTTTCCAGCATTAATGTCAAATTCCACTCTGTTAAGGTAGAAAGTGAGAACCCATGGAAAATGGTTAAATGTGGTATGCGTATCCACATCTTTTGTCCCCTCTATGGCCCCGGTGTCAAAGTCCTTAATAAGTTTAACAGAGGTGTAATCTTTCAAGCTATCCATTAGTGTTCGGTGGCCGCGGATATGGAGCTCTATATGAGTGAGTTCTTCCTCCTTTGGGGGAACCTTAATGCCGGACATCTTCCTCGTGCTCTTGATAGTAAAAAGCTTGTTGAAGGCATCGCGGCAAGGGGTAACCTCAAGCCTTTTCGCGACATTGTATAATAAAATGCTTGAAAACTCCTGCGCATCTTGTGGTTCAAAGAGGTGCCTTGCCCCCCAGCCAAAAGAGTCCGTAAGTTTGATTGGCGAGATAGCGGATTCCCTGGTCTGGAGTAAGCAAAAGACATGCTGCAGCGCCCAGGCTTTATCCGCTGGCTCATGTATAGCCGTTGGCGCTTGGTACATTGTCTGTTACTCATGTTACTCGTGGAAATCAGAAATACCTAATTAGGCTAATTAGTTACAGCTACTAACCTTTCTGAACAATGAGATGTGGTATAAAATTTGTACAACGCAGCTCAGATAGTCGGTCGCGCCTAAATTTCTTACCCCAACCATGCCAGTGACGCTCTTTGAATCGTATCTATCCAGATAATATCAGCTTCAAGCCACAGCCAAAATAGAAGAAAAACACTGTTGTGTTTATATACTTAACAAAATTATGCCATAACAAGCCCGTTGGGTCCTTGATAACCCGGACGTAAGCTGTTATTTTAACACTTTCGGTACCTGAAAAGGGGGATCCAGGCTCTTCCAATGATGCGGAAGGCTTTTTACGTTCGCAAAATCTGGTGAACCCCCAATCTGGCTCATCGGCGTTAAACCTATGGGCAGCAGCTATTATCTAGATTAGTCGATTTTTCGGGCTGAGGTATGCCTGGGGAAGTTTGACCGTGGGAAACATAATTTGAGGGATTCTTTGGATCCCACAAAACCAGAGCAAACTGGACACAGGCATGCCAATCTTTTGAAGGCAGGCTAGTGTCAATGCATCGCTGGAAATACATGGATACTTTGTCCACGCCGTTTCCCTGGGGGTAGAGAAGAATTTGCCTAGTTGCCAATATCAGCATAAAGGTCGCCTTCGTGAAAAACGGCTCGTAAGTTAATTTGAAACGCACCACGAGCCACTTCCACACTGAAATGGTTTACCAAGCTCTCTCTGTTGTAAGCTTGTCCAATCCTGGATAGCCCAAGTGTTGTGGGTTTGCTCCTGGGTCTCGAGGCCGTTTCCGAGAGGCAGCAACTCTGCCATCATAGCAGTATCTATATGGCATCCATCCCTAAGCAATTTGGCCTTTCATGATATACATAGTGTCGGGTATCTCACGGTCAGAAGCAGATGGTTTTGCAGCTGGTGTAGGCACAGCTGGCCTAAAGGCCAGATTTGTAGTGGTCATGATTATTTATTTCCCTTTCCACGTCGTATATCTGAAGATTGGATGATGGGTAGAATAACCTAGGATAATCTTGAGTCGGTATCTGCAGAGACCATCTCCCAGCACTTTTCTGTAACCTTGGTTCCCCTCAAAGGGAAAAAGTAATTATCTTCGTTAGTTAATCATCGTCTAGTTAGTTATTGGGCCAACGTCATGTGAAGCTGCGGCTTTATCTAGATGTGAATACGAGGTGCTCCCCACCACTCTTTTGGGAGAAGTAGCTCCCCCAAGATATTTAATGGAGGCCTTGGAAGATGTTGATACGAACCTCTCTCTCATAGAAAAGGCCCCGAATGCAATACCGAGACGCTAAGAGCAATAGTTCAAGAATATCATTTGCCGACCGATCCAAGATACACTAACAGCAACAAGGCCAGGATATCAAGAACAAAGCTAATCACCAAATTAAATAGGAAAAAGGAGGTCAATGGAAAAGAATCAAATTGAAACCCCAAGGAGTAACGAAGCCCGCATGCGCCAAAGGACACCAAACCCAAACGTACGAAATAAAGAATTCATTTGCATGGACCAAGCGCTGGCTGCAACATGCAATCACTCCCAGTCTTCTTCATCACTATCATCGTCCTTGGCTGGTGCGCTGGATAGTTTCTCCTTCGGGCTACTAGGAGAATGGCTTGTGGCACCGCTAACAAGATCGTAGCTTGCATCGCTCCCAGCTTGAGATTGGAGGTCATTCGAACGGCGCGGATCTTCGGGTTGTAGATGTTCGTTGCTTTGTGTACTGCCCGTTGTAACTTTGCTAGATGGTTTCGAAGGAGATGCAGCTTGTGGAGTGGCAGGGGAGTCGGAGTCGGAATCTTCGTCCCATGCAACTTCTTCATCTTCGTCCGTAGATGCTTTTTTCTAGTTAGTATATTATCATAAATACGTTGCTGTAGAAAGGTACTGTCTTACCCTTCAGTAGATCCTTTCGTCTTTTTCTCCTCCGTCTCAATAACAAGTCGTAGGAAATAGTATCGACGCCAGAAGTCACTGTATTCGACTTTCTCCGGGACGAGTGCCTCCATAGCCTTACGAAGCTCAGGGTATTTCTCTAGATCTGTTGCAATGTTCTCTGTCTTCTTCTCGACTTCGAAGTTATCCTTGAACATGTCCCACTCCTTACTGGCGGGGTCCTCTGAGAACCCTTCTAAGCTAGAGTGGATGGCATGAAGCTGAGCCTCAAATCGGGTAGTATGTATAACCCTCTTACCATCCGAGTCTCTGCTCTCAAAAAGTACTTTTCCATCCGTTTTCTCGTCTGTTGAACTAGGCGGGGCAATGCTGACGGCCTCACGTAGGAAGTTCCGAATATTCGTGCCAAACTTGAGTAGAGCTTCATCTGCTGCATCCTCAGCCTTCTCGAGATCCTTTAGTCGTTTGGCCGCTTCTGAACGGAACCGTGAAATGAATCCTTCGCCTTCTGCCTCTGCACTATCGCTGCCAGTACCTGCTTTATCACTCGGTTTTATCGTTGCCGCATCATCGGCCGTTGACGGCTCGCCTCTATCTCCTACCGCTTCGTCCGTTTCATCATTCGTGTTTAATCCGCTAATCGAAAGGCCTCTCGTTCGGTCAATTAGGGTAGCCCTCAGGCCGGTGAATCCCCTGATGGCTTCCTCACTCGCTGCGGTGTACTCCTGGCGAGCACCCTCGTAATAAGTCTCTGACTGCTTCCGTACATTGCTCCACAGCCCACCAAGACGGGCACCCCATGGTTGGGCTGATATCAGACGAAGAGAGTCTTGTAATTCGCTGGTCAAGTCTTGCCGCTGGCCAGAGGAGGACGATGACTCGCCGGGGCTATCGGAGTCATGGGGGTTGCCGGAGGAAGCGAGGCTCTCCTCCTGGATGTGGTCGTAAGCTACATCCATAGCTACAGTAAGACCATATGTGACTGACGTGAGTGAGATCGAGGCAGGATGTCAACGGTGAGAGGCACGATGTAGCTTGAAGCTGTGAAGATATCGTGGTTTGTTGTAAACATGGGCGATGTTCTCATCACATGGCAGGCGCCCTAACCAGAGCTAACTAATTAATAACTAAATAATTTTGTTAGTCTATTGAAACAACTTAGCATGATAACTACCAAACTACAAAATTGAGGACCCAATAACCATCTAATATTGAAGCTCGCCAATATATTCAATGACTAAGATTCATAACTAGTATTATACAGTGAATATATGGGATATATGCATCGGATTGGTGTATCTGACCTCTGGGACATAACCAGCAAACCTGCCGCGAGGGTCCCAGCTGGTACAACAGCGCAACTAGCGCAGTGAGCTTAATGACCACAGAAATCGCAGAGCAACCATAGTGTCCAAGAAGCAGCCCCAAGGTTAAGGGGATAGCACGGAGAAAGGGGCAAGATTGTCGATCTAGCCCAGGAGCAAGTTAACTAACTTTGATGCCGCGCGGCATGGTCATTAAGGTCATTAAGATCGTTATTATGGGACCCTGAAATCCAGGCTGGTGGTCCCGGGATGCTTTCCAGTAAACTCTCGGTGAGGAGTTGACTGCAAGTTATTATCCTCCGGGACCCATTCTCTGTCTCCAAGGTCTGTGAACTAGGAACTTCCACTTCCACCTCCTCTTGGGAACGTTGAGATGATTCTACTTGGACCACCGGTGATAGAGACAACGGAGGCTGATTAGGTTCTGTATCGCTTTGGTGCGTAGAGCTGGCATTCTCGCACTCGACCCGTGGACGTCCTTTGGCCGGAATTTCCTGGCTACCAGAATCAAAGGTAGGCAAAGGGTTAGGTTGCGAAGATTCAACGATCTCCGTATCCCTCGCAGATTCGGAGACGTCCCTTAATAATTGTGATGGATGAAATTTCTCAAAGGCATAGCTCATCGGTTGGCGTGTATAGTACAGAGACATTGTGTCAGACATGTAAGTCGAAGTTGGGAGATTCTGACTTGACTGCTCAGTATTACACTCGGGTGCGAGCAGCGGAGTATCTCGACCACTTGAATCCCCAAGTTTCCGTGCTCCACTAATTCCAGGCAGATTCGAGCACTCGTCTTCGATAGAGTCGAGTTCCGCTTCACCGTCGGTTTCATAAACAATGCTTTCCGGTTGCCTTCGGTTTAGAGTTTGGACCTCTTCTATCTGGCGCTCCCTACGTGCTGCATTGAACCGGGAACAAATTTCCTCCCTAAAGGAGACTGACGGGTCGGAAACGGCTTTTGGGGAAGATAGAACAGAGGCTGGGCTTCCCGGAGCAGAATAATTACCAACGAAGCCATCATCAAGCACAACCTGAGAATCATAATCGTTTGCATCGAACCTGAGCAATGACCTTCTGCGTTTGTTGGGTGATGGGGAGAGGAGAACTTCAGGAGAAGCCAACGACAGTCGAAGAGGATTATTCTTCATATTCCTCGGAGTTCTCGGGCTGTTCAAGGTGATTTCAGGGCTTTCTGGAGACTGAGACGAAGGGATGACCCGAGATGTTTGCTTCCGAGGCGTAACAGGATTAGCTGGGGGTAGCATCTCGCCATGTCCAGGGGCCTTTTCTGAAAGTATTGTCTGATAGGATGGCTCCTGTTTCGCCAACATCGCTTCCACTCCGTTTTCGCCCTTGTTGGAAACATTATCAACTGGTGGGTTAAAGGAGCCATCTTCATCCACAACATTTTCAGCACACTCCAGGATGCTCTCCATCTCAACGCCGCGTCTTTTTCGTGGGTGCCTAGCATGATCTCCAGTATCACTCCTTTCAGGACGAGGATGTGTCCAGTCAACGTTTACCATCTGCGTCAACGTTCTGTTCGGTCTATGGTCTTGTCGCCTCTTCCCCTTCTTTCCATGATTCTCCATAGTTTGTTTCTTTGGTTTTTGACCCTCAATCTCACTGCAGCGAGAGGCCTCTGCTTCAAGAAGCTGGAAGTCGCCATTGGCGTCATCGCTATCCGAAGAGTCATGCGGCAGGACAAAGTTAAGCTGAGTTAACGTCTTCTGGCTCCTAGTATTCCCACCCAGGGCAAGGCGATGTTGCCTTTGCCGATTGCGAGAGCGCGACGGATAGTTTCTCCTGCGAAGGGCATGTCGAGATTTGGCCACGCTGGGCCGTCCAGCAGTAGTCCTACTGGCAGACACCGGCCGGGTCATAATGAAAACATGAGGCAGCTTCAGTATGCCGAGTTGAACCCAAGCCGAGTTCAAGTTGGGTTCAAGTTGAGTCCAAAGTTGAGCCGCAAAAGGTCCACTTCAATTCTCGCGTTTTTATATTGAATAATTTCGCGACGCGTCTTGATTATGTAATACTAATAACACTGGGTACAGAGCGAAAAGAAAGATAAAACTTATAGTAACAGAACATAACTGCGTGTGTGTACAATCACAGCCGTTGTTTCTCTAGATGATTAGTTTAGTTATTTGGAGATGCGTTAATCAGATAGCAGCCATTCTGGCTCAGCGTTATCATCCTCAGGGTCGTGGGATATCATGGAACTGCGGTCTATATCGCTGTCAGAATCAACGTGCACCAGTTCCGGCAGCCCCGAGACCTCTCTTTCAGGAGAATCAACAGTCACTGAAGCCGAACGGGTTCCGTCTGCAGGTTGAGAGCTTCTAGATTCCATGGTATCCTGCTGTCCAAGCCCAGTTGAAATGATGGAAGGTTCTCTCCAGGCCTGCTCTTCTTTCGGGACGACAACCAGAGTATATCGGGACTGTGAGGCAGATGGTACGGGCTCTCTTCTCTGCAAGGGCCTATTAGCAATGTCTCCTGGGAAGGCTGGCTGTGATGTTTCTGGTTCTACCATGAAGCCACCACCAATGTCTTCCTGTATGCTCCGGCTGCCTTCCACCGATTCATGCAGTGCGTAAGGCTCGCCTATAGCATTATTGGCAGTGGGCAATGCTGGGACAACATAATCATCTTCAGGTAGGAACCCGCCGGCTTGCTCCTCTGCCCCATGCACCTCTTGCAACAAGTCTTCTCGACCACTAACCCCATCAGTTCTATAACTATTCACCCGCTCAAGAACTCGAAGTTTGATCAAGAACAGCTTCCACATATGAAGAGCAGCCATGGTCCGACGGGTTTCTTCTGTCTGTTGCCTTTCATAACCAATCCCTAAAATGATGGCTTCAAGAGCGTCTCGGTACTCGGTCGCAGCAACAATTCCGTCTATGACAGCTGTACCGTGACGCTTTTTAAACTTGAAGCCGACGACTGCATCAGCATAATCAATGCGTAATATCTTAGCTGCTTCAGCAGCATCCGGATGCCTGAGATGAAAGCCCCCCTGTGGTACCATTGAAGGTATATAAACGTCAATATTCCCAAACTCATTTCTAGGTACCTTCCCATCGATGACCGGCTCTGGAACATATAACTCTGTCTGATACGCAGCATACATGGGCGTATCGTGGCCTTCATCATCAGAATTGGACATATGCTGTCGCACTTGGCCTCGCGCTCTGACTCTCTTCAGCGGCTGTTCCCCAGCCTTAACCTTGCGCCCTTGTCGGTACCAGCCATCTGCGCTTTTGACAGAATGCACATCTGTCCGGCGGTATACAGATTCCAAAGGCGGAGCTTTCTTGTTCAATGACAACTTACTCAGGCCAACCTTTCCAATCTCCCGCTTTGGATATATAACTTCATTCCACCGCAAATGTTGTTCTAGAGCATATACAGGATGGTTCTTAAAATCCTGTACACTCTTGGGCATACCTTCACTTGCGGCCTTGGCTGTCAACTCCCCAAATTCTAGTTGATCTCGGTCCTCTGGGAATGGCAACTCAAGCGCTTGCATGGTGCGGTTCCACCATTTCTCCCCATCTTTTGTAGATTCAATTCGAGCTTTTCTTGTTTTTGAGTTAAACGACTTAGTGTATCGCCGGGTCACATCTCGTGCAAAGCCGTCTTCATTAAACGCAATTACATAGTTCATGTTATTGTAATTATCACTTGCAGGTGGCTCGAACAACGCAGGTTTACCCACAGTATTTGTAACTAGAGGATCAACGCATACCCACTTCTGCATTGCATGGTTAAATACCTCGACCCAGAACACTGGAAATAATGAATCTGGAGCTGGCACATCATCTGAGGAGAGGTCAGCTATTAAGTAATTTCGCAAAGGGAAAGGTTTTTCCGTACCTCTTGTCTGTGGTGCAGGGCTTTTAATATGCTTTGACGTGAATTGTGGTTGCCCAATCCTTCGCCGAGGAGTCGTATCTGAAGTACTGACATTCGCTGCAGCATTTACGCTAGAGCTCGGCGCATCATCTTCAGATACAAGTATGTAGTCTCTCGTCCGCTTTTTAGAAGACTCTCCCTTGGCCACACCAGTAAATGGCAAGGTTTGAAGGGAACAAACCAAACGTGTATCAACGCCAACTCCTCGCAGCATAGCACAAAATAGTTGAGCACCAAAGTCTCTCGAACCCTGCATTATTTCAGCATGTTTCCGAAAGTCAATTCTTGACTGCAATATTTCGGTAATCCCTTGCAACGCCTGTTTCTGGATGTTAGATGGTTAGTTATGCCGGTTTAATGGATCAAAGTAACGTTTTGTCAAAGGAAAGAGGCAAATCAGACAATTGGATCCTGAGCCGCGGAGCAATCCTCCAGCCAGTATGGTTTCCTCATCCCGGGTCCGGTAACTTTGAATCTTCGTCGAAAGGCTTCTGAAGAATGTAAAAGACCATCCACAAATGTAGTAGATCGGGTAAACTGTGGAAGATCCTCCTTAGGGTTCAAACACATGATAATATGTTTTGAAAGTATCCGGCGCAGTTTTTTCTGTTAGAGCAAAAGTTAGCAAACATCACTCCACGGGTAGGAGATACCACAAACATGAGTTTCCTCATCATTGCACCAAGTGTTTCGGAGCCTAACATGTCCAAGAAGACAAAGGATATGGACTTTATGGATCTCCAAACGCAGTTTCTTTTCAGCTCCAGTTACTGGCTTTCGTCTGATAGCGGCACCCTTCTTCCCAGAATCCTCTTCCTTTCCGAGAGTAATTTGCAATGGCTCTTGCTCTATATCATGTCCTGCTGGAAGCATCGACGGCAAAGAAGGGGTGGTGGACGGACCAGGTGGGCTAACATCCTCCCACTCAGGCTCTGATTCTTCTTCAGATGCATCAACATCGTAGACTGTTTGTGGAGGCATGGCTGTAGTCTTTTCTTTCTCCTCTTCAGATTTGGTCACAACCTCAGCAGCTTCGATTTCCCCACGCTCCCCTACCCTCCGTCGTTTATGAGGCGGGTTGTTTCTATGGGGTAAGGCTTGGGGTGCAGCCTGAGACTCATTCAGCATATCCTGATAGATCTCGGGTATGTCGTCATTTCCATTCGCTGGAGAGCCCGACGACGAGATCCTCCGCCTGAGTCCACCCCGTCGGCTCCGGCGAGTGGCAGGTGAAGAACCCTTCTTCGCCATGTCTGCTCAACCCGCGCAAACGAATGTTTCCTGTCGTTTTCGTTCATCAGGTCGTCAAGGCCACAGCCGGTTAAGCCAGGATGCACTTATGCACACACTACTTGGCGAATACGATCCACTGGCAGCAGTCCATAGCTGCTTGTCCTTCTCCTTCAAACCTATGGTGACTATGCAAGATGTTGGTATAATATCACGTCTATAGCCCACGGTCAGCTCGGGAAAATATCTTAAGGTTTCGGTGTTCGCACTTTTATTATTCCGAGACGCATTTTCAGCCTCGGCAAAATTCGAGCATCTATTAATAGGTAAGACGTGAATCATACCAAGTCCTTTGTTCTACACGGCTCCCATTCGCATAGCCTAGGTACTTTTTGGGGCTGACATGTCACGAGTAGCGCGGTTTATCACCGAGCACATATAACTCACAGATAGATATCGACAGAGTTGTGTGGGTACGCAAAATATACCAAGTATTAAAGGTAAAAAGTGTATATACAGGGGATATTCCCTGGAAAAGGAGGCACTACGTGCATGGAAAGGTGGCCATGGCAGTGTATTATTCGGGGATTTTATTATTGAACAGGTAATAAGGAGGAAGGGTCAATCAAGATACAATAAAAGGGAAGAGGTATCTCATAACAAAGGGAATCTCTCACACAACATATTATAACTGGAACTGGTCAGTCAAGAGGCTGGAAGCGCAATGTAGTTAAAAATGAAAACACAGCCAGTCAAAAACCATCAAAGAACTGATGATATGTAGCCATTACGCAGACAAGACCTCGCTAGAGCTGTCACTAGGCCCTGGTAGAGCCGGGCTAGATGAACTAGACTCTCCCTTCAGGCCGGTCTGCGCAAGGACATTGGCAATCCTAAATATAGAAAAGACGGTAAGTAGGAGGTATAAAGGGCCCCAGTAGTAAGGTGAACGCACTTACTTTTCACGATCTTCGGCCATGTCACCGCTCATATCCTCAAGCTGTCGTAGTTGCTCCTGAATGCTCGCCACCTATAAACGTAGGGATACCATAGTCAGCAAAACCTCCGATAAAGAGCGCGTAATCCGCGCGGTAGGGTAAAAGTAGCCAGTCCCAAATAGCTCCATGGAAGAGTTAGGCATAAAAGCCCGAACCCCCAAAAATAAAGGCGATATGGGCTTGTAATTAAGAATAGGAATTGAGGTGCGCGCACCGTCCCCGCGATAGAAGAACTAAGCTTCTCACCTTCCGTGGCAGATGGACCAGAGTCCTCCTGCTTGCCATCTGTCTCCTCCTTCGCAGTGTCCGTCTCCTGTTCTGTTGCAGCCCACTTGCTTGCCCCCAGGCCAGGCTTGCCGTTGCTAGTTCCATTGGAGGTAGGAGAGGTGGACTTCTGTGCTTCTTTAAGATCGAACTCGAGTTCACGAATCTTTCTGTTGGCTTTGGCAACCGAGGCTTCATGTTCCTGGATCTTCTCCACCATCTCCATATTCTTCTCGCTCAAAGCGGCCATGTCATCTTCAAGCTGGGAATATTTCTTCTCCGCCTCCTGGGAATTGGTCTGTGCCTCGGAAGCTGCATCTTCAAGCTGCTTAATCTCTTTAAGTGCAGCAGTGTGAGCATCACCGTTCTTAATGGCGTCGGCTTGAGCGGCCTTAAGTTCTTCAGCATGCTTAGCAATCAACTCCTCCCGAGCTGATTCTGCATCCTTGGCTGTGTTTCCTGCAGTATCAATGCGTGCCTCCAGCTCTGCCTTTTCCTTGTTATGGTTTTCCACCTGGGAAGCGTGGCTAGCTTTCAGTTCTTCTATTTCAGCCTTCAAAGAATCAATGGCAGACGTGTCAGCGGCGGTCTCTTTGGCCTCCTGAAGCTCCGCCTTTAGTTTAGCAACAATCTCTGAATGGTTCTTGTCCGCTGCAGTAAGCTGCTCCGCAGAGCTGGCGTTATGTTCGGATCTTAGGTTGTTAAGTTTCTCCTCGTGAGCAGCCAGAAGCTCCTCAACTCCCTTTGCATGGGTAGATTCCAAATCTTCCTTAGTCTTTGCCAGAGTCTTCTCAAACTCTTCCTTTAACTTGGCATGAGAGTTCTCAAGCTCCTTCGCGGAAGACTCACTTGCTTCGTGGGATTCAGATAGTGCTGCAAACTTGGCAGAATGCTCTTCAATCTGCTGCGCGTGGTCAGTTTGGAGAGCCTCGATCTTAGCACTATGCGCAGCTTCGGCCTCTTCCTTTGCTGTACGGAGGTTCTCTTGTTCTTCTTGTAGCGCTTTGAGCTTTTCTTGCAATGCAGCCGTATCCGATTCACGTTTGGCAATGTCAGCTGCATGGGAAGTTTTCATGGCCTCGAGATCCTCAGAGTGTTGCTCTTTGGCCGAGGTGATTTCTTGAGTCTTCTCTTCCAGAGACTTGTTCAAATTTTCGATCTCAGTGCTGAGTTTTTTGTTCATGTTGTCATTGTGCTCATCTTTGTTCTTGCTATCGGCTTCGAATGCTTCAAGGGCTTTCTGCAGGACCGTAACTTGCGACTTTTCTGTCTCAATATCCGCTGTCAAGGCCTCAACAGTTGACTTCTGCTGTGCAAGCTCCGCTTCAAGAGACTGAATGGTGGCCTTGAGGGAATCGATCTCAGCTGACGCTGCCGTCTCATCAGCGCTCCGTTTCTGGGCGTTATCCTTCTCGTTGGCAAGGGCTTCTTCTGCTTCCGAAAGCTTAGCCTTAAGGCTTTGGATCTCGGTATCATAGGCTGACTGAGAACTCTCGGCCTGGCTGCTGAGGGTAGCATTATCAGCAGTAAGCTTTTCCATTTTCTCGTTTATCTCCGCCATGGCAGCTTCGTGTTGCTCTTTCAGGGTCTGAATTTCCTGCTGCAAAGCTGCTTTTGCCGCTGTAACTGCTGTCTCTGCGTCAATTTTCTCCGTGTTATGTTCAGCAGTCAGCTTTGCGACAGCAGCATCGTGGCCTGCTACCATCTCAGCTAGGGCACGGCCATGCTCAGCCGTCAATTCAGCTCTTTGTTTCTCGAGCTCTTCGACGTTGGCCTCTTGAGACCGCGCAATGTCATCTTGCAGGGACTCAATTGCCAAGTTCAATTTTTTGATCTCTTCTTCTTTCTCAAGCACAGCTTTGTTTGAATCAGAAGATCCCTTTTCTGCCTCCGATCGAGCTTCTTCCAGTTGTTTCTCAAGATCCGAAATCTTCTCCTCAAGGGCAGCAGTACTCGTTGTAGACGATTCTTGAGCAGACTCTAGCTCTTTCTTACTAGAGTTTAGCTGCTCTTCAAGAGTGTTCACTTTTAACTGGAGAGCCTCAGTCGCTTCCTTCTCAGCCTCCTTCAGCAGCTCGGCATTTTTGGTTGCCTCATCTAAGTCCTTATTCAAAGCATCAACCTTGCTAGTTAACTCAGAAATGGCGTCACGTTTGGTAGCAAGCTCGGTTTCTAGATTTTGAATAGCGGCCTCGTGCTCCTCACGCTGCAGGTTAAGTGCTTCAGTGCTCTTTGATTCTCCCAAATTGGCGGCTTCACGCTTAGCTTCTTCTAATTCTTTGCTAGAACGCTCGGCTGCTTCCTGGTACTTGGACTCCGCTTCCTCGAGTTTGCCCTGCAAGGTCTTGATTTCTTGAGAGTAAGATTCTGCCAAATCCTCGTGCTTGGAGCTATCTTCACCAGATTTTTCGAGCTCCGAGATCTTGGTTTGAGCTTCAGCAAGCTTTGCCTCGCTAGCGGCGAGCTGAGATTCCAATTCAGTTATTTTGTCATTCTCTGCCCCTTCATCGAGAGCAGGAGCTCCAGCAGTTCTCCTAGCAAGAGCAGGGGAAGCAGGCGCTCCGATTCGTCTCTTTGCAGCATCCGTGCTAGAGGGCGCTTTAGAAGATGTAGGAATAGTCCTAGTGGTTCTCGGAGTTGTTGTGGTAGCCGGGGTGGATCTTGCAGTAGGCTTAGTTGGCGTTTGCGAAGATGAAGTTGAGGGACGGGAAGTAGTTGGTTTCTTGTCTGCTGCAGGTGTGATAGAAGACCTTCTATCGGCAGAGGTCGTGGACGGTCTTGCAGTGGTAGCAGTCCTCGAGCCCAGTGTTCCGGACAGTGATGCACGCTTTGCAGTCCCTGACATTCCACTCTTTCGAGACTCGTCACCAGAGCTAGCAACAGCTTTGGCCCGTTCGTCAGCTGAACTACCAATGGACATGCGTGACGCACGGGTAGTACTGGCAGCACTACCCAACGCCGTCGAGCCGGGGGTTTTCCTAGCCACCGTATTGGCCGTTGGTCTAATGGGGGGTTTGCTGAGCGTGCTTCCCGACGTTGGCCTACTCGTTGCCACAGTGGAAGGTTTTGCGGTTCGGGTAGTGACACTGCCCGGACGCTTTGGGCCACCAGCGATCAAAGAGCGCTTTTGACCTGTTGAAGACGCCTGGCTCCGTGCAGGAGAGGTAACCGGCTCGTCTTTACCAGACGGTGCATCCCTGGTGGGAGACCCCATTGATTCTGCAACAGATTGTTGAGCTTCTTCCCGATCAGTGGCTGGTTCTTCAGTAGCAATAGCCGTGTCCACTGCCTCCTCAACATCAACAGGAACTGGGTCTTCGGTAGAGGCCATATTGATAGTTGAATTAGTAGACTAGCTATTTGTCTTTTTTTATTTGCCGTTTCGACAGCGTGTTTGAAGCGGTAATTAACTGGGTATGAGCGGCTTAATGAGACTGGAGACTGGCAGGTCAGTTAACTAGTTTCAAACAGATAATGTTGCCCTGTAAGCCATGCTGGCTCAGAATATAACGGGGAAGTAGCCATGCAGACCCAAACCCAAATGTAATTCTGTCCACTGGGGGCTACAGTGAAACCCCTCAAACACGACCAGAACCTGGGATCGCTGACTGACCAAAAAAGCTCAGACACTCCGGACCGAGGGGTTTAATTTTTTTATTTTTTTTCCTTCGCACAGGAGTTGTAGTATTAGGATTATTAGTCGATGGAGCTGGCCAGCCACCTCTAGGGCAGTTCGGACAGTAAATAAAAGCTCGGAATAAGAGAAACTTCTCCTAGATCGTTCCCAAGACTATAAGTCAGCACGGTTGGCCACGTAAAAGGAGAGAAGGCAATTGAACTGAAGCTGATCCAGGGGAAATATTGCCTCGGATCCAGGCTTATAAAATCAGGGGGTCATCCAAACCCCTTGTCCCCTGGTGCTAAAAGGAACACGAAATCTAGTAGACAGAGGGAGGACTTACAAGAACGCTCTGAAAAGAAACAATGCGAGAGAACAAAACAATAGAGGCAGGCAGCGGGAAGAGTGCAAAGGGGAAAAAAAAAAGGGGCGGCCGAACTATCAACAAATCCCCACGGCAAAAGCTGGTTGATGGCTTCCTTCGAGTTAGTTTAAGCTTGAAACCGTCTTTGAGGTCGGCAGCGGAAGGTTTGTTCCGGGACGACGGCAGAAAGATAATCCGATCCGGTCATGTGATGCGTTTCTCCTCGGCGAAACCTTCGACGTTCAGCTTCCGGCCGCGACTTTCAAGACGCTGATGTTCTATATAACAATACCAGAGGGGGAGAGGGAAACAAAGAAGAGATTAAAGCTAGCAGCGAGCAGCGGCAACAGCAGCCAAACTAGGCCCTAGAGGAGAGTCGTTGAAGAGGAGGGGACATGAGCGGAGGTGGATCTGCCGCCTGTCGTGGTTCCAGTAACGCCGTCTTCCCAGTCGACAAGCCATGCACGTCTTTCTTTGGGCTGTTGATCGCCAGGTTGCTCTGATTTGGTGCCTAAGAGGATAGGGCGAGACCCATACCCGTCAGGAGCCCTGATTGACGGCAGCTGCAAGTGCCCAAGTCAATTGTTGTCATTCCGGCTATCTTGCAGCCTTTGATAAAACGTCAGATGGTGCGCTTTTTGTGGGGGAAGCTCGAGGATCTTGCATATTGAATAAATATTACATCGTCATCATGCATCATGCAGGGCAATGCTATATAGTTAACTATTACTTTTCTTTTTGCTCAATCTCAAAGCAGACCGACTGAGTGCCCCGGAAGTACAAGGTTAATCATCAAGGAAGCTCCATTGGCTGTAGTGTGGCCGTCTTTCATCAGGCAGAGCTAAGAGCCCAGCTCGCGTTTCTACCGCCTTCTCTCGTAGCTCATCTATGCTACGGTGACCGAGAACGTCCCCGAACTCTCTGAGAATCAATCCATACCGCTCAGGCCCTGTTAACAGTCGAGTCATCGTCAGCCCTTTATCAGCACAACAAGATGGTAACCAATAGATCCACCCTACCTCGATATTTTCGCAACGCTTCAAAAAACGTTTCGCTCTCGGCTCGGCTCCAGGGGCATTCCTCGTTGAAGACAACCGTAGGCTCTTCTGGCTCAACAGATTCCGTGTCATACTTGTCACCACGTCGGCTTGTGTTTCGGGACCAGCCGGCTGGGTGCTGCGTGGCTGCTGGCTGCCGCGTGTTCAGCTGCTGATGCCTAAACACGTAGGCCATGAACCGGACCAGTACACTCGTAATTCTTAATTTAGCTGCGAGTCCAGGAGGTGGCTTGGGCGGCTCTGCTTGGACCGCTTCACAGAGTCTCTCGATGCAGTCTAAAATCCTCGTCACTTGGTCTATGCCTTCATCAGTAACACTGTCATTAGAATAATGGGTTACCAGGCACCACTGTAAAAGGCCAACGATTCCAGGGATGATGTCAGCAGCTACTTCATAAGCTAGAGACGTCAGCGTTCTTAATTTTCTAGGTGAGTCTGCATTATATGGGTATAACTCGATCATGACCTGGGAAACACCCTTTTCTAGTCCGGCAATCGAGATCTCTTCTGTCTCGGCTGAAGCAAAATTCTGGTGGCTGTTTCTTGAGGTGGACTTTCCCTTATAGGTATCAATTCCATTTGAGATACTCTTAAACAAATCCTTCGTAGACCCAATTGCCAGACCCTTGGATTTTCCGATCAACCCGTGCGCCTCTGAAATCAGTTCGCGCCAGTTCCTTTCCTGGTCAAATATCTTTGATGCATCCCAGAAGACTGCATCATCCCGCAGACCCATATTCGGAATAGACACCTGTGAGTGAGGTTTCCCAAATCTAACTCGCCATCAACAATATCACTATATTGCACCTCTTCTTCTAGCTCCAGGGTATCTAGTATACCATTCCTTCCGCTCTCATCTTCGTCTTCAGCTTCCTCTTCGTCTTGGTCTTCATCTTCATCTGTGTTTGTGAATCCATAGTCACTATCAGGTAGTGGCCTTCCCTTTGCCTCGCTCAGTTCAGACACTGCCTTTTCCTGGTGGTTTCCATCATCACTATCGTCCAAATTAACAGATTCACGGTGGACAGTTCCATTATCAGTCAGCAGTGAGGTTGGTGTATTATCGATAACCACGAGAGGGATCTCAGAACAAGGCCTTTCGGGGGATTTTTGTGTGCCAATTGTATCCTCGCATTCCACGTATGAACTACTGGACTCGCCTTCACTGGATTCTGTGTCAGGAGTCAACTCAAGCTGCTTTCCCAGGACCACGTTCTGCACCTTGCCGGCACTCGGTGAGTCTACATCTAAGTCATATATGTTGTCGGAGCTACTTCTAAGCCTCCGCTGCTGGTGTCGTTGTGAACGTCTCAGCTGCCCTTTTGCGGCTTCAGTTATGTTGTTGTCTTCGCAAAGTGGGCTGGAAGAGGGTATCTTGGTAGAGTGCCCAGATTTCGGAGTAGATGACTCCCTAAGTGCAGCAGGCTGGTTAATCGAAGTTGAACCAGTTCGTTTAGCTGCCGATCGTTTCGCAATTGTCTTTAAATCAAAGGACAGCTGTGCAGAGGGACTTTGTTCATCACGCGTCCTCAAAATCCGATTACTTCTGCGCATCCTGCTCAGTGCAGCGGTGTTCTTGAGCAGGTTTGGCTTGCTCCCACTTTTCCTGTCTATAGTATGAGTAGTCGTAGCATCATTTCGGTTCCCTGTCTCCCCCGAATTGAACAACCAATGTCATCAAGACGCGCTGGTTAATGAGTAAGGCCTGGTTAGTTACCTATTGAATTTGCAATCGTTAACGTAGCTAGCCAAGTAACTAGCTGAGTTACTAACTACCTAGCTAACTAGTGAGCTAAAACGCAGCAAGCGCTTACTAACATCTAATTACGTCATTATTTTTGTTTAATGAATTCTCCAAACCCCGCGACTCACTAGTTAGTTCGTTGTGCAAACAATCATTCAGGTGCCTTGAATACGAGCAAAACATAAAAATGGCTACTGCAGCAATTGTACCATCGCTGCAACGGCTAGATCCAAATATACCACACACATTCGTGCGGCCACTAAAAAGGATCCATGATCATCAGGATGTGGAAACATTCCTATCGTCTGTTGCATACAGAGATATTATGATCTTTGTCTTGCAACTAAACCGATGCATGTTTCCCTCTAAGGTACCCAGCGAGAATGGCTCTTCAAATGTGGAGGCGTGGACATTGGACTCCGACTCTGTTGACTTCTCGGAGCCTGTCCGTCGCCTACAGCTACTATTATCAAAATTGGAGTCTCTCATCGATGAAGTGGCTCCAGATACAGGGCCTCGGCGATTCGGGAACATCAGCTTTCGAAGATGGTGTGAGGAGATGGAATCTCGTGCGTCTTCCATTATGGATGAATGTTTGCCACAGGAAATTCTTCAGCAGAAGTCTGAGGAGGGAGAAACAGTAACGGCAAAGGAAGAGCTGATGGCCTATTTAACGGGAAGTTTTGGCAGCTCGCAAAGACTTGATTATGGAACAGGGCACGAGCTTAGCTTTTTAGCTTTCCTCGCGTGCCTATGGAAGCTAAATGGGTTTGCTCGAGCAGACCCTGGAATGGAAGAGAGGGGCATAGTTATAGGGGTTATTGAACCGTGTGTTTTCCGCTTTATCTCATGGCCATTTTCTGAAACTTACTTTTCCCGGCCAGATATCTTCGGCTTATTCGACGTTTAATCCTCACGTACACTTTGGAGCCTGCGGGCTCTCACGGCGTCTGGGGCCTAGATGACCATTCTTTTATATCATATATCCTAGGGTCGGCCCAGCTATCTCCTGCCATAGGCCTTACTGACCCAACTCCTACAGAGGGCTCCTTATCGGATGCTCCGGCCACAGGTGATGTAGCTAAATCAAACATTGTTGAAAAGGAGCGAAAATCAAATATGTACTTTTCAGCTATTGGTTTTATCCACGATGTTAAACGGGGGCCGTTCTGGGAGCATAGCCCAATGTTATACGATATCTCAGGAATCAAAGATGGTTGGGGGAAAATTAATAAGGTAAGGAATCAATGTTGTCAGTTTATCTAAGAAGACATCGCAGTTTCTAACTCTAGATGTGACAATAGGGTATGCTCAAAATGTACAATGCGGAGGTTTTGTCCAAGTTCCCAGTGGTACAGCATTTTCCCTTTGGATCATTATTTGTTTGGGAACAGGACCCAAATGCTGTCCCTGCAGCCCCATCAGCACATACATCAAGTGGACCGCAAGCTCAGACGCAGTTTTCCGCATCTTCAAACGTTTCCACTCAACCAAACACAGGCACTCGAGCTCCATGGGCCTCGAAACCCACAATGGGAGACGTTCGAGGAGGCACTTTCCCTCATCCGCCGTCTGCAGTGCCACCATCTCATCAATTGCCGGTTACAAGAGCTCCATGGGCTAACCAAAGTAGCCAGCAGCGGAATTCGCCGCATCGAGAGCCCTTTCCGCCTGCAAATGTATCTGAGAGGTGAATACCCACTAACAGCGTCTCGTCAACAAAACTTTCAGTAGTAACATAGAAAATTAAGGAATATTATTTGACAGGCTCCTTAGTTCAAACTATAGTTTAAACAGCTCTGTGATTCAAAAAACTAATGAAAATGGAACTGGAATAGGGGTATCATGTTAAGTAATATATCCAAACTCCAAAAATGCGACGTAAGGCCTCCAGCCTATATCCATATGAATTCATTGAGGTATCGTATTAATCCGACTCCCGACTCATAATCCACCAGTCCAGTACTGGGGTGTCTCCGAGACTCTGGCTCCTGTGAGGCTGATTGTATATGATAGCCATTTTCCTTATCAATATTTTGATTGCTGACCACACTGTTTCCGGTTCCCATATCACCTGTAGACTGATTGCCCATTATATCATCATTTTCGTTTCGTGTTTCGGTTGATATCTCATTAGCCAACTTATTTGGCTTTTTTTTCTTTATGACTCTTGATGGTTGTTGCCAAATAGTTTCATCTATGAGAAGAAATGGATCGACAGCTGCTTTTGTGTTTCCTCGAAGCTCCCTTTGTAATAGAGCCTTTTTCTCGGCAGCCATATCCGCTATTTTTCTCCGCTTTCTTGTTTGACTAGGGTCAGGCGTGGAAGAAAGAGTCTGGGTATTTTGCGTGGAGGCAGCTTCGAAAAGTGGCTTTGTTCGGAGGTTCGAAGACAACGCTAGGGGAGACCCAGTTCGGTCACTGTCTTGCCCGAACTCAACCACTCCAGCGCGAATACGGTCACCCTCAGACTCATCTAGCAAATCGACACCCAGGCTGTACTTCTCTTTTAAGGCTTCCGTCTCAGACTGTATCGCTTCCCGCTTCTTTCTGTCTGCCCTAAATGCTCTTCGTAGCTTTCTTGAATTCTCATATGGATCTTCCCAGTCCCGGTCTTGCCTTTTTAATAGTTCTTCCATTCGCACCTTTTCAGTCATGTATTTATTTTTATCGGCAATTTTCCCCTCCAGTGCCGCAAACGGATCCGCTTTCTCCTCTCCTCCAGCATTTCCAAGGATTCTTACTTGAATTTCTCTAGCTCCTGTAGATGTCTCCTCGTATTCACCCTTTCCTATATCTGCGGTTACCTTCCGCCTGGCCCCTTCAGTAACCACGTATTCTGTATGTTGAGGATCTGTCCGTATCTCTATCCAACCCCCACATACGCTATGCTTCATGCGGAAGCTGTATATTGGGGTGGAATGATAGTTTCCAACCTTCTTCTTAAGAGCGTTGAATCGCACTCCCTGTCCTATGATCACCGATTCTGCCGGCTGACAAGTCAAACACCATATTGGAAATGGCATCTCAAACCTCACTGTGAGCTCTCCTGTAGCCTGAAGGTTTCGGGCGCGAGCACCAAGGGCATGCTTGCCAGCAAGCTTATTTCCAGAGATGACTCCTTCATACTCAGGGGGGACGTATCTACTTCATTGTTAGGTTATTCGTATCTTTACCAGCTATTCAGCTGTGGAAAGGGAATTCGAGGACACACCGTCCCATATCTGTTAGAAGGCATGCGTCAATAGCTATCTCTCGAAAACAAGGGTTCATTCTAGTAAAGACTTACTGAAGCCCTGCATCGTGCAGAAATAATAGAGGATCGTCTCTATTAAACTAGCTATCATGAACTATATTATATGGCACCGCACGTACGGCAAGTCCATCTAGACAAAGCGCCTCATACGTTCAAAAAACATGCGCAGAGGCACATCCTTGAAACGCCGTTTATATCGCAATCAGTTTAAGCCGCGTCTCCACGTGACTATGCACAAACCTTAAATCGACTAACCAGCTGCCTTGAAGAAAATCATGACACCGCAAATCAAGCTCATTTCAAGTAGAAGAAAAATTATAAACAATATATGTACACTCAAAAATAGATATACCGAATCGTAGAAGTGGTTATTAAACGGTTCTGCATGACCCGGAACTGACGTCACACACAATATGCAGGTCTTCAACACTCTCACCAATATGTATCTTAACACCTTTCCCGTCAACTGGAGCCTTCCAATCCTGAACTACCACATCCCAAATACTTAAGTCTTTTCGGGTGAGTTCCATCTTCAAAACCTCCTCTTGTCCTGGCGCAAGGGTTGATGTCTTTTCAAATTGGCGTAACTGCAATTTAGGCGTGTTTGCAGCCAGGCCAGTTGGCAGTTCGATGTAAAGCTGAGCCACCGCACGGCCAGGTACTTGGCCTGTGTTCTTCACTTTGGCCGCGACTGTGAATACTACATCCCATAGGGCTGGATTTCCGCCTTGAGATCCTCCAGCTCTTGGGTCAGGTTGCGGCGTGGTTTTATACCCCTTCGGATATGTGAACTTTGAATCCGCTTTGACACCCGCTGGGTTGTCAAGATATGGATACAGGTAACGCCATATCCTATTGAAGTTCTTCGGCCACGCCACTTCGGAGTTATCTGGGATTTTATCGGTGTATATCGGTGTCGTGCCCTTAGGCATCCGAGGAGGAGGGTACTCGGATAGTTGGGTTCCCGCGGCTACTACAGCCCCACTGAAACCAAAGGATGTATAAGAGAGCCCATAGCCAAATGGATAGCGGACTGATTTGCCTTCTTTCTGGAAGTGGCGGTAGTCGACAAATAATCCATCAATAAAGGTATCCTGGATCTGCCCAAATGGCTGATCTAGAAGGGATGAGCTTGGAGAATAGTCTGACTCAGACTTTGGGATGGTATAAGGAAGATGACCGCTAGGGCTAGCATCACCGAACAAAATGTCGGCCACAGCATTACCCGCCTCTTGGCCTGGGAGATGGGCAATCAGGACACTCTTTACTGTGGGAAGGTCGATCCATTTCTCCAAAAGTACTGGCCCAACTGTATGTACGACCACAACGACATTTGAGAACTTCTTGGCTGCCTCCTGGATTAATTCATCCCCTCCATACCACAGTCCCAGGCCAGCGTAGCTTCTGTCCCCGGGGTTTCTTTCGACCGTGATATAATTTTCTCCGGAGTCAGAGTTGACAAAGACGATGGCGACATCTTCAGGTTTTACCTCAATGTTTGAAGGAAATCTGTTTGTGATATAGGATTTGGCAGTGGATGACCTGTTCTTGATGGCCTCTTCCGGAGTACTTAAGTATGGTAGCCTGGACGTTCCGCTGCCCCAACCCATAGTAAGGACACCCTTGTTGCAGCCTTTATCAGCGCAGAAGTTAATCCCGTTTGGATTTGTGCCTGCATCTTCACCAAATATTGCTAGGGATGCACTTGTCTTAAGTGGGAGCACGTTATCTTTGTTCTTGACAAGTGTAATGGCGTCCCTCGCAATGGTCCTCGCAATTTCTTTGTGGTTCCCTTGGACATCGACGAATTTGTTGACTATGCCCCTGGGAGAGAAGACGGCTCCAGGGTACAGAAGCCCACTCTCTTCCTGGGTATTTGTTGAGAAGTTTGGTTCCGGGTAATCGCTATCCTGTCCAAACTGGAACCACGTCGCAACGACTCTAGTGACCTAGATACCGAATTAGAAATTTCGATGACTTCTTTTATAGCAAATCTTATAAAGGATATGCTAGCATTTAAATATTTCAAGGGATACTCCCGTACCATGTCGTTAAGTCGCTCCAAAGGAATGGTTCCATTGAGAACGGATCGAGACAGCTCGTATGCCCAGAATGTGCTACCCGTCAACGGGACGGGACCATCGCCAGGCATAGCCATATCAAGCCCTGCTAGGGCCGAGGAGACTCCACCAGTTTGACCGAACCAGTCACTCATGACCAGTCCCTGGAACCCAAGTTCGTCTTTGAGTATTCCGTTTATTAAAAGACTATTCTGGCTACAGGTGGAACCGTTTACCTGTCAAGCAGTTGTTAGCATCATGTTCCAACGGTAACGCCTAACCTGAGAGATGGATCTGGGTGGCCGCAGTACATCATTATAAGCCATCATCAATGCTCCAACCCCGGCCCGGACTGCCTCTGCGAATGGCCATAGGTATAATTCATGCAAGGTTCGATCGTCAATATTAGATGAATATCCGCGTTGCACCACGTTCGTCATCCGGTGTATTTCTTGCTCATTTCCAACAAGATGCTTCACTGTCGCTATAACACCGGCCTTCTGAATACCTTTGATAGTCAACGCACCACCAATGGCCTGAAGTGATGGGTCAGCCCCAAAGCCTTCCCAGTTTCGACCACCTCGAGGTTTACGCCCAAGGGGTCCAACTGAGGGCCCCAAATGAAAATTCACGCCCTTTCCCCGAAACTCCTCGCCCATAGCGACACCGCGTTCATACATGAGCTTCTTATCGAAAGTCGCTCCAACGGTAATGCCTGCAGGGAAAGCAGTATTGTGATCTGTGTTCCGCAGGCCCAGAGGCCCATCCTGTAGGCAGAGATTTGGTATGCCGAATCGCAAAGCACTACCTGTTTGGCCAACGCAAGGCCCCATGAAGATTCCTGTTCCTGTAGTCAGGTTCACCTTTTCCGCGAGAGTCATGTTGGCGACGACTACGGCAGCCTTTGCGTATGCAGACTGCCATTCCTGAATCCAGCCTCCTTTAGGGGTTGGATAGTAAGGAGGCGATTCATAACCAGGAGGGACATCAGCGCGGACGCCTTGGGTTGTAGAGCCCGACCCAGAGGCAGCAGTAAATGCACAGGAAGAAAGGAGTAGATGGAGAGCTATTCTCCATGTATTGCTAACGAACAGCATGGCCCAATACGCGATCTCGAGATATAAAATCCAGCCAAAGCACGAGTCATTCAGCCGTTGCCCAGGAGCGCAACTTCTATGTCAACCATTTGGCCCTACGATCTCAACTTGGAAGACGGATCAGACCGCGGCAATATATATACTTAGAAATAGGGCTGCTACCTTGCAGTCACCAAGCCAAAGCCCACGCAGCTAACTAGTTAGCTGATCACACTCCATCCGTCGCTGATCGCCGCTACCCCTGCTCAGCTTCGGGCCTCTGGCTTGAATGTGATTTCACATAACACAGCCAGGATTCCATGCGGGGAGAGTGTGAGAAGGTTACTCCCGATCCTTGCTCCAGGCTACTTGGTCAGCAGTACTTGAGGTTGAACCCATGATGGAGGCTCGTTTTCGGCATCATGTGTCTGGTATTGTGTCACACACCCTCCGTAAAGCTCAGTTAGCTAGGTATCAATTGGCGTGGGACTACCTTTTGAATTAGCTAACTAGTTAATGGCGAGCTATTAGCTACATTAATTACTCCATCAAGTGTACTGAGTAGATAGAGTGGGCTTCCCAAAGCTTTTGGCCGTTAAAGCAAAGTCTCCAACGATGGCGAACCAGGTTGGAAAAAAGGGGTGAAACTAGCAGTGACAATCTAGTTGATTAACCAGTTTGACCCATGAGGTTTAACTAACTGCCTAGTTACTGGAAAGGCTATTTTAGCTAGGCTAGATCACAATGTCCAAGTAGCCACAAGCCCCTTGCTCCGGGGGGCATCTGAGTGGCATCCAAGCAATTAGGCGTAATTAACTGAATGGAGTCCGGAAATAAAGAAAAACGCACAGCCTTTGCAGGTATACAACTCGCATCTTTAACTAGTAGGTTGGAAACCGAAATCCAACCCCTAACCTTGAGTCCGGCCTCATTGGAGATTAGACAAAAATTATCCAGTGTACTTACAGACGTGCTGATCCGATAGTGTATTATTACACTGGTATCAAGCTTTTTTTTTTTTTTAATTGGGAACGCTATACTCCGGGAAATTATGTTGAAGTCGAAGATTCAGAGTACGAGGTACATCCAAGGTCTTTTAATCATGGGGGATATCTAATAATTCTCTATAAAAAAAGTTGACTGGCGGCACGATCTATTAAACACGAAAGCAAGAAGCAATCGGCTAATCATCAGGATGTTTCGAAATACGACTCTCCAAACGTTAAGGACGAAACGTCGCTCAGTTGGAAAAGTACCCTGGGAAGAGCCAGGACATCTTGGACAGAGCCGAGGCACCGATGCTGCCAGGTTTCGTACTCAAGCCGAATTTTGCACTACCTTCAAGGTGCTTCCCCCTGACGAGGTCTGCGTGTTCGTCTTTGGTCAACTCATCCAGGACAGCGCCGATGAAGTTTCTGGCGTTTACAGCGTTTGCTTTCATGTTACTCATGACCATTTCCACAGTGACATCCTCAGTGCCGGAGTGCCAGCAGTCATAATCGGTTGACATGCAGATCATCTGATATGCCATTTCCGCTTCACGTGCTAGTTTGGACTCTGGCAGGCAGGACATGTTAATGACACTGCCGCCCCAGCTTCGGTAGAGCTTACTCTCCGCGCGAGTGCTGAACTGTGGGCCCTCTAATCAAGAAGTATGTCAGCCCTTGTTCGCCCTTCCCCCGAAGAAGCTATGGGGTAATAGTAGGAAGGAACAACGTATAGATAACCGGGTAGTTTGGGCAAACGCGGACGAGGGGTTGGGTGGAAGGACTTACCCATGCATATCAAAGTGCCACGATCGTGAAGAATGACCCCCTCTCCTTCCAGGCTGTGGCCGCAAGCCCTTACAACTTCGGCCATTTTCTCGTCGAACGGATCGGCAAATCCAACATGGTTTACAATCCCATCCTCAAAGAATGTCCATGGCCGAACTCCCTTGGTGCGGTCAATTACTTGATCTGGGATCACGAAATCTCTGGGCTTGATCTCTTCTTGCAAGCTGCCAACCGCAGAGAATGCTACGACACTTCGGACTCCAATAGATCGTAGAGCAGCAATGTTGGCACGGCTAGGAACCTCGTGAGGAGAAAGCTGATGGTGAAGGCCGTGTCGGCTGATGAAAGCAATTGGAACGACCTTGCCGCTGGTGGAACAGGTGTGGTGGAGGATTGAAACCGGCGAGGACGGTTCACCCCATGGCGTTGTGATTGTAAGGGTAGCGACCTTGGTGAAATTGGGGAGCTCGCTCAACCCGGTGCCGCCAATAACGCCGATATGAACGGGCTCTAGAAGAGGCATATGTTAGTTGATTATGAACATTCAAAGCTCTCAATATCAATGGGCGCATTTATTTCGAATCAAGGGTTCTGCGAGCTACTGAGGGGCATTGAGGGGCAGATGTAGTAGCGCGATTGAAGCCACGACGGGGAGTAAAAACCTTTGTAGGTATCAGAATGAACAGTCATGGTGAATGGTATCCGTGATGGAGATTAATATATGCTGATTAGGCGTCTGCGGTTCGGCGTTTGTACTTGAAGAGATCTTGGTGAAGAATGAATGCTATCTTCGAGGGGCGGCTTTTTGTCAATCTCCAATTTTTTACGGCTGACTCAGCTCACCGCTGGGGGTCCGTAGGTGGAGAGACCCGTTCATTGATTGAAAGATTTGATATGGAGTTCAAAGCTGGATAGAATAACTAATGGATTATGGACCAGGTGTGTAATTGGTATGAAGATTCAGGTTTGCATATGTTAATATGATGGTGTGGGTGTGTGCCGTGTAATGCCACATCTATATCTCCATAAAGAGTCACTATCAAGACACTTTTATTAGTGATAGCATCTTGAGCACGGAGAGAATCCCTCTTACTATCAAAGCCCAATCTCTATGGGATGCCATGCAAAGTCATTTTTAGGAAATCCAAGAACTAGCCTTGTATTGTAACTAGAGCTTGGCCTCGACATTGCCAGTGTTGGAACCTTTTTGACGGGCAAACATGCGTTCAGCTATGTTCCCAGCACTTATATACAGCCACTGTTAAATAGACCATCGATATGCCGAACAATTAGTTCTAGTCAAACACAACCTTCTTGCCCTGAAATGAAGATTGCGTTTTTGATTCCTTGCGTTTAATTGCCGCCTGCCATGACGGATGAAGTGGCTTGTCATCGTTAGATCGTTTGGCCATTGGAGGTTGCGACACAGCTGGTACCCGAGTCGCATGGGATTCAGTGGCCTCTTTACGTTGGCTTCCGCGTATCTTATTTCTTCCATATTTACCTCTGGTATCTTTCTGTGCTGTGGCTCCCCGTCGTAAATCCCAGCCGCTATCCCGATTCTTGCCCTGGGCTTGTTCCTTGGCCTGTTTTTGGATATGTTTGGCATTATTGCCATATTTCTTTTCCCAAAGTTTTCGTCGTGCCTGTTGGCCCATCCTGTTCTTCCGTTCTGGGACGACGGGTGCGTAGTCCTGCTCTGGCTCGGATTCGGAGCCTGACCAGTATCCTCCCATGAGGGTGGGGAGGAATGTTGTATCTGTTGTCGTCTTTTGTCTAGCCTTTGAAGATTTTGTTATAACAGCATCTGACTCGTCAGATGTATCTGATGGTGTAGGTGATAATGACATGTCGTCCATTGGGTTGTATTTTGCGCTCCCTGGCTTTGCCTTGATATCATCCCCACGATTACTCCCATCCTCATCCTCTGAATCAGACGCAACAAGCCCGTCAAACTGCGACATATCCATCCCATCGCCATCTTGAGAACCATTCGATTCTCCGTCTGTTCCCTCGTCCTCCTCGCTCATGGACATATCCTCTTCCGTGCGTTTGGACGCCTGCTTTTGGCTCGCCTTCGTTGTAGCCTTTCTCAATTGCGTATCCCTAGAGAGACCAAGTATATCCCTTATATCATCCATAATCCCCGGAAAGACTTTCCTCACTGGATTGGAGTTGAACAGTCGAGCAGAAACGTTGGCTTCGGCATCACTCTTCTTTTCCTCGTTAGATATGCGCTCCGCAAGTTTCAGATGAATAAACGCCGGCGACTCTGCAATCCGTTTCGTCTTCACCATCTGCTTTATCAGGTATCTTTCGGCAGTTTTATGTAAATCCAAGGCCTAGGCTATGGTTAGAACTTTGGCCTTGTGTTCAACATCCAGCTATGAGAACAGTAGTATCGCACCTTCAAAGCTTCAACCTCATTCAGACGCCGATTCAACAGCATTCTATCGCTTTCCTGCCGCGCAGATTTCTCTCTCCGTCCTAGCTTCTGCCGTTCGAATCCTCTGGCGATCTTGAGCGCACGATGAAGCACCACCACGCCATTTTGAACCTTTTGGTCAAGGCGTAATCTCTGTAGCCTCAGCTTCTTATCGCCCCAGTTATATGAGTCGTCCTCTTCCGGAGGGTCGCGCTTTCGTTTCGCCATTGTGTCCTAGCCTTCCGGTTGCGCTGTGCTGGCTTAACAAATTGATGATAGAAGTTGTGGAAAGTCGAATTATTTGCGCCAAGATTTTTTTTCTAGCCTTTGCTGGTTATCTTATCTTATTTAGATCAAGATCCCTCGCTGCGGACCTCAGGAGTATACCTTAGGTGTACCTCCAACGAACTGAGCGTGACAATAAGACAGATTCTAGATATCTTAATTTTCTATAGTTATGCTGACCTGGAGACTGCTCCATAACTGGAAAATAACTTGATTAAACGCTAATGGCGCAGATTGTATATATATAAAGTTCTAACCCCAAAAGAAGAAAAAGTGCTAAACAAATCCCAATAAAAAACAAAATTAGTCTAATGTGCAGGTATCCAGTACTTAGGTTGTTGATTTCGCTCATTTAAACATGTCCTCGTCGTGCTCTATGTCGTCTTCTTCAACGAAACCAACGACCATGTCGGTTGTCTCATCGACAACGGTGATGATACGCCGTCTGCGCTGTACTGTGTTTCCTTCCGAGTCTCGCTTCGTGGCTGTAGTTAGCGAGCTGGCTATGCTGGTTTGTTTCTCTTGGTCAAGGATTCGTCGAATATTGCCAACCGTGCTGGTGCTGGATACCCGTACCCATTGTTGACTCGTATGTCCAATCGACATGTCATGGTCAACATCTTCGATACTATCGTCTGGGTCATTGCATGCAACCATACTACGCAACTTTCGTGGTGAAATTATATAGTCAGGGTGTATGAAAGCCCAAGGTTTTGACGTTGAGCCTCTAAGGGAGGCACGCATCACATCAACAATGCGCAGTGGCCAGCCATTTTTCGGTAACGCCGTGGGTATCAACTCCGCAGGGGTCATGAAGTCTGTTATTGGGCGTGAGGAAAATGTTTCAGTAGATGATAACCCTGGTTCGCATTCGTCTTGAAGACCGTTGACGGACATCGACCGTGAGGGGGTAGTCGATGTAGAAGTCAGAGGAGTTGTGCTGCCAGATGTCGATGTCGAAATAGTAGCGGCGGCAGCAGCAGCAGCTCCAATAGCACCACCAGGATGATAACCCTTGAAAATCTCAGCCGGCCCTCTTCCGGGTGTGGTATGAAGCCGTCGAGCCACTGCAAGAGCCAAAGCATCACCAACAGCCAAAGCTACAGTGGTGGAGCTCGTAGGGGCACAAACACCGAACGAGACTTCCTCTGGTTCGTGAATGGGCGAGGGAAGTAGAATCGTGTTTGCATTGCTAGAACCAGCTAGTAGCGGACACAATGATGGCTGTTTGTGTGCTGTTATCACAATAACAGAAGTTGTCGACGGAAGATGTGGAAGAACGAGTAGTAGCTCAGATGTTTTGCCGGAATACGTGATGAAAAGGATGGTGTCCGTCTATGTGAGATCCGCATTAGCAATCAATCCCCATCCGGCAAGGAAGAGCAAATGTCAAAAGCTGTCAGACTTACCGGTCTCACCATACCAAGGTCCCCATGTAGTGCTTCTGTTGGATGCAGGAACGAGCAGTATATCCCTAGACTGTTCATTGTAGCTACAACCTTTTCTCCGATCTTACCACTTTTCCCCACTCCGCATACAATCAGCTTGGATCCCGCATTGATAGTATTGGCAATCTGTTCCACAGCCCGTTCCATGTTGTTCCGCGCCAGCTCGTTGGTGGTATAGACTCGCTCAAGGTTTTCCAGGGCGGCCCGTTCCGTGGCAATGACATGGATTGCCGTATCGACGGGCGAGGGATGGGGTGTTGACGAAGACGCCGAATCGACGCCCGGGTCTGGGGGAGTCATGGGTAGGGGTGGGATAAGGCTCGACTTGACGCTCTGTGGATTCGAAGGGACCATCGGAGGTGACATAGGAGAGAGCTGGCGGGTGCGTTTCCTGGCGTAAAGGGTGGACACCATATTGAGAATAACACTTGATATGGCCTGTTAGGAAAAAGGCGCGTATACGCAGGCCTGCGAGCGAATTTGGCCGTAGAGGGGTGTTTATTGACCGCTTCTCAGCAGCAGCGGGGGCGCAAAAGATATTGGTATCGGTATCACGGCGATAAAAAAAAAACTAAGTTATGCAGCAAAAAATAACACAAAGAAACCGGGCACTATTCGGGGAAAACGAAGTCCGGAACAACGGCAGCGATACGGGATCCGGACAGGAACTGGTCTCATATATTCATATTCCCAGAAGTCTGAAAAATGGCCCAGGGCCCAGGGTAGGCGGAGGAATGAAATATCCGAGGGAGGAGGAGAAGTAGAGCCCCGATAAGACCTCCAAGCCCAGCAAGAAATTTTGCCCCAGGGCCGTTTCGCGATGCAGGGATGATGCAAACGGCACGCCAGCCAATGGGCACGGCACCTGGGACGGTGAATTTAAAAGGGGGTCCTGCTGGTAAACAGCCAGGGAGGGTGTGACGGGCTGCAAGTAGAAACCAAAGCCTGCCGCCTCCGCCGCTCTCTATACATGCAAAAGGGAAGTTTGCGTCTGGCGAAGATCAATAGCTGCGGTGCGAGGTGCGAGGGGGGCAGGCGCTCCAAGGAAGAGCCGAGATGGAAAAAAATAGAAAAAAGAAAAAAGCTGCGGGTTTTTTGATTTGATAAGATCAAGGTTTCACTGCTTAGTCAGTCGCCGACGGGAAGTGTTGACCCGCGGTTGGGCATTTCGCCATCCAGCGCTCCCCTGTGAGGCTGGACGTTCGAGCCGGCCGCAGGTATCTGGTTGCTGGACGAGGCAGGCCCGCGTAAAGGGGCGGCGTGAAAAGTTTGGCTGGCGGACGGAGTTTTTCTCCAGGGGGTTAAGGGTGCGCCTTACGGGCGGACGCTCGCTGTGTGCACCTCCAATACGGATGAAACAGAGTCAATGGATGCTGAGGAATCTTGAACTCTCTTTGCGGATGTGATAGTTTGGCGTAGAGCCAAGGGGTGTTGACGTGCATGCGGTTCGAGAGAGACGCCAGTTGTATGGAATCAATAGTGATGATGGAATCAATGATGATGGAATCATGTCTGTGGAAAGAGAGGAAAAAGCAACTTGTGACCACCACATTGGAGTGCTGGACTGTAAATAGGTGCTGATCAGTAGCTTCAGAAGCGAGGTTATCGATATTTTTGATGACAATAGAAAATTACATGGCTTAGTAGTACAAATGTGAGCGTCGTCCTCTTGCCTGCTTGTCCGGGGAAGTGTATGGATGCCATGGGCCGGGACAAAAAAGCAAAGAGTTGCTGACTATTCACTGAACGGAAGTCTGCCGTCGGCGGTCTGGATGGAAATGGAGAGGAGGAGGCTGCAGCTGTGGAGGGAGTTATCACTTCAAGGGCTTGACTCCTTTATGAATTGCTGCAATTCCCAATGACAGGTTCTCGTAGCCTTCGCCCGGTGTGAGGAAGCCAGCTTTGCGGATCATACCGCGGAACTCTTCCTGGCTAGGGAACCTTTCGATGCTCTCAACGAGATACTGATAGCTGGCACGGTCTCCGGCCACGAGCTGCCCAATCAACGGGATAGCACCAAAGCTCCATCGTTTGTATACCTCATCGAACGCGCCAACTGTCACCTTGCTGAACTCCATACAAGCAAAGACACCCCCAGGCTTGAGGATGCGGTAGGCCTCCTCCAACGCGGCCTGCTTATTGGTGAAATTACGGATGCCAAATGCGACGGTGTAGAGGTCAACTGAGTTGGATGGGATGGAGGGCATCGACTCTGCATTGCCTTGCATGAAAGACAGCCTATCGGAGTTATAATATGGCGTATCGAGGCTCCGCTTTTTCCCCTCCGTTAGCATGTCCGGGTTGATATCAGCAACCGTGACCCGGGTGTATTGATCATGCTTGATGTTTGTGGCATGGTCAAGCATGCGGAATGCAATGTCTCCCGTCCCGCCAGCAACGTCAAGTATATTCCACCCTTGGTGGGCGACCTCACTGCTGCCGCTTTTGCCGGGGCTCTCACGCGCGTACTGACGGCCAGGATTCAATGACCGTACAAAATAGTCCTTCCACAGTCTGTGAATGCCGAGTGACATGAAGTCGTTCATCGTGTCGTAGGAGCTAGCTACGGAGCTGAACACAGCACCGACTGGAAAAACAACATCAGTAAGTAGAGCGTCAGTAGGCTAATTGAAGCTTAGGTAGAAGTCTTACCTCTAGATTCCTTCTCGGACTCCCGCACTGTCTCGAAGCCAAAATGCGTCTTACGCTCATCGGCTGGCTGCCCTGGAGCCCATAGGCGAACAGAGCAGGAAAAGCACCTGTAAGGAGTTTGGGGCACCAGCGGCCGTCTCTTTGCACACCAGTGCAGGCCTCGCCACGTATTTCTTGCTGGCGCGTTCATTGTTTCAATCTTCTATTTCCTTTCTCTCCCTTTTTTTTCTGTTATTGCTTTCCCTCGTTTCTCGAGCTGCTCTTTGGCTGCTTTTTCCAAGCTCAAAAAGCTCCAGAAATTTACTTCCAGCTAGATTATATAATCATTATATATCACGTGATGTTCTTCAGCCTCAAGCCGGCTTGATAAATTCCAACCTTTTTTACGAACAATTCCCAAGTACGAATATGTGATGGACAATCTCAATATACTATTTTATTACTTTTGGAGTTTAACGCTGGAATTATGCTGTTTCTTTTGAGATTACTTCCTACCATCGTATGGCAGATATAGACACCCCTGAACAACATCTGTTGGAATGGAAATGAGCATCGACAAACACGCTTCTATGCCGGCAACATGCAGTTTACAACACGGAAGGGGCTGTCCGTTGCTCAGAGATACGAAGCACTTAAACCACCGGATTGCAGGTACCTTGTTGTCTTAGCCCAGAAATACATATTCATCGTTTATCGTACGCGCAATAAGGACTACCTATAGGCTAAACAAGCTCTACAGAAACTCCGCAAGCTACTGTCACTGGAAAAAGTGTAATACTGTACGGAGGAGTGTTAGATAATGGGCGGCGACCTTCTAGGATTTTTAAGTCTTTAAGTCACAAATTAGCAGCCGTTATATCAAAAGATTAACGGTATCTGGAGGTTCATGTGTCACCCAACAACCAATTGTGCTATGCACAGCTAGGCAATAGTCATATTCGCCGGCCCAGAAATTTTGAAGCACACCTTAGCAAGGAACCATAAACCAGGGAAGGCCAGTCGCACGGACAAAGAAGTTTTAGGGGGGATAATTGGTTGGTCTATTATGATGTAAAGTGTGAGATATAATGATGCAATCCTTCCACCTTAATATATTAGCACCGGTCGAAAGGTACCTGCATCCTGTATTCAACTGTATAAAAAGACTATAAAATTACTACCTCGTGGGCGGACATCGAGGATCAGCCCAACTGTGTATAAATGCCAAGCCTGCCAAGGCGACATTTTCTCCACAAGCCCGCGCTTCTTCGGCGCTTATAGTGTAGCCAGACGCTCTTCCCGTCCAGTTAATAAAGCCGCGCAGATATTGCGTCTGCACTTAAAGCAAGAGCTTCGGTCCAAGAAGCATGTATGCTTGAAACTTAAGAGCTTTTTTAATTATATAACCTATAATTTAATAGCGTGTTATTTGGCCGATTGGTAGCCCGACGAAGCAAGGCTCTGTTTCCTTGCTCTTCGGTCAGTCTAGGGATCACGAAGACAACCCTCCCATAGAATGGTAACCTGGCACCATATCTATAGAGATCCTACTTGCTAGCTATAACTCTGTTATCTATAACATGTGCTTCACGATAGCTAACTCCAGTGAAATCATCCCAACTTCGTGCCGGGCCAAGAGAACTCATGTGATTTATCTCCGCAAAAGCCTTTCCTCAAGGTCTCGCTCGAGCAACTTTGCTTTTTACCCAATCAAGCGAGTTTTTCCCCTTTTCCGCTGCGTCTTGGCAGCTTATATCATCAAGCCTATTATTAAGTTCTTACTAAAAGTTCACATGACCTGCTTTCAAGCCGACGCCAGCCGAGTTGCCCACCTCTCGCCCAAAGCGGGAAGAGAAACAACTTCGCTGCAGTTAGTTTTTCAATACGTCGGGATAACATTTTGATAGAAGAATCAACGTCGTGCAGTCAAGGCGAGACTCAATTGATACCCTGACGATACAACAGACAGACGACAGAGACGGACAGTCGACCAGATAGACGAATAGAGACACAGCCGACAGCCAACTATGCCTGTCCTTCGTCTTGCCCGCCCCGCCCAGGGAGCTTTGCTGCGCGCCGCCAGACTGCCTGTGAGCAGGGTACGATGGGCCAGCTCAGTATCGCAGCCGCCAGGCTCTGACCAGTCAGTACCAGAACAGCCATTGCCATCTGTAGAGCGTCTCAGCAGAGCGACAGCTAACTGACGTGTTTGCTCGGAGTTTAGTGTTCGGTTTCCCGGCGCCGTGAACAGTAAATTCACGTCCGACATGTCCTTCGTCACCCCTGCCTCGAACCCAGCCATTCCGACATATAGAGTGATGGACTCCGAGGGTGTGATCGTTGACAAGTCGAGAGGGCCGCCAGACGTTAAGGATGAAGAGGTCATCACTTGGTACAAAAACATGCTGAGCGGTAAGGAGAATGCTTCGGCGCTTGGCCCCGAAACTACGCTCTGGCTGACCGAAAGATGAATTTATATAGTAAGCATCATGGATATGATTATGTTCGAGGCACAGAGACAGGGTCGTCTTAGTTTCTATATGGTATGGTATTGCTGTTCGTTCGCTTGTGTGTTGGCATATTGGCTCATCGTTTGCATCTAGGTCTCTGCAGGAGAAGAAGGTATTGCCGTTGGCTCGGCAGCTGCCCTATCTATGAAAGATGTCATATTCTGCCAGTACAGAGAAACTGGCGTCTTCCAGCAGCGTGGATTTACCTTGAAGCAGTTCATGAGCCAGCTCTTTTCCAATCGCAATGATAGCGGAAAGGGTCGTAACATGCCCGTCCACTACGGAGGCAAGGACGTAAACACTGTAAGTATACCAATGCTGTCTGCGCTAAACGCTTTCTGACACCTCGCTTCAAGCATACTATCTCATCAACTCTCGCAACTCAAATACCCCATGCTTCTGGTGCTGCATACGCACTCAAGATGAAGGCCCTTCAGGATCCCAATGCCGAGAAGCAAGTAGTTGCCTGCTACTTCGGTGAGGGAGCGGCCAGCGAAGGAGACTTCCACGCCGCTCTCAACATTGCTGCCACCCGCTCCTGCCCTGTCATCTTCATCTGCCGAAACAATGGTTACGCCATCTCCACCCCAACGCTCGAGCAATACCGAGGAGACGGAATTGCCAGCCGTGGTATTGGTTATGGCATCGACACCATCCGTGTTGACGGAAATGATATTTTCGCAGTCCGTGAAGTCACACTAGAAGCTAGAAGGCGAGCTCTTGAGGGCTCAATGCGCCCAATCCTTATCGAAGCCATGAGTTACCGTATCTCTCACCACAGTACTAGTGACGACAGCTTTGCTTACCGTGCCCGCGTCGAGGTTGAGGACTGGAAGCGCCGTGATAACCCCATCTCCCGTCTTCGCAAATGGATGGAGAACAAGGGCATTTGGAATGAAGACCTGGAGCGTGAAACCCGTGAACAGCTCCGTAAGGATGTTCTTGCAGAATTCGCTTCTGCTGAGAGAGAGAAGAAGCCTGCCTTGAAGGAAATGTTTACCGATGTTTTCGCAGAGCTTACCCCTGAACTCAAGGAGCAGAGAGAAGAGCTCAGGCGCATCCTTGAGAAATATCCCAAGGAGTACGACCTTAGTGAGTTCGAGGGTGGCTTGAAGGGCTTGTAAATGAAGCAATCCCTGCTCAAAACCAATCACTCCGTCTGTTTGCCGCTTTTCTTTCCCCGGATAATTCGACTTCCAATTTACCGTACGGTTCATTTTCCGTCACCCTGCAACAGACAGACCTACTTATACACACAGAATAAATACTATAGCGTTGTTTCGGCGTTTCGTTCCCCATACGGAACCTATTGGTTGATTGGCTTGGTTTTTTTTTCCTCTTTTTTCCCCATCCCTGCCTTTGCCTTGAAGAGCCACCTAAAATGTATATACCATAGATCAAGATTCTCTCTTTGGATGAGCGAGAGAATACTAGATATAGAAAATACACGCTTTCAAAAGTGGCACATAGTCTATTTGTTGTAACATTCGCTATTTTAATTAGCCAGAGGCTTCACTCAACAGAAAAGACCAACACCATATAAAAATGAACGGAAGACAGATACATAAAAAGCATGAATGATCGTAATAATAGTAAGTCGAACAAACTCCACAAAGATGCAAGAAAGGAAACAGGTGCTAAAACTGTGTATAGACTCGCAACAAGGAAAATAAAAGAGAAAGGAACCAAGAAAGTCCGATCAGAACATTGTAGAAAGAATAGAAAGTAAAGAGTGCATGGGATAACACCGCCTTGAGATAAGGCTATTGCGATGAGGCCATTGACTCGACTGCAGCTGCTAAAGCCTGCTGCACAAGCTTTTTGTTCCTCTTGATTAGGGCCATAACCTTCTTGTCAATAGCATCAACTTCTCGTCTCGATACATCCAGATCAGCCTGCGAAGTGTTGATCATAGCTCGAAGTTCGACATCAGGCATATTCATTAGCTCTTCAAGGCCGGGCCCGAAGCTAGGACAACGTCCTGCCATCAATTTGGATGCAGATGAGCGAATAGGGACAGTTTCGCCACCACTGCTAATTGCCCAATTATGCGAGCGTACCATCTCAGGCTCGGACGTGGATGCGTTTACGCCGCTATTTGCATGCGGTGGGTGCGATAAGATGGCAGACGAGCCTTCAGAGGTGATGCTGGATACAAGTCCATTTCGAGTTGAATCCTCGTCAACCCAGCAAATGTTGAACTTCTCCGGGGTAGCAAAGAGGGCATCTAGTCCACCTCCGCGGTTGGTGACGTCTGGTTCGGAGATGAGTAGGGAAGGGTAAGAATCCTGAATGACATCTAGGAAAGATGAGAGGCTCTTCTCCAATTCCAGATACCGATCCTCCTCTTTAGCGGAAAGATGACGGAGGATACAGCCTGTAGGAGTAATAAGGGCACGATGCTTGAGCTTTTCAGGATCACCGTTATTGATACGGACAGGTTCACCGCGAAGGAGTTGTTTACGGTGTTCCTCCGTTAACTCCAGAGGATTGTGCAGCATATCGTAGTCATCGGCATTGCATTTCATATCTGTACGCTGGCCCAGATTTGGTGGGTTGAAAAGCGGATGGGTATTCAAATCGAAACCTTCGCGATGTTGAAGCTGTCCGAGAAGAGTGGGAAGAGGCGCCGTGCGTTCAAGGAAGAGATCTTTGACTGGCACACCTTTCGACTCGGCGTCCATTGTCATTTGCTGGAGAGTGTTATTCTCTCGCCATGGCTCGTTGGGTACCGTTACTTTTGATTCTACTTTCTTTGACTCCTCCTGACTAACACTTGACTTGGATGGGGCTTCGGGTTCCGGTTGAGGTTTTACCGCGTCATTACTTGACGATTCCTTCTGTTCTCCCTCAGACGCATTGGCATCGGCATCTCCATTGAATTGTTTTGGTGCCTTCTTCGTCTTGCGTTTACGGCCGATAATCGGGGCTTGAGTCTCACTGTTAGATGCTGCATTGGCTAAAAGGATTTCATCTTTCTTGGCCTCCGCGTTTTTGGCCTTTAATTTCCTATCTTTTTTCACTTGACTCTTCGTCACTGTTCGAACAGGCGCAGATCCAATCCTAGACGGCGGTGGGGAATTCGCTCGAGAGACTGAGGCAGATGTTTGGGCATCATACTCAGAGCCAGCTGGTGTCGTTGGTCTACTGACGGAGGAGAGACTATGTATGCCCGGTCTCTGCTTCGTGGCCCATACAGATGTACTTGACAATGCTGTGGGAGGTCCTTGTTCTGACTTTGGTGTATCAACAACACGCAAGACCCTTGGTTGGCGGGGGGCTGGAGAGTTCGAGGTGCGAGAGCTAGTCCCTGGAGTATTTGGTCTAGAATCTGGACCAGCTGAGGAGGTTGCCAGTGCCGCAGCACTCTGCACTGGGGTCGAATTGGCGACAGGCTCACGAATTTTCTCGAACGTCGAAAGGTCAAGTTTCAGAGGCTTTGCTCTCCCATGGCTAGACGACTGGTGTGTTTTCGACGATGGTGCGTCATTTGATAGAATGCTTCTGGCAACACTGCCTGCCTTTGCTTTAGGAGACCCAAGGGATATCTCGGCAGCCCTACTAGTTGTCTGCTTCAGGGGAGTAGCAGGAGATCCTCGTGCTGATTCCGCAGCCGTATTGGACTCCGCAAGTGCTTGAGGATGTACTAATCCTGGAGGTGGGTTTATGGTCAACGGAGTCTTTGGCAGCGAAGGGCTTGACGTTCTGGATTCATGAACGAGGGATGTAGACGGGTGTGCATGGGGTAAACTGAGCCCAGGCGGTACAGCAGGAGTACCAGACCGACTTGATGTTAGCGATGATTCGCCTGGAAGAGACGTCCGAATTGGCAGACGAATTGTGTCAGTAGGCTGCTTATCGTAATCTGGCTTGGATGCTGGAGCCAACGGTGGGAAGTCTTCGTCTTCTAGTATCAGAATGTTAGCATCTGAACCTAAAAGAACTTCCTATCTGGTCTGATAAAGGTGATATAAGCTTTGTGATGCGTAGCGAAGGAAGTGTGGTAGGGGAGGTAGGTGTGGCTACATGGGTAAGCCTCGAGGCCCCTTTTCTCTATATACATTGGCTGCAGTCGTCGCTACAATATCAGGGCAGAGGATACTTCAAATCACACATAACAAGTTGGAGACATCTATATGGGCAAAAAAAAAAAGCAGTGAGAAATTTTGTTTAGACATAGGTAGGACTGGGCTTGGGTACAAGCCCAAAAAACAGGGAGGATTAACATACAAAAAAAATTTCCTCTCGAAGGAAAGTGTATTTTTGGGTATAGTCCGAAGAAGCGTATGTTGGCGCGAAAGGAAACCTGAACCCCCGGCCATTGGTATGGCAGGCAATATGAAAACGTTTTCCCAATATCGCGAAAAAGCCCTTCGAAAAGCATATTCCTGGATAAAAGTAATGTGTATGACGCCTCCCGCCAGCCAAGTTCATCAAGAAGCGTCGCAAATATGCGATGTGAACGCCCAGTCGCACACATTTCAACGAATGTTCCCCATATGCAGTGCTGAAAAATAAATGCCAAATAAAACAGCCGAAGAAGGAAAATAAACAGCAGCCTCTGTACTCCTAGCAGGTGGGTAAAAGGAGATAGAAAACGAAAGGGAAAAGGCACATAAAACATAAACGCTTGGGTGAGGATATTGGAAGAATATGAAATCTCATACAATGTGCAAATATTTAGGAAGATGTGGTTGACGAGAAGGGGGGATGATTAAAAGGGTAGGATGGGCAGGGGAAAAAGTGATTGGGGGAGCCACACAGTTTGGAAATGGGTTGTCTTTTACCACCTTCCAAACCCTCCACTGTACACCATGTTGGAATGGTTGTACCCACCTTGACCCTGACTCCCGTACAGTCCTTGCCCAACGGCGGCATTAGCGCCGCCTTGGTGCATTCTCGCCTGCAAAATACTCGGGTCTGCAAGATCTACTACACCGCCTCCACCGGAGGAAGTGTTAGCATGTCTATGCTTCTTTCCCCTCTTTTTCTGCTTCTGTGGCACTTGGTCCTGATATAGCCCAAGTTGCTGGCCATAGAGCGGGTTCAAAAGGCCTGAAACGGGAGCCAGAGGAGGGGGTGTGCTATTTTGTTGGAGTAAAGGAAACAAGAACTCACGCTTTGTTGCATCATGGGACTGGACATTCCCGCTTGCGGTGCCTCTGGCACGCATAATGTCACGCATCAGATCAGCATTTCCATCTTGCTTTGTACCTAGCCCAAGGTTATTGTTCATCGTGCTAGTGAAACCATGACCTTGAGCAAACATGCCACCACCGCTGACTGGAGGGGTACCAGCACTCTTCAATCCTGGTGGTGGACCTTGGATACCGCTGACAAAGTATTGATTACCGAGATTATGTTGCGTAGTTGGGATCGAAAGAGGATTGGGGCTCGAGGATTGCAACATGGGGCCTTGAGAGCCGACAAGTCTGCTACCGGAGTTTTTGGTATTAACGTCGTATGCAAACGAAAACCGCGAAGACTGTCTTGTATGACTAGGCATATTGTTCAAGCCAGCCATCTGGTTTTGGAACGTTCGGGCGTTTTGATCAAAGGTGCCAGTCGTTGTATTGCCTTGGATATCCATAATATTGTGCTGCTGGGCCCCAGCAGATTTGAGTAGCATTAGCTGCTGTTGTTGAAGTTGGGAGAGATTTCGGGCATTCACGTTGATGTTCTGGAACTGATGGTTGTTTGGAACAGGAGACCCGACAACCGAGTTATTGGCTGTCGCTTGCTGAGAAGGAGGCTGAATAGCGGATTGTGGTTCTCTTGGGTGTCTCCCAGGAACACCAACACTGCCATGAGCATCCTCTGGTTCACCGCCTAGCTGTGAGCTCCCGCTTTCAAGGTTCTCTTCTTCAGCTGGGGCTTGTAAAAGTTTCCCGTCAAGGGCATGCTTTGCTCGCTCTTGCTCGGCTTTCTCACGCATGGCCCGGCGTTTGACGCCCCCGTACGGATCTATTAAGGACGGATGGTTCTCGATAAATGCTAACTCATTGTCAGGCACAGCTGCAGTTGAGAAGTGAAACCGGAACTCCGGTGAATTAACAGCTTTCACTAATTTATCGAACATCATGGTAGGGGACGGAGATTCAGGTCGTCGTGCTGCAGTTGGCTGTTCACTAGGGCCAGCTGAATCAGATGAAGAACTAGCTTGTTCTGTTGGTCGTTGAGGTTCTTTGCCATAGCCATTTACGGGTCGAGAAGGCAGTTGTTCATTCGTAGGCTTAGGGCTTGGAGATGACCGACTCGCTGCTATACTCTCCCTCCTCGTTCTTTGAATCAAGGAATCTCTATTCGCCCAGCTTGCAGATGATGGAAGGGCGGACGAATCTGTGCTTGATGCACGCACCCCGCCATCGTCCTTGACAGCTGGCCACGGCGTACTTTGAGTATTAACAGCCCGAGCATGGCTAATTGCAGGAGATGGACGCTGGGCGGGCTGACTTTGAGCTTGTGGGTTTGCGGAAGACGACCCGCTCGATGGGTATCTTTGTGAAGAAATTGAATTCATCGACGAAAGGTCTTGTCGACTAAAACTGTCGCTATCGTTCCCGGTTTCGTGAAGGAAAGTGCAATTCCGGTTGTTGCACTGTTCATTGCGGAGAAAGGAGGAGCAGTATTTGGTAGTGCCATACTGTGCCCTATAAATAGATATTAGTAAGGTAAACTAATCAAAATATATAGGTGAATATACATACCGTAAGACCCTATCACCGTTAGGTGAACCATCAACTGCCGCAATACATGTAGCTGCATCTATCTTCCTCGCAAATGTCACATAGACACCAATACCTTGGTTTGGGTTGCCACCTGGTTTTGCCTTGCTGACAACTATTTTGTCAATATCACCATACTGACCAAAATATTGGTCACCTCGAAGGGTTTGTAATAGTAGATTTTCATCCCGGATTGTTGGATTGAGCCCGATGACATAGACGAGATTCTTCTGAACGACCCGGACACCAGCCAAGTTTTTCCTGCTTGAGGCTTCGATTTCTCGTTTTTCAGCTTCTTTTCGTTTTGCCGCAGCAGCTTTTCGATGTTTTAGAGCCAAGTCTGCTTTGAACCTATACGTAATAAACTCCTATGAGTAAAAGAGCCATTGATGGAAAGAATAGGTATAAACCACGTACTCATCAACATCCGGAACACGATATTGAATACTGCTCTCGTCATACACGCGTCTGCAATTCGGGCAACGGCCTTCTTCGCTATGGGTTTTGATATTGTTATAGCAAAACTGGCATATCTAGAGTCGTCCGTTAGCGGTTAATCTCCTGCTAGAGTTTTTGGCGTTTCACTAGAGGCAGTGAGGGGCTATGGTTTTTTCTTCATATCAACGCGTACCTGGTAACCACACGGGCATGGCTTGAAGTTTTTATCTGAAAGATCAAATTCTTCAATACAGAGCGGGCTGCAGACGGAGAAGACTTAAGATTAGCATCTGTGACCCAAGTCGCCAACCCATCCGTGACATAAAGCAGACTCACCAAAGCTCATCATCGTCGTCAATGACTGAATCGTTTAAGGCTCGTGAAGACATGTTGTGACACCCGCTCGCACTGGCTCAGAATCTGCTGGAGAATATGGGGCAGAAAAAAAAAACTGAGGTTCTTCTGAATAGGAAAGTTGGGGAGGGACCATGAACAAGCACGGGATTAAAATAGGACAAGATAACCTGCTGAAGCCCCCGAAGACGAATGCAAAGAAATGAAAACCTGCCGTGAGAAACGGAGAGACACCGAGGAGAGAAGAAAGATGGTGGGAGGAGGAAGATGTCGACGTCGAGATCGGATGCGCTGCGAAAAATGAGGAGGGAGTGAAAGATGAGCTTTCTGCGCAGTGTCTTGGCGCCTTCTTCTTCTTCTTCTTCCTTTTTCGGGGAGGCGCTTGCTTAGTCATAGAGTGTCACGTTTGGTCAGGTGATACAATCACGTGCTTCGAGGGCGTCACATGATGCAGCCAATCAGCGTCTTGCATTTACGACCGAGAGAAGAATGTCGAGCCAGCAACGTCCACTCGAGCGATATCCAGACACTTGCTTCGTTTCTCCGCGACCACAATTCCATCGGGCTGCAGCTCAATTGCTCTATTCACGATGGCGTCCAGGCGATCCGTCATACGGCTGGGAGGCCGTCGGCCCTTGGCCTCTGTTCAGGCAGGGAGAACCTCGAATTCGCTACGCCTTTTCTCAGTGTCTGCTCAATTCCAGGATGCGAAGTTTGTATCAAAGGAGGGAGTTCCCAACCCGCGCGAGGAGCCGCGACCTGGTAAACCGAACCCTGTTGCTAATGTTTTATTTGGCCATTCTTCTTTTATTCCCCTAAAGGAGCAAATCATGGCTAACACAGCTGATAGCCGTCGGTCAATTGAACCGCCCGATCGTCAACCCAACAGACAAGTATAAAGAGACGTCCGCAAAATTACATACCTACGGCCAATACCTCATCTCTTGCCTACCAAAGTACATCCAACAATTTTCGGTCTGGAAGGATGAATTGACCATTTACGTTCCCCCGGCTGGTGTCGTACCTGTCATGACCTTCCTTCGTGATCATACCGCTGCGGAATACACTCAAGTCTCGGATATTACTGCAGTCGATTTCCCCACGCGAGAGTACCGTTTTGAAGTGGTCTACAATCTTCTCAGTGTGCGCCATAACTCCAGGATAAGAGTCAAGACTTACGCAGATGAGGCAACCCCAGTCCCCAGTATCACCTCACTGTACGATGGTGCCCTCTGGTTTGAGCGTGAAGTGTATGATATGTTTGGCGTATTCTTCACCGGCCATCCTGACCTCCGAAGAATCATGACTGACTACGGTTTTGACGGTCACCCTCTGAGAAAGGATTTCCCTCTTTCCGGATACACTGAAATCAGATATGACGAGGAGAAGAAGCGTATTGTTGTCGAGCCATTGGAATTGACACAGGCATTCCGAAATTTCGAGGGCGGTTCGTCTGCTTGGGAAGGAATTGGCCATGGTGTTGACCGAAAACCAGACAACGTTAGTAACTACAATCTCGTTTCTTCCCCAAAACAAGAGAAATGCGCTGCTAACACTCCTTGTCTGATAGTTCAAACTTCCTACCCCAAAGCCCGAGGAGAAGCCAGAGGAGCAAAAGAAATAAATCAACTGTACATCATTTTCAATACATTACTGTTATCACTTGTTCCAGTTGTCACAGTTTATTTTAGACGTACTACGTATAACGGTACATTTGGTGGTTCACCTTCTCAGCCAGTTTCAACTGGAAATTTTTATTTTCAACCGAATTTTAAGCATATATAATCAATGTAGGAGACGGCATTGATATGATAGAACGCATGTTTTGGCAGGATATCACGCCTACCTCTACCTGATATAGGGGTCGAATTGACGTTTAATTTCTCCACACGACAAGGAGTAGGACAAAAGCGCAACGTACCAGAGGCGGCGTTCCCATTTTATAGGTAGGCGGCTAGGTGATTAAAGAGTGGAAATGCGGACAGTAGCTATGCGTCCCCGAATTGCTTTTGATAGCTAACTACAACTCGAACTAGTTGATGAGTGCTAACATGGGAGCAACTTGCGCAGAGCGTGGAATACTTTGACTAGTTATCAGCTCCTATATACCTAAGTAGGTACCTAAGGTACCGAGTAGTCTCCCTGCCTGCTGGCATCAACAACCAGAACGGCCACGGCGCTTAAACAAACATTTTGAACCAATCATGCGCCTCTTGCAGCAAAAGGTGCCAGGGAGTGCGTGGGCAAATATAGCATATTGCCGCGGCTCTCTCTCATCTTCAATGGCTTTTTTCTCAGGTGCCTCAGGTGTATTACAAGTGCACTTGTGCTATTAGGCAACTCTCAAGTAAACAGTGATCTGATTTCCGGTCTTTAAACCTGTTGAACCAGTCGATTATTGATGTTGATAGTAGACTCGAGAGAAACTACATCTTTCAGCTCCGGGCACAATTCCACCTTAGATCAACACAATACTGCAGTCGTATCGCGTCAGCACAATTGTGAGTTTATGGAATGGAGTACCGACTGAATATCTCTGTGCGCGAGAGCTTGAATCACGCTGAAAATTTTCTCCATAGTGTTGTTGACTCCGTTCAGAAAAACATAACTACTGATTTCGGATAGTAACGCCGCTTCGTATAGTTAATCGCAGCGATCCACAGAGAGTTGAAATGAGTGTGAATGCAGATATGCTTTTCTCATTCGGACGCGCCTTATGTTCCAGGTCGACGACTGCCTGTCTGCATCCAACCGTCTGTCAGGGTGCAGAAGCTGACAGGCCCTTGGTCGCAAAACGAAAGCATCGGGCTGGCTGTGCCTCAGCAACCACCAAGTACGACCGAAAGCAGCGCATATAAGTAAGTAGTAGACTTCGTGGAGTCTATGGATGCCTTATTTATGGCCCGCTGGGGATTTAACTAGGTAATTATACCGGCCAACCTCGGCTGGCTTGGCCCGAGCCTTCCTGCATGTCACCCGCAGAAAAATAACCGGAGTAAGGGGTCGTTTTTAAGCGTTACCCCGACCGGCCCCATATAACTAACTACATACACCCCGGAAACACATCGTAACCACCTTTTTTATTTTTGAACGGCTGGATAGCGGGAAATCTGACTGGACATGATCAGGCATTGGTAAGATTGTTTTCCTTCTTAGCTACTCAAACCTGCAGCTGCGTTTTGAGTACTGAAACTGAATGTTTCAAGCAGTTGATACCCCGGTCTATAACTACTGCCTAGGCACCTAGGTTAGTCTTGTCACTGAGGCTCTATATTTATCAAGGCCATGATATATTCTCATAGCCAAAGAGAGTTACGCCTCTTTTCTCTCCCAAGCCTGAGGTTTTATCAAGATGACGACGACATGCTCACCCGCCGGAAGAAGAGAACTAGTCAGGGGTAATCAATACTCGAAACCACTGAACATATCACGAATGTGTCTGATGTGACGAGTTAAGTTGCAATGAAGCCTTACAACGTGAATACTGGGTTACAGCCATGGAAGAAAAGATGCGGCCTAGTAACCAGGATTCTGATCTGCAGATGTCTGCGTACCCCCACCGTTGCGCCTGCGGGAGGGAAAGAAGGTCTATACTGGAGCAAATGCAAGCGCTATTTTTATCTCCTCCCGCTCAATCTCTTTCAACGTTTACTCCTTTAGGAGATTGCTTAGCCTGCTAGCGGCCTTTAGATGCTTGAGGCCTGCTACAGCTGAAGCCCTCAACCTTGGCTTGCTATTTCCCCGAGGTGGCGCTTCCAGGCCGGAACGTTGAAGCGCGTCCCGCATATTCTTTCACTAGTTAGCTACTACTACCATGGACTATCTCCCGAATACGGATATCTAGATGCAAGCTATCCTTGAGTCAATGACATCATGCTATCACCCTGTACTCGCACAGAATTGTTGCTATTATTCTGTGTCCGTTATTGCCATATATCAGTGAATGTTGTATCCAGGCTACAGAAATATGAGTGCCCCTGTCTCGACGGCGAGTACTCGCTATCATCGATGCCTATAGTATCTGATCAAGAGGGCCCAAGATTAGCTATCTACACAGGGATCAAGGAGACAACTACCTAGGCACAAAGACCCATGACATTATACCAAGACCAAAATTAATCTCCACAAGGCCTGGGCCTAGATTGGTGGTACCTTGGGCGCGGGTTACCTCACTCCTTTCCAGTTTGAATCTCGAAACATCTTCCATACCTGAGGATATAAATAGGTGTGTTTCAAGAGAGTATTCAACACACGAACCAAGAGCATTAGCGCTTACTCAGGACACGCAATAATCTCCTATCTCTACACAGACTGTAGCTTGACTCGCCACACAGTCAAACTTGAGTGGCAGCTAAGGAAAAGGGACAGAACCCATGCGTGTGGTTAGAGACCAAATCACACCCGGCGGGCCGTATTGATATGCATGAAGCTTACTCAGACATGCAGACAACAAACCGGGATGCATTCCCTTTTCAGCGGCTCTTCAGGTGTCGTCTTCAATGGGGGCGCGGCAGGAGAGAGTTTGAAGGGCGAAGGCAGTGCTTTCAGCTACGTCTCTGTTCAATCACAATACCCGTGCTAAGGTGGAACGACCTTAGAATATGGGCCTCGCGGGTGCTTAAAGGCCCTTATTCTAGTAGACCATGAGAAAACATGGGGGTAGATAATTCTCACTGCCCCACGCTATAGCATGAGACCGTCATATCGTGTCAGATTTGCGCAGTATTCATCAATTCGGGCTATAAATCTTCAACACCACCCACACTTTCGTTCCATCCATACTGATATCCCGACTCACGGAATTCTCACTAATTGGACCTTGTTCTCCGAACCGTTACCATGGAACCTGCACGGCGCATCAACAAGTGGACTCAGGAAGAAGATGCCATCTTGCTCCAGAGACTCCGGGAACAACAAGCTAGTATGTACAACTATACCATCACTAGGTCATCTACTATACCCTAACTTTCTTTATCAGATAATCCTCCTGATAAAGTGGTTGATTGGCAGAATATTGCGGCAGCAATTCCCGGGCGGACGAACAAAGACTGCCGAAAAAGATGGCTTAATGTGCTCGACGGGGACCTAAGGAAGGGAGCCTGGACCGCGGAGGAAGACAGGCTGCTGAGCGGCGCTGTGGAGACGGAAGGCAAAGTGTAATGAGTGACCCTTGCTGTCTTTGCTTGGATGGTTGAACGATCCTCCAGGCATATACGAGATTCAATGCTTATATTAACGATTATTTAGATGGGTGCGAGTGTCGGAGCATGTACCTCGACGTACAGCAGATCGTAAGTCTGACAAGTATGGTTATGATGATGTTCAATGAGCTAGTTAACTAACTGATACATAGAATGCGCCAAAAGATGGCAACACTTTCTTGATCCTGCCTTAGATAGGTCTGAATGGACAGAGTTAGAGGTATGTGAACGCACAGGGAAACCCCCCGGGCTTTTATATTTCACCCTTAATAAATAAAGTCAGAGCTAAGTTGGTAGTGTCAAATACTATGGGATGCAGTACAGAAACAGGGCCGCAGATGGCTACAGATTAGAAATGATCTATTTCCTTTGCGTTCCCCTAACTCGTTGAAAAACCAGTAAGCAACCTACCAAACCTACCTACCAATTTAGACGATATATCAATATGCCCCTATTTACTGAACTAACCTTACTGCCACAGGTATGCATTTATGTCACGGCACTTCTGTAAGAGTCAAATGGACTGTGCAGGCGAAAGTGACAGTCTGAGTACTGCTGAATCAAGTCCTGCATCACACAGCGAAGAACTCTGCATGGATGCAAACCAGTCACTCAACGACGGCATCAGCTTGATATCCAATGACGCTGAACTATTATACCCTTCCGCGGACGATATGATTTTGTTCCCTGTTTCCCATGATGAAACGGTCATGCCAGAGTACACACATACATTGCCACATTTTGCTCTCGATTGCATGGATCAATCAAACATTACCACGACCGACTTCACAAACACTTTCGATTTAGGCAGTCATCCCCAGCATACCACCGGTGTCGACGACAACGTATTCCACCCCTGTAGCACTTCAGCAGAGGACTACCTGAGCCCGTCATCCGGGTTGGAATCAAGCACGCTAATCTCAGCGGACATGCATGAGTGTCAAAACAATGACGGCCTATGGACTTTGCCAAGCTGTTCTGTGATGACTGTGAGACTGACGAATCCAGCACCGGAAGCAGTCAATGAGTTTATTCGCATTTTGATGGCGCATCAGCAGCAGGTGTCGATAGATATAGAGAGCTGAGGTGATATCTTACGTGTAATGGGTAATGGGTAGTTTGTGTAATTGGATGATTGAAACGTGTCTAGTGTTATAGAAGTGCCGTTAATCATCGAACTGCTCCGGTGTCATTTCCTAACGACTCAAAGTACTCAGGAGCTCTCGGGCCACTGGATGACGAAATACTGGATAGCTCACTAAGCAAAGCACGCAAGCACGCAAGGGTTATCTAGCTGATAAGCTCCCTTGATGCCGGATCCAGAATCCACCGTCGGTGTCATGTCTATGAACTGATGATAACGGTTGATCCTTCTTATCCGCCTTGGCCTAAGCCGATTGTACGTACATATTCGAGAACAGGCATATATATAGACGAGAAATGGGAAACACAGGGATAAGGATAGGGACTAGGATTTGATGCTAGATTGAGATGATCGTGGATTAAAGTAACCGGTGAATATGTACGGTCTAGTCTAGTTATGTACTTTTGTGTTGTAATGGAACCTGTATATATGTCCATATAAGCAATGTTGAAGCCCATGCTCTGATCATGGGCAGCCAGCGCCCAAGCGATGTGCATTTTATAAGCGAGTATGTATAGCGGATGATGTGCTTGTTGAAAGAATTATAGGTCGTCACGTCGTTAGTAGAGCGAAAAAGAAAAGAGAAAGACGGGCCGAGTGTCAATGCATCCCAACCCAAGCGGCAAGCCTTGCGCCTCTTTTGTCGGAGCAGCCGGTGTAATGCAAAGGCTGGTGAAGGGATATTGGACAGTTCTGGTCGGGTGACCAGATTTGAGCGGGTGCAGCGCGTCGACTACTTTTTATGGTAGAAGCGCCTCCGGGACCAACCGTCCTCTTGGGTGATGACCTCGCATTCGAGCGTGTAGCCTCTGAGCCAAGGGAGCAACCGTGCCCAGACGAGCCAATAGATACCTCCGGCAGCGAAGATTGCGATGCCGACTATGCAGTGTAGGTAGTATGGCAGCGACTTGTACACATTCTGCCCTTCCGTGGGGGGCACAAAGGGAGCAATGGTGAGGTAGATGTTACTCAGGAGGAAGAAGGTAGCAACAGGCAGGGTGGCACGGAATGGAGGAGCCCACTGGTAAGAATCGCGATGGAGGTAGAGATGTATAAGAGCACCGGCAACAAAGATGTTGACGACTGCTAGAGGGTAGGAGATGACGCTGCAATTTTGTTAGTTGACTTTTTTGGGAACGGTAGATAGAGGAGACGTACTTGAGGATGAAGTTGTAGGCATCACCTGGCGGAGGAGCGAGCATGATGACGACGGAGACGAGCCAGTGAGCAAAGAGGCCTGCCAGGGGGGCGTTCCTGGGCCTGTTACTAGCCCAGAAACTGGAAAACGGCAGGATTCCCTCACGGCCTAGTTCCTGGACGACTGCAGGATGTTAGCCAATTGTATACTTCCGAGAGCAACATATTGAAGGACTAGGGGGAGACGCACGGCGGCCCTGAGAGAAGATGACGCTGAGGACGTTGCCAAAGGCCGAGAGGGCAACGAGGACGGAGAGAGCTCTCTCAGCCTGCTCTCCGAACATGTTACGGAAGAACGAGGCAGCCAGGATGCGGCCAGAGGATACTATCTGGTCTTTCGGTACCGCAGCAAAGTATGCAATCTATAACTCGCTATCGTCAGTATCAAGAAATGCCAACAGTGGAAATACATAAAAAAGGACAAGGAAGAGACGTACGTTGGCCAGCATGTATAGAGCAGCCACGGTCCCGAGAGCCAACGGGCCGGCGATCTTGAGCGTCCTGACGGGGTTCCTGGTCTCGCTGAGAGCGTAGTTGGCGTTGCTGTAGCCGATATAGCTCCAGATCGTGCTGTACAGGGCTGTGACGACGCCGTACGCACTGCCGGTGGTGCCCTCGAAGGCGTTGCTGAAGTTGTCCGGCTTCTCGATCTTGAGGGCGCCGCCCAGGGCCGCAAAGCCAGAGAAGACGATGAGCAGGATGACGAGCAGCTTGATGACGCCGAGCAGGTTCTGCAGGCGCAGCCCCCATTTCAGCGCGAGGCCGTGGATGAGAAAGGCCGCTGTGATGCAGGCGAGGCCGACACCGCGCTGGTTCCAGCGGTCGACCTCTATCTGCGCCGCGTGGAGGATGTACTCCCCAAAGATGACCGAGTTCGATCCCGCCCATCCTGCAGCCCGTTAGTCCACGTAGATATAGATGTATATATGGTGAGGATAACACACCCAGGAGGACGACGTAGCCGGCGTAGAGGCCCGTCACCAGGAAGCGCGGGCGGCGGAAGACGAACTCGAGATAGTTCTTCTCGCCGCCGTTGCGAGGCAGCGCGGTGCCGAACTCGAGGTAGACGGCCATGCCTGCGGCCGCGATGAGCATGCCGGCGACCCAGATGATCAGCGAGAGGCCGACGCTGCCTGAGAGCGAGAAGATGGCGCTGGGCGTCGCAAAGATGCCGGTGCCTATCATGCGGTTGAAGATGAGGAAGACGGCTGAGACGAGGCCGATCTGGCGGCGCGACTCGCTGGTGTGGTATTCCGCTTCTTCATGGTGTTCGTTTGCTGCTGCCATTGACCATCTGTCAGTTCTTCTTCTTCTCTTCTTCTTATTCTTTTACTATTCTCTTGTCTTACCTTCAGCTTCGTAGCTGTTCAGCTTTGCCGTCGAGTCGGCCATAGGTTCGTCTTCTGGTCGTTCACTGCCAACTCTGACTGACTGACTGACACTCCTCTCCAGCTCCAGCTCCAGCTCACGGTAGCCGTCGGGCTCTTCTTATATACTCCCCAAAGAGCAGGCCCATCGAGCCTGTCCGCCCCGTCCGACTCCATCTTCCGCTATCTCAGGTCGAAAAGACGCCATCCCGAGACGATGCTAAGTTAGAAATCTTCCATGGCCGGTGGAGAGCTGGTGGAGCAGCCAAAAGTCTAGCACCCAGACTACGAGATCTCGGCAACTGGCAGAGGGCAATGGAAGGGCGGACGGAGCTACAGGGCAGGGATGAGGCTGGCAGAGAGTCGAGCCCTCCAGCAGGAGCAGCAGCAGCAGCAGGAGGATCAGTGGGATGGGACGGACCGGACAGGGGGTCGCTCTTCGGGTCGGCAGGCGGGCGATGAGATGCAACTGGGGGAAAAGAAAAGAAGACGAAGAAGGAAGAAGAAACGACGTCCCGGGTCCGGTTGGCAGCTCGACTGCATCTGCTCTGCATCTCGACTGCATCTTGGGTCGCTCTCTTGCTTGGGTGGCGGCTGTCAGGCTGTCCTGGCGTCCTGCGGTTGATGTATAGATGACTGCATGGAAACACGATGCGATGCGCAGATCAGTTGCAAGAAGAAGGCGAGAAGAGAGGGAAAAGACGACGACGACGACGGGAGGAGAGACGAGATATACCCGTTTGACCGTCGCAGGGCATATGCATGATATCAGGATCTACTGCGGCATCGACTCCTACTGCTACAACACCTGCTCCGTACTCTGTACCGGGCCAGCCGGAGAAGTCGTCTTTTTCGTCCGGCCAGCCAGTCAGTCAGTCAATCGTCAGCCCATTAGTTACTCAGTCAGTCACTCGATTGGCAGGCTGGCGACCTTAGCGAGCATGCCTCGTCTGCAGTCTGCCGTCCCTCTGGCCTGAGATATCTTGCATTGCCTGCGTGCAGTGGGACAGGCAAAGTCGACCTTGCACGGCGCTGCTTGCCTATTTAAGGGGCGCCTCGTCGCCTTCTCTGCTGTCTCACTCCGTTGCTCTCCTGTTCTCTTATTCCCTTACGGCCAATATTCACGACTGCGACGACTGTTTCTACTACGACGGATACGACGGATACGACTACATTCTTCAACTTCTACAGCTTCTACAGCGGCTTTCTCCTGCTTTTCTACTTCGAATACGACCGCAAGATGATTCTCTCGCTTCTCCTGGCGCTCGTCCTTGCAGGCGCCGTCCTTCTCCATGCGCTGCGATATCAGCCCTATTCCATCGATCTGGGACTGTGTCTCCTGCTGGCGGCGCTCTTCTGCCTCGCCGTCACGGCCTACAAGGTCCTAGTCTACCCGTTTCTCGTCTCTCCATTGCGCCACATCCCAACTCCAAAGGTGTGTCTATCCCTCGTGCATACGTCAGATATGTCACTTCCATCCCGCTTCCGCTTACCTCGACGGCCATCTGACCTCTACAGGGACACTGGCTGCTTGGCCAGACGATCAGGCAGCTCCGCGCCAGCAGCCCCCACGCAGCTGCTGTCGATTGGATGCGAGAATTCCCATCTGCAGACCTCATACGGCCCCTCATGCTCGGGAACCTCGAGGTCGTTCTGGTCTCCAGCCCCAGAGCCCTGAGGGAAGTCTCCCAGGCGCAGTGCTACTCTTTCGTCAAGCCAGGCTTTCTCTTTCGCACAGCTGGGGAGATCATTGGCGAGACGGGCGTTTTCTTTGCCGAGGGTGACGCCCATCGCCAGCAGCGAAAGAGCCTTGCTGGTACGCTCTTCCCGATAAAGTGTATATACAACTAAACATATGTACCTATACTTATGCACGTGCTAACCGAATTAGGACCCTTCCTGATGGGAAATGTCAAAAGGTCAATGCCGATCATGCTGGCCAAGGGAGACCAGCTGGCTGGGTGTATGGGGGCGCTGCTCTCTGATTATGGAGATGTTATTGAGGGTAGGTGTATTCCTATCACCTCCTTTACTCTCATAACTATATTTGAGATAAAAAGGGAAAAAGAAAATGATCATGGCTAACCAACCTACGCAGTCACCTCGGTCATTGCAAAGGCTACCGTAGACCTGATAGCAAAGGCCGTCCTGGGTTACGATCTGGACAGCCTCACCCACAGCTCAGAGTTCTACGTCAGGTCCATGGAAGTCATGCATCTTTCGACCACAGACCAGATCATGCTAGCTCTCAACAACTTCTTCCCGGCTCGCAAGTGGATTCCTCTCAAGGCCAACCGTCGCTTCTTACATGCAAACAACGTCATCAAGCAGCTGCTCGAAGACCACGTCAAACAGCGCATCTCCGAGCTCAGTCAGGAGTCAGATATCGATGAGAAGCTCGGTAGCACTGATACCGATATCTTCACCATGATCTTACGAGGATACATCGAGAGGGGACAACCTTTATGTCAAGACGTTTTGGTTTCGCAGGTACATCCGTCCCTCCCGCCTTCCCCCCTTTTTTTACCCATAACTCTATCACCTCGATGTATATCTAGCTGTGTAACATGGCTAACTGTAACGTAGCTGCGAACTTTGATGGTGGCAGGACATGAATCTACCTCCAACTCAGTTATCTGGTGCCTGCATATGCTTTCTACTCACCCGTCTGTCCAGACCCGTCTGCGCACAGCCATATACGCAGCTACCAGCAACGGTTCATTCACCTACGACTCAATCCAATCGATAGAATACCTAGATCACGTCATTAAAGAAGCTACCCGCATCCTCCCACCATGTATGTTTCCCCCCTGGTATATGATATATTTATCCATGCCTCCTAACATAACCCAACCAGTCGTATCGTTATTGCGTACCGCCGCACAAGATGTCGACATATGCGGCACCCTCATACCTGCCGGAACTCTACTAATGATGTACCCTGCTGTGTCCCAACTCAACCCGTCCATCTGGGGTCCAAATGTAGACGAGTTCGACCCAGATAGATGGTATAACTTGCCCAAGGCAGCCCACGATCCGTACGTGTACCAAACCTTCCACAGCGGAACGAGAGTATGTGTAGGCCGAGCCTTTGCTTTGCTCGAGATTAAAGTGTTCCTTGTCAAGCTTCTGCTTAAGTGGGAGTTCCATGCGGTCGATAAGAAGGTTAAGATGCCCTGGTCTGGGTTCGCATTGAAGCCTACGAATGCGCTCAGGCTCAGAGTCACCCCGGCTACCTTGCCATGAGCTTGCTTATTATTATTTACGAACAGCCTATTTAACTAATCATAATAAGGATAGATATTTCGATACTTTCTAGGAATAAGAGGTCTTAAAGATAATTCTTGCGTGCTCAGACCTGGGCCGTGCTCCGGATATACTTCTTTTCTTCTTCGGTCATCGTGCTGTCACCCCTGGACAGCCGCAGCAGTATCTCGGCCGCCAGCTCAGGCTTCCCTGCACGACCAAACAGCCGGTACTGAGCAGGCGAATTAAGGCCAAAGTACACTGCAACTAGCACCCTGTAAGCCTGCAAGGGACGAGAAGTAAAGATGCGCTGGAACAGGCGCCAGAAGGTCGGTGCTGCGTTTAACTGGCTGAACAGGTCGTCGCAGTACGGAAGATACTTGACTATGGTCGTATGCCTGTCTGAAGAAACCATCTGCCATCCCCATCGTTCGTCTCTTAGCTGGCCATCACTGAGTCCCGCAAAAAAGAAGTTGTAGTGCATGGCTTACCTTAGAAGCTAGATCCTCCTGGTACGTATGGATCGATCTCTCCATCTCCTCTGCAGAAGGCAACGTAACATGGCCCGTAAGTACTCCTACGGCCCATCTCGCCTGCGCCTCGGCGACGGGGACGAGAGGGCCCTCAAGATGCACGTATCCGATACAAAAGAGATTCGGGTGTCTCGGTGCGGCAACAAGCTTGTACAAGTTAAGACTGTTTCTGGCTGGCAACACGCTGTCCTTCTCTTGCATCCGATAGTACTCATTCAACAGGTATGGTAGGTGGATGTCATAGCCCGTGCAACAGACGATGACATCTACCTCTAGCTCTGTCCCATTGGTGAGCACAATGGTATGCTCTGTTATCTTGTCAACACCGGCCCTGTGAGGAGTGATTCGGCCGGTTCGGATGTTCTCCAGCAGGTCGCTTCGAACTGTCAGGTTGGCCTGGAAGAGCGAATGTTGTGGCTTGATTTCCTCGGGCAGCGAGCCCATGACGGCATCGCATAGCTTCATCTGACACCATTCCGAGACCCGCTTGGGAAGAATGGTCTCGAACACTCGGCCTATACACTCTCTCAGCATGCATAATTGCTAATACCTAGCTAACAGAATATCCAAAAGCAATAAAAAGCAACAGCTAGAGTAGTTATAATCATGGTAACTTACTGTCGTACGCCTCGGCCGGTTTGCCCAGGACATAACGTGGAATCACCCATCCGCCCCTGCGAGTGATCAAATGCACTTCTGTAGCTACCGTGCTGATTTCAGAAGACAGGTCGGCCGCCGAGTTACCAAACCCAATAATGGCAACTCTCTTGCCCTCAAACCTGGCCGGCTTTCGATACGTGTGGCTGTGGAAGAGCTCGCCCCGGAATGTGTCTCTGCCTTTGAAGTCCGGTATCATTGGCTTGGACAGCGTCCCGGTACATGCAAGGACAGCGTCAAAAACTGCCTCTACCGGGTCATGGCCTTGCTCTTGGTAGGCGACAGTCCATTTCTTGTCCTGCTGCTGCTGCCTGCAGGAGATGACCTTCGTCCGTAACTTGACAAACCCTGCCAGCCCAAAGTGGTCGACATACTCGTGTATGTACTGCAGGAACTGGCGATGGCCAAAGTAATCGGGATATCTGCCCGGGTCAATGGGGAAGTCACTGAAGGACGAGGTATCACGGCACGAGTTGAGTATCACATTGTCGTATATGGACGAGGCTGTCTCGCCAGTCTCAGGGTCAGGCTCCTGGTACTTCCACTGCCCGCCGATGACGTCTCGCGCTTCAAAGACAGTGACCTCTGTGATACCGTTCTCCAGGCATGTCTTTAACGATGCCAGGCCGGATATTCCTGTCCATCGGTCAGCTACGGCCCTGGGGAGGCTGACGGGTGTAACCCCTTACCGGCTCCAATGATGGCCACTTTCAGCCCCATGTTGACAAAACTCTGCACGGCAGGAAGACGTGAATGTGAATATATAGAATAAGGGATAAGTGAATTGAACAAAAAGAACGGGCTTCTAGGGGTAGAGTAGCTGGTTAACTATATAAGAGGTGAATTGTGACTTCAGGGGCAAACATACAAAGGTCCATTTATCTACAATCTTGTTTACAGCTTCAGCTTCAAAGAATTCTAGGTAGCTAGTTGACCACGTGAGAGAAGAAAGAGCCTCCAAGTAAATATTCTATCTATATAAAAGGCCTTCAAAGGAACAAAACACACACAGATAAAGAGAAGGACAGTTACTGTCACTGTCACTGTCACTGCCACCAAAACGCGTTTGAACAGTGAGCGCAGTGAGAGATGTCTGGCTTCAAGCGCCGCCTGCGGCCTGATACGGGCCTGCCAGAGAATAAATACCTGCCTTACTATCCAGCCATGATAGATGTCAACAGCGTGAGTTCTTCTTCTTATTCTTCTTCTTCTGTTTATTCCTCTTCCTCTTATTATTCTTCTTCCTCTTCATCATCATCATCATCTTCTTCTTCTTCTTCTTCTTCTTCTTCCAACTCTTTACGTGTAAGAAGAAAACCCCAAGACGCCAGGAAAAAGAGCCGAGCTGTCAATACGAGGAACCGAATACGCAGATACAGAGGCAGAGGCAGCGAGGGGCCTCTTGGTGACGCTGCAGCTCATCCCTGCCTTGCCCTGCATACCAATATCTGCCCGTCTTTCCTTTGCTTCTTCTGCTTCGCTTTCTTTTCCATCGTCCTCACTTTGGTGCTGGTGGTATCTTACCGCGAAGAGCCCCCCAGAAGTGACTCAAAATGGTGATAATACCGAGATATGGCTGTCTGGGGCTACAAGAAAAGCTGACTGTTGACATGTATATATCTATAGTCTACCCAACGCGTAGCAGACCCGGCTCTGCTCCAGATGCAGCCAAAGGAGGTCCTGCAGCCGCCGCTCAACAGCATCCCTGAGGAGCTCGTGGGCCGGTTTGACCCCGTGTATGTCGAGCACTACAACCGCAACAACGCGGGCCGGCTTCATACCCACCAGGTCCCCATCGAGGAGTTCCGCAAGAACCCTAGCAAGTACCTGGTCAACTATGGCCAGGCTCCCGGGCCAGAGGTGTTCTGTATCACCGAGAGAAAGATCCCAGTCAATGGAGGGACCATCACTGCCCGCATCTTTGAGATGGCCCCCATCAAGCTGTCGCCAGGTGTAGACAAGAAGCGTGGAGCGTATATCAACTTCCACGGAGGCGGCTGGGTGTTTGGCGGCCTCGACTCTGACCACCACAAGTGCAAGCGAATCGCCCATGAGCTTCGCGGCGAGGCTGTTGTCTTTGACATCGACTACCGTCTTGCTCCTGAGCATCCGTATCCCACCGCCGTTAACGATTGCTGGTCTGCTATCCAGTGGGTAAGTTCAATTCTATACATACATACATACCTCATGACTTTGTACCCGCTAGTTGTAACTGTTTCTGACATTCTGAAATAGGTGAGAAGCAGAGCAATTGAGTTCAACTTGGACGTCTCCCGGCTGGCTGTCGGAGGTGCATCTGCTGGTGGCCAGCTTGCAGCAGTTATGGCTCATATGTGTAGAGACCATGGCTATCCCCTGAAGCTGCAGCTCCTGGTAGTCCCGGTGGTCGACATGCACAGCTCTTTCACTCCAAACGGCGAGTTTGACCGTGACAACACCCCGTACGACTCGTACCGCGAGATGGAACACACTGTTCCCCTGCCTGTCGAGCGTATGGCGTACTTCAATCGCCATTGGCTTGGAGTTCCTCGCCCAGAGCGGTCTGAAGACGTAAGTTTGCCTTGTTATTATCCTCTGCTGGCTTTTTTATTTGCTTTCTTCAACTTTGGTATGCTGAGGATATCTTTAGGACTGGAAGATCTCGCCCATCCTGGCTCCCAACTTCGCCGACCTGGCTCCCGCAATCGTCTGGACAGCGGAGATGGACCCTCTTCGCGACGAAGGCGCTGCCTATGTGAAGAGACTGGAGTGCGCAGGGGTCAAGGTCGACCACATTCGCGTCCCCGGAGCGCCCCATACGTTCTCCCACCACGACGCCATCCTTGAGGGCGGCAAGCTCTTCCAGAAGCAGTCCGTCGCTGCCCTGGCCGACGCTCTCTGCGACACTGGCCTCTGAAGCTCTCTCTCTCCTGTACACCGTCAGGGTCATCTTTCAAATCTTGCATCTTGGCCTGTTTCGACGGACCGGAAAAACTCGGGATCTTCCTTAGTCTCGGCAAGGCAAAGGAGGAAGAAGAAAAAGAAAGCGACAGCTTCTCTCTTAGTTAACTAATAACAATCTTCAAGCTCTTTTTTTCCTCTCGTCCTTCTCGGTCTTCATCTCAGCTTCTTGTGTACTTGTATCTCCCACCCAATTGGCCCTGTACCATCTCAGTTGCCGTCGTCCTGCGTTCTGTTCTGTACAATATCAATTCTTCTTCTTCTTTTTTACTTTCCTTTTAGCTCCCGGTAGAATGCTTAATTCCACGGCCCTTCGAGCCTTCGGGCGTGTTGCGTCCAAGTCCGCAGCTCGATCGCTCGCTTCTCCTCATACTCTCCACCTTCGGAACTCCTGCGGCCGCTCTATAAGTAGCGCCCTCCGGCCGTCGTCTGCCTTCTCGAACAAGTGCCAGATAGCGTCTGCCAGAGGATTCGCCTCGACTGCAAGAATGATGGTATGTATGGGGTTTCGCCCTTTTCCTTCGTCCGGTTGCGCCTTGCTTGGAGTTGTGATAGAAACTGACCCGCGGGTGCTCCATGTATAGACTGCCCCTCGCACGGAAACCGATGCCTTTGGCGAGATCCAGGTAGGTCGGCCGTTTCTACAGTGTCTAATGGCCACGGGCCAGCTGGCTTATACGTTGCGTCTCAGGTTCCTGGAGACAAGTACTGGGGAGCTCAGACTCAAAGGTGCGCAGAAATGGGCTGCTGTTGGCAAATTGATACAGACCGGAGAGTTACTGACCGTTGGCTCCAGATCCCTTGGGAACTTTGATATTGGGCAGCCCCAGGACCGCATGCCTACGCCGATTGTGCGTGCCCTTGGTATCCTCAAGGGCGCTGCTGCAACCGTCAACATGAAGTTCGGACTCGGTATTTCTCTCTTTCTGTATACATGTTTTGGGCTGCTGAGAAGCATAATATAAACGGCCTGGACTGACTGGAATGCATCTAAAGACCCTACCGTTGGCAAGGCGATCCAGCAGGCCGCTGCTGAGGTTGCCGACCTCAAGCTGGTTGACCATTTCCCTCTTGTTGTCTGGCAGACCGGCTCTGGCACCCAGTCCAACATGAACGCCAACGAGGTCATCTCCAACCGTGCAATTGAGATCCTAGGCGGAACCATGGGCAGCAAGAAGCCTGTCCACCCCAACGACCATGTCAACATGTCCGCCTCGTCCAACGATACCTTCCCTACCGTCATGCACATTGCGGCTGTCCTGGAGATCGAGGACTCTCTTCTCCCGGCTTTGACCAGCCTGAAGGACGCCCTGCAGAAGAAGGTAGACCAGTTTAACGACATCATCAAGATTGGCCGAACCCATCTACAGGACGCTACTCCTCTCACCCTCGGCCAGGAGTTCTCCGGCTACGTATCCCAGCTTGAGCGCAACATCACTCGCGTTGAGAACTCTCTGCCAGACCTCCGACTGCTCGCTCAGGGAGGTACCGCCGTCGGCACCGGCATCAACACCTTCAAGGGTTTCGACGAGGCCATTGCTGAGGAAGTCAGCAAGATGACCGGCAAGCAGTTCAAGACCTCGCCAAACAAGTTCGAGGTCCTTGCTGCCCATGACGCCGTCGTCGAGGCTTCCGGCGCCCTAAACACCCTCGCTGCCTCTCTCTTCAAGATTGCCCAGGACATCCGTTTCCTCGGCTCCGGCCCTCGCTGCGGTCTTGGTGAGCTCCAGCTCCCCGAGAACGAGCCCGGCTCCTCCATCATGCCTGGAAAGGTCAACCCTACCCAGTGCGAATCTCTCACCATGATCTGCGCCCAGGTCATGGGCAACCATGTTGCCACCACCGTCTCTGGAATGAACGGTAACTTCGAGCTCAATGTCTTCAAGCCAGTCATGATCCGCAACCTGCTTCACAGCGTCCGAATCCTGAGTGACGGAATGAGGTCGTTCGAGAAGAACCTTGTCGTTGGCCTCGAGGCTGACCGCAAGAGAATTGAAGCCATTCTTCACGAGAGGTATGCTCTATGCTCTATTTCTACTATTTATTTTTCCAACTCTCTCTATTTGTTATCCATACTGACGTGAATCCACCTAGTCTTATGCTTGTCACTTGCCTGAACCCCGTTATTGGCTACGACATGGCCTCTAAGGTCGCAAAGAACGCTCACAAGAAGGGTCTCACCCTTAAGCAGAGTGCCATGGAGCTCAAGGCTCTCAGCGAGGAGGACTTTGACAAGCACGTTCGCCCAGAACTGATGATCAGCCCCAAGGAGCACAAGTAAGCGCCTCCACTTAGCTACGTTTCTTAAAAAAACAAAACAAAATGAAGCAATGTAAATACATATCAACCTTAGACGCAGTAACAGCTTTTCAGTGAACGTTCTGTTAAGTGCGATAAATGACTACCATGTTCAATTCCATTCCCCTTGCGAAAAATAAGCGAAAAGCCCATGCTAGTCTTTCTTGGTTATATTCTTATTTTCAATATATTCAACCTAAAAGATCACAACTACTTTTCTCCCCCAAGGGGAACCCGAAATATTCTTGCCCATGGTGAGGCGGGATCTAGGCCTTGATTTCTTTCGAGATCTTGTTGCACTGCAGATACCATGTGCAACCGAGTTTCTCTGTATCATCTCAACAAGGCTGCATCTTTTGAATACATTGGGGCCATACTTTCTCCTTGGCCACAACGTAGGAGTCCGTAGTCCCCTGCACTTCGTATCCAGAAACGGTAGTCTCTACGAGGAAGGGTCTTTACAGATTCGGCATTAAGGAGCATGTGAATATAAATATCACCCAAATCCTGCTGAATGGATTGGCATTTACAAGCCAGCCGCCCATTATTATCTTCCCTTATCTGCACCATTAAATAACCGCCATCATGCGTCTCCTTCCAATACTAATGACCGTTGGGTCAGCACTTGGTGCAGTCCTTGTAGACTTCCAGTCCGCCAGAGGAGATGATCCATCCGTGCTGGGCCTGCGCAACCTCGAAACCAAACGAGGAACAATGATCCCCGATAACATTCCCGACTTATTCATTAAGAAAGGGAAAGATCCCAAGGGTGCCCCTGCGGCCCATTTCCACAAGAAGACGGGTATGCTGCGAGCCGAATATCACTCCCTCAATAAAGAAACGAAGAAAGACACAACATACGCCATTCGCTATGAGTTCTCCTTGGGGGCAATTCAGCAGAGTCTAAGCATCTGGCAATTGTAAGTTTATGCAGGTCGCATGTTTCCCTTCCCCGAGCCTAGAGCTAATCCAGCACATCCAGTAAGGAGTACCTCACAGACAACGCGGAAGATGGTGGCGCCAACGTCCCTCTTGCCCTGAAGTTTTCTCGCAACAACCTTCAGCTCCAGTACCAGCCTAAATGGGACGCGCCGCGACAGATTCTATGGCAAATCGCTCCTGAAGTCAACACCAAATACCGTGTAGACTTTTTGATCAACACCGCCACCCCTGGCTGGGTTCAATTCGCGTGGAATGGGGAACTTCAGAAACTCGGCCCTAATAAGGAAACTCGGTTCGCTGCAACCACATTTCCTGGTCGGTCGGATCCAAAGTTTGGCGCGTACCTAGCGGACGATATTGATATCGACTTCTATGTCTATAGAGTCCTTATTGAGGAGAGGTAGAAGCCTATTCGTCCTTCTGTTGGCGGGGGATATCACGGCATGCACGTCCGGATATCTACATGTAAATAGATTGCTCAGTTGATATCAATATCCATCTTATATTTCTTAGATGTTTCTTTAATACGCGCCAAAATCACATGACGTCACTTACGGGGCCAGACTTGGTTGTTTCACCGATGACTAAGCGGCGTCTATTTGAGACATGGAGTTACCGCTCCTTTTTTTCACCCTCTCCCTCGATCGAACTCCCTTCATTTCTTCTCTTTGAATACGCAAGAATCTTTGTTTCCTCTTAGTCGATCCGCTTGTCTTTTATTGCTCGGATATTTGTTGCTATTTTCAGGCTAGGAGCGTTGAATTGAAAACTTCACCCCGCTTCCTCAACCCCTGAGTCCTCTACTCCCTCCATCTAGGAGAAACTCCCGCGTCAATTCGACGGCTTTCACATACCATCAGCTATTCTCTCCAATGGCTATTGAAACCTCGCCCACCCCTGCCCCAGTGGCCGTTACAAACAGCTGTATCGATACCAAGATGATTGCTATTCACGCTAAAGAGGCCAAACCAGAGGTGACCGATGCCACCAAGCCCACCAACGAGAAGGAAAATACCGAAGAAGGTCTCTTTTCACCCTCTTATATTTCTCCTGACGTTGTCGCCTTGCTTCCTGAGAACTATACTCTTCGCCCACTTCGCCGCTCAGACTACCAGAACGGCTTCCTCGATGTTCTCAGTGTTCTCACCAAGGTTGGAGAGTTCACTACTGAGCTCTGGAACGAACGATATGACTGGATGGCCAAGCGCAATGATGAATACTACATCCTTGTTATCTGTGATGGAACCGGCCGGGTCGTTGGCACTGGCAGTTTGATCGTTGAGAGGAAGTTCATCCATGCTGCTGGCTTGGTGGGACACATTGAAGATATTGCCATTGAGAGCAACCAGCAAGGGAAGAAATTAGGTCTGCGCATGATCCATGCCTTGGATTACGTTGCTAAGGAAGTCGGCTGCTACAAGGTAAGATTGCCGCTTTTCTCTCTCTCCTATAAGAAACAGTTACTAAATCTCCATCTTCCTGCCAGTCTATCCTTGACTGCTCCGAAGCCAACGAGGGCTTCTACCTCAAATGTGGCTTTAAGCGTGCTGGCCTGGAGATGGCTCATTACTACTGATCCAATCTCGTGGTATTGGGTTCTTATCTGAGTGAATTTCCTTACACGTTCCACATAGATCATAGATGGTCGGGGAAATTGGCTTGCTAGAAAGTTATGTCCTGTTAAACAACAGTGTACGGGGAACTGAGCTTGAAGCACTCGTATAAATACCAGTCATGGTTACATTATCTGAAGCTGGATGAGACTATCAAAACGGCGATACATCCTGTCCAGGTCCAACTGGGTTCTGATGCTTTCTTGTGGGTTTGATGGCCTTTGAAATTCATATAATGGTTTACAGTCGTGGGTAGGGCGGATGGCCCTTAATGATGATAATGAAGATAGATGGGATTGGGGTAGCAGATCATTAGCCTTACAGTCCAAGGCGCAACTGTGGATGGTAGCTCCTATGCAAGGGCCCGGTATATAATCCATGCATTGGGTCTGGATACAGTTGAATTAATCATGTAGACGTCACTTATCTTTTATATTCCATGATGTTAATCCTGCCCCTGAAAAGATTCCCTATCTTACACAAGGCCAGCAGATAGCACTCCTTGTAGGCCCATCCTCACCGGAAGCTTACGAAGACAAACCCGCCGGATACACATAGCTTATGTCTACGCTACCAGCACAGTAGATGGAGTACCCCTCCTGGTCAATTCATCCATACTACAAATGGTCATAAAAATAAAGATGAATAACAGTGGTATTAAAAGGGGCTATGTAATTAAAGATTTCTTAAATTCATTCCCATACCAACTACTCATTCATCATCACCCTTTTGCAGCTTTGATTTTCTATTTCATTCCCCTTATAAAGCTCACAACAGATAAATACCATGTTCAACCGCTCCGCTCCATTTCCGGCTGTGATATCCATAGCATTTTCCATCCTCATTCTCTGAGTGTCTGATTCATAACTGCTCAGGTAAAAGAGAAATTCGTGGGGCGTCCACCATATTCGAAAGATTTCGGGATTTTACAGAAAACGAAGCTGACGAAACGAGGCGTGAAGAGCAAAAAGAAAGGTCGACATATTATATTGCTTATGCGGCACCTGGGTTGGGGTTCATCTATAGCAGCAGCATTGTCAGTTCTCAGTTGTGCCTGAGAAACCCATCACACCGTAATGCTTCAGGATAAACGTACCTTTCGCTTTCCACCGGTCATTGTGACGTTGACGAATCGTCGGGTGTATTGGAGGCGCTTCTTAGCACGGCCCTTTGGGGTCTTCTTCTTCTCTTGTGGCTCAACCTATTCCTCCGAAAGATGAGTCAGTCCTTGGCTATTCGTCGGCTCCATCTGTTACAGCGAATAGTACAAGGCCACCGCATAAACCGCATTCACGTTTGTTCCCTCATATCGCCATATACGGTAGTCATCCTTCTTGGAGTCTTCCTTCGTCCCCGTGCGGTATGCGGCGGCCGAAACTGCGGAAAACTGACCTTTGGAGTCTGAGACTTGACTTTACCCGCACGAGCGAGCGAGCCGTGGACTTTACCCATGATGTGTGATCGGTTCGTAAATCGTAGAGATGCAACTGTTCGAGCGATAGAGATTTCCAAAGATTAGTCAAGTCGGGCGTTTTTGAAAGAGTTGAATGTAAGCGAGTTTGGACTGGAATGACACCAGGGAAAGGACGTAACGAGCAGCGCCCTACAAGACGAGTATATCAAGACAGACAAGGAGTATAACTAACCGTGTGCTTTGGATGCGTTGACGACTTGGTCTTTTGATGCCGATGGTCTCGCTGGTGGTCGTTTTGGTGAAGGGCGAAGTCCTTTGGAGGAAGCGAACGCCAAGACAGAATTTTCCCTCTTAGGGTTTTAGCCCTAACATTTCCATTTTCAGACGTTATCGGGGGTTACCCTTTCGATAAGGCAAGTTAGGTCAAAAGAATGGAGATCTGAATATAGATTCGACAGCCCAGAGCAAGGTTCCTGAATTACGTATATCGCATTTCGTCGACATATTAAAGTGGGTTACATTTAAAAAGAATCTCATTTTAAGCTATCATCAAACTCACTGGGGGTTGAGCAGCAAGATATCAACTGAGATAGTCGAGTGTTGTCAAGAAAAAGCATGCCATGGCTGAAACGGCTGCTGGAACAGGTAAAAGAAAATGGTTCATTTTACCAGGCCTATCCATCAATAGATGGTAACAGTTCTCATGGAGGAACGCTCTCATTATGAAGGATGGTTTTTTGTAACCCCTTTTTAACAAAGCATGCCAGGCCCAAACACCCGTCGTAATACCACACCGCCAGTAAATCCATCGTTCACCTTCCCTCTATCAAGATTTAACGAGACTTAGCAGCGACTTTGGGGGCGGAGCCCTTAGCACCCTGCTTGCTCTGGATTCGGCCACCCTGTCCTCGTGCGGCACTCTGGGCGGCTTTGGCCTTCTCGGCTCTCTTCTTGCTCTCAGCAGCGGACTTCTTCTCCTTAGCCTCCTTCACGGCGGCCTGGCGGGCAGCCATACGGGCTTCGGGGCGCATGGTTCGGCGTTCCTTGATGACATCGAGGGAGGCGCCAACAATAGCACGCTGGTGCTTCACAACACGACGGGTACGCTTCTTGGCAACTTCCTATAAACCAAATCGAAAAAACCCCATGGTCAGCCTCGATGTGCAATATAGAACGCAAAACCCATTGCCACTGCTTGTTTCTTCACTTCATAACCGTCCAACCCGTGTTCGTCTCAACCAGTATTTCCCAGGCCACGGAGCCCCATATAAACACCAAGTACTGTTTCCTCAATAAAAACATTTATCGCAAAGAGTCACTCACTTCAGAAAGTCCCTTCTTGTGTTGTCTGCGGTAAAGGATGGTCCAGGCTATCCGGCGTGGGTTCTTGCGCTGAAGGAAGAGAGATTCACTTTTGCCATTTTGGAATCGGAAGATCTTGCTGTCGCCCCGAACGTACAGCTTACCCTGTTAATTCAAGAAAGGGTTTATTAGTAGGAGCTCATCAAACAAGGGCTTCAAAGGTTCGTCTTTCGTCTCGGCTCCATGTGCTTCGGAGATGTCGATGAGCGACGTTGAGAACGTACCTTTCCGGGGTAGATCTTTTGACCACTGAAGGAATCGTCGTAGGTACGCATCTTGAGTCGTGGTGATGCGCAGCCGGCGTGTTCGAGGTTGATATGCTGACGTCGTTGTGAATTAACTCGATTGCGACTCAAGATCAAACGTGGTAATGGTTTGGTGTGAGGTTTACTCGCTAATTGTGGGACACGTGACTCACTAGCCCTTAAACTCGCCCAAGCGCGACGCTTTGCAAGAACATCAAACTGCGCGCTTCTAGACGCAAGAACAACCTTGGAACTTTCTTTGGGGTACGGAAGTTTCTTTACAATGCTATTCCAAGTCCTATCGTGAGACTGGGCTGAGCCCTTTTTGAATGTGCTGTAAAAATCACTCTAGTTACAAGGCAGTACCGATATTATACCGCCATACGAGCCTGTAGTATATCCTGACATGAGCTCTTTGGTAGCATTGCAGGTGTAGATGCTTCATAGGGTAGCGCCTTCTCATCTGATTGGTAACCTTCGCGAAGCCTTCCTCCCCTTGAGGAAACTCGATTAAACGACGTTGATAGTAATATATATTTAAATAATCTGCTGGCTGACGCTGAATAATCTAATGTCTTTACAAACGACTGGTTTAAACCATAGCATGAGTTCTTGTCCACTCCCTTGCTGTCTGGATAGCCGCGGGTTCGTCCTCCTTCCATCTCTGCGCAACATCGTTGGCCAGAGGGTCATCTGGGTTGGGGGCGCCGAGCAATGCTTGGATCGACAAAAGAATTGTCCGGATTTGTAGTGCCGGAGACCAATTATCTAGTAGAATGATATACCATGTTAGGACCTATTACGCATCAATGAAGGTATCATCTCACTTTTTAACACGTCAAGGCAGATTCTCCCTAGCCTATCAATATTCGGGTGGTAAATCTTGGTGAGGAAACGGATCTTTGGAGGCGTCATCGGGTAATCTTCTGGCAAAAACAGCTCGAGTTTGAAAATCCCTCCTGTATGGGTATAGTCAGTTCTCTTATTCGAATAATACATAGGTACTGAGTTCGGTAATGTTATGCTGACCTTCGTAGGGAGACTGTGTCGGACCATGGATTCGAACATCGAAGTACCGAAGGTTATCTTCATGAGGAACTGCATTAATACCGGGAACACTATATAAGTCAACATGGCTGGTCAGAAAAGAACATAAAGTACTAGCCACTAACTCATTAGTCTGCTTGTTGTTTTACTTACGGCTCTGCCATCAACCGCTCCGTCTCCTTTACTATCCGCTTTGGTAGCCCCGCCATGATCTGGCAACTGGTATTACTGAAAGCCCAGTCGGAATATTATCGAAAGACGATAGCGTAACGAGCGCTCAGATAAATGGCTGCTTGTTACTCCTTCACGATATGCTGCGCTGATGACTTTGGTGCTGACGTATATCGGTGTTGCTTTCCCTGTTGATTCCTCGCTCAGCCGCGCTTGAAGAGACTAGGGTGTGCAATATAAGTTTTCAGTATCAAGGGAACGGGCAGACTATCCCTTAATCACTCTGTCCTGCTCCACAAGCACAAAGATGGCTCAAGATCTTTCACTGCTGGGGTTCAACTAGCCATTCGTCAACTTCATCCCACCTTTTTCTTTTGGCAGAACGTTGCTCCCCGCAGACGCCAAGACTTGTCTTTCCAAGGTTGCAGGAAAAGCACGTGCCATGAGCTAAATCTAACGCGGTTACTTTTGCTTACATAACCAACGAACCACAACTGCCAGTCTCAACTCCTAATTAATGCCCTTGGAGACCAGACAACATATCTGGGCCGGAAACAGCTATAACGTTAGTGCTTCTGGACCACTTGTTGCGGTTTACAGATATATCTGACGAGTGAGGATTCCGGGCGAGGATCCTGACTGAGACTCCCCAGAATGCAAACGACATCCCCAGACGCGCAAACTGCGGCGGTGCAAGCTATTGTGAACGTGTGGACTGGAACACTGCCTATATAGCTGGCTCTTACGCGACGCATGTGAGCTGTAATTACATTAGATATCACTTCCTTGAACTTCGCTCAACGCGGACCCCTGTCCTGAGCCCCAAAAATGGCGGACCAAATCGAATCAGGGCCGCTCAATTCGGCATACGATAGCCCGACATTCGGAGAGGACAGTTCGTTCCATATTGATCAAGCGGTTGGGTCAATGTCAATATCGCCCTGCGGAAGAGACGTGGTTCTTGCATCGTAAGACATCCCGTGAAATCGAATTTTCTTTGGTTATTGCTGACCGCATGCTAGAAAGGAAGGTCTCCACGTCATAGATCTCGATAACCCGTATTCTCCACCCCGTTATCTCCCCCATCGAACAGCATGGGAGGTTGCTGATGTCCAGTGGTCTCCATTTTCAGCCCGAGATTCCTGGGTGGCAAGTACATCGAATCAGAAAGCGTTGGTCTGGAATTTGGCTATGCGGACCTCGCAGAACTCTATAGAGCATGTTTTACACGCGCACTCGAGAGCAATAACGGATATAAACTTCTCCGCCCACCATCCTGATTTACTAGCAACTTGCGCCGTTGATAGTTTTGTCCATTGCTGGGACCTGAGAACGCCCGCCAGGCCCGTTGTTTCGTTTTCAGATTGGTTTACCGGGGCGACCCAGGTCAAGTGGAATCGACAAGATTCCCACGTTATTGCTAGTTCTCACGATAAATCACTTCATATTTGGGATGATAGAAAAGGTGCATATCCCCTCCGCACCTTTGAAGCACATGGTACCAAAATCTATGGTATTGATTGGAACAGAGCTCGCCCGGAGGCAATTGTCACCTGTGCACTAGACAAGACCATGAAATTCTGGGACTATTCAAAAGAAGGGGAGAGTCCGGAGAACGTTACCCATACTCAATTCCCTGTATGGCGGGCGCGGCATACCCCTTTTGGCTGGGGTGTCCTTGCCATGCCGCAACGTGGGAATAGTGATCTTCATCTGTATAGAGGCGTTTCGGGAGATAATTGCAACAGTGAACACGAGGATTTGCCATTAGTGCACAGTTTTCCCGGACACAAGGGTCAGGTCAAGGAGTTTCTTTGGAGGCAAAGGGGAGGTATCATAGATGGCATGGACCACCGAGAATTCCAACTCGTCTCATGGGGAACAGACAAGGAATTACGCCTTCATCGTGTAGACCCAGAGATTTTAAAAAGAGTAGGTTATGAAAGGGGCAAATTATTCAACCCTCTCCTTAACCTTACTCGAAAAGGGGCACCCTACAAAACTTTTCACGATGAACACTCCTACGAGCATGGCGAAATCGGTGATGATTATGGCGAAAAGTCAGAATACCTTGCCGCTAATAATACCCTCAAAGGTATGAGCGGGGTTAGCATGCCCTACTCCCGTGGATGGGGTCAGGTTCGATCGATTGGGCAATCAAGCAACGTTCGTGGTCGCACAACCCTTAGAGCTGATATGAATCCTATTTCCTGGATGCGAGGTGTGAAAATCTCTGGATGGGAAGTGGAAACGTTAGGTGATGAAATCATTCATGTTGGTGAGAAGTTTACTCGAGTAGCCTTTGAATCAGTTAATATTGGCCAGCGTAAAGCGACCATTTCCATGCATGGACCCTGGGGATCAGACAATTCCAACGTTTTCCTCACAATCGATATTAAGTTTCCCACGGAATACCCTCGCATGGAAGCCCCTATTTTCAACGTCCAACGAACAACCGCTGTAACGAGCCAACTAGCCAAAACTGTCACTACTGGAATGCAGACAATTGCAGAGACATACCTTTCGAGACAACGAGGCTGCCTTGAAGGAGTGATTCGGTACTTACTTGGAGAGCATACCGTCGAGGAGAGCGTGGCTCTGGCAAAGAATCAATCAAACGAACACCTTAAATCTGCTGATATCCTTGCTGATAATGAATCAAGTGATGAGGATGAAGATGTTGGCCAATTTCAGGATTCTGACCTTGCTCTGAGCTCTTCTGAACTCCTCCGCCCTATAAATGCCAATGTCATGGTTCCGGTCGCTCGGGCATGTGGTGCCCTATGGGCTAACGATGGCCAGCTAGTCTGTTTCTTCCCGAAGAAGGATGATAAGCCTCCGTCTTTTCTGGACTCTATAAGCCTGAGGGCCATGGCTGGATCATCTCGCAATGACAAAGTATTTGAAGGGTTCGGCCGCCTTCAAACGGGCTCTCCGGTGCCAAGAGCCACGACGGAATCAGCTGTCAGCGGCGGCCTTGTCACTGAGGACGGTGGCTCGGAGTTTTCTGATGACTCCTCATATGATTCATCCAGCTCCTCTGGTTCCTCAGATCTATTAGGCTCACTTCCTCAACAGTTCCAAGGAAATCACGCTTGGAGACATGGCAACATTGGATTCCATCTAGCACGGTCTATTGCAGGGAACTCACAGCGATCCGTTGCTGGACCTAGCACAGCTAGATCATCAACAGACTCTTGTCAGAATTATGTTCATATATACCACTTTAATGACATACTACCTGCAAAACGAGAACTTGCACAGCAGTACAAAATATTCGGGAATCGAGCGGAGATTTGCTCTCACAACATGGTAGTTGCAGCAAATGCGGGACTTTCAGAGCTCTCCTACATCTGGGGGCTTCTAAACTTACTCTTGGATAACAAGCAGACAACTGACACCAGAGGCGTGAAAGATCGTTTACGGCACATACTTAACAATCCGGTGGGCACTCTACGTAGAAAAGACAGCGGTGTTGGTTTGAACAGTGAAAAGCAAAAAACATGGGGGAGCCATCCCCTAGGGGCTCCGTGGTTTATCCCTGCTCTGTGAGCCATCCTGCAGCTTCCTTTTCCTTAATCATCTTCCATTTCTTATAGAGCCTCGCTAATCGTTTGTAGGTTTGAACATTTCGAACAACTTGGAGATGTTCAAATGCTCGGAATGCTTTCATGTGTTTTATACGAGACGGACACGAAGCGACTCCTCCCAGATGACCCATACAAACCTCGAATCTCAGATTTTTTAGACGATAAAAGCTTTTCTGATCAGCAATTCCGGGGGAAACATAATACCACACCACTAGCGAACAAAGACTTGCCTAATATAGCAGCATCTCACAGCTCGGGGGGCTCATCTGTTGACCAGTGGCACGGAAATACACCACCGCTGTATTCAACAGGAACAACTCCTCCCACCGGAATTCGTGGGGTAAGATCCAGTTTGGAGCGTAAATCCCGTTATAATGGATCTCTATCTGGATCTCCAGACCCTCCCTCTAATATGCGCATGAATACCAATTTTGGCAATACCTTGGCTTCTTCGCTCTCACGATCCCTAACTTTCGGACCCTCTGCGTCATCCTCACCTCCAACTGGTCTCATTAAGAAGCAGCCTAGCCCTATAGGCAGCCTTACTACCCAAGGGCCCAGCATCTGGAGCTCGGTTGGTGGCCTCCGTAACAAGGCGGCGTCCGCATTACCCAGTTATCTTACTCCCTCCGCAATTGGTACACCCCAAACATTCTCGGATTCAGAAGAGAGCGATAAGCCGGTTTCACCAAGGGTGGATAAATTCAAGAGAGGAATAAAAGTTGTCAAGAAACATCAGTCCGCATTTGATAACGACTGTAAGGCCGAGGTTCCTTTGCTAGATCCGCGACTCCGACCTCTTTATCAGGCGTATAGGGAGAATTATGCCCATCTACTGTTTATATGGAACATGCCGATCCAAGGAACCGAAGTTCTGAAAATGGCCTCCATCATTGACAATGAGACGGAACGCTCTCTTCTATACAAGCTCAACAACAAATATCCACGAACCAGATACGGCAATAGGCGCCATAGCCTGGCAGTTAATCACCGCCCTTCGACAGAGATTGCAGCCGAAGGTCTCGGCCTCCAGCATCACTGTGCAAAATGCGGCTCCGCGCTACAGGTTTCTGCTCTTTCAAAGCCAAGTACACTAGAGAAGACTCTCGGGAAGAATATCCGACGCAACGCACTTGTGAACGCCCAATGCCTTAAATGCAATTTGTCATTGCCGATCTCGCCGAATATGTCGTGCTCGATATGCACGGAGGTAATTCAAGGCATGTTTACTCCTTGCTTATCTTGTGGTCATATGTGCTGCTTCAAATGCCATTCTCAATGGTTCGCGCCGGATATTACGGTAGAAGGTAGCGTGGAGAAGAGCGTTTCTATATTATGCCCTACCGGCTGTGGGTGTAACTGTTCAGAACATATGATGATCGACATGCCTATACCTCCTACTCCTGCTTCACCTACAACACCTGTTGCACCTCCTCCACCGGCGCCACCATTACCAGAGGCTGCTCCGAGTTCCCCCTCCAAGCTAAGAAGCAAACCCTTAAATGGGGTTGCCAGTGGGAGCCGCACAACCGCTAAAAAGTGGAGGGGTGCTATAAATCAAATCGCATCAAGAAATGATACCGGCGAACCTGATAGACATCAGACTGGGACCGCTTCAGGGGCTCACAGCCGAGCTAGTCTCGACGAACAGCGTCCAGGGGCAAATACTCGCAAACCGGCTGCTAATTCAGGTTCGATTAGTAGGGTTGCCGGCTGGATCGGCAAGAACTCACTTGAAAGAATGGACACCATTTGAACAATCCTGTTCATGCGGGCATATAGCCATCACCATCCTATTTATACAATATATCCATAGTTAATATACGTTTGCTTACTTTCACGTCTGTAAATTAGTTACGTCATAGCTACACCCAAATATTGACTCCAGATAATTACACTAACTCCTTTCCTGCAGTAACACTCCCGCTCCGCCATTTTAACTAGACCAAACATACAGTCTTTTTGTTTTCTCTCGTGCGTTTCTCCGCAGGTTAGCCACTCGCGTAGTTATACAACTCCAGCCTAGATACCAGGTTGAAGGTTTTCACTTCAGTTCTACAGGGTCCAGGCAAGAGTTCAGGATTTTATTGCCACCAATGCAACGCCGGCGAGCGATGCTCCATCTTAGAGAAAACAGAAAAATATGTCTATTCGACTATGAGAATGATTTGTTACCTTAGAGCGGTTATTTGATGGGCAACGTTGTCTCTGTGTGGGTGTCTTTGACGCTTCACTGAGCCGGTAACTGAGTACCTAGCTAGGTACTATGTAGTTCGCTATAGAGTACTCCGTACAGGAGAGTAATTGTGAGCCTTCATCAAATGAAACCTTTAAAGTTTTCACTTACAGGCCGAATACTCAACTATTGGCCTACTTTCTGGATGCAGTTTTCAATCAATGGCTGGACCTTGTACTTTTAGATACCAAGCTATTCTTTAAACTTATACGTCTGATAGCTGAACAAAGGCTAATAAATTGCTTCAATTTTACCAGAGCAAATTTTGCGGGGGGAACGGCGGCCTATCTAGAGGTTTGGAGGAAGGGCGCCCATGGCAATGACAAGAAGTGGTGAAAATGCACTACGTGCCTAATGATTCTAACCCTAGCCACAGCAGCAATCTCGCATTCCAATTTGATTATTCACGATAGCTTTTCTACAACTCCTATAACTTTATCTTCGGTAAAATTCAAGGTTATTGAGTTCATGGAACCGTTGATAAGGCACCAGGAGTAAACAGAGAAACAATGAGAAGAATCTTGCCATAATATATAGGGCGGGTTAGGGGTTGAATATTTCTTAGGTAGGACTCTTATGAAATACATTAGTTATGCTAAACGATGATAGAGGCCTAGCTTAATCAGTCCAAACTAGCGAGACGAAAGCCCTGTTCACTTCAAAATTTCTCGCCAATAGTCCTTAGTTTCAGTTTTTTGGGATACACGAACAATGCTGTAGCCTCTGAACAGAGCTTCCCTGTTTGGTCTTTGATGACAGCTTCAACAACGACTTTCCTTCCGGAACTCAAGGTGGGATTAAGTTTCGCCTCAACTGAGATGTATTGGCCGGGCGAAAGAGGGGCTTTATAGGTTATATTAAGGTTGGCAGTAACCCCTGTGCGCTCTGGTAGATTTTCAATGGCTAAACGACCCATGTTCTCGTCAAGAAGCGTAGCGATTGCACCCCCATGCACAACAGTAGGCCATCCATCAAGCGCGTTACCCAGAAACAGAACAGATTTGAGGATATTTTCCTGAGAGTTATAGAACACATGCTATCGAAGAAAAAAGTTAGTTGACAACAAATGTTTTCCTACAATACGATGCCATTTTGTTGAACGCACCTGGCACGACAAGCCCCTGGATCCTCGAAGACACCCGCTAGTAAGCCTCTTCTTCTTCTCTTCCTCTGTAAAGTTTCCATATGGTTCCCACTCAGTGTAAGATGGGTCTTCCCGTAGCTTCTTCACAATTTCGAGCTTGTCAAAATGGGCATTTAGGGCTTCGGTTATCTCCACGTCTTCCGGGCTGTCGGGTTGTATAATTGGGCCGCTAAATATTTTCATCACCAGCGACGCATTCATACTACCCAGGTAGCCAAAAAGGAGAATGTAAAGTAAAACGCGGAGTCGGCGAGGCCATTTGTTCTGATTGGGAGGAGGAATGGTAACTGTTGTTAGGCGACGACATTGGCCTTTGGATGATAGCCTAGACGGCGAAATAGGGCTTAGGCGAAACGAGTTTGTTCGGGCTCCAGATTTTAATCCATGGTATATCAGCCTGTGACTTATTGGAGAAGCACAGCGAGAGAGAACCTCGCTCCCGATTCTCTGTAACATTGCTGCTACCAATGTCCCAGTTCTTCGAGGTACGTTGAGAACGTCGCTTGGCGCTAGTTTACGAGTTATTAGCCACGCTAAGCTCGGGCCCTTAGCGCGCTTAAACGGCTCATTAAGCACACTTGCCGCGCACGATAAAGCTCCTGGTTTATAAATTTATATAAGCGCATCAGCCGAGAATAACACAACCATACTAGGGACCAAAGGGTTATTTAAGCGACATCTATGGGGGTTATCGACTATTCTATTTTGAGGTTGTGAGAGTTATTCCTTATTGACTAAACGATCTTATGCCGGCTTTTCCAGGAGCAATCTAAATGAGAAAGGGGCCTTTTGAGGCAGTGGAAAGCAAAGGGAATAATGAATAATTCAGGGCCTACCGCTCACAAAATCCCTTGAGACAAAAATTTCTCACTCATTAAGAATATCCGCAGTAGGCAAGTCAATGGCCCTGTAAAGAAGGATCAGGGCGGAATGCGATTCACCTAAACAGTGTTAGTCATGTAACTTATTCCGGATAGGTTCGAAATGAGATAGGCTATACATACCACCCCCAGACAAGGTTTCAATCTTCTCTGCAGGAACCTCCGAGACCTTCTCGTCATTGAACCACCACCAATTTCCATCTTCCTCACGTCTCTTGCCATCCACTACTTTGCCCTGCTTCTTTACATAGGCAGTGTAGTGACCACTATCCGCGCTAGCCCCCTGATGGGTGATAATACCCCGTAGTTCGTAAAGGCCACATTTATTTGTGCTTTCATCTTTTGCAAGATCTTCATGGATGAGAGAGAAGAGCTCTTTCTTAGCCTGCAAAAGGGCAGCAGCCTTTTCAGCCTCATATTCGGCGTCAGATTTGAAAACTTCTGGCGCAGCATCTTTATCCTCGGATTTGTCCTGGTTCTCCTCGGTTGCAGACTCAGTCATTTTCTTCTTCTGCAGGGGCTCAGATGCACGCTCCTCTTTTTTCTCTTCTTCCTCACGTTTATGGGCAATCTTTTGGCGTTTTCGCGCACGTTCCATGTCCTGTTCGTCCTTTCGGATCTCGCGAACTTTATCTCTGACGGGAATGAGCTGTTTCTTTAATTCATCTGTGCAAAAGTCGACTACATCAATCTCCTGGGGGAAGGTGACCTTTCGCATAATTTTGGCCTTTTTCTGCGATTCGCGTTTCCAGAAGAAACGAACAAAATGAACAGTAAGGTATTTGGGAAGACGCGAAATTCGAGTCTTCTTGGTGTAGGTGGCATCTCGGCCCAGAGTAGGCGAGTGCTTTTCGATTTTCTCTTCCAAACTTGCCATAATTCCATCATGGAGATGATTAATATCTTTGTCGATATGGCAATTAAGCTTGAAGAAAACATCCGAGCTTTCTACAGCCATCTCTCCACTGTCTTTAGCTGCCTGCTCATCACACTCTAAAAGAGAGTTGACTGTCCCTGACATGTACTTGTCGACAAAGGAAATGTCTTTCCCGTCTTTCCCATTAGAAGTATCCTTTATCGTAAGTTTTTGACGAAGCTGTGAAATAATCTGGGACCAAGCTTCCTCTGCATCTTGCTGTGCATAGCCATGCCCTTCCCTACTTTTTTGTGCAAACTGCGGAAAGGCAGTGCGGAGGGCATTTAGAAACATCATTGGAGGAAACCCTTGCTGGGTTTCCGACATTTGCTTGTACAAATCTCGGAGTGAAGCCGTGAGATCAAGGGAGCCTGAACCAAACAGGCTCGAGTTACCTTGTGTGGTAGGTTTGTATCTTTGTAGCTCTTCCTGAAGTTCAGGAATGAGGCGCAAGGTCTGCAACGTGGAGTTTAGATAACATGTGTTTCCCAGGTTTTGAAGTCCAGCCGGCGTAGCACCATCAGCCTTTGCGACCTCAGCTTCAGTCATGTCTTCCAAGAACTTAATTGCTTCCTTCGGTTTCCTCAATGCTAGATTGGACTCTCCGTTGGCTGGGGTACCCATCATCATGAACGTCTGGCCTGCTTTGGCATTGAGAGAAGAGAGGAGGGTGTCATCTTTCAGCTGGCCTCCCTTGACTAGTATTTTCTGCCGCTCAGGCTCCACGCCCGTTAAAGAATATAGCTGGAACTTGAAAGTCTCGCCATTTGAACTCGGGTCAAGCTCTACTTCGTACCGTTTACCCTGATGTTTGACAACAACTGGGATAACTGTTAGTAGGGTCCCGGCAGCGCTTTGATTTCAAAACAGGAATAACTAAAAAGGCGTCGCGGCTTACCGGGAATAGGATCCATTTTTCCCGCTGATCAATACGCTGGAAGATCTCCCGAATCAACTCGAGTAGATATCGAACTCTGGCTCTGCCGTTCTCCTTGCGCGGGTGTACCCTGTTCCTCTTTATGTTGTTGAGCTGGAAGACGTATTATTTCTATGTGGGGCGAGGATCTATGCAAACAGTGCAAACAGCCACCAGCCAGCGACGTCAACTAAACCACCAAAGCCTAAGCGGGAACGATACACATAGACGAAGGAAGATACAACAGGCACGGGTCAAGTCCAAGTCTTGTAATATTCAACACTGGGCTGATTCTTACTTTGATTACGCTCACCAGGGCCTAAAATCACCTACCGGAGGTCTCTCAGCTTCGCATATATTCGAAGGTGGGGAAGCTATCTATCACAGATTTGTCTAGTCAACAGCCGCCAGGATGGTATGCGTGTCCCCAGATCCATAACCTGCCTTTTGAATATGGCTAACGTCACTTAGTCGCAATCCTTACGACCATACCTCCAATGCGTCCGTTCGTCTCTGACTGCTGCCCTTGCGGTATCGAATTTCGCTTCGCAGACATCAGAGCGGCATAACGTTCCGGAAATAGAAGCAGCTACTTCTCCAGAACTTCTCCTTAATCCACTCACGGTTGCGCGCAATGAGAAAGAAAAGGTCCTTATAGAACCTAGCGTGAATAGCGTTAGAGTTAGCATTCGAATCAAACAGGCAGACGAAATTGAGCATATCCTCGTACACAAATTCACCAGGTTCTTAACACAGAGAGCAGAGGCATTCTTTATTCTCCGACGGAAACCTGTCAAGGTATTTTTAATACACTGGACCAATGTTGTCAGATCCATGCTGGCAACACAATTGTTAACTTAGATAGGGCTATGATATCTCGTTCCTTATCACAAACTTCCACACCGAGGCTATGTTGAAGCACAAGTTGGTTGACTTTATCATCGAATTCATGGAGGAGGTTGACAAGGAAATATCGGAGATGAGGCTATTCGTGAGTCGCTTATTCATTGGGATTCCTATAGTATACAATTTTATGGTTGACCAAGCTACTAATTTACACCTTTCAGTTAAATGCCCGCGCACGATTTGTTGCAGAATCCTTTTTGACCCCAGTACGTTTTTACCCGATTACCTACCGCCTCCAATCCTTTCCACTAACATTTCCTCTACAGTTTGATTAGCGATACTTCACCCTGTTTATCCTATCCCCAGGTTTACGACATTACATTCGAATCACTGCGGAGACACCTCTTTGTCATCATGTCCCGTGTTCTCTTGACCTTTTTTATGGAGACTTATTTTTGACCCAGTATATGGTGTTGTAAATAGGTTTGTAAATGACTTAGAGTTGAACTAAAAGGTCTAGCAAATCTCTATGCCGTCTACGAACAACTGTGACTCTACGGTCCTCCTCAACCAAACATTTTATTGTTCCATCGGCAACAGGATTTCTCCTTTACTACGTAAATTATTTTTATACCCATGACCAGTTATTTATATATACCCCCTTTTGTGTATGGTGCTTTTCTATAATATGCGGCTCAAATTTCCTAATTAGGAAAATTTGACCACATCTCTTGATTGATATCTCCAACAAAGTAGTACACCAGCGCCTCTTCGATACCTCTCCTTCTGGGCTTGCCGATCGGATATATGAATAGTAGAGTATAAAACTCTTCATTCTTTTGCTAAGCAGCTCCCCCCTTGTGGAGCTTCTGAGCCATACCCCTTCCACTCGGAGTAGCCTCCCAAACCCCTTCATATATAGTAACAGCTGGCGGCCCTCCTATTATCCTCTTTCAGCCAACATGGGAGGGCATTATTCTGATTTCCTAAGGTTGCCTTACACTCGGTTCTTCATTCACTAGAGTGTGATATGCTCTGTCTCTTCAAGGGACAGATAGTATTCTCCGCCCTCTGCATCGCTATATACCTCTATTTTCTGTGCATTATCTGGTATTATCTGTTCCTTATATGTTGTTTTGATGTTGGCCCGGTCACCCTTCTACCCCTAGGTACTTATATCCCATACCATACCCTTGTTTTAGAAGACAAGATGGCTTACCACAGCCTTTCATGCTTCCCTGCCCTTTCCTATATCTGCCCTAGCCCTATGTTGCACTGCTCGACGCAGCGGCGACTAAGCATCCCACAATGGTAATAAAAACTTCTTCCTCTCTTGTTTGTTGACATTTTTTTATTTCCTTTCTTTTCATCTGCTTTCTGCTTCACCAGCTTTCCTTCAAACATCTCCTTTCCTTTATCAAAAAGTGGTATCAAATCTGTTGTCAATACTGCCATCTCAAACCCCTAAAAACCAACAGATAAGCCTATCTCTCTTTTTTCTCCGTGCTTAGGTTGCCCAAGTTCGGCTCAATCCTTCTGTTCAGCGTCTTTGGGATATATCATCTTTTGTCTGATTCACAGGCTTTCGAAGTTGAGCTTTGGTATCAAGTCAAGGCAAGACCACCAGGGAGAAATTTTTCTATCATCAGAATGGTGTCCCCCGTGGTCAAGGTGCATGACTCTCAGCAATCTGCAGGTTTATCTGATACTGCAGCTCAAGAAAACGTTGATACCATTGCTGATGGCCAGGATGAGCCTGAGTCTTCAGAGACTGGTAGCGTTGTTGCAATGACGATGTTGACAGCCTCGCCCCAGGATTACCAGAATGAGCCGGAGCAAAGTGTCACCATTGCCGAAGTCGTCGCGCTCAACGACGCTCCACCAGATTCCATGGCCGACGCACAAGTCCCTGGAAGCGAGAACTCGTCGCCAATTCCCGTTCAAAATTTTCCTTTGCAACGCACTTCTCTCGCCTCTTTTTTTGGTCCTACACCTCGCTCCACACAAAAACAAACATTCAAACCTCCTTCTGGCCACTCTTCTTCCACCCCCTTATCAACTTGTAGTCTTCCAGTTGCTCCACCCCCTTCACCAGCATCACTTTGTGGTCGTCAATACGCTGCTGCTGCAGAGTCTCTTTTTCCTCAGCTATCTGTTCTACCAAATCCTCGGCCCTATCTGCCCCAGATGTATTCTGGAAGCCAGCTTCAGGGGCAATTCCCCAATGGCAATACCAATCACAACAACAACAACAACAACAACAACAACAACAACCTGTCTCACTGGGTGTCTCCAGCAATGGGAGCATCGTCTGGCATATGTCTAGGCAATGTTCAGTATCCTCAGCAAGGTAACTTTCAAAGACCCATCCATCCTGCTATACCCCCGAAACCGCGTCGTTATCTTCGTTCTACATGGAGAATTGCCTATGCTTTTCATCCTCGCGTGCCTTATGTTTCTGCTCCTGTACCAGCACCCTCTTCCATTTCTCCAGATCCTACTCCTGCCTCTGTGAAGCCAAAGAAAAGCGAGTACAAAGGCCCACTCATCGTTTCTTCATATCCAGTGAAACTTCCAAGTCAGAACCAACAAGGCCAGCAACCTGCTCAACAGCATTCTTACCATTCTGCTCAGCAATCAGCTCAGCAGCACGTTCCACAACATGTTCAATACCCTGTTCAGCGTTCGGCTCAGCATTCAGCTCAGCAGCATGTTCAACATTTTACTCATTCTCCTCTTCCTAATCCTCGCCATTGGCCTGGTCATCAACCTGACCAGCAGCAGAGGCCATCCCACCCCCAGGCTATCACGACCAATCCGGGTCACGCCTGTGGTATCAACAATAACATGGCCATGAATGGCCACGGCTCGAGGAACAATAACAATGTTGTTGTTTCTCAGTACCATAGTCCTCACCACCTACAAGCTCCAGTTTCAGGACCATCTTCTACCCCACTCCCAGGAAATGGATTCTCATGCGTCCAGGGCTCCCATGGCATGAACAACAATACCCTTGCAGCCTTACCTCAGGTTGCTCAGCCTTTCCCCATTGAAGATCCATTCGAGACTGGCACAGGCCCTCAACCAGCCCCAGCTGGTGCTGTTCTAAAGATCACCAACGTAAGTTTTACTCGCGTTCCTGCTAAAATTGATTGATAACTTCACATGTAATTTGTTTTGGACCAACCAATTTCAATCATGTTCCCAGTCATTATACCTAACATATATTTTATTGATCTCAGCTAATTCGTCTAAAAGATTCCCTACAACCTTTTGGCACGCGAAGTTATGCATTTTCTTGGTCGCCGAGCCAAGTTACTTCCTGAGAGCAGAGGAACTTCAATCCATGTTATCATGGAACGATCCACTGCAAAGACTATGGACTGCTATATCGAGTTACTCACACAAGCTGATGCAGAAGAGGCCCTTTCATGGGTTAATCGCAACTTACCTGCCCACTCTCCACGTCTTGGTGATCGTCATGTTCATGTTGAAATGTCCTCTCAAGATGAATTGCTTCATGTAATGTTTCCACGTGCAAAGTGCGTCCTTTGGAAAAATGGAATTCCAGAAATTCAGCCAAACACAGACAGATACTCGACTGGTTTTCAGGGTTTTTTGACCAATGAAGAATTGTTTTGCATGGTTCACTATGCTGAAGCACCAAAGAGAGTGAGTCGGTTTACATACCAACATCCCACAATCAATTTGCTGCTAACCACCCCTGTAGGCACCATTCGCTGAAAAGTGTCCCCAACGCCCGTACGAATTCATGATCAGCACCCTTGACAAAGTATGTGATCCATTTCATTTTCTTTATGTCTTACGCTAACCGGCTCATTTGTGCTTAGTTCCCCTGGTCATCAAAGTCCCTCTACACCGTTGAGCACCGCAACGTTTTGTTTGACGCTACTAGACGCCAACTGCAAGCATTGGTCCATCAAGTTAATTCTAGACGAGTCATCCAACTGGATGAGCGTCTGTTAAGGGATCTCCTTAACGCAGGACTCCGATGTTCGACGTTCAATGGACGTCAGAAATATCTTCTCAGGGTGGCGGCTGGGCAAGCTCTGGGGCCCATTCCCAGAACAGCAATGTTCTGGCCCTTCGACGCCCTCTCGCGTAGGGCCAATGCGCGAGAGGAGAACGTGGAGGTACGAGTTCTTCTTCATAATAACCCCCTAGTTACAAGTACTGACTTTTTGTCCTTAGAAATATGCCCGGTTAATCCGGGCAGCAGTCCTGCGCCGAGTCCCGGACCTAGGGGAGCTCAACAACTCGTGGGACGCCATTCAACATGGCAACTCGCCCTTCGGGCCACTCATGTTGGAGTGGCGGGGCGAGGGAGCGCGGCGGAGCCTGCAAGCCGCCATTAACGCTGAGATCAGGGTGATGAAAGCCCTGGTCTTAGAGGGGCTTGCGGCTGTCAACCCCGCCGTTTGATTTCCTTTGTTTTTCCTTTGTCTTTCCTTTGTTCATGCGTTGCTACCAGTTGGCTAGCGAGCAGTTAATCCCCTATGGGACGCACTGACTCGCTGGCATTATTGTACATCTTTTCCTTTGTTCGCGCGTTGCTCCCAGTTGGCTAGTAGCCAGTCAACCCCTCGAGGGAAGGCTGGCTGCTAGCATTATTGTAACTATGTATTTTTATCTGTCGGAGTAACCAGCCTAACCAGGCCAACGATTGTTTAAATTTCCTCTCGAATGACTAGCCAGTAACTACTCCCAGCCTTGTTCACTAAGTTTTCATACATCTAACGCCCGCTACAGAAAGCAATATCATTATATTCAAGGGCTTGTATTGTACCCCGAATTCCCTCGTTACTCGTTTGTCACCATCATCCAGCCATTGTTTTATGCGAAGACTATACGCCGCATAGTTATAGTAGTTAGATGCGATTCTCCTCACGGTGCCATATTAAAACGGGGAAGAAAGTAACTGTTTACTTTGTTTTTCGCACTATGATAACCCCAGAGCATGAACTCCAAATATCATGTCTTCATCATGAGTTTCTGAAGTTGCATTCTCTACTTTTTCGGCTTTCCTCGCCGCTTTGCTCCTTTCCAGTCCTTCCGCCCTCTTTCTTTCTCTCCTGATTTTTGGATCCTCCCACTGAGGCTTAAGGCTATCAGGGTTCTGTCCTCTGACTAAATGCAACAGCTTCATTCTAAACCTTTCTGTGCGCTCCGTGTTCACTTTGAACCGTTCATTAGAAATTTGAACAAGTAACTGCAGATACTCTTCAGTCACGACACTGCGAGCTGAAGGTTCGAGAGAGCGGTCATCCTCAATATAGCCTATGATTGATTCTAGACCCAGACCAGAAGATCGTACGGCAACAATAGGACATGCATCTGCGTCCTCGAGGCAGCGAAGTCCTTGGATTCCACTTTCTCTGAAGCCCGCATTGCTAGCGGCAGCAAGGACAGGCTGAGCATGGCTCAGAGATGCTGCCATTATATGGAGGATCTGCATACCAAGTCAGCATACTGGAAAATCAGACTGATTTTGCTGGCCATTGGCAGAGACACAAGGTGCAATATGTTATGGCAGCAACAAAATATAACGAGTCAAGGAGAGAGGGGATCAAATACATACCATAGGCTCAAATTTAAATTTGATCAGCTGTATCTCGCCTTTTCTACATAGGCTCATCGAAGTCCCTGAAGGCTTCAGCCCAAATAGCTCATGAAAACTCTTCTCTGTATTGACCCCATCAGCCAACAGGGGGTCATGGGAGACAAACTGCCATGTTCCGCTGCCTTTTCCCCCTCTAGGAACAAATTTATTCTCATATTCGGCCGTTAGACGCTTGTCATGACCGAGTTTATCTTCTAGAGAGCCGTCTTCAGGGTCCTCTGGCGCTTTCTCGGTTGCAATGGTATCATTATCAGCCCTGGCCTTGCCTAACTTCCCCCTTTCGACGAACACGCTGATGCGCCCAGCACAGCTACTCGTCGTCACTAGGCCCGGCAATCGATTGATATCCCGTATGAGTGGTATAATTGCAACGTCCACAGAGCCTTTGGGGGATAAATCTGTATAATCTTCTTCGGGAACAGACAGGTCCTTGAGTATTTTTTCCTTCTTGGAAATGAAGCTGGTAGGTATGGTGGCCATCCCGTACAGCTTTCCCTTGGGAAATGAACCAAGAAACGATATTCGATCTTTTCAATCCTCTTTAACTCCTTATTTGTCCGTTCTCTGGTGTTGCTGGTGTTGCATGTACTTGCCTGCAGGGTCGCCAATTATTTATTTAACTAGCCCAAAAAAATGCACGACGCTGTGAAACTTTTCTCAACAGGGCATGCTTCGATAAGAACTTGTACACATGAATGCCAGTATTTGCCAAAACCTCCACCTTTATTGATTGGCAGGCGAAGATATATTTATATAATCCATTTGACTACTTAGGGATAACTGGTTGGGAAATACGGATCCTTCGCTTCCTCACAATGGAACATTGTCCGGCAGTCGACGCGCGACTATTTAATTGAACCAATTTAACAAGCTAACCATCTGCGGGCTACATAGGTAGGACATTGAAAACAGCTACCGGCGTCGACGAGCAGAAGGCGAGAATATAAGCTGTTGCCATTGAGTGCCTTTGCTATCTATGATTAATTAATAGGAGTTCCTCGTTGCTAACCTTCGAAGCGCGAGTGTCACGCCAGGACGATAGTTAACCAATTCAACTACAAACAACTACGCGCTCACCCAGCCATGCCTCGCCGTTCACTACGAAATTCAGCGCCTACAGAGCAACGAACAAAGCGCCAGGCCGATACCTCATCCCCCAGACAGGGTACAGATACGAAACGCCGGAAAAGCGCCCCCAGAGAGCTACCGTCTAAGCCTAGAACAACCAGGCGTGCCTCATCCACCGCGAAAAAGAGCAGATATTTTGAACAAGATGCTTCCCAGTCCGATTCCAGTGGTAGTGACTTGACTCCGTTGGCATCCGATTGCTCGAATCGAGCCTCGATGGAAAAGGATAACGAAACAGAGGATGCCTACAGCCCAGGAGCAGGCAGCTCTGCGTCTGCAGATGCCGAGGAGTCCGCGGAAGATCACGAAGAGGAAGACGAGGATTTTGAAGAAAGGAAGAAAAGAGGCAGCAAAAAGAAGCCAGCAGCGGCACATACGAAGAAAAGGAAAAGTGGTGTGAAAGATCCCGTTGCTCAATCCCGGGAAGCTAGCAAGGGAAAGGAGCTTTGGAGAGAGGGTGTAAGGACTGGGCTGGAACCAGGGAAAGAAGTGTTTATCAAGCTCCCGACTCCAAGAGATGACGGAGGGATACCCTACGAGGATGGCACCATCCATCCAAATACAGTCCTCTTCCTTGCAGACCTCAAGGAAAATAATGACCGTGAGTGGTTGAAAAGTGAGTCCACATGCAATGCAGAGTTGGCTGTCTACATAGGCGAATTGCATTTATATATATATACTGATACCTTGATTGTGCAGATCATGATGTTGATTATAGGAAGTCCAAAAAGGATTGGGATTCATTCGTTGAGGCACTGAATGAAAAACTTGCTGAGAAAGACGAGACAATTCCAGAATTGCCAGCAAAAGACTTGGTATGCATATGCTGGCGAGAACTGACAATGTCTAGAGTTCCTACTGATCAAAATACATCATTATAGGTCTTTAGGATATATAGAGACGTTAGGTTCAGTCATGACCAAACACCCTACAAAGTAAGAGCTTCCTTTACTTCAAGCCAAACATGAACGCTGGTTCAAGCATCCATGATCTTCCTTATATTTAGTCATGGTTTGCTAACTGTACTGAAGCCACATTTTTCAGCGGCATGGTATGTTGACAATTATCCTGCCATATATTATATACTATATGCCTTATCAAACCATCCTTGCAGGTCCCGTACCGGACGGAAAGGCCCATATGCAGCATACTACCTCCACCTAGAACCTGGGAAATGTTTTATGGGTAAGTGAATCTCTAGAGTTAGCTGGAGTTCACCAAAACCTAACTCTCAATACCTGGCTCGGACACGGACGTTATTTGCTCCCATCCCTGTGGCCAGTTCTTATCCCAAGCAATAGTTGCTCAGCAACGCGTGCTAAGAGGGCACGGAAGATAGATGCGAACAGAAGCTAATCAAACGTATGAATCCAGGATCGGGTTTATGGATGCCTGAAGCCAGTAAACTCGCGCTTATTCGCCAGAATATCGATCGGAATTCGCAACGGCTCAAGGGGATCTTGATGCACCCAGACGTCAGGAGAGAAATCCTCGGCGGCGTGCCTAATGACGAAAAGAAGGTCATTAAAGCCTTTGCCAACCAAAATAAAGAGAGTGCACTCAAGACCAAGCCAAAGGTAGGTAACTTTTGCTCTCGTCAATTGATCAGCATCTTCCGTCTCCCTTAGCCTACTGCAGCTTGCATCGTCGCCACTGGCACCCCAAAGTATTGTCTTTCTTAGGTCATTTCAATTGCCGACTCCAGGCACAGAGAATGAGTCTCCTGGTTTTATACGACCGGGGATTCTTGGAGAGGTCATCGAGCCATAGGAAAGGTAGGGGGGATGCCTGCGCATTTATTGCACGCCGGCGTCCGAGTCAGTCAAGTTGGCCACCAACGAGCACAAAACACTCGACGTACCTTCCATAGTTGGACTACCTCCTCGTAGACTCAGCTCTGACGAAGTCAGCCCCGGCTCAATGCAAGTTGGTTTTGCTACGAGACCAACCTAGAACGCTTGCCTCCCGCTGACTTCCGGGAGAAATCGGTGAAGTGACCGCAAACCGATGATACTTACCCGCCTCAGCGAAGTCGAAGCCACTCAGCCAGCCCATTATCCAACAAGAATGGCAAATCCACCCGAAAAAGGCATATATCAGTTCGTTCAGGCCTGAGCGGGCGTCTTCAAGCCTTTGCGCTCGTCTCTCAGGCGGGGATGTCAGCAGGGTTTTGGGCTTTCAAGGCCCGTTACGGGCGGACCAGGCGCGGCCCTTGATTTGCACTGAGCCTTTCTCCCACCATCAATCGCCACGATGGACGGAACCCCCTTCCCCATTTTGAACCTTCTCTCTCGCTTTTGCAGCCACTTGGGTTTTGGAGTATCATTATTTCTGGGACCCTGGGTCAGAGATAGTGTTCGATCCAGGTTTCAAAGAGGGCCTAACGAGATTGAACCCTCCCTTTCCTGCCTTTTTCTCTTACAACGGCTCCCATACGAACGCCCCTTTCTGCCCCAATTTTTTTTTCAACAGTTGATATTAGTTATATGACGGCTAACTCTATTATCTGATAGGGCTACGATGCAGACAATGAGAATATTGAACTTCTCCGCCTTCGAAGCTTCACGTTGAGCAAGAAACTAGCTGACCAGGATCTCCGTGGACCAGAAGCCATGGACAGAGTGGCTCATATCGTTGGGATCATGGTTCAATTTGTAAGTAAAAATTCAGCCTGTCTGGCAGCATGTACAGCAAAGGTTGTCTCCTTGCACATCCCGTCCGTTTTGCCATCCCCCCTCCCTCCTCGGACGGTCTCTCCCATCCCGCAGAGCCAATGCCAAATCCAGAGTCAAAGCAAAAGCAAAAGCAAGAGTCAGATTCAAAGCCAGAGCCAGGCCAGAGCCAGAGCCAGAGCCAGAGCCCCATGCCTTCTCCATCCTCTATCCCTTTCCCAAGCCATCCATCCCTACCACCCCTACCACCCCTCGCCCCGAGTTGATGCCAGACCTGCCAACGACGCAACGGCGGCTTTCCCGCGGCTTCCCTCGTCTATATTTCCAAGGTCCTAAAGCCTTTACTGTCCCACCATGATCCACACACTGTAACTTTCCATTCGCGGCTTAACCGTCGCATACAGGTATGATATGCATGCACAATGTGCTGAATTTGGGCATAGAGGCACCCAACTCACGTAAAACGAGCAGTGGAGCGAGTCGGGCATCCAACCCTCTTGTCCCTCATTACCCCCTCTCCTCCAATCCCTACCTTTTCACGCTCTCTCCTCGTTCTACCGCCCTTCTCACCCTCCGTCTCCTTTTCATTCTCTCTGGTCTCTGCCTTTCTTCCTTTGAACTGTGGGCTACGTTCTCCACCCCCTTGCTATTCAACCCCTGCCAGCCACCAAACCATGAGAAAAGAAAAGGATTTACCGTGTCCTAGCGAAGAGGACGGTAGTCAATCTCGCTTAGCGACCAGGCTGTCTGTCCACCCAGCATATCAGCAGCAGCAGTATTGGATGGTGTGCAAAAGGGAATGAACAGGATGGGGTGAAGGAACCGTTGCTGTTGAACGCAACCATGCGTCTCAATGTGTTCAATGAAGATTCGCTGAATGAGCAGCGTTGTCCTGGTCGTTGCGTGCTTCTGCTTGGCCATGCAAAATAGATATATGGAAAATATCTATCAACGCAGTCCAAGGATTAAAAAAAAAATTAAGGTTTATCCGTGATTTTATGTTACTGACATGTTTCATTCCGACAGGTCACATACCTGAACAGCATCGTCATGCCGGATCCCGAGGATGAAGACGGGGATGAATCTGGGGATATGTAGGATGTAGACGATGAAGGAAGGGGAAGAAGACGATCCGGTGCATGTAAGTTATGCACGCTCGAGCCTGGTTGTTTTTCAAATCAAGGAAGGGATGAATCAGGCTTGTCGAGGAAGTATATAATGTATGTCTCTTATCAGCTCTGGTTTATATATAGGTATAGAATATGCATGCATGGTTACCCGATTGGTACTTGCACTCCACCAAGACAGGGAGTTCAGGTATGTATGTGAGAACGTCGTTGTCTATGGGGAAGGGGGATTGCGGGGGTTGGTGCATTGGATTTAATGATAGTCATCGTTCACATAATGATGAGCTGTGTATGGCTGGCTATGCTAGACTGATAGACTATAGAACTGCCGAACTATAGACCACGACCACCGCCTTGTTTTTGTTGGGGGGGAGGAGAACGAGAAAACGAGGGCCCATGACTATCTCAAGCAGTCAAGCAAGCAAGCATAAGTTGGGTACGTATCAACCCAAGGCTTGGGGCGAAAATGAAAACCAAAAAAGGACCACCCACTCGGGGTAAGTGTATGAATGTGTGTGCGTCTGTCTGTTGTTGAGGAACACGAACAACGCAGTCCTGCATCTTGAGCATGCTTTTATGCAAAGGAGAAAAGGAAAAAGAAAGCGATTAGGTGTCAAGTAGGCATTTGAAAACAACTTGTTGCGTCGAAGATCCGTACAACAGGCATGTTAAACCTGGCTTCAACCGGGTATGTACATGTAGTTATGTATGCCGCTCCGTACTTGCAGTTGAACCTTTGGATGAACAGCTTGGTTTGCTGTGAAGTGAGAGACGTGGTGATACCCTTGAGGTTTGATATACCATGCTCATGCACTCTGTAGCCATCTCCTGTTTGAAGCTGACTATTCACTGTGCATGCAACCGAGTAGAGAGACACATGTAATATCCGCACTCCAGACGCCAAACGACCATGGCTGATGATGCATGAGTAATGGAAGATAGATGAGAGAGGCTGACCTGCCAATCCCATCCGTCAGCCATTACTTTTCCACGGGATGCTCCGCCGCCCTCCCGCTGCTGCATGGCTCGGCCTTTGAGCTGTATGTAAGTCGATGCAGCAGCAACAAGGACCGGGCCAGCGATGTGGGTGTTTGCTTTGCTGTGCAACAAGGAGGCGGCGTGCTGCTGGTTATCAACCAACTTCCACGGCCTCGAAAGTTGTCTGCCCTATTCCAGCAGTCAGCGAGAGAACGCAACAGCCCACAGCCATCCTTGCACCATCACCATTCACCATTCACCATCACTTCTCACTCTCGCTCTCACCACTTTATATGCCCCCCCGGACCTGATATATGAGGCCGCTCATGCTGCCAAACCGCCCAACCTGTGGCTCTCCCATCCTTCTCCGTCGCCGCCCTGCGATGATTGGCCGTGGCCAAACCACATGACCAGAGACGTATGCGGGTCTAGCGGGAAGACAGGGATGGGCCTGCAAGCACCGAAAGCAAAAAGAAGGCGCTAAGGAGGCCGGATGGACGAGTTAAAGACGAGAGAAGCCAGTCAGGACGAGCGAGAGGCAAGGGGGTTGGCGGCCACAGAGACAAGACGAGAGGGAAGGGCAAACGTCTGGTGTAACAAGCCTGCGACTAGTTATTTGGCCATGGCCCTTTTTCCTCTTTTCTTTTTCTCTCTCGCGCTCTCGCTCTTTGCTTTGCTTCTCTCCGTCTTCAGCTTCTGTCGTGGCTCGCACTATTGGATGCCATCCCAGATCAATCGCCCGTCGTTAAGAGTGCCGTTAAGTGTTTTAAGTGGATATTCGATATCTGGCCGTTCCTTTTATATGGCGAGAACAAGAACAAAATAAATAAAGAGCATGGCTTATGTAACCCATATGTAACCCTGTAATCTCGTATGTATGTATGGTATGGTATGTATTATACTGTAATACCAGTACCACCAGCCTCTCCCGTACAACCATCCACGGGAAGCCCCCTGGGCATGGCTTGCAAATACTTGGCTACTTCCATGCATCGTTGACAATCGGCATCAGGTTCAGGTTCAGGTTCAGGCACTGATTCAGGCTCCGGTGCAGAAGTAGGACTGGGCCGTCGCGCGCTATAAATTTCGTCACTGGCACCAGCTGGAACACACCCCTGGCTGCTGCTTGATCGCCTTCGCCCTCCGCCCACTCTGTCTCTGATTATTTTTTTTGTCTCTTTTCTACTCCAACGGCGCCACGAAACGAACGTGGACGAACAGGGGTTCAAGCCTGTCTTGTTATCGTATGATAACTTAAGAGTAGAGTTACTGATGGTACGTACCGTTCATACTCGCCCTATCCAGAGAGTCAACAGCCATAGAATCTCGAATGCGGGTTGACGGGGAAGATAAATATATCTTGAACACATGCATAGCACACGTACATACGGATGGATATCCATAAAAGATAGAGCGCATCTAGGATGGTTATGCCGGCGCATGCAGTGGGACGACAGATACGAGCCTATCCTGCTGCTTCCTTCCTGTCCTCTCACACCGCTCCGTCTTCGCTACTACTTCGTAGAGGGCTTTTTTCTTTTCTCATGCAGCGTGCAACATGCACATGCAGTGCATTTTTCCTGTCTCCCGGCAGCTCTCTGCCTGTGCTCTCGTCTCAATGCAGTGGCAGAGTCGACGGTCGTAAGCAGTCGCTCTTGATGTGGTCACAGTGACCGTCACCGTCACCGTCATCGCGCATCCATGGTCATTCAGGCGGACAAGCATTTGGAAGGCCGATGGGCGGTAAGTGCCTGAGTGTGCCCTGCCCTGTCTTTCCTTTCTTCCCGCCCCTCCACGTACATATACTCCGTACGTAGACATATATACTTGCAAGGAAGCGTAGCGCGCCAGGCCGGCCCGATGCCGTCTCCAGGTTAAGCTAAAAAGGCAATAGCAGAAGAAGGAAAAGGAGAAAATAACAAGGACCTCCTGGGGGGAAGGATCCAATGACTGAGCCGGCAGCGTACACTCGAAAGACACATGATCAATCTGCAATGTGCCATGTCATGCAATGCAATGCAGAACGCTCGAAATTGACCTGGGCAAAGAGAGACTGCTTGGTTTGATCCTGTCGGGTGGGCGGGTTATAGCTGATAGACTGATATCGTTATATGGAGTATCTCTTATCGCTCGTCTGACTGGTTCGTGCAAGCCGCAGCCCTGTCTTTTTGGTCTGTGCCAGCGACTTCGACTCTCCGTCTCTCTCCCTCTTGCATTGTCGCATCTTGGGCCAATGAAATTGGAAGTCACAGATGATCAGCATTCGTCCGTCAGCAAATAATCTGCATCTAGCGCTGTCCTCTTTGTTTTTTTCCTTTCTTTTCCCCCTTCCTTTTTCCTCTCCCCAGGTCTGTTTTACCCGCCTCCTCCCTGGCCGTTTTATGTCCCTCGTTTTTCTTCTTTTCCTCGGTTTTTTCTTTTGCTGGTCTGAAAAGATCGCATCAGACCAAGCATTCAGGCAGGTGGGCTGCTCAGTATGCTGGCAACAACAGATGTGGCTGTCGTGACTAGTTTGATTTCTTTCTTTCTTTCTTTCTTTTTTTTTTTTTTTTTCGTAACAAGTCACCCTTGGTTTCTCTGCCTTCTCGGGAGACGCTGAATTTTTTTCGTCTTGTCTGCCCCTTGGTTCCTTTTTGGTTTGTTTTTTTTTCTCCCTATAGTTATTCGAGTTTTGCTTTATGCGAGAAGGATGCGGGAGCGGGCCGCTACCGCTACCGTTACCGTTACCAACACCTGCGCACCGCTAAGAATGTTTAAAAACCTCATCAATCTCGTTCCCCCCTTGTTTGTGTAGGTCACATCGAACACGGCCACGGACCGGGCTGGAGATGGAGACGGTCCGGTTAAAACTGTTTTTGAGATCACTGTATGTTCGCAATGAAACCTGGGGATGTGGAAGTTTAAAGCGGACCAGAAGCCTGACTTACTGCTTTTGGATATTTCCCTGGTAGTACGAGATGGTGAGAGTCTGGAAAGAGGGATCCCCTAGAGAATTGAGGAGATAGGGAGCAGGGCTAGAGGGAGGAGGAGGCCTGCAAAACAAGGCAAAGGAGGCAGCTCGAGCAGCCAGAGAGAGACAAGGTCAAGGACTTCAAGGGGAACCAGGCAAACTATACGGTCACCGGACCAGCTGCATATGTGGGTGATGCAGAAAAGCATCACACAGGTGAAGGATAAACATAGGAAACTCGGAAGAAGGAGGGGAGAAAAAGAAACCAACCTGCTAAATTTGGATTCGGACGGCATGATGATGTGCAACGGAGCCAGGGATGGGCTGTATAGATGTCGATACATTCGTACTCCGTATAGTTTGTTGTATAGGTGGATAGATGGATATAAATAATCAACCATATGTACATGTATACTCCGTCCGGTTAGCACAGAGAGATGGGAGGGTTAGGGGGTGCAGAAGAGAGTCAGGGGCCAGGCTGGGGAAGAAGAGGAAGTTGATCCGAGTTGAGGGCCTTCCTCCATCTGTGTCCGCTGTCTCTCTGCATGAATTGGTCATTTGGATAATAGCTAATCGGTTAGTTAACTATCTCCCGCCTCAAGCTTGCTTTTATTTTTTCTTTTTCAACGGCTTTCCACTCTGAATATAGCCTAGCCTAGTCCTGTCCCGCTGGCATCTTGGGATGGACGGGATGGTTAAGCTAGGTTAAGTTGGGAGAGCCGCTTATCGATATTCCCACGTCTCTTGTCTGTCTCTCTTCCTTCGCCCTGCGGGCTCCCCTGCATGTCATTACCTGGGAGCACGGCACCGGAAACCAGACTAAAGCCCCTCTGCGGGCTACTCGAGGCTTGTTGGCGTTGGCGTTGGGGGGTCATCCTGTTGGCCGAATCAGTAATCATTTATTGTCTTTCCCAGCGTAACTTGCAGAGAAGATGCATCGTTCTTGCTATGCTTTCCCTTGGGCTAGCGCGCTACCCGACCGACCTCTGTCTCTCAGCCTCTAATACTGGAGTCCTTGGCTATGCTCCGTATATATGTCTATCTGTCTAATGCCAACTGACGGACGGGGCTGGCCGCCGCGGGTCGGCGATAATTCCGGTAGATGGCTTGCTGAGAGGGAGCTGGAGGAGGAAATAACACCCGCCGGCTCATGTTTTAGGTATATGGAGACTCTGGGAGTTTCCTGTCTCATCCCGGACAGACACGCTGCAAGCTGGGGATATCCTTCCTCCGCCCGCTAGTCTTCCCTCGCCGCTCGTATCTTCAGCCATCGCATCGTCGTCACCTCCCATCGTCATTCTCCTTGCCAAATACCTGTCTCTCTCTCTCACTTACTCTCACACATAATATCTGCAGTCATCATTACTCCGTATCGATGCTTCTAACTACTAAAGTACGGAGGTTACATATAATGACTGGCTGGCTGACTGACTCGTACCGAGTATGTATGTGGTAACGTGTCGTCTGTATCGTATCGTAAATATGTATGTAACAGTGGAACCCACGTGACCTCCCAGCTTCCTGGTCTCGGTAACTCCGTAATTTACACGTTTTTGCCCAGTAAATTTGGGTTATTCGGCTCTTCCGCCCTTCCCTTTCGCTCGATCGCTCGCAAATCCACAAAAGAAAAGAAACGAGACAGCGAGAGACGACAGCGCGAGAGAGAGCGCGAGACGAAGCAGAGAGCTAAGCAAAAGCAAAGCCCACAAAGCCCACAAAGCCCACAGCCCACAACGTCCACGGAGAGAGCGTGGAACTAGTCGCTTCTGCCCTGTCATTGGGCCGCTGGAGGGACCCGGATCCTTGGGAGCGGGCTGGCGGGCTGGCGGCGAATCTTCTGGCAGGCCCAGCGGTCACGATGGGCGGCCCTCTTTTTATTTTCACTGACGCAATCAGAGCATAATTACTCCGTATACTCCGTACGGGTTGGCAGCTGAGAGCCAGACAACGACGGGACTGGGAGGGTTCGAGAGGCGGGAGGTGGACAAAGCTGTGCTGCAGGAGCTCGCCTGAGGCGAAAAGAGTGACCTCCCTGCGCACGCATCCGGCCGCCCATTACCATCCGTCCGCCACGCCTAAGGGAACCCTCTCCTCCACCGTAACCAGGAACCAGAGTTGAGCAGAGATGGAGACGGCAAATGATGCAGAGGTTCAGCTGTCAGCTAGCTCTCTGCCTCTACGATGGGGATCTAAATTACCCGAGCCTACCGCAATTGCGACTTGCCTCTTTCGACACCTTCCTCCGGTCAAGCTTAAAAAACAAAAATGGGTATTGAAATGGAAATAATGAAAAAAAAAGATGAACAAAATCGCACAAGCAAGAGGGAAGCAAAAAAAAATAAAAAGAAAAAGCAAGGAAAATAGGAATAAGGGAGAGAAGACGAGACTGCCGCGGTGCGTTAGACGATATTAATACGGAGTAAAGTCCCGTATTAAGGACCCCCCTTTGGTTGAAAATAGAGATTCTGCTAAGAGTGGCCATATTTCCTGACAGACACCATGGGCCCTTTACAGATGAACCAGAGAGTTTGTAAAGGAGTACGAAGAATACGGCGATATTTTATCAAATAGTACATGCAGGTGCGGCCCGATCCTGCTTGAAAATAAAAAAAAGGGTCGGCCCAAAAAGGCTGTACGACGTCGGGCAAAAGGATTGGTGGAATAGCTACGGAGTATGTCTGGTTTACGAGAACACAGGTCTGTCTCTCTCTCTCCCCCTCTCTCTCCATGGCAAGATGCACAGGGAGAAAAATGGCTGTTTTTGATCTTCTGCATCTCCTGTCAGAGCAGCCCAGTGGCTGAGAAGAAGGTGGAGTGCATTCGATTCTTTTTTTACCTTTACGATTTTCGATTTCGTCATACCGCTCCTTTTCGCCTGCTGCACGGGCGGGTTAATAATTCCTGGGTTGTTGTCTTTGGGGTCGTTTGGTTGGACCTGTGGACTGTGACGTGATGCTTATCTGCAGCTTCCCGCTTCATACGTGCATATACGTCTTGTGATGAGCGGGAAAATATGAAGAGGAAGGAGAGAAAAGGAAACCCGCCGAGACGAACTTCGGCAGCAACATCGACACAACTAGCAACGAGTCAACCATCAGCAACATGGTACGATACATACGCTAGATGTCTAGACCAGGGGGGGGAGGTACAGGAGGGGGCCGGGAGGGGGGAGGTTGACCAGCCGCCTGATACTACGATATCGGAGAGAGGAGATCACGCTTGCAGACCATGGTATGCACAGGATGTATATCCAGCCATCCCAACCATACCTCCTCCCTCCCCCCTCCCTTCCACACTCCGTCCTCCTCCGTTCTATTATTAAAAAGGAAGTAGTGTGGTTACAGTTTTAACTTTGTCCAACCTGCATGCATACCACGCGGACGCTACTGCAGCACTCCCTTTCTTACCCGCTTCTCTGAAGGAGAGGGGGAGTGCCGATGGGACTCCGCAGCAGAAAGATGATGGGAAGTATACGGAGTATGTACAAAAAGAAGAAAAGCTGAATGATACAGAAGCTGTACAGGTTGTGGTATATTTTGGAATAAATTACCAACTACACAGCTGATATGCTGTACCTGCAGAAGTCTTCCTGGGTTGGGGTTGTTTTCCCTCATTTCCCCACTGTTTCAACTTTGTATGATTCGAGGAAAAGGGATTTGAAGTTGATAAACGAGATGAAGACCTTACCTCCTGTCCTATCTTGCCTTGGGAAGCCCCAAAAATGGTGAGGGGCGTCGTCTACATAAGAGTAGCATCTTCACGGACGATAAGGTTCATGCATGAAAGGGCGAATCATCCGAGAGAAAGAAAAAAAGACCCCGAACGGAGTTTTATGTTACCCTATCGGCAACTGGCCTAGAATGTCTGGATGGCTGTTCGAACAACCAGAGAGATGGCGAGAGAACAAGAAAAGAGAGGGCCGGAGAGTTTTCTGCGGAACCAGAAGGGAAGGAGGAGCATGAGCCCAAGCATAAATGATACAGCAGAGCAGGAAGCAAAAGCAACGAAAGAGAAGATTACTCGACTATTGATCGAAATATTAAACTATGATGCTATCATATGACGCTTAATGGTTCCGTGATAGTTTGCCCTGACCGTGGTTGAAGAAGGACAGGGGCAAAAAAAAGTGTACTTCCCGGAAGGCTTCGAAGGGACGGGCCTTTTCATTCTCTGTTCTCGTTTCAGGAGGCTGTTCCATCCATCGGTGGTGGTTACATGACTCTGTCGGTCCCAAGTAGTTTGTTGTTTGAGGTGGAGGGGCGGCACCTTGGCCGTGGAGAGCGTCTCGTGGGCATGCTAGATGGGTACGGGACAGGTGGGAAGGCAGTTGATCAGTGATCAGGATGGCCCTTAATGTCCCGAGAAAGGAGCGGAAGTAGAAGAAGTAGGAGGAGGAGGAGGAGGGGGAAAGGGTGGCAGTGGCAGGTGGCCAGTGGCAAAGGGATAGCAAAGTACCTGGGCGTCAGATGATCTCATAGACAGCTCGTCTTGGAGACGGTTCTACAGCTCGAAGGCCGCTTGTCTCTTATAGCAGTGTCCATCTTATGTCTATCTTATACCGTTACCCATCTATATACACGGGGCACCCCATATCTTTGCGGAGTATATCTATGTGATCGAAGGAGGAAGGAGTTCGTTCGTTATACGCATGAAGTTGCTCCCGTAAGGCTGTGTTGCGGTGGGTGTATGGTACGGTTATATGTTACGGTATGGTCACATGGTAAAACCGGCGGTACCGTAACTTACCGGCGAATACGAGCCATTATCAAAAAGGCCGCCACGATAGCAGATGGTGATGGCAGGCAAGAAGGTGACGACGATGATAGGACGGCGAAGAAGAGTAACCAGAAATAGTAGATGCTAGAGCAGGCATGAGCAGTAGAAGTAGTAGGAAGAAGAACAGCACTCCTCCGTAAGAAACCACAGAGACTAGAGACAGAGGGAAGAGACAGGTGTAAAGAAAAGGAGCCAAAGGTCGCAAACTTAGGGGCTAACTTTTAAATTAGTCTATCCCGACTCTGTGGGCAGCCCTTTTTCTTTTCTTTTCTTCTTTTTCGTCTTCTTTTCTTCTTTTGCTTCCTTTTCTTCCTGTCCCTCTCCTCGTCTTTTCTCTTCTTAATAAACTAAACTGCCTGCTTTGCCTGCCTTTTTCCCTTCTCCCTCGTCCCATCCCCCAGCAGAACAAGAAGAAGGCTAAAAAGCCAAAAAAAAAATACTACTTAGACAAGAAGAAAAGAAAAAGCATCAAACAAATCCACCGTCCGTCCGTTTTTCTTACTTATCATCCTCTCGTTGCTTCTTCCACCACCACCAAAAGGAACATACCGTCAGAAGCAGAAGAAGATAGAAAGGGAAAAAAAAGGAAAAGACCCGTAACACCAGCCTGGTCATCTTCTTCCCTTGCTCTCTCTCTCTCTCTCTGTCTTTTGGTCCTCCTCGCCGCCGTCTTTTCTTCTTCGCTGCCATTTTTTGTGGTGGAGTCGAAATAAGCTGACCCAAACACGGCACAGACCACACTTATCTTTTGACGTCTCTTCTTCTTCTTCTGCTTCTGCTGCTTCGCCCAACTTCACTTCTTCAACCTCACCTCTTCAACGTCAGCTCTTCAACGCCAGCGTCACCATCTTCTTCTCTCCTTCTTCTCTCCTTGTTCTTCTTCTTCTTTTCCTTCTCTTCTCTCTTCTCTTTCTTTTTGCCAGTGGGTGGCTCTCAGTCTCTTTTCGACTCGCAAGAAAAAAAAAAGGTAAACCCCCCCGTCTCTTTTTCTGTTTCTCTCTCTTCTGTCTCTTCGTACTTTCTCCTCTCTCTCTCTCTCTCTCTCTCTCTCTCTCTCTCTCTTGCTGTTTTTGCTTGTTTTCCCTGTCTCTTACCTCTCCTCGTTTCTTGATTTCTTCGTTGTATCTACTTCCGGGTGGCTGGCGTCCTTTGTACACTGCGAACTGCGTCATTTGTTGCCAAATAATACCGATCTCCTTTTTTTTTGCTTCCATCGAGACACAGAGGAAAGAGAAGACGGAGAGACAGAACTACCGCCAGTTCCGTTCCTCTCTTCCACGATCAGAACCTCTTCTGGAGATCAGGTTGCTTCCTCTTCTACTTCTCCGTCAATCGAAGGCGCATAGGCGGGCAGGGCTTCTTCCGTGGGGAAATGGGGAAATACGACATCCGCCACCTTTTTTCCCGCTCAAATCGGCTCCTCCTTTCTCTCTCTCTCTTACTCCGGCCCTCTCATTTTTCTTTACACTGAGAATCCACCGGTTCGAACATTCCCCTGGTGCTCCGCATCAGCTGCATTGGAGAAGAGGGGGTTGGATAACCTACTCTCTTTTTTTATCTCTGCAGAAGATCATCCCGGAGTCAACCCCTCTCACGTCAAGAAGTGGCTTATTCTTCTCCCTCGTTCGATCTCCTGTAGACCTGCTTTACACCTACACCTCGGCAACGAACGACAATCCCCAAAGACAAGAAATTCATATCGAGACATAAAATCGGAGAAGTGGGAAAGGACCTGCAAACGACCCAGAAATATAAAGACTGATACTCCTGCCGGAACCCGCCCTCGGTGCTACGTCCTAGACTTCGGCCGCTTGATACCCTGCATAAGACTGGTTTTGACCGTCCGTTTGCCTACTGGGGATCGCCCGTCTGTCTGTCTGTCTACCTACCCGCCTGCCCGCCTGACTGCTGCTGTTGCTGTTGTTCATACCACGCCATCCTCCTCACAGTCACCCATCTGCTTATGACTACACACCTACCTCCGGCTGTGAAGTTGACGTTTACTGCTACTTGCTTGCCTGCCTCCTCGTTCTCACTCCTCCTAAATCTTGAATAAAGAAGAAGAAGAAGAAGAAACACATATACCTGCCTGCCTGCCTGCCTTCGTTCGTTCGTGCCTTGTTTATCGACAGTTCTGTTTCTGACTTCTCCAAGATCCGACATACGCAATAACGCACACCCTCTTTTCTCGCCTATAGGGCTATGCTAGGCCCACGAATCAGCAACTGCAGTCCTCCTTGTCGGTGTCGTGGCACTTGGGCCTGAGATATTTTCAGATCAGATACAAATTTTACCGCAAATTTACACAAAATTGAAAGAAAAAAGAGACATTGGGAAGGGATCTTTTTTTCTTTTCTTTTTTGCATCTTGAAACGATTCCGACCTAGTGACATCCCTGTCCCGGGTCCCGGTGGTCCCGCAAGTTCGTTGCCGTTTGGATTGCTTCTTGTCAACATTGGATCCTGCATCCTGCACCCACCCCTGTCTATTCCGTCACGGCTTACAGGCCTTCTCATACGCCGCCTGTCTTTCCCATTTGCTCATTGCCGATTAGATATATAAGCATAAGGCACTTCCCGTCTGATCCACTTGTCTTGCCTTTGTCTGCTTTCTCCAATCGAACCCACGAAACGACAAATGTCAAACGACCCCGACCGTCAAGGACAGCAGCTTCCGCCGCCGCCACCCTGGAATACTTCCCAGCCTGACTATCCTTCTTCTCCCCAATATCCAGTCTGTCTCCCTTGAACCTCCTTGCTTTTATATATAGCATAGCTCCTTCCCGCCGCTGCTGATCCTATCCGTGTTTTTTATTCCCTTTTTTTTTCTTCTTTTTGTTTTACTTGTTCCTCCCCTTCGATTTTTTGGTCCTCTTCTGCCTTATACTTGTTCTTCTTGCATATTAAGCTGTTCTTGTGTGTTCGGTTGGGACTTCCCTTATTTCTTCATTATTTCCATTTGTGTTGTATCGGTGTCGTTGCTAACCTATACCTGACTAAAGCCTTCCAATTCTCAGTCTCCATATCAATACCCTCCAGCAACCGGCGGAATGGCTGCAATCCCGCAACAACATCCGCAGCAGGACCCTTATCGACTACCTCATCCACATCCCCATGCGGCTCCGTATCAGCGTCCACCAGACATGTACGGCGCACCTCCACCTGGCCCACCACCAGTTGTCTATCAGGCGGCGGCTCCCAGACAAAGAACAGCCATAGCTTGTCGATACTGCCGTCGGCGCAAAGTTAGTAACATTCTACCCATTTTATACAGACGTTCATGGTTTAACACTGGTCTATGCAGATTCGATGCTCTGGCTTTGACACCTCTCAGGATGGTCGATGCAGTAACTGTGTTCGCTTCAACCAAGAATGCATGTTCACTCCAGTCTCTTCGCAGGCACAAGCATTTGTGCCTGCGCATACGGCTTATCCGCACCTACGCAACCATCCAGCTGGCAGAGGACGGCCTGGTGAAGGCGTAGTCTTGTACGGCCCTCATGGACAGCCTTTACCACACCAACCCATTGCCCACCCGGCTCCAGAGCAAACATTGCCACCTCCACAGGGCATGTACGCACCACCGTACGGAAGGCCTGATGACCGAGCCAACCTTCCTCCACACATGGCTCATCCACCACCAATAATTCAAGACCCGGTGAGTCGCAAACGCCCCTTCACCGACGATGATTCTTCCTCCTACTCTTCCATTCGTCAGCCATCCCACTCGTCTTCAAATTCTGGTTCCTCATACTCTTCTACGTCACAGCGCGCGCCTCTTCCTCGCCGCAACTCCATAGGTGGACCCGAGTACGGCGAGCCTCCAACCTTGCCTCCGGTCTCTGTCGCCACTGCCGGCCCGAGCTACGCACATCCCGCTCCCGCTCCTGGGCCTTATTATGCCACTAGCCAACAGGACAGACGTCTATCGTCCCATTCGTCTTACTCGTATGATCCAGCCCAAGGCACCCCTCCACGTGCAGGTGCGCATACCCCGACCACCAATGCGCATTTGCCAACACTTCAACCCCTGCATAACGCATCCTCGATTCCACCAGCCAGGGAAGGCGGGCCCACTCCACCACCGGGACAACCCGCTATTCCAGGACGGAGTGGGCTCAGCGTACGTGACATGTTAGGACCCCCCGAAGGCCAACGCACTCGCACTTCGACTGATAGCGATATGTTGAATGCTCTCAACCGGGGAGGGCTGAACAAATAAACCATCTCTTGCGTGAAAGACTGGGGTTATTCCAGTGCAGAACAAATCACAACAGCCATGGTGAATGGGAGAAATAAAGGGCTACGGGATCTAACTATAATAATTTATCATGGGAGTGGAGATTTTTTTTAATCGATCGATGGAAGACACCCAGCTCACGTGCCGGTCACGAGAGAGAGAGAGCTGGTCATGTCATATGGCGGCAACATCTTTAACAAAGGAGCATCAGCATACATACGGGTTGGAACCATGCACGGAAAATGACACACAAAAATGCACGTATTTTGGGACAATATTCTGTTAGGAGAATAGTTGGTCGATGACAACCTTGATCCGCTCGGTGTTAGAAATAGACACTTGCGGAAAGTCAACAACAAACGCCACCCCTGGAAGGCCTGGTTTTATCATACCCTTGCCATACTTTCGGCACTTCCTTCGCGTTACCATGGAACAACTGAGGCTTATCCCTACTAATGCCAACCAACATCTTATTATTCATTATCAATACGTTGCATTGCATTGCATTACGCCGCGTCTACCTGCATCTTCTTGCTACTTTATCCGCTCGCCCCTAAGGAACGCCACGTTCTCTTATCCTCCTTTCCCCCAATCATCAACTAGATTTCTACGCTCTGGAAGACACCTTCAGCATCACTTTTAATTGCAAACAACCTGATTTTCGCCGGCTTGTTAATGCTTAAAATCCTACCTCGTGCGTTCTGCTTGCTCTGTTTCTGGAATTTCCGTTCGCCAAAAAGTCTTATACACTACAAGGGGCAACCCATTAATTATCGTCATTATCACACTACTTGCCATCGCCTGCTTTACGGCAAATATGTTCGCCGACACGATCCAATGGTCTGAATGTTTCCCCCATTTCCTAACATCCGAGTGGCTTGCTGTCTTTTTCTTTTTCTGTTTTTTGTTCCAGCGACTATTTTTCATGGCTTGATGAGTTCCTTTATTTTTTCCGGTCATATCGGATTACTGGGAAATATCGACATCATGACGGTGGGCGGGGGCTATTTGAGCTTTTTGTCTACTTTTTTTTGCAATTTTTTCCCCTTTCCCTTTCTTTCCTTGCTTTCAATCCCCTTTATAGCTTTTTGACTGCGTTCCATGTACCAATCCCTCCAGTTCTTTCCCCATTCACCTTTTCCGGTTGGCTATTTCGCATACGTTTTATATCCCATAAACTACACGTCGATTTCCCATAGGACCACCACCCTCATTTCATGCAAGCACAGCTATCATGGCATGGAGCGTACGGAACGGAACGGCATGGTGCAATCCATTCAGCAACTTCGAGCCGTCGGGTTTATGATAACCAACAACTAAAAAAAAAATACGACAAAAAAGAGAGGGGAGAGAGGACAGAATGGATGAGATAACGTTGGGCGGCTATCTGAATTTTTTTATCCCTTATTGTCCTTTTGTGTTTCGTCGAGTGTGGTACCCGTTGGCTTTTGTTTGGCATATTATATCCTTGTTTGGGTGGGTGGTATTCTGAGCCTTTTATTGCTTGTTTTTGTACTCTGCGGTTGCGTTTCCTTCCCCCTTCCACTACCCCTTGTCCTCCCAATTTACCCCATTTACTATTACTGTTGCGCATTCGTATCCCATACGATGGGCCAAATGACCGCGTATTGTTATTTAATTTTGCTTTGATAGCCGAATTTGACTGACTAGTGGAAGGAGAGAAGGAGCAAACTTCTCAATCTCACCATAGCCATAAACTATAACTCCGTACCCTCGCTACCATCATTTTCTTCTGTGTTGTTTTCACGTTGGGTAGACGAGGCGGACTCGAATCTATTAATCTGGTCATTATATACAGGGCTTTCCATATATACTCCCTGTAGGTTCACGGTTTTAGATATAGGCACACAGTTCGTATGGCATGTGGGTCGCGTGGAAAGGGCGGATATGTTCCGGCTATACGGAACTCGAATAGATCGACCGATGGTAATAGAGCTACGCAAATATAGATGGATAACCAGGTCGATTACCAGACCGATGGTAGCGAGGAAGGATTGTGGAGATCGGCCAGTTTGTATAATACATATTACAACCAACTTAACTACAGTAGAATATAAGAAATATAGGGGAAAACAACGAAGGCTGCCAAATGGCTACAAGAAGAAAAAAGGCTGTTTGGTGAAGGTAAGATGCAACTTTTGTCCAGGAAGCCCAACTCGAACAAAAAGAAAGTAAAAGGTATCATGACAAGAAAAGAAGCCAGTAAGTAGCAAAAAAGGTACGCGAGAAGGTAAAAGGAAAAAGGAAAGAGTAAGGGTCGAAACAACATTCAACAGAGACTGATTTGAATTATTTGTTCAAACAAGAAATAGGAAAAGACAAGTGTGTGGATTTTTTTTCATAACGTTTCACCCAGCAGAAACTCAATTGACCAGCTCTCAAATCTTCAGGAAATTGAGGCGTCAGAAAACTTAAGGAAGGACTTTGATCATCTTCTTAGCTCGGCGGGCATCTTGAACGAGGAAGTCCTGTTCTTTGAGGGCCATCCGAAGCGTCTGGACCACTTTGTAGAACGACGACGATGCTCCCTGGTCCTGTCGAAGGCGGATGAGACTGAGGTTTGCATGCCGGCCATGCTCAAGCACGGAGAAGAACTCGGCCGAAAACTGGACCGGTCGAAGGCGGAGGACTAAAATTGATGGATTGTAAGTTTCTTGAGGAAAAAAAATCTCAATCCCAGATGCAAATCGAGATTATAAAAATATGCTTAATTAAGGTTGCAGAAGTTTGTGCTTTTTTTGGACTTACAGTTCAGTTCCCCCACGGATCCGCAGATAATGTCATTTTGGTTATCAAGGTGGAGACCCTCAAGGCCGTATTTTTTCCACTCCTTAAATAACTTGAGGACTTCCTTCTTTGCGCGCGGCTTAGAGATATTCAGTGCAAACACCTTGAAGGCAGGCTTCATGAGCAGGAACTTGGAGAACCAAGTGTTGGTATAGCTAGTAGTGGTCAGTGGTATGTCGTCGCTGTTTTTGCGCATGGGCGTGGTTGCGGCAGTGCTATCATCGCCTAGCTCGACACCGCTATCATTTCGTCTGCTGTCAACATCGCTAATAGTACTTGTAACGTCGGTTTCTTCAGCATCGTCGGTAAGCTTATGGATGCACTCCGCAGTCGTCTTTCTCTTGAAGAATTTCTTCAGTCGACGTCCACCCGCTGTTGCTCCTAGATCTTTAAAATGTTGTTCGATATTACTCAATGCAGATTTCCTTCTCTCCTCCTGCATCCGATCAAAGAGATCTGTAAACGGCTTGTCTCTAGACCCCTCTGTATCAGTGGTATCACTGCTGTTCTGACGGGGCTTCAGCCAAGTCCACTTCTTAGCATCCGCTGAGCTACGAGTTGCGCTGCTCCTGGCAGATTTAGGATTTTCTTCAATTGAATCCAAGCCGGAGTCATGCCTAACTACCATATCTCGAGGAGATACGGTATTATCTTCATTGCGCCCAGCCACAAGGCATCCTGAAAAATCAAAAGATTTAAACTCACAGTCCAACGAAGGAAATTCTCCAGAGTGTTTCTTTTGTATGGTCAATGACTTGACAAAGTCTAGGTTGTTTTTCATAGAGTCACCATTCACAACACGAATGGACTTTTTGGTTTCCCAATTACCCAGATCCAAGTCCAATGGTTTAGTTGGTTCGGGAGGCGGGAGGAAAGACTTCGATTCAGCCTCAAGGTAATTTTCTTCGGATATAACTGGAAGACGTCCAGTTGACTCCCGTGCTACCAGAGTCTGTTTGGTTATTGGCTTGCTAGCAGAATTTGCAGTTTCTCCATCAATAAGACGGTCTAAGTGAGCAATAATATTCTTGAGATAATCTGGTAGCCCATCAGCACCAGCCTGTGCCGAATGTTCTATAAGACGACGCCGCGCCTCAGCTAACTCCAGGGCAGCATATGTACGGGGTGGTTCCTGGGGCTGCTTAGGCAGTAAGTCCTTCACGGCTTCCACTTTCGGTTCCGCTTCTCCATTGCTGGATATGGAGGACATTGAAGAAGCATCTGATGCCTCTTTGCTTTCAGAGGAGTCCTTTGTGGTTGAAGATGAGTCGGACACCTGATTGAATGCTTCTTCACATAATTTTTCAAGTTCAGCTGACACCTTTCTCGTGTCTTCTCTCCACGAAAATCTAGCCTTGCGTATTGCAGCGTTATCGTGTCTCGTGGGGTCACGTTTACGCGCTATCAAGGGCGACGTCGCTAGAGTAGGCGAGTCAACTCGGCCAGGAAATTCTTCTTGACTGGGTTTTGTGGTCTGCGCTACAAATGGCTTGTTTGTGCATAACGAATATTGTGAGGCTGACGTAGAAGCCCGTTTTCTAACAGGAGTAGGATTGGCTGATAAGTTATGAGGATGCCGGAAACTGACATTCCGTCGATATCTGATATGTTTCGAGCCCATTGTGCGGCAACGGGAACTTCCTAGGGAGCTGTAGGATCGAAACGATGCTAAAGAAGTCTTTTGGGAGCCAAATCCTTGGATAAAAGTGTATGATGAGGCGGGGCCGGGCGTTAGAAGCTCATCTTTAGGTGAAATTGGCGAAGATGACGGCGATGGGGTAGTGCCCGCCATGCGAGTTGGTCGTCGATGAACTGTAACATTGGCAAACTCAGCCTGCGGATTTGGAGTTGGAATTTGTGAGGATCTATAGGGATCATAAGTCGATATGGTGCCCAGAGATGACGGTTCTCGGTAAGTACCATTTTTAAGGGAACCTCCGCTGGCAAATGAGAACCTAGAGCCTTTCCATGACTGAGGTGGTGTGAATAAACCTTTGATATGGGCTGCTGGAGCATGATGGTAATCACTGCTGGAGTGTTTGAGTGGTAATTCACCAGAGGCCTCTAGTTGTGCATCACTGAATTTTTGCAGGGTTCGATAGAATACTTTCTCAAGGTTACCCCTATTAATGGCTGTGCATTAGATATCAATAATACACTGTGAGAATCTGGGTAACACTTACTCTTCGTCAAGAAGCTTTTTAACCAACTCCTCTGAATCTACGGCATGCCAGAGTGTTTGAAGGCTTCGTAGTATCTCCACATTAATTCCCTGCCGCTTATCAGCGACTTTACCGTACATCTTCAGGGGCAGAGGTGGAGCAAGGCCAATAGACAGGCTACTCTTTAATAGTGGATGGTTTTCATATTTTTTCAATAGAGGGTGTTCCCACATGTCGGCAAAGGTCATCCTATTCTCTGGGTCCTTCTGGAGGATGCTTTGAACCAGGTCTATGGCTTCTTCGCTCATCCAAGGGGGAAGTATGTATTCCCCTCTCTTAACAAGCTTCAATGTGTTCCGCAGGTTACCTCCGTCAAATGGCAGAAATCCGCATAAGAGAGCGTAAAGTATAATTCCGCAGCTCCAAATATCAGCTTTATCGCCACGGTATGGTTTTCCATGTATTATCTCGGGCGAGGCATAATGAGGGCTGCCGCATGAAGTATTCAGCATATGACCTTCAGGTTGTAGGGCTGCCATTCCAAAGTCGGCTAGCTTGACATTGAAAGAACCGTCAAGCAAGATATTCTCAGGTTTAAGGTCTCGGTGGCAGATATTGAATCTATGGCAGTAAGACACAGCTGAGATAATCTGCCTGAAGAGTCTCACTGCCTCAATCTCAGGGAGCGGTCCATGTTCGGAGATATACTCGAATAATTCCCCTCCTTCGACGTACTCGAGAACCAGGTACCTTTAGAGCGCACATCAGCAATCGGAAGAATATGTAAGGGTAAGCAAAAGCTGACTTACAATTCACCTCTGTTTTCCCATACATCGAAGAGGCCAATAACGTTTGGGTGCTGAATGAGTTTCATGATAACTACTTCCCTTTCAATTCCACAAGGTATCGCCCTAGACTCCTTGGTGACTCCTGGGATTTTCGTAATCTTATCCATAACCATGATGCTCTGGCTTTGAACCATGGCTGCAAAACGCTTCGACACGATCTTGATGGCTGCAGATTGACCAGTCACAGCGTGCTTTGCAAGCCGCACCCGTCCTGTCGATCCTTTGCCAAGCGTTCTCCCGAGCTGCCATGGCCCAATGTGAGTCTTACGTCGAGACTTTGTGGATGTGGTTGAGGCTGTGGAGATCGTCGAGTTACGGTTCGAGTTGGGCTGGCCCTCAAGAACGGCTGATATTCGTTTATTTTCGACGGGCGTCAACGTAGTCACCATGCTCCCGTTGGATTTGGGGTCTGGTCCATCAAAATTGAGCCTTTCCAAGGACGGAGAGAGTGTAATATGACGCGACCGTTGCAGGTTGTGGTGAGCTATATTCGCACGGTTCTGTGCATCACCAAATGGTTGCCTCGACTGCCGGCTGCAGCTGCTCGCTGAGTCGACCTCCATGAATCTGGGAAGGTGATGTTAGCTTGCTCACGTAGCCGTGAAGGGGGAATAGAAAAGAATGAGTTAGGGTGTTTTAAAATCAATTTAGGAAAATGAAAATATCTCGTGGTTGTAAACAGAAGCTTTCACCCATCACGCGTGACTCGGGCGAGTAGTGCGTGAAGGTGAAGAGGAACACACTTCCAATATCAACGCGCCGCTCGAACTGGCACCTCGTAAGAAGCACGCACCAAGCTGCAAGGCCTGGTCAGGTGCTACATCCCTCCTTTGGTGAAATGAGATGATATCAAGCTGCCAGTATAGACAGTTCCTGGGTACTTTGGTATGCTGGTTGTGGTAGTGCCGGCTAAGGATGAAGAAGGTAGGTAAATAAAAGCGTACATACCGTCTCAATTGAATGTCAGCAAGAATAAGTAATCTGTTCACAATGTTGACACTCGCAAAGCTTTAACCCTGAAACTCGTTTTAAAAAAGAACTGGCTGAAGATCAAAGCACCGTGAAATGCTGAGATGATTTGAAAATGTCTCAACGGGGAATTTCAAGCAAACGGGTAGCAGAATGTTTGGGGAATCGTGTAAACACAACAGGAATCCAAAGAGTAAGCTCACGACGAACGGCCTCCCAATTGATTTTATGTCTAACAAGGAGCAAAATGGGCAGTTTTTTTGTAGTTTGAAAAGCTGAAAAGGTAGCTCCGGTTCCAACAAGTGATATATAACTATTGTTCTTCCTCTTCTTTTCTAATTGTTATGTATGAGCGGTAGAGAAACATATGCAGAAAACTGCAAGGCTCCAACGGTTGTACATAAATAAGATCCCAGAGATAGCTATTCCAACACTTTTGGGGAATTATAAGAAGCACGCAAGCGGGGTGTTTAGGAGGCAATGCGGTAAGAGACAAAGGTTCGATTCAACGATATAAAATTAGCTGAATCGTGGCTGCTGTCAACAAATGAGATCTACAGAAATAAAAGAAACAGAGCATCGACAAGATGCAATGCATCCTGCCATTATCTCTCTTAGCCGACTAAGAGACTGATTCCCAATTTTCGATGGCTGGGTGGCCGGAAAGTCCAAGCAACATCGGAATCCATGGGAGTATGTGAGGAACTGTCTGTGGCTTTCCGGTAGTACACAAGAAGTACAGCATATGCAAAGCGGAACACGAGCGTTTTTGCTTGTTCTTTGTTCGAGGAAAACAGACGATCCTGTGGCCAAGCGTGGTGATACAGACAGGTCCAAAATCTGAACTATCTTGCAGAGCCAGAAAAAGTCGGCATTGTCCAACACAGCAGCCTGGTTATATAGCTCGCTAACGTCGGACGGTGTGCTCGTCTGGTGGCTGCTCGTTGCCATTTGCTATGGAGCAAAGCGTTGTCTACGCTGGCTCGAAGGCTCGAAGTGATATGTTTTTGATAAGATGAAGTTGAAGTTGCCCCAAGCGGACGCAGGTACCAAGTCCGCGGCGGAACTTTGATTCTCCGCTCCGCTTAAGCCTCCTTTCCAGTTCCAACTGCTTTAGGGAGCTGCTGGGACGGTATCCACTCCCACTTCCGGATATCAACAACCACTCGATGCTTTTTTCGAAGGTCAAGCGCTTCGCTTCCCTGGTCAAGCAGCTGAAGGAGGGGGGTTTTATTACTTTCCTTCATTTCTGACGCTTGCTTCGTATATTCGCAGCTCCGTCTTTGCTTTTTCTGTCCATTTTCGCCCTTTTGCATCGTCTTGTCTTGCGACAACTATGGAGGAAACTATTACATGCATCTGCAGCTTACTGGGGCCCCTAGCATCCCGGAACTGGGCTGTTGTCAGCGAAAATTGCTTAACCAGGGACGGGAACATCGATGCAGGCTTCCAGGTTACGAGAATAATGAACTTGGACTCTGCGGTTCTGCGGTTCTGCGAACAGCCTTCACTAACCAATCAACATAAGTGTTGCGACAGGCATATCAATATAACTTGTCTAATTCTTGCAGCCACAATTTATAAAATAATCCGCACATATGGGGCAATACCTTATACTAGAGACTGCCAGGCGCTTGCACTCTCCTTCCCAACAAAGAGTCTGGGCAAACCGCTTCGATCGCCCCGTCCGATACTGTTGATCGATGATGACCCTTGGTCCCGGGATTTCCGACTGTCATGCCGTGATGCAGCCGCAGAAGAGGGGGGCCAATTACTCTCCGTCCCTTCCGTACGCATTCGGATGCCGACTGTAAGCTGCATTGACATGTCATCAATCTCATTTTATTTCGTGTGCATGAAGCGGACAATGTACACAGTCTGGGGCGCCCTTCCTGCACTTAAAGAAAAGTTTTAGGTGTGCTTCCTGCATGCAATTGTCAACCATCCCGCACTCAGAGTGAGCTGCCCAATCAGCTATCCCTTGTTTCACGTCTACCAGTGCTCTTCCTCTACCCCGGCTCTTCAGCAGGCCGGAACTGGGCGTTGCGCTCTCGGTTCGATACGAAAGATACAAACTGTGCTAACCGATGTTGAGCAATGCATCAGGTTATCGGGATCCTCTCTTCTAATTTTGCCTGCTTCTTGCTAGCCTTGCTTATCAGAGCCAGCCGTCGAGTGGTTCCTCGCCCTGTCATCGTCTCATCCTGCTTTGGCTGGAAGATATTCAAGCTTCCTGATCGGACTAGTTACTGGCTTGGCAGGGGAGAAACCTTTTTTCTTTTAGGCTTTATTGCTTGATTTTTCTTTGCTGCCCTTGGATGGTGAACCGCAGAGTCAGCTCACGATTTTGAACGGAGCTCTTTTCAGAAATTGAACTTCGAAAGCCCATGGGACAGTACGGAGTAAGTTAGCACGCTCTGCAGGGACATAACTGAGTGGTATCGGGGCCGTCCAAGCTGTCTTGAAAGTGTCCCAAAACCTACGGCATGGACAACGCCGACGGACTCTTGTTTTACAAACAAAACAACGTGTTTCCTCTCTTTTGTCTTACCCGGATGTCTAATTGGTCATGATGTATGACCTCAATGTCGCCTTCCATGAAACAGCGCCCTGCAAACGCCTCTTCCTCCCAAGATTAAGCTGTGATAACCCCGTAGGAACCTGTCCTTTGACCTCTGTGTGGCAGTTATATCCAAGTTCCTGTACATGTTGTGTACGAAGTAGGGAATTGTAGAATACCCAGTGATATATATCTAACCTCTTTACTCTGTAGAACACTCTCTAATACGGTAATAGTATATATACGGAGTAATAAGTAACACTTGCCACACAAACATAACAGCATCGTTCGTCTTTCTGTAATGTCACCTAACCTGAACGACATATTCTGCCTGTTCTCCTATTATTATTAGTATTAATATTAATATTATCATTATAATTACTGTTATTGACTATTGACTATCGAATGCCAGTTACCTACCAAGCGGTCAAACGGAAAAAACGTTCATACCCGACTTGAGTGGCCAAGTCCTAAATCTTGCTGTGACTCACACAACTGTCTCCACCCACCAACCAGCATCAACAAGGCGAAAAAAAAAAAGGAAAGAAGTTAGAAGTTTTCTCCAATATGATGATGTTGCCCCCAATTCCGTTAAAAATCGCACCGTTCCACATGACTAGCTATAAGTCTTCTCAGGGTGGCCTCTTACATCAATTAAAGCATGTTGGCGCAGCGGAAGCGCGCCGGGCTCATAACCCGGAGGACCTTGGATCGAAACCAAGACATGCTAGGATTTCTTTTTGATCGTGGGAGATGGCAGCTATTATTTTTATTATTATTTTCTGTAGCCCATTGAGTCAGAAAGAAGCCTTGCGCATTCATCTAATAAGACCTCACTAAGCACCTGACGTTGTCCTCTCAGCGCTTTCTTGAACCGTGACGTTCATATGTGTAGCATCATTCCAAGCAGGCAGGTATACCCAGCAGTAAGTGACTCAGAGACGGCTGGCCAAAGGCCGCTTCTCAAGAGTCTCCGCTACCATGCGGTGAACATCCTCAGCTATGCCCCAACTGGTCTCGAAACCTCTACCACCAATACCATAGGCATGAACGACGGGCCTCTTGTTAGGCAGGATCTCAACTTCCAGGCGCATTCCGCCTTCTCGTGCAGGACGCCGGCCGACAATGTCCTTGATGACATCAAATCCTCCCTTGGAGTTGACAATGTCGGGATACATTTTTGCAGCGTTGCGAAGTAGTTCCTCTCTGACCGCTATTGAAGCTGTAGGGTTCGAGTCACCTACCTCCTTTGTACCACCGACGACGGTTCCACCATTTAGAGGTCGAGGAACCAGAAACGTCCATGTTCCATCCGCATTTTGCTGTGTCACTGTTTTTGCAGCAGTCTTTGAAATAAGGCATGTTTGGCCTATGGTGAATTGTTAGAGCTAGGTCTCAGGATGGTGCAAACAAGCCCAATTAAAGTTAAGTGATACCTCTGATGATGAATGATTTTGGATCTCCAAAACCCATTCCACTACAGTTCACCACAAGCGAGACATTGTAGTCATCCAGACAGAAGGCCTCTTCCACGAACTGCAGCCTTTCGGCGTAAAATAATACCTCCTTTCAGTCTGAAACGTCGTAGCAGGTGGAAGCAGTAAGTGTCAGGTTCGACTATGAAAGACTCATATCGGGCGGCAAACTCAACACCAGCCGGTTTTTCAGCGCCTTCTAGTAGCCGGAATCCTTCTTGGTTCACGTAGTTAGGCTTCATGGCCTTATATTTCTCGGTGGCTGGCCCGGATACATATTCAATTCCTTCCAGGAATTCGATGCCAAACGCTGGTTCTTCTTCAGCAAGCTTCTTGAACCGAGAGTAGGTTCTCACGGCATGATCACTCTCTCGCTCTGTCTGGGTATCTGTAGCAGGAATAGGACGAAAATGGGCACCAGCATTGGTGGTTGCGTACACCGGATTTGGGGGGTCTGTTGAGAAGTGATCCGCGACGAGTACTATCTGGTATTTAGAAGTTTCGGGCTTCTCGATCAATTCCAAGGCCGATGAAAGGCCAAGGACACCAGCTCTTTATGTATACATATATGTGAGTTCAATGCTGATGTCAATCTGGCGTGGTACGCTAACTCACCCGATCACCACTATGGTTTCCCTTCCATGAGCTTTCATCTTGTCAGGAAATTATAGTCCTTTCTCAACGCCCACTAGAGGTTGGTGCAATTATCTTGTTTTATGTGCGGCTTATAATTCTGGGGAAAATTGCGGAGGGCCAGTCATATATATAGCGATATGCCCAAAAACACGAGGTCGAGTGGGGCCTTTGTATTCATATAAAAGTCGCAGCAATTTTAGTTAACATATATCCCAGGCTTCTTCCCAGTTTGCTCTTCTGTAGATCAATTCGGCATGCGGAAATATTTCGTTGTCTTCCGTAGACAAGGTTGTAAGAACCCCTCGTTGCCCAAGTAATGTGACCCGTACGGAGTACTGGATGAGTTATATATAGCTGGCAGCTGCAGGACCTTTCCCCGAGCCTTGAAAACCGCGGCTGAAACAGATTAGGATGGCGGGAGTAATGGTGGCGAATTGGATATTGTCACCGACGCCCTTCGCACTAGCTAGTTAACCATGGTAAGACCTAGACCAGGCCCCGGGAACCGTTTGGCAATCATTGTATCATCTGATTCGTGTTGAGAAGTCTTCATAGAATTACTGAATGACAAGAATAGAAGAGATGCATCTTCCATGGACACTCTATTCGACTAATAGAGTATGTTCACCACCATTCTTCTTCTTTAGACGGCTACATTGACAACCACCGCTGCTCCAATGAAGCTCTTCGTCTCATCTCGCGCTCTTGTAATTGTTGGTTGTTGTCCTGGTTGGTTGCGAGAAAGAGATCAGCCCCTGCCCTGGCTTAAGGCTATATCACGTGAACAAATCCACGTGATATGTATTATGTCATCATATTTTCTAACCTCCCGGTTGATAAACTACGTACAGGTTGCGGTTGACGGCGAAGCAGCAACCCCGAAATCAAAGGCAATTGGCGCCTCTTCGACGAATTACGGGATATCTTGTCTCAATTGCTGTAACGGCTATCATTGTGTCTTATCGTGACTCTTTTCTCACGAATTCGTGACGTATATTAGGTGATTCTATTCCCACCATGGAAAATTAAACAAACACGACCAGTCCCCGAGTGCTGTCTGGTTTGCGCAAATTGGAATTGAGTACTGACTTCGGAAAGCCATGGGAGCAGGCGCTTCGAAACCAGCGGACTCAGAGAAGGGGAGAAAACATGTGTTTAACAGGTCTGTTTCTCGCGCCAACGACAATGCGAATTCTTCAACCTCCATTACTGCCCACCCGCCGTGGGCGTTAATCGCTTAATTAGCAGTTATAGTATTTAGACTGGCCCACTAACACATAATGAATGCAGTGATTCACCTGTCCAATTCTCCCAAGGCCTTGTCGAGTCGCTACAGTCAAGCTCAGAGGTAATAATACGCCATCTATCCATTTACCGTATCCCAATCCGACCAGATCCGCTAAGCACCGTTGAAATATCCTTTCAAAATAGACCGACTCTTCACGCTCTCAATCATTGGAGCTTCATATCCAAGCCCGCGTTGCTGAGGAGCTGAACCGCATCCGTGAACGTGAGACCCAAACCCTAGCAGATATCGAAAAGAGAATAGCAGCTTCATATCCATCCGAGGCACCCGCCGCAGCCAAAAGCAACATTTCCACTCTTGCCAACCAACCGCTATCCCTTGAGTCTCCTCGAGTCCCATTTGCTGGAACTGAATTTGATCATGTCCCTGCTGCCTCTGCGCCGGTGGAGAGTAATGACGAGGCCGCTGCAGTGAATCCCAAAATGGTAAGCAGCGGAAGAGTTGCTAAAGAAATCGAGTCATTACGGGAATCTCTGGCCTCTAGACCTACAATCCGAAAACTGGACCCCGAGCTTGAAAGTGCGAGGGAGGGTGTTGTGAAATGTCTACGTGATAACCAGAAGAGACCCTTGGACTGCTGGCAAGAAGTGGATACATTCAAACGTGAAGTTGCCAGGCTAGAAAAGGAATGGGTCCAAAAAATGATAAGCTGAGAGAGGCGGGTATGAGCCAACAGTTTTGGTAGGGTATCTGAGCCCTAAGGAAGAAAGCAATATTGTAACGCCATTATTAGAGAGATTTCCTAGCAAGTGTACCATAGCAAGAGCAGGTGGAAATGGGAGAAGTGCATAATCTACTACATTGCTTCTTGATCTATAAATATGATACAGCGAGCGTAATGCAGTTGTGATATATTTACAGTGGGTTCAAGTAATTTCCCACCACCCTAGTCTTCCAACACGTTCTCCAGCAGCTCTCACGATACATACCTTTATGAGTTTATTTTCCACTTGGTGGCTGCCTTTTCTGGCTGAAGCGGCACTGGGCTCATCCGGGTGCTTGTGAGGACATATCTTATTGACCAGTATCGCACCAATCCCCGTTCCCTTTCCCGCAGCAAGGTTAAAATTGCCTGAGGTCACGAAGCCCAGTAGGTCCTCTTCCTGTGGAATTGGTAAATGCACAGATTCCTTAGAGCTGTTCTTTGCCTTCTTTGAGGGCTGCTTTAACTGGTCTAAGAGAGAAAGCCACTTTGATCGAAGATATAGATCCGAGGTTGGGAGGCGGTATATTCGAGAACGCCGCACAGGAGTACCTCGATTAAAGAGAGTTATCGCAACAGTTGCAAGAGTGGGCTTCTCAAGGAGAGATTCCATTGAGGCAGGAAGCTGAATTGATTCTACCTTGCTGAATATAATCTCAGCGGCAATCAAAGGATCAAGCTGGCTGAGGTTTGGAGGAATAGTCACAGCCGCCTCAGCCGTTTCGGGGCCATCAGATTGATTATTGCTCTCAACCGGTTTAACTTCATTACCAGTGGCTAATGAAGTGGGCCCTGAAAGCAAACGTTCCCAGTCGCAAGCCCAACCTTGACCAATTTCCCCTTTTTCCCCTGGCCCAAGATTGACACTGTTATATTCAGTCCGCTTTGCTTTCGGCTTACTCTCCCAGGCTTCCTTCGCTCTCTTCCGTTCGCGGATTTCCCATTCCCATCCAGCTTTGGTCCCGGGGAAGTCACCTGGAAACCACGGCTTCTTCGACTCAAATGCAAGCTGTTGCTGCTCCTGGATTCCGCCAAACCGCGGATTTCCTCCACATGAGAGGGGGTAGTAGAGTAGGTAATACCACACTGGTGTGACGCACTTCCATGGTAGCAGAACTGTCCATGAACCTTGAGAGTTAGAGTTCTTTGAGGTATTGTGAGTGGAAAGAAGTATTATGGGAATATTTGGATCAGTTGGTTCCGGAGGAACGTTCTCTCCTGGACCAGCTTGGGATTTCCTCCTATTTATCGCTTTTTGAGATGATAGTTGCCAACATGCTTTGCGTCTGGCAGGTTGAGAAAACAGATCTGTGGGCGAGTTTTGAGTTGAGTCTGGCTTCCATGAAGCCAATGTTTCCATCAACTTAGTATGACTTTCAGCAGTCTTTGGTATTTTGATAGTTTTGGGTGGGAAACGGAGACGCGGGTCGGTGATGTTAAATGAAAGAAGCGCATTCTGAGGTAACGATGCTGAATTTGTTAACCCAGCCAGAGACTGCCATGTTAATTCAGGTGAGCCTTCTGGCCACACGTCCACACCATTGGGCAGAGTAGGGTTCAGTGCACCTAGCAAGGCCTCCGTAGCACCGGGCCCTGATATTTCTATACTCCCTATTTCGAACCGGAGGTCCTCAACCATAACTTGAGGTTTCTGGATTTTGGCTAAGTTTAAGAGCTGCTCCCACAGCTGCAAGAAAGCAGATGGGTGGACTCTGAGGAACATGCGCCGTCTTGGCTCCTTTGAGTTTAGCTGTCTCTTTGGCACAGAGTCAGCATCTGCCATTTCTATATCTTCATCTTGTTTGACTGGACACCAGATCAAGTGAACAGGAGCAATGGGGCGTTTTTGCCCATCCCTTTCACAGACCCAGGCGTGTAAACTTCGAGTTCCGTTCCTCCATTTGCGCCCATTACTTCCCCATGCGTTCTGCCCATTCACACTTAGTGCTCGTAAAAGATTCTCTAGACTGGCATATGTTCCTTCGAGGCTAATTGTAGACATGTAGCTCATGTCCCAAGCAATTGCACCCCTTGCCCCGCTGGCACGGTGGGTTGACCGATAGCATTTCTCCGTAGGTGTCAATGGAATCGCAAATCTCCATAGCGGGGCTTTTGGTGCTGTAAGATGTGCCCGTTTTGCATGAAACATATGAGTTGGCAGCCATGTCTTGCAAATCTGGCGCTTTCTGAATTTCGATGCCGGCTTCTGAGGGTGGGAGAGTTTGTTCTTTTTTATCTTTGGAATTCTAGGGGCAACTTCGGCATCATGACCAGCATAATGGGGAGATTCTGCCAGTTTGGCCTTTGCTGCAGCTTGCCTTTTTGCTTTTGAGCGAGCGTTAAGACCCTGGAGCCGCCTGGCGCTTTCGAGTCTGAGTCTCATCAACTCAGTCGGTTTCCTTCGTCGTGCCGTGACAGTCGGGGTGTTATCTTCTATCATCTACACATTGTTTAATCATGAGTACAACCATGCTATAATTGACGACCTTACGACCAAAAACACATACCTCCCGTTTCGCTCGAGCTCGTAGTCGCCGGGGTACACGCTTCACATTGTGACTCGCAGTTCTCCGCCTGAGACTCTTAGGTACCTGCTGAAAGGCGCGTGTCGTAGCTGCATTTTTGGACTTTCTGATCCCAGCCTCTAGAGCACGGATTTCGAACTGTCGAGCAGCGACGAAGGCCGCAACATTGAGCTCCCCGGTTTTCGACAGAGCTGCGTCAGAGCTCTGTACAGCCAGAGTGCGAGCATCATGTATCTTCACTCGCTTACGATTGAGAGACGAAGAGGGATCCCATACGCCTTTGCGCTTGTTGGGTCCGTTTGAGGCCATGCCTCCAAGTTGTGGAATTGATGAAGCCACCCGGCAAGATGTATCTCAAGTCGTCCTATCCTTTTCATTTTGATATTCGCGAAAGTCAAGAAGTTGCGTGAAGTTTCCGTATTCGGACTAGCCTCGTTGTTATCTTGATAAGATTGAGTTTCATCAATGATTAGATAATCAGGTTCTTGTTTTCTTATTTTCAAGTTGAAGAATAAAACGCGCCCCAGCAATACCTAGGTCCTTTTATGAAACAGGGACTAACTTTGACATGTCATTAATTTCATTGATAGTATTTATAATCTAGGCTCGGCAAGTACCGCTAACTCATATCTAGACTCTAGGCCATATCTATACCTCTATTGAAAGGGGAAATCACAAAGCGGCGAGGACGGCATCGACACCAGAGACCTGTTTCATGCCCCAGTTAGCCTGAGTGTATACCCCAGGAAGCAAAGAGAGTGAAACAAACTTACAGTGACATTGGGGATAGCAGGCTCATTTTCGGAGTAGATCACCTTGCCGTGATCGATGACCATGGCGTAACGGCCAGTACGACCCTCATGGGCGGTCCAGGCAAAGGCACTGGAGAACTGGGAGCCAGCGTCGCTGAGGAAGAGCTATATGTCACAAAGATTGACATGGTTAGCCATGTTACTTGCAGTAATCAGGCAAACCTGAGACGAGATGGATAACTTACGATGTCGTCACCAGTGACGCCATTGGCCTTGCCCCAGGCACTCATGACGAAGGGGTCGTTGAAGGCAATGACAACAACGTTATCGACACCCTTGTTCTTCAATTCACCGAGTTTGCTGACGTAGTCAGGGAGATGGGTGGCAGAGCAGGTTGGGGTGAAAGCACCTGTACAGGCGTCAGTTGTCGACATTCAAGCACGCTTATACCGTCCGATACGGGGGTTTATACCTGGAACGGAGACGAGGACGACCTTCTTATTGGCCCACTCCTTGGAGGCATCGTATGCAACAGGGACACCGCAGGTCTTGAATCCCTTCTTCTCCTCAGTCCATGGGATGTACCTATTGAAATATCATCCATGGTTAGCCTCGTCACAACACTTCGACAGCTGGATTACCCTGTCAACCAGCGCTGCCTGGCCTGGCTACAAGTTCCACCCTGGATGGGTGAGGCAGAGGGCTCACTTGAAGACAACATCGCTGGGGAAAACGTCTCCGGCCTTCAATGCAGGCATTGTGAATTAGTTTATGTGGTTAAACGTGGTTTGAGCAGCAAGAATCGGTATAGCAGACTGGTCAGAGATGCTGTAGCTATCAACAGGCAGTGCGAGAGACAGAAGATGAAGAGTGAGGAGTGAGGAAAGAAGGAGAAGAAGGAGGAGAAGAGGAAGACGTCCCGCCGCCTATTTATCTCTTATCTCCTTGTCCCGCCCGCCCCTGCCCCACCACCCAGCGCTGATGACATAATATGCCGTTTCCCGTTGCCGGCCGCCGGCAAATCGCAGCATCGTATGATGTTGATAGCGATGTTGATACCGAAGTTGACAGTGATATTTGCTTTGCCTACGTCATTTGAGAGGACATACTCCGGATGGGCGGCGTGATTACTGGGCACTCCGTAGAGATGGGCAGAGAAATGATAGCTCAGTTCGTAACTCCATGAGATGGTACACGTAAATATGCAAGTGTATATAAGTAGAGAGATTCACAGCTAGCACGACGATCAGAGATAAGTAAAACACCAGCTTACCCTTGCAGCGTTTGAGATGTCTTCTTGGCCACCAGGGCTCCTAGCGCTGCTCCTACACCGCTGCCGTCCTTTGCGATCCCGACCCGAATCTTCTTCTCCCCAGCCGGTCCGATGGCCGGTATCTCACGAAAAGCCTCCCGAATATAACCCTCGAAGCCGGGGTAGTGCTCGATCAGGCTGCCATCGACGCCGATATCAACCATTTCGTCAGTCGCCAGTCGGCCGCTGGAGATGACGATGGCGCCCAGAGCGATAGCCCCCAGTCGTGCTGCACGCTTGCCGATAGAGTGTGCTACGAGCTTGACGGCCTGGCAATCACTCGTACTAACATCCGTGATGTTAAGATCCTTGCGTATCTGCTCCTTCGCGGCCTGGAGATCTTCAGAGTTGTCACTCTCGACAATGCTCAGGATGCTGGCATCAATCGCCCATGCTTGGTACAGGGTAGATTTCTTGTCGATCGTCGCCGGGCTACCAAACAGGCTGACAGAAGGGTTCTCCACCATCGAGAGGATCGCAAGACGGAGGATTTCGCCTAGGAACATGCCCGAGATCCGCTTTTCGAACATCTGGACCCCGGGATTGAAGGTCGCATTGTCCAACTGGATATCAAACTCCGTGTTTGGGAGCACCTTGAGGGCATTGTCAAAACTACCCCACTCAGCATTTATCACCATGTCGGGCGCTGACTTATTATATGCGCTGCTGCTGCACTGTTCCATCTTTTTAACGCGGAGCATCTTCTCGACATATGCTCCATTGGTTCCGGTCCCAAATATAGCTCCTATCAGCGTCGTTGAGCTGCCGGGAGAGCAATATGACCGCGCCATCAGCGTTCCCACGGTGTCGTTGATGAGTGCTGCAACCCGAACGGGCAGCTTGAGCTCATCAATCGCTGTCTGTAACAGCTGGCAGATGTCCTTACCAATAACTTCAGGGATGTCAAATCCCTTTGTCCACCGGTATAGTTCACCTTTGTTGATTCCATGCTGGATGACAGGGAAACTGAAGGTAAATCCAAGGTCAAACACCTGTTCCTCAGCATATGGCTCGTTCACTTCCCCCGTCTGTCTCTTCTCGATGTGAGAGCTGAACTGCTCCGAATGGTGCTCGCGTAGGAACGCCTCAATTTGCTTTGCTAGGAAATTAAATAGATCTGAGCCATGCTCAGCAACCATCAGCTCTCTAGGGATGGCAGACTTCGATTGTATCATCGAGTGAGTGGAGTCTCCATGCAAGTTGACAGAGCAAACTCGCAGGTTGGTACCACCAAGGTCGACAGCCAGGTATACGCCCTATAATCACCGGGACCAAAAACAACGTCAGTATCAGTCGTCACCAGCAAAGGGAAAGCATAAAATACTGCACCTTCTCCGTCCCGTCGGGCATAGAAGTAATGTAAGTCGGGATCTGGCTCAGTCCGGAACCACTGTTTTGAGACAGTCCAACTTCCATCTCATGTAGAAACTCCTCCACCCCCTTGTTGAGCTCCTCTGTAGAGTACTCAAACCCCGCAGAAATCCGCTTGGCTTCCTCTAGCACCGCAGAAGCCATCTTTGAGGGACAAATGGAAAATATCTGTTCTGGGTCGAGCAGGCCTTGCAGGTACGGGCTCTCACACCACTGGCGCAGGTATTCGGGTGGTGTTTGTGCTGTCGACACAGTGCTGTGGCGAGGGGCAAGGAAGTAGAGCAACGGCGACGACGTCAGAAAGGACACGCGGGGAATCCTCGGGCCGTCTCCGAGCACGGTAGGGACATTAAATGTAAGGGCGAGGTGTATAACTATGAGTATTATAGGGAGCACAAAGTAGTGAAGCAACGGGCTCAGGTGGCTATATATCGACGGCTTCTTGTCTGTGGTGGGGAGACTCGCGCGCCTGCCAGTAGTGGCTTCTCTGGGCCTAGAGATGGATACCTGCAGGTTAGCGAAAGGGACGAGAAAAGAAACAAGGCGAACATGAACTGACGAGTGGCATGTTTCATGACGCCCAGAAACCTGGTTCATGTGAAGGATGTCTGCGATGCGAACGTCACCGGCCGTCATCGAGGGTGCAGAGTACAAAGTACAGGTTTCCAGGTTGGCGCACGCGGGCTGGACCCGTGGGAAACGCCCAAAGTGAAATCTCCAGGCGGCGAGAGAGATTGGCTCGTCGTTCCTGTCCTGCTGCGGTTGCAGGCCAATGGGTGTCTTGCGGGTTGCCGGTCACTGGTGCGCGGCCATTGTTGTGATATTTGACTAGTTGTCGCAGTGGCCAGGCGAAGATGAGACGGAGTCGCTGCGGCAGGAGGAGAGAGTTGGCGTTGTTGTAGGAAGCGATCAGGTCAGTTGCATTTCTGCGCTTCGAGGAGACACGAAGAAGAAGAAACAATTAACGAGCGAGTTAATGCTACGTAATGACAGATTCAAGCCAACATGTAAGTCATTAATTTAATACGCAGGCATATTTCTTTTTATGCTAATGAACAGCCTGTCGACATCACGATGGGGCTCCCGTATATATATAGACTATCCGCATTGCGCTGGCTCTGATTCCCTATCGTACCCATGCAGGCCACCGTCAAGAATCCACTGCTCGTTGTCGTCATTGTCGTCCTGGACTCGTCTCCAGGCCTGCTTCTGCTCTCTTCTCCGTACAGGAAGCTTGTCGCTACCTTCGCCAGACGGTCTCCATGTAGGCCTGACCAGGCCAGCGCCCTTTAGCAAGGGGTTGTTGGAGAAAGTCCCCTCTCCTACAGACAGCTCAGGAGACTCAGTAGGATTCTCGGCTGCCTCTTCTGCGTTGGCATCAGTATCGGTTTCGTCGGCCCTTGGCTGCTCTGCCTTCTCGTATGTCCGAACGAGTTTCCCTTTCTTCACCTCCAGGCTCATAACAACGCTCTTCTTCTCCCACTCCGGCTTGGACTGCTCTTCCAGCTCCCGTAGCATGCGCTGTTGCTTCTTCAGCGCCAGTGCTCGCTGGGCCGGCGTCATCCACTGTGTGGAAGACGAAGTAGGTATATCGAAATCAGCTGCCTCGTCTAGAATCCGAGTTCTTTGCGCATTGTGTGCCTGGAAAGAGAGGAGCTTGTCACGGTGAGCCTTTGCAGCAGTTAACTTTGTGTTGCTTTCGATGCTTGTTCGAGCGGCGGCGGGGACGTTGTCCTCGCGGCGGAAACTGTCATTATGGGCTCGCATCTTCTCATTACCACGCTCAGATCGTAGTTCGCGGATCATGTCTTCGACTTCCTCGCTAGAGAGAATCGGAGTACCGCAAAACGAACACGGCTGTATGCCTTCCAGAGCACATATTATCTTCCCACATGAAGTGCAATTTGGTGCTGGCGTGAAGAGAGGGTGGATAGAAGTGTTGCAGTTACACTTCCGTGTTTGGGTCTTAGAGGGATTTGAGGATAGTATTTCCAAGGCGGCAATTGCAGATGTGATGTCTGCTATATTATTCGTCGTCGTAGTAGTAGTAGTAGCGGCATTAGTGGCGGTTGTTGTACGGCCAGTCTTTTTCTGCCCTGTGTTATTGCTTGATGACGACGGCGCAGCATTATGTTGTCCAAAATTCTTCGGAACTTTCTTTGATCGAACATTTGGCAGATATTCCGATATCATGGGCCCAGTAGCAGATGGCGGTAGCCTATTTTTCGACTGCGAGGGAGCTGGTGATTGGTTTCTTGATGATGATGCTGGCGATACACTCTCCGAAACGTCTCTGGGCCCAGAACTGCTACCGGCCATGTAGTTCTCCTCCTTCTGTGGCTTTGTATACCCACCACTGGTATCTCCATATCCTTCTGGTCGCCTAGCTGTGGGCGAGGGGTTCAAGGCACCCCTCTGAGATTTTGTCCCGGCTTGTTTCTTGGGTATCTGTCCACCTCTGCTGCCTTGACCATTGTTGTTCTGTCGCTCTGACTGGCCACGTCGTGAATTGAATGCAGAGATAAACTCAAGAGCTGCCGGAGAGTCATCTAGCAGGTTTCTCAAATGTTCTGCACTTTCGTCTTTAGACAGAGAAGATGAATATGATATGACTTGTCGGAGAGACTCCTCGTCCAACGGAAGGAGTTTAGCAAGTCGAGGGATTGCCCACGTTTCGAGAGAGGATCCCGACATAATTTATCGTAGCACTGGTATAATACTTGTGGGTATGAAACAGTTTATAGGAATCCAGCCTTAGTTGTTCTTGATATCAATGTATCAATCAACCTATTTGAAAGAGCGCCTTCTTATCTCTTTTGGTCGAAGGCTCGAAGGGCGATGACTAACAAAATAAACTTTCGGATAAATAAAATTCCTATTTACCCAAAAAGGACTAGCGTTTATTGAAGATCCGCCAAGACGATCTTCGGCCAAACCTTGATAAAAATAGATATAGAGGTTGGTCAAGGCTTTTCTTCAGGGTAACCATTGAAAGGACGATCACGATGAACCAGGAATAGATATCCAGGTACAAGCACTTAATACAGGAAATATGGTGCTACCATCGAGACAGCTTTCACAAAAACATTACGATAGATTCATTATTGGGACTATATACAAAACAATGCCCGGTGGTTCCTGACTATGTCTACTCCACGAAGTCTTCACAGAGAGTCTCCCACCCACTTTCTTTTCACTTGAGCCCTGGGGAAATTCTTTAAGGGCAGTCGCCATCACCGCACTCGCGGACGAAAAAGTAGTAGATATCGGCATATCGGCGGCACTCAACGCCTTTCCAGCTCTCGAGGCCAGAGAACTGGTTGCAGTAGTTGTAGAGATCAGTCTTGAAGTTGTCGTCAACCTTCTTGCGGTAGTCCTCAGTGAAACGGTTGAGTCTCTTTCCATTGCGATATCCGTAGTCGTGGCGCTGGCAGGAAGGGACAAAGTTATATCCTCGTGGCATGTCAGGGGAGCTGGAACAGTTGTCAGAGCTCCAGTCGCAGCATGGTGGGTTCAGGGCATTGCGGGCGGCCTGGAATGAGGAAATGGAGGTGCTAAAGAGCAAGCGGTCGATGACGGTAGCGCCACAGTCACAGGCGGTAGCAGCTGGGGCAGCAGCGGCCAAAGAGCTGGCACCCAAGGCAAGAAGAACACTGAACTTCATGGTGATGATGGTAGCAATATATTTGTTTGTTTGTATATAGGGTTTTGTTTGAGGTGGGTATCTCTGTGAAGCCTGGAGTAGAATGAGGGTATTCCACTGAAGGACATCTGCCTATTTATATTCATCCATTCTTTTCCTCTGGGAAAAACAGAGTCCATCCAGGCTGGTCCCTCTTCTGCAACCCCGTATCGTCGCCATACCTCCGTATCCAGCGGACACCACAACAAAAGATACATTGCTTTGAGGAGATATCCGAAAGTAAGGCTAAACCGATGATCGTTCAACTCTGGGCTCTGCAGGGAGCGAACCAACCAGAAGCACGAACTCCCTGTGCGCTCGTATTCATGCCCTCCCGAAACTCAAGGTCATCGGGCATGCATTCCAGCCCTGTTATCGGATTGGAGAGGTAACTAGGAGGAGAAGAAGAAAAGCATGGATGAAGGGAAATTGACAAAGTGCTATTCATCGTTAGATATAAAATGACTTGGTAGAAGGGGACCAGCCACGTCGATCCCATCTTCAGTTTGCGCTGACCCCACATAAGAAGCAGAGGATGTCTGGTCTCTGTGCGGAGAACTCCCTTAAGGAATCGGTCCGAAGCCTACCGCTCGTATATGGAATAATTGGCAGGGCGGAGTTCTCCGCGCCTTTGATGATAATTCTTCAAAAGCAGTGGGCAGTGAGATTGAGTGAAATACGAAGTATATAAAATGAAACTTCGATAGCCTACCTTAACGAAGGCATCTCTTCACTTTTCTTGTTTTCTCAAAGCAGGTTGGCTAGGAAAAAATTAATAGCCATGGGTAAATATCAAATCAGTCAAGAGCAAAGATCAGGGATATGAAGCATCTTGAGAACTCGCATTCGAAGGTTTCCATCAATACCACACCCCCGCTACCACAAGGCTCACTGCCATCTCTGCCTTGCCATCTTGAACATTCAATGTCGGGACAGACCATGATACTGAAACCATGACAGGCCAGTAACTATCTTCGCAGAACAATACAAATAACAGACGAACATTCCGCACCAAGATAATAGTTTAGACAAGCCCCTGCTCCGCCCAGATTAACTCGCCCATGTATACCAGCTTCTCTTTCTTGATGCTAATGTCGGCTTCTCTGCGGCCACGTTTTGGACGGCGGAATACTTTGTCAAAGGGGATGATTAGATCCCCTGTCGCTCTCGCGACGCCGTCCTTGTAAAAAACGCGGACTTCTTGCGTAACCGCTCCAATTGGTTGTTGAGAACGGGTCATGCGTCGAGGATATGAGAGCTCCCAACGTTGGAGAGTAATATTTGGCTGATGCCGATCGATCTTTATCGTTATGGCAACTTGGGTGTCGGATCCCTGTGCCTCCAGCCATCCCTGAGCGTCGATCGCCAGCTTTTTCGCGGTTTCCGACAAGCCAGTCCCAAAGACCAGCACGGGCCAACGGGTATGGCCTGCTATAGCATAAGATAGGTCTGCCTGCTTCTTCCAGGCCTTATTTGAGCTCTCCACCAGTTTCTGGTTTATGCCAATGAGTTCGTACTCGAGGCCCATCGCCTCCAGCGCTTTTCCGACCTCCAACTGGAGGCGGGCGTTGGTAACTTCATGGACACCGCTCGCCATGACTTCGAGAACTGCAATTGGGCCTCCTTCTTCAAGCTTGTATGAGATTTTTGGGCCTCTATCGGGGTAGGTCTTGTCAAAGTCTTCAAAGAAGGTATCGCGCACACATGTAACAACTAAAAAAGGGCTTTTCGAGCTATCTACATAACAGTCGTGAGACTGACTATCTATTATATTCTTCAGTCTCTTCATATTGGTATATTTGACTATTGGTGTCCCTTCAGGGAGCCCAATCAATAGCTTTGAAGCCGCAACACATTGCTGTGTTGTCTCGGTCATCCTGCTTAAGGAATCCATTGTGTGCTCAACAGTACAGATACAAGATATGTGTTGTTAAATTGGTGTTGTTCGACGTGGCGGTGTTATATGTAACCTGCTTCTGAAGAAACAAACCCTCGCATCAATATATACCCGGGCTTAACTAGTTACCGTAACTAACGTAACTGTGGCAAATCTCGGTCACACTTTGTTAACAACCCGTCGGCCTAGACAAAATTGATAGTCATAAGTAGCTACGTTCGAATTTGATCAATTACTTATAACCATTTTCCTAAAAGCTGACTACGCCTTTCCTACAACATTGATAATCACAGATGTATTGCAGAAAACATGCTTATCACAGTTCTTTCAATGAATTGGCTACGTAACTAAACTAACTAGTTATTTTGGCAGGGGAATATCCTATCTTGACCATGTCTACACCAGCATATGCCAGGATTGAAGCGTAAAGTTAATAGCAGAGACAAGGGTAGGATAGAGCCAGTACAATAAAAGAAACAAACCCGTGGGAAAGACCTTCAAACAAAGAGCACCACTCGTATTAAAAACAAAAGGTGCATTCATGCTGTGTCCGGAATGATACAACAGCCAGATACTACTCGGGTGTCCCCGAGGCACTAGGTGTTCCTAGCCAAATGAGCTCGATCACACTGTGTGTCTCATCAAGCTCCCTAGAGTACAGTTGATGTACATTGTTCCCAATGACGGTAGCTTCCGCAAGCATCCATCGTTCCTTTTTTACTCCGGGCTGGTCCTTTGGTCTCATGGGCCCAAGTCGCTTTTCAAACACTCTATCATCTCCTTCCCAGGTCTTTTCAACTTTGTCGAAGCCGACAGATTCGGCATTTGCAGAGGCGTCAATCGTGTATTTGATCATTGAGTAGCCATTCGTTAGCACCCAAAAGGTTCGTTGTCCTTTGCCTGTGATCCGTTCGTCGAAACGCCATCGTCGTAGGACAGAACTACGTCCTGCAACAGCCGCGATTGTGCTCATCCTTACAACGTCCTTGGTGTACCAGCTCTGCCAGTGATGGAGAGAGTCAAATCGGCGCCCTGATTCAAACAGCCCATCAGGCTCACCACGTATATCCATTTGGTATAGCGAATCCCAGAGTGTCAAGTCTGTATTTCCAAACTTCTTGATGCAATGTGCCACTTTCTGGTCTCCAGGTTGAGTACCAAGGTTCTGGCATTTCTGGTACATCATATGCATGGTCTCTAGAAGTGGCTTTGACACAAATACCCCAGCCCCACCGAAGGCAATAGGACCAAACTCTTGAACTTGAATATCAGCCTCGGAGAGAGATCCGATATAGTGTCTCTTGGTGGCATCAATTGTTGCAAGGCGCTTGCCGATCGTAGCTAGAGACGGGAAGAAGGTGTCGTCGTCCACAAAGCTAACCCACTTTACATCGGGAAGAGTATTTTCGATATGTTCAGTGAATGCTTCAACCAGGCCGAAATAACGAGCCGTGAACTCAAGCGGCGAAGTCTTGAGGGTCAGGTTTAGCCCACGGTTTCGGAAGTACGTCTCATGGATATCGATATCTTTCGTTCCCTCAGGGACAAGAACTAGCAGGTTCGCCTTCGATGAACCGTATGAGAAAAGGAGTGACGGGAGGAGACGCCTCAACCTGTCTACGTCTGTTGCAAGGCCAAAGAGAATGGTGGCGGTATCGTCAGCCTCACTGTCTGCTGCCACATCCACATCGATGACTGGAGGACATGTCAACGCGCCCTCTCCGTCATCCTCAGGAGGTGCCGTCAGTCCACGGTCCAGGGCCATGAAATCTGGGAGAACGGGTTGTCTGATGGTTTCCATAGAGGCGAATTTCGCGTCTGAGCTGACTATGTTGGGCCGGATGTAGGCCCGAGTAAAATTCTTCCGATGAAGCCATTCTGAGTATGACAAGGGGGGTGGAAGCATCAAGCCCCTTTTGCACAGTCCATCGACAGCCTCGACAGATGGGAACTGGGGCCGAAAACGCGTCAGGGGGGTTACATTCAGGCTTGACCGAGAGAGCTGATCAAAAGAACGGGCAAGGTTAAAGAGAGCAATCCGATCATATCTGATATTAGCCCAGAGAAAGAAGACTGGAATCACCAGCACCAGGCTAATAAGGATGTTCTTGGGTCGGATATGCATTGTCACTATTTGAGCATAGAAGGCGCGTCGTTGCGGGCTCCTAGACAGAACAACGCCTGTGACCCCTAGATCCCTTTCAGCTTGAAGACAGCAGTAGAGAAAAGAAGTATCCAGCTAGTAAAGCTGTTAATGTGTAGTAGAAGTCTGGAGAATAAGCAAGAGAGCGAGAATGAGAGGAGGGGGGAGGGAAGAGAGATTGTGTGTGTGTGTGTGTGCGCTGCAGACAGGATAACAAGGGGAAATTAAAGCCAGCCAAGTTAGTTATTGGTGTTGTGTCCAGACAGTGTTCTAACCAAACATATCAAAGATACAAGCTATAGGGCCACTAGGTATGGCGGGTATGGCGTGCCTGGGTAAGCATAAACATGAGCTTAGCAATAAGATAAAGACAGACCACGTTAGCAAGGAATGTGCAGTATAAGACAATACAGCAAAGGATAGTAGTAAGGAGGTATAGGAGCATCCTGTAGTATTATTGATATAGGCAGTTCAACAAGCTATCTCCTATCAGTATTAATAGAGTTGGTATATAACTCCATGATCCCAGAGCTCTTTTTCTATTTATTAGGAGGATTGAGATATCCACTAGATATATGTATGGTTGCACTTTCCACAGTTATGGATGGAGAAGGCCGATATATCAAAGCAACAGGGAGCAAGAGGACTGGCTAGGCGGTAGTCACTATGTCTATTACCTTCTAGCACCCCAACTTGTGTGCAGCAGTCAAGGGTAATGATATATATTTTTATCTTACCCTATGCCAGCAAGGGTTCCGCTGTACATAGAGGTAGATGGGATAAATTATCAGCCAAGAAAGGTATTTAGATAGAAAAACGCATCTGATGGACTTTATATTATCTTAAATAATATTTCAGGATGTATATTAGGGTATTTGTAACATTCAAACAGTTACATAGCCTCACTTACTTCCTCTTCGTCAATCATACCTTCTCGATCATCAAATTTCAAGAAGTTATCTTCATCAGCTTCATCAGCCATTATGACTTTCCATACCTGCTTAACCTGATCGATTAAACCATCGTCAAAGGCTAAGTCAAGTGCCGGGGCCGGGAAAGAGAAGATGTTATCGTGCGACCCTCTTAGGTTCTCATCTGCGCCACTTTCAAGCTCTGGGCGCACCAGTTGGGTGAAATAAGCGCACCAAATTACCTTTGCTTTCGCATCTAAAGATTTCAAAAGGTTGTCCACTGCGCTTTGAAGGACAGCCTGACCTCTTTCAGCGGGCAGCAGGACATAGCCATAAATTATACCTATTTACATCGAATGTTAGCAACATATATCGAACTCAAGAACATAATGTAGTATGGGACGAAAGACGAGGCCCTTAGGCTCTCTGGATCAGAAGTATTGGGATTATCTTCAATGGTATTGCAGACAATGTAGATAATATAAAGGCATCATAGAAAGTGGTTAAATGAGTGTGGAGTAAAGAAAATGATAGTACTCACATTGGTTAGCAGGGCATTCTCCAGTATCACTTGAGTGTACCAAGAGATATGTAGGAGGGTCAGACATTGCTGATGGGATAGTAACAACTGCGCCAGCTGGTATGGGTCCGTTTTCTGATGTCGGTGGAAAGAGCATCTCCAATGAAGAATTGACAACCATAATAGCTCGCATAAGGCGGGAATAGGGATGTACCCTTTCGCGTTGTATCTGTTCCGGGATATCCCATCTGGATCCAACGACATATCTACTTTTTACAGACTCGTCGTCCGTGAGGTAAATATGCAGATTCTCGCCTTCGCTTCCCTCAGTTATCACATCCACATCCTTGATTTCCCTACCAAGGGCATAGATACCACCGCCAACAGCACAGGCACGGCAAGCAGCCTGGGAAAACTCTGCTCCACCTCCCCATTTAGCAAGAACGGCACCGAAACCAGGACCAAATACCCCAATGGAGGCAAGATGCCTTTTGATATTTGGAATAGCGTCCACAGCATTGGTTGTGTCAATACTCTTGAATGAAAGAGAAAGCGAGAGCAGCGGATCGAACAAATCGCTGGGAATGCGATATTTGGTCTCTAGCAGGTCCTGAAACTGCATGTTTGGGTCTACCTCTGGCCCTATCTCAGTATCCTGGTCATTACCCTGTTGCATGAGTTGTCTGAGAAGCTTCATTAAAGACCGCTTCGATTTCATGCTCATGGTCTCATCAGTAAACACATCTTCGCGGCTGCTAGGTACGCGCCGTAGTGTAGCTGGCTGGGAGTCGGTTTCGGAACCAGTGCCGTGCTGATATACCCACCAACTCCCTACAGCCTGAAACTCGAGCTGACGATAGACCCGTGAGGATACCAATGACGGGAGAAACCTGGACTGAGAAAATAGCAGCTGAGGCGATAGAGATAGTGTATATGCACGTGAGAACGATAGTTGGTTCCCTTCACCATCCGAAACAGCAGGCCGTGATATGGATGCAGATTCGAAGGGCATAGATTTAGGCACTGTCTTGGATAAAGGCATGTCAGCGTCCTAAACCATAGAGTAAACAAAGAATCGATAGAGATCATACCCTCATTAATCTTTTTCACCCATTCTTCTGCTTCCTGCAGGCTAAATGCAGCTTCAGAGCCGCCATAATAGTCATTCTTGTCTATATGGAGGATCTTCTTGCCGGATCGTGACAAGGCACTTCACGTAAATTCCGTGTCAGGAAACAGCCATACTGCGCTTCACTCGAGTATGCCCCGGACTTACAGTGCCAGTAAAGCCTGGGGAAGGCCAGTGCCCGATATCACGACATCCCAAGTCGATCCATCAAGTGTGTTCAAGTCGAGCATTCTGATATGGCCCCCTTTCCTTTTGAATCAAAGGCCAGGAACAACGTCTAGTCATGGCCCCTGTATCATTCTCAGCAGCCAAAGCAAAGCCAAGGCAGCAGCAACTTGACACCACAAATGTCCCTTAGGCTGCCACGATTTTCTGAATGCTGAGGACCAAAAGCTGCTCGAGTTCAACTTTGAGTTGCCAAAAGATGTTCGATTTTGCTTTTTGTGCGTGGAAAAACGATGTATCACGTGATATAATCTTGGCGTGCGCTAACCAAACAAAAGCTGGGAAAAAATATGCTGAATCTAATTCTTCGTCTTCTTTTCTCTTCATGCCACTCTGCGTGTAATGCGCCGACATAAGCTATTGACGTGTTAGTTCTGTGTCTATGGATGGCCCTTCATTGGTGCCGTCATTAAGGAGTGGTAGATCCAATTTCGCCCTGTATCTGCCGCTCAGGATAACTACTCTGATAGATGCGGTTCGTATTGAGGTGATACATCGATTTAAGTATATTTATCAAAGGACTTTGGGCTTTCCGAGTGCCTTCTGTTTCCGTCCTACTGGTGTCTGGGGACTGAGCAGCTCTTCTCCAGTACCAACCGGAATTCAATGTGTACAGACCCCAGTGATCACGGTAACCGCATAGTTATGGGAAATACCTGTAGAGCGCGTGTCTGGTCAAACCCAATAAATGCAATTTACATTGGTGGGATGAGCAGTGGTGTGCCGGAGTTGGTATCCATCGCTATTGCCCGAAACGGTTCATAAACGTCCGCTGGGAATCTAGCTCTCACTCATCATCGGCTTCAACGAGACGAGCCCTCAGTATCTTGACCTGGTCCACTGGCCGGTCCTCGGCTCCTGTTTTTACCAGGCCCATCCTCTGCACAACTCTCATCCCGCTCTTCACGCGTCCGAATATTGTATGTTTCCCATCCAGCCACGGTGTTGGCGCCAGCGTGATAAAAAACTGGCTGCCGTTCGTGTTTGGCCCACTGTTCGCCATACTCAGCACTCCAGCCCCAGTATGTTTAAGGGAAGGATTTATTTCATCTTCGAATTTTTCACCGTAAATCGAGCTTCCACCTCTGCCGGTTCCGGTTGGGTCGCCCGTTTGGACCATGAAATTGGGAATTATACGGTGAAATATGACATTATTGTAGTATCCTCGCTGCGCCAACGTTGAAAAATTCTTGCAGGTCTGTAGGCGTAAGTTAGCGATGTTGACTCGCACCACATACGAAAGGTGTGATGAATCATGGAGGGGGACAATATCGGCAAATAACCCACCTTTGGGGCATGCTCTGTATAAAGCTCGACTGTAATAGAGCCCTAGAAGCAAAAATAGCGGTTAGAAATAGCCCTCTCACGCTTGATGATGTTGGTAGAGAAATACCATAGTTGTATCAAGAACCACTTCCTGCGCCATGGCTAGGAATTATAATATTTATCTTGCTTGCAAGTCAAGAAAATATGCAGTTAAACCAATAGCAATGTTAATCGAAGGGAGTAGGTATGCTTGGTTTGTGGTGGTTATTGCAAGTGTTGAAACTCAAAGCGCTGACCGAGAGATCCATTCAATTTGAAGCCACATCTCAACTCTAAAAGACATAAAAACTCCAACAACATCAACAACATCAACACTGCACTTCACAAACGCTGCCGGACACTTTCTCCAGGGCAAGGATAAAGACAACATTTAAAAATACACTACCATCATTCGCTAGTGTTATCTTATCCGCTGCTTTTGGTTCTGCATTCTAGGCTTCATTTTCCACCCCCAAGCCCCAATCGCGACTACCACGTAAACCAGCTAGCGAAACCCCATTTGATACAGGAGCTGACAACTGAAAGGTGTCATGCATCCTTTTCCTAGCTTTGCGGAAGCTGTAGATCAGCTCACTGTGGAATTCACCCTATTAAAGCCTCTCATTCCCACGTATACCCATCTCATACTTTCTACGCTATTTGCTCTATACATCGGCTGTCATGCATCGATTTCAAGACCCCCATCAGCTAAGAAGGACTCCAGAGAAGAAAAAGAAGAAGACGATACAGATGAAGCTGTTGTCCAAAAGATGGGTGGCCTGGAGCCATCAGATGCTATAATGTTTCCGATCCTCTCTGGTCTCACACTCAGCGGGCTCTATCTCCTGATAAAGAACTTTGACACCGAGTATTTAAGCAAGATCCTAAACTGGTACTTTGCTCACGCCAGTTTTATATTTGGTATAGCTTTCATCCGGGATGCTATTACGATATTCAGGTCCTTTGTCTTCCCTACCCGCTACCTTCACAAAGGCACCCTGTGGAAGGCCAACCAGGAAAAGCGAGTCTACGAAGCAGTTACTTCAGAAGGCTCATCGCCCGAAACTCGTCTATCGCCATTACCTGGCATATTGGGAACAATATCTCTCCCAGAATCTGTGCAGAATCATCTCTGGCAGCTACGGGGAGCTTCTTATCAGAAGTTAAATTTCCAGGCTTACATCCGGTCTCTCGTGGATCTCACATTCCCTTTCAATATCATTGACGTGCTTGGTGTTATTTTATCTGGAATTGTGGTCCTCTTCTCTGCATTTGGCCCACGCCCATGGTGGCTCACAAACTTCCTAGGATTCTGCTTTTCCTATGGTGCACTCCAGTTCATGTCGCCCACTACATTCTGGACGGGAACCCTGATATTGAGCTCTCTATTCTTCTACGACATATACTTTGTCTTTTTCACGCCCATGATGGTCACTGTTGCCACGAAACTTGATATTCCGATTAAGCTTGTCTTCCCACGTCCACCTCCTCCTGGCGAGACCAAAGCAGCAGAAGCAATGCTAGGATTGGGTGATATCGTGGTACCAGGGATGATAATTGGGCTTGCCTTGCGGTTCGACCTTTACTTGTACTACTTAAGAAAACAGAGTCGACAAGGGCAATCAAGTTCAAAGGACGATGACCGAGTTGAATACAAGAATGCTGCCGGCGGATGGGGTGAAAGGTTCTGGGGATGTAGCTTCAAAGGAGCCAATGTTCCCCAGCATGAAGAAGTATACTTTGAGGCAAAATCGTTTCCAAAAACATATTTTATTGCCGGATTAGTCGGATATGTCGTTGGTATAGTAGCAACATTGTTATCGATGCAGTTATCTAAACATCCACAGCCCGCGCTACTATTCCTTGTCCCAGGAGTTCTAATTTCTCTCTGGGGCACAGCATTCGCAAAGGGCGACCTGCAAACCATGTGGAACTTTTCTGATGAAGTTGAAGACGAGGAGGACAGCAACGAGGACGAAACAAATGAGCCTCCAGCAAGCGATTCCTTTATGGAGGGACTTCTAAGAAAAATCTTACCCCCGGCCTGGGCCACTCGGGTAATTGGCCGGGACAACAAGAGCGCACCCGACGATGGCGAATCTAACAGAGATTCCGGTCCAAAGAACTCGGGTAATGATGGATGTAACGACGGTACTGGTAGCAGCGAGGAGGGCCCCCTCGCGGAGAAGAAGTCTCGTTCGAAGTCTGAGCTTGTTTCGCTTTCCATCTCATTGTTTACAGGGATAGAATCGCAAAAGGAGCCAGCGGAGGAAGATAACCTTGTCTCCAAGCCTCAGTCCTCGACGAGTTCCTCGCCAGTTCTTGTTGCTAAGGAAGAAGAACGCCCATTGAAGAAAAGACGGGGATATAAATAGACCTGCCAAATCAAAGGTGTTCGATATAATGTGCAGACTTTTCCGCGGTTTAAAGCTTGAAACACACGTTACATCAACTTTGGTATTGATGATATAGACATAGTAATTATGATATAGCAGCTCATTAATCCGTTTTTTATTTTGTTCCTCCCTATCCTAGCGGTGGTGATCCCCAGATTCTAGGCTAGGCCTTAGCCCTCTAAGACCATCTTTAATTCATTCCACCTTGAGGTAGCCAAGTTGACAATTTCTTTCATTTCTTCTTTGCCAACGTAAAACCCCCCATTCTTCTCAAGCTTCACGATTTTGACGAGAGACTTTGGTGAAGTGAGATCCACAACAATACAGACACGTTCTGGGCATAAAGACTCTTCAAACGCATCGGGATCCGCTAATACCCATTTATCATACGTTTCATCCACATCATTAGAAGTTGGGCTGCCCAATTTCTTCCCTTTCCCCTTTTGTTGGTCAAACGGAAGAAATACCCGTCTCCAATCGTCCATTCCATGAGCCTCAAAAACACAGAATGAGCTCGAAATCGGCATACCCCGTAATCGTAGGCCTCTTGCTTCAGAAACTCTATCAGAGCATAATACTCTCTCGCTCTCTAAATCCCACCATGCTTTCGGCAACTTGGTGTTTCTAAGCGCAGCCACTACTGCTGTCCACGCTACATCAAACGGGTTCCCTGCAAGTGAAACCATCAAGACGTCAATATACAGAGTCCAGAAAGCTTTAACTTCCGGCTCCTTCGCTGTAGCTTGAACAGAGTTATCACCCCCATCATCCATCTCAATATCGTCACTGGCATTTTGGGGTGTCTTGACCGGATCTGGGGTATACCATATTCGCAGGTCTTCAGCGCAAACAAGATTCGAGCTGTGAAGAAGAGAAAGAAGTTGCTGGGATAGGGATTGCGCCAGAGCTGTAGGCGGAGCACTAGCAAATATACTTGGCGAACAGCCGGTGCTTAATGATAAGTTGGGGACAAGTAAATTGAATGACTGGATATCCGAATTGTCATCTTGATTGTCTATCGCTAGGTCCGGTTCAGATATTGTACCGGTATTTTCAGTTTTCCTCCGCTTGGTGCTTCTCGAAGTCGAGTCTGATGTAACTTTCCAAGATGCAATGTCATCAGTATGAAGTATTTCTGCCCTCACGCCACAAACAGCGGCCGTGTCGCCCATCCGAACAACAGCACTGCCATTGGTATGGGTAAGCGAGCCTGTGCTTACAGAGGCCGGTCGAAACTGTGCGTCTGTCCTGCCATTAATCCGTACCGACGGCCGCGAGCTTGAGGGAGAAGGTTGGAGGTGTGCGAGTGTATAAGTATGTGGTTGGAGCTGTGCCAGGTGTGCCGGGGAGATTGAAAAGGCCGGAACAGGACTGGGCAATCCAGTAGACGTTTCTGCTGCTAAATTGGCTGTTGCCATCTCTCCAGAATGCCGCTGTTGACTGGAGTATCTATCTTATTTCTTTCCTTCCTCAAAGAAAAGTCGCGTGGCAGAATAAGTTCAAAGTGCCAAGGCGGTGAGAGGGCTGGGCGTGTATTTTATACATGATCACATGACTGTCCCTTAGGGCCACTTTAGGTAATATCAGAAAAGAAAACCGACGTCAAGAGAAACAACAACAACACAGTTCAACCATCGACCATTAACCAACATCGGCAGTTGACTTCTATCAAGAGCTTCCGCGGAGAGATTCCATCAGAATCTGTACGGAGTAATTTTCTAAGGAATACGGGTCGCTTTGTACTCGAGGCGAGGAGCTCGACCACCTCAGTCAACCAGACCGCGATACATAGACACACGGATGCCAGTCTTCGGGATGTGCGCAATTATAGCGGAGGGGCTAATGCATGAGATTTCACAGCCCATCACTCCTTGAATGCTGTCTACCCTGCTGATTGGATAGAATCCTTCCTACTGATCATCAGAGGCGGTCGTACAATGGGATGAAGCTACAGCGCTTCGGTTTCTCCCTGGCCAATAGGCACGCTATTAATCGTGTTAGTGATAAGGAGTTGAGCGCTCCGAGGAACAATGTGCCATTTCTATGCTCTGTCTGGGCTTCTTCTGTTGCTGCACCCCAGTCTTTTTGGGCCGTGTGCGGGACTTCCAGCTCTTGTCGCTAGCTTCCGGCTGTCGAGCTAAGATGTGGCACACGCCCACAGACAGGAGTTCCCTCTGTGCAGAAGATTCTTGCTTGAAGCATGAGGGGCGAAAGAGACGAGTGTTATCATATTTCGTACAACAAAAGCTGGTGCACGGAACCTGGTCACAAGATTTTTATAATCGGCCCAAGGCTGTGGACCCGATGTCGCTCCTTGAAGGTTGCACGGCGGCTACATTGTAATGGTGACATCTCAGCGGTGTGCCTTTTGTGTTGAGGTTCTCCCTCGAGAGAACCCGATTATCCGGTGCAAAAGCCTTTCACTCCCCCTGATCCTTGATCCCGTATTTGAGTTTGGACGTCAGGAAGGAGGGGCAGCCGCCTGCGGCCAATCGATATCCGGCGCCACAAGGACCCTTCAACCTTGATCCGTTGCCCTTAACCGATCACCTTGGCTTCTTCTATTCGCCAGGTCCCTCTACCTTGTTCATGCTCTGTGCAAATACATGCATTTCTTTCACATCTTGGCTCCACTCTTCTCGAGTGAGGGTATCGATACAGCTTCTTCCGCTGCAACAGCAAGCCACTGGAAGCAGATTTGCCATATCTTTACTCTATGTATCACCCCTGGCCTTTTCTACCATGCAAAAGCTTGATCATGATTGCTCTCCACCCCATGCTCAACAGAATGACGATGGGCGATCGGCCGACGCAATCCATCCAGAGGCATTTGTGACGCCTCGACTGACCTTGTTTGTAGGGAGCTATCTTTTTGATTTTTGGGCGTTAAAGTCCGGGAGCCACACAACCGCCCTACATTGGTTTATTGTGATATCGCGCTAATATTGTCCTTTTGAATATTACTAGAGTATAAATTGCTTTTTCAAGACTGCATTGACTTCCGTTGAACGTGGAAAGTCAGATATACCAGCGGTCGGAGATGTTGACTTCTTTATCCCCTCGTTCCTACCCTCCTTTCCGTATAGCAATCCATGTTCCTGCTCTGTCGATCTATGCAGTCCATGAATCAGGCATCTCATGTCATATATAATGTTGATCTCCCATCTACTTACTCCGTACTAGCCGCTGAACCTCATCTTACCCAAACTATATAAACGGTACATATCCAGAGGATATCGATTTCTCTGACATTGAGGCCGTGTTAACCTATCCACGGGTGGTTGTGCAATAACGCAACCTGACCACAAACGTCTGTTCTACTCGAATCTAGTCTGCATCCGGATGGAGTATGAGAACCATTACACTTGAACGTATAATAGTTTGCGATCTGACAAATATGGGCTAGTAACTCGCTATCTGCAACTGCTTTTCGGGTGCCTACGGGGATATTCTGACGAAGCCTGGAAGTATCGACCTTCATCACATCTGCCGACTACTTGATAAGCTACCTGTCCTCGATACGCGGACAAAATGCCGCCCAGGCAATGGAAATCTTTAATATCATCCCTGCTGGCTTCGGAATCATATTCAAAATCACTTATCAAACGCATCGATATCCCTATTAACAGTGCAACCACCGAAGAGCAGCTCGCCACTGCGAATCTAGACCCGTTCTCGCAAGCCTCCAAGTATGCACTGGGCTGGGTCTACTTCTGCATTGCACTCTTTGTCTTGACATTCTTTCTCCGTTTATACCAGATATGGGGAGATAAGATTAGAGCCGCACTCCGAAAAGAAGAGTTGATTAGCCCTGGACAAACGCTCTCACCCCTATCTGACTACGAACTTGTTACACCCAGTCCAGCGAACTCCCACCGAGCATTTTTCCCTGCTACTGGCCCGCTTGTCCAACCCCCTAAGCGAGACTCGGCCCTTTCATCTATAGGCTGGGTAAACAACTCGATAGCCTTTGCAAGATGGATATTCTACCGCCCTCTGCCGGTAATCAAGCTTGGGAAGCTTGAGATTGTTCCCCCATCCCTCGCTGCTGCTGTCCTTGTCCTGCTTGCCTTCACCTTTGTGACACTATACTGTTTCCTACCTCAACCTCTGTATTATCCTCACATCACCGATGGATCGCCTCCTCTCGCAATTAGGGCCGGCATGCTTTCTGTTGCGACGCTTCCATGGATTATTGCGCTGAGCACAAAGCCAAACATTATCAGCATGTTTACCGGTATTGGCCACGAGCGTTTAAATGTCCTCCACCGTTGGACCGGCTATCTCTGCCTTTTCTTAGCCCTAGTCCACATGGCCCCATTCTATGTCACTCCGGTCTGGGAGGATGGAGCACTTCCACTATTCTCCTTGTTTATTGGGGGTGACTACTACATATATGGATCGGGAGTGGCTGCTTTAGTGCCACTTGCCGTCCTTTGCATCCACTCTCTCCCAGTCTTGCGCAACCGCATGTACGAACTCTTTGTCACTTTACACATACCGATTTCGATGATCTTCATTGCTATGATGTTCTGGCACTGCAACAACTTCCTCACCTCCTGGCATTATTTAATCTCTACCCTTGCGCTCTGGGGGGTGCCATACCTTGCTAGAGTTTTCTATTTAAATTGGATGAACCCATTCCGGCTTTCGTTCCTCATTGGAGAGGAATCCGCAGTTACAATTCTACCAGAGAACGCTGTCAAGGTCACCATACCTACCCAGATGAAATGGAGGCCTGGCCAATATGTGTACCTCCGTATGCCAGGAATATCCATGCTTCAAAACCACCCTTTCACCATTGCCTCTCTATGCAGTGACGACTTTCCATCCAGTTATGGATCAAAATACCGCGACATGACCCTTGTATTTCGACCATTCGGTGGATTTACTAAAAGGGTTCTTGAGACGGCATTAGAAAAAGGCCCCTATAAAACGTACAGAGCTTTTATCGATGGGCCCTACGGTGGAGTTCGCAGGGAGCTCTCCTCGTTCGATGATGTGATTTTCTTTGCAGGTGGCAGCGGAATAACTGCAATTGCAAGCCAGCTGCTTGACCTAATCAAGAGAATGCGTGATGGAAAGGCCAGAACCAGAACCGTGAAAGTTGTATGGGCACTCAAGCGACCAGATACAATGGACTGGTTCAAGGAGGAACTACGCATTTGCCGTGAATGCGCACCACCCAACTCCATGTTTTGCAATTTCTACCTCACTGGTGCAAAACGATATGACAAAAACACCGAAGTTGTTTCTCACTCAAGGCCACATAGTGGTGTGTTCCACGACAAGCTCAATGACGTCTTCCAGGGAGTTGCTAGCAAGAGGAACTCGGCGTATATTCGAGAAGAAGCTGGTGGTGACGAGGACAAAGAGAGGGAGCTCCGAAGGGAGAATGAGGACAGCGTCTCTGCACTACCAAATGCGCACATACCCACTCGTCCACGCATACAGACTGGACACATCAACCCATATTTCCCCGAAACGCCCAACTCTGTGATGTCTTCCCCAGAAGAGAACGACGGCCTCAACTTTGGCTTTCCTAGCACTCCGACTATGCTACAAAAGAACCTAATGCGCTTTGCCTTTTTCCCTCGGCAGAAAAAGGATGGCTGGAGAACAGAATATGGCCGTCCGGATATACCGTTTATGTTGAAGCAATTTTCCAAGGACTTCGGTCGACGGACTTGTGTTTTCGTGTGCGGGCCACCGAGCATGAGGGTTGACGTCGCAAATACAGTCGCCAGGCTACAAACTACCGTCATGAGCGATCCAAATAAAGATGAGTTGTTCTTGCATACTGAAAACTATGCAATTTAAATCTCTCAATACCACCCTCCTTCCACCATACATACATCATACACCATACACCATATACCATATACCGTATGCTTTTTTTTTAATTATAATATTTTTTTTTTCGACTATTGCCTTTAAATACACTCTGACGAGAATCTTGATACCACTTATTGCAATGTATATAACCCTGATGTTCTTGGGGATTCATTGAAATCTACTTCTACTTCTCAATTATGACGTCGACCTGGTATTACATTTGAACATAGTCCCAAGCTACGGGTACGTGGAAATAACCGTAGGTGCGAATAACTTAGTGCGATTGACCCTAAAGTGATATGCATTCCATATTCTCATCTACTGTACGATATGCACAGTTGTTGGTAGGGTATTAAAATGTAGCAATTAAGAACATAGAAATCCGAGTGCCGATGGGTATCATGCGAGGCATGTAAATAGTCATTAAGGGAAGGGTATCCTGGGGGTGAAAAAGAAATTGAACAATATAAAAAACGCCTCTACCGAGTATCAGAAAAATAGGACTATCTACCCTCTACGTACCCTCTTAGCGTTCTCCCGGCCAGCCTCTGCTTCGTCTATAGAGCTGCGGCTGACTTGCTGGTAATCGTCTAGTTTCTCCTCAGTAGCCAAGTCATGAGCTTCTACTTTCTCCCAGTCGTCATCTTCGTTGCAGGTATGAGAATTATTTTCTGCAGCGTTCTCTGCTTCGTCATCCCAGGTCAAATCTAGTTTGACGATCCTAGCACCCCCGGGGCTCAGGCGACGATAGTATCCTTCAATTACACCTTCTTCAACTGTGAATCCACGAGCAATGTACCAGGACAAGGCCTCTTCGTTGGTTTCGTGAACATGAGCAGTGACTGTGCGGATGTTATAGTGTTTGACCATGTTTGAAACCCGTCGAGGTGTCTTTTGTTCCCCTTTATCGGATGAAGACTTGGACTTGTCCTTCGAAGAGGCAGGTTCCCCAGCATATATGAGGGAGTCCAACAGGGAGGCTGCAATTCCAGTCCCGCGGTAAGGAGAAAGGAGAAGTAGAGTTTGAATATATAGGTTGACCACAGGCCGTAATGCAGTTGCCTTGGCGGTAGAAGAAGGGTGGGGGAGGGTTGCCGGCTCCAGGCGACACCGTATGCCACCAATCACCTTGTCCGTTCCGGACTTTGGAGGTGACGGAGGTGTAGGCAAGCTTTTGGCTGCCAGGTATGCTGTTCCATATATATTTGAAAGAGGGTGTTGATGGTATAAGGCCACACGCGAAACAGAAGCGATGAAAGGGTCCGTTATAGTGGCGGTGTAGAAGGAGTTTTGGTATCGAACTGGCAGAAGCAAGCCCGTTATTCGCATCAGCGAGGGTACATGCGCAGTCTTGACCTGGCTGACCGTGACATGAGGATGGGGAGTCGGTATAGACGGCGCAACATGAGGGTAAGGGGTGAGATTCTGGAAGGCGGGGTTGGATTTGGCTGGGGAGGAGCATATTGGAGGAGGCGGTACGACGGCATGAGGCCTCATCGGCGGCAGACCACCATTCTTAACGGAGGGTCTCAGGTCCATTTTATCTGGCCTGTCGGTTTTATGCTGTCCAGAGGCTGCCGAGTTTGTGGTAGGCAGCGCAGAAGGCCGCGATGGTCCAGATGCGGAGAACAGGCACGACACGACGGGCCAGCGGAGAGCTACCTAGGCAGCTAACTAACTGCAGCAGTAGTGCGGAAAGTCGGCTGGCCGGATGAAGGAAAAGGATGGAGTAAAACATGGGGCAGCGGCTGTTATATAGCGTAGCCAACCTTGTCGGTGCAGCTGGCCGTTGCTCATGACTCGACGCCTTGCCGCAGCAGCAGCAGCAGCAGCAGCAGGAGAAGAAGCAAAACACAAGCGTGAAGTCATCATCCCGCCTGTGCGCGTGGAGTTTTAGCTTAGATTGATAAGATAAGATTAAGCTGCTGCCCGTAGGATGACATAAGCAAGCTGGGCAAAAAAAGGAAGACGCAAGAAGGAAAAACATCGCAGGCGAAGCCATCAAGAGCTGAGGATCACGGCACTGCGCAGTTAGGACTCTCCCATCTCGGTTTTGTGCGTGAGCGATAGAGGACGGCGTTGGCAGGGAGACGCCGGCCACTTTTGGGTAAACAGTGAGGCCTGGCCTCGCCCGTTAGACAGGTATTACCAGCTCCTCCGCCGGAAGACTCCAGCCTCCCCTTAGCATTCGCCCCCTAATGCCGAAGACGCTTCTAACCGCCTGGAGCTATAACAGCAGCGATAGACGTTGGCGACCTGACGCGGTTAATTGGCACTGAGAATTGGATATACCATTCAGCACAGTTCCTGTCCGGCAGGCTTTCACTTTCACCGCTGTCCTGCTGCTCCAAACGCCGGACCCGAGCCGCTCTTTTAACCCCGGTACCGATTCGGCCGCCGCATCTTCCACTCCGACGAGCTTTCCATATACCGCGCTCGGCCTGCCACTGCTGCTGAGGCTGCTATCCTTGAATGAAGACGCTTAATGGAAGCATGTCAGGCTGATGTCTTATTTTGGCATTGGCGGACATTGAGTTCTCAATAAGCGGGTTAGTCGACGATGCTATTGTTCAATACCTCAAAAGCAGGCAACTCTCAAGTCCACAACACAACACACATATTCCCCTTGCCACTATATATATATCCCTCCCCGGTCGTTGCTTCCTTTTCGTCTCCCTTCCTCCACATCACTCACACTCTTGCATCTTCCTATTCCCTTCAATCTCGATGGCTGCTGTTCTCGATACCGTTTCTAACATCATGACTTCAGCAGACGGAGCTCAAATTATGGCTGGCCCAGAAAAAAATAAAGAAGCTGCAGAAAGTGATCATATGTCTCCTACGGACCTCGCCAGACTCGTAAGTGATTCTCTCGTCGGAACAGGGCTTACGTTCGGGAAGCTTTTCTCTAACACTTCTAGCAGACTCGCCAAATATTAGATGATACGTTCTATAACATAATTCATGATATTGTGGCAAAGGTGCACAAAGAAGAAAAAGTTGCCCGCCAGCAGTCGGCAGTTGTCACTGCAAGACAGCTAGCTGAAGAATCAACCAAGGTCAAAGATTCTGGCGAAGAGGCAAATGGCACCGCTGATGCTGGCTCATCAGCTTCCCATGATCACGTAGTGAAAAGCAGAGGAGTCCGATTGGAAACCGAGAGTGCAATATTTGACAGTGGAAAAGTTTACCTAAAGGGCAACCCCTTGGAAAAGGTCAAGGAGATAATATGCCCGAACTGCCGTCTTCCCCGACTGTTATATCCAGCGTACGGCGAAGGGTCACGCCCTGTGGATGCAAGTCGAGAGTACTGTCGCAAACAACCCCCCGTCAACCTTCACGGTAGAGACGTCCACGGCCACCACTTCGCCGTAGAGAAAATTACGAAGAAGAAGAAAACACAGCCTGCAGCAAGCACGCCAGGCTCAAGTCCACCATCTATCCCCGATACTCCCGGTCCCAACCCTCTTCTCCAGCCGAAACCGGACAAAATCTATGTCCCTACAACCAAATGCCCCAACTGTCCACGGTACTTCCTTCTCACTAAGAGTGCCCAGCACCTTGACAGATGCTTGGGTATCTCAACCCGACAGAGCCGAATACGTACTCCACTCGCTAATAGCGAAAGTGGCACACCGGGACCTTCACAGCCTGCCAATGCACGAAAACGTGTACGTGAAGGTGAGGAAGAAGGTGCTCCCGGTCCAGTCAAGAAGAAGAAAGATTTCGGCCTTGCAACGAAGTTGAAGAGTCAAAAGCCTGCCGCACCCAGCAAACTGAAGAACGGGACTACTGCAGACATGATCTCAGTAGAATCTTCAAAACCTTCCACAAGCGGGAAAGCCGGGAAACAAAAAGCATGAATTGCTTCCGTCTTTCCTCGCTTGTTATCAACGATACCAATATCAAAACACAAAAATCCTCCATCCTATTAAAAGTCGCCATATAATTGCCTTCTACCCACTCACCACAAAAGGCTATCAACGACCTTGTCATTCTGCATACCTACACCGGAGTAATGGCACAACGAGGCGTTTTACACCATCGCGATCTACCTATCACCAAACCACCAGGGCTAAAAGGAAGGACCTAACGGTCTTTCATTCATTTCTTACACCTCTTCTTTTCCGTGAAAACCTAGAACATACTATCAGCTATCCTCTAATTCATGCGCTACTTCGGCCAAACCTATCGTAAATATACCATGTTTCCTTTCTGTTTAATGAAGCAGATCAAATTCTCTAATGCCGGACGGAATGGTGGGCATCTAACTAAACTGGGGGCGTCTTGGTCAACGGCGCCAAAACACGGCTTTTTTTAAAACTTGCCTACGTCTTTTTGTTTTGTTTCATTTGTACCTTCATTGAAACCTACTTTTCCTCTTTTCTTTTGTGCTAATGTCTCTTCTGTTGCATTTACGTGGCATGGGATGTGTTTGTCCTTGAACCGGCATCCTGTGAGATGCTCTAGCCTCTCCTCCTTTAGGGAAGATGTTGATATTTGTCCAGTTAGATCATTGCGTGAATCTCGTGTACATTATGGCATTGTTTGAAAGCATGGGCGAGTAAACACAATTACCGCTCATATGCTATCCAAACGGCAAAAAAGAAACAAATGATATGACTTGAAATTCAAATACTGCTTGCTCGGTATATGCTTGGTCGTCAAAGATCATGATTGATATTATGCAGAATGAGTAAAGGAAAAGGAGAACCAGCCAGCCTTCATGTTTGTCTCATGCCGAGCTCATACTTCTCGTCAATAAGCCTGTATCTCGTCCTATCCTTGCGATCTTTGAACAGCATCGCAACGCACAGTAGGAGAACGGTATCAATCACTATCGTAAACAACTGTCAGCACACCATCGAATAAACCTGGCTACATAAAGTCTCAGAGTCTAAGCTACATACCAACAATACCAAAGGTGGCAGTGGATATATTGCCAAAGAACGAAAATGCATAATCAGACATCGGCCCTATACAGCCTGGTTTCTGCGCCGCAAGCAGATCCGACATACAAGTCGAGTCATAATGGTATAGTGGCGAGGTACTGTTTTCAAACCCGCAACAATCAAACTAGTTATGCAAATCAACCGTTAGACCGACCGGGCAGGTATTTAACTATAACCAGGTCCAAGGTGTATAAAAATGACGTACCCTCTTCTGCAGCAGGCCTTGTATGTCGCCCGTCTCCCTGGACCACATCGGCTGGAGCGTCGAGCGGGTGCGCAAAGCTTCGTACCAAACACTCAGACCTAGACTAAGAGTGAATATGCCGGTGAAAACAAGTAGCCAGCCATGAACCTGTAGCCATCTTCCGCTCTGAGGAAACACAATGACCGGTATCGAGCATAGGAAGGTTGCAAAGACGGAGATTGCGTTGGCAAGGGAAGCTATAAGTATATACCAGTGCTCATGTAAGTATGGGTAGGGTAGACAAGTATGTAAGTATGTAGGAGCAGGTGGTGAACGAACGGATTATAGGACAACGAGGGATGAGGAGCGACCTCATGACGTTTTCAACGTTTCTTTCATGATGGAGGCTTGCTTCGCCTAGCCGTGAGCCCAGCAAGAGGATAACGCCGCCCAGAAGGAAGAGGAGGTCTGCGATTATGTAGCCTGTTAGGACTTTGTTGATGGTGAATCCCATGGTTCGTTAGCTAGCTTGTCAACAGTTCAGGCGAGCTTTAGAGAGATGCCAATATGGGTATAGAAGGCAAAAGAGACGATCCTGACGACAGGAAGACAAAAGACAAGGAAGAGAGAGGCCATGGTGAAATAATAATGGCCCCCATGCTGTCGTCTCCGGCTGTGAAACTGATGCTTGCTGTGATCTATTGGCAGGGCCGGGTTTAGTTGGGTGGCGGGCTGCAGCAGCCCCGGCGGCTAAGTAGTGACAGGGCTTGGACCAGTCATGTTGTAGAACAGGCATCCTGCGCGAGGAGACGAGCTATAGCCAAAAGACACAAGGGTAGAGGAGTAAATACTAAAGAGTAACGAGCAGGAAGCACTTTTTTTGTAAGTATAGATCAGTGAAATTATACATCTTGTTGTTAAGCCATGTTGAGACCATGATGAGAGTAGCTAGTATACGAGGAGACGGGAATAATATATAAAAACACGAGAGAAGACAGCTTTTTCTTCTTAAGACATGCCTTCATCCATTTTCCCTTCCGAACGAAACTGATCGGAGAATAATATGAGATAGATATAAGGAAAAACTGAAAAAAAAAAAGGTGATAAGATGAAAAAGAGCACGGGTACATCGATGGGTAGAGATAGCAGATAGAGCGGTAATGTAAGGAAGAAAGCAAGCAAAGTCAAGGGGGCACACGTTTATCATAATGAGATACAGAGCAAACACCATAACCCCCACCCTTTCCTGGGTTTCCGATATAAACCCCCATCCCCGTGTGTAGTATGTTTGGTGATAAGAAAGAAAAGACAGGGGAAGAAGAGGGGGAAGAGTTGATGAAAAAGATGCGGGATAAAAAGTAGACAAGACTGATCTCAAGGGATCCACCGCTGAATTGGTATCATATAACAATAATCATATCCACTGGGTGTCACAGGTGTTGGGCCCTTTTGTTGGTTCCGCAGGAAGGAGAAGAGTAGTTTTTTTCAAGGCGAGGAGAGAGACCAGGGGAGGGGGAAAGGGTCCCTGGTTGTGGTGTGAAAAAAAAGCCGGCGGAACGTTGACCTGAGACGGGGTGACTCGGGATAGGCTATAACTCTAGAAAGGATATAGAGAGATGAAGGAAACAGGAGGGAGGCTTGATAAGACGGTGTCGGAGAGAGGACAGGCGAATGTTCCCATGGGTTTCCCTCTATACAACAGGCTGCAAAAGAAATAGACCCCTCGGCCGGTCTAGAAATTTCCGGCCAAGGAAGTAATAAGTAGGAGAGGTGAGAGTCGTTTTTTTGCTTGAGAGATGATGAGGTGACATGTTTTTATTCCCTTTTTTTTTCAGTATTCTGCACGCAACAGAGTTAGTAAGGGGTAGAAAGAAAGAGAAAAAAGAAGGTAAAGAGCAAGCAAGAAGTGAGAGAGAGGTTAGGTGGTGGACTGCTGCGGTATACGCGTGCCAACGGGTACGCCCGAATACTGACCTCCGGCTTGTGCCTGTTGCTGCTGTTGCTGCTGCTGTTGGAGATTCTGGTAGTACGCGATCTGATGTTGCTGCTCGTTGGTCATGCCTCCGATGTTGTATCCTGGATGCAGTGGACGAGGCGGTATCGCGGCCTGCTGCTGAGCGGCGACAGTGGCCTGGGCAACCTCATCAGGTGAGTCCGCTGGCACCTCTGGCGCCTCAACTCCGTTCTCCGTCCCCGTAGGCTCTTGAGCGTTCAAACAGCGCTGTATCTGTCAGTTATAGCTCACTATAACGTAAAACTATTTTTTTTATTTATTCAATTTCCACTGGCGTACCTGGATGAGATTCTTGCCCTCGGACTGGGTGACGAGCGGCTGTAGCTTTGGCGTCGTAAATGTGTAGACGAGGCCGGTCTCTGACACGACGAGAAGCAGGACCTGCGTCCCCGTCAAAACGGACAATTCATAGGCCTGTCAACCGCATTAGCCTCGATACGCGTATATATACGTGCGTGTATGTACGAATGTGTATGTAGATATGTTAATTGATATGGGGGAAGGGTTGTGGATGCGGTGATCTAGATGGATCTGCCCAAAAAGGGAACCGACCTTCTTCATGATGCCGGCCTTTCGCTTGGAGAAGGTGATGTGACGGCGAGACTTGTCCTGGATGAACTTGATCTCTATCTTGCGACGCTCGCGGCCTGGCTTGTCGTCATCGTCGTCGTCCTCATCGGCTGCAGGACGCGGCCGCTTGCGAGACTCGAGGGCGGCCGATCCGTTGCCGGACGGAGGGACGAGGTCGTCCTGGGAGGGCGACGGGTTCTCCTGGGGCACCGCGGCGACGTCAGCCATGGCGATGACGCTGTCTGTCTGACGGTCTTTGTGTCTGGCTGTCCTTTGCTGTCTGCTGTGCTGTCGCTGGCCGTCGCTGTCGCTGGTGCTGGGTTGCTGGCCGTTCCCAAAGAGGTATGATGTTTGGCGGGCGAAAAAGGGCGGGCGGCCGAATCGAGTAACGCGCTGGGGTGGGAAGAGTGACAGGTTTGGGTAAGGTCGGGAGTAAAAGAGGGAAAAAAGGGCGAAAAGGGCGACGAGCAGGCGAAGAAATAGGAAAAGCGCCAGGACGGGCGGCCGGCGAAAGGGGGGGGCCTCACCGCCTGCCTAGTTCTGACACGGAAGATCGTCGGGGCGGTTCTGCCGCCGTATCGCCTTCGGTTTTGGCGGCGGCGAGGCTGTACGGTATTACGGTGGCGTTTTGTTACCGATGGCTTATATAACACATCTATTTACTTTCTATTTTTAGGTGCATCCAGCTTGCCACATGAAAAAGGAAGAAGAAGAAGAAAGACGTAAGACGAAGACGAAGAAGAAGAAGAAGAAAGATGGAGCTGCAGACGAGAGCTGAAAGACGAGCTAGACAGGACAGTCAGTGGTAAAAGCGAGAGAAGTCGAGAAGACGCGAGAAAAGACAAAAAAAAGATCGACGTTTCACCAGCTGCGCCTCCTGCTGAGCGTGCAGAACCCTCAAACACGCCAGCCCTCGTCTTCTGCCTTCTGGAAGCGCTGGGACGACGGGGGGACACGGGAACTAGGCCGGTTCTGTCCTGGCTGAGGGCCTCGGGGCTCGTCTCTCCTTGCTCTCCTGCTTGCACTTCTTCTTGCGCTCGCTTGCTGCCCGTCTGGAGATCTCCTTGTTTTCTGCACCCAACTTTTTCCGGCTTGTCCTTAGCGTCGGGTGGGCCAGCGATCAGGCCTCTCCCCGTCCATCTTGGGTTCTCGCCTTTCGTATTTTGCTTTTCTGCAGCCATCGCAAAGGGCGAGGAAGCTGAGCCTTGAACTTTGATAGGGCGTCCTTGGTCCTGGCTTATGTGATGTGATATGATTAGGTAATATACGCTTAGCCTATGTCGGGTTACTCGGCTTGGCGCTGTTTTACCTCGGCACTTTCACTTTATTAAGGATTGCTTCATTATTATCTTAACGTAAGAGAAGGAGAGTCATCAGGGCCAGCCCTTTGCTTTGGGGTCGCAGGAAGCTGATCTAGTCTAGTCTAGTCATATTCACATTCGGTCTCATTCTCTTTCTTCTCACTGTCTTGAGCACCGTTATCCCACCACTGCAAGCAGACAGGCTTCTCGATCTCCAGCGTCGACTTGGCCTCGATGTTCACCTTTCCAGACTCAGGGTCAAGGCTGAACACCTTGATGTTATTTGAATTCTGGCCCTCAGCCACAAACCACTTGCCGCTGGGGTGAATAGACATGTGTCTGATATTCTCCACGCCGCCGTTGAAGATCTCAAGCAGCTTCAGCTTGCCCGTCATCTGGTCGATGGAGTACGAAGCGATGGAGCTGGAGTTGGGGAAGATCTTGTCAAGTCTGTTCGAGGCATACAGGTGTTTGCCCGACGGTGAAATGATGAGTTCACCTGCCGCTCCCTTCTGCCCGTCTGGAAGCGTAGAGAGGGTTTGTATCTCGGTAAGCTTGAGGGTGTCGACCATGTATTCGACAGACATCACGGTCACGGTGTTCGAAAGCTCGCCAACAACATAGTAGAACTTAGACTTGTCTGCGGCAGGGTAGAGTACCCCATGGCGAGGCCCGGTGCCGGGCTTGACCTTGTTGGGAGGCGCAACGCTGAATTTGGGACCTGACTCGACCTTGAGAACGCGGATCACGTCAGAGCCCAGGTCTGGCATGACCACGAATTTGCCGGTTGGGTCGAAGAGAGCCTGGTGTGGGTGAGGAGCATCCTGGCGGTCCGGTACTGTTCCTGGGCCTTGCATTTTGAACATGAAGTCGCCTAGGTGCGTGAACTGGCCGGTGCTGTTTGTAGCGTATGCCGAAGCACTCGAAGAGCCACTATCAGGATCCGTTAGAGTATGCACAAAACCATGTATGTATATGTACAGCCATGATGATAACGTACTAGTTTGCAGTAATGATTATAGGCTGAGTAGGGTGCATGTCCAAGGAGACAGGTCCCGCCAGCCCCTTGATAGAGCCCAACTTCTTCAGCTTTCCATCCTGAGCAATAGAGTAGCTCGTCAACGCATGTTCAGTCGACGTCTCTTCGATAGAATACAGCAGCTTCCCGTCCTTGGATACTTCCTGCCATGACGGAGTGCTTGACTCTGTGTTGTTCCCGATGACCTTTAGTGCTCCGGTCTTGGTATCAAAGCTGACAGTTGCTATCGCGTTGGCGTTGGTGCCCACAAAAGCAATCTGCTGCGCCACTATCCCAGTCGTCAACAATCCGGCCTGGAGTAGCGAGAGAAAAGGCACAGCCCTCATGGTGAGTCGATGTTGGTAAAGCAAAAGGTTAGATACCTATAGCAGAGGTAAGAAAGTGGTCTACCTTTTTTATTGAAAGAGAAAAGAAAAGGAGGGGAGATGTAGTTGAATATATATATATATTTATATAGGGCTGTGCATAAGGAAGAGGCAGTGACATTTGATATCACTTACATACTAACTAACTGTAGAATGTTCGATGTATATCTTCCTACGATACGAGCGTATCCGCCCTTTCACTGCATAAACTAGTGGCCAATCGATCAGTCAAATTGTCTTTGTGGTGCCTTGACAGTGACAGGGCAAGGCGTCAATCTACTCACTGGCAAATAGCAAAGCCGTACCTTTCGCTTTGGCGCTGGACTTGTGCTGATATCAAACTCACAGTCGTCGATGTGGTCAGGGCTGGATGGCCAGGGGCGCGAGACGCTGAAAACTTTGGCCAATCGATTGGATTCGGTGAATTCTTAGCCTGCAGCAGAGTTTCAGGAGACGATGCACGGTTAAACGAGTTGTTCACTTCAATAACTATTGAAAGGAGGCAGGTTTCAGGTTCGTTTCAGAGCCCAATACACAAGATCACTATTAAAAAGCGCGTCCTAGCTCTGTGAAGGCCTGTCGCTTGCTGACCTTGAAGGCTATCAACATGGCTGGATGACATAGCTTTGGGTACTCTGTACGCAGGCCAAGCCAGACACTGTGGCCTTAGTTATACCTATGGAACGAAATAATATAACTCATTATCTGCAATCATATCCCATTGGCAGACAAGTGTATTTCATAATTACTTGTCAAATTCGATATATATACTCTCCTCTGGACGAAGTAGGCTCTGGACGAAGTAGGCTCTGGACGAAGTAGGAGTTATCGTCGGTAGCAAGAAAAAGGAGCTGAAGTTAGGAAAAGCGTCTATAAAATTATCCGAGGACTATCTACTCGTTAAATACATACAATATTCGGGGTATTAAAGCAAAAAAAGCCACCTTGTCCACTATGCTCATCGTCGGGAAGTCTTTGTCAACAGACAATCATATGAGTACATTACTGCCAGGATGCAGAAAATCTCAATCTGCGGGATTTGCAACTAGACCCAGCGACAGGTGTCTGGCGTCGAGATGCAAAAAGTTGATAGAACTAAGATCCCTCTGCAAAACTTCTTCTTTTGGGATCTGTGAGTCTTCTGCTGTCCCGGCCACTGCCCGTCGACACCATAGTCTCACTGGATGTCCCCCAGAGAGAGAATAAACGCCTATGGCCGGTTGAAACTGAAGTAGTGCTCTTACGTCTCTGTCGTTTTGACGCTCGACGGGGCCACGACGGTGAATCGGGAGGGAGGAGAGCCGAGCGGGTGAGAAGCTCTCGACGACCACTAATGTCGTCATCATCCTGGTCATCTCGGAGCTCTGCTAGTATCTCTGCAGTTTCTAGGCCTGGGTTGGTGGCACGCCTGTGTGAAAAGGTGGATGCTCTGTATGGGTGGATGAGGGGGCTCGAAGGCTGTCGGTGACGAGGTGTGTGGTGTAGTAGAGGTTGGCGCTCGCCCAGGTATGCTTCTTCGTCACCGGGATGTATGAAATCGGCATAGGATGCCGCCGAGTCGTCTGGTTCCTCCATTAAACCAAGACCAGGGCCTATAGCGCTTGTCGGAGGAGCTACGGCAGCCTGTCCAGGGTGTGTAGAGGATTCTTCTAATCTCCAGGAAAGGCAAAGGACCCCGGACAGTAGAATAACAGTTCCAAGGGCTATCAACCCAGCGTGCAGCCCGGAAAGCTGAGACGTCTGGTGAAAATATATTAGACCATCTAAAATGGCGATTATGTTGTAAACGCAAAACACGTAAGGATATAAGATGCTTGTACTGCACAACTTCAGGCCACGGTGCATATAGTACATCTGGGTGAGGGCCAAAGCAACGAGAGCGAGCAGGATGATCCAAGACTGCCAGTGGACAAATTGGTTATCCTGGTCAGAAATCGTTCGTACTACCAGCTCGACTGCAGACTTTGCAAGAAGAAGGCAGTGAGCGGACAGGATGCCGCTAAGAGACCCGTATATCATTCCACGGACCAGCTTTATCCGGGGACTGTGGTGTAGATGCGGAGACCAGATAGACAGGTAACCCCTAGCCTGGGCAGGAGTAGGAGACACCCTCAGAGCACGAGCTGCCAGGACTAAAAGCAAAACGACCGCAGCCGTTCCAGCCATCCAGTGGAGGAATGCAGGTCGAACAAGAAGTTCAAGTAGTTGATCCAAAGTGTGGGCAGGTTCGCCAATAGCTCCAAAGGTGGCAATCAGAATAGCGCCAGCGCATACTAGACATGTTCCAAGTACTGAATATCGGGTGAACGGCTCCCCTAGGATCAGAGTTGCAAATATGGTATTGAAAACAAGGCCGGACTGGGGGGGGAGGGTGAGAATGTTAGGCCATGGGCTCGAAATTATAAAGGAGTAAGGATGGGAGTAAGGGGGACGCACAGCTTGTAAGGTCGAGAGGACTGGTAGAGGCAGAGTCGTAATCTGTATAGTGCTCCCAACGATATTGGCACTGACGAACATGAACATTCCGATCTATAGTGCCCACCGTCAGCATCCGTCATGTATATGGCCTTTTGTATCTCGGTCTATGTTCGACCAGAAACATCGAAGCGGTGTCCCACTAACCTGCCATCTTCTCCGTTTGAAGGCCGGCCTGCGCGTGTCATAAGGAAACTTCTCGTCTTCAAGCATATGCGATTTCCGTTGTAGCGTGAGTCCGACGGCCTGTAAACTCGTTGATATCACTCCGACCAGTACACCGACCTAAACATCCAGTCGCAAGCGGTATCAGCAGAAGCCCCCGTCAAAGGCGATCTCTCGACGGAACGAGACAGAAACGTACTATTATGCCCCCTGTAGGCGACAGGTGACCGAGGCCCATCTCGAATATCCCCATGCATTTGGTATTCAACTCGAGCAAAGGGGAAGAGGCAGTGAAGCTGGTATGTATGCCTTTGGTGTGTAGCTGCTGGCTACTGGCTGGCGAAGGACATGGCGGAGGAGGCGAGGGCGAGGCGGCGCGCGAAGAGTCGAAGACGTAATTATATACTTATTCAATATGCAACATGCAAACAGGGTGAGACAGGAGTGCAGAAGGTGGCCGTGAGGGCATGGCCGGGTGATAGCTGCACTGCGCTGAGTGATGCGTCGAGGTGATGCTGGCGAGGACGCAGGTCGAAGGTCGAAGGGTCGAGGCAGTGGTGTGTCCGTGGTTGGGACGCAGCGAGCAGGTGACGCTCCACCCAAGGGACCCCGTCGACTCGCTCGTCTCTGGCTGCAGTCAACCACCAACATCAACACCATCATCATCCATCGCCATCCCGTCGAGGCAGCAACAACAACGGCAGCAGCAGAGTATAGATAGCGACCTGGCAGCCCGACATCTCCGCGTCTGTTGAATAATTAGCAGCTGTGTCCAGTGACGACATCGACCTGGAGGGTTTCAGACAGGTAGTTTATCTACAACGTTTTGGTTTACTGGCCGACTTCTCGCTAACAGCTTGCTCGCTGCCTTCCAGCTCCAACGCCCTATCTACCACTGCCCATAACCCCCATCCATTGCATCCACGATGTCTCAAAGCCATGCTCTTTCAGACGACCAGGTACGTTTTCCCGCGGCGTTGCAGCTACCCGTAGTCGTGTTGCCTTGGACGCTGATTGATGGCTGGGTGATTCCATCGCATGTAGGTCGCGGGCGAGCTCCGCAAGATGACCGCCTTCATCCGGCAGGAAGCTCTCGAGAAGGCCAGAGAGATCAATCTCAAGGCGGACGAGGAATTTGCTATCGAGAAGTCGAAGCTTGTACGACAGGAGACTGCTTCTATCGACCAGCTGTACGAGAAGAAGTTCAAGCAGGCGAGCATGTCGCAGCAGATTACCAAGTCCACTCTTGCCAACAAGACTCGTCTACGGGTTCTCTCGGCCAAGCAGCAGCTTCTGGACGAGCTGTTCGAGCGGGCCAGAGGGGAGGTCACTTCTGCCGCCACGGGAAAGAAGGGTGCTAACTACGAGAAGACATTGGCCGGACTGATTCTAGAGGGTCTCTTCGCTTTGAACGAGAGCAAAGTGCAGGTTAGGGCCAGAAAGGCCGATTATGCTGCTGTCAAAAAGGCTGCCGAGAGTGCTTCCAAGGAGTTCAAGGATAAGGTTGGAAGGGAAGCCACCGTTGAGATCGATGAGAGTGAGCCGCTCGCTGAAGACTCGTACGTCATCTACCTTATTCGTTAACTGAGAATGATTGGATTGCTAACAGTGTATCAATCTAGTGCCGGTGGTGTTGTCGTTCTCGGAAGCAATGGGAAGATTGAATATAACAACACACTCGAGGAGCGCCTCAGATTACTGGAAGCGGACTCCCTACCCACAGTCAGAGAGATGCTCTTCGGCAAGAACGCCAATCGCAAGTTCTACGACTAATTTTTGAGTGCCTCTGGTGTTTCAATCCCTCTATACTTATTTTCCTTTTTGAGCATTGCGCGGGCTTTCACACCCCTCCTCCCTTTTCCTTCCCCCCTTTGATTTGTATTTCTCTAATCTGGTTGCTGTCATCACATATAAAATAGCTGTCAGCCACCAGTGTACCTCCCTGCCTCAACGGGCCTTCTATCCCTCCATCAAACACTAGACGCACGCCAGATGTCTACGCCTAGCTCTAGTTACCGCCATTCTTGGACACTATGACCATCTAGAATATTGTTTGTATTTTATTCTACCCATCCACCCAGCCTCTCCCGTTTTGGTACCCTGGCTCTTTATCTATATATACCGTGGAAATGACAGGTATATCCGGTATTATCTCACATAATTCCCCTCCCTAGGCACTGCTACTACTGTTTTACCTGACCCCGAGGAACTTCTCCAAAATATCCCTCTTCCCGCTGCTTTCAGTGTATTCATCATCATTCGAAGCACCGAAAAAGGACTTCTTCTGCACAGGTTTAGTCCTCACAGTATAAACAAGTCGGTAATGAAGTGCTTGTAGGCTTTCCTTCGCCTCCGTGCGTTTCATATGTGAGGCACCAGAATCCTGAATAGAAGTGAATATAGCCTTCACCCGATCTGCGAGTTTATCCACCTGTTTATTGAATTCAATCTCATCCTCCTTACCCGAGAAAGAGGACTGTAAAGTTCCCGAGTCAATTGCGACGTCGAGTATCGTTGTTAAAGCAGCTAAGTTAGCAAAGTCAAATGGCTCCTTGTCATCAGGTCGGAGTTCGTTAACTTTGAAACGTTCATCCTTTAATTGTGAGCTGATTTTCCGTAGATTTATCAGCTCGGTGTCTGACTTGTCGAGTGGCGAGCTATCCCTGAATAGAAAGGCAGAGGCTAAACGACATCTGAATAGGGCAAGCTCTGGAGTTATTGGGGGTATATTCTTGAGAAGAAGACACTGGAGACTTGTATCTTTGACTGTTTTATATGCATTTAATGCCAACTCATGAGCCTGTAGCTAGTCAGTGTGCAAAAACGACCAAGCAAAGCTATTGATTGGAAGACATACGTTAACAGCTGGCAGAACACGCTCTGATTGGCCGAATAAAGCAGAAATTGCTCGTAGTGTGTTGACACGGACAGCCCCATCGCCCATGACAGTTTCGTCGAGCACTAAGCGAAATAGGATCTTCAACGAACGCTCACGAGCCAAAGCGTTTAGCCTGTAGAAGACACAGTCATCATTAGCAAGGAGTGAAGGAAAGACAAATGCAAATGATGCACCTCACTTTTCAGCCAGGTTAGAAAGCAGAGCTAAAACAGATAATAAGAATCTCCTAGCTGCAGGAGGTGGCGGCTCTGTAAAAACTGATTAGAGGATCAACCGACTGAAGCTGGGCTTGAAGATAACTCGCCTTCTTCATCGACATTACGGATATCAGGTACAACAGGCTCCGAAGTTTCCAGTGCGCTGTTTCTTGCACCCAGCGTTGCAAATAACCGATCAATATGTGAAGGTTGGACAAGGGAGGATATTAGAGATTCAGGAGAAGCCTAAGTCTATTAGCCTAGGGTTTGTGACGAGGATGAGGATAAACATAGACTAACGAACCTGGAGACAACTGATGTATGCAAACCGAAGTTCATCGCGTGGTTCCGTCGCAACTAAATTGCCTGTTAGCAAGACAGGGCATCCATGCTTCCTTTTTTTTCCTATGTAGGCGTTCCGAACCTGACTGTAGAATCCAGAGTAGGACATCATCCGGCAAGGGAATGTAATTAAGCACCTCCCCAACCACACCTGAGAGAAACGCTCTATCACGAGAAGAAGGTTCTATTGCAAGCTTCAGTAACAGATACAAAGGATGGAAGGTGACATCTCACCTCTGAGAACAGCCTCCCAAGACCCAGGATCTACCGACTGGCTTGGAAAGGTCTCAGTATCGACCGTCGGCGGATCATCACTAAAGAAGGACCAACTTGTGCCTTGCCGAAGGGCCTCTGTCCGTAGCACTGCATCTTTCAGTCGCCGAGCGGCCACTGGATCTGAGGTATCTGAAACTAGAGAGGCATATATATCATCTTTACCAGAGGTGTTCTTGCCCTTGGCTTTGTATTTGCCAACGGAATCCCTGATAAGTACTTTTGCAGCCGACACCTGGGCCTCTCTCTCCTTGTCCTGCATGGCATCTGCCACCAGGTCATCTAAAGAAAACTTATGTCTTGCGCTGACCGCAGTTGTCTGGTCCCCCTTGGTACCGGACTTGGACTTGGACTTGGCCCTTGAACCCTTCCGTCCCTTTGAACTGGACATGTCTGTATCTGACTTCTTATCCTGGCCTGACGTGCCTAAAAACCTAGCCAGCAGCTCGTCTGTTGAAACTGCAATAGAATTGATAGAGTAGTCATCGTCGTCGTCAGAAGCCGTGATCATGATCTGTCCATCTTTGAACACCCGCTGAGAGCCAGGTAGAGTGGTAAACGACGAGACAGCCGGCTCATCCATGGCAATGGGCTGATTCTGGGTTGTCTCTGCAGCGCCAGTGATAGTATCTCCTGAGCGGCCTTCCGATACTACCTGCTCCTGCTTGGGCCGCTCTTGCGTAGGAGAGGAGAGGTCTGGCGGGCAAGAAGTCAGTGGCGACGAAGAGCAAGGCCCATCTTTGCTACTGGGCCGTTTCACGCCAGCTACAGACTTTGGCTCTGGAGAAGTCTCTGCCGGCTTGAAATAAGAGAATATCTTGCGATTCTCTACCATTATATAGAATTTCCTTTGTTTTTATAGTTGGTCCCTTTTGGCGTCTTTCTTTCTTCAAAGCGCGCGCTTTCAATGGGAGCAATTGGAGCATCACGTGATTGTGGTTATTTTCATCCTTTTTTCGCGGACGAGTCGCTCTTTTTACAGGCGGTTACATGATTGATATTGATAGTGATGATGTAGGGGAGACGATGGAGGTGTGATGGATATAGAGGCGTTGGGAGTTGCAAGAAGTGGGCGGACTGGTATTAAAAAGGAGTTATTAATTAACCATTACTATATTGATGCCTTGTCAGACAGCGATCAATCGCACGCCCTTTGAAAAGCGGACAAGCAGCCAGGTACGCCGTATCCGACTATCCTCCGTGCGAGACGGACATGTACGACCCCTGGCTGCGAAGATGGTAGCCTAACCATATCAGGTTGATAGTTAAGGCCGCGTCCAGGCTAAAGCTATCTGTACATGAGTAGCTAAACATTGCGCTGAGATCCCATCCCGATCAAAGATCAACTGGAAGAGCCACCCAAGCCACGTTTGAATGAAGCCGCAGGATTAACTATTCGTTAATATAGATACCTCCGAGCGGAGAATTCCTCGAAGACGTTGGCTGTCAAAGACATCGCCCGCATCCATTGGACTGGTTAATGCTCCGTATATATAGAGAGACATCAGCGAATGATGGCCATCTTTTAAAATAACAACGTCGATTTAACAAACTACCCTTCGTAATCGCCAACCAGACGAACGTCATAGCCGAGCGTGACGGATAGGGGAAAAACCCGAGCCGCCTCAACCGTCACCAAGGATGGCGCATCCAGGGTCAGACAGAACGGCTTTTGGGCTGGCGATCCGTACATGAGATACGAGGCACAACACAACATTGGTCCACTCGTCTTGGTTGAACGCGCAATTCGGATCGTCGTTTCAAGTTGATGGCAGCCTCAAACCGCGCAAGGAGCACGAGATATGTTGCAGCCCAAGCGGAGGAAACACGAAAGCAATATACGACACACTCGACGAGCAAAGCAGCGAAAAGCACTGGCACGGAGGCGCACTTTTTTTTAAGTTCCTTCTCGCAGTTGTCTCGCACTTCTGATGCACGCGCTAGTTGATTGCTGCATGAAATTATCCAATATTTAATGTTTGCAAGGAGGATCTATTAGTTATTCAGGCGGCTGAGGGTGGGAGTGCTGAGCAAACTAGTTAACGAGATGGACGAGGCCGAGCCGGACGTTCCGGCCTTTTTTTATACAGAGTGCAGTTAGGCCAGGAACAGCTAAACGGACGGCCAACAGTTGGTCTGTCCAGAGGTTTGACGAGATATTTGCTGCCTTTGCTTGTGCTGCCCCTGGAAGGCAAAGGGGAAAGGGGAAAGAGGCAGCATGGATAGAGAGAGAGAGCACTTCTTAGCCAGACGCATGCATGACCATGATCCCTGGCGCGGCACCACCCCTGATTCGAGTTCGCGGAGGCCCTTTCGCCCTTATTTTGCTTGTTTCCTTTCCCCATACTCCGTACTCCGTGCTTGCTCCTGTCTGTCCATGTCTGGCGGGCATCAAGAACTCCGCCAGCCCGCAGCCAGCCAGCCGGACGGACAAAGCCCCATGCCATGGCCCGAGGTCAAACAGCGCTGTTCCTGATCACAGGTCGGCTGTCCAGCATCAGCCAGCGCGGACGAACACAGATGTACGTAAACTCCGTATGACGCATGGAGTAGTATATGTATGTACGGAGTATCATGAGCGTAACTCCGCCGGCCCAGCCTTCCGCAGGCGGCCACCAACACATCACACAGGGAGGAGGATGAGGCCGGCCTGCCGCCCCTTTTGCGCCCAGCCGGAGCCTGGAGAGAGCGCATGTAATAATTAATGTAACCTGCGAGCCTGGAGAAGTGGACAAGTAATCAACAGACAGGCAGAGACGTTGCTGTTAGTTAACCAAGCACGCAAAGCTGCAAGTTAAAGTGTAGTTACGGAGACAAGGCGAAGGAAGCCCGCCCAGCTGAACTTCAGGCCTGTCAACTCTGGTTCGTCCCCGTAATTCTTCGTCTTCGTCTTCGTCTTCTTCGTCTTCTTCTTCGTTCTTCTTCTTCCCTTTTTTTTTTTTGCTCCGCCGCGACGGACTCAGACACCGGAAGCTGCTGATTATTGTTTTTCCTTTGCCGCGCGCTGTCTCAAGGCTCTGCTTGCGTCCCTTTTTGACTCTCTCGTCGCTCCGTCTGCGTCTTCTGGCCACTGAAGCATCAATCAACCTCAACTTCAACTTCACCATTCTTCAGCCTCGAGAGAGAGAGAGATAGACGAAGCTCTCAACGAAGATCTCGCACTCTGTCAGTCAGTCGGCCTCTGCAGCTGGCACTGGTCGGACTTGGGGTGCTGCGGAATCGCCCTATGGACCCGTCGGTCTCGCAGCTTCTGCTCTCCTGAACCGACCCTCTTCTAACGCACCCCCTGGAATTCCACGCGCTCGCTGCGTACGACTGCCGGACCAATTCCCAAAGGCCTCGAAGGAGCCCTGACAGGCTGCCTGGCTGTCTGTTTCTCCTCTCCTGGCTGTCGTGGTCGTTCCCTGCCCTTCCGGCGTTGTCTCTATATACCCCCTTCGGCTGCGTTTATTTACACCACGCCTGTTTTTTTTTTAAATAAGGAAACCTCTCACTTCTCCGTACTCCGGCACACGCTCGATTGCTCGAACCAAAGGAACAGATACGAAAAGGATAAATAAATAGAAAGACCCATTGGACGGCCATACTCTATGCAATATCTAAGAAAAAGCTAGGAAGGACGCCATGGCTGTGGTTCAGTTTGGAAGTGAGGACGAGTCGAACGTATCGAAGCCGTCGAAGCGGATGCGATGGGCTACTCAACGTCGTCCCGGCCGGCAAGGCTCGAAAAAGCGAACTTCTATCATCGATAAGCTACACCAGAGAGCAGGTTCAAGGGACGAGAAACGGAGATCCAATGCCAGCAGCCTCCCCAATGGCAGTGCGCCCTCCGAAGCCTCAGACGAGGCGGAGACGCGGCGGATCTATGTCAACGTACCACCTCCTCCTCACCAGAGAGACGAGAACGGCAACTCGACGATAAGTTTTGGACGGAACAAGATTCGGACGGCCAAGTACACTCCTCTCAGTTTCCTCCCGAAGAACTTGTACTACCAATTTCACAACATGGCCAATGTTTACTTCTTGTTCACCATCATCCTCAGTGTGAGTTATTTTTTTGTTTTCTTCTTTTCTTCCTTTCTCATCATGATCATTATTACCATTATAATTTTGTTTTTTTCCCTTTTCCTTTTTCTTTTCTTTTCTTTTCTTTATAGATGACTGACAATTGTGATCTGTGGGACTTTTGCAGATTTTCTCCTTTTTTGGTGCTTCAAACCCTGGCCTGGGATCAGTACCACTTATCTCCATTCTGACGGTTACCGCGTTGAAAGAGGGCGTTGAAGACTGGCGACGAACCGTGCTGGACAACGATTTAAATAACTCGCCCATTCACCGCTTGGTGGGCTGGAACAACGTCAATTCTACAGAGGATAATGTGTCGCTATGGCGCCGGATTAAGAAAGCGACGACAAGGGGAGTCAGGCGGGCCTGGAAGTGGTTCAAGCGTGTTAGAAAGGGCGAAAAGGCTGAACCCAAACCAATCGTTGAGGATACGCCGCGAATGTCGATAGCTACTCAACGACCCGAGTTCCGCAATTCAACTTACTCCTACCGACCGTCATACCAGGCAGACCGTCCTGGAAATGGCAATGAAGATATCCAAATGACTCCTCTCCCGTCTCCGAGCGTCAATGGAAACGGTAAAGCTGAATCACGCGCTCCTCCTCCTTTCAACGACACGCCCATGTCACCTACGGGAAAGTTCTACGGCAGTCTTCTCAATAAGTCATGGCAGCCATCCGGATCTGCCAGATTTAAACGTGATTACTGGAAAAACGTAGAAGTGGGCGACTTTATCCGAATATATAATGGAGAGCAAATCCCAGCTGATGTGGTGGTCCTGTCTACCTCCGATCCGGACGGCGGCTGCTATGTTGAAACCAAGAATCTTGACGGAGAAACCAACTTGAAAGTGCGACAGGCACTACACTGCGGGCGTGCCGTCAAACACGCGAGAGATTGCGAAGGGGCTCAATTCGTTATCGAGAGCGAGCAGCCGCATCCCAATCTTTACCAGTACAACGGTGCTATCAAATGGAATCAGGCTAACCCTAATTACCCGGAATCCCCGGAAAAGGAGATGGTGGAAGCAATCACCATCAACAACGTCTTGCTTCGTGGCTGCAACTTGCGAAACACCGAATGGGTCCTTGCGGTTGTCATCTACACCGGTCTGCAAACGAAGATTATGCTCAATACTGGACTCAGCCCACGCAAAAGCGCTCGACTGGCAAGGGATCTCAACTGGAACGTTATCTACAATTTCATTATACTCTTTGGAATGTGTCTTATTTCGGGTATCGTGCAGGGGGCTACGTGGGCTCAGGGTAACAATTCCTTGAACTTTTTCGAGTTTGGGTCTTATGGCGGTAGACCCAGCGTCGATGGAATCATTACATTCTGGGCATCCCTCATCCTGTACCAGAATCTTGTCCCGATCTCTCTCTTCGTCTCCCTTGAAATTATACGTACTCTCCAGGCCGTCTTTATCCACAGTGATACCTTCATGTACTACGAAAAACTGGAATACCCCTGCACACCCAAATCTTGGAATATCTCAGATGACCTTGGCCAGATTGAATATATCTTCTCCGACAAGACTGGTACTCTGACCCAGAATATTATGGAGTTCAAGAAATGCACGATCAATGGCGTTGCTTATGGTGAAGCCTACACCGAAGCGCAGGCTGGTATGCAGCGCAGACAAGGAATCAATGTGGAGGAAGTTGCAAGAAAGGCCAAAGAGGACATAGCACGGTCACGAGAGTCAATGTTGAAGCAGCTTAGGGCTATTCACGACAACCCATATCTCCACGATGATGAGCTCACCTTTGTGTCTTCGAACTTTGTCTCTGATCTTACAGGCTCATCTGGAGAAGAACAGAAGAATGCCGTCGCCAACTTCATGACTGCTCTCGCTTTATGCCATACTGTCATCACAGAACGCACTCCAGGCGACCCGCCCAGAATTGATTTCAAGGCCCAATCGCCTGACGAAGCAGCTCTTGTATCTACCGCGCGAGACTGTGGCTTCACCGTACTAGGCCGAACTGGTGATGATATCCGATTGAATGTCATGGGTGAGGAACGACGATACACGGTTCTTAATACTCTGGAATTCAACTCCACTAGGAAGCGAATGAGTGCTATCATCAGAATGCCTGATGGAAGAATCATACTCTTCTGCAAGGGTGCTGATAGTATAATATATTCCCGCCTTTCTCGTGGTAAGCAAGCCGAACTCAGAAAGAACACAGCAGCACAACTTGAAGTCTTTGCCAGAGAAGGTCTCCGAACGCTTTGTGTCGGACAGCGCATCCTCTCGGAAGAGGAGTACCAAGAGTGGAATAAGACTTATGAGGATGCTGCCCAAGCCATTGATGAACGTGACGAGAAGCTTGAGGAAGCGGCAAGCTTCATTGAGCGTGAACTTACCTTAATCGGAGGAACTGCCATTGAAGATAGATTGCAAGACGGTGTTCCAGACACTATTTCTTTGCTCGGAGCTGCTGGTATCAAGCTGTGGGTTTTGACAGGAGACAAGGTCGAGACCGCTATCAATATCGGCTTCTCCTGTAACCTGCTGGCCAGCGATATGGAGCTAATTATCTTTAATGTCGATGCGGATGATATCGATGCCGCCACCACCGAGCTTGATAGCCACCTCGCGAATTTCAACCTTACAGGATCCGACGCAGAGCTTCGAGAAGCTCAAAAGAACCATGAACCTCCGGCTGCCACGCACGCACTTGTCATTGACGGAGAAACTCTCAAGATGATGCTCACTGATAAGCTGAAGCAAAAGTTTCTTCTCCTATGCAAGCAATGCAAGTCCGTTATCTGCTGCCGTGTCAGCCCTGCGCAGAAGGCTCAGGTTGTTAAGATGGTCAAGGAAGGCTTGAAAGTGATGGCACTCTCCGTCGGCGATGGCGCCAATGATGTTTCTATGATCCAAGAAGCTGATGTAGGCGTTGGTATTGCTGGCGAGGAAGGACGACAAGCAGTCATGTCTTCGGACTATGCTATTGGACAGTTCAGTTACTTACAACGTTTGATTCTGGTGCATGGTCGATGGTCGTATCGTCGCATTGCTGAGACCCTCGCAAACTTCTTCTACAAGGTACGCCTCTTTCATTCTTTCTGATACTGACGTCATTTTCTAACTATGTATGGTATAGAACCTTGTCTGGACATGCGCTTTGTTTTGGTATTCCATCTATAACAATTTTGATAGTTCGTACCTTTTCGACGGCACTTATATCATTCTGGTTAACCTTGCATTTACCTCGTTACCTGTTATCTTGATGGGCATTCTTGACCAGGACGTTGATGACAAAGTGTCTCTTGCTGTTCCACAGCTTTACAAGAATGGCATCGAACAGAAGGAGTGGACTCGTACCAAGTTCTGGTACGTCTATTACAATATCTTTTTTTAAAGGGTTGAATTCTTCTAACCACATATTCGCAGGCTTTACATGCTGGACGGGCTGTATCAGTCTGTGATCTGCTTCTTCACGACGTATCTCCTGTTCCGCCCAGGGCAGAACGTCAGCGAAAACGGCCTGGACCTCAGTGATCGTACACGAATGGGAATCTACGTTGCCTCATGTGCAATTGTATGCAGCAATACCTACGTTTTGCTCAATACTTACCGCTGGGACTGGTTGACTGTCCTTATTAACGCCGTGAGCTCGCTCCTCATCTGGTTCTGGACTGGCGTCTACTCCGCTACCACATCGGCTGGCCAGTTCTACAATGCCGCAGCCGAAGTCTACGGTAGCCTTTCGTTCTGGGCTCTCACATTCGTCACTGTTGTCATGTGCCTCGGACCACGATTTACCATCAAGTCAATACAGAAGATATATTTCCCTCGGGATGTCGACATTATTCGCGAACAAGTGACGCTTGGGAAGTACAGCTATCTTGAAAAGTATGAGGCTTACGTTCCCCCATCACACGCATTTGCCGCGCAAGGCTCGGGGGACATGCAAAGTAAAAAACCTGCTCCAAAGCGAGATCCGAACCAACCGGAAGAGGAGCGCCCCATTTATCCTCCTTCTGTTGCGCCAACCGCAACAACCCACAACCCACGCAGCCAAAATGGCAGTGACACAACTGCTTACACGGCAAGCTTGGATCTCCGGCCTCCAGCCCACCAGTCACTAGAGCAAGAGCGCAATCCACCACGGGATCGTGTAAGGCCGTCGATAGATCGCTGCAGATCCTCGGTGGATCGAGTCAGGTCAAGCTTCGAAGCCAGCAGTGATTTCACTTCGGCGGCGATGCTAGCCCGAATCGAATCTAGCCATGTTAGAGGCGAACACAACGGCCATCCTGCGATCCAGGAACACTAGGTGTATATATACGATTCACGGTCCATATCGGCTGGCACATACGCACCAGCACCAACCTCCGCTACTAATCTCCGACGGCCCTCATTCAATGCGCGCACGTTATCACGACTTTCCATACTTTCTTTTCTCTTTTGTACGGTTCTCTTTACACTCTCAATAATTCGAAATACCAGCCATCTCAGATACCATTTCTCACCCTGCTCTCCTCTGCGTCACCCTACCGACTTCCTCGTTGCATTTTTCATCCTCTTCGTCTCATCCAGCTTCCTACGTTCCGCTTGGCGTTTTGCAGTTCGGTCTTTGGCTATGTTTCTGTTTTCTTTCTCGCTTGTCGCATGATATCACTTCCGTCCCTTTACTTTCCTTTTCTTTCCTTGTGTTGTAATTTTATTCCCTTGAGCGCGAAAAGCAAATAATTCCTCGTTATATTTTCTGCGCTACATCTATGCACCCCCTTTTTGGGCTCTAGGTTGCCTGTTTGTATAAAGATATCTTCCATCGAGAGAATACCCTTCACTTGCCCGAGGAAAGGCGCCTGCTTAGCCTTGTTTTTCTATCTTGTCTTGCTTTGCAGTTTACTTCTACATATTCCCATCCTGGTTATAACGATGCATATGTCCTGTCGAGGGCAGGAATGCAAAGCATAGAAAACAGTATATATTCTGACTATTATAACTGCTCAACCATATAGCTTCTACTCCGTAGATATTAGTGATCCCCGTAGAGTAGTGCAGGGTAAGCATGTAGATCATAAGTAGGGAGTAGGTAACAATCAGCTATTAATAATAGCGAACAAAGGGGTTTGTTGCCCCTTTGTAAGCCGCAAAGTTGGTTGGTCAAAGTTGGAGGTTCAAATAGTCTAAATAAGCGCCAAAAAGTTGCTAGTTAAGCTAGTTAAACTGCCTGGTAGTTATCGGCCTTATCAGTGTGACACGCCAAACGCACGCTGCCTTTTTCCACTGCCACCACCAGCCGCAATTATTATCTATAGACTGACTCTTCTTCTTATTATTATCTTTTGTTTCCCTTCTTTTTTTTTTTTTTTGGATTGTTTGTTTAGACCTCAGATGGTTAGTTAATGTGAGAGATGTTCTGCTGTGCCTCTTGAGAAGAAGGAAGAACTGTCATCCTGCACGTCCGCTCTTTATTTTACACCCAAGTCCGCGGCTTCGACCTTCGAGCCCCCATCGAAGAGCTAAACGGCAGGAAACGTGAAGCGTCAGCGGCGAAGGGGAGATAAATTGATACTGTATAGAAAGAAACGGGCCTATCCTGAAGTCAACGCGTTTAAGGGAAGTTTTCAGCTCTTCCGGGCGCCCATGACGGCCGGCAGGTCGACGGAGGTGAAAAGATGGCGGAATTAATGAACACGCTCGAGTTGGTCTCATTTTCTTCTATTTATTTTTCTTATTATATATGATGGCTATATTGTCAAGGGATATGTGTTGGCTAACATTTAACCACTTATTTTGCATTAGGGAGCTAAAGAGCCTGCCTGAAGAGCTTCACCTTCTGTGCCCTCGTAAAAATGACAGTGATATGGAGCAGTACAACAAATACACTGAAAATGATAACAAAGCCAATGAGACCAGTGGTGCTCAGACGAACGCTGATATACTTGAGAGAATATCGGAGGCTGCCGCCCGTCGAGAGAAATTCCTCTCGTGTATACAACTACTTGCCTTCAGCGGCGAAGAGGTTGAAGCACACCAGCAATGGATATGGAGGCGTCTCGAGGAGACATTGGAGAGATGTGATATTTGCATCAAAGAATACTACAAAGGGAAAATATGGCTAATTGAAACTTTGGGTGAAAGCTACGATGAGTCTGAGGTGGAAAAGTTCAGTAAAATGCTGGATGATTGGGATATAGCCAGAGTTGGGAAGAACCTGGATAAAGCTGCCAGTATGCTCGCGAGTATCCCCCCTGGGCAGCGTAAGATAAGCATACTCGATCGAGCCTCTATGCTCTCCATTTTTGAAGCTCTAAGCTCTACACCCGTTCTAGGGAACGATGCATTTCTCCATGAACATTTTGACGAGCCGTTTAAGATGGTACAAAGCTCACGCGCTCTAAAAATCACAGAATATGTACCTGCCGCTACGCAGTTTCTTTTCGACAAATACAAACATAGAAATGACTGGGCTGTGTTTACTTGGTCAAAGCTAGGCAGGCCACCGACGACTACGGAGTTTGACTGTGCAATCAAGGAGCCTTTACTTGCAGCTTTACGTCGGGCGTCCAGCCCTCCATTTGATCCGGACTTTGTTGACTCGCTATGGCGTGGAGTCACTATCATAATTAAGGGATTGAACAAGGACCAAATCACCCATAACCTTCGAGGACTTGAGCTCGACCCTTGCCGACTATCTGTTGACCACCTGGCTATTCAAGCTCCGGCTTTACGATCGGTTATCAACACGATACATGCTCTCCTGAAGAAATCTCCAAACGACTTCTGGGATGCCATGCAAACTATCTCACCACAAGCTATTATCGAACAGATTTTTTACAATCCACAGTATGAAAGATTTTTAATGGCTACTGAAAATGACGAGTCGTTGGCTGAGTCCCCCCTGAGGGATATGTTGTCATGGATAGATCCGTTTATCATGTCTCTCAAGAATACCCACCAGCCACAAGCATGTCGGTTCCTAGTTCACCAGCTTCTCAACCGCCTCCAGGAGTCCCGATTCCCTACCATCGTCAGGTACCATTGCTTCAGGAGTGGGCTTACGGTTCTTTACCGTACCTTGCGGAGCTTCACGGATAATGAGGATTCAAGAGGTTCTGTGGCCACCATCGTTCTATCCGAAATGATGGAAGTTATAAGTGACAATATCAAACATTTCCTCAACCCTCCACAATTTGATGTCGACGGGAGTGAGGTAGAGATTTCTACCCTTTGTATGGATGTGGTACGGAACACACTAGCATTGGAATGCCAGTCTCTCAAGTCGGACTATGAAACCATTCTCCGTGAAAATACACTACAGCACGGCGTTAGCACATATACGGCACCTATATGGGACGCGGTAGTCCAGCACCTTGATGAAAAGAATTTAGCTCTCTCCTCTGCAGCGCTAAGGGGTATCTTGCCTCTCGTAGGGCTTGAGAAATTCCAGACAAAGGGGGAGAATACGAAGGAAAAGACACATTTTAATGTCATATATGGCCACCTTACTCATCTCGCATGCCAGATCCTTGAGAGACTATCCGATTTTAGGCCTGAACATCTTGATGAACTATTTAGGGCTCAGGAGACGAATGGTTCTTTGACATCTGCATTATTCTCTGCCGACTTAAATACATATCAGGCCGCCGTGGATCTGATAAAAGCTGTCAGTGGTCAGCTGGGGCGCAAGGAAGCAATCTCTCACCTACTACAGTCGTTTTGTGCCTCAACAATGTTCGGTTTCAGCTGGTCTTTTCGACGGATTTCCAACATGAAAACATTCGCATCAGCTCCCAGAATGCTTAAAACTGGCACAGATATCATCGAGGTCCTATGTGATTCTCAAACCGGAATACTAAGAACTCGGAAGCTCAACGACTCAAAAGAAGTATACTTCTTGCAGAGGCTATGGGAGTACCAGTGGTTGGCGCTCTCCACCATCTTCAGTCAAACCGAAAAATGGCATAGAATGGGTGTTGATAGGTCAATCATGCTGGAGTTCTGTCGAGACACTATCCAATTTGCTGAGCTTCTCTTCGATCAGTTTCCGATCTTTGCTACTGCTGTTGGAGAGGCGGACCCGGCACAAGCTGCCTCCGCAAAGAGCAACCTCCTTCGATACCCAACTACCACGATGAATGCCATGGTAAAATGGCTACGTCTAAAGGACGAGTACCTTGCGACTACACTGGTTGGGATCGTTTCAAAGGTGCTTCGCCGCCTTGGGGATTTGAATGCAACGGTTCAGGAGGAGGCCTTGGATGTTATCAAAGATGTTGCTTTGACTGCAAAAATCAAGACAATTTTGACGGACAGTGAAAAGGCTGAACTGGTGAGATCTATGGAGGCCTATTATAAGAAACCCCTGGTCACTCCTATACCGGCTCCTCCTCCCAAAAAGAAACAAAGCTCGATCACTTCCTTCGCTAGACCTGTGGACCCTTCAACCATTGTTAAACCCGAATCTAAACGGGTTAAGGAGGAGGAACATGAAAGTGATCTTGATATTCCGGACGACGTTTTAATTGAGCTCTCTAGCTCTGTTGAAATCAATAAGGCTAGAATAGCCGCTCAGAAGAAGCCTACTCCCCGACTTGGCGCACCTTCTAAACCTCTCCCACCATTGGCCCCATTAGCAAAACCGGCTCACAATGTCCTGTCATTCCGTGAAAAGCGTGAGAGGGAAAAGGAGGCCAAAAAGAAACGCGACATGATAGAGCTGGCCAAGGTGAAGAAGCACTTACCTTTACGTGGTATGAGTGAGCAGACAGCGTCACAAGGTTCCGGTCTAAGCGGCCTTAATATCGGAGTCGTTGAGCATAAACCAGCGGACAGTATGATGGTTTCTTCAGATTCGGACTCGGACTCTGACAGTGATGATAACGGAGATGAAGATATGGCTGGAAAGCGGGTATCTTTAAAACCAGAGGCTGTGAGAGCGTATGAAGAAAGCCGAAAGAAACTCCTACAGCGAGTGCCTGTCAAGAAAACAAAGATTATTCGTTCTGCTAAGGATATGCGGGCACGGCTTGCTCCGGATCTTTCTTCTCTTCATAAGACGTTATTAAGCTGGGATTTCTTTGCAGCAAGCGTTCTACCTCCCAACTGTGGTCGAACTGACTACACGCTGGTTTCCAATACTTTCGCCAACGCATTAGAGTATCAAAAAACTTTCGAGCCATTGTTGATCCTTGAAGCCTGGCAAGGGTTCCAAACTGCTAGGGAGGATGCAACTTTTAAAGAGTTTGAAATCAAAGTTGCGAACCGCCTTTCAGTCGACTCATTTGTGGAGGTTAGCACAATCATGGAACCTCAACAGGTCAAAGACCTAGGCCTGGGAGAAGCCGATTTGGTTCTGCTATCCCGCTCAAACAAACCCGCTATTGATTCAAGTGCACCTCATTGTCTCGGGAGAATATCTGGAATCAAGAAGAAGAAAGGAATAGTGGAGGTATCCTATCGCATTAATCCCAGTGGCCCAATGGCTAGTGGAATTGGACCCGGGGGTGGGCTGTTTGGTGTAAAGATCACATCCCTTACACCCCTTGAACGAGAATACGGTGCATTGATGGCTCTTCAATATTACGACTTGAGCGAGGAGATTATAAAAGCAAAGCCATCTCCTATACTGAACTATGGTCCTGAAAGCTTGAAATCTATCCTGGCCACTTATGACCTCAATCTTGCACAAGCAAAGGCCATCAAATCGGCCGTGGATAATGATGCTTTTACCTTAATTCAGGGGTAAGTTCGAATAGCCACAACGTTGATTTTTACTACTTAGCAGCCAACTAATGTTTTGACCACTAGGCCCCCTGGTTCTGGAAAGACCAAAACCATAGTTGCAATTGTTGGAGCAATTCTAACGCCCATCTTAGCAGAGAGAAGAGTATCTCAGCCAAAAATATCCACTGACTCAGTACAGGCAAACAAGTCAGCTACATCTAAGAAACTTCTAGTCTGCGCACCTAGCAACGCGGCTGTTGATGAGCTAGTGATGAGGTTTAAGGAGGGAGTGAAGACCCTCAATGGGAAGACACAGCCGATTTCCGTCATTCGGTTAGGCCGAAGCGATGCCATTAACGCGAATGTGCTAGACGTTACATTAGACGAACTGGTCAACGCCAAATTGAGCCAGAATGGCCCAGCGAAAAATGGAGAGGAGCGCGATTTACAAAGCTATTTCAACGAACACAAGGAGACGTCTACCAAATTCACAGAGATACGACAAAGGATTGATCAATGCAGGGCGAGAGCGGAACCCGTTCCTACCGAACTTGAACGAGAATTCGACCTTCTAAAACGAAAGAAAGCTCAGCTAAGTCAAGCCATTGACAATGCTAGAGACAAAAACCATTCTGCAGCACGAAATGCTGAGTTGACGCGAAGACGAATACAACAGGAAATCATCGACGGAGCCCATGTTATCTGCTCCACCCTTAGCGGCAGTGGTCACGAAATGTTCCAAAGCTTGAGCATTGAATTTGAGACGGTTGTCATAGACGAAGCTGCCCAGTCTATTGAATTGAGCGCTCTCATTCCTCTCAAGTACGGCTGCTCTAAGTGTGTTCTTGTTGGAGATCCCAAACAGTTACCTCCAACAGTGTTATCGAAGGAGGCCTCTCGATTCCAGTACGAGCAAAGTTTGTTCGTTCGAATGCAAGCAAACCATCCAAACGATGTCCATCTTCTGGACACTCAGTACAGGATGCATCCAGAGATTAGCAAATTCCCAAGCCAAGCATTTTATGACGGGAAACTACAAGATGGTCCTGGAATGGCTCCGCTGCGGAAAAAGCCATGGCACGGAAGCGAGCTTCTCGGGCCATACCGATTTTTTGATGTCCAGGGAATGCATTCTAGTGCTGCCAAAGGCCATTCTTTAGTAAACATTGCAGAACTTACGGTAGCAATGCGCCTCTACGAACGGCTCCTAGCGGATTACAGGAACTACGATTTTGCAGGGAAGATTGGCATAATTACACCTTACAAAGGCCAGTTGAGAGAGCTTAAGTCTCGGTTTGCTGCGAAATATGGCAGCTCAATATTTACTGCTGTTGAGTTTAATACCACAGATGCATTTCAAGGAAGAGAGTGTGAGGTTATCATATTCTCCTGTGTTCGGGCGTCTGATCGAGGAATAGGGTTTTTGTCCGATATTCGTCGAATGAACGTTGGACTGACACGAGCGAAGTCATCGCTTTGGGTGCTTGGAAACTCTCAATCTCTAGTCCGAGGTGAATTTTGGAGAGCTTTGATCCACGATGCCCGAGATCGTCAGCTTTATACCGAAGGAGACATCCTAAAGATCCTGCAGAAGCCTCAGATTAGCCTGGATATGGAAATGAATAACGTGGAAATGGTGGATGCTCCTGCAGAATCCGGCGTTATCTCAACTCCTTCGTCGAGACCAGGTTCATCCATAGCTGGAGGCAGCAACTCAAGACCACCATCCAGAATATCAAATCCCCAGTCAGCAGCCGAATCTTTGCTGAGCGAGCCGCCCCTGGGAAGTGCAGCAGGCACGCCTGTTGCATACCCTCCGGATGGCCCTTCAGGGGGAAAATCTGGGCTAAATGAATTGGCTATGTGCGGATATTGCGGAAGCCATCAACATATGACGCACAACTGTGATAACATAGATGCCAAAATAGCCTGTCAGGGAACTTGCCGGCGATGCGGAGACGAGACGCATTCGATACGGGATTGCAAGACCGAGCGCTGCATTCAATGCGGAGAAATTGGCCATCTTGCAAAAGGCTGCAAATCCTCAACGGTACTACCCAAATGGGAGAAAAATAAGATCGTCAAAGAGGAGACCCATCACAAGAATATGCAGCAAGCGAGAGTAGAAAGGCAAAAAAAGAAGGCTATTGCTGCTCACGATCCAAAAGTACCCCTTATACAGGTTCCTGGAAAGAAACCTTCAGCTGAGAACACAACGCCTCAACGCAGCAACGGCCCTGGAAAAAGGAAGCGATCTGATTTGAGTAATCCCCAAGCTTCGGGTGACCCAAAAATGATGCGACTTGATCAGAGCACTGCATCGTCGACTCCTCCGAAAGAACCTAAAGTGAAGAGGCAAGAAGACAGTTCCTCTGCAGCAGCACTGGCACCTACTGCCAATCTGCCAAAAGTCCCGAGAGGACGAAAACCGGATCCCCACAGCGTTGCGCCGCCCCCAAGTGTATGCTAAGTGATCTGTCTGCAAGGTTCCGATAACAAACTCACAGCTGCTGATATGACTTTCTCTTCTCAGGACCTTGTAATACCATCGCGAGATAGCCGCGAGAGTCGCCCAATTGCTACCGAACCACCCCCTCCGACGGCCAATAAGGTAAGTAATTCAATGTCTACTGTGCATAGCTCTACACCGCTCTATCAACAAGGAACTTAAAGATGATTTTTTTTCTTTATGTTCGGGACATAACGGGGGAACAAGCGGACTAACTAACATATCAATGGTAGGCTGGCGACTCAAGCAGCGGCCCTCCTATGCGGCCAAAAGGCGACAGACGGCCTCCTCCGCCTCCAATGCGCAAAAAGAAGCCTGCAGATGTCTTTATTCGTCCAAAACGCAGGTAAGAAGAATAAGATGGACGGGCACGTAGTAGTGTGAACGTCATAGAGAAGAAGTAACTCACGAAACCATTGAAGTATCGAGGACGAATCTTACCCTCGTTCAATATCTTTTCTTAACTTTCTCATTCTCGCATTGTATTCCTAGAACTCTTTTTTCCTCCTCATTAGCTAGTTATCCTTGCGCCCGCCGCCTTATACTGTGATATTATTGACGGCGCGCACATTCACAGCAGCGACGCAACTTTCTCTGTGCCTGACCCGAAGACAAAAAAACAGTGTTTTGGGTTTCTGGGTACAGTGAAGATTTCTCAGGTTACCTGCCCGGACAAGGCGAGCATAAGCCTCTTCGCTTTTTGTTGCCTTGAGGGACAAGCTTCGCCTCTTTCACATCTGAAGGCCGATGATGGTATTGAAATTCTAGATCCTTCTGCCAATCAACCGCCGTTTAGTCGTCGGTTCGATGCTCGGCGCGAGACCTGTTCCTGAACACTGCCTGAAGGTCTTGTGGTCCGTGTGGCCACAGCGTAACTACACAGCCGGCCGTACACCGTCCGATTCCTAACCCCTTTACTTTGCGTCTCTTCCTTATCCCCTGTCTACAGACAAAAGACTCTTGAGAGTCTATTATCCAAATAGGGAAATCACAGGAGATATCATGAGCTCCTACAGTGATAGGTCGCTGGTTAATGTCCCACAGAATACGCAAGGGAGATACTGTGTGTAGGTGTCCAAGACGTAGGGATGTGCGTGAGTGTGTGTGTGTGTGTGTGTGCGCTCTTTCCTGGGCTGTAGATGACCTACTGGCCCGTATCCTTCAGCGTATACTAGATTCCTACCAAACGCGTAGGGGTTGAAAGGGGGCCTGATGTGTAAGGCGATTAGACAAAACCATCCATAAAATAAGATCGAAGTATAAATGTGAGCTTGATACCGATCCAGTTTCCAAGTCTCCCAGTCCATTATTCGTGAGACATAACCTGCGGAGGCTGGGTGTAGGCATATGCGCAGGTACAATTCGTCTGCTCATTTTCCTTACCCAGGCATTGCAGCTGGGCTGCACAAAGCTTCCCTAGAGCTTTTCCTGCTGCATGACTCTTCCTTGGAGGTCTTCCCTCTTGCAGGGATAGCTAGGTGTATACCAATGACGCAGTGGATACAAGAGATGTGAATGGTGGAAGGGTGCTGGAAGAAAAATCTCTTCTCCTGCACGAGATTCTGCAGTCAACCGGCAGTAGGGGACGAACAGTGTACCGTCATCCAGTCCGTGTACACCCTTGCTCGTGCTCAACCGGCTCTTCGACTATCCAGATCGAAACTGTCCCTGGCCTCTGCGCTTGATGGGCCGGGGCCAAGTGCAACCATTGAAGGCTGCTGCTGGTGCGAAAGCAAGAATGCTTAAAAAAAGATCCTGTGTCGCCACTTTTTTGCAGCTTCAGTCATATCCGAGAGGATGGTAGTATGGGATATCCTGTTCTATAGGAGGGATATGTTGAGATATCCGTCACGACGGGAGGCTGTTACACTCATCACGTACGGTCTGCTTGGTACGCGGCCACGGCTATACGCGTCTAGATAGCTTCATTTGCATATCAATTAGAGGCACGCGCATACTTGTACGAAGGTGAAAGTACAGAAGTAGTGAAAAAAAAGGGGGTCTGGGTATCTAGATCTGGGTGCTCCCCTCGTCAGGTGTCTTGCCTGTGACGTTGTTCTCCAGGTCTCCCGGGATAGACGATAGACGTCTGCCTGGTTTGGGAGATTTACGACAGCCACATAATTTCCGTAGAAAAGACGTTCTTCAAAGCCGTTCGTTGGTCAGAATAACCTCCTACCGGCCTCTTCTGCCGCCCATGGTCTCTTGGGCTGGGTGCATCTCTGGCATGGTGCAACGGAAACGGGCGCCAGAGTCGGACAGGATGCGATTCACTGTGCTACCGCAGCGAGCACTCTGCATGCGCGAGAGTCAAAGCAGACTTCATCACCTGGATAGGTTAGTTGACTCGCCAGAGCAGATATAGGCCAGGGTCTTAGTTGAAACAGCTGCTGTCGTCAGTTTTCAAGGTAGTAGTAGACGCGAGGATGCAGACTTTGCGGCTATGAAGGCCTCCGTTGGTGGAACAGAACAGACCCGTACGGAGTATATGGAGTGACTAGCTATATACGCTTATTTAAGACAAGAGACATATAGGCCGAGGATGCAGAAAAGACGTCACACTGTCCCAAGTTAGCAAGTTACCATCTTGTGCTCTGTAGATCGTTATAACGCTCATCTTATAGATGTCGTAAGTTATTCCGCCTGGTTGAACCGACCACCTCTACCCACCAACCCAGAGTAGAAGGTGACCGGGACAGTGATGGCGATGGCGATGATGGTGAAGCTGGAAAGGTGCGATTGGTATGCAAGAACCTGATGTGAGCCTGCAGGAATGTGCGTTTCAGGATATAATTCTCATGTTGTATAACTACATGACGCCCAGCGCATAAGATCGTGCATACTATGGATGCAGGTCCAAGACACGGTCTCTGTCCAAATTCAGGCTCGCAGGAACTTGCTGCTTGCCCTCTGATGGGGTCTTTAGATCTTTGGGTTTTTCTGGGATACTTCGATGTCTCCAGTCTCTGCCATAAGTAGTATCTGCCTTGAAATTGGCCACCATCATATATGGAGTATCTTGGAGCCCTTCGTATTACTGGGAGAAGCCTCCGCCCTACGAGCTAGCTAATGCCTGCCATGGAGATTTAATGACCGTTAATATAGCGGATTGCGTCAATTGATGCGACAGATGCCCCATAAGCAGCTGCTGTCCGGCGTAGTTTCACATCCTCTAACTAGCTGCAGCTATACCGCCTGTATACTTCGTTAACGAGTTACTCAGACAGACAGAACAGCCCGCCAGCCCCTCCGTGTGGACAGAGCAGAATTGGCCAATTGGTAACTAGCGACGTTAAGCAGCCAACGGCCCCCCGGAATACGAACGGGATGGGCGTGAGAGTCGGTCAGCTAAGGGAACTTTTCATTCTTTCCGGTCGATCAGCGCAGGCGGGATGAAGATGTCACGAAGTCTCCTGCTGTGCCATTGGTCGCCGTTGGGAGGATTTCTGGCCGGCTTGACGTCAGCTTCGCGGTGCTTCCACTATTTTTGTGCATTCAGAAACACTCCAAGCCACCAGGCTAACGCTCGTCTAGTCGCTGCTTGTCCGTTATTACTACTCGTGATTAATATTAATGCTCATGGTTGACAGCTTGATGGACGTCTTTCTTCCATCGCCAGACGATGAAACTTGTTGAATGTTTGGTGATATCTCTCCGCTGACGTTGATCTAGATATCTAACTCCTCCGTACACCCTGTAGGTACCGACAGGAGTAGTTCTGTAGGTACGTACCGGGTTAATGCTGCATGATGGGCCCTGTCGACCTCTCTCGGCCGCTATCACCAGCTCGCTACGACGCCGAAGCTGAAGCTGCTGGTCTTCTTTCATGGCATGGGCAGCAGCAGCCCAGTCACAGCCGGGGCGGATTTCTGCAAGCCATCCTCGGCTGGTCACCCAACGGTCTGAACTCGCTTCCTCTGCGGTGGGCTGAGAAGACAGGCCACTCTCTGCTCGCGGCCATAGGCTGCTGTCCGACACGGCGAGCAGCTGCTGGGTCCAGGTCCAGGCAGGCGAGAACCCACCGCTTGTTACGGCTGCTCGGGTTTCTGGCCTGGTTGTTCGCGGTCGTGTCCGTGGCCGAGTCGCTGCTGTGGCCGCCGTATCAAACACCGCCAGAGCACTATGCTGGCCTGCGCGAGCGGATTCTCGGTTCCACGCAGCCTGGGCGAGGGAACCCGGACGGCCAGAAAGTGTTCATAGCAAGTAATATCGTGCAGGAAGGGATGATTGGCGGTCCCTGGGGCCGCTCGCTGCTTGAGCTAGTCGATATCTTGGGGGAGGATAACGTGTTTGTCAGTGTCTACGAGAACGACAGTGGGCCGGGGACGCAGGACGCCCTCAGAGAGCTCGCTGCACAGCTGCCATGTCCGTCACCCCGTGTTGCGTTCTGTATGACCTATGTGTCTATCTATCTTGCCTGTTCTTCTGCCTGCTGCTGCATCTTCTAAATACGTCTAAAAGGCTAAGGGCAATTGGCTGTCTACAGGTAACTCATCAATCGTTTCAGGGGAGCATGTGCCGCTTGACGGCCTCCCCAAGACTGCTCTGCCGTCAGGGGACGAGCGAGTAAAGCGGATAGCGTACCTGGCCAGGATCCGCAACCAAGTGCTGGAACCGCTGAACTCGGCGTATCAGCCCTCTGGCGATCATACAGCGGTGGGCGGGTTCGGGTTCAGTCATGCGAACGTGCAGTTTGACCGGGTCCTGTTCCTGAACGACGTCTACTTCTCCGCCATCGAGGCTGTGCAGCTGCTATTCTCGACTAACGTAGACCAGGCCGGTCACGCTCAGTACCGAGCAGCCTGTGCCGTCGACTTTGTCTCCAAGGTCATGTTCTACGACACCTTCGTGGTCAGGGACTCCGAGGGCTACGGCACCGGCCTGATGTTCTTCCCCTGGTTTGCTCCCATTGGCCAGGCCAGGAGCAGGAATCAAGTCCTCCAGGGCTCTGATGCAGTGCAGGTGCGCAGCTGCTGGGGAGGGATGGTGGCCTTCCAGGCAGAGCTGTTCCAGCGCTTCTCAACGGTCGACTCGACAAGCCACATTGTCAGCCGGTTTCGGCACGACTCAGAGCCTTTCTGGGAGTCGTCCGAGTGCTGCTTGATCTTTGCAGATTGGGAAGATCGGTTTGGCCAGCCGAACGTTGAGAATCAGACTGGCGTTTTCTTGAACCCGTACGTTCGAGTGGCCTACTCGCGGAATACTTGGAAGTGGCTGGGGGTTTTCAGACGGTTTGAACGCATCTTTGCAAACCTGCAGTATCTTGTCAGCCGGCTGGCCTATCCAGAGCATAACCCTCGGCGGACTCATCTTCCAGGACAGAAGGTGAGGGAGAGAGTGTGGCAGAGTAACGCAGACGGTCAGCCGGGGGGTTCGTTTCAAACGATCCAGCGGATAGCAAGCCCGGGAGGCTTCTGTGGCCAGAGACGGATGTTTGTCATGGCAGAAGACATAGAGAAGGCAAACCGGAACGGAGCAAAGAACTGGGAGAAAATACCTGTTCCATGATGGCCGCCGAGTCGTATTATTGAACTCGGATATCCTTAATTTTTGTTCTTACTCTTGTTAGCATGTGCTTTTGCTCTGAGTATAACCAGATGGGCATAGCACAATCATATTATAATAATAGTAATCATAATAGCTATCAATTTAAATTTTATATTCACGAAGCTTGGTCATGCAGCGTAATGCTTTCTTCTGTGCCCCGAACTTTGCTCGCGGTCCAAGCAAGCATCATCGGTATCAGAATCAACAGCTCCCATCATCAACCAGGCGAGATTCAATAATCTAGAACCTTTTTTCCCCATTGCTCTCGTCTACCTCGACTAACCAGGAAGCGGGAAATTGGACGCCGATGGGCAGGGGACGAGCGCTCATCCAGATGACTGGCGCGTACCAGCTAACTGGCAATCGGTCCCCATCGTTGTCTCGTCTCGTCTCGTCTCTCCACTCCCATCGGCTGGCGAACTAGCTAGTTAGTCGCCAGTATGCTAAAGATAGCCAACGTGCTACTTGGAAGGAGGACCGGCACTCTTGGGATCTTTCTCTGTGTTGACTGTGTCGGCCTTTGCTTTTTTCTCATCTCTCTCTCACACACACGCAGTAGTATCTCTAGTTATGTAATTTCTCAGTGCTTTGCTTTTTTCTCTTGCTTTATTTTGCTTTCTGCACATCTCTCGCACCAGGCCCTTCACCCCTGGCTGCACCGTTTTAAGGCGTTGCACGGGTATCTGAATATTGGTTCGTACCCTCTGGATCGTGTCGGAATGTACGACACGACGCTGCGTGTCAACAACAACGCGCAAAAAAAGAAGGGAAAGGAAAAGAAAATAAAAGGGGGTAAAAAGACAAAAAACACAATGTGTATACGGCCATTTTAACCTGCCATGGTATCCATCCCATTGGGTAACGCAGAGGATGCGTAGATCTGGGCGTTCGCTGTCGTCTTCCTCAGGCCTTCGACTGCGAGGGCCCCGTCTCCCTTATCCTCCCTTATCCTGCCCTCCCCCCTCTGCAGAAAGGGAAAAAGGGCCAGCAAGACCAATCAAGGCCTGGCTCAGCGGCATCTCAGGTCCCATGGACAGGCTCGTCGTCAGATCCCTCTTGGGTCGCCCGCCCGCTGCCCTCGTCTTCCTTGCACGATCGTGTTCAGCAGCAAGCGAGATGTGATCTGTCGTCCCATCCGCAGGCAAAATTATTATTGATAGACCTAACTAAAGCAGCGTCGTCGTGGCTGACTCAGCCCTGCGACGCCCAAAGCGGCAACTTTTACTTTCCACCATCGAAAAATGCTCCAACTCGGCCAACCTTCGTCTCCAGCAAGCAACAACCACCACCGGCCACTGACCACCACACGGCGACGGCCGGCCGGCAGGCAGCAGGCAACTGGCGGGACAAAGTGACAGACGAGGCAGAGAGGGCCCGGCTACTTATCTTGTTATTTCATAAATTGTTTATTCAAGCCCCTGGGAGAATAGGGGATGGCCCCTATGGGGAGGGGAAAAGCACGACCGAAAATCCCGCCGCACGGGGTTCTTTGTGATAACGAACTAATCAGTTAGTAGTTAAGACGATGGGGTTCTGGCGTCTCTGGGGGAGGGAGGGATCCTCGACCTCTGGGGTTTGACCTCCCCGGATGGACGGTAGCAGACAGGGAGGCAGACGGACGGACACGCAGGAGAACACAAGAGAGCACCTCCCTGGAATCACCAGGCCTGTGATTTGGCTTTGGCGATGTTGATAGAAGAGAGGTGACGATGTGTACGAGTACCGCTCCTGTTCCCCTGACCCTGGACGGTCTCCCGTTACCCCGTCTGTACAGGAGTGGACTCCTAAACCCGCCGTGTATGCATTGCATCCAAAGGTTACTCCAGTGGAATGGGTTCTCTTGCCGGAAGGCGTTGATAGATCCAATTCACCTGCTTGTGCCATGTAACTAACAGTCGAAATCCCAGGCTTGCTTTTTCTGCTTTCCTCCGCCTTGATTTGTCGAGACCCTTCAGCTTCTACAGGGTTCATGGAGCTAGCTCTGTGAATCAGTGTGGGAATAATATGGCCCTATGGGATTCATACTGCATCCCATAGTCTGGCTCATATATTTCCTTTTTCGACTACGTGCTCTCTTTCTCTTCTCTTCTTGTCTTCAATTCCTTCAAGTCCACATTTGAAGGCTCTATTTCTTTGCTTTTTACTTTCTTCTCTTCTTCCTGGTTCTCTTTGTTTTTCCTTATTTGCTTTTTAATTCTATGTTTTTTTTTTTTTTTTTTTTTTTTGGGCTTTTCTTCCCAAGCGGGAGGCTCACATCTTCGTATAAAGATACAACGTGAAGCTTTCGAGTTTTTGGTCTCCTATCTCTCTCGACGCCCAAAATGCAGCTTGCCGCTGTTGCTCGTCCTTTTTGATGCTGTGCTGCCTCTTTCATTTCACTCGGCCTCTCAAGATCACAGCTGTGGGATGTTCTCACCTCCTGTCACCTATCTACTGGCCGTTCTAGTTTAATGAACTTGCTATTAAACGACCACCTTCTGCCTATCTTCCCCCCGGGCATTCGGACGTGGCTATCCTAAGTACCTTACCTCTTACATGATTTCATCCCCTTGCTCATAGCTCGTTCGGACCAGCTTCTGCTCTCTTGGGGATGTCTTCACTTTGAACCACATTGAGCTCGAGCCCTCTGTGCAATGACTGACATATAACCGTGGTGGCTCTTTGTTTGATATCGGGTTGAGAGGTGCTCAGGCAGTGCCTCTTCCGTGACAAAGTACCTGCTATTACATATTATCATTATCATTATATTGCCGCAGGTTTACAAACCGAAACGGCTACATGCCTAACGGAAAAATGCTGCGCCCAGGTACGCCGCCCTCGAGATCCTCGGAGGAGAGCTTCTGCTTCTCTGCCTGGGAAACTCCGAGGCTGTCGGTAGCCGAATCGATTGGGAAGGATAACTATCTCAGACCAGTCTCGAGTCGAACTCAGTCTGGCAAGAAAGCAACCAAGAGACACAAGAACGCTCCTCACTATAGCCCTCGGTCTGCTGGATCAGCATGCCGACCCCAGAGATCAGAGCACGTCACCGAGCTTATCAGATTCTTCAAGAGCTGTGAACTCCCCATCTCCGACCCCTATAATTTTGACCTTGACAGCCTTGAGCTCAATGGACACATACGACAACTGAACCACCGTCAAGATGATATGAGTCAACAGGATGACTCCGTCCCTCAAAGGAAGAAATCTCCTGTTAAGCTGTTTGCCCCCGACCTATGGAGCCGCGCCCCAGCCAGGAAAACTCGACAGAAAAACGATCGTCTGAACCCTGCCACAAGCATGGAAAGCATGCGCTACTCCCCTGGCACCAGAAGCCCCCGAGGCTCCCATGATAGCAACATTGACCGACCCATTGCTACTCCTAAGACAGAGGTTGACGGCGAATGTGCTTACCCAGGAATTTCAGTCTTGCCATCTTCTAAGGAACCCCATTCAAACGACATTGGAACCTCGGAGCCTTTCCCATCGCTGGCTACTATGGGCCAGTTGTACGATTTGTCTTCGGCGACACTTACCGGAGATATGTATACAAACGAAAAGATGGAATGGACAGACACTTCAGTTGGCCGCGAGATCCTATCTGGCATTGACACTGACTCCGGGATGCCGATTCAACCAATGCCGGTACAACCGAATAATCCGTCGAAGAAAAATGGTGCCAACGTACCTCAGCCCCCAGCCAAACCTGCAGTGCCACATAATTGTGCCAAGGGCGCGACATATTGGCCACAGGAGAAGCCACTTCCCGACACTCCTGAAGACCACTGCCAGCAACCACGACAGCAGATTCAAATCTACAAGAGAGATTCTATCCGGGTTACAAGGTCAACTACTACGAGCTCTGGGTACAGCAAACGACACTCAATATCGACTACCTGCGAGTCCACCTTCATCGACGTGCAATGTCTTCCTGAAAGGACCTCCAGCCGAAAGGCACGAAGGGCAGGTCGGACTGACTTCAGCAACCTTTGCTGCCGTTTGTCTTGCCCCATGTCGGAAGAGCATACTTTCGATTATGCAGAGAGTCTCGAAAGTGCGGACAAACCTGCATCGATGTTGGACCCTGTTGATGCCAGCGAAAACCTAGATCCAGCAACCCAGTCCAAACCAAAATCCCGAACCTTGATCCCTGCCCCAATTGATAGCTCCAGAAAGTATTCCGTGTCTTCGGAGCCTTCACTCACCCCATCATCGAACATCTTCTCGATATCCGCCTTATCTGGTTCCGCAAGCAGCAGCACCTTAACTTCACCTCTCACTTGGCATAACTCTTCTCAAAAGGGAGATGACCATGAGCCCTCAAAGTCTATGCCATCCACTCCGGCACTCACAGTATCGCATGATACGCTTGACGCCCAGTCTAAGGTTGAAGCGTTGCCCAAAGTGCCAATGACGAACGTTCCAGAAATCAAAGGGAGCCCGGATACGGCATCCAAAATCCTTCCGGCCCACTTTCCTTCCGTACCTGTCAGAAAGTCTAGCAGATTAGACAATATTCACGCCTTGAGAATGAAAGACGTTGCCGCCGCTAGGGCCGCACTTAAAGTATCGAACAACGAAGCTGCTGATAACATTAGGGGCCGCCAGGCTAGCTCGCCGGCAATCCTGAATTACCCTCTTCCAGCCAAAGGAAGCTCAAGAACCAGTGAGGAGTCATTACCTTCTCCCACTAGCTTCACTGCGCCAACTATCAAGCCCCCCATGCCATCAAAAATCAAAGTTGATCCTGCTACCGAGTCCCCCATCAGCGGGTCTCCCACAAGAACAATTATGCCCGACGGTTCAGTTTTCACTGACCGAGCTATGAAAGAACGATCGTTCAGACATAAGCATAATGCCTTCTCTCTGCTAGCCGGAGGATCGTTACCAAGCAGCCCCAGAAACTCGCAGTCGTTCATTCCCGCCCCTGCACCACAGAGGCCATCGCTGATGAGCCCAAAAAGTGTTGCCGGACTCCGTGCTTTGGAGAGTGTATCTCGTCCAGTTTCACCATCCCTGCCTTCATCAGATGACGAAGGCATGGGAACCAGAGCGCATAGTGGCAGGTCAAGACGATCAACACGATCAACCCGCAGAAGTCGAAAGTGCTCGACTTTAACAATCGACCATACCAAAGCCCAGAAATACTTTCATGATGAACCACTACCACTTACACCACCCAGCGCAAACGCTATTCGTCCCAACGACCCTGATTCTCTATTGTCTCCATACACTCCCACTCACTTCAAATACCTGGCAACCTCAGACTCTTCCATAACCACTCAATCTCACCAACAAAAATTTCTACAAGACCGCGTCTTCTACCTCGAACGCCAAAACAAGATGCTCCAATCTGCCTTGCTCTCCGCACTCGAAGTCGGCGCCAAATGTGACGCACAGCGAGACCAGAAGTGCAGCCCTCGCAGCTCAAACTCTGTCAACTACCGTGATGACATTATTGACATGCTCAACTTATACCGCAACTCATATGACGGTAGCTGTGGGGTAGCTACGTCTTCCGCTTCTGCCATCAGAAGAGAGACTAGACACTCAGCTTTTTCTCCTGGTATGGGAGAAACCGAAATATCCTGCTCGTCCACCACTACTTCTAGACTGTCGATACAAGGCAAAGCTCTAGTACGCCCGTCAACTTCTCCCAGTACAGCCAAGGAGAGGGCTCATCGGCGACTCATTGAACCGCATAACCGTATTAGTAAGACTATTACCTTGAGATAACGTTTACAATCTTTACCACTTTTCCTAAGACATCTACAACCACCACTTTCACTACCGCAGCTAAAGAATACGTCATACTGTCTTTTTGGCTTGTGTCGGGACTCCGACTTCACCGTCGTTATCTACATCTTCACTGGTGACACCACCGTTTCTTTATTCTCCTTGTCGGGACCTTCAAAAACTTGCTTGATACTATTTAGACGATTGAATGATTGAATGACTTACCTATTTAAACAATATTATATTTCTGGTGGCTAGTTGCCTTGCTCTCCTGCTTTCTCCACTTTCTGTAATATTATAAGTCTTAGTACGTTATTATATCCTTCTATATCATAAAATATAACATGTAAACCAACTCCCAAAGCACCAACATATCTGCCTATCCGACATGGCCGTACCAGAGAAAAAGGAGAGAGATCTAAAATAATAAGATACGAACAAATTATGTTCTATAAGGGGAGAGGTGGTACCTGTGAACGCTGAACAACAAGGTATGAGGTAAAGGAACGAAAATCAATAAATACAACTATGATAGGTATGGGGTATGTTAGTTTAGCGAGCTGCGGAGCTCAGAGGCTGTGATTCATGGATAGTTTCTTCGTGTATAACTTCTTCAGCCTCTGGTGTGGTATTTCGATCTGCTTTCTTCTTAGCCTTTGGGGCCCTCAGTTTATTTGTGGCTGCTGTAGCTGGTGATGCAGCAGGGGGTACTGAAGGACTCGACACGCCTCGTAGGCGACGTAGCCTTTGTGTACGTTCTTCACCAGGGAAGACGGGGCTAATAGAATCCGATCTCCAGTTACTCTGGGGAGCAGGCGGAGGACAACCCCGTACTGCTAAACCTCCCCGATAGGATTCCTGAATGCCATTTTCTCCCCACATCCGGACACGTTGGACCTTTCTTAGCTTGATAAGTCCATATGCGCATACAAACGCCGTCAGGGCAAAGCAAGTCGCGGAAACAGCACCAAAACCTAGATCAGACTCTTCGATGAAGTTTTTCAAGTTCATACCATAGAGCGCTGAGAATAGAGTACCTGCTGCCATCCCTAAGGTCCCGATGCTAAATTTGAGCTCCAGAAGCATGAGGGAGTTGCGGTTGGCGTCAAGAATCGCCTTCACACTATTTATATATAGTTAGATATATAACTTTATTGAGAACTTATTTTGAATGAGTACTTACATTTCCTCTGTGTTCCTGATATTGGTCACCAGATTGCCGCTGGCTTGGACAATCTCATCACAAACTTTATGATAAGATTCCAGCAACATCTCAACTTCTTGGTGATCGTGTTCAGCCCTGTGTATTCCTTTTGACCGCTCAGAGAGGTACATCGCCGTGAGATCATCATCTGCCTCTAGCAAGTCATCGATTGCATCACGGACAAGTCTAGCCTTCTGCTCGAAGGTTCCAAGGCGTTTAGAATAGACAAGGAGGTGCCTGAGTTTGTCTCTATCGATATCTTCTTCAAGGGCTCGTAGTACCCTAGAAACTGGCTCTCTAACACCTTCGAATTCTGCTTCAAGCCCGCTAGTGATGCTTACAAGCACTGCTTCAAGAGCCCTGAATTCGTAGGGCAAAGCACCTGAAGTCCAGGCCGCTCGTGAAGCTGGCTCTTTCTGTCGTAATTTTCCCTCAAGGTCGTACATAAACAGGGACTGGGTATAAGTGTCCGCGGAACCGTAGGCATCGAATACCAGGACTCGATCAGATTTTATCAGCACCCTTAAATGCAGGAGGCTGATAAGGATTGCGCTGTGGCGGATGAGGATGTGCGGTAGAACGGAAGAATCGATTTTTCTCAGGTCTCGAGGCAGAAGGCCATACTGCAATGTAGGAAAAGAGTATTAGATCGTGACATTTATTAAACATTTGTTTAAAGGGAGCTTACCTTGGCAATCAGCTCGCTTTTTTTGAATTCCCCGTTCACAAGAGTGACGTTTCCAGCTCCATCAAACTCCGTACATCGAAGTCGAGGCTCATTTGAGACTTTCAACGCCAAGTTGCGCCCTACATTGAAAGGGTTGCTCTCATTCCCATCATCGAAGTTTGGCATGTTTTGAGGGAGATCATCCGGCTTTAGCTGCGGGCTTGCAGGTGGCCGTGTAAAGCCCAAAAGCCGCCGTAGGAAGTGTCTGCATTGTATGGTCGTAGCACTGAAATACCGGACGTTGTTCGTGCTAGAAAATTGGTATCGGTGGACAGAGAAGAGACGTTTGCGTGGTATCGAAGTACTTGTCATAAAAGACGGTTTAACCGGAGGGATACCACATCTTGACCGATACGATGAGTGGCCATATGCTGTATTAGACGAGCTCAAATGTATCGAAGGCTGCAAACTGCCCGAACAAGCCTGATTCGAACTCCATCGACGGGGGGCCGCCGAAGCTTTTGAAGGGCAAAGCGAATGGTCAAATTGGCAGCGGAGATAGCGAAGGAGATTCGAAGATGGAGCTACTGTCTTCACAGGAGACGGAGAAAGCATCTCTCAGCCTGATCATCCGGGATCCGCAGGCTCAAGCGCAAGATATAATGTGCTGCTCCTAATCGCGAACATCGTCGCTCTTCTTGAAGTTTTGGTCAAGATTCAATTTTCGCAAAGAGTGACGATATCGCGGACTAATATTTTACCGAAATCCGATCTACGACCGCCCTTCAGGGGCTGTATCAGTCCGCATTATTCTACTCATATAAAATAGCTTATAGACAGAGAGGAAAAGCAGTGTATTGGGTTTCATTGGCAAGAAGAGCTTATGGCAGAGACGACTAGGCTTTATGGATAGGTGTTGATATGTACAAAAGGTTGGATGCAGAGAGTGGCCTCCCCCTTGTTCCAGAATTCTAATTCCCAGATACGATCACCACTCGTCGTCTGATTTTTCGTCATCTATAGCTAGTCAGTCTCTTATTTATTGAGCAGATAAAGGTATTATAGTCTCCAGGGAATAACTTACCACTTGCGCTGACCTTCTTTTTCCGCTTCGCTAGAGCGTCTTGAATGGCTCCCATCATGCCTCCAGCAGGGGCAGGTGATGCAGCAGATGAATCTGTTGCACCCCCAGGTACTATGGCTGCACTTCGGTCACGCTTCTCTGCTTCGCTTACTTTTCGTAGACCACGCCCACTGGAAGCTCGGATGGAGGCCATTAGGTCATCCTTCCCTACAGGTGCATTAGGTAAAGAAGGCGCTGAGCCGCCAGGAGGTGGTGGAGGCGGCGGAGGCGGTGGTGGGCCTCCTGACGTTGGAGGAGGGGGAGGAGGCGGAGGAGGCGCTATTGGAGCGGAAGAGGTAGATGTAGGCGGAAGCGGAGGTGGTGGTGGTGGTGGAGGGACGGGTGCATTT